CAGAAAACGGAGTCGTCGTGTGAGTCGAAGTGTGCGGATGAGTCGTTCTGGAGAGAGATTTCTTGTTCGTAGGTCATTTGCTGGTCTTCTTCTCCGTCGGACTCCATTGGGTGGTCGTCGTCGTTGACAATTTCTTCACCCTCGTCGGCGCCAACGAACATGTCCTCGTCATTTTGCTGGTGGTGGTCTTGGGCGGACATTATGCAGATGCCAATTGGAGGCGAGGTTGATGTGAGGTATAGCTTGTCGGATATGTAGGTAGGTGATGATTGGGGGGGGAATGTGTGGACAGACACTTCAGATAGGTTTGTCAACTAGTAAAAGAACAGAGTAAAAGGGTATCTCTCTGTCTGAAAGTAGAACGTGGAAGAATGACCGAGCTGAAGTTGGATCTTTTTTTTTTCTGTCAACCTCCCCCGCTTAGAAATCCGCATCCCCGCAGCAGACAAACACTACAAACACACTCATCTCGAGTGAAGTATACATCTCTTTCAACTGCAAATAATATGTATTAATTTGATTGGAGATCTTCAAATCCTTGAGATATTCATCGTTATATACTTTACTAGGTACCAATTGAATGTAATGTCGGCCAACAAAAATATGTCATCAAGGGCAGAATCTATAACTGCTAAGAGAGAACGCTTGCACAGAATTCTAAGAGCTTAAATCTTCGCACCGGCCTTTCTCCGAGCCTCCTTCTCCTGGTCCCGTAGCAGACGACGCAAGATCTTACCACTTGGGCTCTTGGGAATGGCATCAATAAACCTCACACCGCCCTTGAGCCACTTGTGCCGGGCCTTGTGGTCCTCGACAAACTTCTTAATAGACTGAATAGCTTCATCATCTGGACCTGCAGAGGCTGACTTGACCACAATAGCCTTGGGTACCTCGCCAGCGGCATCGTCGGGGATGGCAATCACGGCACAGTCAGAAACAGCGGGGTGAGTCAGAAGGTGAGCTTCCAGCTCAGCGGGTGCAACTTGGAGACCCTATTCATCAACGGTTAGTCAGGATTGTGCGAAGATATACTAGATTTATAAGTTAACGAACCTTAACCTTGATCAGTTCCTTGATGCGATCCACAATGAACACGTGCTCGGTGCCATTGGGACCAAGCTTGATGACCGCCTCGTCTCCGGTGCGCATCCAACCATCCTCAAAGGTTTCTTTAGTAGCCTTGTCGTTATTCAAATAGCCTAACACCACACTAGGGGATCGGACCACCAGCTCGCCCGGGGTATCGTAAGCTGTGATCTCCTTGCCTTCCGCTGACATGATGCGTGCCTCGAAGCCTGGGACTAGGCATCCAGAAGAGCCGAGCAATATATCATCGGGATGGGTCGAGCATACAACAGTGCAAGTCTCCGTTAGGCCTGGCACGAATGATAAGTTTGTGCTTTTTAGATAGAGGAAGACTTGTCTTACCGTATCCTTGACGAATGAGAACATTGGGATAGACCTTTAGGAAATCGGTTGCGGTCTCCATTCCAAGGGGTGCAGCTCCTGTGAATAGGGATGTCACAGAGCTCAAGTCATACTTGGAGCACTCGTCTTGCAAACGCAACATGTTGATGATAATCGGGGGGACCTGTGGCGCAATTAGTAGATGGCATCGAGTGTGCCGTCATAAAGCTTACCAGCATGAGACATGAAATCTTGAATTTTTGGATGGAGGTCAGGTAAGACTTCAGCTCAAACTTAGGAAGAACGACAATCTGGTCTCCCCGGTACGGACCCGAGTGGCAGATAACCACCAGGGCATAGATGTGACTCTGCGGCAAAAGACCCAGGGTGACTTCAGGGGGGCTGTTGGATGACGCCCGGTGACTCTTTTCGAAGGCGGCGATTTGCATGGTATTGGCGATGACATTGCGGTGAGAGATCATGACTCCTTTCTATAAGCAAATTCTGTTAGAAGTAGGCCTCGATAGCGCAGCTAATGGTTTAAAATACCGGCAGGCCAGATGTGCCACTCGAGTAGCACAAGAAAGCGGTGCGGCGCGCTCCCTCACCAGGCCCCCAATTCAACGCCTCCAACGGTGGAAGAGACTTCCCAGCCTCGGCTATTTGATTAACGGTCTTGTACTCCGTAGGGGGCTTTGTGCCGCCAAGGATCACATCCGGTACATCAATCAGATAGATCTTGCTCTTGGGCAGACCGGCCTGAGCGGCAGCATCCAATGCGACGGGAAGCAGCGGGACACAAGTAAAGAGAGCCTTAGCCTTGGAGTCCAAGATCTGGTGTTTCAACTCAGCGGCAGAGTAGGATGCATTGGCCGGAGACACAACACCACCAAGCCGGTGCGTGGCCCAGAAGAAAGGCAAAGAATCTATTGTGTTGAGGGCGAAAACGGCAATGGTCTTGTCCCATTCTGATCCCTGATTTGGCTTCCACCCGAACTCCTTTGCGAGGCCACGGGCGATATGGTCTACACGGGAGACCACCTCTCGTGACGAATACGACTTTCCGGTCAATCCGCAAGTGTAGGGGTCCCGCGACTTGTCGTGTGCCACTCGTCCATATTTCTCATCGAGCATGAAATCACAGATAGGAATGCTGTCTGGAACTGTGCCCAGCTCGCCAAACTTTTTATCCGGCAAGAACACCATTCTGGAATGTGTGTGGCTTTGGTCACTTTAGGTAGGTGGGAAAATATGCGTGTCAGATTTAGACGTGGTTGACGAAGACAGGAGGATGTGAATCAAGAAATTGTCGGAAACAGAAAAAGGAAAAGCGAGTCCCGGGAACGGGGAAGGGGCTTCAAAGTCTTAACGAGAATCTGGGGAACTTGGTCGTGCGGGGAAAAATGTGAAGCCGGCAAGCTCTCCAACTGTTTAGTTCCGTATCCTCGGGAATCAATCTTACTGTAGAGATCGGAATTGTGTCTGAGAACCCCCTTAGTTCGTCTGACTTAATGTGGCATTTGAGGCGATTTTGCCTGACTTAGGAAGCTATGAAGGAACTTCAAATTTCCTCGGTCAAGGTGCGACCGAGGCTTTTCAAAAGTCCGACAGCATGCCAAGAGCTACCTAGGGGGTATTGCCTAGGTGCTTAGCTCACAGTAAATGTGGGTCACATCGCGCAATCCCTGTTCTAACTACGGGGTGCATCTTCACGGTTCATTTCACTCTGGGCTACCTTCCAAGCTCTGGGGGTTTGGTATATCCTCATGCATCTAGAAGACGTTTATATAGGCATCCTTCCATATACTTTCCGTGGATACAGTGAAAGTACCATTTCACATGTCCTCAAGCCTCGGACAAGCGGACGAATTCGCACTTTAAGGTGGGCTTGGCATGCAGATCATCCCTACGTTTGGCTAGTTCCGCCACTTGGAGTACCGATTATGGAACCCTTCTTCACGACGACGCAGGCTATGATCCAACAGGAGAGTACTGGAGAGCCCAATGTATAAGAATTAGAAGATACCTGGGCCTGAGATATTTACACATTGTTCCAGATGCTTCCAAAGATGCCTCACATATATATCAACCTTTTGCTGCAATGCATCATGCAGGTGCATGTGTGTGACGCGAAAGCTTCTCTTGAAGGACTTTCAAGATATCGTGGTCTCTAGGGTTGTTTCAATAATGGGATAAATGTGCTTTATGTTCCTTTCAGCAATTCTCTACGTCTCAGCTGTATTATGTATACATATTCCGACCAAGAAAATAATCCAAGGAAGCGTTCATATTTCGAATGTTTACTGCTAGACATCTACGGTACTGACGGATGACTTTAGTTCTTTCTTATTGATTTTCAGATGGCTTGAGATGTCGCGCATCAAGCAGGCCATTTCAACTGTCCAACTGTTCGTGCAACGGTGCCTTTTAGGCCAGGAATCCGCCTTCGACGGCCGCGTCATTGACCGGTCTTGCTGGGCCTGGATGCACAAATTTAACTTGTGGGAAGCCAACTGCAAGGTATTTCTGTACCCAAGGAGCTGGGCTGACCCAAATATTCGTCTCGAGTCTTTTCTGGCATCGATCAAAAGGTGCCGGTAATGGGGAGTCTTCCACTTCTTCGCGCGCACTCGCACAAACATGCACAATTTTACTATCGCCAGCTGTGAGTACTTGTCAAAGTACAGCGTTCCGACAACAAAATGGTCGGCGTGGTAGCGGATCCCGCTGGAAAATTCGCGCGCTCGATGTGGATTCAAAGGACGTCTCTTTAGAGAAGCTCGGGTTCTATGTTGTGCCTACCTGCTGGGGCAATCAAGTATTTTCGTTTCACCCATAGATTATGACTAGGGCAGTTTCAGGAAGGAAGCTACGTCGCAAGTGGCCTTCAAGATGGACGGAAAAGAAGAACATCCGGCGAATATTGTGTTCAGAAAAAAAGGTTATAACAGCACCCCTGCAAGCATAGGTCTTCATTGAGCTTGAGAATAAAGCAAACACAGATATCCTGAACCAGACAGAGGCAGCTACCAAGCCAAACGCATTCACCGGGGATAATACACCATCACATAAAACTGCAAATCATAAAATCGCCACTAGCAAATACGGAAGTCGATTCGAGCTTCGGGAAACTCATCTCGTGATGGAAAACGATAAGCCGAACAAAGAAGCCCCCGCCACAGATGGGGAAGCACTCTCTACGTCCTACGGCCAACTGTCAACGGTACTGGGTTAAAGCCCTGGAAACCTTGAAACTGCGCTGAATAACATCGGGGTAAAAGATAAGACCATTACCAACACGGAATCATGGGCACTAGTGATCAAACCCAAGCTGTACACCTATAACCCTTCGGCGAGCGTCACAAGGACCTTTGACAGCGATCTTCACACGAGCCAGAAGCCCATGAGGTTTGTGGTCGATTTTGTGACTAAAGAGAAAACAGGAACTGATCCGTGCCTTACTCTACCGCAGTCTTCGAACAGAAACAAGGAATAATTAGATAGCCTTGTAACGCTATTCTTTAATCCACTGAGTGACGAATTACGAGATGCCTTGGCGGGGAATGAAGATTTGGGAAAGCTCTATCCAAGTCATGGATGAAATTGATGTCGCCACTATGAAGCATGAAATGGGCGACGCCCCTGTGAAGGATAACCCACACTACCTCTTCACCTATGGATACAGTTTTGGACGGTTTCGCCTTCTTGAATTCTGCAACGGGACCTCCACACCATACTCCCTATACAACTGGGAGGTTGGCTTCCACATCATTTCCCTCATCGTTGCGCGACTGCTGGCCTTGCAGCAGCATACGCTTGTCTCGTTTTCGATCCGACTTTGTGCAAGACTAAACGCAACCAGCGGCGCTTTCCCCCTTTCCGGAACAATAAGTCGCGAGAAGCCGGTACACTGAACGCCATTCTTCATAGACTACGCCCATTCACTGGCGATGAGGAGAATAAGGATGCCGTCATTCTTGAGTTGCAGGAAAATGCCCTTCTCGCCACATATTTTTGCCCGCAGCCGCTGCTACTAGGAGTGAGAGACCCTCCAATTAGGGGAATCCGGTCTTCTTTATGGTTTAATATGTTATCCATGCCTCCTCCGCGATCAAATCGTAAGTGGCTTGACCGGGCTTACAATAGAAGGCAGTGCACCCACAGTGCTCTATCAGGGGCGGCGGGGCAGTGGCTCAGCCGCCTTAGCCTTGTAACGGGGAAATGGCTGTGGGGCCAGTGTGAACAATCCATCGGTCCAATGCAGGGTGTCGAGGGGAGTTGACACGCTAGTTGTGCGTAGATCTTGTGGTTATGGAGATTATTGAAATTCCAGCTCATAATCTTGTGGAAATACGGCAACTATAGCAGAGAACCCTTGGAGCTAAGGGGGGGCAACAAACCCTTCGAACACACAATCACATTATTCAGCGCGCCAGGAACTGTTGGCGTTGGCGGTGGAGAGACCAAGGTCCGAGTTCCAGTCCCTCGCTATTTGGGCTCCGCACTCTTGACTTGACTTACCCATTCCCCTCCTGTCTTTCTCCGACCTCCACACTCGTTGACTCGGGGATGCCCAGAGCCAGAAGCTCTCTGGCAGCTCTTCACCTGCCCGCGTCCCGCACATCTGGAGGCTGAGTGCGGCTCTCCACACATCTAACCTTCGAGGTCGCGACCCTTGAGTTCGAGATCACGAGCGCAACGCATTCGACTGCCTCGCAGCCCCCGCAGCGATGGCGCATCCAAATGGCCAACAGGCGTACTATGGCCAGACCAGCAACCCTCCGAGCTCCCAGCCAGCTTCCGGTCGCTATGAAAGCTACACGCCTCAGCACAACCCCACCCCGAACCAGCATCTGCCAAGACGAATGCCCAGTTACAATGCCGGAGACGACTCTACGCTCTTTAACGCCGCTCGCCTCTCCAATTCGAGAGCGGCTGATGCAAACGCGCGTTATCCAACAAGTGGCGCTGGATATGCGGGCAATGTTGGACAAGGGGGCTATGGTGCTGTCCACGGGGGATACGATAACGGTGGAGATGCTGCTTTTTCACGCGCTGCTGACCCGCCAGCGATGTCGCCCACTCGTGCTGCGTCACACAGCACAGGGTCGGCCGCTTACCAGTACCAGTACCCGCCAGCGACCTCGGCCCAACGTGCGTACAACCCCCAGCAGTACGGCCTGCCGCAATCGCAGACCCAACCGAACCTGAGCTATAACCCCCTGAATTATAACGCATCGTATGCCAATCCCGCTCCGAGCCATCAACCCTATAACCCGGCGGCGTACCAACCTGCTTCAGTCGCTGGTTTGGCGTCTCCGACTCTGCCACGGCGACCAAGCGACGCATCGCCGTATGGTCAAACACCTCCGACCCCATCTTACGCGTTTCCATCACAACAACCACCAGTACCGCCCCCTCGCGCACCCGATCATCCTTATGGAGGGCGCTCGTATGGATTATCGTCTACTACTTTGAGCCAGCGGACTGGGAGCACTGCCTCCACCGCGTATCGGCCGACTCTCTCTCCATCAACAGTTGGATATGTGACGTCTAATTCACCTTCTGGTGCTTATATGTCCCCATCTGCCACCCACCCCTACTTCCCCGTATCGCCCGGTTTCGGGACGGACTCACCATACCCCTCTGCCACGATTCCGCCAATAACCTCAGACTTTGACGACCGGCCGCCAGCGCCACCTGTACATCAGCCGCAAGGCAATGGACTTTATGCAAAGCGATCAACTGTGTCTCACTCATCTTCTGGGCGGTCTCTTCCCACTCCACCCGTGCAGCAAGACTTGCCAATTTTACCACCGCCGAGACGAACCGACACCTTGAATCGACACCCGCAGGCACGGCCTCTACCTGGACCACCTGTTGATGATACACCCGATATGACTGGACAGTCTCCATCTCCTAGCCTCAATGAATCTTCTGAAAATGATGAATTGATCAAGGAAATCGAATCTGCGGTGATGGATACTCAGGCTACCTTCACGGCAAGACGTCACAGCTCCAGAGTATCTCGTGCTGGCTCGGCGTCGCGATTGAGACTTTCTCCTGACGAGCAACACACCCATACCAATGGCAACATGTCGACTGGAACTGGTCAATATGTCAACTACGATGCCTATAGCGATGACAGCGAGGCGGAGGCTGAAGCAGGGCTGGCCATGTTGCGCATGGCTGAAGAGGAAGAGAGAGCTCGTCTGGACCGAGAGAATCTTCATCAGCATGGCCGCCCTCGACGCGAGACGAACGCTTCGGTTCTCAGTACTCGCTCACATGGCTCTCGTGTGTCGCCTAGAGGCCCTTCGCCGAATTCGGATATTCACGAGGATGGCGAATTTGTAGGTCATGATCTGGCACTTTACGAAGGAGGTTATCAAGGGAATCTTCATTATGGCGAACAGCGACATTATGGTGAATACTCGGATCAAGCCACTGGGGGCCTCTCGAGAACACATGACTCTTTCAGAAGTTCCGATGTTTCTCCCGATGAACGAGGTGAATATGCAGACGATTACGAACATCCCGCTATCGCGTACGAATATGCCAATCGCTTCCATAATCTGCCAATTGATGCGCGGGTGGATGCTAGTGGCACCGGTGGGCTTTCGGCACCAGGAAACTATGACCGTCGGATGAGCTTTGATTATGGAGAGGATGGAGACAGTCCATATGAACAACAACCGGATGGAGATAGATCCGACGATGAAAGCCCACACCGAGCTGCGCACGAAGATCTTTTCTTCCATCCGGGTATGCGTCCATTACCACCAGCTCCCGTTGAGCCCGCGAATCAAGACCTTTTCTCGCATTTAATGCCCGCTGGCACGTATAGGCCTCCTGAGCAAGACGAGTTGCACGGTCAGGATCAGTATACACAACCCTCCTTGCCTGTCTCTGCGGACGCGTACGGAGACACACTACTCGGCCCCTCTCAAGTCCCACGATCTTCGTCGTTGTCGACGCCTATGGGACCTCGTACTGATCCGCCTATCAGATCGAAGACCGAAGCGGATCGCCTTAGGAAGAAGCAGGAACAGGAGTTTCTGTGGCAGCTTCAGCAGAAGGAACTTCCCAAAATCGACCCGGCCGAAGCTTCCGCTTCGATGGCTCTGGATCTACCCACAATTCCTGCAGGACGCCGCAAGAAGTTCAATCCTACGAAGCTGTCATCGGAGCAGTTTAAGAAGTGTACTGAACCGTGGGCTCTTAGCTCCATTCTGGCCTGGATTCGGGATTTAAGCGAGGATGAGAGCGATCTCAGGAATTCGGCTATTGTTGATGCGATTGTGGCATTGTTCACTCATAAAGTTCCGACTATGAACACTACTGAGGCCGAGACGCTCGCTGCGCACGTTGTCAATAGCATGCTTCAGGAGGAAGCACTTGTCAAGGAGGAGGAGTGGGTCAGATTCGGCAGCGGAAACCTTTCAGGTGTCTTGTTCCAGATCACTGGCACTGGTTGTTACTCGTCGAAGCTTCATGAGGAAGAGCTGCACATCGAGGGAACCGATTCCTTTGGTCGCTGCTATTCTCATCATTGCATGAGGACTCTGAAGAAGGTCAACCTGAAGGCACAGATGATGGCACCGCAGAAAAAGATAGAAGACTGGGTAACTTTCTACAATGTGCCGAAGGAAGTGTGGGAGTCACATCCAAAGAAGGAGGTGGATCGGCAGAACAACTTGCATGAGATTGTGACCACCGAGGATGCCTACATTGGGCAATTGGACGTTTTGCGGGAACTCTACCGTGACCAGCTCTCTCGGATGAACCCTCCCATCATTCCAGCCAAACGACTGACCAAGTTCCTGACCGATGTCTTTGGAAAGGTTGATACAGTGAAAAGGGCCAACGAGGATTTCCTGTTAGCGCAGCTCAAATACCGCCAGAAGGAACAAGGTCCATTTATTGCTGGCTTCAGTGACATCTTCCGAGAGTGGATCCGCAAAGCCAAGAGTGTCTACATCGATTATGCTGCGCATTTCCCGGCTGCAAACTATTATGTTCGGAAGGAGGCCGAGCGTAATGTGCATTTCAAGGCATTCTTGAACTCTGCGCGTGATAACAAGATGTCTCACCGTTTAAGCTGGGATACTTACTTGAAAGCCCCGATCACGCGAATCCAAAGATACACCCTGTTGTTGGCTACTGCCCACAAAAATATGCCAACGGACTCCGAAGAAAAGACCAATTTGGCACAAGCCATTGAGGAAATCAAGATTGTCGCATTGGAGTGCGACAACAAAGTTGGCGAGATGAACAAGAAGGTCGACTTGATGGAGCTGGCGGCTAAGCTGCAGCTGCGGCCAGAGATGAAGAAAGAAGTGGAGCTTAATCTTGAGCACCTGGGCCGTGAAATCATCTTCCGAGGTGATCTCCAACGCCCAGGAACTCGAACTCGATTCCTCGTTGATACCCATGCCATCCTGTTCGATCATTACCTCGTTCTTGCCAAGTCATGTATCACCCGTGACCCATCGCGGACAATCAAATTCGAACGGTACGATATCTCGAAATTGCCCATCCCGATGGATCTTCTGGCCTTGGAAAGCACCAATGAAGACCCTGTCATCAAATCATCTGTCCGTGGTGTTTCAACGGTGACCCAAGGTCAAAGTGGGGTGAGCCCTTTGACACATACCAGTGCCTCCACGAATGGAAGTACCGCGGTTCTGGACTCCAAAGATGACAAGATTCTTTACCCCTTCAAGATCAAGCATCTCGGCAAAACCGGCACATACATCTTGTATGCCTTCTCCGCACAAAGCCGCAAGGAATGGTGCGAGAAGATCATCGAGGCAAAGACCAAGCACGCTGCGGCTCTGTTCTCACAGAATGCCGAGCCTTTCCGCCTACGTGTCCTCGCAGACACGGCTTTCGCTTACTCTGACCACACTGCCGGCTCGAAGAGCGTGACTATCAAGGGCACTCCGCTGAATCGTGCTATAAAGGAAGTGGAGAAGAAGTATGCAGACTCTGGGCCCCGACCTCTGCCTGTTTGTAGGACTGCTGTGCATTGTGCTACAGTCTTCCAACAGCCTCCAGGGCGTATGATGTGTGCAGTTGGAACGGATTATGGGGTGTTCATGTCTGATCTCAGCAACCCGCGTGGTTGGTATCGGGTAAGTTCTTGTTGTCCGACTTGATTGCAAATCCTCGACTAACTTGTCCAGGCTATCCCTATCATGCGGGTGACACAGGTTGCAGTGTTCGAAGATTTCAATCTCTTCCTGCTTATTGCAGACCGCTCGTTGATTGCGTATCACCTCGACGTGGTGTGCCCTGCTAGTGGGGTAACTCAATCGCAGGATTCTGCCCGCCGAGCTCCTCAGAAGCTCTCCGGAAACCGCGAAGTAGGCTTCTTTGCCGCTGGTCGCATGAAAGACCGGTACTTGGTTTTGTACAAGAAGCGAGACGGACTTTCTTCCACATTCAAGGTTCTCGAGCCCATTCTTCAAAAATCCTCATCAAACAAATCCCGCCTCTTCCAGTCTCGCCGTTTGCAAACAGAATTCTTCCGTGAGTACGATGAATTCTACATTCCCGCTGAAAGCTACGGCATCAACATGTTCCACTCTTCCCTTGCCATCTCGACTCAACGAGGCATTGAAGTCCTCACCCTCGACAAGAAGCAGTCCTGGTCCGTCCCCGACTTCCGCTCCGAGTCCCAAGATGCCCACGATACTCTGCATAGCATTGCCCACCGTATCCAAGGTCTTCGCCCGCTCGGTATGTTCCGCCTCAGCGACAGCGAATTCCTCGTCGCATACCAGGAGTGCGCTGTGTACGTCAACAAGCACGGCGACGTTTCTCGCAGTGTGGTCATGGAATTTGTCGGAAGTGCACACACTGCTTGTCTTTATGGCAGATTCCTCATTCTCTTTAATGATGACTTCGTCGAGGTTCGCAACGCTATGAACGGCCGTCTCAGACAAGTCATTCCCGGCCACAATGTCGTCTGCCTGGACGATGGCAGCAAATTACCCGGCTCCTTCGGCCAGGCTACCCCATCCAGCAATATGGCCAGCTTCCCCGGTTCTAATGGCACATCCAACGGCGACACGCAATACACAGTCAAGATTTGCATGCAACACCCGCAGTACGAGCGTAGCCAGATCGTCTTAGAGCTGGTTGAAAACGAGGGCCAAAAAGATTAATCCAATCTTTTCATCCACCTTGTGATTTCACTTCACCAACTCTTCCACCTTTCTGCCTGTCCATTGACTCGAGGCTTTTCTACTACGCTTTTCTCACATGTTATTTCTCCCTTACGAACACTTGATCCTATCGCATTTTATTTCCAATTTCTTCATGTCACGGTCTTGCACGAAGGCATCGACGCGTATTTGGCATGCATTTTCCCTTCTGACGCAGAGCGCTGTTTTGATGACATGCTTGTACATAGAAATGTGACTGCCATCTCACGACTCTAACGAATTCAATTATTCAGCCAACCTATAGCAATCTACTACATTTATAGTAAGATATCTTTCATGTAAACGTATAGTCCTCATTTGCTTTAATTTGTCGTGTCCGGCCTGACCAAGAAGTCGATCCTCAACACTTCATCAGCCATTTTATTCTCCACAGTTTTATGCGCATCCACGCTCTGCAAATGTCTCTTTAGACGTCATTTTGTCCCCTCTATAAGGTACCGTTTTGGATGGCTTCAAGTACGTCCACTTGGATAAGTAAAGACCAAACCTGGAAACCATTGGTGTTTTGTTCCCGATGCGGTTATAGACATGGAATCTGAACAACAATCGTGTATACTTAACTAAAGCCTTCTGACCGGGTCCATTTAAAATATCTAATGGCATCTAACCCTCTATTTTCTTAAGCCCATGCTTCCAAAACGTCGCGTACGGTATTCCATCCTCCCGATACCCAATGAGAACATACCTGCCCATATCGAGTCGAAATTAGCACACCTGGCACCCAGGTAGCCCCAATGAAACCCAAAGAGACGTACATTCCTTGAACATCCATAGACGGAGTCATAAACACATCGAAATTGTCCCAATTATCCATAATCTTCTTAATGGCAGGGCCCTGCCCAGATTGGAACTCACGGAGTGTTTCCCGGCTCGCTCCATTGGCTGCAATTTGTCGAGCAACGGCTTTCAAATAACCTGTGGACATATAGGGATAAGCACAGGTATCAATGGATGGGATGGTGCATCTGACTGTTGAGTCGAGTTTTGAAATCTGCTTTCTCGGGCTTGTGGCGGACTAGATTGAATGTTTCTTCAATGTCGTAGACTGTGACCGAGTCGTTGTACCCATTGTCCTCGGCCATATCTTTTATGTTGGTAGGGGTCTTTGGGAGTTCGCGGCAGGCGCAGGTTACCAGGACGGAGCCGTCTTGTTCTAGTGTGAAGTGGTCGTTGACGATGTCGTCGCCGCTGACGATGTCCTAGTAGTTTCGTTCGATCAGTATGTCTTTACCATGAGGGGTGGATTTCTTGAAACTACGAACTCTGTAGACGATCATCGTGGCGGATGTATAGAGATGACCAGGTCGAGAGGTTAAACCGAGATGAGATCATTCGATGTCTGGATGTGCGTTAGTTGGGCACAGGGTAAGAATACATGATATTATTGGGCGAGAAGTAGATACCCCGCCACGAGAGCTTATCTATAACCTTGGAACAACTTCGATCTCTCCAAATTTACTACGTAATCCACGATCAGTAATGAAATTTAAACCCAGTAGTTTTCTGACGGTATCTAATCTAACATTATACCTATGCCAATGCAGGCGAGACGAATGCACCAAACGCAAGTGTATGATTGCACATAGCTAAGGATCGAAAGCACGCAGAAACAACAGGGAATAAAATGATCCTCCTATAAAACAGAAAGAGAGGGATAGCATCATGATTCAAACTCAACGACCTTGCTAACAACATCGGCGTCATGGGAAGGTGAGCCATTGTTTCCGACATGGGATTTGTCAGCTCCCTCCTTGCCATCGAGAAGAGAAGACGCTTCATCTTTACCGCGGACACTGAGGACTTCTGCGCCTTCGAGGAGATCACGATCGGCATCACGGACGCTACCGCGTGGATCCGCGCCGTATGCGCCTGCGCCCCAGCTAGAGATACCGCCTGCCATGGCGGCAGTTGAGCCTCGGCGGAAGTCATCTTCATCGTCCTCTTCGTCTTCCTCTTCAGGTCTGCCGAGGGCGTTGCGCTCGAGGTCACGCTGGGCTTCGTCCATGCGTTTCTTGACTTCGGCGGCCATGCGGATGCCGTCTGTGACGATATTGTCGAGGACGCCACGGAGGCCTTTGCCGGGCGGGACGATGCCGCCGGAGGCGCCGGCGACAGTGACGACTCCGGCTGCGGATACGTTGGTGGCCTTGGTGCTGCCGATGTTGGAGAAGGTCGTGAGGTTTGAGGAAAGGGACGAGGATGCGGCGAGGGAGGCTGGGTGAGGGTGGTCGGAGAGGTGGAAGGATTGTGGGAAGTAGGATTCGAAGAACTGTTCGAGGAGCTCGTCGGCTAGGATGACCATTCGGAAGGTTGGGAGGGTAATGTGAAGAGGGTTGTTGGGGTCGAGGGCCGGGTTTGCTGACTCGGATGTTGGCCGATTCTGCTCGCTCTCATTGGGTTTGGCTGGTTGAGAGGCTTCCGGGGAAGGCGACTCCTCCTCCTTGTCGTCGATCTCGATCAAATCCTCTTCGTCATCGCCAATGGCAAAGGAGTCAAGCTTTTCTGCGACCTCTTCGGCATCATCCTGCTTGGTGGCCTTCTGGTTCTCGGGGTGGCTGGGGTCGGCGTATTCGAAGCAGCGACGAATGAAGGCACTGACGCTACCTAGGAATCTCTCGTCGGTGGTAAGTCTGCTTTGCTCATCGCGAGCGCCGTCCAGATCTTCCTGAGACTGAGTAGCAGTGATGGTGCCCTCGAATCCACGACGGGACAGGAAGAGAAGCGCCTCGGAGATTTTAAGGATCCCCTCCCGGTCGACTTGGCCATTGCCACTGTCATCGTATAGGTCGAAGAAGTAGTTGATGTTGTTCATGATATCCGGCGATCCCTTGAGGCGAGCCAGTCCATTCACAACATTCTGTAAATTCAAGCCTTCCTCGGGGTCATCGGCCCACTTTCGATAAAGCCGTTGCATGAACTCGTGGTCTGCCGGTTGCCGGCGATTGGCCCAGAGCAGTGACCTGTTGGTTCCCCGGAGACTGCTGTAGCCCTGGGAATCTTTCCGGGAGCCAGCAGGCGTATCCGAGACAGCCCATTTTGAGGTAGCAGCTAAGAATTCTCTGAAAGCATCGTAGTCCATGTGAGTGGGACTGGGCCCAAGACCAACACGGCCCACCTCTGCATCTGCAGGAGGTCCAAGAATAGAGAGACGCTCAGACTTTTTCTTTTCCTGTCGCTTCCTTTCATCCTCAATGAGTCTCTGGTGCTGCTCCCATTGGTACAAAATCTCGTAGAAGCGATCATATATGGTACCAAGATCATCGACACTGAGACGCTTGCTCTCAGGACCAAGATTGCGGATGGAAGTACGTTTGGCGAAATTTTCAATACTCTCCAAAACAGAATCCTTGTGCTTCTCGCGCTGCTCGACAATGGTGCTGTGGGTGATGCCCGAGAACTCCTTGAAAGCCACCACCATCAATTCCTGGAATCGGGTGATCGCCCGCAGCTTCGGGTTTTCGGACTTGGGATGGGCAGATTCATCCAAGCGAGAGAAGTAAGATTTCAGCACAGAGATGAAAGAGCCATCATCCTGGATGTCCAAAAGCTCCTCGCCGTTCACACGAAGGATCGCCAGACCCACCTGGAACAGCACCTTGGGGCCTTCCAAGAAGAAAACGTCCAAAACACGAAATGCAAAGACAAGAGGCATAGAGTTGATGTAAAGTGAAAGGAACCACGGAAGAGAGACGACGGAGAGTTGCACATCCGATTTCACGAGATGCTCCCAGAGAACTGGCATAGTCTTTTCCACAAGAGATTCAAAGACCTTTTGATCAAGCAGAGTGCCATACATGGTGGTAGAATAGTATCCGGGAAGGAGACGATCACACAGCATGGAAAGGAGGAAAAATGCCTGAGATTCGGACGTATATCTGTTTCAAGTCAGCAAATGGTCGCCGTTGTGTGAAGGAGGGATGTAACGAACATTAGCAAGGCCGCAGTGACAATGTTCATAGCTTGACAATATCCAATTTCGGCATTGGTCCAGCTGTATGCTGTAAGAACGCGACGCAAGCGACCAATGCCCTCTTCACTCTGGAAGCCGGGATATTCTGGTAGACTGCGGTTCAGGTCCTTTTCGATCTCATCGATGGCGAGAGACTCCTGGCCATCGAACTTAGCTAACGTCTCCTTATATAATTTAGGCGAACGAAGACGGAGGAAAAAAGAGCCAGATGAAAGTTCCCATATCTCTCCACGCAATCTATTCGGCAACCCGACTCTGATCAGCTTGTGAAACGTGGGCTGACGGACAAGCGTTGCATTGCGACCGTTTTCTGAAAACCACATTAGCCGAAGCCCTCGGAAAACAAGACTGATTTTTAGCGCATACCTCGGAAATACTCGCCCCAAAGTCTCATCTTACTCCGGTCTCGAAGCTTGCGCGCATCACCGGGGTAGCGGAAGAGCATGCCCAGTCCCGCATCTGGGGGCGGACGAAAGTTCTCTCCCTGCTCTTCTTGTGTCTTCCCCTTCGCACCCGAGAGCAAATACTCCGAATAGCAATCCGAAACAACAGATCGCAGATTGTCGACCTCCTTCATGCCTTCGCGCAGGCCCTTCTTGAGACAATCGCAGAATCGCTCACAAGCTTGTCTGCTACCGACAAGCTGCAGGATGAGACGCTGAGGCGCAAAATTGGGTTCTTGCTGTTTGTTCAATAATCCATTCCATGTTGTCAATGCTAGAGAGAAGACGTGACTGGCGCTATGAAGTCGCTCGACGCGACGAATGCAAGACAGGGGCAGCGTGAAGCCATTACCAGAAGGTCCAGTGCCGTGTGTTTGCCCAGTGAAATTTGTCGAAGCACTGAGGGTGGAGGAGGGGAGGAAGCTCGTTGGCTGTGTTGAGAAGCAGATGAATCGCTCGCTGAGGTGCAGACGCCCTGTATACCGATTACCTGGCCGGTCAACCTTGCGGGAGCCTTCGCCAGGGCTCGAGGAGGTTGGAAGAGGGAGGACAAGGTCGGCAGTGATCTCCTGCAGGGGATTCTGGGTGTCGGGGAGGCGGAACTGTTGGCGGAAGAGTGAGGCCTTGGAAGGATTGTGATTGTCGGAGGAAAGAGAAGGAATGTTGAAATTGGCTGGATCAATCAACGACTGAGCCTTCTGCATGAAGGATGACCACGACATCACTGTGAGGACCTGTTGATCTGGGTCGGGTCCGGGATTGAAAGGTACGGAGGTGCGGTGCAGGTCGTAGCGGAGCTAGAGCCACAAGCACGTCCAGCTGATGCGGACAGAAAAAGCGCTAATTAACCCGATATTTGATCAGTGGAGAGCTTTAGGGTCATTGTACAGACCCAATCATCGTTGGTAGAGCTCTGGGCATGTAGCTCGGGGAACGTGGGATAGGTGTTGTTGTCGGATCGATAAGAGGGGGGAGCGTGATGATGCTGCATCGTCACGTGCTGCCCAGCCCTACGGTGCGAGGCCAAGACATCCATTACATCTACAGCATATCTTCATGGGTTCAGTGAAGATGAATCGAATGAGGCTCTGCTCTACATGTTGATGGAAAGGACTTTCTTCTATAGTAAAATTCATTGATAGGAAATTCGCTGTACAAGCTGGACATACACTAGTGGGAAAGGAAAAATATAAAGTAAGCCACACGGATCATGGAAATAAGGTCTCAAAAAGTAGCAATCTCGTGGTCAGATTCGACCAAAAATGATTTCTTGGACTTCCGTGTGTAAAAAGAAATAAGACGTGAAGTGTTCAGTTGATCAGAGATGGGTTCAGTATTGAACCACTCTAATTCTTATCAATAGATCCACGGGTTTGCGAAGTCTCAATGTACTCGGGAAGCACATTCTCAGACTCGCTCATCAGGCCCTGCTTCTCACAGGCATCACCCTGCTCCCAAGCAGCCTTGTGTTCCTGGGGCTTGGTGCCACGGTAACGCTGCCAAAGGAAGACAACGGCCTGGCCAACAAGCATGCCGACGGCGCTGGCAGTGAGACCAGCCAGAACACCGAGGATAGCAGGGACAAGGATGAAGCGGAAAACGCGAGAGAAAGTGTGGGCGAAAGCACCGCGAGGGGGTCCGTGATGCATGTGGTGGTGGGGACGGTCGGCGGCCTCGGGATCGAAGTGGCCGTGACCGTAATGACCTTTTGGACCTTCGAAGTCGTGGAACATGCCTTCGGGGCCAGTCTCCTCGCCGTGGTGGTGGTGACCCTCGGGACCAGCCTCATCGTGGTGCTTGTGGGGGTCGTGGTGACCGCTGAACATGCCGAGAAGACCCTTCAGGCCCTTCTTGCCATCGCAGCCCTTGGGGCCACCCTTAGGACCGGCCTTGGGACCCGGGCCCTTACCCATCATGCGCTCCTTGGCATGAGCGAGGAGACCACGAATGCGGGAAATAAGAAGCTCCTGGAGGCACTTGGGCTTGCCGTGGCACTTCTTCCAGGATTTGCGCTCGGAGGGAGGGGTGTTCTTCTCAATCTCAGTCTTCGCGATAAACAGCTCGCCGGCGGGATCCTGGACGAGGGTGATGGCGACGGTGTCCACGGGGACGGGGCGAGTATCCAAGTCGAGAATGGTGAAGCGGACATCGAGCAGGTCAGCGCCGGGCTCGTCGAAGGGGGTCTGGACGGGCATGACTTCGAGGGCGTAGCCAACAGACATGGGACCGTCGACTTCGCCATCTTCGATTTCTTGGAGGACGTCGACGGGGGTAGGAGGAACGGGAGGGAAGATCTGGCGACCGTTGGCCAGCAAGCGGTTGTCTTCGATAGAGAAGTCGAGCATCTATGATGATGATCAGTAAGCGTGATTGGAATCGTAATAGTGACGAGTTCAAGCTGACATACCAGGGACGAAGATTTGCCATCCACCCAGCTGAAGGCGCCCTCTTCATCGATCTGGCGGATGGGGCAGTCGGTACAGGGCAGATCGACAAGAGCATGGCGGGTATCTTCGAGGAGCATGGGGGAAATATTCATGAAGCCATCCTCGACGGCTTCCACCTTGGGTTCCATTTCAGGGACGACCAGCATGGCACTGGCGCCTATGGCGGCCGCACCACCCAGGAGGATGGAGCGAACAAACATAGTTGAGGTAATGAGCGGACGTCGAAGACAAGGGAGATGGAAGATCAAGTCCGGGAGGGAAGATTAGTTTCGAATCGAAGTTGAGGATAGAGGATTAGAATAGAAGTTTAGAGGGGGAAAGCAGTGGAGATGATCCGTCCGCAAATGGGGCGAAGGTGGAGCTGGTGACGCCAGCTCCTGCGTGGCTCGTGCGTTGATTGGCCATCGCAGATACATTGCAGTACACTCGTACGATACATGTCTGCCTTAGCACGTCCCCCATCCCACTATCCGATGCGCCTCTTCTAGAACAAGCCTCGTAATTGCATAACATCGATGCGATCGGTAATCCACTCTCCAAAGGGCTAGTGCACGCGCTTTTCCCCAAATGGAGCACAGGCCCGAAATGTCAAAGCCTCACCCTGTCCACGTCCGCTCCTTCAGCCACTCCTGAACGCCGAACCGAGCCGTATCCACTAGCCCTATCTTCGTAATTATCCAATTCATCGTCTCGAGTATCGTGTCAAGCGTCCTCGGTTCATTGTTGGCTAGCTTCCACTCGTCATACGCACGCAAATTATTAGCTAGCCACATCATCACACACATGAGGACCATCCTGACGGCAACCATGACATACTCTATGGGGTTCGCTAGCACGGCTTGGTGTACTCCCGCTAACCAAACAGCTAACGCCTTCCAAAGGCGTGCATAATAAATGATGATGTTGCCCTCAACATATGCACCGTCGGCATCCTCGAAAGAAGACCCCGAGACCATGGCTCGGAGGTAATTTCCAAATGACAGCGACCATCCCGACTTCCCGCGAGCTGCCCGAGATATGGCAACCTGGGGACCGGGACTGGCATTAATGATACCAGGATCTTCGAATGGAGACCGATAGGGTTGCCTGAGACCCACGTTCACTCGGGGCTGTTTCTGTGTGAGCCGTTCCCGAAAGAATACTTGCCCCTGGGGGTGGTCTTTTGTCGGAGGATCCCACGCTAGCAAACGCAGTCGGCTAAGGCAGATTCGTTTCGAGGGAGGAGGAAGTGAGGGCAGCGTGGCCAAGTACGGTACAGGTTTGCTGCTGCCCACTTTGTCGAAATACTCATCAAAACAAAGGGAAATAGGCGAAGTCAGAGGTGAACTGAGAGGCGAATCGAAATGCTTATTTTTCCATCTCCGCCGGCTGACTCGGGGCTTTTTGCTCGCATTGGTTAGCTCCACCTTGGGTGATTCAGGACCTGGCAAACTTATTGCAGCGCGCCATGCAAGTAAGAGTTGGCGCTTGGTCTCACCGGCCGGCCATTCCCCCTCTGCGGGAGACACATTGGAGGTCTGCATGTTGATATCTTCATCGGCATCCGGTTCTGCCTCTGGCACCATGTATTCTCCATCGGTGCCTACCCCAAAGTCCTTCTCGCTCAGGAGTATCAGCGGATTTTCCATTTTGACATTCCCCTTACTGGCTAGGTGGAAATTGCTAATGCTGCTCGTGGGATTGTCGATACGGGTCAGGTCACTTCCCGAGGAAAGATTAGTCAATACGCCACTACCAACGTTGTCTATGGGAGTAAGGACTGCTTACCGATCACAGCTCGAGGCATAGTCATCTGATATCTCATCACTGCCCCAGAAGGCACCCATAACCTCATAGGCACCACTAACACTGCTCCTGGGGGTATCAATTGCAATGCCATCATCGCCGGTGGCGCAGTCATCCGATATCTCATCCCTGTCTCTCGGGTATTGAATCGCCAACTGATTACTGTTTGGAGGGTAGTCGATTGTCGGCGGCGACCCAGTCCAGTCAATTGTCCTGCTTCTCAACAAATTGACCTCGGCTTCATAAAAGACATCTTTATCAGGAATTCGGTGGCTCCACACGTATTCTTCAGTAGCGTCCATAAAATGCAAGAACCAAAAGAGCCGCTCATTGTGATCTTCAACATTCTCTTGATAGACTTTTGCTGCCTCAACTCGATTTTCATGGTCTTTCTTGTGTTCATCGAACATCTCCCGCACGCCCTCGATTGCCTTCTCGAGCTTGTTTTGGATGTGCAAATTCTGTTCCTTTTGTCGATCGATCTCATACTGCATCTTTCTCTCCAGCTTTTTCTTTTCTACGTCGGACAGCTTCTTCTCGTGGATCATCTCGTTGTTCCGGGCATGCATTTGCTCGACATACGCCTCTCTGAGAAGTGCACGGTGTTGTGTAACCCTGAATTTGGAAGCCGTCTCCTCAAGCTCGGCTTCGGCCTTTTTGCACTCGTGTTCTTTATCAGCGATTACTTTTTCTAGATCGTGGATAACATGCATCAACTTCTCCTTTCTTGATTCGGCCCTAAGGAGCTTGATCTCTATCGTTCCTTCCCTCGGCTCTTGTTTTTCTTTTTCTTCTTTTTTGGCTTTCTCTTGATTCGATTCCTGACTCTTCTCGGCTGTCTCGGAATTTGGACTGACTGTCCCAGGGTCGGCCGTCGGTGCTAGTGCGCTTTCATCCAAGAGGGTGGGCGGAGGCGTGTCTTCGAGATCTAACACAGGCTCATCATCCCCATTCGGCATAGATTCTCCCTCAAATTCTATTACAGAGTGATCCCCGGAGACTGATAGCGACTCGATATTGACTTCCATCGAAGAGTAATACGATTCATCCTCGAGATCCAGCATAGAATACCCAAAATCCACCATCGGTTCCTCCACGGCAAAGACAAACATGTCGGATCTCACCATAACCTCATTATTGCTGTCCAGCAAAGACTCATCGGCGGAATTTGTGAGCAAAAAATCTTCGAGGAGATCAGAAGGGACAGGATCGAATAAAGCATCGACTGCCGTGTTGAGCGGTGTGGAATTGGCATCCAGGAGTAGCTGAGTAGCTATTCCTCGAGTTGATCAGACAACATTGCGTTTGGTGTGTTAGTATTAGGACTATGTGGGTCAAAATGTCAGTGGTGCGGCCCAAAAGTTCGTAAATTGTATTGTGTTGGACAAGATTGGGTTAGACAGGGCATTTGAATGCTCTTGTATCACTGCGCTTGTCCACAAATGGACTTGAAATCCTTTGTGTGGACTTAAATTAAAGTGCATCGTATAGGATCCTTTACAATGAGGCTTTCGTTAGCCCCTTTCATCAGTCTTTCTCAAAGCAGGAAGACTCAACCTCGAACAAGGCATTTGAGAGACAAAGATTAATATCCCCGCCACTTGACACAGCCCATCTTCTTTGTCGCATTCCGAGTCATTGACTTAATACACGACCAGAAAAGAAAAATTTATCTTTGAGCTGAAAAGAGTGAACATGGTGCCAATCAAAACGCACATAGACCCGGCGGTCTTGCGGACCCTAATTCGTGTTCGCCTAATATGAGAGGTGGGAATCTTCAATTTGATCCATCGGCAGGAGTTAAGCTTAGAAAACCCATGAGAGTGACGTTTTCCATACCTAGAATCTCTCATATGGTAAGGCCGTGGTCAACTGCGCTAACTATAGGGACTCGGGAGAGGTGTTTACCTCTCGAGTTTATGGTCCACCCGCCGATCCGGGTTCGATGATGCCCGAGTCCTGTTCCGAGGGCTCATCTGCGCATGATGAATGACAATTATTGCAATAGAAAGTTCCAAAGAAAGAGACTCTTTACGCCACCGATTTGACTGATACCTTGACTGCTTTCGGTCCTACTTGTCTTTACTTTGCCGCACTGGCGTTATGGTCTCTAGGCACTATGTTCTCGAAAGACTTGACTCCATATGCTACAAGTCGTAATGCCGGAGCATTTTTCCTCTTGGATGGCGAAAACGATAGCGTGGCACTACGTCGATACATTGTGTCTGACCAAGGAACCCTTGTCTTATCGTCTTCAGACCAATGTGTACCTTTGAATTATCGAGCAGCGATCATGACTCTTTCCCAGCAACTACTACGATCGAAACATCGTAGTGGCACCTCTGATCAGCAAATGAGGCCTCTGAATCTTTCTTTTTCCGTGCTAGACAATAATGATTCCAGGACCGACGGGGGACAGCGGAAGAGAAAGACCCCTGAAAGTTGATTGAGATTTCAATGGGCTGGAATGATCTCGGGTTAATTTTAGACATGTATGTATGGCCAATGCTGAAGAAAGCTATGTAAAAGATCAAGAGACAATATATTAAAACCGAACAAAGTATGTATACTGGACAGAGAGACTACATTGATGACAATCTGGAACTGTTTCATCCTCCATTATTGATCCAACCAACCCTTCAACTCCCCAATATTCGGGCATTCGATAAACACAGAGCTCTTGACCTCGATACCAAGCTCGGTCTTGAACTTCTCCGACAAGACAAGCGACATAAGTGAATCAACTCCAAGCTCGACAAATGTCGCGCTGTCAACAAGTTCGCTCATGTCTAAGCCCGACTCCCGTGCCAGGATCTTCAGGCAATCAGTCACAAGAGGGCTGTCAGATGTAGTTGGCGCAACTTCCTTCTTTGGTGCCGGCACATTTGGATCCCGGGCCTTGAGAGCTGGGACTGGCTCCACGGTAAAGACGGCAGGTGCCACTGCTGCCTTGGGCTGGGAAGCTGGTGCAGGAGCCTTTTGTGCCACGACAGAGGTAGGAACGGCTGTTTTGGATGACGTGGCATCAGAAGGAGAGAAGAATTGGTTCATTAGGATGCGTGGCACCCGACGGAATTTCATCTCGGTGAGCATGGCAACGATCACATCGTCCTGGAGCACGTAAACGTCGCCCGCGTACATGTTCTGCTCCTCAGTCGGTGCCATGCGCACGTAGCTGCGATAACGCCCCCCTGCAACGAGAGGCTTCGCGATACGACTGCTTCCCCAGCCAGGAGTCACATAGAAGTAGTCCTTGGTGTTGGAAGCGTCACTACCGTTGAGCACGAACCCGCCAAGGTGGAAGATACTGTCGATCCAGTGGGGAGGTGTATGCCAGATACCGTGACGATCGGGATTGAGGATAATGTCCGCGTACGCCTCCATGCCATCGAGGACCACAGACTGCATTCCTCGGTAGTGATCATTGTAGTCGACGACGTTCTTGAACAAATTGTAGGCCATGTTGCGCGACAGACGGTTAGCCGTGCCTTCGAGAGCCATCTGATTGAGTGACTCGATTCGGCTGTTTACCAGATGGGTCACACGGTCCCATTCTTTGCACCACTCGACGGAGTCGGAGAAGTAGACTGTTCCAGAGGCGTATGCTTCTGCTGCACGCTCACCATCGGTGGAAACATTAAACCATTGGATTATCATCTGTTTGGAATCCAGGTCTAGCTTTGCCTCAACTTGCAGCAGTTGCGCGCGGCTCTTGTCTGTGTGCGCCACCTGGGCATGGAGAACTTCCATATTGGCGACATCCATGTGGACTTCTTTGGCCTTGGGTACGAGACGTTTATAGAGATATTCGCCGACGGTGAGAGCCATATCACCCCACAGGGACTAAATAAGGTAAGCATATGACAGAGGATGTTTTCGAACCAATTTTTATCTTACCGAAGTCGCAACTCCATATCCGTTCATATTGTGACCATCAACTGCGGCACGGAAGTCAGGGTCCATGATATCCGTCATTGCCGTAAGTGCTGCCGTGTGTTCAACAACATTCTCAGATAAGATGCGATGAATAGAGGAAGTGCGCAATGCAGAGCCTTGAGTTGAAGAAATAGCAGGGTTGCGACTGCCTTGAGGATAAGCCTTGTCTAGTGTCCACGTGCCAACATACTGAATCCAGTAGTTCTTTTCATTCCAGCAGTACTTTGGGAGCGACAGCAGACGGTGTGCCTTTTCATAAGGCCGGAAATAAGCGTTCCAGTCAACCGGGAGTCCCTCAGCATGCAGTGTAGCCAAGGCTGTTGCCAGTGTGGTGAAGTTGTTCTCATTCTTGCGCAACGATGCCAGGGTCTTTGACTTGGTCATTGTGGCCTTGATGAAAGATCCGTTCACGGAGTGCGGGCCAATTTCTATGAAAGTGGAATCTTCTCCAATAACACCTAACTCCACTCCGGCATTGAGAGCCTCCATAAATTGAACAGGCTCTCTTGATGCGCGGCAGAGGTATTTGGCATTGATAGTCTTGCCATCAAACACACAATCCGCCAATAGTGGAGATAGGATGGGGACACTAGGAGTGCGGAAAGTCACTTGCTGTGCCAGGAGCTCATAAGGCTCCAAAATGGTATCCATTTGGCTCGTGTGGAAGGCAAATGGAGAACCCAAGGGAGTACACTTGATTCCTCCTTTCTCCAAAGCTTCGCGAACAGCCTGCACGTTCTTCGCAGGACCCCCAATGATAGTGTTCTCTGCAGAATTCATGCAGCTAAATTCGAAAGAGACATCGGCAGGTGCCAAGCTCTTGATTTGCTCTACGCCAGAGCGAACAGCCAGCATAACGTGGCTGCCGATGGTAGCAGTGGAGAGAAGCAGCTCGGCTCGTTTTCCGACCAAAAATATGGCATCAACAGCTGATAGGACATCTGCTGCCACGAAAGCCGCATATTCACCAAGACTGTGGCCAATGACAGCACTGGGTGAAATTCCCAGAGACGCCCAGAGTCTTACCAATGCGATCTCGGTAACCACAATTGTAAGCTGGGCAACTTGAGGGGAAACGCCCTCATCTTCAAGGAGAGTACCATCGATATATGTCATCACAGACGGGAATCCTAGTAGCTGCACGAGGCGGTTCAACTCTCCGATAGCTGTGCGATAAGCCGGATACTCGTCATATAATTGCTTGCCCACACTTGAATAAAATGATCCTTGACCGGTGAAAGTGAATGGAATAGAACATGAAGCATCTGAGACAGGACGAAGAGTGCTGACTGTGTCTGCAGCTAAATAGCTTTCCATTGCCTTCTTAGCTTGTTCAACGTCGGAGGCATCAAATGCAGCGCGAGTTGAATGATGCATGCGGCGCGCGCAAGTCGAGTACGCCAAGTCTCCAAGATCAGTGTCGGGATTCTCCGTCAAGTATGCAACCAATGCCTCAATGTTCATCTTCAAAGAAGCTTTGCTTTTAGCCGATAGAGCCACAACGTGTGATACGCGGGGATCAATTCCGACCCTGGTATGCTCGGGTGCATCTTCGAGAAGCATTGTAGTGTTGCCGCCATGTGCTCCAAAGCTGTTGACCAAAGCGAAGCGTTTCTTTTCAGACACACGAGGCCACGGCGTCATCTCCAATACCAGTGCAGCCTTGCATCGCTCCATTTTCTTGGCCACGACGGGATTCATCTCAGTCTTGATTCCCACGTGTGGAGGTATCATGTTCTTCTGGTACATGAGCAGAACCTTGAGAAGAGAAGCAATTCCTGCGGCTGCTTCGCCGTGTCCAATGTTGGATTTGACGGAACCCATGAGCAATGTGGTTGACCGGCGCATCTTAGGGTTGGCAAAGACGTCAATCACGGATTCAGATTCGATGGCATCGCCCACCTGGGTACCAGTGCCGTGAAGCTCGACATAGCTCATACTCGTAGGGCTTATTCCAGCAGCATTCATTACCTGTCGGTAGTTGTCTCTCTGGGCACCAGCATGAGGCTGAGTAATGGAGAGAGCTTCGGCGGATTGGTTCGTGAACGCGGAATCAACTGTAGCGAGAATATTGTCGTTGTCCGCCACAGCATCCTCCAATCGCTTGATGATAATTGATCCGATCCCATCCGCTCGGCAGTATCCATCTGCATCCTTGTCCCAGACCTTGCATTGACCAGTCTTAGACAGGAAGTGACCTTTGCAAAGCATGGCAAAGTTGTCGGGGTTGGTGATCACGTTCAACCCCCCAGCGATCGCAGTATCAACTTCTCCGGCCCAAAGAGCACTGCAGGCTGCATTGACGGCGGCCAGTCCACTGGAGCATGCAGTATCAACGTTGAAGCTGGGACCACCAAACTTGAAGAAGTAGTTGATTCTGCCATTGGCAAAGCCTCGCTCACCTCCAGGAACAGCGTAAGTCCCAATGTTCATACTGGCATTAACTTCTCGCCAGTCATCGCCAGCTTGGCCATAATATGTACCGACTCGGCCGAGAGCAGTAGATGGTGTGCGGTTTGGTGCGTATCCAGCCATTTCCAAGGCCTCGTAGGCTGTCACTAATGCCAGGCGGTGCGTCGGATCGGTTTGCTCGGCCTGTTCTGGAATCAGTATCGACTAGAATTAACACTTAAGAAGACTGGGATATGCTTATATTACCTCTCGTGGCGACATATTGAAGAAACTGGCATCAAACATACCCGGAGCATCAATGAAGTTTCCAAATTGGGTTTGGGTAGTGTTCGGGATTTCTCCCGTTGGGTCATAGTGTGCATCCACGTCAAATCGATCAGCGGGAACTCGAGTATGTACGTCTCGCCCTTCCTTGACCAAATCCCAATATAGCTCCAGGTCATTGGCACCACCGGGAAGTCGACATGCCATGCCCACGATGGCCAGCTTTGATTGGTGCGGAGAACGAGGAGATGTAGGGAAGAAGTCGGGCTCTTCGGCAACACACCATTCGATCAGATCCTGCTTTTTCAAAATGGTATCCGGGAAGTTTGAGCTGATCGTTGACACGATTCCTTCTGCAATTAGGGAGGTTCGCAAGACAGTAAGCTCAATCTCTGGAGATCCAGTGAGGTCGCGCAGAACCCCGTTGGTCAGGTTGTCGAGGAAGATGCCTCCTGTCAGAATCTCAAGCACTATCTCGTGTAAAAGCTGTTCAAAGTGCGCGGAAATGTAAGAATCGCCTGTCTTCGCTGACAATATCGTGACGCGGACCGACCGAGAGTGTTTCGCTTTCGGGATAGACACGACAGCAGCAGCATCTTCGTTGGTATAGAGATGGGCAGCATGACACAGTCCAGTATAAACCGGCAAGGCCAAGTGTTTCGAGTAACGCAAGACAGGGGAGTGGTGAAAAGCACCGAGCAGGCGAGAGGGAGGCCCTGTCACACTAACCGAGTTGGCGTCTGCGGCACTGATAAACACCTTCGTGAGTTCAGGATTAGACTGCATAGATTTTAAGAGTCAGCGTAGGTATCAAAGAGTCACAGATAATCACTGACAGTTTCCTGGTTAAATCGATCAAGTTCCCCCTGTATAACATCCGAGGTAACACCCGCAACCACGTAGGCCCAACTTTCTGGAGGACCGTCGGGTTCACGGGCTTCAAGAGACTGGGAAACATGTTCCACATGGACTCCCATGCGGAATGCAACTCGCACGCTCTCAACTCCATAGTATGTTAGATCAGAAATAGAAGTGGAAACGGAAACGGCAGCCGCAGACAGCAAGCCGATGCTCAACCCGGTCAAGGTGGTCTCACTCTCAGTGAGATCGAACTTGTTGCCTGTAGCTTCGTGGTATCTTTGAAATTCGTCAGTACTGGAATGGTGAAATAGGCTCACAGACAAAAGATTACCCAATGAGTGCCCCTATTTGGAGTATGCAGAGCAACGAGCTTGCAATAGCTTCTCCGATGGACTCGGTTCGAACAGCCTCAAAGGCTTCATGCAAACCCACAATGTTCTGAATGGAGATCAGCTTCTCTGGAATAGGCTTCGATAGTTTGGCCAGCTCTTCCCGAACTACCGCTATCGATTCATCGAGGAACAGTGCAAGGAAATGGAACTTCTTGTCTTTGGACCATCGGTGCAATCGACGGAACAGATCAGCCAAGTTATCACTCGGGAAATCATTCCCAAAGTAGGCCAACTTATTTCTGAGTTGACCCATCATGTCGGAAGAGTGGGAAGAGGGGGTATTCATGCTGCCAGGATGTCTATAGATAAAAGCGAAAGACAATCCGGTTGATCATGGCCAGAAATCGAGGGTGTGGCCGGGTCCTTAACTAGTCGCTTTAAGGATCCGATATCATGCAACAGAGACATCCGTCTCACATCTGTAGGATTATTGCAGTAAAAATCACCGAAAAGGTCTTTGCCATGCGTGAGAGGCAGCTGAATCTTCCTTGTCGGATGCCGAGTCGGACTCCGGGTTTCAGCCAACCACAATGTCTTCAATGCTCTAAAGACTAATACACCTCGTACAAAGTCTTCTTGCTGTCAATTATTGAATGTTTATCTGTGAAGCCTTCGTTCCTCATCATTTTCGCCATGCCTCACGCTCTCTATCAGCCCCTCCTTGTGGCAAGTGCCACTATCGCCTCAGTGTTGACAGGTAAGTCCCTCGAGTACTACAGTATCAGCATCTCGCATTTGCCCTAATTAATCGTTGTGAACAGGCTGTCAGCTAAGTCTCTCGTACGTCTCAGTGGCCGCTATCCTGAGCGCCCCCGACGCCCCCGAGTACACAGCCTTGACTATGTGGAAAACAACCTTCAACAGAGGCTTCTACCTTTGTCCTCTACAGGCCATGTTGTGTAGTGCCATATTTGCTGTTAATTCTATCGTGACACTCGTCTATGGCGATGCTTCCATGCCTGGTCACAAGGGGTTCCTCCCTCTCCTGATCGGTGGCATTATTTCTATTTCGTTGGTGCCATACACACTGGTGACGATCGTGCCCTTGGAAGAGACACTACTTGAAAGACATGGGTCACTGTCTCGGGAACTCAACCAGGGAGCGAAGAATGATAAGGTTCACGGCGATACAGCGGGTGTTGCGGCAGCGATTCAGACTCGTGCGATTATGAGAAAGTGGATTTCGCTGAACTATGTTCGAACTTTGATTCCCGCCTTAACTGTAGTCTGGGCCTGGACCATGTGTTGAGACAAAGTCGTTGAGACATGTGAACTCTGAGAGGGGTTGAGAACTTGAATGTGGAAAAGTCAAGAAAGGTGCGGGGGATAAGCGTGGGTTTAAAGTCAGTTGTTCATATTTACTTTGTTTTTCGTTATCTGTTCCGAAAGGAAGAGGAAGAATCAACTTGTATGTGTATTTTCCCATCTCTACTGTGTATCCTAACGGCTCAAACGGAACACACGCATGTTTAGGGTCGCGGTGTGTAATCTAATCGCAAGAAATTTGGAGCTATGAAGTGTCTCTGCTGTTCTCCATGATAGAAGCAAAAATTAGTTGAAGTGAATGTAAATATTGATAGCCTCAAAAGCCGACCCCTGTCTGCGATTCTCAATGCGCACCTATCTCAAAGGCCTCGTTCGTTACCAGTCGTAATCGGAACTTGAGAAACTCCGCCAAAGCAGCCAGAGAGTTCATAGATTGAATGACTGGATCCGTCTTGTACCTCCTTGAGAATTGCATCACCAGATTTGCGAGTCTTGGAAGCTCTTCCAAGGCCCGAATTGATGTTGTCTTGGGGTCAAGGTCCTCAAATCCCCCTAGTTGGGAATCCATGTCGATGGCCGTCTGAAGGTCATGGCCCACGATATTAATTTTTCTGGTTGGTTCTCCCATATTGGCATCTTGGGGTCTATTAAAGAATAAATCGTAGGAATCCAAGATTTCTAGGCAAACGGTAGCCACCAAGGTTCCCACGTACGTCTTTTGCGAGCACGGGCACACCGTGATTGTGGATAGACGGCTTATTGCAGCTGAAACGACTTGCATACACTCTGACAGATCGAGTCCCGCTGGATCTGCTTGTACTACGCCTGTAGCTCTGCTATGAGAGGCTTTCAATTGTCGCAGGATCTCTATTGCTCCGGTCACGCAGTCGGGTTCCGAAGCCTCGGAGTTTGGGCTTTGACTGCACGATTGGTCGCCGCTGTCCCAGTGCCGTGTGTGCATAGCTGCACTACCGCCTTGTCCGAAAATTGGATCGACGGAGAAGAGCGGAGCTGCTGTTTCTGATGGCATGAATTGCGTCCAATATGTATCATTGTTGATGGCCCCGGGGAAGTTGAAGAGTTCTGGGGCTTCCAACGGAGACTGCGGATAAAGGCTTGCTCTGTCGGGATTGAACGCTGCATTTGAGCCATATTGACTGGTCATGTTGGAGTAAATTGCAAGTGGCCTTTGTCTTTCTGCAACACATGATGATGAAGTGTATAATTCGTCGAGCCACTGCAATGCATTCTCGCCACAACCAGTTTCACCTCCGCTATCTCTGATAAGAGGGTTCTGCCGCGGCTCTGCTTCTGATGCAGGATCTTGCAGGTCTTTCGGAGTCGGAGGGGTGCTATCATCGAAAATCGTGTCTATCTGCAAAGATGCCGGGCGCGTCTCAGGTGATTGCCAGGAGACGGTTCGGCGATTTGGATGTGGGCGTCCGATCCGACGGGCCGGACTATAGAAGCACGGGTAACCCAGCTTGCGACATCGACCACAGACCGGCTTCTCCTTGTTGCATTTCACCTTCGAAGATGAGCACATGTCGCAGCTATCTTTCAGCTTTCCAGGTTTATCATTTTTACCGCCTGCTTTGGCGGTCTTGGTTGCGTTGCTTGGACTCATGGTAAGTGGATTTCTTGCTGTCTAGGTGAGAGGCTTTGATCGGGGTGATGCTTTTCAAGATCGAAAGAGGGCAAGCATGTCTGTTCTAATAATCACGGGAGCAGTTCCGGCTTATCTGGAACAGGCAGGTCGATACATGTGCTCATTCTGCAAAGTCCAGTGACAACCCATGCTGACGCTACCCGAGAATGAGCAAGATTACCGCTGGTGATATTGATACGAGACAAACTCAAGCCCCAACGCCATCCGTGATAGCCACAGGAAGTTCCTTTGATAGGATGTGCAGCCATGTAGGATATGCATGAAATATGGACCACAATGGAGCTATTGGTAGGGTATTGAACCAGATATTAGTGGTTTTACCTAACCTGAAAAAGCAAAGTGGCGCCTTTGCAGAAATAATATTGTTTCAAAATCACGGGTTGCATGATCAGGCAATTGTCATTTGAACTAAAGAGGCTGAGGGTAGCCCTGCAAGCAGCACCCTATCAAGTCTTTGAGTTGAATGCGCAGCTCAAGAGCATATCAAATCTGTCTTAAATCACCAGTCTCGAAGATGATACCATTGCCTTGACTATCCAATTGGTAAGCACAAAAAAAGATGCAAGCTTCCGCATGGGGGCCCTATTATTCTCGCAGCCTTTTCGGCCTGGCCTAGAAGGCAAGGTGCTGTGCTAGAGTTGAGCTGGAAATCCCGGGTTGAGGACGCTTTAGCCGGTGCAATCCCTGGATGGGGCTGCAGTCATCTTGTGTAACTCGAGCCCATTCTTTCAGCCACGCCTCGATCGAAAGGGCCCATACAAGCAAATGAATTGGCTACGTGCTGTATTCGGAGATCATCTGTGCAGATGATCTACGAAGTGTGTTCGACTGTCCTAGAGCATACGAGTGGTGTCTAAGAAAGGTGTGCAGAATCTTGCGAGGCGCGGACGGGAAGCGCAAGGGGTTCACTTGACAGATTTTTTGGGCCCTTTGGGCTCTCAGTTCCTACCCATTCTATGTAAATGAAACTATAGTTCCAGCGGGAGGCCGGGGGAAACATGCGGCTATGGTTAGACTGTTTTGCTCGGGTACAACGTGCAGTAAGGGTCTACTTTCGGTCCGAGTATGGATTGTGATACTCGCAATAACGTCATAACTTGACAAAAATTACTCGTTTAGGGAGCCAACCTCTCATTTTACTTGTCAGGATGCTGAGCTGTCACATAAAGGATGCGACAAGGTGCGTCGCCACCCTGTGGGTGCTATCTGACGCCGACACACCAGGTCAATCCATAGAGTTTTGTTTGGCTTGGCAGTCCACCTATTCCACTGATTAATTACGCCGAATGAAGAATGTGATAGAGAAAAAAGAAAGGAAGCAGGAAAAACAAAAAAAAAAAAAACAAGTTGGAACAATCACAATGAGGGAAAAAGTAAATAACATGAGATAAGGCGTTTTCCCAAGCTTTGCGGGATTTTTATAGTTCCGCCCGTCTAATAATCGTGAACCCAGGCCGGATCCAAATGACAGTTTATTCAAGGGCATTCGGTACGGGTGATTGACACAAAATACACATAAACTATCCGTTTACCCAGACTACTGAAGTGTCAATCATGGCGAACAAGGCCAACAACTTCGAGGTGAGCGTGAAACTGTCAGGGACCTCTAGCGGCTGAGCAGGGTTATATTGACTATCGTGCTGGTCTAGGTTTTCGGCAAAGCCTCGAGTTATGATTTTGACTTGCCAACTGAATTGGATTTTACAGACCCCGAGCTCATGAACCCAATGAACCCGGATCTCATGCCTGCCAACTTATCACCCGCCTCCTCAACCAACATGACTGACCTTCAGCTTCATCAGACCTGTTCAGAGGCCAACAGAACGTGTCCGAGCTCTGTACTCAACGTTCTCCGCATACTTTGTGTTCCACCCACCATCTGTCTGTCTATTAGTGAGGATGCTTTTTCACCGCAGCTGGCCGGTGCGGCCCATTGCCAGATTCGCAGGATGGACGAGGTCCTGAAAATCAACCGCGGCGTGATTGAGCTAGTTTTACGGGTGTTTCGGTGTTCATGCTCAGAGCAATCGTCTCTCCAGCTCCTTCTTATTATTGTGTGCGATCGGCTCACAGCATGGTATCATGCGATGTCTCGCCCGAACGACCCTCTTTCAACGTCGACACGATCAGGCGACGAGCCAAGTGAGAGAGTCTTGACGCAACCTATCACAATTGGCGAGTTCCCTATGGATCCAGCTATGCAGCTTTGCATGCGCGATCAATTGATTCTGGGAGAGCTACAAAGTGTGCAAGGAATGATTCGAAAATTCAGTGATTGTGTACAACAGACTAAGAATCGGGATAACTCGGCACGAGGACAGAGATTCTACGACATCATGAGCCGGCTTTTAAGGGACCAGCTTCAGGCTCAGTCAATTTTGACCTGCAGGGGTACTGATTTGAATTGATTTGGTGAATATAGAAGCTGTGAGATGACACACTTGATCGTAGCGGGACCGTACAAAGGTGATGATGCATGTGCATAACGTTGCTTTAGGTAGTAATTATATTATATGAATATTCTCAGCTATCATCAAATATAATGTACTTACTAAGCTAAGCATGACGGAATCTACATCTATTCCCAAGGTTCGTAGTCAGGAAAGTACTGATCATGGACCCGACGCGCGTAGTCAACAAGAACAGGATAACTCTTGATAGTGGCAGTAGAGTCCGGGCCCCTATTCAAGAATCAGCACGCAGAAAATAAGATCAAGAGCAACAACTTACGCAGCGCTAATCAGGTTTGAAACAATAAACCCGAACAGAACGGTATCGGCTTCGGTCGGGCCGTCACCACCCCACAGCCAGAAGGGGCCTTCCCGATCCTGGCTTTGGGCGCGGACCGCCACCAATTGATTGCTTGCGGTCTCCCAGATTTCTCGGCGGAACTCGGCAATCTCATCAGCATTGAATCTTAGGATTCCCATACCTGACAGAGTAAGCTTGAACTTGAGGTAGACAATATTCCCCACCACGGCTTGGATTGGCCACGGTAAGGAACCCAGGATCTTGGATCTCATGGCGTAATAGTTCAATATCCATCTTTCGTATCCCTGCATTAGATTCCTGTTAGATATGTTTGCCATGATATTCGACAGCTTTCTGTAATTACCTGGTAGTAATAGAGCTTTTCCTCAAACAAGGCTCTCAAACTGATCTCGCTCAGTTTCTCAGCAGGGGAAAGGTATGCATTTAGATCTTCCAATGTTCCCGATTCGATCAATGCCTTTGTAATGAGCGTCGAGTCTGACATGATCTCGATCTGCCCATCTGCATGTTTCATAGACACATATGGAACTTTTCCTCGTGGAGCTTTCGTCACGGAACCTACGTCGACGCGGTATGCAACGTTCTCGAAACGTAATCGAGTTTCAAGCTTCGTCACGAACGGAGAGGAGGTATAGCCCACATCATGCAAGCCCCGGAAGACGGTCAATTCGGGGTCCGGTTTGTGAGAAGTCATTCTATCCATTGAATGTAGGTTGCGGGTTCTGATTATGCAGAGGCGAAGGTTGTAGAGATCTTCGATACGTGTCACCGACTTCAAGTACTTCCTGCGCGTCGGACTCCGGAAACTGGAGTGATGTTACAAAGATCGAGCATTGCTGATGATCCCACGCGCGTAAGCGACAGGGCCCCTCGGCCCTCTCGGCCCCGGTCTGCCTCGGGTCGCGACCATACCCAGGCCATTGGGCTGCGGTTCTAGGCATGACAGGTAGATCAGTATGGGTCCGTCGAGACGTAAGAGATGAAAGGGGTATGGACTAATCAGACATTCACGAATGACCGTGCCGTACGAGACCTAGATGCGGGGCCTCCGGCCGGTCCATTGGGCGTCGGGTTCTGCGGGTTTTAAAGATCTACGGGCTACACCGTCCGCCTAATCAGCTAGTCTACAGAATTGGAATCAAGGGCAACGAATGTAAGTGGGTCCTTTCAGGGCGGGCCGCTTTTCTTGCTTTTTCTTTCCATTCAAATGAGGACGGGAAGGCGGTGATCTGACATTGTTTCAATAGTATATAGGCTCCGGCTGCAATAATCCGGCTACTTGTCGGTCAAGCAGGTGATGCCTGTAGACGACCTCACCCTGTATCATCTGTCTCCCATTGCCTGCTATTGAGGGGCAGAGTAATGAACTCCTTGTATTTAGATGGGAGGGTTGAAGTCATACTGAACAGTTAGAAGAAAGGGTTCCCAGATTATGACTGATAAATTCCGAGGCTCATTGTGAACATGAACGCTGGGCATCTAACGGATGAAACTTAAAGCTCCTGTTCGATTACCAAATGAACACCGATCTTAAACATGCTACAATAGAGCTTGAATTGCCTTATTCGAGCAAGAAAAGCTATGGATTTTTTATAGAGGCAGCCGCCGTAAGAAAAAAAAAAAGCAACGATACTCTTCAACTATAAAGAGAAGAAAATAAGAAAACAGCTGCAGAGGTATTATACGAGCCGCGCAAAGCGAAAGCGGCCGAGTAGCGGTCTAACGAGCGACAGCAAGTTCCATACATTCTGACATCATGCATGACGTCCCAATTAGTGCTCATCCTAAGTCTGGACAGAAACTGTCTCGCCCATGGGCTTATCACCGATGGGCGCCATACCGCTCTCACCGTGCCACATGCCGACAGCATCCAATTGCTGGGTCTTCTTTTCAGCGGAAGGCTTGATAAGACCAAGTCTTCCCTGCTCAAGGTTCACAGTCAAACCGTCGATGGTGTCAACACTGAAGGTATCAATGTTGACAGTGTCTTCAGTACGGATCATCTGACGCGCACGGATCTGGTGCATAATGCGCACTTCCTCCTCAGACATGGAGGCCTCGAGCTCACCCTTGGTCTTGGCATCGAGGGTCTCATCGTTCAGCCCGAGGCTATCCATCTTCTGCAGAACGGCCTCCTTCTTTTCAGCATCGATGGGAATGAAAGCTCGGCAACAGAAGTCGATTGTATTGGAGATCTCTGACTGAGTGAGGCGGGCCTTGACATCAACAGTACCCTGGATGACTAAATAGAAATAATTTCCAGTCAGTAATTCTTGGGATCTTATCTGGAGGATTTCACTTACTGGGTCGGAAGAATGAGAAAGCACGGTCAAAGGTTGTCTCATCCCAGTCTGTCAATACGGGGTCATCCGAATCTTTGATCTGCTTGAGGGCGCTGAGCACAACCAGGAGGAAGCGAGTGTATCCCTCAGCCACCTTCTTCGAATGCCAATCGGTAGCAGTGGTTTCGTTGCAGTCTCCACGCTTGACAGCGCATATCGTCGCAGCAGCAGCCAACCCACTGGCAAAAGCCAGGTGCACACCCGACGAGAAGAACGGATCAATGAAACATCCGGCATCTCCAACCAAGCGGATATTGGGACTGGCATAGCTAGATGCACTGTACGACCAATCGGAGGCAGACTTGACATCCGAGACAAGTTCAGCGTCGGCCATCAGGGCCTTGATGCCCGGAGCAAGTTTCAAGTTTTCGAGATAAAACTCGTTGCTGGAGGGAGAACCCATTTTCTTCTTTTCCTCCATATAAATGGCTTGGTTCCGAACGACGCCAACTGAGACAACGTCGCCGTGCAGTGGAATCGTCCACACCCATCCACTCGCATCAGCCAAATTCTCGAAGAAAGGCTGATCCTCGTATTGAGAGCCCTTGCCATAAGGCTCCATGTTCTTCCAGTAGCCCCAAGTGGCAAGGTTCTTCAGACCTTGGTTATACCGCCGATTCTTGTAGTGCTTGGTACTCACCACTCCTGTACGTCCACTGGCATCCACCAGATAGTTGAATTTGACGGTTCCACTGCTGCCATCCTTTTTCGACCAGCGAGCCGAGACAGGACGTCCAGGATTGGGTTCAGGGAAGGCGGCAAGCTCACTTTCCTCTTCATCATTCATGTTCCAGGGGCGGAACTCGATATCACCCACGCGGACGCCATCGAAGGGCTTCGCACCACACTGAGCGGCATGCTTAAAGATCAAGTGGTCAGCTTCGGATCGCACGACATTCCACGTGTAGCCATCGGGGCCTCCAGCGGCTAAGAAGTCGGTGACTGGACAGGATTTGTTATCAGCGTATTACACAGAATGAGGACCTCACGTAACTTACACACTCGGGGCTTCGAGTTCATCTTGAACATGCCGCCATTCTGATAGGAGTCAGATAAGAGATAATTCACTCGGTCTCAGTCTACAAACCTTGTGTTTGAATCCGTAGCTATCGAAAATGGAGTCGAGATCGACGAAGCGCAGGAAGTGGCGCATGGAGGGAAGCATACTCTCTCCAACGTGGTACCTACCAAGTAATTGGAATAACCAGAAGCTTGCAAGGGTCCGGGAAATGTAGTGTAACGAACCTTGGAAAGACATCAGTTTCGAGGAGAACGGTGTCAATGCCCTCTCGTGCCAGAGCGCATGCAGTGTACGCCCCACCAGGGCCACCGCCGATGACCAAGACATCACACTCCTCTGGAATAATGGACATTCTCGATTTATCGTCAAGTAATTAGTAGATAGTATTGGAACAAATTGGACCCGACTCTGAAGATCTTCACAAGTGACTCTGATACTGTACTTTAATATAGCGATTCAAGGAGATGTGACCCTAACAAATCATAGTATCGGAATCCGAGTCGGATTTAGGGCTTAGAGACAAGAAATAAACTTTGCTCTCGAATTGCCGCTATCTCTCGGCAAGCCATCGTCGAAGTATCCAAAATGGAGGTAATTCGATCGGGTCATTCGATTCACCTCGATTTACTCGGTTCGGTACCTGCTCGGATTCCGAGGAAAGGCGCCACCTTCTGCAGTTCAGCAATTTCGACCTAGTGACTTGACCTAGGACACCCTCAACTTTCCTTTCTTTTTCTATTTGCTCTCGGTTCGTTTCTCCCCTCATTTGCTTCCCAAGATGGCATCCTCCACTCACGCCACCGAACTGAAGCTGGAGTGTGCCACACTTGCCGACTGGTCTATTGACAACCAGGATCCTCCATGCGAAGATGTTTTCCTTGAAGGTGGGCTTCATGCATGGTTCACTGTGGCCGGTATAGCTGCCTGCCTCTTCGTGTCCTTCGCCTGGGTCAACTGTGTAGGCATATTTAGGCCTCGGTATGGTGTTTTCCAACATCTGGAACTGCGCATCGCACCTTAAACGCATGAGTCCTCCTACTATAAAAATGTATATCTACGCATTCTTATAAGTAAAATTTAAAATACTAACCACAACAATCCGAAATCCATGAATCATTAGTAATCAACTTTATACGAAGCTTTAAGAAGACAAATATAAGGTGGTTTTATATTTTACTAATAGTTAGACGTGATTTATTATCAACATTTAGTATTAGTAAAAATTGCAGCTAAATAATCAGTTTACACGGCCAGAAAAGGAAGGTCTTTAATTATGAATTTGCGGGACTGCGCGTGGGACCGTAGTGCGGTCCTGACTACTTTGAAAAAAGACCAAACACCGCACGGTCCGGTCCCGGTCCTTGCCGAGGTCTACTACTGCCCCAAGGCCTGCGATATTTGATCATTGGCCAATTTGGATCCTGAGCTTCGTACGTTGGGCTTGAATGGCCTTGAATCGATGAATCGGAGGCTCTCTTAGCCTGAACGCCATGTAGGCCATTCGCACTAGTTCTAAGGTCTATAGAGGTAGTCGAGCCCTTCTCAGTAAGCTTTCTAGGTAAAGATTCAAACACCCTGGCTAGCCAAGTTGACTGCATGTTGTTTGCCTGGGTAACATGGCAGAGGGCTACGTCATTGGCTTCCAGCTTAGAACATCTTTGTATGAGCCGGGGGAAGAAAAACATCGCCAGTGGACTCGGGGCATGGCAGGATATTAGGAACAAAAGTGGGAGTGTTCCTATCGATTTCCCCAGCCAACTCGCTTATCACGTACGTTAGTCGCTTACAACATTATTCAAAATAGTCTCATTCGGATATGATCTTTATCGTAACTACACCTTATCTAGAAAACATTGATGTAAGTTACGCACAAAACCCCCGTTTCATTCCCATCAATCAATGCCAATCGGTTCAAGGCCATTCAAAACACTAAACTTTGCGACTTTCAAAATCAGCCTCCATTCCAACAGGATGTCCCGCATTCTTGCAAGCCTCTTCGGCATAACCCTTAATTGCAGGCCACCGGTCATCGTTGGCATCACAAACCATAATGGGAGCGGGTTTTGTGTAATCAACGTCCGAGCAGCTTTTCAAACCACTTTTGGTCTGGACATGTCTCACAATATACTTCGCGCCATCGGTGGTAATCGGGTCGCATTCCATGTAAAGCGCCAACCCGACCCGCTCTACCTTCATGCGAAGATGCTTTGAAACATTCGCCTCTGGGCTGCTGTCCGGAGCACATGTTCCCTTCGTTTCATCGTAACTCACGGGCTCGCTCATGTAGAGTCCTGTGCAGATACTCTTGTCCATCTTGATTGGTGTCTGGCACCATTCAAGAGCGTCCTTGCAAAATCCACTTGCCTGATGCTTGTCACACTCAGACGTGTTGTACTTGCATTTGTCGGCGAAACATTGTTTTTCTTCGTCTTTGGTGCATCTTTTTGTGCAGTCCGAACCTCCCGTTGTACCAGAGGCCTTGATATCATGCTGAGTGTAGCCAGAAGCGCATGTCCTGAGACCGGTCTTGTAGTAGCTCATGCAATTGTGTCTGGTGCTGCAGGTAAGACCTTTGTTGTCGTCCCTTTCGAAGAGTGTTTCCATTGGGCTGGACATGGTGCTGGCGGCCAACAGGCTGATGACCGCGAAGATAGAAGACCGACGAATCATGGTGTGAAATTTTTTGAACAACCTGGGAGATTGCGCAGTCAATTAGGACGATTTCAGCAGTTGGCGGTGGCTTGTTGCGTTTGAATTGTTTGTTGAGTAGGGGCGACTGAATGAGATGGAGGAATATCAAGACGTAAGTGTTGGGCAAAAGAGAACTCATTAATACCCCTTTCCTTTCTCCCTGTCCTAGCCCTCAATAGACATACCTCATCATGCCCACCTTTCTATACGTCACCGAGCAGGCCGGTAACTTGGAAAAGCTCAATCGCTCATTCAGTTAATGTCGGAAGGGTCCTGGCATCATCAAGATCAACAAGACTAACGAGATCGGCAACATTAACACTTATAAAACCAATCGGATCAAAGACACCCCCGAATGCTGCTCCATACCCTTGGAACCATCCGTGATCAGTAGTGGACCTCGGGGGTCCTCGAAAAGATTAGCTTCAATAGTCTTGATAGATCGTCCCTGCAGGATCATACCTTACCTCAAATATCGGAACACCTCTCAGCTGCAATTTGCACGATCGATTCAAATCAGTTTATTTCACTTTTCAACTTCCTCCAGCCAAGACGCGTTGGCTTTGAGATTCATCACGTGCCTCTTATTTCGTTACACATAAGTCGCCTCTACATAATTGTGAAGCTTATCAGTTCTACAGCCGACACGCATTATTACTTCCTAGAAGTAAGGAATAATTTAAAACACCTTCGGTTACTCCCGCTAAATAGTGATTTTAATTGGAGGAAGAGGAAGAGAAAGTATTTCCCGTCTCAGCTGAACTGAACTATCTCTTCTCTTTCTTTCCTTAGTTTAGAAATTTTCTGAATGGCACACGAACTATGTGAGACCACGCAGTGGTCTCTAGGTTTAGGTGGGTAAGCGAGGTAGAAGCCTTCACGTGCGTGTAATACAATACGGTCGAGTGTAAGGTAAACTGAACGCTGGCCCTTCTAGGTCCAGCGGCTGTTACTTAAGTACAGGCAGCCCCTACCGGGGGCGGCGAGGACTACGTCCTGCGCGGTTCCTAAGGCATTCCGTGATGCCTCAGATCACGTTCGGCCTCAGTTAGGCAGTGGTCCTTAGACCTCGCCCAGACCCTCACCCGACCCGCGATCCTCGTTAAACCTTATAAGGGTGACCCTCGCTGACCCTTATAGACCCTCAATTTTATATAAATTTCACGCCTTTCCTAATTAAGATAGACAAAAAGCTAATTTATCTAAATAGGATGCTATCATTAACTGCTGTTTTGGTTAGTATATTAATAACTGTTGACTCCTTGTTCAGTTTTAAGGAAATTATATAGAATTCGCTCGTATTTTAGATATTAAGAATTAAGAATTATAGTCCGGTTTATTTCTAATAGCTTTGAATATTTTTATAATAAGATATTGCCCTAATGGTAGTTAGTATAGTACTCCCCCGAAATCGGCCGTTAGACAAAACCCATTCGAAGACGATTTCCCCACATCTTCTTTCTCAAATATGCCGCGTCAATACAAGTTTCCCATCAGCCTATGAATCCTGTTCGCTATCATTGAATCTTGGAAAACTTGCCTGTCGGGCTGAACAGACACGAGGGCTCGCACGACGAGGCTTGTAACACGACCTTGTGCTTCAGTCGTCAGTTAAGATTTCAGAATCGATGGGGCTACCAAGGTTGCCGTCCGTCCTAGTTTCGTTGGCAAACATCATTTTCGATGCCTAGGATGGAGTCGAGATAAGTTAGGGTTTATCAGATCGCGGTTGTGTCTCGGTCCCCTCGGATGCGTCGGACTGGATGTTATGCGCAATTTGTTTTCACAATATACCTATCCAGTGAGGCTATATAACCTCTTCATACATAAGACATTATCTGAAAGTCAATCCTTTCCAGTCAAGCTGCAGTTAGTCTAGGTGTACATACGCTGGCCCGACCAGTGTTACCTAGACCTGGAATGATCAGGAGCGCTCGAGCATTGACAAGTCTCTTTTATTTATCTAGGGCATAATGCATTTCTTTTCTCTGTCATGTTCTATAGTATTTCATAGAAATAAACCGAAGTAGTTGGCAGCTGTCGAAGATGAGGAATGTGCGGGCGCTGATTGGCGGGCGCGTGTTTGGCAGCAGCGACGTCACCTTCCAGCAAAAGATTCGACTTTCTTTCGACAATCAACCTCACGGCTTCCCCGAACTCATCTTTCAGACCTTGTCTGTTTTTGATACCGGCGCTATGGCCTGCCCTATCACCGTCACTAAGTTCGTCGGCACCGTCTCTCTGGGCCTGCTGACGGTAAGCACGAAACAAAAAGCCCTCAGTCGCGACAGTCTCATCTAATGCAATTGCTCGCAGGGCATGTCCTATTCCACATCGTCCATCATGATCCCATCCCTCAAGCTCCTCCCCTCCTCCAGTGCCGCATCCCGCTGCTTCAATGAGGTGAAGCGCCTCAACCGCAAATACGCGCTGCGACTGTCTAGCATCGTGAACACTTGCTTCCTCTTTTCCTTCAGCATCTCTCCGCCGCGACGAAAGCACCCCTATCTCGTCTGGATCTGCGTCGTTTCTACATTTTCCACCTATGGTCTGGACCTTTGGTTCAATCGCCACCTGGGGCTGAAGAACTGGGCCCTGACTGCGATCCAAGACAGCACCGGCCTCTGCCTGTCCAAGTCATGTGCTACAAAGGAGGAGGACATTGTCGTCGTGGACGCCGAAGAGGATGTTAATGGAGAGAGTGTCCAGCGCGAGATGGACAGCGAGCGCCGCATGCAACGCGCCCGGTCCTGGTTGGCTGTGATCGCTCTCTCTATGGGCGTTGTAGGCTTGTGGGGGGATAAGAAATAAGACGCATTTTACTTGGACTAAGCAGATCGGGCTGCTTCCATCAAGTTTCGTTTTCTTTCGGGCGCTACGGCGAAACGCAGGTTGTTTACCCCATGATTTCCATCACTAGTTTCTTGACTACGATCGTAATGATCGTCGAATGTGCCTTTCTATTTCTCCTTTTTTTTGCTCATGTACATCACAACGAATGACACGTAAATAATGGGTTTCTGCTTAGACTGGTAAATATTTTCGCTTGAGACTGTAGAGAGTATATTATAGTTACCGGATTATCCGAATGAATCCGGTACGATGAAAATCGGGTTGGGTTACCCCATGATTTCTAAGCGGTGGTGGGGGTGGGGGTGGACCATGATGATCCCTACTTTTCGCCTCCTCGTTGGACCCCGTGGAGTATAAGAGTCCTCCCTGGAACCTCTAAAGTGAAGAATCATCAGGACCCAGATCAAATTCATCATGCACATTCAACTCTTCTTGCTACTCCCGATCATCTTCCTCGTTCTTTCACTCGTCCATAGACTCAGTCGAGCCGTCTTCTCTCCACTCAAAGACATCCCTGGTCCTTTCTGGGCCCGTTTCACCAAGCTATGGTACTTCAGGCGCGTGCAAAAAGGTGGATTTGAGCAGGATAATATTTCCTTACACCAAAAATATGGTCCCGTGGTGCGTGTTGGCCCGAATCAGTACAGCATCAGCGAAATAGCCGCTATCAAGACGGTCTATGGCACTGGGTCGCAGTTTGCCAAGGCCTCTTGGTATGATGCCTGGAAGCATCCGGCACAGTGGACTGTATTCTCAGATCGCGATATTAAGAGACATGGTGAGTTGGTTTACTTTGATCTGGTTGGATCTCCACTGATCTTCGTGTTAGCCGATACCCGAAAACGCTTCACAAATCTGTATTCTATGAGTTCGCTGGTGCATTATGAGGGATTTGTGGATCATTGTGCCGACATATTCATTGAGCGACTCAATGAGTTCGCGGACAAAGAGCAGTCTTTGAACCTCGGCCACTGGTTTCAATGCTATGCGTTCGATGTTATTGGAAATATAACCTTTGGAGAGCGGTTTGGTGTGCTAGGCCCGACTCGAACTCACATTTTCAACTGCTAACTATCTTAGGCTTCCTGGACCGAGGTCATGATATTGACGGAGCCATGAATGCCCTGAACAAGGTGCTGACGTACAGTACTCTGGCCGGTATCTATCCAGAGTGGCATCCACGACTCTTCGGCCCCTTAAGTCGGTTCAAGGGATCTGGCGCCGGTGGACGAGCCTACATCGCCAACTTTGTGCGAGAAAAGATCCGCTCTCATGAGCTCAAAAAGACAGATCCTGAAGCTGCCGATGAATCTCTCCAAAATCAAGACTTTGTGGATAAAATGATCTCAGCCCGCAATAAAAACCCAGAAAAAGTCACGGATTACCATCTCTTCATTATGGGCCAATCTAATGTTGCTGCGGGGTCTGATACCACGTCGATTAGTCTGTCCGGTATCATGTGGTTTATCATGCACAACCCCGAGGTACTACGCAAGTTACGCGAGGAAATTGATGAATTTACCCTGCAGGGCAAATGCAGTGTCAATATTACCTTCAAAGAGAGCCAGGAGATGCCATACTTCCAGGCTATCATGAAAGAGGCTCTCCGCATGCATAGCGCTACAGGTTTACCCATGTGGAGAGTTGTTCCCGCTGGTGGTGCGGAAATCGATGGCCGTTTCTTCCCTGAAGGTACTGAGGTCGGCGTCAATGCTTGGGTTGCGCATTATGATGAGCGGGTATTCCCTGATGCAAAGCTTTTCCGTCCCGAAAGGTGGCTAGAGGCGGAAACCAGTCCTGAGCAGTTGAAGGAGATGAATCAGATGTACATGCCGGTATGTTGCCTGGTCTCAGGAGCCGATTGTTTTCTTTCGTGCATTTACTGATCAAACATCTTCCACAGTTTGGCCTTGGATCAAGAACGTGTCTGGGAAAACACATTTCAATCCTTGAGATGTCGAAGCTGATCCCCCGTCTGGTTAAGGCTTACGACTTCACTCCCTTGAGAAAGACATGGATGACGGAGAACTACTGGTTCGTGAAGCCGACGAATTTTGAAGTCTACGTGCAAAAGAAATAGCATATATCTTCAAAGTCTCGGTAAAATGTTGAGGATCTCAGAATATTCAATCCACACCAAGATTCATCCTTCGATACTCCATAATGAGGTCATTCACATCCCCCATATCCGTATGGTCGTACCTAGACAGCTCTTTATCTTCCTCGGCCTCGTCAGCATCATCTTGATTGGCTGACATGATCTTGCCCGCTATAATGCGTGCCAAATGCCAAAATTCCGATGCCTGCCGAAGAAAACCAACTTGCTTCCAAAGGTTGTCTGGTGTGTCGGGTATGCCCACGTCTTCGGGTATTCTTTCATTCCATATGCGGCGCCAATTTTCGAGGCCGGTCTGGACTGGGGCTAACGTTGATTCGAAGACGAGTGAGTTGTGGAGATGGAACATAAGAGAGTGAATTGCTACGGGCATTAGTACTTGTCTTGCGATGATTCCGAATGTGAAATGAAATACCTTGCACAAGTGTGAAGAGATTTAGAGTTCCCAAAGTAGAGAACTCCTGCACGAGAGCATCATCAATCGGGCCTTGGCAGATACGTCGAACGACGGAGACGACTGATAGTCGCTTCTTCCAGAAGCGAGTGCCCGACCACACTCGAAGAATAGGCAAGCATTCTTCGGCGGTGTCTGCTTGGAAACACGCTTCAGGACAGGCAACGTCCATCCTCAGCTCAGACACAACTATTCGGGGAGGAGAGTTATGGAAAATAGTCAAGGCTGCGTCAATTAAAAATGTAAAAATGATAGTTCTGGCCATGTTAGCGCCCATCTCATACTCAATAGAAGTTTTGGTGCATACCGAATAAGCTCCTCTTCCTCGGCAAACTCCTTCCACCAAGACTGCGATGCATTCTCAAGCCGAAGACTCCGATGCGATGCTGTTTTGGGCCCAATACTTCTTGATAACTGTGACGAATGAGCACATTGATGAAGCCCCGATGAACACATCGTCTGTGTTAGGATCAGCTTACTGCAACCATCGAAGCATGTCTATGCCGTCGAATCCGCGCCTGAGCCTCCAGATTGCCTTCCCGCTTCTGCAAGGAACACACCAGGTATGAGGCCTGCATACACTGTATCATGTCCCTTCTTCCGACATCGTTTGAGATGGCCCCGTCAACTGTGAAGCATTTGTGGTTGAAAATCAGCTCTTCGCAGCTATCAAGCAAGATCCGTGCAGTTTCGTGCTCCTCGTTGCTTGGAGATAGACAGGCACCAATTAGTACCATTACGCATAGCAAGGCTGGGGAGATGGAGTTTGCGTCAAAGAGTGGTTTGTGTACGATCGGGCAGTTAGGGTACCAGAGGGACCAGAAGTATTCGAGGAAGCGGCGGATGTTGGGAGGGGAGAAGAGTTCACGACACCGTGTTCGTGTAGATTTCGTCCATTTCGTTGCAGCAGCTGCTGCATCTGTTTCGTTCTTGAGGGTGGCTTGCAAGTTTTCAAGGAGTTCGCGTGATTTAGCTTGCAATGGATCGACCGACTCGACCTCTGTCTTGCACTCTTTGTCAAGGCTGATCTTCATTTCATAAGATTCAAACACCTTCTTTTGTCTTTGGAGAAAGGTTTCCCGGTCGGTAAATGTTGCCATTCCCCTGGCGCTGGTGAAGTAGGCTAAGTGCTCCAACCTCTCTGCGGCCAGGATATCAGAGGTGATCCCTGGAAACAAGAGGCAGTCGAGGGCTGAGAAGTCCAACGGAGATGGCATGCCAATCAGTTCATGGCCGACTTTGTCTCCAAATAACATGAGATCATTCTCGGTTGAAGCATATGGTAATTGTGTCGGTTCAAGTCCACAACTCATCAGGGTCGGGTTGAAAGCGTCTAGAAGTGGCTGGGTCAAAGAGTCTGGGGCTACCTGCAGATCCGCAGAGGAACAGCGCCTTTTTGTTTCACGGGCATCTGATAGATCCGCAATTTCCGAAATCACAGATTGGCTTTCTCTGGCCGGCGAAGTTTGGGCTTTGCAAGTACGTTCGTGCCGACGAAGAACATCCCTAGTTTTAAAATTAGACAGGGACCGAGTATTCAAAGCTCTTCATAAGAATCGTTACTTTCTGTTGAAAGAACTCCCACAGAGCTCGCATATATGTGATCGATTATCGTTATCTGCAGGCTTCGTTAGCAATACTCGACTCCCCGTGGGACGTGCAAAGGTACGTGATGCAGCATGGCGCCTTAGATGCTCCGGGCGACTGAAAGTTGACAAGCATATCGAGCAGCACCAGTCTGATGTCATGTTTCTCGTTACTGAGATGCGTCAGGAGAGCATGAATTCTCGCAGTGTGTGCTGCCGATCATCGACAACTTCGGTTGAGGCGGACTTGCCGGTGCCGATGCGGGGATGCCGGGATTCGGATGTAGTGCGGGGGAAAGAAGCTTGGGTCAGCGATTTTCTTCTTGAATATTAATCACTGCACTGCGCTTGTGAATAATATAGCTCTGAACATGGATATGAACATAGTCGTTTCTTTTTTTGAGGGGCTGCCTGTCAGTTCTTCACTTCTAAGGTTCTATAGAGGTGTGTGCTTAGGATGTGGTTGAACCAAGCTACATGTGTATTGTTTTCCGTATTTCGTCCATGTCATATGGTATCAGCATAGGATCGAGTTGACATCAAATCTAGATTGTTCAATTCAAGATGGCTGTAAGGAGGGTAATAAGAATCCTGATAGAATGCAAGTGCTGCGCCCCGGGCCCCATCGGATTTATAATCACTGCTGAACGTCAGAAATAAGCTCAAGATGACCGTCCGTCTGCAAGTCTTCTTCAAACTTGCGACAGGTCCTGGCAAATTCTCTTCCATTGTTCTCGTAAATCTCGCAAATTTGCTGTCTATCATCATGGCTGCCGAGAAACTCCCTATCAAAGCAGTGTTCTTTGACTTTATGGGCACATGTCTCGACTGGCACACCAGCGTATGTGCATTGTTTCCTCCCACAATTTCCAATGACGACGCATCCAAGCTAGCCCTGGAATGGCGGAGACAATATTTTCTCGAGAACAAGCAGCGCTTTCTCCAAGGCCTTGAGCCCGAAGATATTGACATCACCCTTTCCCGAGTCCTTGATCGAGTACTAGAGCAATCTCCAAACCTTAAGCCTTATATTGAATCCCATGACAAGCGTCAGATGATCGCGGCTTGGCATTGTCAGTCCGCCTGGCCGGAAGTCCAAGAGGCGATTCGGAGCATTCGGGAAGATCTGGGTCTCGAGGTTTTCGTTCATGCAAATGGTACAACTCGTCTGCAGCTTGATCTTACCCGCTCTTCTGGTTTGAGCTTCAACATGCTATTTTCAAGCCAGTTGCTAGGGGTTTACAAACCAAGCCCCGAGGCGTACAAGAAAGCGTTGCAATTTGTCAAGCTCCAGCCGGAGGAGGTCGTGCTAGTCGCAGCCCATGCATATGATCTCCGAGGAGCCCAGAGCGTTGGAATGAAGACCATCTATATCCACCGGTGGACTGATGATATTGATGAGAACATGGACGAGGTGAAGGAGGAGTTTGATGTTTTCTTGGAGAACATGAAGGAACTTCCTAGTACCATTTCGGGAATGATGTAACTTAGATCGTTGTGTCTTCTTGCAAGCCGCGATTATTATGTATTCAAATTTCCAATTTCCTATGGGACCCTACGCTAGCGATAGGCGAGACGAGAGATAGATTAAACCGGAAACGCTAAGGAGACCACGGAGGCGTCGGAAATGAGACCCTTGGCGCCAACAGAATCAGGGAGATCCTAAAGGATGAGCCAGGGGCCCAATGGGCTCAATTGAAGAGTCTTGAGACAATTCAGTCATTACTGCAACCTTCACGGACACTACGATGGGCAACTTCACTATTGTCAACGGCCAGGTGTACACGCCAGGGTTGGCCATTGTTGACGCCCCACAACCGAACACGCCCCTCGGCGGAGGCAGGTTCACCCACCAGCAGACCCGAGACTTCCAACTAACGAGCTCGCTTAGACACTTTGCAAGTCGCCATCGATGTCTCAGGGGATGGGAAGCTCCCTTGGCCCCCGTCTACACAGTCTGCAGACTCGTCCACGCTTTTCCACAACATCACGCTGTTTCTGACGTCCGAGGCGAAGTCTCACAACTTCACCATCTCCAATGGCACGGTACCGTCGAATAACATCACCTATGTCGGTCCTGTTCTGGACCTGGAGCCGTCGTCGACTGTAAAGCATGTAAACTGGGTCTGGCCTGAGTGCCTTGTCGGAAATGGCGACAGCGGTTCCGATCGAGGCGATTACAACATCTCCATGCATCAGTCCTTCCGCTGGAATGGAACCGACTACTATACTGTGTTTGACCTGCCCATCGCAGTCACTAACAGTATCCCCAAGAGCTCAGAGCGAGTCGGCTGCGCGCTATTAGAAAACAAGCTCTTGCGCGAGTCTGCGATCGATGAGAGCTCTGACACGCTCCCCGGGCAGCCGTGGGTTGACAGCGGAGTCGGCACTAGCAGCGACAGCAGCAGCAGCGGCAATGGATCCATCAGCTCTACCTCACGAGGCACGAGGATGAGTCTTCAGAAGATACTTGTTCTTGTAGCCGCGGGGACTTACACGCTGCTCCACTGGTGACGCGTTTGGGCGCTAATTGACCCCTTTATTGGGATCTTTTTATTTATCTATCTGTCTATTAATAACGGTAAGAATATTGGAATTGACATGCTTAAAAGATCGCAGATCGCCACTCGTGTAGATCGAGCGAACCAAGGATCACCGCGTCCCGTTCTGGCTTCGGAAGTATGAAGGGCCTCAGCCAACACGTCACCCCTTGATTAACCCTCGCGACAATCTTCTTTTTTGATTCTCTTACTTCCCTGGGGACAGATCTTTCCTATCCGAACACATCCGACTCCACCATGCGAGAAATCCTCATCGTAGACCTTCTCTGATCTTCACACCCACACCCCGCGAATCCCTGGCGTCCGCTCCTTATGCCCAAAATAACATCATACCCGCGCACTCTTCGCCGAGTGCTAGTGCGACACCGAATCATCCGCTATTTTCTCGTCGCGTTTATCGCATGGAACTTGATCGAACTCCACCTAATCCTACGCCGTATCTCCGAGATAGACATCATTTACCGAGAACGACCCCGCCGACAAGAACGGATCTATATTGCTGGGGTGAATTGGAATAATGAGATCATTCTCCGAAGCCACTGGAGCCAAGCTGTCCGGGATCTCGCCTGGAAACTCGGTCCGGAGAACGTATATATCAGCATCTATGAAAGCGGTAGCTATGATAATACCAAGGGCGCGTTGATAGATCTTGATGCGGACTTGGAGCGCCTCGGTGTACCTCGGACTATCGTACTATCGCATGTCACTCACGAAGACGAGATGAATGCGCCACCGGGTGATGAGGGCTGGATAGTCACGCCACAAGGGAAGACAGAAGTCAGACGAATCCCGTTTCTATCACGAGCTCGAAATTTGAGTCTAGAACCACTATATGAGCTTGCCAAGCAGGGTATCATATTTGACAAGATTCTATTTCTCAATGATGTGGTTTTTACGGTATGTTTGTGGCCTTGCCTCTCTGCAAACATTAAGCTAACAGGAATAGCCAAACGATATCTTCGAATTATTGGATACCAACGACGGTGACTATGCCGCAGCATGTTCAATGGACTTCTCCAAACCACCTCACTACTACGACACCTTCGCTCTCCGCGATGCCAGCGGGCACGAGGCCGTAATGTCTACATGGCCCTTCTTCCGCGACTCCGTCTCCCGCCATGCTATGAAGAGCATGTCCCCAGTTCCAGTAAAAAGCTGTTGGAACGGAATGGTCGCCATGCCAGCCGCTCCGTTCATGAGCGAAACCCCTTTACGCTTCCGAGGAATTCCAGACTCTCTCGCGGCGTCTCATCTCGAAGGTTCTGAATGCTGTCTCATCCACGCGGACAACCCACTGACACCCCAACACGGCGTCTACGTTAATCCTTTGGTGCGAGTGGGGTACAGTGGGCCGGCTTATGTGGCCGTAAATCCGATTATTAACTGGCTCTCGCCGAGGACAATCTTGCAGGGATTGTGGACAAATCGACTTCGCCGTTGGAGTAGTTCGCCTTGGTTGAAGGAGAAGATCGTTTCTAATCGTGTTGCTCAGTGGGCCGGCTTGTCTGACGAGAACCGTGAACCTGGGCAATTCTGCATTATTAATGAGATGCAAATCCTTCACCCTTGGGGATGGGGTCATGTATAATAATTTCCATATAGTGGTGTTTATTCTGGAACATATTGATTTGAATAATGGCAGGGAGGCTTGACCAGTACAACTATTTCTCTCGCTCCATCTGCTTCACAACTTTAGGTCGCTTTTCATCCCATTCATCCCAAACAATGGAAAAGACGGCAGTGTGTCGCCCTAGCTCTTCCCCCGAAGATCCATTCCTCTTCTCCAGGGCATCCACGGGGAGTCCAATCGTCCCTCCAGGGAAGGTTCTGTCCCATCGCAAGATTCCTTCAAGCTCGAACCCCATCCGCAGAGCAGCGTGTCTAGATGCCTGATTCCCAGCATGACATCTCCACTCAACTCGCCTCAGCCCTAAGCCGCCCACAGAATGTGGGTCGAGTGTATATTGTAGTAGAAGCCCTATCGCGTTCGACGACACGTGCGTGCGCTGGAATGCCGAAAAGACCATGATACCCATTTCTGTGGACGCATTTACTGGATTGGTTGATGCCAGGGCAATAGTGCCAGCATAGTTCGCACTTGGATCTTTCTCCCCCTTGGTGAATTTTTTGTCGATAATAGCGTACAGACAGTCGCCGGGTGAAGAATTGATGTTCTCTTCGTAGAATGCACTGAATTCTTCTACTGATTTGGCGGCGGGAACGACGACATATTTACGTATTTCTGGGTTCGTTTCTTTCTCTTTCATGAAATTCGCCGAATGAATAGAGGGCTCTTTGGGTTAGCAACATCCTATCTTGAACTCTCTCTCGGCGTGAGGAAAACTTACATCGAATGGAACGAGAGCAACGCGCTCATTCTCTAGGCGTCGCTGTTCATAGTGGAATGACATGATAAATGATGGAACGAGTCGCACCAAGAGCGCAGAGAAATAATTATGGGAAAGCCAAATCTTACCGCGTTTTCGCGTCGTGAGGTTCGTAATCACTTAATAGGGGCACAAGCCAGCACATACATTGGACTATACCAATTCAGGATAGGTTGCATCCGGGGACGTCTCCGATTGGAAATCCGATTGGCTTCTACCATGAAATCTACTCAAGCTTTCCCCGCACGGGCTACGCAGGCAACGTGATTATAGAGAAAGACTTTCACAAATGCGAAAATACTAATCGCGTAGCACTCCAGGCATACTGCTGCCCGGCTATACGAAGCTAAACACAATCTCGTCAAATTCTTGAAACCCCTTTCGATATCATTGTAGACTTTGATCTTGCCATGACTGTCCAAGGAATGGGCGGACTCAAGTTCAATTCTAGCGTGGGCGAGCCTTTCCCGGACCTCTATCCTCACCCTCAGTGTTGCAACTTGTAATACGATTCCTGGCCGAACTCACAGTGCCTACGTACTCTTTGGTCTTGATGATCGCACTGGCAATCAAAGGCAGAATACCCGCTCGCCATTCAAGATGCCAAAAAGTAATACCAAGAGTCCGGAGATAATCTGGCCAAAAAAAGAAAAGGTAGGAGGCGATATTAATGCTTGATTAGGTGGTAACGTATATCCCGATATCTCAAGAAATCCGCCAATAGTGGCCACTAGGACTAAACAACATCATTACTTGTTGCCACAAAGAGAGCTTCCTTTCCCTCACTCGAAGAGGATTCAGATTGGACAAATACTTAAGTGGCTGAAGCTGTCTTCATGCCATCCACTACACTGGCCTTGCTAGTTCGTCTGGCTTGCTTGGAATCAGTCACCACTAGCCAATTGTTATATTCATAATTTGTACTGGAACACGCTTCAGGTCATGATTGTTTAGTACCCGATTGCCTGCACCGCATGTACATGATATCCATGGCTGCGTGCGACCAGATTGTCCCAATTGTCGACCGTATCCTTCATAACATCCGTCCCTATAACTGTCAGTATACCTGAAATCCGAGTAAATAAAGAAGTGATGCGTACCCCACTTGAAATCTTGCCAGCTGGAATCAGCCCAAAGGTCGGGGTTCTTGCCCGATCCTTGGGTCGATCCTCTGATGGCTTCATCTCGTTTTCGCTGCTCTTCGCCATCGGGCAAATGCAGCGCTTTCCTTGTCACCGTAGCACTGTTCTGGATACGCTCTGCACGTTCTTTTCGTACCGACTCGTAGACTGCCAATGCCTTAGGAACTGAATTGGTTAGAGAGAGCGCGCAAGTAAGCACACCGGCATCCTCAATTGCCTGCGCAGCTCCCTGAGCCACATATGGTAGCATTGGATGGCAAGCATCGCCCATCAAGACGCACTTGTTTTCAACCCATGAGGGTAGAGGGAAGTGTGAGTTCAAAGTCCATTCCATGACATCATCGTCCTTCACATAACTCAAAAGACTTCGCACCAAGTCATCCCAGTTGCGGTAAAAGGAAAGCATCTCTTTTTTATCTCCTTTATTCGTCCAACTTTCTTCATTCGGATCCCCTGGCTTCTGAGGGTGCAGCAGTACCATATTGTAGACGGTGTTGTTCTTGATAGGGTATCCCATGATGTGCCCTCCAGGCCCCATCCAGCGCATACCGACATTGTGGTTTAGAAGATCCAAAGCGCGTTGATCACCTTTCATTTGGTCCTTTGAAATCATTATGCGATATGCTGCATCGCCGGTGGGCTGGCAGGTATCAGTCACTCCGTGGTGGGATGCGACCTGATGGCGAAGATCGGATTTGATACCATCTGCGGCAATCACCACATCTCCCGAAACCCACTCTCCTGATTCGAGCTGGACTTTGGCTTCAAAGTCATCTACCGCTCGGACTACCCGTGAGCTGGTGCCCGTGAGCTGGTGCGCAATTCGACGCCCGCGGCCTGAACGCCATCTAAAAGTATGCGTTGAAGATCTCCTCGGTGGATGACAGCCAAGGGGGCATGGTATTTTTGGCCGACCTAGAAAATCATCAGACGATGCGAAATGCTTTTTGAAGAAAGGAATACATACCTGGGGCATCAAAGGGGCTGTTCCAAGTTCCTCGTTGTTTGCATACCGGCGCAGGGAGTTTTTGTCTAGTACATTCGCCTTCTCCATAACTTCGCTCAGGAGGCCAAGGCGCCCTAGGATCCGCGCGGCATTTGGCGCCACTTGGATTCCAGCACCGACTTCTGCAATCTGGTGCACTCGTTCCAGGATAACGACTTCGTGTCCAGCCTTCTTCAGCCCAAGGGCGACGGCTAGTCCAGCAATGCCAGCTCCAACAACGATCACCTTGAAGGGGTGTTTGGCCTTGAAAGACCAGTCAAAATCGTCTTGAAAAGTATCCATTGTGATGCTTGTTCTTGTCGAATGCAATCAAAATTGCTGTGAGGAGCAACCAGTAGCAGGTATCTCAGCCCTTTATACCCTACGCAGCATCTTTTGTCCGATGACGAAATAGACAACGAAGCTTGTTGTATAGATTCCGACTCTGGACGCGGTTCCTCATCGCGGCAAGTATATTAATGGTGAGTTAGAGAAACGTGTGTGGCCAATTGCCACCAGTTGGCTGCGTCTCCGGGAACGGCGGCAAATGGTGGGCCCGCATGAGGCTTGTTCAGTGGATGATGTCAATGGAGCTCGGCAGCTTCAACCGGGAGTGAAAAATGGTTCAAGTGTATTTCCTATGTGTATTTCTGAGTAAATTTATAGCCCTCTGCCAACGTTGAGGGGATCCTATGACGGTTTGAAGCTGACTTTCGCGTTCCGAGCACACCACTTATACCGTGGACAATGCCGGGTTGCCACAAGAACCTCCCTAATTAGCTGACCTACGCCGTAAGAGGATTCCGGAACATTCGCCAGGCTCGGAGAAGTGCGAAAATAGCCAAACTCCGATTTTCGTGGACAGATAGATGACTCAACTATTGTATACTAGATCGGATCGAACTGCGGCAGTTAGAACGAGCACCAGAGGTGCGGCTTGGCCTCGTGCTATCCATCATCAAAGCCCCACCCAGAAATTTCAGCTGTTAGTTTGTCAAGTCGATCACCATACCCCATAGATGGAGGATGACTTACAGAGCTCTTGTCTCAGAATGCCAGACTAGGTTTTGGGTCAATGCACGGTCGGGTCAGATTCCAGACGGGTCATATTCCTATGAGCAATTATAGTCAGACCTTGTCCTTGTCCCGCGAGCGATTAAGGCTTGATCCTCTGTATTAACCCAGGGGATTTGGATAAAGGACTTGAAGAGAGCCAGCTTTAAGGAATCTGCTATATCGATACATCGTATCTGAATAGGTGCATAAGAGCATTGAAGCTGGTATTCAGCGCCTTGGCATTCTTAAGCCTAGATGTAATCACGAGAACAAAAACACAAACCATCAATGCCGCCAATGTTGACCTCTTTACCGACAACCATTGCAAAGAGCTATATGGAAAGTGCTAGGAGAAGAGTGCACCAAAGGCAAGGGAATCTCTTGTGAACGAGACGTAACTTTATAGCACGGAACTGCGATCCGGCCACAAACACTTTGGTGAAATAAGATAGTGTTAATTATTATTCATATTTGATCAATCTAGGTCACAACTATGGCCATGCTGGTCAGCTTCAGAACTCGCCTGCCAAACTCGCTTACTAAGGACAATATTTACATTATTATGCATTATAGAGCAAGGTTTAAGGCGCCTGGGTGCATCCACCTGAGAAACCCATGGCGACATCATTCTGTCGCCTCTAGCTTTCTCTGGAACAAGGTCGCCCTTGACCGTTGTTTTCCCACAGCACCGCGCAGATTGTCGTCTTCCCGATTAAACCGACATCTTGGGCAACTTTTCATGAGACGACGAAGCCTCACTAGCATCAGCCGGCACCGAGACTTGTGCTGGTGCCGGTGCAGGCGCAGGCACAGGTTTTGGCGGACTTGGCGCAATCCAAAAGACCGGGTACCTCCGGTGCAAATTATTCAACAATAGCGCACAACACATGAGCATCGTAGAAGACAGCAGTACCACAGGTAAGAAATACCAGGAAAGCTGCCAGATATCCTCATCGGTAGCCGGAAGTAGAGCAGTAGCACCAGCAGGAGGATGTGTCGTGCCGGTGAGCTGCATAATAACGATAGCAATAGAGGTAGACAAGGAGGCAGCGAGCCAGCGCAATGACTCGAAACGCGCTTGGTCTGGCATAAGGCTGAATAATTTGGTGACACAGAGTCCAGTTAGAGCGCTGAAGAAGTGGCCGAAAATTAGGGCCCGTGGTTGGGCCAGGGGACTTTCAATTGCGCCGAAGACGAGGACTGCGGATGCGCCCTGTTTGAGTCAGATCAAATTCCGTAGGGGTGTGACGATCGGTTTTTTTTTTTTAAAAAAAAAAGAAAAATTCTCAAGACTTACATATGATGCGATGATACCAGGTACATTACGTTCTTTGAAGTAGTCGGAATAATTAAAGATGCCCTGCACCACTGAAAGACCGCAAAAGGCCGTGATGAATGACCATGCGGCTATTTGCCATGTCGGTAATGGGGTTGGAGTCTCGGGACGGTAGCCCAACCAGTGACTAATCCAGCGCGGGAGACGAGAAAGACGTGAAGCCGCCATAGGGCCAGTAAATTCAAATATAGAGTCAATCGGGCATTCAGAAAGGAAGGAATGTCATTAGCACATTATTTTCAGAAAAGTACCTGCGCTAGTGCCATTTGGAGTGAGGAGAAAAGCCGGTGAGGAGAACGAACGGTCGTGCGGAGAAGACATTTTGTGTGGGGCGTCGTGTGGTTTCTGTTAGTAATGGCATTCTTCGGTCTTTGCTTCACTGGCTTTGGTCATTTTGGTCATTTGTCTCAAGAATTGTGATTCTATAGGTATTAAATTAGTAATATGTGGTGCTATCTATCATACAGGCAGAGCAACAGGCGAATCCTGCATCAACTCACGGCTCACGATGTGAGCCTCTCCGAGTGTGCCTTTCATCACCAGCACCAAGTCATCCACTGCTCCGAGGAACTTGAGATAGGAGCTGACTGCGACACAGAACTTGCGGTAGCTCTCATCGCGGATCAAGTCTTTGCTCAATATTATTTCGATCTGATGTGAACGCCAGTATTCGAAGCACCGCTTCAGAAGTGGGGTCGGAAGCACCTCGGGCAAGGGATCGCCTGTTTTGAGGGCCTGCTCAACAACGCCCAGAACAGCCATGACATCTCCAATGTTACGGTGGTCGAGGAGGCCAGCCTGGCGTGCGAGGCGGAGTTGAAGTTCTTCGGGTAGTGATGCCGACAAGTAGAGCAGACGGCCAAGATGCTGGTTGAGTTCCTGGCAGAGAGACTTCACCTGGGCAAGGCGATCGCTGTCAAAGTGCGAGCTAGAGAATTCGAGACGGAGTAGTGCAACTGGTCCATCGAGAGCGCTGAGGGTTTCAGCAACATCGAGTGCGAGTTGTTCAGCCACCATCCCCTCGTTGCGATCCGGTTGGCCCCAGCATGACAGGAGCAGAGCGTAGTGGTCGGAGAGTCCACGAAGCGCGTTGGATAGAGATTTGCAGATGTGTCGGGTTGCGGAAGGTGGCCGAGGGAAGACTTGCACAATCATGGCCGCGGCGGATCCCACAAGAACTAGCACAAGTCGTCGCCAGAAGACACTGTATCCCCAACCAGGGTTTCCATATGATGGGATGTGTCTGAAACTCCATTGTTAGCATTCAGCCCCTTGACAAGGCAGCGTGAGACTTACGTATCATCGTAGCTGTAGCCGATAACCAGAATGCATGTCGCACCACCCATCATCGTAGCCTGGAGCAAAGCCATAGGGGCAAAGACGCGTGCCCACATCAAGAGGACAAGAACAACAGCCATTACCGCAGCAAGACCGTACGGGTTACCAAGTCCATTACCCGAGCCAATATACCATGCCACCAGACCAGCAACACCTCCAATAATGGTTCCAATGAAACGGGAGATTAGAGAGAGGGCAAAGTCTGACATGTACACCACGACCGATGTCTGGCCCATGATCAGAGCCCAGAGTCCTTTTTCCCGATAATAAAACCCGGCACTGGAAGGAATAACAGCAGGGATGGCCAGAGCAACAGTCACAACGACCATGCGCAAAGCATACATACCCTCGTAGCTGATAAGCCAGTGATAAGTACCAAGGACGATACGTCCAAGACCGCTGCGTTGCTTCACCCGGTAACCACGGCTGATTCGGAGCGCCTGCTGAGCCTCTTTTGACTGTGCTTCTACAACATCGGGGTCCACAAGGGGAGACTGTGCAGCTGGAACGGGTGCCACGGTACTTCTTCGGAAGATCCAGTTAAAAGCATAGCGCAGTCCCTTTGGAAGGCATAGTCGGATCTTCTGGCGCTCTCTCATGAGGGTGTCAACTTGGCCCAGCATTTGCTCCCAGCCATCAGCGACACCGAGAATGTGTTCTTCAAATACCATGCCGAACATGATACCTCGCAGCTTAGGCATAGAAAAGCCGTCGATGGCCTTGACCTTGCCATTTTCGTCGAAGATATCTGCGTTGATCTGAAGCAGACGTTCCGTAGTCTCCTCGGCATATTTTGACCGCAGGCTTTTGAGTGTCTCGAGAGCCAAGTGGCTGCGTTGTTGGAGCTCATCCAAATGCTGCTTAGAAGGGCGACCAAACCAACGGGCGGCGTTGACAGCCTTGACACATTCAGCGACAACGTCACTCGCTTCTTGGCAGGCGGGCAAAATCGTCTGACAAGGTTGGCGAATCGCATCGATCATTTCCAATCGAAGGCCCTCGTGTTCGGGGCTTCGTAATGCCTGAACCATGTGGACACTATCCATCAGCTGGCGCATGCCAACCTCGCGGGGCTTTTTTTTCTCGTTGAGGCTGACATCAGATTGTTGGGCAGAGTCGGCGGTGAGTGCACGAAGTTTTTCCAATTTGGCCTCTCCTCCAAGGCGGGCAATCTGGAATTCCAACAATGACAAACTGGCTACGCAGGCTTGACGCATGGGCTGCTTTAAGCTTTTCACGTCATCTGCACCCCAGCGGCCAACGGAAAAGTCCAATGGCAAAAAGGCGAGCGCAGGCTCAATCTTCTTGTGTGATGCAATGGTATTCTGCTTCAGCTTCTGGAGGTCTCTCATCGCCAGCTGTTCGTCCTTGAGGAGGCTGGCGACGGTCACATCCAATGGACCCCTCAGCAATCGCGAAAGGCCTTCGACACTATCGAGGACGGTAGATGACGTTGACTTGGGAAATAAAAGAATCGAGGAAGCCAATCCCAGCCCAATTCCAATGGCAGCCGGCTCAACCAGGAGCTTGGCAATAGTCCCGTTGAAAGAGGTCAGCAGAGGACCAATAGTGAGAAAAATATCCATAATGATAGTGCCGAAGATTTGAAGTAGCGCGAACTTGGGGTTCTTCGCGCGCAAACGAGCCTACAAATATCCGTCAGTGTCTATTCCAGATTTTGCATCGACTGCATGTACTCACCAATAAGTAAACCATGAGGCAGATGAGACAAAAGTAGACAGCAGAGACGCGAGCATCCAGCATGAAGCCAGAGTAGACGAGCTCCTGTTCGACGAATGATACGGACTGCCCCGTTGAATTGGCTTGACTATAAGCTGTTTGACCAAGCGCCTGGACTCTGGCCTGGGTTTCGGCCGCCGGTCGCGCCGCCATGGCAGCCTTCATAGCGATAAGACCCCATGCCCAGCCAAGGGCCATGCCAAAGATCAGGGTGAATGCTGCAAGAATAAAAATGAAGACAATTCCTGTGGGGGGGACCATGAAAAGCACCAAGCTGAACACCAATTAGCAATTGATTCGACATGGCGAATTTGACATTCCAACTCACGTTGCAAAGAAAGTCGCGGTCCCGATCTGCTGCAGAGATGGGTTGATGAATATTAACAGCGACGCGACCCATGCCGCCACAGAACAGCGGAATAGCACTTTCAAATCGCGTGCATTGAAATGATCCAGAAATCCAGGCAGCTTTCTGCGCGATTTGGAGATAGGGACCTCATTCGAGGGCTTCGGAGAGCCTTCCGCGCTGGTCGCGGGCGACGGCCCCTCGGCCCCGACATCGTGTCGGACAGAATCGGCCATGACCCCAACCGATTTATTTCATCGAGATCAAGAGTGCTTCAAAGGGTTTATGAAATCCGTAGGGATGAGATGTGAAGCCGGGAAGGGGTAGCTTTTAATAAGACATTCCTGGTAAAAAGGAGGGGGAACACTAAGGCTGAGGTAAGAACTTTCTTTCCACGTTTCGATTCACTCGTGGATCGGCGCTATCGATGTAATCTTTTGGATCTTAGACGGGCCCTCGGTTGGACGTCAATCGCATCCGTCCAACGACAGACAAGGATCGACGAGAGACCTGCTGTTGTAGGTCTGGTTGCCAACCACGATGGTCCCATCTTGTGTGCATAACTTCTACGACAGACTTTCGGGTGTCTCCATCGTGGCCCGTGGCTTGGAGCGTCTCAATTTGGTTAAAGAAAAATTTAAAGGGGGGCTAATTGGACTGTCTCGGATGCAACAGGAGACAGAATTGACTTTTGTGACACACCAAAGGCGTGACAACTTTGGGACATCCTATTCCGATTCAAGCGGTTTTATGCATTCATTATCCTATGTCGGGTGATCTGCTCTAATACAGCTTCTCTATCTTGAAACCCCCTCTCAATTAAGGTTTGTTCCATGGTTTTCTCCAATATTACCCTACGGGAATCGACTAGCCCCATGATATCCCCATATTAGCGACACATAGCTGCTAGTCAATTAAATAGCGTAAAGGGCTAGTTACCGTTTGGGCCTCACGCCTCAGGCACCAATGTTCAAACCACCCACTTGATGTTTGTCAGTATATTACTTTTCGCCGATTCCGCTAGATCAACCGGCCCGTTGAGCGAACAGATCACTAGCCCTCTAAAGGACAAGCGAGGCCTAAGCGCATCGGTTTACTGTCGGATGAGCTTAAATCGCAGAGCGGATCAAGTCCCACATCTGCACAAAGGCCGCTGCACGTCATCACATGGAGTAATCAGAATAGATAAGACCCTCTCTACCCCGATGCAAACCGCCAAGGCGTGCTATGGCATCAAATCGAACACTATTTCCCCTCGCCCCGGTGGCCAATGTGGGAAAAATTTGAAGATTCGCCTCGGTGAAATGTGGAGACCCCGGGGGTCTGGCCCAATGATGCTAGTGATAGTGGGGTTCATCCGTGGTGCGAAAACCTAGAACCACATGTCGTGATCGGCCCGTTGAGGGATTTCGGGATTTCGGAGAAAAAAAAGAAGCTTGTCTCGCACATGGTTTCTCGTTTTCTAGAATCTTTCTTTTCGACTTTGGAGGACCTCGTGGCTTAGGTGCATCTTCACCTCGATTCGACTATGGATATGGAGAAGTCAACCCTCGCCACAGACATCCAGCCGGATGTCAAGCTGGACGACCACGATGCGCCCCTCAAGGGAGAGATGGAGCTGAATGTTGGTGGTCGTGGAGCTACCCAGCGTCGCCTGCGGAACTACCAGGTCACTATGATCGGCTTCTGCAGTGGTATTGGAACTGGACTGTTCGTCGGAACCGGTTCTGCCTACGCCAAAGCTGGTCCGGCTGGATTGCTGCTGGCGTATATTATCGTTGGAATGGTGCTGTGGTCTGTCATGCAGAGTATCGCCGAGCTGGCGACAGTCTTTCCCACTGCCGGATCATTCCCTCACTGGGCTACTCGCTTCATCGATCCATCTGTCGGTTTCTCGCTCGCCATTTCCTACGGATACTGTTATACCATCGCAATCGCCTCCGAAACGTCTGCCGCCGCCGTCATCGTTGCATATTGGACAGATATAACGCCAGCCGTGGTAATCACGGTCAGCTTGGTGTTGATTTTAGCAATTAACCTCATGAGCGTGCGCTTCTACGGTGAAACCGAAGTCATTGGCGGTGCCGTCAAGGTCCTCTGCTTCTTGGGCTTGGTGATCGTGTCCATTGTCATCACAGCTGGCGGTGGTCCGAATGGCGAGACTATCGGCTTCCGCTTCTGGCACAACCCCGGCGCGTGGACGGACTATAATGGCATCACCGGATCCGCGGGCCATTTCCTCGGATTCTTGTCCTCCTTCGTCAACGCCTCCTTCAGCTTCATCGGTGTTGAATGCGTTGTTATTACCGCTGCTGAGTCTGTCGACCCACACCGCGCCATTCCCAAGGCTGCCCGTCGCGTGACCTATCGCATTGCCTTCTTCTATGTCCTCGGCGCTCTGCTCATCGGTCTTATTGTCAGCCCCAACGCCCCAGGTCTTACCTCTGGCTCTGATAACGCCAACAGCTCTCCCTTTGTCATTGCCATTAAGGAAGCTGGTATCAGCGCTTTGCCGTCCATTGTGAACGCCTGTATTCTCGTCGCCGCTTGGTCTGCCGGTAACTCATACTGCTGGGTTGGATCGCGCATGATTCTTGCCATGACGACCGATCACCAGCTTCCCCAGTTCTTCGGCCGCTGCACCAAGAACGGTGTTCCATATGTTGCCGTCATTACCGCCTGGCTCTTCGGACCCCTGGCTTATTTGAGTAAGTGTCGCTTGTTTCGTCTCTTGAGATTGTTCACTAACAGCAATTAGGTCTTGGAAGCGGCGGAGCCGCACAGGCATTCACTTGGCTTCTCAACTTAAGTACCATTGCTGGCTTGATTGCATGGGCCTGTCTTTGCTTCTGTTACATCCGCTTCCATGCTGCGATGAAGGCGCAGGGTGTTTCCCGGGACACGCTTCCCTGGAAGGCGCCACTCCAGCCATATGCCGCCTGGTTCGGCTTCATTGGATCTAGCATCATCACTTTGGTTGCCGGTTTCCCCGTCTTCCTCAAGGGTAATTGGAACACATCGAACTTTGTTGCATCATATGTCGGCATTCCGATTTTCATTATTCCGATTATAGTCTGGAAATTGTGGCACAAAACACAGGTGAGCTTGTTGAAGATTCTTTTCGTGTTCATCAGGAACATCCGCTAATTCGTTCTCTGCAGTTCCAACGTGCCGCTACCATCGACCTCTGGTCCGGTCGTCTCCAGGACGGCGAGATCATGCCGCACAAGAACCCACGCAATACCTTGTGGGGTCGCTTCATCGACTGGCTCGTATAGCGCTAGAGACGCATTTTAGATTTGTACATAATTGCATAGCATTCAACATAGCATACGGTTAAAAAGCCATGATTCAACGTCAAATTGTTCTTTGTCTACCGGTTCTGTAGCCGATTCATTTTTGCAGATCGGAATCACCTTTGGAACTCCTTTCGGAGCTTCGCAATGTCGTGATGAGATGCTTTGCAGCAGCCGCCCACCAGGAATGACTCGAAGGGGCCCTTTGCCTTGGCGTCGTTGACAATTTGCGCAAGTTGTGTCTCCCAAGGACCCTGAAGTCTGGTCAGCTATGCACATATAAAAGAAGGTGAGATCCTTACCAAGTCTCGCTGGCCCTCTTTCAAGCTATCAGGCTTTTCCCAAACCTGCGTCGTAGTGTTGTAAACCTCCCCGTTGGTACCATCAGGATACAAAACCATAGCAGGAGCAGCCGAAAGCTGGCCCTTAGCAACAGCCCGCTGAACACTCCCTCCAAATTTATCAACCAAGCCAGCAAGCTTATGAACCTTGGTGCAGTTCATACCAATACCCCATGGCACCGGCGCACCATCCAAGGGTCCAACAGCAGCCTCAACAACCTGCTCAATGGAACTCCCATCGGGCAACGCCTCATCCTCCCTAGGAAAGACACAAGCAATCCAAAACGGCGCCTCAATTCCAGACTCCTTATACGCCCTCCGCACAGCCCGCACCTCATCAAGCCTCGGCAGTGTCTCAAACGCAACATACTGCACCCGCTCCGCCAATCCCCCCTCCGCCTCCATAAACAACCGCAGCCTCTCTAAATGCCACTGGTAAAGCGCCTCCTCACTGTCATGCATCGCGTCATATGCACCACTATACTCCTGTCCGGGAATCATACAAGCGCCGTACGGACCCAGGCTCAGCGCGATCTTGGCGCTGTCGCGGCCCTTTGCGCGTTCCGCTACCTCAACAGCCGTGCGCAGGTACCCGCCCACAGCTTGTACGGGAACACCATCTGGATATTCGGGCGTTTTAGTAAGTGCGAATCCTTCGGGGGAGACTTGGTAGGTTGCTGTGAGGAGGACGTCCACGCCAGCGGCGCCGAAGTCGCTTTGGCAGGCTTGGAGGGTGGTTGGGTCCGAAACTAGCATATGCGAGGACCAGAGTGGTGTATTAGTGCTGTCGAAGCTCACTCCATATTGGTCTTGGAGGGAGGTTCCTAGGCCGCCATCTAGGATTTGAATTGAGGCCATTTTGGGCTGTGAGGGGAGTGTTTGAAAGCGTAGTGTGTGGTGGGGTGTGCGGTTTTCTTAGTTATCTGTTGGTGCGCGTCAGTCTTATCGGGGTTACATAATCTGTTATACTTGTGGAAATTGGGCGGGGTATGCTTTAAGCTACTTGTAAGATTATGAGCGGGGACAATTATGGAAATCGAGTATTAATGGATTTATTCTTTATGTGCTCCCGGTATCCGCGTGTGGAAGGTCGTGGTTGAGTTACGTGGAGAGCTATGGCCCAAACAAGGTTATCAGGATCTGCAGTATATTTCTCAAATCCCGACATCGGGCTGTAGTTAACACCTAGATTGGCATTTATAGATGAAGCACAAAATCATCTCATCAAGCAAATGAAGGGTGAATTTTGCCATTGGCCCGATCAGCCAATCTCTCCCGCATCAGCACGTCATAAATATGTGAAGCCCAAGCACAGCAAACACTCCTCGTGTCTTTCGGGTCAATGATCTCCTCAACGCCAAATGCATTTGCCGTGCGCACAGGATTCATCAGACGCAGATACTCCTCTTCGAGCTCATTATACCGCTCCTCTTTCTTTCCAGCTTTCTCTGCCTCTCGTAGCTCGTGTCGGTGTCCAACCTCAATTCCACCGTCCAGAGGTAGTGATCCCCATTGTCCGGATGGCCATGCGACTTGCATTTCGGGATCACGGCTACCTATCATCACACCACCGGCAACGCCAAAGACTCTTCGTGTTACCACGTTGAAGATTGGCATTGTTGTGGTATAATAGGTTTTGGCTAGCTCGACGCCCCAGCGCATGGTTGCGGTGCGTTCGGCCACTGTACCAATGGCGTAGCCGGCTATAGTATTGTTAGGATTGCCACAATGTCTTCATTTAGGAGCGAGGCTGTACTCACGGACATCAAGGAACTGCACAATAGGCAAGTTCATCACATCACACATCTTCAGCAGACGAGTGAGCTTCTGGCTACCGGCAGCATCCAATGCACCGCCGTTTACTTCGCAGTTGAGCGAGATAACTCCAACAGGTCGTCCACTAAGACGTGCGAGACCACCAATGGCCGTCCGACCCCATAGTGCACCAATCTCAAACCAAGAGCCTTCATCAACCACTGATGTGATGATCGTCCGAGGATTGTACATGCGGGCCTGTCGACGAGGAATAATACTGCGCAGTGCTAGATCCTCGCGGTTTTCTGGGTCATTGCAGGGGATGACTGGCGGGGCCTCACTGCCTGAATTGGGCAGATAGCTCAAAACAGTCCGCAGCTGCTCAAAGCACTCAGCCTCGTTGGCGGCAAGATTATCAATTGTGCCATTCGTGCAATGGACCATCGGGCCTCCGAGGTCCTGAAAGTTCAAGCCTTCCTCAAATGTCGCACCCTCCACAACCTTGGGGCCTGCATTAAATAGCGATCCGATATCTGCCGCCATCACAGAAAAGTGGCACGACACGACCCGCGCAGCACCGAGACCAATCTGCTCAAGTTAGCATTACCTCTACAGTAGATAGAAACACAACATACAGCCGGACCAACAACCGCTCCCAGATTAGGAATACCCATATTCAACTGCTGGATCACAGGAGCAAACGACGCAACATGGGGAAGATAGCTCCACCCCTCTTTCCGAATAGTAGTCACACTTCCACCTCCCGAGCTCCCATCAACAAGCTTCACGACCGGCAATCGCAGGGCAATAGCCAATTTCTCCACATACACCGTCTTTCCATGGCTAGCGCCATCTGCATGCCCAGACCGGATACTAAAATCATCCGCAGTAAGCAACACCTTTCTACCTCGCAAAGTCCCCGCGCCTTGCACGTTATTACTAGGCACAAAGGCAACGGGTTTCTCACGCATAGGAGCAGTCTTCTTCCACGTCACCGTGCCAGAGACAGATCCAATTTCTTGGAAACTGCCCTCATCGAGAAGCTGCTCAATGCGCTCGTGAACCCATAATTTCCCAGCTTGTTTCTGGCGAACATAGCCACGGTGGTTTAGATCTGGTGTTGCCGCGATTTGACGGAGTGTAGCGATCTGGCCGAGTACGTCGGAGTGGTCCGCTGGGAGTCGAGCAGAGTTTGGTTTCTCTTTCCCCGGGGAAATATGCGAAGATACCTGATTCAGGCGCTCGGTAGCTTTCTCATTGCCATTCTTATCTGTGCTGCCGTTTTTCATGATGAGAAATGTGTGGAAGTGTACATGGAATGTGACGGCTGAGGATGTGATGGTCGCTTTTGATTGCCTTTCTTTATGATGGGTCCCGCTGAGGGGAAGCTTGAGCCCGAGGACCTCGGCGTAGTGATTTGTAGCGAGCTATAAGAAAATCATTTCGAGGTCGGCAAATACTTCTGCTTCTTATTCACCTGGAACTTTCTGCTTTTTTTCTTCCCGCTGGGTTGTTTACTTCTAGGCTTAGAGCTAGTTATATAGTGCGTTTGTTCTCTACCCTGGTTCTACAGATCGCGCCCCATGTCGTTACGGGACCCCCCGCAGTCTCGGCCCATTCGGCGGCTGCTGGTCGCTAATAGGTAAGTTTTTCAAACCTGAGTCAAACATTTCATGCCTATTCATTCGTATTTAGAGGTGAAATTGCTGTCCGAATCTTGCATGCAGCGAGAGAGTTGCCAACTCCCGTCGAGACAGTCGCATTATATACCTCAGACGATAGTTCGCACATTGACCTGGGGCGCCCGGATCAAGCAATCCAGGTTGCTTCTGCATCATCTTATCAAGATGCCCAATTAATTGTCAACCTAGCTTACAAGCATTCGATTGATGCAGTGCATCCAGGTTACGGATTCCTTAGCGAGGACCCAGAGTTCGCGCGGCGCATGTGGATCGATGCCAACGCAATCGTGATCGGACCTGGGTCGGAGAATCTTGCCCGCACGGGTGATAAGCTTCAGGCGAAATTACTTGCACAGCAATGTGGAGTTCCCGTATTGGAGGCTATGAGCCAGTCTACCTCCAATGTGGATGAAGCGCGTGCCTTTGCCAGACAGGTCGGTTTTCCCGTTATGATTAAAGCCGTGGATGGCGGAGGTGGACGGGGAATCCGCCTTGTCCGCAAGGAGCCGGAGCTCGATAATAGCATTCAGCGTGCTATTGGCGAGTCACCTTCTCGGACTGTCTTCTTAGAGAAGGCTGCTGTTGATGGGTTCCATCATATCGAGATCCAAGTCATTGGTGATGGCACAGGTCAAGTGCGACACCTTTGGGAGAGAGACTGTAGTGTACAGCGACGATTCCAGAAAGTCGTTGAGATTGCCCCAGCCTTGATGCGCGACCGGGCTTTGGTCGCTCGAGTTATCAGCTCGGCACTGAAAATGGCCAGCGCAATCCGATATCGATCGCTCGGCACATTTGAATTCTTGGTTAACGAAGAAAAGGGTGAATTCTATTTCCTGGAAGTCAACCCCCGCCTGCAAGTTGAGCATACCATCACCGAGTCTATCAGCGGTATTGATCTGGTGCAGACACAGCTCAGGCTGGCCCAAGGCGAGTCCTTCGGTGATCTCGGCTTGGGTTCTGCTGTCAACGCAAATGTGCCGCCGCCACCAAATTCCTTCTCAATCCAGCTTCGTCTTTGTGCAGAGGATCCAAGCAATAACTTTGCTCTCAGCATAGGCAAAGTGACAGAGTTTTTTGTCCCCAGTGGACACGGTATCCGAGTTGATAGCAACGTCAACACTTCTGGAGGCTCTGGTCTTGTCGTGGGATCGAATTTTGATAATCTCCTGGCCAAGGTCATCGTCACTGGGTCAACATGGCAAGCCACCGTCAGAAAAGCCCAGCGGGTGCTGTCTGACTCCAAGATATTCGGTGTTAAAACAAACATCAATCTCCTCAGGGGCATTGTGGCGCATGTCGATTTTATGGCGGGCAAAATCGACACGCAGTGGCTAGGAATGAAGCTCGATGAAGCTCACGAGCTGGGAGAACGCATATCGAAGAGGATTCAAAGTAACGAAAAGGTCGTTATTCCTGCGCAACCGGCAGCCCAGGCCGGACTGCCTTCCAATCTACTATTCCGCAAAGGCGACGCATGGTCTATTACGCTGGAACCACTCGATAAATCGTCAGAAAAGGTTGCCCATCATTTGAAGCTCTCGCGAGTCCTTCGCAATGAGTTCCCAACCGCTCTCGCCGCTGATATTGAGTATACCACTCCCACATCACAGACTGCCATACCATATCGCATGCAGCTAGAGACGACGACCACCGCCGCGTCGGCCTTGGTCTCATCTTCACACCGTCGTGGAGACCCCAATAACCCGCGACATGTCGTTCTTCCACTCTCTGGCAGACTTATTGAGATATTGGTTGCCGAAGGAGATACCGTCGCCGAGAATCAGGTATTGGCCTTTGTCAAGCAGATGAAGATGGAGCTGGAGGTACGCAGTCCGCACGCTGGAAAGGTGAAATGGGTTCATGAGATGGAAGACGAGGAGGAAGATGTTGCTGAAGGCATGCTGCTTGTTGAACTCGACGAAAAACAAGACCCAGGGCATGTGCGAGGAAAGTTGTGAAGTGAAGCACAAATGAGAGTTAAATAAAGAGCAGCAATGAAAACTAGAAGGAATTCTGGTCTGTTCATAACTCATTCTTGGTTGTAAGCAGACATGAACTAGCATCATTGGTCTAGTGGTAGAATTCGTCGTTGCCATCGACGAGGCCCGTGTTCGATTCACGGATGATGCATTTATTTTTGCTTACTGTTTTTTTCTTGATTGTCTTTTTTATTTTCTTCAAATGCGCCACCTTTAGTGTGTTGGTTTCCCCGAAATTGTGCCACAATCAAACTAAGATTAAGTTGATCTGCGCGGGCACGTGGCGCGCACCGAACGACGTCACCGCTACTCTTCATCCCTCTCCAACACACTCGAGCTGGCCAAGATGGACCTCAATCTCTACATATTGACCGCTAATTGCGCTCGTGAGCTTATCGATGTCGACCTTTTCGCTGAGCATTTCTTCGATCCGCTCCACGCTTCGAGCGCCCAAAGCTTCCCCGCGCCGGAGCTCATCGTGCTCTCTCTGCAAGAGATAGCTCCGATCGCCTACTCTTTCTTGGGCGGATCGTACCTGGCTCCTTATTTCGAAGCATTCGTCAGAGCTGTCAAGAAAGCTACTGTAGAGCAATGGAACGAATCTTACGTGAATTTGGTCAAAGACCATACAGGCATGACAGGGTTGATGGTCTTTGCTCGCGCTGATATCTCCTACAAAATCTCGTGGATCGACATGGCTCATGTTGGCTTTGGTGTCCAGGAAATGGGCAATAAGGGAGCCGTGGGAGCTCGTCTGGGCTACACTGTTGATGACGACTCTGACAAAACTGTCGATTTGACCTTTGTCGCGGCGCACCTGGCGCCCTTCGAGAGTGGTCTGGAGCAGAGAAATTTGGACTGGAAAAGCATCGTCGAGCGCTTAGTGTTTTCCCATCCAAAGGATATTGAAAAAGATTCAAACACCGACGAAAGCACAGCTCTCTTGAACCATCGCCGTTCATCCTCCCACTCAGAAGACAGTCGCCGAGATCTATTCGCACCAGACTCCTACGTCTTCCTCGCTGGAGACCTGAATTACCGTACTTCCAATGTTAGCCCACTGAAGACAGATATTGTCCGCTTCCCCCGGCGGGACGTCAACCGTGACGACCCATTACACTATTCGCACCTCTTGAAAGAAGACCAACTTATGCGCGAGATGCGTGATGGCCGAAGCTTTCACGGCCTAACAGAGGCGCCGATCGACTTCCCCCAACATACAAATACTCCGACGCAGCGCGCCAAGCGGCAAAGCTGGGCATCGACGCTGACCCCGAATGGAAATGGTCGAGTCACCGCTGGCCCAGCTGGTGTGATCGAATCCTCTTCCTCGACAGTCCATCCTGGGCCGGTGAAGGCGGGCATGTCAGGCCCCAAGCATATAATGCACTGCCACTACTCCCGCAGTCAGACCACCGCCCCGTGGCGCTGGCTGCGACGATCTCTCTCAGTCATGCTGAGCCATCTACAGATCACACGGATACGCGATCCAAAGCGTTGGCTCCATTTTCAATTGACCCCAGCTGGAAAAGTCGGCGGGATGCTGCTCGACAGAAGGAGTTGGTGGTGGGTGTGTTTGCCTACCTGGGGCTAACCTGGGAAGGGAATGGGCTGCTCCTTGCATCGACGCTGGGACTTTTAGGTGCATGGATTGTGCTTCGGTCTCTTTGGGAAGTCTAAACCTCGTCTACCTCTTTAAGTCCAAGTTATAAGTCTAGACCTCAGGGGGGGGTGGTTCAGTCATCATGTATCGCATTTTCGAGTAATCTCAAGTTAAAAATACCAGGCAATAATAATCCCTTTTTTGGGGTCACATGGCCAGCCTCGTTATTCTGACTCTTGACCCCGTGACGACATTTTCTACATCAGATAAATCTGCGGCTGTCCCAGACCGGCAAAGCAGCGGCTCACAAACAGGGTTGGGCGGTGGAATCAGCCACTTCGGTCAACAGCACACAACGCGATAGGCTCACATGAGTGGGCGTCGAAACGCTCTAGATGCAGCATGCAGACAGGATGGACGTGGCTGGTCTGACCGGGGTCCAAGCGAATGACCTCACCCCAGTTCCCGATATCTCTTTTTAGTGCCTATCTTGTTCAAGTCTGGTGGTGACGACTGGGGCTGCATCGGCGCGCCGTTGTTGTCATGGTAAGGTTTACCATCAAGCACCGGTCATACGGCGTTCCGTGGAGTCTGGCTGTGGTGGTCCAGATCGAGATAGCCAAGGCTCGTGTTCCACAGCCTACTTCTATGCTTCGACGGGGTTCCTTTGGTGCCTGGTCCGGTGTCTAACGCGGTCCACACGTTCTTTGGTGGTCCGCTACATCCGAGCTGGAACTAGAACTAGGACTGCGGTTGCCCTTGGTTGAGCTCATTGTGGGTTCTACAGCTTTAGCTGTGGCTAAGGCGATCTACTTCCCGAAGGGGATGGAGCTACGATAGGTCGGAGAACTACAGGTGCCGTCGCATCCGTAAGATTAAATCATCGATAGAGCAGATGAGTCTGTCAACTGACCCGGAAGCTATATCTCGACAAATGGAAGACTACCCCTTCCCTGCCGCTGCCAACCCTGTGCAACACGCGGTGGGCTGACGAAAGCGTAATTTGTCCTAGCCTGCCAAGGAGGGGGGTTTTCTAGACGGGTCAAAAAAAGTAGACGCCCTTAGGAGACCAGAACCAAGGATTCAAGCTTTCTTTTGGATTGGACTCGGTCTGGAACGTAAAGTGAATTTTTAACGTTGACGTCTCGGCCAAGGCCGACGCTTCGTCCGAGTTCTACGCGGAACGGCAGATGTCCAAGGTCGGGTTCCACAGCCTCCACCGAGCAGCCACAGAGCAAGTTGCCGCGTTGATCCATGTGAAAGTGATAGTGATAATCATGGCTCATCACCTCAGGCGCAGGCGCAGGCGCAGGCACACACTGCTGGGGGCCTAAGTGGGCAAGGGCTGCGACACTGGCAGGGCTGATACCGCGCTGATGCCATATCGATACCAATACCACCAATACCATCAATACCGCGAAATTTCACAGGCCCGAACGGATCAATCGAGGAAATCCCGCGGGTGGGGATTTTCCAGAACATCGCTTGGAACTCCGGTCTGGACTTCTAGAATCCCGATCCCAAGCTTCCATCCTTCTACCGAACGCCTAGCGCCTAGCGCCAGACGCCTCAGAAGTATTGTGTCGGGCATCAATTCGAAACAGAGGCATGGTAGACGGGATGGGCTCAGGAAAGGGGGCATCAAAAAAAAAGGGGGCGGGGAGGGGGGGGGGAAAAGAGCTCAGAAGGGTCCAGTGCCACGTCGGCATTTCACATAATGGCCCTCTAGTACAAAAACACTCAATCTGATTCCTTTCACCACCTGCTCCACTTGGCCCTGCAATATAGGGTGAGACTGCGAGTCATTCCAGCGCGATCCGGGCCCTGCACCAGGCCGTTGACGCATTTCTTTTTGTCCCATGCCTCTGCGCTCATTGGCCGACCTCTTCCTCTCCATGCATCGAACAGAGGCATCTCAGCCGATCATAAACCCGCATTACCGGGAAGGCGATCGACCGATCTGCCTGCGAACGGAGGTGCCATGACAGTATGTGAGATAGCACTAGCTCCCAAATATGCAGATGCCTATAATATAGGATATAGGATATAGGATATACGTAGAAAGAGTGCTAAGGGCCCGAGAATATATGAAAAGATGACTTTCTCGTTCAATGTTATTTGGGGGGGGCAAGTGACAGAGATTAACAAAAAATAAATCAATCAATCAATCAATCAAAAATGAATTTTCGGAGAAAAAAACGTTCATTGGAACGAACAACCCCAGTCTACAACAAACGGCGCCGTTCCGTTACCCGTAACAATGGAACCCTAAAATTCCTAGTCCTCCTTTTCTTTATTTTTTTATTCTTTTCTTTTTCTTTTTTTTTTTTTTTTTTACCCAGATGTTCGATGTTTCATGTTTTTGAGCCTCTCTGGATATAAGACCCCATAGACCCCCTCTCTTCTCGGTAAATCTCCAAATTTCAAAGTCTCATATCCTTTACCATTTATGATCCCTGCCCTGGACTAGCGCTATTTTCCCTACCTATTCACCCGCGGCCTCCGACGTCATCCGTGAGCTTCTTACTTTGAAAACGACGCGGAATAGAGTTCAAACATTTCTTCCCCTGGTTTCTTTAAGTGATCTACTCCCCTCGACTTTCCAGCGTCAACTCCTCAACTCTTGAACTCGTCAACTCCCGTCTTCCGCTTCTACCCGATTACTGCCTCACCGCATAACCGCCTTGGTTCCGCCTTACTTCGACGTGCCGCGACTGCTTTCCCCGCGACTTCCCCGCGAAATCTATATTTCGTCACCATGTACTCCTGCGCCAACTACCCCCGTGGCTGCCGGGGTCGCGTCAACCGTCAGGGCGCCAAATGCTCCGACTGCGTCGTAAGTACCTCATCTTCACCTCTGACTTTATAGACCATTCCGTTTGAGAACGCACACTAATATCAACCCAGACTTTGAACCTCCGACGCCCAGCGTCCGCATCCCCTTTTGCGCAACCGCGCGACTACAAGCGCCAGCTTCCCTCGCAACTCCTCACCGACTTCTCAAAGGATATCCCAGAGCTGTAGAGCGCATCATCCCCGGGATGGTCCATTATCAGGCGCGCATGTCTGGAAAACATCCAGCAGGCTGGCACTGAGTTCGACGTGAACTTTCTGGATGTCGGACCTCCCCACGTTACCATCATATGCATCGCCGGGAGTTTGATTTGATACACCACGAGAATGGCGGCTCTTTCGTTATGGAATTTCTTCTTACACTTGCGCTGCGCCTTTCGCGGGACGCCTTTTTCACTCGCTTCTTATTTTTATGTTTTCCTATGGCTTTACGGGAGCAGATACTTACTGCATGGAGGATAGAGATCATTGCATGGATTACCGGCACTCATGGATCTGCCACTGGTGGGCAGTGGCGTCGATGGGACGTTGATGCGTCGATCAGTGATTGACCTCTCGTCTCGTTTTTCTTCTCCTTGCGCATATGTCTGTCTTATGTCCCTGGATTCTGCTTCTTTTTTTTTACGTTCGCTATGCCATACCCCCCTACGTCTAACTGCGTTTAATGCTTTCAATCTTGACGTGATCGTTATCTCATAGTTTTTAGTTAGATATCTCATCGCATTGATACTATGCCTATGCCCATCACAGCCCTCACTTTGACTCTCATCTCCTTCAGCTCGTAATGCAGACGTATTTTTGGACATGCCAAGAACCGGCATCTAAAGTTCACCACAGCCCCGTCACCGCCTCAACCACGTTTCGAGTTCGCATCTAGAACCGCCCATTTCTAATTCCCGACCTGACCGTTTGACCCCCAGCCTGCGTGGATCGGGATCGGAACTATATTATCAGCCGCAATGCGCCATCCTGAGACGCTTCAGATCCATGTCCCGGGCGCAGCTCCAGCTCCTTCGAAACAACGCTCCTTCGAAACAACGCTCCTTCGAAACAACGCTCCTACCATCTGCGATTTCGAGCGAGCTGCATTCTTCCAGCGTCTTCTATGCGTCACTAACGGCCCAGGTCCTCGATCCCGGGTCCGATTCTCAGCCACGTGAAACCCGGCTGTCACCAGTCATGGTCACGGCCAAGTGGTCAGGCATTTTGGATTCCTTTGGGACGAGAGTACTAAAGCCGATCTTTCCAGAATCGTTCTACTCCGTAAATATAATTATATATCCCAATCCGGCATATGTTTCGCGGATAATTATTCCTAGTCGGGCATCTGCTCGGAGGAAGTCTCGAGGCCGTTTAGGCTTCTAGAAATCAAACCTAGAAACATGATCAGGTAAGATGAGAGCCGGCTTCATGGTCCCAAAACGTTTCACGCTATCCATCGCCACAGCTCAAAAACATGTATTTTTCAATGCTCCACCTGTCTCATTCTTTTGACAGTTCAACCCCTGGCTTAGGGGGAGACTATCTCTCTAGTGTGTCCATTAGGAGAATGGGCCCACGCTAACCACAAGAGATCCTCATCTCCACTTGATTTTGCAATCACGAGACTGTGAACAATGCGAGTACGAATTACGGATTACGGAGTTTATAGACGAGAACCAAGATTCGAGTCGATCTAGGCGTAGGGCTATAGGATACCTGATACAGGTATGCCAATTTGTGTAAATTACCGAGGTAGGAAATTAGCGGGATTTTCATAGCGGGTCAAAGAAATCAAACTGGCTGCCTGACTTTGCCCCCACAGTTCCAGTTCAAGTTCCAGTTCGGGTTCCCAGTTCGAACCGTATAAATCAAACACCCTCGTGGGGCCAACTGTTTAATTCCCGGCGGTTCTCGTGTTCTCGTGCTGTTTGTGTGTTAGCCCCTTTTTGCGCCCTCAGCCACAGATCATGGCGGTTTCAGCCTGACTCTGTGGGGAATCCCGGTCTCCACTTCTCCTCTTCAGGGGGTCTCGTTTCGGTAGCCTCGGGGCTGATCTGGTGTTGATGTCTTAAGGCTCGGGGTTGGTTTTGTCCGAGTTTCGCTTTGAGGATTTAGCCTTGTCTTGCTTTGCGCGAGGCTGATTCGATTGAGATCCTTCGAGGCTGACGTCTGTCGTGCAGATGTGGGTTTGGGCTCCCTGTCAGGCTTGTTTCTGTAGCCGATAGCCGGTGCGTGCTTTGCACTTTGCTTGGTGCGCGGGCTCGAGCGCGGTGGATCTGAGCTGGCTGGTGAATTTCGGGTAGAGATGGGACTGCCAAAGTTGCCGTGTTGATGATGTTCTCAAACTGGACCCCTGGCTATTTAGTAGCATGACGCGGTTGAGTCCTGTAATCTCGGGTTAAATAGAGTGCGACGTTTTCCATAGGCTGGACATCCGATGGATATCCGAGTGGGCTTAAAGATAAGAGGTCTCATATCCATGATATTCAAGTATTGAAGTTGGATGCATGGTAGATGCGATATGGTCTATGGACCTAGGTTTGCGCTTCAATATTCAGTACCTCACCATGCTATCCGATGTGATCACTTTCTAGCATTTTAGAGCACACCCATTTGGCAGTCTGTGTGTGAAGACTCCAGTATCGCTCATCCTCCTGGACCTGAGACCCTGTCTCAGTCTTATTTTTGTGCAGCTTACCAAGGGCCTCGAATACCACGACTTGGTCTCGCATATGCTGGTCCAGGCATGATCTCATTTTAGACACTGACTCAGATTTAGGGTTGCTATCCGGTACAGGCTGGTCTGCGAGTTCTTGCATGAACCCGTGTACACACTCGTCAATCAGATCAGCGACGGTTTCCACATCAGTCTTATCCCGACCACCCTTGGCATGCGACTTTTGACCCTTCTTTCCCTTCTTGGGACTGATGTCTTTCCCGAGGAGAATGTCGTGACCAATTCTGAAACCCGTAGATGTGTGGGCCACTAGGAGGATGTACAACCGACTGGTGGTGGATGTCGGCTCGGATGTATGCACCTGGATTGGTATGCGGGTATCTTGCTCTGGGCAGTCGTCCGATAGTGAGTCGGATGGTGACTCAAAGATCTTTGGGTCCAAAGCCTGAAGTGCTTTACGTAGGGCTCGACGAGTCTGTCGTTCGACAAAAGTGCGGATCGTCGATGCCCCCGATGTTCGTTCCTGTGCGAATCCCGTATCCGGTGCGAGAATAGTCACATCGATGCAATTAATCTTTCCGCGCTCGTGATCCAAGAGGTTAATCTGTGGGAAACAAGCTCCTAGGACCATTGATTCTGCTTTTGTCATCACACTCTGCTTAAATAGATTCAGGTTTTCCACGTTCGATTCAGTTCCTGCTGACGCAAGAGGATGGATGTAGAAGGTAACTGAGCCTATTTCTATCCTTCCTACTGACCATCCACGCTTGTTCAGGGTCATAGAAAGAGGAGGAAGACCCAGTCTAGCAAAGTTAGGCCCCATGACTTGAGTAGCGTAGTCATATGAAGGTGAGTCGGTACCATTGGTACCTCCTTGTATGGTCAACCTGATACATTCTGATCCTGCCCGGGATCCCACGTATAGTAAATACGGGTATAAGGCTTGGAAGATGAGAAATACCGAGCCCGGACTTGACAAATTGATGTTGTATTCGGGTTGTATCGCAACGTTTTTGAGGGAAATGAGAATGGTCTCATTGTTCCGGCAAGAAGTATCTTCAGGAGTTGACGGGCAGAAGGTCACAGACTGCGAGCCGACTTGATCGCCGTCAGATATGCTACCACTGATCTTTGCCAGGAGCTTGACTGCGGCTCTGTGAGATGGCCTCAGCCCTGTCTTGCCCTTGCGATTTCCGCGAACATGGTCGACTGTCACAGCGCGACCGGTCAAAGCTGAAAGAGCCAGCGCATTTCGCATGAGCTGACCACCACCTTCGAGGGTTCTTCCGTCGAGATGAACATGATCATAAGGAAATCTTGGTGGAGAGTCTTTACTCGACGGAGGTTGTGCCATGACATGCGGGATGAAATTGAGTACAATGGAGATCTACATTTCTCTACTGGCCCGATGCCTTCCCTTTTAAATGATTCAACAGCTGGAGGTTCCTCGAATTCCCCCTTGGTGATGCGTCAAATTGAGTCAGGCGAGGCTGCCCGTATTCCCATGACTCACATCGCTCATGTCAGGCTCCGCACATACTAAGCTTCTCTGGGTCCACTTTCATATAGTTTCAAAGATCCGTCGTTGATTTCCAAGGATCAAGTCGCCAAATCTAGCGATAGCTTCGAGGTAAACACCTTCCAACTTCCAACCATGGCACCCTCGCACCTCGCACCTCGCACCTGCCCTGCAGGCACTTGCCCTGGATTTCTCTCTACGAATACGTCCAGTACTTCGTCTCATCACATCTCCATTGGCATACTCTATACACTGCATATATTCGCAGTATGTTTTCCTCATTTACTACAAAAGACCGTCTCCGTCGGTCCATGTCTTCTCGTTCTATCCACAAGCCTCCCCTTCCTGAAGTGGGCGTCATCGATCCCAATGTCGCCAAGGCCCATGCGGCAGCGGCAGCCTCTAAAGCCATGCGCTTAAGCGAACGATCATCTACAGAGTCCAGGAACTCGTACGATCGACTGGGTGGGCCAATACATATGGCTGTACCTAGACGACGACCGAACTCCAGTCTGCAGGGGACAGACGATGGTTTCTCGGTCTCCTCGACATCTGCCGTACCCCCAGTACCTCCAGTACCTCCAGTGACACCGCGCCAGTCAATAGAGTCGGGCTCTCGGACTTGTATTGCAAAGGCAATTCTTCCTCCACCGAATACAGATTTCAAAGGCCTTGATGGACGTGATAGCTCGGTTCCTTCTTCATACCGCCGACTCCGCAAAGCCAAGTCCATGTTCTCCACCAGACAGCGCTCATCAAATATCACCTACAAAGTGTCCCCAAAGTCCCCAAAGTCTCCTCGGCATGGTATCGACCTTGACCGAAGCCCAGGCTTCGAGCTGCCACGCACACTGAGACCTTCCATCTCTTTCATCCGCGGAGGTAATCTTCCAGGATCGCGAGGCATTCGTCATGCCAAAAGCCACGATGTCGCAATTCAGCTTGCACGCAACCAGTTTCTCGAAGAGTCTAAGGGAGCAGGACCCGCCAGACGCCCATCTCTTTTCATGTCCAGGAACAAGAGGGAGCCCAAGCCTTTCCGCAAAACATTCCGTGTCATAAGCGATGCTTGTATCGGCGCAGTTTCTCCTGAGCAGGCTGGCTTCAAGCACTGTCGCACTAGATCGAGAATCTTCTCTGCTTCTTTCAAGAAGGGACTCAAACGGGTGTTTGGGCTTTCAAAGCCTGTCGAGCAGAAGTTCCAGCTTTACGATGAAGACATTTGTACCGTTATTGAAAAGCCTACAGTCAAGCTTCAGCCTTTCAGTGTTACGCCCGAGCAAAATGTTAGCGTGAAGCATTGGAGTGGGACGAACCAGTTGCAGCTAAAGCAGGAGTCTCCTGGTCACGATAGCACCTGTACATCCGTCTCGCGCGTCACCAGCTGGGCCGATTCAACCGCGGCCAACACCGTAACTACTCGAAAGACTGGACATCGCCAATCACTTTCATTGATCGAAGAACATGGGGACTTGAACCAACGACTTCCTCGAATGCCAGCCCGTGTCGTTGTAGGCAACATTTCGCCCAGCAACAGATCCAGCGCACACAAATTGGATCCCTGGGTCAACAGCCAGGATCTATACACTGCGTTGATGAAGCAGATTGGACAAACAGCAGGGCACAACTCAGAAGAGGAGATAACTTTCGGCGCCGTGCCAGAACACCGTGTGGTTCCAGAATGCACCACCTCCGTCTATTCATACCGCAGAGGACCATCCGTCCGCCATGTCGCAAGTGGAGATTCTTCGCCTGTATCATTTTCAACTGCGCACCGCGGTGATTCACAATCTCCTCGAAAAAAACCTCAGTCGAACAGATACGCTCAACGATCTCGGGTGTCTCGATACTTGCCTGGCCAAGAGAACTGTCGACCTTTGAGCCCCTATGCGGTGGGGAAATCTTCCCAGTCAGCATTCATCATCAATGAACATTCCGATCAATCAACTGCGAGCGTTGTCGTTACTAATTGCGAGGACATCCAAGACCTATCAAGATCTTCGAGTATCTACTCTCGCAGCACCGGTGTCAAGACCCTCACAGAAGACATTGATACTGATGATGACCAGTCTCTGGGTACATGCGAAGAGCCTGGTACGGTGACTATTTTTCCTTCTGAGCGCCACTGTTCTCCAACTCGGAACTCTGGATCAAGCGCTCCCAGGTCTCAGGTGCAGCCAAGCGTGGACTGGCAGCAGTGGATGAACTCCCAGATTGGCAGAATTGAGACCACGAGCCCTATGAGGGAGCACTTCCGGGAGAATGCACAATACCAGGAAGATGAAGATGAATTCTTCATGGGTTTGATACGGCGAGCCCAGGGGCCAAGTTCAGAGTCGATCGTTAGTCCATATGTTGAAGGGCCAAATAAGCCAGCATGCATTGAAGCACAGGCACCGATAGAGTTCAAAGTCTCGGCTCAAAACAACTTCTCTCGTCCCTTCAGTCGCTCGTCAAGTATTCGAACCATTGTCACATCGCAAAAGATCGAACCCAGCTTCGCAGAAATCGAGTACACCCACCCCTCTGGCGCTCATGTCAATGCCAACCAGGCCGAAAATACCGTGCCCAGGCTTGCAATTCCCAAGAAAAGCTCTCTGTCACCACTGTACGTGCGAGCGGGCACCCTACGTGAAGCGCCCGACTCTCCTACTCCTCGGCGCGACAATGCAGGGTCCCAGAAGCGAACCTGGACACAGGAGCAGTACCGGCAGTATTCAGTACGGCGCCCGATCGCAAATGGGAGGCCCAACTCCTTCCGATCTGTGCGAACATATCGGGATATCCGCGGTCTAAATAACGAGAACACACGTCAGCAGGAGGAACACGACGAGATGATGGGCGAGTACCACAAGCTCCAGGACATTCGCTCAACAGTTTCCAGCAAGCATATGGTGGAGATGTTTTTGAACAGTCGACGACGTCCAGGAGACACAGAGACATCAAATGACAAAGCCGAAGTATTTCTATAATGCGTTCTGATTTTCGGGATTTGGATTGATTGGTGCGATGGACTGAGTATATTCTTCCCCGGCCACTCATTTCCACCATGTCCGCACACGCTTATATATATCAGAGTTGAAGGTTTCAGTGAAGTGCTATTGCAGATTGTATTAAGACATTCTTATTTCACAAAAAGAAACAGAAGAATGAGCCTGAGCAAAAATGGAAACAGATCGTAAAATCAAAGATGCAAAAAGAAACTCTCCCTCGGGGAATCGAACCCCGGTCTCCCGCGCTTATCGGTGTTAATGACAAGCGGAAATCATGACCACTAGACCAAGGAAGATGTAATAGCCGAGTTACTGCTCGACCACTTGGGTGGTTGATGGGATATCCGGCTTCGTCTTGTTATAGAAGCCATTAATCCAACAATTTCGGAAAGTCAGCATCATTTACGGTCACCTCGTACAGACCAAACTAATTAATTCAAACCCCACTATCGGATCTAGTAATCCCGAGATCTTTGAGAAAGTTTGTCTATACGGGTGGACTAATTCCTTACAGCCCTAGAGCTCAAGTACACCCAAGAAACGCGCTACTTGAGGCAACGCACAACGCACAAACCATTCTTAGCTTCAAGGCGCATTCAGACCTTAATTTAGGAGAGCTAAGTGCGGACGAACAGAAATTGTCCGAGCTCGTCGACCGGGCGTCGCGCTAGTGACGGTGTTTATACAGAGGGCCTACGGGTTTAGCCGTGGGAGTCGCTAGCACGAGGTTCCAGTAAGAATAGAGCTAAGTAGGATATACCTACAGCTACAGGACACAGGATCAGTGTGAGTTTGTGGGAATTCGCGTATTTGAGAACGATTTAAAGCCTTGAAAGTCGCAGGATACCTTCTCCACCCACTGCACTGCTACTCCGAACTACTTCATTACCTAGGGTTTTTAATATACGTCGGTATGTACTTCTATGCTTTAATCTCTTCCAAGTTCTGCGTTTTATATTTGTTCTGGTCTAGGTGATTGAATTGATAATCTATTACTTGGCTGATCATCCAAGAGAACATCGTCCTGGGGTCAACCACCTTCGCTTTTTATCGCTATGAAATCGACCATCCTGTTATGTGTGGTGGCGGTCTGTGATATCTCTGCCGTCTTTATCAGGCTTGGGAAGGGGGAATGAACAGCAGCTGCAAAAATGAGTCCGCTCTGCTCCCACTTGGCTTTGTTTAACGAGGTGTTGTCCGGGATGTTACAAGACTGAACAACGTATAGAGCATATATCAATGCAGATGTGCTGCATACACGGGCCCATGAGGGCCATTTGCGTCTATTGGTGGAGCTTTACATTCATCGAAAGAAAGCAGCGGAGAGATTTACCTGCCCATATATGCAAGGTTATATGTACAATGAATCTATGTTGGTTTCAAATGGTCTATAGTGAAAGTCTGGCAAAACTTCATAAGAAATCAATTAGAAGCAGAAAATACGCTATTCGATCCACCTGGGTATATATCCTCCACCCCCAACTTCCACCCCCAACTTTTTAAACAAGTCCCATCTACACAATCACTCCACATAGTTCGCAGGGAACTGTCCCTTTTTACCACGCAGCTCACCCTCCCACCAATCATCCGTACTCTGCGTCTTGGTGACAATCTTGATCCGGTCTCCTTCGTGGAAAACCAAGTCTCCATTCTGATGTCCGTTAAAGTCGTACAGAGCAGTGACGAAGGAGGCACCGCGTGGTGGGGGCGGCGGACGCTTCTTCTTTGCTGCAATTGCTGAGGTTATGTCCTGTGTGCTTGGGTTGCGCAAGTTGGTTGTATACTGCATGTGGTCGATCTTGGGACCAGCGGGGGACATCGATACTGGGACATGGGAGACTGGTTGATGATATGGACTTGGCATTGGGGATGGTGCTGGCATTGAGGGCTCGTAGTAATCGTCTCCGCTGGGAAGAGGGGATGTTCCCGAGGAGCTGGCGAGCGAGACGGAGCCGCGTGCTGTCATGTATGATGATGTTGGAGATACGGAGCGATATTCAGTCCCGCAGGGCTTGTTGCCTGGCATTGGGGGCGCGAAGGAGGGCTTGCGAGCTGCGGATATGGAGAATCCGGAAGTGCTGCTTGCGTGGCTTTTGATAGATGCCAGGGAGGGCCGAGAGGTCAGTGAAGGCCGCTTGCTGCCGACAGAGGGCCGTTTGTTCTCGGGGTTGTTGGGATCCGATTGTCGGATAGCTTTGCCCTGGGCGAGACAATTCAAGCTCTCAATATCGTCCTTTGCTTGGTTGTTGGCGAGTTCGTATTCCTGGATCACCTGGTCCATCGGTGGGGATGGGGATGGAAGTCCCTCTTCTTCGCAGTAGGTGTGTAGCACGGTGTAGTAGTGCGCTAGCATGCGGTTCTGAATCTCGACCTGCGCTCTCAGGAAATATGGCGCCAGGGAGAAGAGGAGGGAGATGAGGGTTGGGAGGCGTCGGCGCAAGTCGTCGTCTGCTGCGACGTATGCCTATGCAATGATCAGTATCTATTCAAGTATAGACATCGTGGGCTCCGTACCTCTTTCGCAACAGCGAAGTCGGAATTCGCCTTGGCCAGATTCGCATTATCGCGATCGTTCCGCTTCCCCTTTGTCATGAGGCTATCGACTTTGCTTTGGTAGCGCTCGAAATCGGACTACAGGCAGATTAGACACTGACCCGGCTCCGATCGCGGGTGGGGGCCGCCACTGACCTTTTTATCATTGCGCTTCTTGATTGTCTTTTTGACTGGGATAATGTAGTTCTTCGCATCCTCGGCAGGCTGTGTTATGCGCGTTTCGACGGTATCAAGCTCCTGTTGCAGATCCCCGCGCAGTTCGTCATATTCTCTTCGCAGTCTGTTGGTCCGGGCTAGAAGCGCGGGGTTGGTATCCACCGGGCGACGAAATGTCTCGGTTTCGCTGGAGCCGACAATGGGGGCATAGAGACCGTCGAACTCGTCGATCATGCGACTCTGGAAGGTTGCAATCGACACCCAGGCATCGCGCCAGGCCTTGGTGGAATCGACAATCTGGAACGAATTAGCAACGTGTCCCTAGAACGGTGCTGCCTAGGTACGACTGCGTACGTACCTTGGTCAAAAGATTATCAGCATCCTCGAGATCTTTCAAAAGAACGGCCACCTGGCTGTCATCGGCAGACCGTTTGGTGGTCATGCGCCCGAACTTTCGCTGCATGCTCTGCATCCTGGTAGCTGGGGAGAGCTATGGGGAGGGCTATGGAGAGCAATGTGGGGAAGCTCAGCTGTGAGCAGCACAGCAAGGAAGTCAACGAGACAAGCTTTCCTAGAACTGAATGCTGAGGATCAAAGCCGGTCAGCACTTTGATTTGAAAAGAGAGAGGAGGGAGAAACAGGATGTGTCACGGCCCCCAAGGACGTTTCAGCCTTGCTGCGGCTCTCGCCCCCCCCCTCAGTTTATTCTTGGTTCTTGGTTCGGAGAAAGACAACGTGTCGATCGGTTCCATCATCGTTGAGTCTTTCTCCACTCTATTGGGGACCGAAAGCAAATCATCCCATGTTTTTACATGTTCAATGACCAGGGACTGTGGGGGCCGATAAGCCCTTTTGGAGGCTGTGCAACTACAGTACGGTACATAGCTTCCAAGGTTCTTAGCCGAGTCTAATGGCTGAGTGACATATTGACAAAGCGAAAAAGCGAAAAAGCGAAAAAGCTCATGGAGATTGATTTAGAAAATGTGTTTAGTGTGTTTAATGTGTTTAAAGAGATTTCTACAGACGAGACGATGACAATAAGGTCAACCATGGATCAACGAATGCCTGAGGCGACACTCAATCTCTGGTTGACCAGGTACATTCGGGGACTAGATGCTAGATACTATTTACTAGTTATTATGCAGTAGTGTTCAGGTACGAGGGAAATGGCCAGCTAAGTATTTGGCTACTTGAGAATATGTACTTGTTGCAATATTGCAATGTAATTAACATGATTCACCCAGAGCAATAAAGACCAGGGCCATGTAGACACCTGAATGTGCCTGAACTCCAACGCGACCCGCGTTTCCGTCTTATCACGTCTTATCCACCTCCACCTTCATCCTCACCTTCAACAATCATGTCTCGTCACTGAACCTCGGTATGCACGAATCCATGTTTCCCGTCCACTATGTTCACCCCGATGTCGTCCGCTCGCCTGGGCCCGGGCCCGGGGCCGAGCTCGCAATCCCTGTCCCAATCCCAGTCCCAGTCCCAGGTCACCGCGTCGGTCGTTAAGTTTCGTTGCCTATACACACACGACTTGCGCCGCAAGTCCAAACGGTGGCAGGATGGCTATCTTCGGTACCATACATTCAACAAGCGCATTATGGTCTACGACGAACAAGGGAACTACATCGGTGATCACCACTGGCGGTCGGTCGAGGAAGTCCAGGATGGCGATGAGCTCGAACTGGATAAAGGCGCTCTGATCCAAGTTGGGGAAAGGATGAGCACCACCCAGACTGATCTCTCCAACCTTTTGGAGAAGAGGAAACCTAGTCAGGGCTCCCCGCAGTCCAACGCTTCCGCCCCGCAAGCACCGCGTACATCAACGCCTCGATCCTCAAGCTCCTCGCAGCCGTTCCGCTCGTTGAATGATCTTCTCGGTATTAAGAAAACCCCAATTGGGCACCTAGTCTCGCCCTACGAAGAAAGACACCCGCCTCCTTCCCCATCAGATACCTCCTTGCCGTCACAGCGCGCACCCAAACGACCCAAAGTGGTCTCGCCGAAACCAGTAATCAGCAGAAGTGTTCCGGCTGAAGTGGTGGACTTGACTGAACCCGAAGAGAGGCCCCCTGCGAAAGTACGCAAGCTTGCGACGGCACACGAGACGGCCAGACTAGCACAAAAGCCTCAAAATTTAGTGCCCACCGGGCAGCCTCCGCTAGAGACACAACGAGAGACTCCCAAAGCAACAAAGCCACAGAGGCCCGCTCCTTCGACAATCTTTAGGCCTTCGATTCCGCCCGAGAAAGCACAAGATCTTTCAACAACGACGACAATAATACCACAGAGGTCTGATCCTGCGCAATTTACGAAACCCTCTGCGCCCTTGGAGAAACCACAAAGAGCACCAACAACCGCGAATTCACAGTGGCCTGAACCCTCGCAGTTCACGAAGTCTTCAAAGTCGCTGGGAACACCACAAGATACATCCAAGACATCAAATTCACCATTATTAGAGCTCCCGGAATTCACGAAGCCTCCGGTGCCGCCTGAAACCTTACGAGACGCGCCAAGAGCAACAAATCTACAGAAGCCCGAAATTCCAACATTCGCGAAACCACCTTTACCTGCTCGCTCGGCATCATGGAGCCGTTCTAAAGAACCAGTTCGTCCATCAGCAAAGGACATGCAGAACGAGCCGCTTAGTGCCCGCAAGCTTCTGGATGAGAACCTGCCAGTGCCTCCACGAACGAATTCAGACACCTCTTCCTCCGAAATACCCATTAAAACATTGCGCATGGCAACAGAGAAACCTCGCAGAAAGCTAATGTATAGCGCGTTGTTGCCCAGCGACACATCACAAAAATCGTCTCCAATTCCATCGAAATCGCTTTCAAAGAGAAGTCAACCTACGCCAAGAAAACTGGATTCGCAGTCAGTATGTGCCCGGCATATGATGGAGACCAGCACTAATGTTATTGTAGAGCAGTGAACACACCCGCCCAGGAGCTTGACTCCACAAACGCCGAGTTCCTGCCCTCAGACTCGACGCAATTTATTCTTGATGCAATGGCAGATGGCTCAAATTCAGGAGCCATAATGACCCAACCTCCCAGTTTATCTACACGAAGAGCTCTCGATGCACCGCTCAGGAAATCACTATCCGATCCAACTGCCTTGACAGCTCAACGTACACTCCAGAGCCGACCCACGCTCAAGCGAAGCGCTATGAGTGCGCTTCCGGAACAACCAGAAGTCAACGAAGAGGGGCCCTGGACATCCGAAGCCCTAGATCTATTTGATTTCTGGCCCCCGGGACGATCAAAGCCCATCTGATTACCCTCATTCATATCCATTTTTATACCCCTGGAGCAGTCTCCCATGTACATGTCCTTACGTCTTCAACCATGATACCCATTTATAGAAGATCAATGCATTTCGTCTTCTCACGGTCTAAGCCTTCTTCACCAAAGTCCCCGAAATATAAGTCATAGCGGACCAAGCAAAATCCTGCTGAATATCAACACTCTCCCACCCGCCATCGCAGTCCGCCGCCCTCCTCAACGCCCCCTCCGTATCCCTATCCAAACAACAGTCTCCAATAAAGAAACTCCATCCAAAAAACATATAAATCCCCTGCACAACCCTAGCAAGCAAAGACCCCTTGGCACTCCTCCACGGATTCACAACATGCTCCGTAATAAGCAGCTTCCCACCAGGTTTCAACAATCCATACAAGTCTCCAACCGTCTTCTCCATTTCCGGCACAGAGCAGAGAACACGCACACAGAGAATGGTATCAAAGATTCCGTTTTTCGCATCTTCATCATACGCAGCCGTAACTCCTGTCTTCGTCTCGCGTAAGGCAGGGACTAATCCCGATGCCGCGGCGCCACAGCCTAGAATGTGATACTTTGATGCTAGACCTTCGGATGAGGCTTTTGCGCGGAGTTCGTCGTGGAGACCGTGGCAGGGCTCACAGCCGTAGATTTTTTCTATGGCTGGGGAGCGGAGGAGGGGCATTTGGGTTCCTGTGCCTGGGCCAATGTCTAGGACTATCCCAGAGGCAGTTTTAAGGAGGGGAGGAATTAGGACGGAGGAGTTCCTGTTGTTTGTTGGATTGAATTCATCTTCCCCCGAGACGGTGACTGGGGGTGTTGTTGGTTGAGATGGAGTACCTGGTGATGGTTAGTTTCTTGGGCTGAACAGCTTGGTTGCACATGTGAGATGTATAGTTTGAGGTGAGAAGTGAGATATGGGCTGGTTTTTGTTTCCTCTCAGGATTTTGGGGAGTTTGGAATTCATAATGCATTGCGCATGGTGCACGATGCCTGTTAGGAGTGATGAATACTCACTGGTGAATTCAACCCAGAATTGACCAAAGGCCTTGTCGCGGAGCTCGCTGGTCCGGAAGATAGGTGCTAGAACCTGGCCATTCTTGAAAACAGCTTCGCCGCAAACGCGGATGTAATCTGTTCCTAGTTAGCCATCATATATCTTGGACAATTGGTTGAGCAATGCATATGGAGGACATCGCGAGTCAAACATCAAATCCCAAGGCTAGACATGGATTGAAGCAGACCATATAAGCCAGGCAAGGGATTTATGCACCAAAATATATCAAACATGAAGCAATTCCAAAGATCAAGATAAGGGACATGTTTTCCAACTTAGTATTGATAAGTTATCACCGAGGCACTTACGACGCATAGCCCAGGCCATGAGCATTGCGGGCTCGGCTAGGCCAAGCATCCGCTCACCAAGGGGCGGGGGAGCATCCGAAGACATGATGCTAGATCTGTGTGGTAACAAAGAGTAGAAAAGAAGGAAGGTCTGACAGCTCCGGACATTTTCAATGGTTACACTGCGGAGATGAGTCATGTGATTGTGTGGGTCAACTACCGGACGCCTTCCATTGACATTTGGAAAACGCAACATCTCGTTACTACAATGGATATGAATACTGTAAATGCTTGAATGATATAGAATCCCATGAATAAATTGTCAACTGCAGACTAAAATTTTAGTATGGCTCACGTTCTGGTGCTCAATACAGAAACGAGCACGATCACGCAGAAAGAGCGGCAGAGTAATCGCACATATGCTCGAATGGTTCGACAGAATTATCAACAGAAGAAAACGAAAAGAATATAGAGAAGGGTGGATGTCGGATCAGACTTGGCCGTGACTTGAACACGGAAAATACACAAAGGAAGGACGGAGACGGGAGAGATCTGCATGAGTAAAGGAAATAGGAAGAGAGTGAAGTATGAGGTGTAGAAATCCTAGTGGGAGAATCCAAAGTCATCCAGGAATGTGCCAAGGAGCCAATTTGCTGAGTCCTCTATTAGAGTAGGCGACACGGTGATGATGAGATGCTGGTCGGACAAGAAGAGAAAAAGAGACTCGTAGCCATTATAGAAGTGACGCAAGCCGTCTTTGTTTGAGGACCTGCCCGCAAACTCGAGCAACCCGATTTATTGGCCAATGCTTTTTAGTGATGGGAGTGGTTGCGGTCGACCCGCGGGCTGTACCTGCTGGTACGAGAGAGCGAACCCACGTCGTGTTTGCCATCGCAGCAGGCACGCACGTTCTCAAGTCGGTCCCCGTCATCATGGTCGTGCGTGTGTCCAAGGTTCTCAACACTGTCCTGACCACGGAGGCTTTCGTTGTGGAGACTGGGGGACTGGGCACCATGACGTCCCTTCAGACTAGCAATTGATCCGCGGATCGAGCTGTTGAGCCTTGAACTGAGGCGGGATGAAGACCGCTGCGGGGGTTCCTCGGGAACTTGCAGCGTGGAGTTCGGCGCCCCGGTGCTGAGTGCGGGAGACGCACGGCCGTGAGTTCCAGTTGAGCGCATGGACATGGCAGAAGCTGCGCGTTGTTGCTTGGGCTTGCCGCGAAGGGTGTGACTGTTATAGGAGGACTGTGACATCCGGGCTGTCTGGCGAGAGGCAGAGCGGAACCCAGGATTAAATTCATCAATATCATCCAAAGTCACACTGTTGTCATGGTCCTCGCAATTGTCATTGGTCTCGCGCAAGAGAAGGTACGATAAGGCATTGAACCAAGTCTCGTGCCGTTGACTTGTGCTGGCAGTGAACCGGACGCGACGGCCAGGACTGACAACCTCCAAGCTTCGCTGGTGAAGACCCGGGGGATAAGGGTTATCGTCCGCGACCACTCGCACAGCCTCGATTGGTACACTCTTGGTCCGAAGCTCACTCTTCCCGGCAGTTTGCGGGTCTGATTCACTCCAGTATAGGGTACGAGTATACGGGTGGACCCAGAAATACCGCCGATGCCGGGTGGATGACATCTCCGCTGAACCGGTCTTTCGAGTATATTTCCAGAGGAACTCTCCAATCATTGTCTGTGTGATCGCCTGGATCATGCGAGGATCGGTGTTAGGTCCGTAGCCGTGGGGCATGGGACCAGCGTGAGGGTTCATGTTGAATCGCTCCTCGAGCTCGGAAGTAAACGAGGACACTGATGACCGCCTGGACATCTGGCTTTGGCTTCCCCTCCTCACACGAGGCTGCGTAGACACGGTCTTGGTGGAATCAGGACGGTTGGCATTTTCACTTGGTGTTCGGGGACCTTGCACATTCATGCGATAGGCAGAGGCAGGAGCCAAAGGAGGACCCATGGTACCGGGCGACGGCGGGGGCACATCGATTGACTTCTTCTCAGCCGCGAGGATACTTTCGCGATGGTCTGAAGGCAATGGCGGGTGAGAACTGACGCCAGAGACCTGGCTGGTTGCAGTATCAGGTCGTCTGGGAGTTCCTGATCTGGATGTTTGCTGTTGAGGGCGAGGTCTTAGCTTGGGGGTAGCATATGGTGACGCGGTGGCAGCGGCAGCGGCAGCAGCAGCAGCAGTTGCGGTAGTAGCAGCAGCCAATGCCATGTCTCTCGTGTGATTGCTTTCATTGGAAGCGGGACGCGGAGATACCCGTTCCATGAGGAGCTGGTCGATCTGCTTCGCGGAAAGAATGGTTTGAGCGCCCTGGTCCATGCTGACAGAGCTGAATGGCTGTCTACCAGTATGAGGTAGAGCATTGCCAGAAATGTCGCTCAGAGCCAAGCCAGTGCTTGTTCGCCGTTCGCCGGTGTTGGCATCCCCAATGCTGCGAATAGAGTCACCGGTCTCATTTTCGTGGACGAGAACTGCAGCAGCTGCAACTGGTGACTCCTCCATCGGGTCTGTTTGAATGCCGAAATCGGTCATCGGAGGAACCGCGCGTGGAACATACTGGACTGGATGAGTCTCGATTGACCGTAAAGTAGCCATTGTGGGGCTAGGGAGAGCAGGAAGCTCGATAGATTTAGGTGCAACCGGGTGCGTAAAGGCTGGGTCCAGCCAGGAGACTGACAGTTGGGGAAGAACTGGTTCCCGCTCGACAATGCGTTCGACGATGCGCTCGACAACGACAGGTTCAGGCATTGGAACGGGTTCTGGAAGCTGAGGCTGAACCGGCACAGTATGTTCGGAGGCAATAGTTGACACACCCAGCTCGGACAATGGAAGTGCTTCGATAACAGGAGGTTCAGGGATGGATTCAGGTTCGGGGAGTTGGGCCTGAACAGGCTGGGCGGAATGATGAGTAAAGAGAGACGACAAGGATAATTGAGGCAATTCCCGAAGAAGATCGACCGGGATAACAGGCTCAGGATCTGGGATGGTTGCCAGGATAGGCTCGATGGAATGATGAGTGAAATGAGATGACAAGGATGGCTGGGGCAGATCCCGTTCACGCTCAACAATGCGCTCGACAACGCGCTCAACAACGACCGGCTCCGACACAGTTGCCAGAACAGGCTCAATTGAATGATGCAGGTGGTGAGACGACAAGGATGGCTGGGGCAAGTCACGCTCACGCTCGACAACGCGCTCAACAACCACCGGCTCCGGAACAGGAATTGTTGCTAGAATAGGCTCAACTGAATGATGCGTGTGGAGAGACGACAATGCTGGTTGGGGTAACTCCCGCTCACGCTCGACAATTCGCTCAACAATGACAGGTTCCGGCACAGGAATTGTTGCCAGGACAGGCTCGACCGAGTGATGTGTGTAGTGAGACGACAATGCCGGTTGGGGCAATTCCCGCACACGCTCGACAACCCGCTCGACCACCACAGGTTCGGGCACATGGAGCTCATGCTTCACAGGCTCGACCACGCCTCCAGAAACGTATGAAATGCCCAGTTCTATGAATGCGGGCAACTCGGGAACAGTTTCCTGAGTAGTGATGGTGGCCATTCCCATCTCAGCCGGTTCGGCTTGAGTGCCTGCCTCGACTCCTTGACTTCCGATAGAACGCTGGTCCCAGGCCATCTTGGGTGGCGTGGGAACACTCGTCAGGTGGTCATTCTCAATCGCCGAAGGCTTGAGAGGCGTCCATTGTGTTCCAGAGCTAACCAGCTTGGGTGTTTCCTGATTTTCCGCGTCGATTTCTCGATCCGCAGTCAGACTTCTCTGAGGAGTACCCGGGGCTTCGGGGAAATTGGCATCACCAACCACGGTGACAGGAACGGTTGGCTCCCAAGGTTCAGTCATCACACCGCTATCGACCATAGCTGGTCTAAGCGGTGAACCAAGCATTGTCTCGGAGGGCCTGCGAGAGCCAGATATAGATCCCATGCGCGGAGTAGAAGCCTCTGGAACATCCTCTTCCTCATCTTCTTCCCCACCTTCCAGCTCTGCAAGCTCGGCGAACAGACTTTGACCCTCCTGGGCCATCGTCTCTTGCTCCAAGGTTGGGGCAGGGGAGTTACGTGAGCTTCCCGGCCGGCTGATAGAGGCCATTGGGGCTTCCCCAGAGGGGCGAATACGTCTCAAAATGCTTCGCTTGTTCCTAACACGGGGGCGAGAAATGTGGGTTTGGCTTGGCGAGGGAGCACCTCCGTCGTCTGTCTGGTCATCGTCCGAGGTGGAAGCCGAGCTGTGCCACGAAGTGCGGTCACGGGCCTTGGCCATGATGAAAGATGAGGTGACTCGGCTTCGTGGTGTTGTCTGAACGTTGTTCTCGGTCTCAGTGAGGTCCGCAGAGTCGTCGCTGCTGTCGTCCGCCATGCTTTCCACACCGGTCTGGAACGCCTCGCTCTCAGTAGCGGTAGCGCGCTCGTTAGCAGTCTCGAATCCATCCTCAGCCTCGGTAGCAGTCTGATAGACATCGCTAGGCTCATCAGGGGAGCGAGCACCGGCGCGGCCCGTGGGCATAGCTGCCATGATCGGGCGAGTGGGGCTGGTCTGACCAGCATTGTCTTCCCAATCAGTGTCATGAAGTTCAACAAAGGACTTCTCCTTGCGACCGGCACCCAGAAGATCTGGACGAAGAGGTTTGCGGATGGAGTCTTGTTTGGTCTTCAGGCGCTTGCTCGAGCTTGGCGCAACGGCCTCACGACGTTTCTGCTCGACCTCATCGCGGGCCTCTTGCAACATGCGCTTAAGCTCCATCTTCTCCGTTTTCTCACGATGAATAGTGCTCTTCAGGTTCTGGATCATACGATGAGCATGGCCAAGGGAACTCTTCAGGGTTTCTGATTCCAAGTGACCATGACGAGGAGTGAATTTGTTGGGAGACGGGGGTGGAGAGCTTTCAGGTGTGATATGTTCTTGGTCGGAACCGTCGTTATCATCGGCGATATCACGAGAGCCCTGGGACTCGTAGTTTCGAATGCGCATAGCCAGACCCTTCGCCAGCTCTTGATTTTGAGAGGTCAGCTCTTCCAGCTTCTTCTGCAGAGCAGACTTCTCCAAGTCGCCAGCGTTCAGATTTCGACGCAAGAGGTGCATTTCAGAATCGTTGGCTTTCTGCACCTCCATCTGTTCCTCTAGGAGCTTTGCGTTGGCTTGCCTTAGCTCCTCGAGTTCTCGCTCCACGGCACTTTTGTCGGAGTTAGATGCGCTAAGGCTGCTGTTGAGTTTCTTCTCACGTTCAGTAGCGTCTCTGATGGTTGCCATCAGCTCATGGGTCTGCGTCTCTAACGCCCAATTCTCATCCTTATAGCGCTGTTCGCTGTCATCGAGCGATCGAATGCGTTGTGAATAGGCCTCGGCCTCCAGTTCCAATCGCGATTTCTCCAAATTCACATTCTTCAGGGATTCCTCGCGTTCGGCGAGAAGCGCCTGTAATTGGCGAACTTGGGCTAGAAGAGAAGTGGAAATCTCGGTCGCAAATTCGATGTCGTGCACACGACTGGCAGGTTGATTGCGCTGCTTGCGGGACGGAACGCTGACTTTGCTGGGAGAGTTGGTCGCTTGGCTGGCGAAAAGAGCAGGGCTGATAGGAGACTATCCTGCGTATTAGATCGGGCAACCTTCAAGAATACAGACGTTGCGGTTAAGTACCTTTTGATCGAAACCAGGAGTACCCGGCTGGGCATCCTCACCTCCAGCCAAGCGCTTTGGAGCCAAAAATGCGCGAGCTGTCTCTCGGCCAATCTCGCTATATTCACGTTCCAGGTCGGCGAGTTTCTGTTGGAGTTGCGGGCCCATTTCCCCTTCATCTTGCTGCTGTTCGACCTCCTTCAACTGCTCCTCGAGTTGTCGTTGTTGGTCGATAAGCGCAGTTCCCAACTTAGACGCCTCCTCAAGACGGCGCTCGGTCTCGGCCAGATGGGCCTCGAGGGCTCGCTTGGCCTGTGCTGGCGAAGAAGCATTGAGGCTGAAAATTTGTGTATCGAAGGGCGAGTAGCGATGAGATTCGCGGGGCACGGGGGGCTGCCCATTAGTGGAAACGAACGGATCCTCCATCATAGCGGCGAGAGAGTTATCCGTGTTACTGGATGCCGCCATTCTCCAAGGGCGCGGTGTGCCTCAGTCGGCGTCCGAGTCCCCTTCGATGGGAGGACACAGTCGCCACTGAGAGGAGTCGCACGGTGTGTTTGATGGATCAAGGTGAGTTTAAACGAGCATCGTCCAAGTCAACGCGCCTCGAGTGTCGCAAGGTCCTCGCGCCGGGACAGTGAGCCGACCAGCGACCTCACAATAAGGGGGAAACAAGGGGAGTTGAAGGTGAGAGGGGAAGAAAACAACAAACACGGGCGAATCCGTGAGAATCCCGGACCTGCGAGATCTGGGCACACGCGTCGATCACCCAACCAGACACTGCAAACTTGCAGGAATTATCAATCGACAACAAAGTGGAAGAAACGAAAAGAAACGAGAAAAAGACTTTAACAAGGAAAAAGAAAACGAAGGGAGTGTAGGGAGTGTGAATGGGGGTAGCGAAGGGCGACTCGGGCGAGGAGGAAAAGAAGAGAGGGCGAAGCGCCTTGGAGGGAGGAGTCGATTGACACCGGTGTTTGAGATTGGGCACAAGATGGGGGAGATCGTGATCGCCCCTCCGTGACGCTACGTGGGTGTATATATAGCTAGTGGGGGATCTAGATAACTACGGAGCTATAAACATTAAAAAACAAAAAGATTAAAAAAGATAGCGATCGCCCTTGTAAACAAGACATCGAAAACAAGGTTGAGCCTTCCGATTCGACCAAATTACTGTGTTGTTGTTGTCTTCGAGCGCGTGGTTTGCATTGTTTGCATGGCTTAGTCATATTTTTTTTGAGAGCCTTCGTCATTCCTGGATGATATCTAAGCCACCTTACTTTCTCTCTTCTAACCTAGTTCTGCCGTTTCTGCCATTCGACTCTCTCATAATGGCAGAGGAAACGAAGGCCACCGAGGCTGTTCCCCAGTTCGGCTTCAAAAAGCGCTCCAGCAAGGCCAAAGCCAACTTTCGCAAGAAGCCCGCCACGCCACCTCCGGCCTCCGACTCCGATTTTACCTCCTCCGATGACGAAGAAGGCCGGCGCATTAAGAGGAGGCGCAAGAATGTCGCAGTGACTGCTTCATCCGCTACCAATGCCGCTCGAAAAGAGACCTCCGCCGAGCAACCCTCCGCCGGTCCCGCTCCATTGACATCGAGCAACGACGCAACCAAGAGCGCCAACTGGCACGATGAAGACTTGAGCGCCAAGAACCTACTCGGCTCGACACGAGCGCGCCCTCGGGAGTCTCAGGAGGCAGCTGGGCTAGATGGCACGTATAAGGGCGCCGCCAATTACACATCCTTTATCCAGAAGAACCCAGATGCGCCGACAAAACAGTTCGGTCCGATCAAAGCGCCTACCAACGTGCGCACGGTGACGGTGATGGATTTTGCGCCCGATGTGTGTAAGGACTACAAGCAGACAGGATGTAAGTCGATCTCAACGTGAACCTCTGGCCGATCCAGTTGCTAACTAATTTGTACAGTCTGTGGTTTCGGTGATTCCTGCAAATTTCTTCACGCACGAGAAGACTATAAGCAAGGATGGGAACTCGATCGCGACTGGGAGGTCGGCACCAATGGCAAGAAATTGGTTGGGCGCGTCGTATCACAGCGCAAAGGTGCAGGCATGGCCGAGGAGGAGGACGACGATGAGGACGAATTACTGGAAAGCATTCCGTTTGCCTGCATCATCTGTAAGAAACCCTACACAGATCCTATCTTGACCAAGTGTGGTCACTATTTCTGTGAGTCCTGCGCCTTGAATCGCTATCGGAAGAATCCATCCTGTGCTGCTTGTGGCGCGGGAACTGGAGGTGTGTTTAATGTTGCGAAGAAGCTCACTGCCTTGCTGGACAAGAAGCGGGAACGAGCTCGCAAACAACGTGAGGAGGCGCTTGCCAATGGGGAAGAAGTTAGCGATGAAGAGGAGGAAGATAGCGATTGAGGAGCCTCTTGAAATGCAGCTGGCTGCATGGCGCTGACTCTATCTTCTGATGTGAAAATTTTAAGTAATAGATTGGAGATCTTTCTGAAAACAAGTACCCGGCGACTAGTGGTTACATACCCATAATATTTCGTATCATGACAGGACATTCCGAGGGCTTGACTTTTTCTCATTGTTTACGATGATGTCTTTTCCAGATTTCTGTATGTAGAGCTATCAAGATGTACGCCTGTGAATGAAACTCGTATCCAGTGCTTTGGCCTTCCAAGCCAACTATGAATCCCTTCCTACGAACACGTTCGACAGCAAATCACCGGCTGTGTGCAGAGGTTGACGGAGTTCACCCTTACGACCTACAAGAAGGATAATTACAATTGAATAGCTCGATCAACGAAGACTGATGCTGGTCCCGAAATGGAAAGAAAAGACTGATCAAATTTGTCCCGAGTCTTGCAAGCTCAGCGATTGATGTACATGGATGAGTCCTACCAAAGATCAAATCGAGCATTACCATCTTGGAATTGATCAATCAGTATGGCCAATGGATTTATCAAAGCTATAGGAACGTGCTCCTGCACGTGTGTCATCTCAGCCGACCATATTTCAAGTTGGGTTAGGAATTGCGCAAACCAAAATCATCCTAGGTGAGGAGCTAGACACCTATCTATCATCGCCAAGAGACATGTTTGCGGCAGCGTTGACAAAGTCGACGGCACTAGACTTTGCAAAGCAATTTCCTCACCTACGAGACTTATCATCATCCGATACGATAACTCTGAGAACGGGCAAGATGAGGACAGACGAGACGCGGCGTTGGCGGATACAGAATTAGCCCATCGTTTCGAGAGAGGCAGAACTCGCAAGGATAACCGAAACCTACACTCCTTGGGAGGTGGGAGACTGCGCCTTCTCTTTTTCTTTCTTTCTTTTTGCCAGGATTCAATCTGAGTGGGTTGGTTTGGATCAATGGTTGCAGATGGCTCCTTTCATCCCAGGCGAGGGCCGCCGTTGAGCAGGAGTCCACGTGTACTTTGAGCCTATCTGGTGATTTGGTTAATCTATCTCATGAGTCGGTCTATGAGCGGGGTTCGTGTTTCTAGCGTGAAATTCTATCAGACCAGACTAATCTCGAACTAAAATGGCGACTAATGCAAGGAAACGCCAAAGGCTTCTAGGTAGTAACAATAAAGGTCATGGTCAGAGTGACACTTTGACACTTTGACAAGGTGACACCTTGTGACGCCTTGACGCCTTGGCGAAACAAATTTCCGAATGTGTCCGACCTTGGGACGTGGACTTCGACATCAGATCAGCCCCTCGATCGAACATCCCCTCCCCCGGCCCCGGAGCGCCCAGAGCGCCCTCTGGCGAATTGAGGAAGAATCAAGGTAAGTTGCCAAGTCGTGGAGGGTTAGCGAGCCACGCGGCGCCTGCAACTTCACGGTGGTTGAGCACCGTTGCCCAATGAAACGCTGGACTTCCAGGCTATCACAATGGGGGTGAGATAGCAGCAGCCGAGACCGGCCCCATTGCCAGAACGGCATTTACCCGCGGCTTTGATAGACGAGACTGCAAGCTGCAAGCTGCAACTTCAACTGCAACTGCAAGGGCAAGGAGGGGCTTGACGCAATGCCGCAACAAAGGTCAACCCGCGTGGAGCTGATCCGTAGTCGGGACAGTGCACACAGTAACTCGGTCCTCGAGCTTACAGTACAGTACTCCGACAGTTGCCCACTTGACAAGGGCCACACCATCATCGGTGCGCTGATCAAGTGGTGGGCCTTTCCTCCGTCATTGCCACAGTCCACACTCCCGCGAGGCGACGGGCTACCGAGAATGGTCTTCAACGACTTCGACTCCAACTTCCAACTTCCAACTTCCAACTTTAAGGAGGGAAGAACTCAGTCGTGCCCCACATCGAATACGAGACTAAAACTGATAGCTCGGTGGAGAAATACGTCCAATACGTCGTACCCGGCCGGCGACTGCTTCTTGCACGGCGCCATGTCCATCTTCCATCTTCCATCTTCCATCTTCCATTTTCCATCTTCCATCTTCCATCTTCCATTTTCCATGTTTCCATGTTCCAGGTTCCCACCATTCCCCCTCTGAACTTTGTTCCATTGCCACGTGCGAACCGTGGTACCCATAATACGCGGATTGAACCAACTAATCAAGGCGTCTGATTCAAGGGTCCACCTTAGGGGCCATGGTCCTTGCGCCTGTCGCCTTCAATTTCCATGCGCCCTTTAACCTAACGCCTCAGGGGGGCTACGCAGCCCCTAGCCAAGCTTTCACCTGCCCAGGGCCTATGCGGCCTCTAACCATCCCCGGTTTCGACTTGCGGCCCCAAAGTCCCCCTGAGCCAGTCCGATTCCAGTCTTGCCTCGGGGGACCCAGTGGCGTGGGGCACAGGATGACATTCTAAGTTCAACTCGGCTTAGACTACTTGCATGGCGAAAAAGAAAAATTAAGAAAGCATGGGCCCTCCTCTAGCTCGCCCTGCATCCCGCCCATCCTCTTCTCTCTTTAGACTCTTTTCTTAGATCGTGCGCGGAAAGGTTATCTTTTCGCGGCCACTCTTTTAAACCTTTTTTCAACACTCTCCTTCTCCTTATTCTCCACCGCGACTCTGCCCGAGACCGGCTTCCCACTCTCTTCTCCATCTCTTAATCTTCCCCTCACGCACGCGTCTTGCATTCTCTCACTCACTCGCTCTTTTTGTCTCTCTCTCTCTCTCTCTCTCTCTCTCTCTCTCTCTCTCTCTCTCTCTCTCTCTCTCTCTCTCTCTCTCTCTCTCTCTCTCTCTCTTCAGTCCTTTCTCTCTCGATCCTCCCCTCAATGGATCAGTGGTTCCTGGTGAGGTGATATTTGGTACAACCGGGAGCTTCGCCAAAGGGCATCGCTTGCACTGTGATTTATTGGCTTTCACAATGAGAGGTGGAATGCGTCTCGCATTATGCGTGACGGGCGTGCTTCTTTTTTCCTCTATCTGCTCGAGGCCCATTTACAGGACCTCTGTAATCAGTACCGCGCTGGCGCATACCTGGTGGACTGGCTGGATCGCAATGGGCCCGCCCACAGCCCGGCCGACAGCAACACCGCCCCGGGAGACAAAGTCATTGTGATGGCCAAACTGGAGGAAGAACCCGCCGATTGGGTGGAAGAACAACTACCTGAGTACGTTTACTCCCTTCAATTCACCTCACCTCGCTAACCCCCTCCCAGCTGGCAACGAGCCATCTACGTCGTCAACCCTACCCAAGAGACACGAACCGACGCCAAAGTCCTCACAACTCCAACAAACAAAGGCCATGAGTCCATGGCCTACCTCACCTACGTGATCGACCACTACCACGACCTTCCCTCAACAATCGTCTTCCTCCACGCCCACCGCTCCGGCTTCCTAATGGCTTGGCACGTCGACGCCCCCCTCCACGACAACGTCGCCGCAATGCGCATGCTCCAACTCGATTTTGTCCAACAAAACGGCTACGTCAACCTCCGCTGCAACTGGAACCCCGGCTGCAAGGAAGCCCACCGTTATAACACCCACGTCACCGACCAAGTCTGGTTCGACATCTTCGACGGAACAAGCACTCCAGCCCTCAACACTTCCTCGCCCTACCAAACGGAGTCCAGTACCCAACGCTACCTGCGCAAACCAGACCAAATCGGCGCTGCATGCTGTGCCCAGTTCGCGCTTAGTCGCGCCCAGGTGCATCTCCGTCCACGAGACGATTACATCAAGTTCAGACAATGGATTATCGACACAGAACTGAGCGACGCCTCGTCTGGACGAGTCATGGAGTTCTTGTGGCATGTGATTTTCGGCATGAACGCTGTCTACTGTCCGGATGAGGAACTGTGCTACTGCCAGGTTTACGGCCAGTGCTAAACTAAGCGACTTGCACATATCAAGCGATTCTTGTTAATTTTTTTTTTCGCATACCCGGCGCCTTCATTTTCTATTTCCTGCGCGATGTCGCAGTGCCTGGCGTTCGATTTTATGGGGTGGTGGTTCGATTCTCTTTACAAGAGTTGGAGTTTTTATCTGTAGATGGGCTTGATGCCTGCTATTCAGTTCGATCCTGAAGTATATAGATATACTGATATTTCAGTCCCAATAGAAGACATATTGTCATTTGCATTCATACTGGCTTCAAGGGTGCGTTGTGTAGATTGTTGGGGGGTGGATCGACTCCTTTAGATACACGCCGGTCTAGACCTAGCGCGGAGGGTCGGTGTGAGACCTGTCCGGTATAGGGGCGGCCGAATAGCTGTTTCAGTTTAGTTAAAAATCTCCTCTCTTTTTAAAGATTGGCGCAAGGCTAATTTCCAATAGTCTTTAACTACCGAGGATTTCAGACATCCACCCAGGAGATATTGCAAAACGGCTTAGTATGCTCATTTTTAATCGCGGACCTTGTGAGTCATTTCATAGGGGTTTCTTTGCAAGTCTCTTGAGATCTTTTTGCTTATTTTTAAGACACCCCTTCAGATGATGATTTATCAATCAAGCATGGGCAGGTCTCCGATGGGAAGTTCATTAATAAATTGGAACAGAGTGTGTACCAATGTCATGATTCGTTATCCACATGTGCAGTTAGAGCAAATCCAAAGCTGATAAGCGGTTGACTCAGGACTTCTGCTCAAAGTACTGCTCAACCCGATCCACCAGATCGGCCTTCTTCCCAGCCGCAGCTCGACCATGAGAGACCAAGAACTCCTTCAACACAGGCATTGTAAGCTATACGAGAGAAACAATTTAGTCACATAACACCAAGAAATCAAGGAAAGATTAGGTCTCACCTTTGCTACTGTGCCCTTCTCGAAGTTTCGCTTGATCTCATCATCGAGTTCGGAAGTACCACCCTCCGTTTTCACGCGCTTCGCTGGGTGAGCGTCCGCATCTGCAGTCTCGGGTTGTTCCTTCGGGCCGCGCTTAACGAGTGTTGACTTTGTGGCGGCGGTGCCGCCGAACATTTTGGCGGATTGAGCATCTAGTTCTTCGGACCAGGCGAGGACGTAGTCTCCCGCGCGCTGACATGTCATTAGCTATGTGCTGCATTCTTTGGGCTAGAAGGCCTTACTTTATCAATTTGTCGGTATCGAGGCTTGGTCTTGTCTTCTGGTGTTCCTGGGTGGTCTTCGTCCAAAGCCAGAGCTTGTAAAATGCGGTAATGCCATTGCAGGGCTTCGACGAGTTAGTTTAGCCATATAGCAAGAGCGCAAGGTGACATACAGGGGTTTGGGTATTTAGTAGGGTCGTAAACGGCTTTTGGAAGCTGTAATTGCTGAATAACTGCGCGCATCGTATCGATCAGTGGTTCTGGTGCCACGTTCATAGTGGACTCGGGATTCTTTCGAACGTCATCTGCATAAGGAAGAGGGATAATCCACATCCCAGGCGGTACCTTCTGCACACCATTCTCATCTATCTTCTCAGCACCAGCAATCATAGCAGACAGGGTTGGCGTGGAGTTTTTGCGGGGAATGAACCAGACCAAGGCCATTTTCTCGTCTTTGAGAAGCTTTTGATGAAGGGCCGAGAACACACGCGTCGAGCCGATGTAATCTTCTTCGGAAGGATAGATGAAAGAGGGATGCTTGACGTTAGCCCAGATAGGCAGCGCAGTGAGTGGCTTGAAGCCGATGATGCGGATGACAGGATCCCCGAAGTTTCTCAAGGCCTGCTGCTCCTCGATCGTGAAGGCAACCTGCTCTCCACCAAATTTGTATGCTTTACGAATATCGTCCTTTTCGACTGCTTGTGCAGTATCATCTGCCATCTGGGTGGTGATGCCCTTGACGATCTGAGGCGTTTCTCCTCCAAGCCAGACGTAGCAACTTCGAGCTGGTTCTTGTCGCTTGAGCAAAAGATAGCCACTTACTGATATTTTGAGGTTGGGTCCGAGTTCCAGAGGGACATTGGAGAAGAGTGATCGCCGTGGCACCGACCTGGAGTTGATACTTGATAAGAGAGTATTGAGAAGTGATATTCCGTCACCCTTTCCAGTTGTTGCGTTTGTATCGGGCTGAAGATATGCCGGTGCCTCGCCATCGCTGGGAGAGGTTTTGTAAATGATATCCTGTGGTGGATCAGCACTATCTCTACATCTTCGAATACACTTGAAAGACATACATCATAGAATTTGGATGTGTCAAATTCATGGTCGGGACGAGAGATGGGGAACAATTCAATCGTGACCCCGAGATCGTACAGATCTCTTGCACGGACAGTTGCAGCAGATCGAATACTCTTGTTGTCGCTGTGCGGGTTATCGTCATCGGAAACAATGAAAAGGCGCCGGGAAAGGAAGTTCGGAGCCTTGGAGGTGAAGATCTGGTTTGCACAGAATAGCATATTGGCCATTGAGACACGTTCCTCTGATGGCTTCAAGATCTCCCGCGCCACATTTTCATCTTCTGCCAGAGATCGCAACTCCTTCACTTGCTCCGCCGATGGAATATCGAGGTCGGTAAAGAGGTAACAATGAGGATAGGAGAGGTCGGCGCTTTCGCCATCCTCATCGTAGAATTGGGATGACTCGGTGCCATACAGCAGAATCCCGATCATGTCATGCGGGTTGGATATGATGCGCTGCTGCATCAAGTGATATGCGCATTTTAAAGCAGCCGACGCCGGGGATTCTTCACCGGGCTTCTTAGGGTCCGCAGAAGGACGAGGCTTCAGCATGGAACTGCTAATATCGATCGCGAACAAAACGGCGTCTTTCACGGACCTGAAGCTCTGAAAAGCAATAACATTAGCAACGGGATCTATACTTCGAAAGTATTCAGGGAGCACTCACGGTCTCGTCGAGTTCTTCCTCCTCGAAACCCTCATCTTCTCGCGCGGAATTGTCATCTGCCATATTGCTCACAACGTCTTGAAAGGTGGATAGGTGAAGAAGAAAAAGAAAAAGAAGGCTCAGCCTCTACTTTGTTCCACTGCTGCTGCCTTGACGCGCTTTGAACGCGGGGAGACGCGAAGGTCATGTGACAAACGTCACTTAGAGTTGCTGACGCTGTCTGCGGGTTCATTGGCTGAGCAAGCTTTCCGCGGCCTGGCAACTTGATTCTGCGATCTGCAAAGGCCTTGAATCCATATCTTGAATCGGGCATCTGGCTTTGTTCGAGTTTATTGCATTGTGCCAATTGCTCATTCTAATATCATATCCAGTCATGTCCTTCCGCATCCCTCTTGCGATCCCCCGTCGGATCTTGAGCAGTGCTACAACCTCGGCACTCCGGCCCGCGACAGGCGGTTATGTGGCGTGTTATAGCAACCAACGTCGCGGCCTCGCGACAGCAGTGCCACCGGTAACGCAAAATGCAACAGGATCCAAGGGACCGACCGCAATGGTCTTCCTGAACATGGGTGGCCCATCGACAACGAACGAGGTGGAGGATTTCCTGAGCAGACTATTTGTACGTGTCTTCGGGATAGCTTCACCGACATCGGTGGTAGAATGTTGGCTAATCTGTGTCTTCTTACGCTTCTACAGACCGATGGCGATTTGATTCCTCTAGGCCGATTCCAATCCTACCTCGGACCCTTGATTGCGAAGCGCCGGACTCCGAAGATCCAGAAGCAATATGCAGACATTGGAGGTGGATCGCCCATCCGCAAGTGGTCTGAGTACCAGTGTGCCGAGATGTGCAAGGTGCTTGATCAAATATCCCCGGAAACCGCGCCGCACAAGCCCTACGTCGCATTCCGTTACGCTGCCCCCTTGACGGAGTCGATGTATCAGCAGCTGTTGGATGATGGATTCGGAAACGGAAAGGGCGGTCGTGCTGTTGCTTTCACGCAATACCCGCAGTACTCCTGCTCCACGACAGGAAGCTCGCTTAATGAGCTCTGGAAATGGCGGAACCGCATGGAAGGAAAGGATGCTGACCCTGCTGGGGCTATTCAATGGAGTGTCATCGACCGGTGGCCGTCCCACCCCGGCTTAGTCGAGGCCTTTGCGCAAAATATCGAGGCCCAGTTGAAGACATACCCGGAGGAGAAGAGGGATAAGGTGGTGTTGCTGTTCTCTGCTCACAGCTTGCCCATGAGCGTGGTCAACCGCGGTAAGTAATATCTCACGTTATTTCATGAGACAGATAAATTCTAATCCATGTCTCCTTTGCAGGTGACCCCTATCCCTCCGAGGTCGCCGCGACCGTTTATGCCGTCATGCAGCGACTGAAGTTCAGCAACCCGTATCGTCTATGCTGGCAATCCCAGGTCGGCCCCTCTGCGTGGCTTGGGGCCCAGACGAGCGATACCGTCATGCAATACGTCAAGCGCGGCCACACCGACCTAGTCCTCGTGCCTATCGCTTTCACTAGCGACCACATTGAGACTCTCTATGAATTGGATCTGGAGGTCATGGAAGAGGCCAACAGCCCTGGTGTCAAGCGAGCTGAGAGCTTGAACGACAACCCGACCTTCATTAAGGCTCTCGCCGATGTTGCTCATCAGCATCTGAAGAAGGGGGAACCCTGCTCTGCTCAGATGACACTGCGCTGCCAAGGCTGTAAGAGTGACCGCTGTCTGGAGCAGAAGAAATTCTTCGCCGGTAAACAACACGGGGATCTTGTGATGTAGGAGACCTTGTAGGTTTATTATATACAGTTTTGGATTTCCAGTTGCATGTACATAGAATAATAAGGCGGGGGCGTTCTGGTTAACCCTGAAATCTCAACTGCATACACGAAAATGCTTCTTTGCCCGAGCGTTTGCCTAAAACAAGATTATTCGTTTCACAGCCGTTCCAAGATAACCAAGATTGTGTGGCATCGGAGTTATCGGACTCAACCCCGGCCGCGCTATCGAATCCAACTTGATTGATAAGAATCGCTGACGCAGTGTCGCATTCTCTCCCCTCAATCCCGAAGCCCCGATATCTCATCCCTGTCTCAACGGTTCTCTTGATAGTGTTCAATTTCGTTTCCTTTCCACAATGCCCCGGTAGGACCGAAATTGTTTCACTGTTATCATGGAGAATGAGGAGCTTTTCGTAGGCGAATCCGCGCTCGACGCACAGCAGCAAGCCAGGAACATCCGTCGCACGGCAGATGGGTCCAAGCAAACTCCCCTGCAGGTTCACGCCGAACCGCTGCTGGCCGGCGATGACTTTGACGATGGACCACCGCATTATGAGGAAGACCCGCGCGATATTGAAGCCCGACCGCGATGGAGGAGACCGTCCGTAAGTGACTCGTGGCGCTCAGATTTGAACCTTCTAACCGTCGATGGCAGATCTGGTGGCTATTGCCTTTCGGCATGCTATTCACGTTGGGCTTTGGAGGACTCGCGGTACCCAGGATTAACTTGATTATGTCTCTAATTTGTCGCGATTATTTCTCGGAGAGGATGGCCAAAGACCCTAACTTCACTGTGCTTCCCATTGTTTTTGGAGATGACAACGCCCAGTGCCAAATCCCTGAAATTTCGTCTCTCGTCGCCCAGTGTCAGCTTTACCTCAATCTTGTCACCGGAATCATTTCAGCGCTGGTCAGTCCTCGATTAGGCCATATGTCAGATCGTTATGGCAGGACCAAAATTATCGCGATGGGCGCGATGGGCGCAGTGCTCAATGAGATGATCACCGTGATCGTCGCTTCGCGACCGGAGTCCTTGTCCGTCAATTTGCTCTTCATTGGAGCCGTGATGGATGGACTCGGCGGTTCATTCACCACGGCGCAAGCTCTAATTCATTCCTATGCCACGGATTGTACCCCTCCCGACAGGCGAAGTGTGGCATTTGGCCTTTTCCACGGAACTTTGTTCCTTGGCATCGCTGCTGGACCCAGTGGTGCTGCATACCTGATCAAGCAGACTGGAACTGCTCTACCGGTCTTCTACATCGGCCTGGCATGCCATATCATCTTTGTGCTGTCTGTCTTTTTCGTCGTTCCCGAGTCTCTTTCGAAGGAGCGGCAGCTCGCAGCTCGTGAAAAGCACTACACGAAGCTGGCAGACTCTGAAGATGTCAAGTGGTATTCGTGGAAGGCCCTTAACCCGATGAAGCTGATCACTCCGCTCGCGATCCTTCTACCCGCTGTTGGTCGACCGAGTGTGTTGTTCTCTAACCGCCGGGGTGCCAGTCCTGCTCTTCGACGAAACATTGTTCTCCTGGCTGCTATGGATACGGCCTGCTTCGGCATTGCCATGGGCACTGCACAGTTGATCATCATCTATGCTGCTTACATGTTCAACTGGGGTAATGTGGAATCAAGTCTGTTCGTGTCCATTATCAATGTGATCCGTGTAATCAACTTGTTTGTGGTTCTCCCCATTGTCGCACGCTTCTTCCGTACCCCGACTCCCAACGATGGGACAATCCGCGGATCTGACATGCTGGACATTGTCATCATCCGTCTGTCCATTGTCTTCGATGTTTTAGGCTATGTCGGCTATGCCTTGTCGAAGCACCCGTCGATGATGGTGCTTTCCGGGATTGTCGCCTCACTAGGAGGAATGGGCTCGCCAACCTTACAGTCGTCCCTTACCAAACATGTACCACAAGAGCGCATCGGCCAGTTGCTTGGTGCTACAGGCCTCTTGCACGCACTTGCACGAGTTGTCGCGCCGACGGTCCTCAACTTGATCTACAGTCTGACTGTCGCTACATACCCTCAGACGGTATTCATTTGTCTAGCAGCACTTTTTGGTTTGACTCTCTTGATGAGTTTCCTGATCCGGCCTCATGGTGAGTTTTCATGTCTCTCTTCCCCTCAAAATCCGATTAACGTTTATGTAGTCACTGTTGAGGACGAGGCTGCTTCTGATATCGTGGTTGAAGCGAACGAAGATGGAGAAGATGAACACGACCGGCTCCTCTCACGATAATTGTGTCTTAGAAATAATCATTGGCCGTACTTCTTTTTCAATAGTGAATTACTAAATGAGGGTCGACAATTTGTGTTATCGTATGATGCTCGACTAAAAACAACCAGCCGATCCCGGCCATGGGGTACGGCGGGTCACACGGACCATTCGCGCAGCTTTCCTGATTCCGAAAAAAGCTGCCCATCCGAGTTTACGCACCTCTCCCCGAGCTGCCAACACCCTCTATTCTTTCCTTTCCTCCCCGTTTCACTCCCAACACCGCCGGTACAAGTGATGTTGCAGATCACTTTTCCCATCTAGTATTTTGCCGCTCAATTCGCTTCCGCGAGGCTGGCGAGCCCGGCGCGTTAGCCCGCGGCCAACGCCATCACCATGTTCGCCAAAGCCGCCAATTCTACACCGGTCGTTCCCTCGCGCAATGCCCTTCGGACCCTCCGCCAATTAGCTCTCGCTGGAGGCACAGTGGGTAGCTGCTGCGCTCTTGCAGCGGTCACCTATGATGTCCATCGCCGAGTCCGCGTAGCCGAGCAGATCGTCGAGAACAAACGCATCATACACACCTCCGCACCCAACTACAATGCGAAAGCATCTGCACAGCGTCTCGCCCACATGATGGAAGCAGCAGAGGCGGGAAACTTCATGGGTTTCGAGTCCAATAAGTCCAAGAAGTCGCAGGCTGCGGACATGGCCGCGGAGTCCAGTGATTCACCTTTGCCAGAACCTGCTTCTGCATTGCACTTGCCACAATTTAGCCAAATTCCAGTTGGCCTATTCAACTATGACGGTTCCGATTCCGCCTTGAGATACGACCACCGCAACAAGAAACAGCTGGCCCATGAGGCTAAAAAGGCGCAACGCGCTCGTGCACTGGGCAAAGTGCCTTTCGATGAACAAATCCGTCAAATGATCATCCAGGGCAAGGAAATCCAGGCCACGAATATGTTTATCAAAGAACATAACAAGACGAAGACCCCCAACGGGGCTTCCTGGGACAGACGACAGCTCGGATACCACCTGTTCACTGAAAACTGCAAGAAAGGGAATGTGTTCATCGCCCGGAATCTATTCCACCGCATGGAGAAAGTGGCTGAGATTGATTCCAAGATCTGGGCAATGATGATGCATCTGCTGGCGAAAGAGGGACACGTGGAAGCAGTTTGTGCCGTCTTCGAGAAACACCGCTTCAAGTTGCAAGTCCCTGAACATCTACTGGAAGTCGTCCTCCGATGCCTTCTTGAGTCCCGACGATTGAGTTTGGCCAAATGGTTTTTCTTCAGCCACATCAGGCATGACGTGGAAGGTGGTTTATGCGGGGCATACCTCGATGGAGTATGGAAGAAGGCTCGAAATACCGATCTGTTAGCAGATGAATTCCGGTTGGTACTGAAACATCTGTCTGACCTGGAGCGCAAACCAACCGAGAAGGTTTTCAACCCGATGATCAAGGCTTTCATCGACTCTGGGAAACACCAAGATGCTGAAAATCTGGTTGCTGATATGCCCGACAAGTACGACGTTGCTCCTGGATGTAGGTCAATTGGCTTGCTGTTGTATGGCAGAGCTGCATTGTGTGATTGGGAAAGCGTTATGGATGGGTTGCGCGATATGCATGCGCGTGGGTTGACCGGAGAAAGGCGCAACTTCGCCCGCGTTTTCGATCGTCTCCTCCTGGAGTACTATCCGACTCACTCCGGTCGAGAAACCTTTGCGTTCATTGTCAATTCTATCAACGACTTTGACATTGTGCCTGACCGAGTTCTACACCGTCACATTCTCGAAGCTTTGGTTGAAAGAGGCGACACTGATATGGTCACGCAGATCACTCAAATGAGTCAGAAGCGTCAATGGAAATCTGGCATCGACAAAATCGCTTTTCAGAAGATCTTGAACGCTCGCCGTGTGATGATGCAGTCGACTCCTGTCGGATCGTGGAACATGATGAAGGCGGCAAAGAGGCAATATGTGCAGGTCGCTTCCTCCCGGAGCATATTGGGAGCCAGTGTCGAGTCATACTCTCTGGATGGTGATAGTTTAAAACCCGTTCGCCGCAATGCTGAAACGAGCTATCGCGAGAGCGTGGACGAGCTTGCTGCCAAGAAATCCATCAATCTCTATATGCCGTTGGAAAAGCGAATGGAGCAGTTCATCCATGCTGGCCACTTCAATAAGGCGAAGGTCACTTTTGACAAGGCGACAGAAGGCGGCCATCCCATCAAATCAGTCCACCTCTCACTGGCTGCCGTCGCCCATATTTTGGAGAACGGCTCGACTGACCTGGAAGAGGTCCGTCAAAGCATCAGAAAACAATGGCTGGAATGGAAGAATCGGCCGACCATTCGATACACCCTTCCTTTCCCTTCATTTGTGCCTGTATTTTTACAGCAGATCGCCCAGCTTGATAGATCTAAAGTCCGCGACTCGACTCTATACAAGTCTGCACTGATGGAATTCAACAATATCTGCGCTGACACGCCAACGCTCATTGTCAAGAATCATGCATCGGTGGCCCTCAGCCGGCGCCTGATCAAAGAGGGTCGCCAAGTGATGGCAACTGAAATCCTAAAAGCAGTTTACAAGTCCAAGTGGCGCAAAACTCTCAAGTTCGACCAAGTTCAGCTCAAGATGCTCTTCCGTGCCTTCGCTATCGAGAACAACATCCGGGGTATCTGGTGGTGTATGTCGACTGTTCTGACTCGTTACGAGCGGCCCTCGCGTTCATTCGTCGCTGAAGCCGAGCGCCTACTTCCCATGCTTGAGAGGAGAGTCGCTGGAGTATCCGGCAACGACCTGAATGTCATTCAGCAACTCGTGGAGATGCTCAGGAAGAAGGCTGCTAGTGATGATCCTACACTCTACGCCGTTAGCCGTCATCAAAAAACCAAGATGAGGACCAAGCTGGCCTTGCCTCATCCCGTCACAAGTTACGGGCATTTATCAGATGAAGCGATCGACGCAGTTCTCGCGAATTTCGACGAAGAGGTGGAGTTCGACCTGCTTGATAGGGCCAATAACCCCAACGATGAGAACGTTCTGCTGTGGTGGGGAGAGAGGTCTATTACTTCTGAGCACCGCCTCTTGCCTGAGCATCCGGATTACCCCGAGCCCAAGGCCCTCCGGGACGAGAGGGCTGTGCATCTTGACAATCGGGTCAAGCACAAGCAGAACATGCATTCGGCCATCGCCAATGAATCAGACTCGCCTTTTGTATAATATGACTGTATATAACATCTATCCAAACATACCGTCCAGCTTTTGGACTTGAAATATCTTTTATTGTTCTCCAAAGTTAAATGTCCTTTAGAATTTTCGTAGAGGATATCTTCAAAAGACTCCTTGATCGAGTGTTGCTAGTCCTCTGTCTTCAGAGGCACCCAACCAACCTCAATAGCATTACAAAGCCTCGTCCTCGAACGAGTAAAATCAACAAACACCAAAAACACCAAGCGATTGAAAACTCACCTAGAACCGAAGCACAGCTCCGCGAACTGAATATCCCCATCAGCGAACTTCTCACCCGTTTCTTCAAGACTGATTGAGCGCGCCGTATCTGATCGCAAAATACCAAGCTCAACACCAGCCTTGGCAATAAGACCCGTAACATCCGTCCATCTATGGGTCCCGGCACTCGAGAAGTAATGTAATGTATTTGAATCAACCTCATCAAGTTGCCTTGCCTTGGATATATGTCTGTCTACCTAGATGCATACTACGGGATACCAAATTTACAGGTGCTTCGGTAGTAACCTCTCAAGAATTAGACCAAGATTAGAAAAGAGAAATGGGAAAATTGATAATACCAAGTAAGTTACAGCCGATATAAGAGAACTGACAATCATGGTTAAACAGTATGTATAGAAGAGGAAGGCGGAGAAGGCCAGACTTTCACATGTCACGCCACCCCTTTCTCAACATTTGGAAAAAGATCAGCCCATACTCTTCGAATTCGAGCCCGCAATTCACCCGGACCTTTATAATCGAGAATGCTCCTGCGGCAACGGCCGCCTTGACAGTTTCCACCGTTCTTCAAATCTACCACCATGGCATCCCTCAACGGCCATGCCACAAAATCTCAAAAGGCCGCCGAGCGCCGCATTGAACACCACGAGGGCGATGTCGTGATCGTTGGCGCGGGCGTCCTGGGCTGTGCGCTTGCCGTTACGCTTGGAAGACAAGGACGAAGCGTGATCCTGCTAGAAAAGTCGCTGAAGGAGCCCGATCGCATCGTCGGTGAACTGCTGCAGCCGGGTGGCGTGCGAGCACTGGAGCAGCTGGGCCTGCAAGACTGCCTAGACGAGATCGACGCCATCCAGGTCAACGGATACTACGTCTCATACTTTGGGGAGCCGGTCTCAATTGAATACCCAAAGGAGAATCCTTCCACGCCCGCGCCCTTAGGACGGTCCTTCCACCATGGCCGCTTCGTGATGAAGCTGCGCCAGGCCGCTCACGACTGCCCCAATGTGACTATCATCGAGACCCAGGCTACGGGCCTGGTGACTTCGTCAACTACACAGCAGGTTTTCGGTGTTGAGTGTGTGACCAATGATATGAAGGATTGCTACTTTGCCCAGCTCACCGTCATCGCCGATGGCTACGCCTCCAAGTTCCGCAAGACCTACCACCCACACACCCCCAAGGCCAAGTCAAAGTTCTGGGGCCTGGAAATGATCGATGCCAAACTCCCCGCCCCTAACTACGGTCATGTCCTCCTCAGCGATAAGCCCCCAGTTCTCATGTACCAGATCGGCACCCACGAGACCCGCGTCCTCGTGGATATCCCCGAGAACCTTCCCTCTGCGTCGGTCAAGAATGGCGGTGTTAAGGGCCACCTACGGAATACAATCCTCCCCACGCTCCCGAAAGAGGTTCAGCCTATGTTTGAGGCTGCATTGGATAAGGGCCAGCTACGATCTATGCCAAACTCGTTCCTGCCTGCTTCAGCGAACAAGACGCCCGGATTGATGATGTTGGGCGATGCGCTTAACATGCGGCATCCGTTGACGGGTGGTGGAATGACAGTGGCACTCAACGATGTCTGCTTTATTCGCGACTTGCTTAGCCCCGAGCGCGTGCCAGACTTGGGCAAAACAGAGCTGGTCCTGAAGCAGCTCTCGCGCTTCCACTGGATGCGAAAGAAGTCTTCAACTGTCATCAACATCCTCGCACAGGCTCTCTATGCTTTGTTCGCCGCTAATGGTCCGTCTTCATCCACCCACTTCTGAAACGAAACATCCCCCACTAATCTTATCTTAGACCCGAACCTCCTCGCCCTCCAACGCGGCTGCTTCCGCTACTTCCAAATGGGCTACATCGACGGTCCTGTCGGACTTCTCGCCGGCCTAATCCGGCAACCTCTCGTCCTCTTCAACCACTTTTTCTCCGTCGCATTCGTCTCCATCTGGGTCATGTTCACCGAAACTCCTTTGACACAATTAATCATGTTCCCCATCCGATCCATCATGGTCTTCTGGACGGCATGCGTTGTGATTTTCCCATATATTTTCGCCGAGATCTGGAGTTGATGGGCCTTGGATAAAAGCTCTCCTCCACGCCCTTTGATGCACATATTAGCAGCGGCTCTATTGTCTTAATACCGCTTTATCTTCTCCGCTTGGGTCTGTCCTACCCATGTGATTTAATCCCGTCTTGCCAAAGACCTGGCTATTGGTGTCTTGTGTCGCCGTGTACTATACCATACGATTATCTTGTCTTGTCATGTCTGTTGTATCATCAATGCCGGAATAGATAATGCAATACTACCTTCCACTGAATAAAAACAAAGTTAGTCAATGACGTTTCCTTCGTTGCAGTGTAGTATTTCATTTCTCTATGAAGAGAGATGTCGTACATTCCCAGGCCTTGAGCTCCTACCTTGAACCGAGAACTAATTCAGCCCCATTGCCTAGGAAAGTAGAAAAGTATCACTTCGAAAGGAAAACATCAATGCCCAGCATAGGATGCGCACCCTCCACATCTTGAAGTAACATACTTTATACCCTGTGACAAAATTCCTATGACGGCAATTGTACTGGCGATGGCGCAATGAGGGAGCAAGGGCTGAAGCAAAGCATAAAGAGCGAATATTCCCTTCTGTACAACTACTTCTACCCTCACTCTTACTCTTACTCTTACTCTTACTCGCTTCTAAGATAACCCCGAGGTCTTAACTGTGATCTTTTACAACCTTACTGACCGCTTCCCATGTGCTTAGACTGCTGGCACATATGAGACGCTCGTTTCCCTGTCAAAACGACCGCCCGGACTGTCTCCCAAAAGTCCCTGGATGGTCCCTATAGACGTCAACCCTGGCGATCAATTAATGATGATCGGAAATACAGGCAAAGCTGCAACGTAGGAACCTTCAACAATCAACTCACTACGCAATATAAACAGCCCAATTTTTCGAATGTTTTTTTTTTTGTTCTTTTCATTTCACTCATTCCATGGCAGGTAATCTTTTTATACAGAACCGAAAAGACAACCCCAGAAGCTAGAAAAAAAAAAAAAAAAAAAAAGAAAGATTTGAACCGGGTCTAGCCTCAAAAACAGAGAAAACTCCAAACAGCTGCGGAACATGTTTCGTAGCCTGCCCATGGGATGCGATCTGAAGATGAAGTATGAAGTTTTGAATGGAGGAAAGCCTCAAAGAAAGAAAAGCTATTCGCCTTTCTTCTAATGAGCTTTCCAAAGCTAAGCAATGATGATGGTGAATGCGCATATGCGACCTCCTTTGGACCCAGACACCGGAAACAAAAATATGATGAACAAGTAATGGTTGACATTCATTTGACAAAGTCGTACAGATTTCAATGGGTTTATGCGAATGTGGTTTGGTGCAAGAACGAAAAGTTGGGCGAAGACGGTCGACGACTGGCCGGGCAGTTCGGCGACTGGTCTGGGAAATTTCACTTGAGAAGTGTAGGAGGAAAAGAAAACTCTCGTCAAGAAAATAAAAAAAAGACTTAACCGCCTTTACGCAGCGCTTCGTCCGTGGGAAGAGGTTCGGGGCCGTTTGTCCCGTTACGAGGTTCTGCAGATGGTTTGCCGCTCCGACGGTTCTTTTTCTTCGTCGTCTGCCAGCCGTGATTGGCCTCGGGCGTGCCGTTGGCACCACCTTTCCGAAGCGGGTGGTCCTTGGTATCCCCGTGAGATGACCCGTTATGCGATGCATCATGCCGGCCCCTCTGCTTGGGTTTGTGACCGTGATTGACCCCGTTGGCTTTCTCCGAAGAGTCTGCTCCGTTGGTCTTCCGCTTCGAGGATGAGTTCTGCTGGCGAGTCTCGTTTCCTTGGTGCGAGCCTGTAGCCTTATCGTTGGACGTGGAGCTCTTGGAATGAGTGTGGTCCTTCCCAGAATGGGCTCCATTCCTGTGTCGTTCGGAGTTGGACTTGGTAGAATGTGACCGAGCAAGCTTTTCGGCGTTCGACAAATGGAAATTCTGCAATCGGCTTGCCAGGAGCTCTGGCTGACCATTTGCGTTTCCTTTCTGTGACTCGCCATTGGTACTGCTCGTCTTCGGGGTCTCGAACGGCCGGGTGGAGACTGGAGTCTGATCTATATCAAACGGACCCGAATCTTGGAAGTCTTGCGACAAGGAATCAGAGAAGCTAGCGGGCGTGTTGATGGTATGGTCATCGGATGTTGACGTGTAGTGAGTTACCGCGGAGTAAGGATCAATCAGGTCAGACGCATACGTAGGGCAGTGTTCACTTGTTGCACTAGGATTCGGAGGTACCGAGCCATCCACAATCAGAGGTCCAGAAGAAGCTGCAGGTCGCGAGGAAGACGAGCGTTTCGGCTGCGACGATGATCTCAGCGGAGCTGGTGTAGGCGACTGGTCAGCCCGGGTGCTTTGTCCATCCGATGAGAGCCCAGAAGACCTATAATCCGGCTGAACTGGCAAAAAGTGTGTGTAGCCATTTTGAAGTGCAAGCCCCATAGGTGATGCCATCGCATTCTGCTGATAGAGCTGCAGTTGTTGAGGGGTAAGGTAATAACCCATCACTTCCTGAGTCCGTCCTTCGTCCACAGAGTCTGAGCGAGACCCGTTGCTGGGAAGACTATTTGGGGGCATTGCGCTCTCATCCCCACTGCCTTCTCCACCTTCTGATGGCTCAGGAGCTGACCGTCCCTTCAAATCAAATGAAGGATCCAGAGGCTGTGGGATTGCGTAAAGCGGCACAAAATGCTGGAGGGGGAATTCTGCGGCCGCGCAGGCTGAGACTGCGCCCTGAATGACCCGTTCGGTGATCCATTTGCGGCAACAGAAGACCGCCGATGATTGCGACGAAGGTCGGGGACAGCGGAAGAGGCAGAAGGCGACGAAGGGTTGGTCACGGCACCTTGTGTGCCCGCAGCACTCACTGAAGCGTACGTTGGGTTGACAAAGGACAGCCTTTGGGACGTTGGCGTCAAAGGAGTAAGTGGTGGCTGATTCACAGTTTCAGATCTTGAACGCGAGTTTTCATCTGCTGAGAATTCCTGTTGCTGAGGCATAGGAAACTGGATGAAGGGCTGACGAAGGAAAACAGGCGGAGGCCGCCCGGTGATCAATGCTTGATTGTGCAGCTGCATCCTTAGCTCCTGTTCCTGCGCCTGAAGAAGCTGGATTTGTTGATAGAGCTGATCATGCAACAGGAACTGTGCTTGCTGCTGAGCATGTAGAGACAAGTCAGACGGATTGTTGCCATTCGTACTCTGCTGACGAGAGGAGTTGACCCTGCCCGTATTGGATGTCCGACGGCCACCAGCAAATCCACCTCGAGAAAACTGATTCTGAAACCTGCCTCCCCGTCCGCCACCCCGGCCACCGCGTGTGGGTACAGAAGGTGTGAGGGTCGGTCGTGGTTGGGGCGGTGGTCGTTCCCATGTTCGCTCTTCCTCCGGTGGAAACTCGAATTGTTCACAGCAACCAGCTAAATCACCCTTCGCAATATACCCAAAGGCTCTCCGCAACTCGATATGCAAGCCTCGGAATGACGTATCATCTGCCGTGTTCCCCAAGTTCCTCGATGTGTTGAAGGGCTCCTCCACACAAAGCCGATTGTTCAACGAGAAGGTCCAGCCTTTGACATCCTTGGAAACCAACCCACCCTCACGTACCGAAATGACGTTTTTCTCGTAATTCAACTCATGACCATAGTAGCGGAAAAACGCAAACAACAATTGGCCCGAAGTCTCCCTGTTCTTCTGACCAAATTGCTGCAACGTGTCGAGATCATCATCGAACGAATAGACCACCCCGTCGGGGGTAGCCTTTTTCTGATGAGGGCGAGCTTGCAGACTGGGAACGATGGGCGGGTTCCTTGTTTGCAAAAAATTGATGATCAGACAGATCCAGGTGTAAGAACTCAATGTGCTTCCGAGCGCTGCATCATTGAGAATCCGTCGTTTCGTCCAATGCTTGACCACCATCGCCAATACCCGTACCCGCCGATCACAGTCGACATATGTCCGGATCATGCGAGTGTTTTCCAAGGCCAGGGTGTTGTTCACGTTCATGTCGCACGCCAATCTCAGCTCCGGGTCCCAAATTTTCACAATAGGAACCTTGGCATGAGAAACACAGACGACTCGTTCCATCCCATCTAAATCAATCATGTCAGTCCGAATCGCAACCTAAATTCTCCGAGCATCATCCTTACGCTTCGCCAAAACCTCTGCTAGCAGACACACATGCTCCAGCGCCTTGTAATCGGTCGTGATACAAATGTCCACTACACACGAGTCAGCTTCTTGTTCCCCTGGCCAGCAATTTGAATTCCACCCCACGTACCATCCGAGTCGCTAGAGCACAGCTTATTTCCCGAGGAGCCAAAGACCTTCGCTTTGATTTCGTGCCCAGGCCATTGTTCGTTAAAAAGCTTCTCTAGTTTAGCGACCAGTTGCCGCCGTCGGTCGTCGCTCTCCGCCGAAGGTAATAAACGCTCGTAGAGTTCCTCGATGTCTTCCGTCAATTTCTTCTCCTCCTCCGGCGTAAGTTTCTCTTTCAATGCCTCCTTCTCCTCCGGCAATATATCGGACCCCATGCTATACGGTATTCGTCTTCGAAAATAAGCCATGGCCGTCTCATATTTACAAACAGGCGCCGGTTTTCGAGTCGAGGGAGGTAGGTGTATGGATTCGGAGTGCGTCGAACGGGGTGAGGTGCTTCCGCGGGCGGGGGACGGCGTCCGGGAGTGAAACGAGAGAGTGCGCGCATGTTGGTAAGGGGTCGAGGGGAGGGAGCTCGATTGTTGCGAGTTCAATGGTGGGCGAGGAGGGATCTCGGACGCGTCGGACTGCGGCATCCATGCCATAGTGCGAGGCTGATCCGAGGCTATCGGTGAGCTGTCACCAATGTGATGGGAACGATTTGCATTCCCATCGATGTATGGGACCATATAGGAATTCTTGCGACACCAGTCTGTTGTGACTCGGCGACTCGGTTGCGAAAAGGATTCCACACTCCACAGACGAGAGCCCCTCTCCGGGTCCCACTCAATCGTTAATCGCCAAAGGAGCCCACAATAATATTTCCGGAAGTCGGTCGCGGCGCAGAATGCTCGAGTTGTCCAGGACGGGGAGGAGGTAGGAAGTGGCGGTTGTGAGGAGAAGGTTGTGGGTTTATTGCAAGTGCGGGAGTGGAGAGTGGAGGATAATCAATCGTCCACGATGTTGCGAAATTGGAGGGAGCCGGAGAAAGAGGCAGAATTCCACTTAGGCCCAGGTATGCAGAAATGAAATGAGAAAATAAAATCAAAAAGAATAATCTCAGCCAGGAGTCTTGGGAACAGAAAATATACGGGACAAGGTGTCGGGGGTAGCGAGTTGCAGGGAGGTGCTCGGGCGGACCGAGTCGAATCTGAGGACGCGGTTAAAGCGGTGGACTGAGACTGGGATCGAAACCGTGCATACAGAGAAGAGGAACCGACCGGGGCTCCGATTGAATTGAAATAGACGAAGAATCGAGGGCGCGTAGGTGGTGAACGTGTAGAGGTGTAGGTGTGAAGATGCCCAGCCCCTGTCGGCGGTAAAGAGGTAACTGGGTAACAGCCGACCGCACTCTTTCTCTTCTCTCGCTGTCTCTTTTCTCTCCGCCAAGTCAAACCTGTCAAATCCGACAGAAAGGTGCAATATGCAATGTGAAATGTGATGAACAGAGTTCTTGTAGACTTGGGCAGATGCGTCTGCTCTTTACACCTGTGACATGCGCGGAAACAAGGAATGTACCTGCAAATAGGAGTATAAGACAAGCGGCGGAGTATATAGGAGACTATTGATAGATCACCCAACTTTCGGGTCTTTGTCTTTCTACAAAGCATTTCCCACTCATTTCTAGCAAGCCCATCAAGCCCCTTTCCAAATGTACGCAATGTGCATGCAGGTACCATGGAATGGCGGAGATATTGAGGTCAAGCACCCCTTTTGGATCGTCGTTCTGCACTCCCCGCGATCCTGCGCGTTTCGCACGTGCGGGAAAACACTATAACCTAATTTAGAGATGAAGATGTGATGTGACCCGTGATTTCACCTGTATCGGCCTCTCTGTCTTTCTACATTTTTTTCTATGTACTCCTTTGACACACTTCGCCTTCTGGACCCCTCGTTTCAAGTCGATAATCCCGTTGAAAGAGCCGGCACGTTAATTGGATCTATTTTCCTCCTAAGGGCTCGGGCCACTATATGGCACCTCTTTGTACTCGGTTCTCTCGGGGAGCTCCTGGTTGGCTACCACCTAGCTCTTACTTGAAGGCGCGTTATGTGCTTCTCTGTCAAAGAGACTCGGTTAGATTGGTTCCGCATGACCGGATCAAGAGGGAGCCCTGAAGCTAGCCGGACTCCGGACGACAGAACACGGTGATACTCTCCGGAGGGTTCACAGCAACGCAACTGATGGGAATAAAGTTCCTGGGGAAGCCGGACCCGAGGTTCAAGCACGAACATGTATGGTGCCTTGTCTGCATCTGAGAAGCTACCTAGGCTAAAATGCTAAAATGTTAGAAAGTTAAAATAATTTGGAAAACCCTTGGTATACCACCTTGGAAGTGAAGGTTCATTTCCACGACTGCCCCACCATCCATATATACGACGCGGATGAAACGGGCCAAGGGGCCAGGCTGACTGCAGGAGTCGAGCACCGAGGGGCTCTACACCTCCGGGCGCGGACCTTGCGGAAGAATATAAAAAGGGCCCCACCCGCCTCCTGAATTGACCGAGTGATGCGTTGGTCGCACGGGCCAACCTGACTTGAAATGCTACTGCAGCTCAAGTCCTTCCGTGGGGTTACTGGGAGAAAAAAACCCTCTTCCAAGGGTCTCCAGAGTTTCCAGAGTTTTCCAAGGTTCCGTGCTACTTCCTTGAAAGACGGCTCGTCACGGGGGGACTTGCATGCACCGGGTGCAGAGCGCATTGCAGCGTTGCCATCAATGTACAGCATGTTCTGCGATGATCCCGAGGGGTTTCGGGTGATCCATCACTACTTCGGTCTTATATCCGTGTATTGCATGTTTTGACAGATTTCTACCTGCCTATAAAAAAGAAAGCCACGGTCTAGTCAGTGCTAGGTACCGCGCAGTGCATCTATGTCAAAGCAAAAACCAAGAACAATGGCAATGTCAGTACACGAATCATACTGGACTTGGGGAGTCGGACACGGTTCTTGTGACGCTTAGGCGCACGCCCCCGTGCGGGCATCCAATCTCCGGTCACCGGCCCAGTTTGAAGACGAAGAAGTGGAAATCGCTGCAGCGGGCTTGCCGGGAATTGCCGCGTTGGAGATGTATTTCTATACCTGTACCAGGTATGTTCATTCGCGTGCATTCCTTCTGGAAGTGACTTCGCTGTATCTATCTATGTATCTATGTACCCGACCTAAAGCCCTGGAGTGAACACATACACACTACCGTAAAAAAGCAAACGACAGAAGAAAAACAGAAGAAAAAAAAAAAAAAAAAAAAGAGGAAGGCGTCGTAACGCAACCCAAGGTACCTACAAATACCCTAGGAACAGGTAACTACAAAGTAACTCTCAGATCCACCTGAGAAGCGAGATTATTACAAAGTAAAGGTTGTCCTACTTGGACTCGCCCGCGGCCATCTGGCCCCCCCCCCTCCTCCTCCTCCCTCAGCGAATCCACCCACACGCCCCCAAAATAGGCTGGACCCTCTCTCCTTTTCCTCTTCTCTCTTTCTTCCCTCCCCCTCCCTACCTGCCTCGTTGACTCGTGGTAGCCTTAATTTCAAGAGGCTCCTTCTTTGTAAGTCCCCCTCGGATGTTCCCCGGACACTGTGAAAAACCCGATCCCGGAGACCCGCAATCTCATTTTCACCAAATTCCCCAGTGTTCGTGATTACGTTCTATTGGGATCGAGATTCAAGATTCGAGACTCGAGATCTTTGGTGTTTGTGTGTCGAGTTGACTTTCGTTTGTTGTGGCCCTCGGAACTGACTTTTTTTTTTTTTTTTTTTTTTCTACAGATCGCCTCAATCGGATCATCTGCTTCGCCGCTTCCACCCCCTGAACTGTCGCCGTTTGTTTCGAAGATTTTCTTCCCTACGACCATGTCTTCGTACTACGAACCTCAGGGCTGGCAGGCGCCTGCCGCTGCGCCGCGCCAGGTGTCGTGGGAGCAGCCCGTGCCGCCCTCTCGGTCAGGTATGGCTTCATCGTTAACTTGGTTTACTGGCACGAAAAACTCATGACTTTGGTCTCTAGGCTCCAGCTCGGTCTCCCAGCGTGAGGACAGCCCGGCTTTTTCCTCTCAATTTGACGGTATGCACACTCTGTTCGTTAAGCGATCCTCTTTCCCACGCTTGTTTCGCCTGTTATGTCGCCCGGAGAAGAAAAAATATCGGACTTCGCGGCGGACGGATACCGAGGAACGTCGAGATGGTGGTTTCGACGAGAACTCCGGGGAGCCGGCGATCAATGCAGAGGACATGGATGATCGAATGATTTAAAGGGAAAATAATGCTGATTTGTTTCTGCAGAGGTTGATCGTGCGATCGACAATCTGGTCAAGAGCGGGAAGCTGTGGAATGCTCCCCGCCGGGACTCGATGCCCATGATGATGGGCCGTCCCTACCCTGAATACGGTACGTGGCCACGCAACCGACCGACCCGACGTTAAATCTAATTCCGACGTCCCTCAGACCCTCGCATGGGTGGCGGCCCTCAGCGACACCACTCGGTCAGCGAATTCGAGGGCTCTCGGGCGCACCCGTCCGGCAATGTGCAGGGCTTCTACGCCTCGCAGCGTTACCAGGGTCGTCCGAATGAAGTAGAGCAAATGATGCAGGCGAAGCGTCGGATGGCGGCACAGCGTGAACGGGAGCTCCGCAACTATCATCAGGAGCAGCAGTACAACCGAAGTACGTGGTAGCGTGTGCTTTTCTCTTCCTTCCTGCTATATTCCCCCATCTTTTTCTTCTTCCTTGTGCATCTATGTATCCGTCGGCCTTGTATAATATATTGGTTTGGCTTCGTTCATTTTTCGAACTGGGTTTTTAATACTTCTCTTCTTAAGGCCTCCTCGCCGAGATGTCTGCAAACAAGTCCGATCGCTCTACCAGCCCCGCTGCAGTGAGTGAAGAATCCCGTCGCGAGCTTCTCGCCCGTCAGCACCGAACCCTCTATGGAAACGAGAGTCCCGCCTTCTTCCCCCCGGGCCCTCTGTCCGATGAGGCTGCTCGCTCCGAGAGCCAGCCCGCTGGCACTCCGTCTTCCGGAGTTCGTGGTGCCTCTCCTCGTGGAGTGGACCCGTTCGGCCTGACGCAGTCTGGATCTGCTGCTGACAGTGCCTCCGGCTTCCAGTCTCCCTCTCGCGCGAACAGCACCTCCTCGCCTAGCTCCGCTATCAACGCCGGCTTCCCCGAACAGCCTGTCACCTCGACCTCCTCGCCCGGTGCCGACTCGCCTTCCTCCCGTCAGCCTTCCTCCAAGCCCAACACCGGCCCCATCGGCTCATCTGTTGGCCCTATCGGTTCTCGCCCCATTGGAGGTCAACCCGCTGTTCCCTCCCCCAACCCAGCGCTGAACAACGCCAAGCGCTCGACCACCCCTCTCCCCTCGCCTCTGGGCTTCGGCTTCACTCCCGGTGAAGCTGCCGCCGCTGGCGAACGCTCCACCTCCGCTGCCTCCAACCCAGCTGCAACTGCTTCTGCTAATGGACCTGGTCCCAAGGACGGCGGTGTCGGTCTGGGCTGGAGCAACGGCAGTGGCGTCTGGGGCTCCAAGAGCGGACTCGGCGTTCAGGCCTCCGTGTGGGGTTAAACACAATTTCAACATCTGTGTTGGCGCTACGGCATGCATATTCACCTTTTATCTTTCCATTTTTTTGCGGCGTTATGTGAAGAAAACGGCTTACATTATGAAATACGGACTTGCCGGTACATACATGGCAGAACTGCTGTTCTCCAATGATCTAGGTTTGTTATTTTGATTCTGGGCTGGGGTTGAACTCTGGGTGGAAGAGGTGCTGCTACTGTTGGAGTGGGCTTGCTTCTCCGTCTGGAGCGAGAAAAACAAAAACAAAAACCCAGCAAGCCCTCCCCCTCCAGGAGTGGTATCTCCATCTTAATCCTGTTGAATGTTGAATCCCATCTGGTGCCATGTGGAAGAAAAAAAACGGATCGGATATCGAATATCGGATACTGGCGCTGTTCGTGAAGTCCACGGAACTCTCATTTCTCGGTGTTCATCCAAGGTATTTTCGTCTTTGGTCTTGGAATTGCGTCTATTTTGGGCTGGGGTTGGTTTTTCGGTATGCACATTTGGGTTTGGTCGACTTGTGGCTTGTCATATATTATCTTTCAGAGGGGCGAATTGATCTCGAGGCTCTTTTGGTCTTTGTTGTTTTTTTTTTCTGGTTGGCATCGGCGATGGGAAAATGCTGGCAAGGGCTATGCTGATGTGAAAGTTCACTGGTGTCTTGTTGGGTTCTTTTTTTGTTTTCCTCGTCGATATGGATATGGAGTTTTCTTGATTATTTCTTATCTCATTTCTCTTTCCCCTTCTCCATTATTTTCAGTTTAATTTGGCAGCCGAGGTTCTTCATTTACGCTCGTTGCTGGTGTTGTCTAGCGGGCTGCTTTGCGTCTGCACGCTCAATACCCCCGTCCCTCTTTAGGCTTTTGGCGTATCATTTGGGACATGCTTAGCCGGGAAGAATTGGTTCTGTGGTAGTTGCTATCTAATCCATGACTAAACTTAGCCTCATATCTGTCTGGACTATGAAATGGGAGATACGGATGATTCTTTCAACTGTTTTGCGAAAGGTGTGGATTACAAGGTCAACATTAACGACATCTGGTGTTCATCATAACTTCACTTGTGAATCATTCATGTTTCATTCTCATAAGCGATGTTCGTATAAAATCATCAAATATTAAAAATTAGAAAACACCATGCAACGAGCAACATTCCCAAGCCAGGGAGATTGGGATCATTTGGGGCTCGAGAACAAAACCAGGCAACCACTAGCAAGTCTATACAGAACTCATGTCTAGATATGTACTCTCATCTCTTCCGTATCGGAAAGAGATCAGAACAATAAGCAAGAACGACCCAGGCAGAAAACACTTAAGCAGCACTGGTATTAGCCTCGGGCGAAAGAACACGCTCGTGTTCGCTTTGCGCTGTACCACCAGGCACGACATGCTCGATGCGCTTCTTGGCAGTGAACAGGCCCGCGACACCGCCCTCTTGGTTTGCGCCGAGCCAGGGCTTGCGTGCTTCTGCGAGAGCTCGCTGACCGAGGTAGTAGATCAGCTGACCGACGATAATCAATACAAAGGCGATCGGGTACATCCAGTGGATATGGTAGTGGAAGACCTTGATACCGATGCAAACGCCCCAGAAGTTCATCGTCAGCATCGAGACGTTGAAGAAGGCGGCCGAGGACAGACGGAAGAGCAGGGGTGCAAGGCAGTAGAACAGTGTCAGGCACAGAGTGAAACCGACGAGATAGCCGCCCACTTTGCCGTCCCAGGTGGAGGTGTGGTAGTTGCTGCGCTCGAAGATGGCGGATTGGACGCCGTCGATGATGCAGCCGTAGAAGGAGAGTTGGCCAAGAACCTCATACACGGGACGCTTGCTGACAAAGTACTCTTCGGCGGTGTTGGTCAGGCCGTAGAAGGAGGCGCCCAGAAGAGCGAACAGGTCGCCCTTGAGTTGATTGCCGCTGGAGATGTCGCCGCCGTTGGTGCCGGTGATGTGATCAGAGGCAATGAGCACGCCCATACCGCCGATACAGACGGCGATACCGGCGATCTGAGTGATGTGGTAGCGTACCTTGAGGAAGAGGAACGAGATGATCACGACAACGACGATCGCCCAGAAGTTGATTAGTTGCGCGCTCAGCATGGTGGTGTATTGGTACGCCAGCACAATAAAGTAGTTGCCCTCAACATCGCAGAATGCAAGAATAATATCTGGGGAAAGGGTCAGTGGGGCGAGCTTAGAGTTGCTGGGGAGGGAAGAACTATACATTTCCAGCCGTCACGGTAGCACAAACGGAGCCAGCCCTTGAACCCGTAACGGTAAATCGTATAAGGAGTGAAAATGCATGTCAACACTACATAGTTGAGAAGGGTTTGGAAGGTGGGGATTGCCCAACCCTCTTCGCCGAGGAGGGTGGTGAAGGTGCTGGTCGAAGTATTGGCGATTGCGAGCAGTTGACTGGAAGAGTATCTAAGTACTGCGCTGGGGGAAAAAATTCAAAGTGTTTGAATCGAAGAGGGATCACATACCCTAGAATCAAGATAATGTAGAATTCCTTGGTCTTCAAAAAGGCGAAGAAACCCTTCTTCTGCTCGTCGACCTTGTCGGCCGGCGTCTCAGGCTCATTCTCGTTCTCCGCCTGCACAGCAGAGCTGCTCCGCACGACGGTAACGGCAGAGTCCTTGGGCAGCGACGGGGATGTCGGCTCGGCCATTTGCACGGTGGCTTGGTCCTTAGAGTCGGACATGGCGTGAGGAGGACAAGAAAGCGGGGTCAAGCACCAGACCGCAAATGTGACAAGATCTCAAGATCTCAATACCTTAAAAGAGGGAGCTTTATAGCCAACCACGAGCGCAAAACTCCCAGAAGTCGCTCGTACCAAGGCTAGTGAAGACGGGAAGATGGGAAGAAGGGAAAAAACAGGAACACGCCAATGCAACCAAGCAAGAAAAAAAACCAAACCTAGGAGATGCCGGGTCTGGAACCTTTCCTGATCGGGCGAAGATAAAGAATCTGCCAGATGTCCAGCTCAGAGCCAATGAAAATGCAAACCAGAGCCAAAGCGGTGTCTGTGCGGAACCCACAGCCTTTTTACTTTTCAGTTGACATGCTTCCCACCTGCTAAGTAAGGGTAAAGGTCTCGATGCAGCATTGGAATCGAAGCTTCGATGCGGGAGGCTAAATTCTCCCGCGTCGGACCTTCCCCTCCTGAGTCACGTTCTATACTTAGCTCTGGTATGTTGGTTCGAATGAGAATGAGAATGAGAATGAGAATGAAAATGAAATCATCGGTCCTGGTTACTCGATTGCCGTTGGCTCGGTTCTCGAGAACTGGTTAATTGAATGTAGTTAATTATCCCCGTTGTACACTCTGTCCCATTTGAACACGGGGTCCTTTAGGATGAGTTGATGATTTTATCATCCATCTCTTGAATAGCATTGTCCATAGTCGATTGTCCAAGTCAGGTACGGGAAACAAGGCTTAAGCTGGCCTCGGCCCCGTCAGGTGGACCCCCTTCCAGATCATCCCATCTTCTCCCGTTCTTCTTCGATCGTCATCCCCTCCGCAGACTCTGCCATCATCACCTCCACCCTTTACCCCCTTCCCCCTTTCTAACAACTGGCACTCAGCTCCGGCCCTCATCCTGGAGACGCCCGTGCCGAGTCGCCACTTTCCTGCCGGATCATGGCGCTGGACCTACAGCCGCCCGACGGTCGCAAACGGGTCAAGGTCTACGAACTGAGGAATAATGACTGGTTCGATCGCGGCACCGGCTTCTGTACCGGCACAATCATGGGGGTAAGCTTTCATTTCTTGGTTCCTGCATGCGCCGCCTCTGTCGCGACCGCGACGACCCGGGCGCGTGCTGTCTCTTCCGTCTTCCTCTTTCCCCCCCCCCTCGGCATCGGCAACCCGTCGCTAACCCGCGCCACGCTCATCACAGGAGGAACCGCGAATATTTGTCGAATCGGAAGACCAACCGCAGCGCGTTCTGCTCGAGACCAAGATCACCAAGGACGATGGCTATCAAAAACAGCAAGGTTTCTGTCCCACCACTTCCGCCTGACCGTGGCACCGAAAAGGGAATATGGTTTGACTGACTTGTATCACGCGATCAGAGACCTTGATTGTCTGGACGGAACAGAATGGCACGGATATGGCGCTGAGTTTTCAAGAGGCGGAGGGATGCGCGGTGATATGGTGAGACCTCTCCCGATCGCTCGGTGTGTGTGCGCGCACTCGACTGACCATCGCGATTTTCTCCGGCAATAGGGACTTCGTCAACACTGTTCAGCAACACCTCCTTAGCATAGCCGCAGCCGGTGAGTCTGATCGTTCTGTTGGCTTTGCGCATATCTAACTCAGTGGCAGACGATGCCCTCTCAGACGACCTCGATAGCTACCAATCCATCGTGTTGCCTTCGCCGGATCTCGGCAACCTCCCTGAAATTGAGCAGATCGTTCGAGCTGCCAGCATGACACAGAATGGCCGCGATGCGCTATCGAAATTTCTCATTCGCGACGACTATATCAACAGATTGGTTCCCTTGGTGTCAACAGCCGAGGACTTGGAGAGTCTAACTGATTTACATCGCCTCTGCAACATCATGAAATCCCTGATCCTCTTGAACGACAACGCTATCATCGAAATGGTAGTTTCCGACCATATAATCCTGGGAGTGGTTGGGGCTCTGGAATGTACGTGGTCCATTGCAGGATGGTGGAAGCAAAGTGCTAAACGAGAATTGCAGATGACCCCGAATTTCCAACACACAAGGCGAACCACCGACAATACCTCGCAGATCAGACGCGCTACAAAGAAGTCGTTCCCATCAAGGACAATCAGATTCGGAGAAAGATTCGCAGTACATGGCGTTTGCAATACCTGAAGGACGTGGTTCTTGCGCGGATCTTGGATGATCCGACGTTCTCCGTGCTCAATTCCCTAATCTTCTTCAACCAGATGGAAATCGTCAATCACATTCAATCGAACGCTTTATTCCTGCGCGAACTCTTTTCCGTGTTCGACCCGAGAAACACCGACGGGAAGCGCAAGGACGATGCGGTTCAATTCCTCCATCAGTGTGCTGGAATTGCGAAGAATCTACAGGCTCCGTCGCGGGCCCAGCTGTTTGGCAATTTTATCAGCCACGGACTGTTCGCAGTGATCGCCTTCGCCGTAAAGCACCCCAATCCCGCCATGCGCACGACGGGCATCGATATTCTGGTGGCATTGCTAGACCATGACCCCGTAATGATGCGCGGGTACATGCTCAAGGCCGTTAACGAGAAGAAGACACCGCTCACGGATACTTTGATTGATCTACTTCATGCAGAGACCGATCTCGGAGTGAAAAACCAACTCGCTGATGCCATTAAGATCCTCCTGGACCCTCAGATTCCTCTGCAGGATCCGCTCGCACGGGCTGGTCCCGATTTTTTCAAAGTCCGCTCATCCAACCTCCTCTCTGATGCATTTGTCCAGCAACATTTCGATGAATCTTCCAAGCGACTATTCCAGCCGCTCAAACAACTTGCCAACCGCGCCTCCCGTGAGTTACAATCACGTCAGCCAAGAAGGCCCAAGCTAACCATGCGCAGTTAATGACCTGACGTTCCAAGAAGTCACGCTTTACTCGCATCTTGTTGACATCCTCACCTTTTTCGTCCGTCAACATCTCTTCCGCACCCGCAATGCGATTCACAGTGAACAGCTTGCTCCTCGAGTGGCCCAACTCCTCACAGCCCCTCAGAAACCTGTGAAGCTGGGTATGTGTTCTGCTTGCATTCTGGAACCGGTCACTGACCAAAGTAGTTGCCCTCAAATTCTTCCGCACACTCATTAGCCTCCAAGATACCTTTTACCAAGCCCTCATGACGCACAACAACACCTTTGGCTTGATTCTTGATATTGTCCTCGAAACCATGCCCCGTGATAACCTGCTCAACTCCGCCTGCCTCGAGCTCTTCGAATTCATCAAACGGGAAAACATCAAACCATTCATCGTCCATGTGGTTGAGAAGTACCGTGAGAAGCTTGAAAGAATTACCTACGTCGACACCTTCCAAAACCTCACTTTGCGCTACGATCAGATGCAAGGCTATGGGGCCGAGGCTGAATCTACGCTCTTTAGCCAAGATGAGGATGACACACCACGGCAAATGCCGTTGAACGGCCAGCGCTGGCAAGGCGTGAAGGAAATGGATGCGACGGAAGAGGAGTACTTCGCTGGATCCGATGACGAAGATGAGGTGCGTGAATTTTGTTCCTTTTTAATCTTGTCTCCCCTTGTGTGGACACCAAACTGATTCGAATACCAGTGGCAACAGGAAAACCGTGCTGCTCTCGCTGCCGGCACCGTTTATGGAACGGCTTCTCCATTGGTCAAGCCACTAGTTGATTATCCAGATGATGACGATGAAGATGCGATGGACATCAAACCCGAAGACAACCCAGAACAAGCTGCGGAAGATCAGCCATTGAATGTGGCAGAGGTGCAGTGTGAAGATGCCTCTGAAGCGGCGGGCATGCCCGCCTCGCTAACACATAATCTCCCTGTGCCTGAACGCCTCGCCGAAAAACGTCGCCGCGAGGAAGAGGACGAGGATGAGCTGGTCAAACTTGCCACAGGACCCAAGCGCCGGAGCTCTACAAGTAGTAACTCCAGTGCTGGTTCAATCCACCGAAAGAAGGCCGTGTCAATCGGCTCGGTCGTGTCCGCCGAAAAGGGCACCATGTTAGGTGCGAATGTAGCGCCGAAGAGAATCGCCATTAATCTGGGACCAGCGGTCAAGCCATCCGTACCCGATGACCCTTCTTGCGAAGACACACCATCCAGCAACAGCGAGAAGGAAAACCACCGCGACGACAGCCAAGGCGAAGGCTGATCTGATTATACCCAGCCGCCTCACATCCTCCCCTCTATTTTGATTTTGACTTGGCGAGCTAGATACCAGATTCCAGAGCCCCTCTGTATTTTCTGCTTTTTGCTGCTGTTTGGCGATCCATTTCTTTGTCCTTTCTCCCTCGGCGGTCCATAACCAGCGATGCTGTATTTTTTTTTTGTTGGTGATCTGGGATGAATGATGTACATTGCGCTCGGGAGTCTATGCATTGGATCCGACCTCGGCTTCCTTTTTTTGCTTTTCTGTTTGACGGGTTTAGAATCCGGGTCCAGGGTGGTGCTTAGGTCGGGGAGTCCGGATTTCATGCAATAAATTGCATTTAAGATGCTATTTTTCTTTTCCTAGATGTGTATAGATGTGGATAGATGTGTAGATCACTGTCTGGAGCTCGGCTCGGCTCACATGGCGGATCCACTGGCTCCGCGTTCTCAACCCGGTCCTGTGCATCAACGTCCTTTCTAGCGCGACAATCCACAAGGGGGTTTCCCAGGGTACTTCATCAATTCAATCCTCTAGTCTCTGCTTTATATTCAGGACTACCGGGCCTGGATACATCTCACAGCCCATACTCCACATATTCACGTCCACGCCAGAAGCAAAAGCCATGGACCCCCAAATCACCCAAAACACATTCTGCACCTATACAGGATCCCCCTCTTCAGCAGAAACAACAATATTTTTCATATCAGGTAATCCAGGCCTAATAGGCTACTACCATCCCTTCCTCTCATTCCTAGCGCAGAACCTAGTGGAATCCTCGGACCACAGTAAACCCATTTACCAAATCTACGGGTGCAGCCTTGGAGGCTTCGAGGTTGATGAGAACCCATCTTCCAATGATCTCAATTCCCAGGGAAACAAGACTGGAAGAGAGGAATCTAAGCTTTATGATCTGGAAGACCAGATCCGCTTCGTTCATCAGCGACTTGAGACCGTCATGAGCGAGTCTGGTCCAAACGCGGCGCCAAATCGAAAAGCCGTGCTAATCGGGCATTCTGTGGGCGCTTACATAGCCATGGAAGTCATAAGACGACACCGTGCAATGGATGTATCTTTCGATATCGTGGGAGGCGTAATGCTGTTCCCGACTGTGATGGACATTGCTGCTTCGCCGTCTGGTCAGAAATTGACGGTATGTATAGCCCCATTGGTGGGATGATTGGTTGTTAACTGGTTCTAGGGTCTTTTGTCGATTATCCCGAGACTGGCTTTGGTTGTTGGGTTCTTTGCGAGGTTGCTTACCTTTATTCTGCCGGTGGTTGCTTTGAGGTCGGTTGTGGGGGTTGTGATGAAGGATCCTCCGGGGCATGCGTTGGACACGACGTGTACCTTTTTGAGGAGCCGTGGGAGTGTTAGGCAGGCTTTGTATGTCTCCTCTTCCTCTTCTTCTTCTTTGCTTCTGTTTGATCTAATTGTTCAACACAGGCATATGGCTGCTGATGAGATGCGGACCATCACGTCTGACAAATGGACTGATGATGTATGGGGTGTGGCTCATGCGCGTGAGCCTATCACGAAGATGTTCTTCTATTTTGGTGTGAATGATCATTGGGTTGCGGAGAAGACGAGAGACGATATTATTGCGGCTCGCGGGGAGAAAGAGGGCTCTGGGACGAAGATGTTTGTTTGCGAAGAGGGTTTGCCTCATGCCTTCTGTATAAGTAAGTTCGAAGTTTACGCTTATGGTTTTCGAGGTTGGGTGCTAACAAATAGCAGAACATAGTGAGACCATGGCTCGCAAGGTTGCAGACATGATACAGGATATTACAAGTGCATAGATAGACGTCTAGAGGCCAAATATCACGAAGGAAAAAAAGGGTTGCAGCTACCTACATAGCCGGGTATTTTATGGACATCTTATTACGGGTATCTCAAGCCACGCGCCGCTCTCCTTCCCTTCATGTAAGGAAAGGCCTGGATATTCATGAAACCAAAGACCAAGTCATGCGCCTCAGATGCAATATGCTAGAATGACCACAGGAAGTGAAAAAGGCAAATACACTTAATACCCCTGTCCTCCTCCCTGGTATGCGATCCCCGCCCTCCGGAACAAATCGCCCAGGACATCCGCCTGAACCTGTGGTTGCGGGGGCGGTTGGTGGTTGTGTTGAGGGTGTACCGGAGGGTTCATGTTCTGATAAATCTGCTGCTGCTGTTGTTCAGGACTGACATGGTGTGCGCGAACGCTCCATCCATCGTCCTCCGCTCGCTGCTGCCCAAATAAATCCTTCAGCGACATCTGACGGCCCATGGGCGCGCTGGCTTGTGCTTCCTCCACAGGCGGTGTTTGCATCTCCGCTGCCGCGGCAGCAATGTGCATGCCATTTTGACGCGTCTCCTCGAGGCGCTGGCGCGCCAGCTTCAGGCTCTGTCCAGCGTGCGCGGCGCACTGGCGGATCAGATCGGCGTTTATAGTGCGCGCATCGGCAGTCGAATTGGGCGGAGGTTCTTGGTATATCCAAATACCGTAAATGCGCACGTCCGGGGTGTTGCCGTTCTGGCCGTCGCCTGCGATCCCGTTGGTATCCCTCCCGCCTTCGGTGGCCTCGTCCGCTTTGAGAATCACGTAGGTCTCTGTCAACTCGACATTCTCACTTTCTGTGAGAGGTAGTTCGAAGTTTTGCAGGCCTGATCGGTTCAATACGAATACGGAGTATCGATCTTCACCCAAGCTGCCCTGGGTCAGCTGGCAGACAAACATCGTGCCCTCTACCTTCATCTTTTCCCAACCCCGCGTTATGGGGCTAAAGATATAAACGACGGAGTAAGGGGCGAGAGAGAGTATCGAGGCGATGGAGGGGTTGTGACGCTGCAGAACCAAGAGGTTCAGGTCCTCGTTAGAGCGGAGCGGTGGTGGTTGATTCTGCATGTCGGAGACGTAGACCGTATCAGATTCATAGTCGATGTGATTATTGGAGAATTGATTATTGTTCTGGCGCCGTGGTTTGTGAGAGGCCATGGTGGCTGCGTTGAGGTGCAAGATGGAGGGATGTGAAGAGGTGTGAAGAGGCGTGAAGAGGCGTGAAGAGGTGATCCGATTGCGGATAGAGGGCAAGTTCCACGCATATCGTCATCGTTGAGCTCTCCGCCTTGCACCCCTCGACTCTCCCCACCAAGTGCTCCGACTCATCTTCACAGGATTCTGGATCGGATCTACTAGTCAATTCAATCCAGCTCCTCATTTTTCTTATTCACCTGCCCGAGTGTTTCACCCACATGATGCCGACCCTCGCCATTCGAATCTCGCCGCATTGAGCTCCGCATGAGAGGCACAGTCATTGATCGCTCTCACTTGATCCTCCTTGACTGATCTTTCCGTTACTTTATCCTCGCGCCGTGCCTATTTATAGTTCTCCTGCACAGAGCTATTCTCCCGCCGGAAGTGACAGCCACGCCAGATCGTCGCAGATACGCGCATCTGTATAAACCTGCCTATATACATTGTCGCATTCAGCTACACCACATACTCGAGTCATGAGAATTCTCCTTCAAGCTCACTGACTCTATAACAAGCTTTCATTCCAACATGGTGCCCAGTAACTCGCGAGGAGCATCGTCTCCCACAGAAGACCCAAGAGAGTTCAACGCCCAGGACTTGGAAGATATCGACACCCCAGGACTCGATCTGTTATCTCTTTCCCGCGCAGTTAAAGCAAGGAAAAGTGAATATACCTGCCGGCAGACTATCCAGGTCAAGGTTGGCACATGGAATGTGGCCGCTATCTCCGGCACTGAAAAAGACATCGGCAAGTGGTTTGTCCAGGGCCAAGGAGTGTGCGAGAAGTTTTCGGGCTTGAAGGGCTCAGACTTCCAAAGAAATGTCACAACAGGTGGATCTAGTGGATCCAATGAAGAAAAGGAGGAAGCTCAGAAGGAGGGAAGGTCGGCCAAACCATTTCAATGCAGTCCCGAGGAGGTCGATCTCTATGTTCTAGGCTTGCAAGAGGTCGTCGATATTTCCTCTCCCACTGAGGCTCTGCGGCCCTTTGTCGACTCCGGACCATCAACCCGATGGAAAGATGCTGTTCAGAAGGCGCTTCCCCAGGGCTATCAACTCGTTTCCGAGGTTCAGCTTCTCGGTCTTTTGCTCCTTATCTATGCATCTCCGGCAATTGCAGAAAGTGTTTCATCCGTTAGCACAAGTTCTGTGGGAACGGGACTGATGGGCTACATGGGCAATAAAGGTGCCGTTGCGACCCGTGTGGTACTGGGGGAAACCACCCGTTTAGTGTTTGTAAACTCCCACTTAGCGGCTGGATCGGACAAGGGCAGCTTAGAAAGGCGCAATTGGGATGCATCCCAGATTGTTTCGCGCACCAAGTTTGAGTCGGCTGACCCGGAGCGCACGCAAAATAATCAAGTCGATGTGATTGGCGACGAAGACTTCACGTTCTGGTTCGGTGACTTGAACTACCGACTTGATGATATTCCGGGCGATGATGTGCGACAGTGTCTCGCTCGACACACTGTCAATGCCTATGATACTGCGCGCCAGGAGAAGCAAAAGTTGAGCAGTCGCCAGGGTTCCAAGGTCGATTCTGATCCTGAGCCTGAATCTAACCCGCCATCGCCCACGGAAGGAGAAGAATACGCCGAACCTGTGGGCGATGAGGAAATTGATCCTCACAACGATCCTGCATCTCTGCAAACAACGATTTCCTCTCTTATTGTGCATGATCAACTACGCACCCAGCAGAAGAAAGGAACTGCCTTCCACAAAGGGTGGAACGAGGGACAGATTTCGTTCTTGCCGACATACAAATACGACGTCGGAAGCGTGGCCATGTTCGATTCCAGTGAGAAGCAGCGTGGTCCCAGCTGGTGTGATCGAATCCTCTACCGGACCAGACGGGACATGCTCAAGCATGAACAACAAGAACGGGAAATAAAAGAGGCTCGAAAGCGGGACAAAGAGATGGAGGCTCGTGGCTTGGACAAAGCTGTTGCAGACTACAATGTCTTATTCGAATATGACCCCGAGACAGATGGCGCGGATGGTGGAGACGGTTCGGACGGTGCTGCCGATGTCGACGACTATATCTCCGATGAAGATGCAGCAAAATTCGCCTCAAACTCGCCTCGGGACTCCTCTCAGGATCTCACCGAGGACCTTGCTCAAGACTCTATTAGTTTGCACCATTATATCTCCCACCAAGGCATTCTATCTTCCGACCACAAACCTTTGGACGCAATATTCACCTTGAACATCGATGCGGTTAACCCTAGCCTCAAGGCCAAGGTTCATCAAGAGGTAGTGCGTGAATTGGACAAGGTCGAGAACGAGTCCCGACCCGGCCTCACGGTAGTAGTAGATACCCCTGCCGGCGAAAAACGATCAGAAGGAGACCCGAATGCCGTGGATTTTGGCACAGTTCCCTACGATGTTCCCGTTCACCGGACTTTGACCATTGCCAATACCAGCAGTACTCCGGCGACCTTCTCATTTGCCGAACGGCCTGGCTTCGAAGGAGACCACAAAAACGAAACGGAATCCTGGCTTGACATTCAGATCAATCATGTTGGTGAGAGTCATTCTGACGGAGAAGCCGTTAGCAGCCATACCTTGCATCCCGGAGAAGTGGCTCATGTCAATGTCACTATTCACGTTCGCCTCATCAAGCATGTCCGCCTACTGAATCTGAAAAAAATCAAGCTGGAGGAGATCCTCGTCTTACATGTGGACAGTGGTCGGGATCATTTCATCTCTGTCTCAGGTCAATGGCTACCAACGTGCTTTGGATGTAGTGTTGATGAGTTAACTCGCATGCCAGAGGCTGGCGCTCGGAGCCTTGCAGCGGATGGAACCGCATCCTTGTCCAAAGGTGATAACGAAGTGCGGTTATCAGCTCCCCGCGAGCTTTTCCGATTGACCGAAGCCATTTCTGAGCTGGCAGAGCGTGCAGTAGCAGAATGGAGCATGACAAAGGGCGAGTCTGGAGAGGAGCCCCCATGGGCCAAAGATCCATCCGGAGCGGCATGGCCCTTTGAGCTAGGGACATGGACCCTAAAAGAGCAACATGAGCGAGCACCTCTCCTCGCCTCAGTCCGCGAAGCCCTCGATACCAACAAATCACTATATTCCACGTTCGCACCGGAAATTCCACCCTTGCATCGTCTCGAGATCCTCTCCGAAACCCTCCTCTCCTTCCTCAACTCCCTCAGTGATGGTATCGTCACTGCATCCGTCTGGCAAGAAATGGAGCAGCACATGCTCGCCCGCGAGAAAACAAAAGCTCCGCCTCGAACATGGGAAGAAAGTCAAGCCTGGGTCCTCGAAAGCCTAGCCTACTCACCCGCACACAGTGTCTCCTTCACTTTTGTAACATTCATGCTGGCCCGGATCGCCAATGAAGTCGCTCCCGTCCCATCAACAGCGCAACCAACTTCTCCATCAAGTCGCAAAGAACGACCTTCCGACGCCGACTCTAAATCCAAAGAAGAGAACACATCCGAATCCCAAATTCAACCCCCAACACCTGCTTCCGCCGCAGCATTTATTGCCGCAGGCAGTTTCCGCCGCAAGAACCGTTCACCGACTGTCACCGATTCCGATCCGTCTGCGGGTACCGCATCTCAGCCCGCAGCGCGTCGCCAGTCCGTTGAGTCATCATTCGCGTCGATTTTTGCTCGCGTGCTTATTTCGGCTTCTGTATCTGTTCCGACGAAGGAGAAGGATAGACGGGCATCCGATGAGCGGAAGAAGAGTATCATCGAGCCATTCTTGAAGATGATTGGTGTTGATGAGCGGGGGCCGTCGGGTGGTCGCTAATCATTGTATATTGGCTCTACAATGGGTGGATTATTGGTTCAACATACGCTCCGGGGGCTTTTTTATCAGTTTGGTTTCGTGTACATGGGTAAATAGACCGCTTCAAATTCTTGATGCGTTGATGTTTTCAGGTATTGTCTGCAATTCATGAATACAGTTTCGATCAACCAATTCAGGGTTGAATAGAACTTGTGTTTTTCCAACGGTAATACGGCTGAATATATTCATATTTGTAATCCACGGATTGGCTTGCTTGAAGTGATTGAAAGGCGTGCTGGAAGTTTAATATATACGCCCGTGGATGTCTCTGCATCCCATGCCTTCCATACCCCTATTCCATCCAGTCCCAAGGCCAATACCAATACTTATGTCCAACGAGACACCACCTGAAACCCCCGAAATATACAAATGAAACCCCGAAAAAAAAAATTATCACATAAGAAGCGCCAGATGGTCTGCAAGATTCAAGGCTTGCGGCCTTTTCTGTTTGGGGAACTGGAAATATGTTGCACAAGTGGTGAAACACCCGGGGCACGAGGTAGTGGAGGTGAGTGTGTTCGACGACTTGACGCAGTCTTTCCTTTGCTCGGTCTGGGGCGTGGCTGGGATGGACGGCGACGGCCCATCATTTGTTGTACTGTTAGTAGACAGCGATTTGCAGCTCGGCCTGGGAGGTTCAAGATAGAGAGAAAGAGTTTCGCAGGGACAACGATGCAGGCGCAGGCCCAGTCGATGAGGGTGAAAGCGTAGCTCTGGCGACGAGAAATACTCGAGCGCTGTGCAGCGGCGGCTAGGGTGATGGCGTCGTGGATTTGAACTTCCAATTCTTGGAAGCGCATATCAGCCTGGTGGTTCGTGAGAGCTGTGCGTTTCTCGTAGCGGCGGACGGCGCGATTGAGAGCTTCGATGTCTGGTTGTACTGCTCGGCGAGTTTCGACAGCTGCCTGCGTAATGAGAGATGGGGCATCTGTCTCCTGGGAGTGACCTTTGGAGTTCGATTCGAGACGGGCGGCGGCCGCCTCAGCGACGTGGGCTTCTAGCTCTTCGAGACGGGTAGTGAGGTCCCGGACCTTTTCAGAATCGACTTCATTGTCGGAAGATGCTACGACGCGCTGGAGATGGAGCGTGCGTGCTTGTACAAGTTTTAGAAGGTGGGCGACGGGGCGGACCTCGGATGCTAGGAGGAAGATGGTGAGGTTGTAGTTCGAGACGAGGCCTTCTGATGGCCGAGAGAGACTGCCTCGAATGCCGTGGAGTAGCCAAGTGCCAATAAGAGGAAAGATGAAGCATGCGGCGAGGGCAGCCAATTCGTGGATCTGGAGTTCCTTGACTGCTTTAGCCTCAGCCGAGGCACGCAGGTGCTGGCTCTGAGGGCTGTTTTGAGCCGACTGGGGGCCGTCTTGGCTATCAACAGCCTCGACGGTCTCATCGGCCTCATTAAGGTCCGTTTCGATGTGATCGGCGGGGGCCTCGAATCCCGCGTCACACTGGATGGCCTGGGCCGAGCGATACCAGTCCCTGGAACAGATCTCAGCTGGGGTAACTCAAAACAAAGAGATCGGGGAACGTACCATGGTAATCGGACAGACCAATTCAGAAAGATCGCAGCTAGCACCAATAATGTGACATCAGTGACAACGACACTGCCATTCTGAAAGAAAACGCCCGCGATGGCCGGCAGCAACGCCAGGCCCAGTGGTGCCGAGTGCCAATGCGACTCCTCGGTCGCAGGGTCCCCCCCTTGACTACGCGGGGAAGGAAGATGCCATCGGTGGACGAGCGGATAGAGTTGCGGGCTTCGGAGATGGAGTCAGAAAGCGTGGAGTTACGACGCTGCCAGTTGGAGTCCAGGCGTGGAATGCGGCGACGTAGTGGATCGGCCATGATGAGAGAGGTGTTCCTCCATGTGTATGATGGAGTTCGTGCTGTGCTTTGCTTTGGGCCCGGGCTTGGGCTTGGGCTTGGGCTTGGGCTTGGACTTGGACTTTGGACTTGGGCTTTGGACTTGGACTTGGGACTTTGGACCTTCGTACCTGGCTACTTAGCTTTGGCTGCGTAAACCGGCCGAGGTTGTGTTGATCCGCTCTGTCGTCATTATGTTCCCACTCGGTACAGTTGTCAGGCACCAGCTGAGGACTCACCTTCCTTACCTCAGCACACTCCACTTCAATACTCATCTACACATCTATACAGTAACACATCCACGCAGCTACCCTGCACAACTGCACAACTGCACCAGGGCACTTTACACTGAACTCGGTTACAGAGACAAAGACATGACCTGGTTACACCTGACCCGAGCCAAATTGGCCCATTTCTTTGAGTTGTCAAAAGGCGGCTTCTATTGAGCACCCGATGCGGAATCTCACTGGTCACAATTAATCAATTCATGGGAAATCCTCCTACTTTCACAGCACCGATGACTCTGCGACTTTTTATTGAGACCCCAGAACTGCTTCACTGGACATGTTCTTCACTGCAGCCTTCGTGCCTTTGGTACCGGGCTTACCGGTCTCCCTTCCTAGAGAATGTCTCGATCTAGGCTTCGCTCTAGATGTTATTGTGAACCATTCGTCTCGGTCTATACTCGCACCAGGAAGTTTCCTTTCCCGTGGTCCTGGTATATGGCAAGGAGCGCTTTTTCTGCACTTCGTCTTCTTCTTCTCAACATCATCTGTTTACTTCGGAGCTGCTGGTAAGCTCATGAAGTTAATGGGATTGAATCGCTGTCCGCTGTATATCATCTGGTCTGTCACTGCATACCAAATTGTATCGCCATGGATCCCGGTGCGGATACCGATATCAACAGGCGCTATCCGCTAGCAGTTGCTTTGCCAATCTTGTCTTTCTTGTCCATTGCTCTTTCCATTTCGCCGTTGATCCTGCATGCGAAGAATCGAAATTTGCCAGCCACGGCTCTGATCTGCTGGTGCACTGTCCTCAATGTGTTCAACATCATCAATGCCTTGCTGTGGCCAAACGACAACATCGACGCATGGTGGGATGGCAAGGGACTCTGCGATATTGAGTTGAAGATCATGGTTGCGAGTTATGTGGCCATCCCAGGATGTCTGGTGGGCATGTTCCGGGGCCTGGCAATGGTCATGGACACGAGTCGTGCAACCTGGACCCCAAGTAAGACCCTGCGCCGGCGCAATCGGGCCATCAATTTACTGTTCTGCGTGATCGCTCCAATTATTGCCATGATCACGCACATTGTGTGGCAGAAGAGCCGCTTCCTACTCTACTCCATTTCGGGCTGTGTTAACAACTTCGACGAGAGCTGGGTGAGTTTCATGCTGGCATTTATCTGGCCACCCATTCTCTGTTTGATTGCCTGCTATTATTGTTGTAAGTTGCGACGAAATCTCCCAGTCGGAATGGTCGCTAACCATGAACAGGCCTTGTCCTCGTCCGACTTTTCAAGTACCGAAGCGACTTTGTGCATATCCTGCGGTCCCGTGGCAGTACTATGAACAAGTCAGGATTCCTGCGCCTTTTCTTCCTCGCTTTCTCCATGCTCATCGCGATTCTGCCCGTGGAGGCCTACCTGGTCTGGTACGATGTGAGTCTGTCACTGCCCTGGCATCAGTACTCATGGAAGAAACTCCATGGACCGGGCTCGAACTGGTCTCAAATACAAAAGGTGGCTACCTACGGAGTGGTCTTCTTCGACAGATGGAATCCAGTTGCAGCAGGATTCATGATTTTCATTTTTTTCGGCTTCGGTCGCGATGCTACCAAGATGTATCGCTTGCTGTCCTGGTATCTCGGTTTCAGGTACTGCTTCCCCGGTGTATATCGTCCGCTCGAGTCAGAGGCTCTGGCCACTGCCCCTGCTCGCAATGGTTCCAATTCGACTACCTTGGTCGGAAGCGCCAGCAACAGGGGGAAGTCGGTCTTCAAGAAGACATCGTCATCACGGCAGGTTTTCCTTAGGAAACCCGGACGGTCATTTACTAACAACTGTCCTACCAGCAGCCCCACTCTTCCAGCCCACAATGGCTCCTACAATGATATCGAAAAGGGCAGAGTCTCATCCTCGGTCCCAACGCTCAATGTCAATTTTCCCGGTGAGAAGATCCCTTGGTACCGCTCGTTCATGAATCGCCGCAAGGCTTCTCGTAACGCTGGCCAGGACACCCTTCTCTATGATCTGTCCATTCCGTCTCAGACCATCTGCACCAATGCCTGGGCGGGAATCAGCCAAAGCCGAGGAAGTAATGAGTATTCTGCCGGCCCATTCTCGCCTCGGACTAAGGACTTCATCCACGTCAAGCAGGTGATTCGCCAGCAGAGTGAGATTCAGCTCTAAGCAGCTATGATTTTTTCAAGAGAATCTTCTCCCGGGTCCCATCTATGCACGACTTCTGTGCCAGTGAAGCAATATTTCAGCTTTAATCAATTATCTTCTTTACCCTGTTTTTCAATCCTGATATTCTCTAGTCATGTTTGTAATATCTCCAGCCCATGGGATCAATCATTCCGATGCTTTTATCATATTCACTCGAATATCTAATCTACAGGGCAATCATCTTACAGCGGAACAGAGTGTATTCAGGGTATACAAGTACAATAAAATCACAAAGCAAGAATCAGAAGCTCCGGCCCTGTTTGCCTGCACCAACCGTCTCAATCGACACGGTCTCTCTAATCAAACAAATCCCAGCCTGGACCAGCCGTATCCGAAAACACCACATATTACATATCACCCTCGATTCGTGACGTGGACGAACTAGCATGTGATTGGCGAATCGTTTACTGGTCATTGCCGTGCTGCTGGGGACGGGTGAGGACCTCAAGGGAGCCTATAAATGAACAGTGTCAGATATTACCTCGATATTGAGAAAAGAATTGGAACCGAGAAACATACGCTGCACAATGTTCAAGTTAGTCTGCTTCTGACCATCAGCATTCTCATAAGAGCGCATGCTGGCATCACCCTCCAGGTAAACAAGGGTTCTATTATCCAATCAACAACACGTCCTAATAAACCAGCATTAAGCAAGATCCGAAACATACCCCTTCGGCAGACTCATAATGTAATCCCGCTGCGCACCCTCAGGCAAGAAAGCACCAACGCGGAACCAGCTCGTTTGGCGGTTATCGCGGGGTCCATACGAGGTTCCAATCGAGTATCGAACAACCTCCTGACCGGAAGAGGTAGCAGTCAATTCGGGCTCGGCGCCCAGGCGGCCGGTGAGGATCATGCGGGCGATGGAGCGCGACGCGGAGCTGCTGAAGCTGCGGGCGGTGGCGGTGGCGGCGCGGGCGAGACCCAGAGTTGGGCGGAGGGGGGCAAAGGAAGGCATCGTGGTGTTGTTTGGAGCTTGCGGGGTTGTGATTGCGTTGGATGATCAGGCGTTCAGGGGACGAGTTGGGTGGTTGACGTCGACGCGGGTCGCGTTTGGTCATGTGATTGGCCGCTTTTGGCGATTTGATGGATCAGATTTTGGGGCCTCAAGGCGATGTTTTGATTGAATTTGGTGAGTATTAATAACTATATGATTGAAAAATTGAAAGAGAATAGTTCTTTTTGCTCTACAAATAGCTCATAAGGTTTCATCAGTATCATACAAGAGATCTGGTTCCGAAAAATGGCGCAAAGTATAGAGTTGCGCCAAACCATAATGACACTATCCCGATAACAAAGACAAGGATTTCTTCACCTCCGGTCAAACGCAAAAGCTGCGAGCTCAAGAGACATCCAGCAGCACCGGCAAGACCCCAGGCGGCAAGAACTCGACCATATTTGAGGGGAAGCACAGTAGAGTGAGCGGTATGGTCCTTCGCCAGTTCCAGGAGGATGCTAAGCCCACTTCCATGGATGAACAAAACAACGAAAAAAGCTGTCATGGCCAATGTAGCGGATTGAGCTCTCGACAGCAGCACAAGGAGAATACTTTGCAGACTGGACAGGGCCACCAATAAAGCTCTGGGCCCGAATTGAGAACTCAAGATGGGTGCTAGAATGCAGCCCACAGCGAGGGAAAGCATACCGCTAGGTAGAATTTCCAATGTCTGCGACCAGTATCTCACTGCATAATAAGAAGAGAAATGGAGCACTGCGGAAAGAACAGTCATGCCGGGCAATGCGCTGAAGAAGAGCAAGACTGGTAAAATTAGCTCTGATGAGCTGAAAGGGACCCAAGGCGGAGACTGTTCCTCAGGTTTCAATGTCTGACTAGGCAGCATGATCATCGTACTGATTCCAACCAAAGCAAAAATTGCACCCATGATCACTACCCTGATACCCAAGGCCACTGCATCCAATTTACTCAGCCTGAACAAGATTTCCAGGCCGACAATTGCAGAAGTGCCGGATGCAAACCCAAGAGGCCCAATAGCGTTTGGGATAAATGAACTATTCGGCAATTCCTGGTCAACCATAATAATGACGGCGAGATACGTCCACCCGACGCCGATTCCGCCAAAAAAGCAGAATAGAAGAAGGGTCTTGAAATGGCTTTTTGCCAGGAAGAAGCCTATGCCGATAACTGCGAATCCCCACAATGACGTGCCATAGGCAGCTGCTGCGGTAGCTCCCTTTCTCGACATGATTGAATTGCTCGTAATGACACCAACGGAAAGCCCTAGGCATGCTATCCCAAATGGTGCAAAACTCCATGCTAACGTTGTTATGAGCAGTCGTCGCAGTTCTGCTTGAAATGTGCACGAGGCGTAGAATGTTCCTACGCTGAATATATTGGCAAAACTTGCCAATACAAAGCGTTTCGAGCTCATTTCGGGCCTCGGTGATGTCATATTGGCGAGTATGAAAAGTCCAACGTCAAAATAGCAAAGAGAAAGAAAAATAATATCAGTTGTGATCGGCCCCCGCCGCAAGATGGTTGGGTCGGTCGTACCCGGTGGAGCCGCATTTTGGGGGCCGTAATTACGCCAGCTGGTGGAGATCCTTAGGCTACGGACTCGGTGGAAAGCTTGGAGACGCGCGGCATTCTCTTATCGCTTGTCATATAAGTAGTGAAAAGCTGAATGATTTTCCAGTAAGTGGGTCTTCCAAAACAAGCAAAGACGAAAGAGGAAATGGCGCGTGTGTCAATATTTGCGTTGCTTGTGTGTTCGAGGTGTGTCTAGTAGGAATATCAAGCTCTGGCGAGCAGTACAATAATGGATGAAGCTGCATATATCAGTTTACTCTGGAAGCAATGCCCTCCATTAAATTAACTTGATTCTTGCGCGACCTGTTGTACTACAGGTGGAGGGGTTCCAGAGCAACTAAATGACCCATGAAGCAATAGTCTATATCCTATCCTGCCTATGCCTGATATTTGATTGTTTCCAAGCATTGCTCTATGTTACCATTTCGATAACTGTCGTAGCTCTCATTCACCCGCCGAGGTCTTTCGAGCTGGTCCAAAAGGATCAATGCAAGTGAATTAGACATTAGATAGGGTTGTCTTCTGGTCAATTTCAACAAGGTCCAACTATTGCAAGGCCACCAAGACCGACTGTTCCTCAATTAATTCCATGAGGAATCATAATCTTATCTTCAAGTTCAACGTGATCATCAGCTGGTCATCAGCCATGAAATATAAGGTTCGGCTTCCGTGTTTGTGGCAAAAAGATTCCGGCCCGGCCGAGAAGATCATCTAACAGGGCCTCCACACTTGATTCTTCAATTGTTTTCTGGACATACTTTCAGGCATCTCTCTAAATGAATTTAGTGATCTCCTTTCCCTTCCCAAAACATCCTTTTAAATGAATTCGGATGCGTTTTACACACGCCCCAGTTGATTGTTAAGCCTGAAACTTAGAATCAAATCTAGACAGCTCCATTTTGGATCGTTTGGTAATCGAACCACTTCAGCACAATTTGCCATCGATCGATTCCATCGGTCTCTTTCTGAAGAAAGGAATGGGTGAAGATCACGAGTGGCTTCAGGACATCATATTTATTTCACATTGACGAATGACATCACGCTCCGCGAAAAGACATCATCGATTGGACACGGGGTACTGTTAAGTTACGGGCGTTTGAAAGCGTCAAATTAAATGGCTTTTCTTCATTTGGTGGTTTTCATGATTCCAAGGTTCCAACTTCTACTGACATCATTTTTCCGGCGACAGTTGCACCTCGCTATCACTACATAGAAGCAATATTCTCACTAATTTTTCTGAGGATGTAAAAATACGCAGTGTAACTGAGCTTTTGATGATTTTACTGATCTGGAATACTTTAAATCATCCAAGAGGAAGGATCCACCTCGAAATCTCCCGAGTATTGAATCGTCAGGGCAACTTATCGTTACAAGATGTTCAATATCACGAACCACGATGTCGATTGTGGAGGAGCGAAGACCACTCTCACCGGTATGATTATATTTGTTCACTTTTTGTCGCTACATAGAAACGGAATCTGGACAAGCTAATCGGATATCCAGATGACGGACGGCTGAATATTAACGTTGAGAAGCCCGAAAAGATGTCTGCTTCTGTTTCACCTCGTTGGCGGCGCCCAGCTTACAAGGCACGTAATACGAAAGCACAGAGTCAAGAATGTCACGCTCCGCCTTCACTCAACATATTGATCCAAGTTGTTGGGTCTCGTGGAGACATACAGCCTTTTGTTGCCCTTGGACTCGCTCTTGCCCGAGCAGGACACCGTATTCGAATCGCGACCCACGACACATTTAAAGAATTTGTCGAGACTCACGGTTTGGAATTTTTCAATATTGGAGGCGATCCAAAAAGGCTCATGGCGTACATGGTGAAGAACCCTGGCTTATTGCCCAGCATGAGCAGTCTTCGAAATGGAGATATTCAACAAAATCGAGCAGATATACGAGAAATTCTTGATGGTTGCTGGCGCGCCTGCTTTCAGAGCACAGACGAGAACTCGAAGCCTTTCTTTGCCCATGCGATCATCGCCAATCCGCCTTCATTTGCACACATACACTGTGCAGAGAAATTAGGCGTACCTTTGCATCTCATGTTCACGTAGGAGATTCATCGTTATTTCAAATGGACTTGGAAATGCTAATACAAAGCAGGATGCCTTGGTCACCAACCCATTCTTTCCCTCACCCATTGGCAAACATACACGCAACTTCTTCAAAAGGAAGCATGATGAATTATCTATCATACATATTCGTTGAAATGCTCACATGGGAGGGGTTGGGAGACGTGATCAACTCATTCAGACGCAACACTCTGGGACTCAAGCCTCTGGACAGAGCTTCCGGACCAACGATCTTATCTCAACTTCGTATACCGTACACCTACTGCTGGTAAGCAGCGCTCTCATATACCTTTTTGATTTGCTCCTCACATTAGTATGCTCTAGGTCGCCAAATTTGATAAGCAGACCTGAAGATTGGGCTGCGCACATATCCATTTCGGGATTTTACTTTTTGCCCATGTCATCTCCATACACTCCCCCTCCTGAGTTGGAGGAATTTCTCAATGGGACGCCACCGATATACATCGGGTTTGGCTCCATAATTGTGGATGACCCCAAGAAACTTACATTGTTATTATTGGAAGCAGTACAACTGGCCGGAGTACGAGCCATTATCTCACAAGGATGGGGCGAATTGGGCAGTGAAGACTTGGTGATTCCTCCCAACGTTCATCTTATAGGAAATTGTCCACATGACTGGATTTTTAAAAAGGTTTCTTGCGTGGTACACCACGGTGGCGCCGGTACAACGGCTGCGGCTATGGCTACTGGAAAGCCTTCAATTGTGGTCCCCTTCTTTGGCGATCAGCCATTCTGGGGGGAGATGATCGCAAAAATAGGAGCAGGTCCCAAACCCATTCCGTTCAAAAAGCTGACTGCGCCCGATCTCGCTGCGGCTATCGGCGCCGCCCTTGAGCCAGATATCAAGCAGAGAGCAAAAGAACTCGGGGAACAAATTCGTAAAGAGAGCGGCGTCGATGCTGGAGTCACTTCGTTCCACCATCATCTTGAGCATTCTAACCTGGGTTGCGCCATCGCAAGCTCGCACCCAGCGGCTTGGAAAATTCGAGGCACAAACATTCAACTCGGTTCTGGTGCCGTGGCGCTTCTAGTAAACAGAGGTTTACTCGGTACTGACAAGATTGAGCTGTATGTATACGATCAGTGGATAGCATCATGGCTACCTAAATTAACCAAACTGTTTTAGATTTCGACCGCAGAAATATGATTTGAACATCGGGCCTCGTGATCCATTCTCGGGAATGGCTTTTGCTTTTATTGATTCAACATCAGAAATCGGCGGAGGTCTCAACCACTTTGGTGCGTCAACGAAAGAGCTCTTCAGATTAACTTTGGAAAAACCGTTTGTACACTCGGGCAAGCGTTCTGCATTTGCGTCTAGCCTGAAGGGAATCGGGAAAGCCTCCGTCAATGTCGTTCGAACTCCCGTTGATATTGCCTACGCATTTACTCAAGGTTTGCACAATGCGCCGAAACTCTGGGGTGACCACCATGTAGAGTTGCCTGAGACTATTGAGGGCATACCAAGCGGGCTCACAGCAGCAGGCAAGGTACGTTACACTCGATAATTTCATTTCGGGATCTAATTCCCTCTTAGGAACTTGTCTTTGGTGTCTACAATGGGGTTTCCAGCCTGATACTGTTTCCCCGAGAATCTACCGATCACAGGAACAAACTTGATATTCTCACGGGGATAGGATTTGGAACAGCTTCTTGCATCACGAAAAGTGTATCTGGTGAGTGGTCTTTGGATCAGGTACTGTGATTTTTACTTCAAAAGATTCTAACAATAGGCAGGCTTGACTGCAATCATCACATATCCTCTGAAGGGGGTTGATGTGGAACTTACTAGAGCTCTGTCTACGAGGAAGCTTACCGCTCTTGAGACAGAGCTTCTCAGCCAAGGCTCGAGAGATACGGCACACATAAATGAAGAATATATTAAGGTGGTCCTAGATCGATGGAAGGTTATAACCCGTGATGTCAGGAAAGGGAAGTTGAGGAAGAGAAGATATCATTGGCCTCGAATCGGACGAGGTCATAAGCCTGTCAGATCAAAGGAATCAAACTAGGGAAACGTGCGGAATGGACTGATGGAAATGGTCTCTAAGGTTCATTCCTCACCGGGGCACATACAGAGTAACCAAGTACCTGTCTAGTGATCAGCTAAATTAACGTTTGCGCACCGGGTTCTCACGTTCTGAAATATGCGCTCACGTATGCATTTGCATGCACTATTACATGTAAGCAGCTATGCGGATAGATATCTTGGCTGCGGACCTGCAGATCGAAGCGTCAAAAAGGTTATAACTAACTACATGAAACATTTGAATGTTTCAAGATTGGAGATGCAACGAGTGTAAGATTTAATTTTGTCAACCACGCATACACATAGCCCACATTCCCAGACAAGAATAAAATTTGAGCCTCAAAACGTTTCCAAATAAGTACAGATGGACAATATAGTTATCCAAAAAGAACAAAAAAATTGACCGACGCAGGGGTCGAACCTGCAATCTCTTGATTCGTAGTCAAGCGCCTTGCCATTGGGCCAGCCGGCCTTGTTGTCGGTCGGAACATTTTTTGCACTTATGAGCGGAATTCGTTTGGGCAGTGGGGAACAATTAATCCATACTACCAGTCAAAAAGTGAAAGGCAAAATGATCTTTGAACAGGAGTAGAATTGTATTTCGAAGGTCTAAAACGTCATCTACCATGGATGAATCTTTATGCTGTTAGTATGCTTTCAGATCATGGCTCAGAAAATACTTACTCTGCCATCCCAACACCAAAATGTACCATTATCCTTCTCATCCTTTTCTTTAATAACCTTGAGCATGCCCTCCACGCTTTCAGGCGGGTCAATCATTCCATCTACTTCCCATCCAAGCTCAACATTGGCCATATCACTGTGGATGAATCAGTATATGGGCAGTGGTTTTTTAATGGTCCCTACTTACGTCTGAACTTCGCCAGGGTGCATGGCAAGAATTGTGGTTTTGCTGCGGCCCCCACCACCGCGCTCCAGCTCTGCTGCCATGTGCCTAAGCATCTGATTGAGGGCGGCCTTGCTAGCTCCATATGCCCCAAAACCATCCTCGTGGCTGCGAAACGAGGCAGTCGATCCTGAATCAGAGGAGATGAATACTACCTTGGAAGGTGGGTTGTCGGGATTCAGTTTGATTAGTTTCTGGGCGCATAGAATCGGACCGATGGTATTAGTGTGCAAATGAAGGGCAAAATCCGAAAAGGATCTTCAATTTGATCGTTAGTAGAGCTCCCAGTGACATGCGAATGACTTCGTACATTTCTGTTGCTCGGTTTGGATATTTAAGAACACCGGCATTGAGCACGACATTGTTCACAATCAACCCGCGTTGAGTAGCCTCGCTCACTTTGTTCACAAAGTTCTGAATTGTCAGCAAGCGTAAATCTAAGATTGATCAGTCCCTACTCACATTGATGCTATCCTCGCTCGTCACATCGCACTGCTCGACTAAGCAGCGCTCTGACCCCGGTTGTTGAGCAATCAACTGCGAAAGCTTCTCTGCTCCGGAGGGCCTTCGCACACCGGCGATCACAAAATGGCCAAGGTCTAAGAGTTGTTTCACGAACTCTAGTCCAATGCCTCTGGAAGCACCGACTACTACCCAAGTTTCGGCCATTTTGAGCACAATTGAATCGGTTTCTCGGTGGGAAGTGAATAGGAAGCACGAACAGTGTATTTAAGTAGGAGGTAGATTGCGAGGAAAATAGACAGGGGGGTCAAATAGAGATATAAGCCGGGGACCATCTCAGGAGTGGGCACCGCCGATGGTGGGGGTGTCGCGACCTCCTATTGGACCGGCGCATGTTTATCCAAAAATGGAAGGCCAATGGAGCGGTTGAAGATACGAGAAGGAAAAGTGAAACGTATGTTTACATTTCTGTAGTAAGATCGTCTTCACTCTATCCGGCGAGCGGCACGTTGTCTAACACTCAAAAGATCTTTACACGACGCCGATTTCCTTAACAGATCCAGACAGGGAAGGAAACCCCAGAAGTAAGCCAGCGGTTGGATATTAACTAGGTTAAAAATGGCGAGCTTATACTTTCATAAGTAAATTGGAAATGTCGCCCACTTGTAGAAAAGTAGAACGGCGTCCACCAACTCCTAGTCGAAGCGATGGTCGATCCTCCCACAATGTCGACAGCCGAGGGCTTTCCAAGGATCAAAAGGAATCTTTCAAGCGGCCGGCTGTTTTGCTCGAACTGCCTCAATATTGCGCATCCTATGGTGGCCTTAGATCCTATGTACGAGTGGAAGAAGCCTCGGTTTGAGTACATCGAGAGGACATCAAGCTTGGAAGATATCGCGATTTCCGGCGGTGATACATATTTTCATTCACACTCATTTCAACACAGCCAACGAGAATAACTTGAATTACTCGTCGCAGGGCGCAACTATAATACGAGAGCGGCCTGACGGTGAGAAATCAAACTGTTCTCCTGAGTGGTGTCAACAACAACATTAAGAAAATGTGTGAATTGGTCCATGCATTGGGGTACATTGATATTTAGCCGGTATTCACTTTTCTTGTCTGATACTCGCATTCTGATGATAAGAACCCTATTGTAGTACTATGAGCACCAAGGCCATATCGTCCCTGGAGCCGAGGATCTTCGAAACCCAATGAGTGACAGCCTTTGGCTAGAACGACATGTCCGTGGCCAGATCGCTGGCTTCCCGGTCCCAAATCTCACTTTGGACTTGCCAGCTGAAGGAAGGAAAGTATTGATACGGTCGGTGGAGAGTTATGACCGTCGCATCGGGCTTTCGATGTTGTCTGCACCGGGGTTGAAGGGAGAACACACGGAGACGGAGTACTGGGATCGTATATGGTCGCTGTCTAAAGACGTGCGAGAAGAGATCTTGACAAAATTCGTAAAAAACGGATGGGCTTATTTATTTTCTCAAATGGCTAGTTTCAAGAAACTCTACTGTCCTGCGGGGGCTCTAGCCTCTCATTTATAGTACTCAGCCACCCAAGTTTTGATCTGCGCGACCTCAGCATCGATGACTTTCTGGACACCCTCATTCACTTGACCATTCTTCACAAGAAGGTCAGAGCAATGGAAACCACCAGGAATGATGTTCAAAGGGGCCGAAGGCCGCGACTCAAGAGGTCCACCGGGGCGGAAGCTAGACGAAACTCCAGATTCTCTCCAGGGATCGAATTGTCTGGACATGTGGTTAGTAAAGATACTTTTTCTGTTACAGTCGAAGGCAAGAGATAGGGTCTCAGAAAGAATAAACAATCACATACCCGTTGGCCCAGATTAGTCGAGTGGTGTCGGTCAAATCCCAGCCCTTGGTCCATGCATTAACTTCAACTGCAGACTTGCCCTCGGCACTACCATAGGTGTAGCCATTGACCTCGGGGAAGTAAAGGGGGCATTGTCGCTGCCAATAAGCGCCGTTCACAGTCCGGGAGACGATAGAGGGAACGCCAGACGGTGCGCCACTAAATGTACCAGTTAGAAAATGAATTTCCTTTGAGAGTCAAACATGTTCTTACTCTTGCCAGTAGAAAAAGGGCTCGTTGCAAAGAAGCCACTGCCACTGTCTATCGATGGTGTTGTCCACTGATGTATCGGTAAATAAGGGGCTTGATGCGTTGTAGGTGTCGAAACAAGCAGTGGTGTCGTTGTCAGTCCAGTAGCCGTATCCAGCACACGCTTTCAATCTAAGTTAGAAAAGCACATTTTCATGGGAGCTGACTCTGACTCACATCCTGGGAAATAAATCTCTTTGAACCACTTGGAATATCCCTTGAGTGCCTTTTCAAGGCCAACTCCGTCGGCTCCAGGGACCTTGGCCGCACCCGCCTCGACATTCTAATTTATCTGGTCAGTTTCCAATACCAAAGTCGCAAACCCGATGTAAGTTCACCTCAACGTAGTCGCAAAATTCAAAGAAAGAGGAATATCCTGTGTAGAAGGAGTTGGATTGCCACAGCCAAGGCCCGTTCTCAAGGGCACTAATTATTTTTGCGCGTTAGTTCTGATCGTCCAATAGAGAAGGATGGGCATACGCAGCAAAGTCATCAAACTCCAAATCACCAAGTCCGAACATGTCTTTCAGATTCTGTATCTTCTTTTCATTTCCGGATGCGTAGACACTGTCGATGTGGTTCACCACGCGCTCAACATCCTTACTGCAATTCTTTGCCATTCCCTCTTGAATAGGAACAAAGTATTGCCACTAAATGTGATTGTGAGTCCACAATTCAATCCAGTCAGAGTTTTAGAGAACCCACGTAGTCATAGATTGCCTCAACGGGGGCACTGGTGGAATGATATGCCCAAAAGGTACCGGGAGAGACTGACTCAGTCCAGGCAGTCAGAGCTCCACTATAAGATCCTCCACTCAGGACCCAAGGCTAGAGGTCTTGATGTCAGATTTAATCGAATGGTGGAATACTAATGGACATACGGCATTCTGAGGGTTGCTGCTGCTGTTCGTATCAAAAGGAAGATCCACATTCTTGGCGAAGTAGGTGAGATCAGCAATGGCATTTTCCAAAGTCAGGTACTGCAGGTTCTCTGTTGTCAAATCACTGTACGGAGATGAGTTGCCCCAGTACCGGTCTATTAGCGAGAAAAGTTAGTTTTAAGTAACTCTCATTGACCTAGGGGTGTTGGATAAGACGTACGCTCAATTAGAATCACTGCGCCTTTGACTTCTTGGGCAAAAACACCGGTAAGGGTCTTGTTTGTCAAGTAGCCGGTATACCCAGCGGCCGCTTCCTCGCCAGGAGTGAAGAGTACGACCTAATAGTTGCCTTATAGTCAGAAGGGTGTCCCAAGTGAGAGCTTCAACGAGAGATGAAGATACCGGTGAGCCCTCTCCCTCCCACCATTCGGAGTTCCACCAGTACTGCTGAGAAAAGGTTCCGAGGCTCGGATTTTTGTGATCAATGAGCTGCTCAAAAGTGGATTGACCGTACGTAGCTGTCGTCGCAGCAACAGCAGGAGGTGGAAGAGGTCGACGTCCGGCTGCCTGGGCACCGGTAGCCCAGAGCAAAGACAAGGCAGTCAAGCCCAAAAAGTACATGACTATAGATAGGGAATTGCTTCTGCGGTCTTTATTTACCGGTTCCTGAGACCACCCCTGGAAGTTCCTCGGGCACCAAAAGATAATCTTAACAAAAGAGAAAGCAACAGCGGCTCGTCGGAAACCGGGGCTTTCTATTATTTATTCTACACTCTTAGAGACAGCCTAAACTGAGAGAAGCTACTAGTGGTGGGGGTTTCAGCGGCATTGTGCAGACCTTCAACAACCATTATGTTGACATTGGCGTAGAAAAGGCCTAGTAACCCGGAGTCCGCGACCAAGACTCGCGAGATTGTTCACACAAGCATTGGTGGGAATGCTACGCTACTCAGACTAGTGGCACTTTTATCGCGTAGTTTAGTTCTCTGGGAGGGGAAGTGCAACGCTGGGTACGTTTCTCTGCCGAATTGTAAGATTTGTGCTTGATTTCCGTCGGAGGTCCGAAATGAGTTACCACCAGCTGATAACCTAGTCACGATCCCGCCCCTGTGACTGGTTCCTGATAAGTGCTAGTATCGCTTCAATAAAGAGAAGTGGGGTCAGCGAAGGCCGCTACCCAACAATCACAACAATCACAAGAGGCTAAATGGTCTCCCATTTGTCTCTCATGCAAGCTCCTAATGGATAGGCGATCCCCTGGGAGTCCCATGGACGCGTATGGTCGAGCGTGGACTCCCGTTGACCCCTCTTTCTTCAAGAGCCATTCTGCAGATGGTCTAAAATCGATTCCCATTCTTTGTTTACAGTGCAGCCTTAATCAGTTGGAGAGGATTATTTAAATCCAATAGGTCTATTCCTAATCACTAAAAAATTTCCCGAGCCCTGGAGGCCCTGGCCACAAAAAGGGTTCCAAGCACCTCAGAGTTCGAAGCTGGGATAATCCTCCTATTTGAAGTGACCGTATATTTTCACGGATTTTCTAATAACTAGGTCCTATCTTGATGAAACCCCTTCAATCCGTGTTTTCATTCTAAGTGGATTCAATATTCTTGATGTGCAAATGATGGTTCACCGAATTCAGAATAATGACCATCACGTCCATGCTAGCTTCCTTTTTAATATACGATCAATGTCTACGGCGAAGAAAAGTCCTTCAAGAGTATTTCCGCAGCAAACGAAGAAATCTCGAACAATGAAAAGTCTCATTTTGGGTTAGAGAGAAAATCCCTTTCAAGTGAGTAAGGGATGTTAAATCATGAATAAGAAATGAACCTCTGCCTGCCAGGAACATTTTTTCCTACGGAAACTGGCCTCCCGCTACGAGGGGTGCATCTTTAATACTTGGCACAATCAACATCTAAAACTGGAAAATATTCGTCCGACTTTAGGCTGATATTAATTTCCGATGGACCAGTCCCGGTTCTTCACCTACTGTGGTCCTCGGGGCTTTTGCGATCGGTCTCAAGGTCCAAGTCATGAGCATATTGGGGCCGGTACGTTGGTCTCCATAGCAATTTCAGCCATTAACCAATGCGCGTATAAGCACGGGCATGGCATTCACATTTTGGCTTGGTATAGCGTTTGATTCCAACAGGAGACTCAAAATTAGAGGCTCGGTTTGGGTGATGGAGGTGACAAGATGGTGTGATGTCAGCATTGTGAATGGACAATCACTGATCTCCATTCATCCTTTCCTAGAGCCAAGGACGATTTTGAAAACTCGGATAGGCTTATACCTATCAAGCAATACTTCTATGCTGTCCATGCTTGTCACGTACGCAGATCTCGGGATGCAAGCCCCTCTTGGAGAGTGGCGAGAACTTTCAAACAAAGATGATGCAGCAATTAGAGCACCAAGCTTAAAATACTACTTTCAGGTATGAGAGTCGAAATCAGAGTTTATTTTCGAAAGGAAAAGAGCAATCCAACACTAGAAAGCGTAGCCCACCCATCATCACTAGAGGCCATTTCAACCGTGGCTCGTAGTTGTTTTGCTAATTAATAATTTGTTTCAATCCAGTGTGGCTTTTATGGTTTTTATGGTTGACAGCAGCCTCGGAATGCGACACAAGCTCCTCAAGGTAGACGAGATTTTGATGTGAATGAATCTGTCGCAAGCAGAAACAAAGTGTCTCGGCCTCTTGCGCTCGCCGATTCCACACAAAGTAAGTCCACACTCTCGAATGCGAGCGGCCAGCCGTGTAAAGTCACTGTCTCTCGTAGCTGGTTGATCGCATAAGAGGCTCTTCCTTCCAACCTTGGACTAGTCCAGTCTCCGTAGGCCCGCTCCACATGAGCCGCGCCATATGTTGCGAGTTCCGCAAGTAGGAAGTAGGAGGTTTATGGTCCGTATCGCGCGTTGTTTGCGTCAATAAGGACTGCGATCTTGAGATCATGATTCCCTGCCATTATCTCGTACGTTCATGAAGCCGGGTTGTTGTTGGTCACGGTTCAATGGTTGGACACAGTCATCCGCGCGGCTTAGTTCATTATTTATACTTTGCCATGATCACGTGTAGTTTTCTGAGGACTTTTTTGACGTTGGTTGTGGTTTTGGGATGAGTCGACATTTACATTTATTAGCAGCGAAGGCACAAAGATGAATTCATATTAGACGATTAGCTTGTTAAAAGGAGTGTGTAACCATATCTATTAAGCTCACGATAGACCCGGCAATTGCGGGGCGACAACTCTCCGGGGTAAATTCGAATAGACTTGAACGGTCAAATAATCCTGACTTTCCTAAGTGACTATCGTGGCTTGACTCGGGTGACTCTCGACTTGTAGGCCAACGAACTGCAAGGGAAGCCTGGAACGCGCAAGATGACCAGTATAAGTAGTATTATTAATTCCCCAAACTCTTGGCCTGCATGACATGACGCTAGGTTGGATTCGGAGATTTTTACAGGAGAGAAACAGTAAATGTGGTCCGCGGGGCCCGAGTCTCGACTCTTCTCCACCTGGAAATCCCCCGCTGATGCCTATTTCCACGGAATTGAAACCGCTCTAACACCCGGGAGGTTTACTGGTCATAGCTTAATCCAGTGAGAAACGATTCACAATGACTCACCTGGACAATCGTACATCTAAGCCCTAAATGGAGCCCGAGAGCTTGGCGTCGGCTGCTCTAATCAAACACGGGCATAAAACGGAGGTTGCCGCCTGGGAACACTGCATCCCCACTTATGTATGATTCAGGATGTTACTTTCCGGGGTTTCGCCACGATTAGCCTGCACTTTCCAGGTGGCCTGCACGCCCTTGATGGCCGCATCGGTCGTCCGACACGATGAGTCAAGATCTACAATCTAGAGTAGTCTCAGACTAGGATCGATTCATCACCGCTAGTTCTGGAGATGACATTGCCTTGTCATTTGATCTTGCTCCCCGCCGAGAGTACCGTGGATCCCTGTCAAAGTGGAGCCGAGTGGGCAGGAGCCTGGGTGGGAACAAGAACCAGGAACGGACTTAGGGGTTAGCTAGTGTAGTTTTAGGCTTGGTCTGGGATTATTTTTCTTTCCCCGTGGATTTTGCTCATTTCTTTTTACTTCAGTACTTTTGAAGTATTTCTCTTGCCAGACTTGTCCAGTTATTGGAATTTCTTTGCTTCAAGTCTCGGGTCTACTTGTGCAAAATTACGACCCTTGACATCGTCATTGCTGGGGCCCGCACCTATTGGTAGGCCTAGGGGAGTGAGATCGTGTGAGTGGACTGAAGCCCATCATAGATATCTCGTCATGCTTCCACTACCGACCGCCGATGAGAAACCGGCGATCAGGGATAGTGTCGACTCCGAGGTGAATTCTCTGCAGACGCAGAGCTACGAGCAATATGAGAAGATCACCACTTCCAACACCCAAGGTGTGATTTCTATACGGTCTGGGGTCGATGTCGAAAAAGCCGAAGAGGACTTCTCCGACCTGAGCAAGCAATTTTCAAACATCTCACACCAAGCCCGCCGGTTGTCGAGACATGCCTCGCGAGCCTCGAAGCCGACGGCTACTGCTGAGGATGTGGAAAAGGCTCCGAGCTCCACTGAGACGGATGATTCTTGGAATCTGGAGACTGCTCTGCGCGGTAATCGAGCTGCAGAGGAAGAGGCTGGCATTAAAAATAAACAAATTGGTGCGTCTAGTAAAGCAATACAACTAGCACGATCTAACAATCTGTAGGTGTCATATGGAACGACCTCACGGTCCGTGGAATGGGCGGTATGAAGAATATCATCAAGACCTTCCCAGACGCTATCATCGACTTCTTCAACGTCCCAGAGACACTCATGCACATGTTTGGCTATGGGAAGAAGGGCACAGAATTCAAGATTCTCGAAGGGTTCCGCGGTCTCACACGACCTGGTGAAATGGTGCTGGTTCTGGGCAGGCCTGGATCTGGATGTTCTTCTTTTCTGAAAGTGATCGCAAACCAACGCTTCGGTTTCACTGGCGTTGATGGAGAAGTCCTGTACGGCCCTTTTGAATCTGAGACGTTTGCCAAGAGATTTCGTGGCGAAGCCGTATACAACCAGGAAGATGATATGCATCAGGCGACACTGACAGTGGAACAAACACTTGGTTTTGCCCTGGATACAAAGACTCCTGGCAAGCGTCCCTTTGGCGTGTCGAAGGCTGAATTTAAGGAAAAAGTCATCAAAATGCTTCTTCAAATGTTCAACATCAAGCACACTGCTAAAACTGTCATCGGCAATCAGTTCATTCGCGGGGTTAGTGGAGGAGAGAGAAGACGTGTCAGTATTGCTGAGATGATGATTACTTCAGGAACTGTGTTGGCATGGGACAACAGCACTCGCGGCCTCGATGCCTCAACTGCCCTCGACTTCGCCAAGTCCCTTCGAATCATGACCAACATTTACAAGACGACGACTTTTGTGTCCCTCTACCAGGCCTCGGAGAACATTTACAAGCAGTTTGATAAGGTGCTCGTCATAGACAGCGGTCGGCAAGTCTTCTTCGGCCCTACGACTGAGGCACGAGCCTACTTTGAGGGCCTTGGATTCCGAGAGAAACCTCGGGAAACCACTCCAGACTATCTCACTGGCTGCACAGATCCATATGAGAGGGAGTTCAAGGATGGTCGGGATGCCAAGAATGTTCCCTCCACACCGGAAGCACTCGTGGAAGCCTTCGAACAATCAACTCTCAGCAAAAGACTTGATGAGGAAATGCAAACATACAGAGCCGAGGTCCAGCAGCAAAAGCAGATCTACGATGACTTTGAAATTGCGAACCAAGAGGCAAAGCGAAAGTTTACACCCAAGTCTTCGGTGTACTCTACTCCTTTCCACCTGCAGATTTGGGCATTAATGCAACGACAGTTCCTGATCAAATGGCAAGACAAATTTGCTCTAACGGTTTCATGGATGACATCAACTGGTATCGCCATTATCCTAGGTACCGTGTGGCTCAAGCAACCAAAGACTAGTGCCGGTGCGTTCACAAGAGGTGGTCTTCTGTTTATTAGCATGCTATTCAATGGGTTCCAAGCCTTTTCAGAGCTCGCTTCTACGATGATGGGTCGTGCGATTGTCAACAAGCACCGATCATTTACATTCTATCGACCTAGTGCGCTCTTCATTGCCCAAATCCTAGTGGACACCACATTTGCGATTGCACGAATTCTCATCTTCAGCATCATCGTCTACTTCATGTGTGGCCTAGCCCTTGACGCGGGTGCATTCTTCACCTTTGTCTTGATTGTTCTCACGGGATACATATGCATGACTGTCATCTTCCGTTCGCTCGGATGTGTCAGTCCCGACTTCGACTACGCGATGAAGTTCGCCGCTGTGATAATTACTCTTTTTGTCATCACATCCGGATACCTCATCCAATGGAGAGGTGCGCAGGTTTGGCTGAGATGGATCTATTACATCAACCCATTCGGTCTTGGCTTTGCTTCACTGATGGTCAATGAGTTTAGCCGGCTCACGATGACATGCGTTTCCACTTCCTTGGTGCCAAATGGCCCAGGCTATGACGACATTGCTCATCAAGCCTGCACACTGGCTGGCGGCGAAGCTGGGTCAGACATCATCCCTGGCTCCAGCTACCTGGAAAAAACTTTCAGCTATTATCACAGTGATCTTTGGCGCAATTTTGGTATCATGCTGGCTCTGATCGTTGGATTCCTCATTACAAATCTCTACTTCGGAGAAACGATTCAATTCGGCGCTGGTGGCAAGACAATTACATTCTACCAGAAGGAAAATAAGGAGCGCAAGGAACTCAACAAGGCCCTGGAGACGAAGAAGGCTAATCGTCAGTCAAAGAACGCGTATACAGGCTCCGATCTCAAAATTAGCTCAACTTCGGTCTTCACCTGGGAGAACGTTTGCTACGAGGTCCCAGTCGCTTCGGGAACAAGGCAGCTGTTGAATTCTGTTTACGGCTACGTTCAACCAGGAAAATTGACGGCCTTGATGGGGGCCTCTGGTGCAGGTAAAACAACATTGCTGGATGTTTTGGCATCGAGGAAAAATATTGGCGTGATCAGCGGCGATATTCTCGTCGATGGAAAGCCTCCTGGTACTTCATTCCAACGGGGTACATCTTACGCCGAACAACAGGATACTCATGAAGCCATGCAAACTGTTCGTGAGGCACTGCGATTTTCGGCAGACCTTCGCCAGTCATTTGAAACGCCACAATCTGAAAAGTACGAATATGTTGAAGAGATCATCAGCCTCCTCGAACTCGAGAATCTTGCCGATGCAATCATTGGAACACCGGAGACTGGCCTCTCGGTTGAGGAGAGAAAGAGAGTCACAATTGGGGTTGAGTTGGCCGCCAAACCTGAGCTTCTACTGTTCTTGGATGAACCTACCTCCGGACTAGACAGTCAGTCTGCTTTCAATATTGTTCGGTTCTTAAAGAAACTTGCAGCGGCAGGCCAGGCCATTCTTTGCACAATCCACCAGCCCAATTCCGCTCTGTTTACATCATTTGATCGACTGCTTCTTCTCCAGGGCGGCGGAGAGTGCATCTACTTTGGTGACATTGGTCTGGATTCACATATCCTGCAAGAATACTTCCGCCGCAACGGTGCCGACTGCCCGCCAGAAGCAAATCCAGCAGAGTGGATGCTGGATGCCATTGGCGCTGGACAGACACGCCGGATCGGCGATCAAGACTGGGGCGAGATCTGGCGTACATCTTCAGAGCTAGAGATGTTGAAGGAAGAAATTGTCTGGATCAAGGAAAACCGCCTGCAAACTGTCCGTCGCAACTCGGATCCAAATGTGCGCGTGGTCGAGAAAGAGTATGCGTCGCCTCTATGGCATCAAATCAAGGTCGTGGGCCAACGAACTCATTTGGCATTCTGGCGATCTCGCAACTACGGGTTCACTAGACTTTTCACACACGTCGTGATTGCTCTTCTAAGTGGACTCGCATTCCTGCAGCTCGACGATTCTCGCTCGTCGCTGCAGTATCGTATTTTTGTCATCTTCAACGTGACCGTCCTGCCAGCGATCATCTTGCAGCAAGTTGAGCCTCGATACGATCTATCCAGGTTGATTTTCTACCGAGAATCTGCTTCTAAGACATACAGTCAATTCGCCTTTGCCATTTCCATGGTCTCCGCAGAGCTACCGTATAGTATTCTCTCGGCCGTCTGCTTCTTCTTACCGCTCTATTACATCCCCGGCTTCCAAAGCGAGAGCAGCAGAGCCGGATACCAGTTCCTCATGGTCCTCGTTACAGAGATATTCGCCGTAACTCTCGGCCAAATGATCTCAGCTCTTACTCCAAACAGCTTCATCGCATCTCAGCTCAACCCGCCGATCGTTATCATTTTCTCACTCTTCTGCGGTGTTTCAATTCCAAAGCCCCAGATGCCGAAATTCTGGCGATCCTGGCTCTATCAACTTGACCCTCTCACCCGCCTGGTTGGTGGCATGGTCGTTACAGAGCTTCATGGACGGACTGTGAAATGCACCAGTTCTGAATACAATCATTTCCAGGCACCGGCCAATGAGACTTGTGGTGACTACATGCAACCATTCTTTGAGCGCGGTGGTGCAGGGTATCTGTTGAACAATGCGACCCAGGCGTGCGAGTACTGTGCCTACAAGGTTGGAGACCAATTCTATTCGACTTTCAGCATGGATTTCGACAATCGTTGGCGCGACCTGGGTATCTTCATCGCCTTTGTCGCGTCTAACTTGATAATTCTCTTCCTGGCGGTAAGTCAATTCTAGATTCCTCGGCAATATAGGCTTGCTAACAATCACCTCTCTCCAGTCGCGATTCCTCAACTTCAACAGAAGGTAGGCGTCGATGATGAACTTATCTAATGGAAAAATGGGTAGATTGGGCTTTCAACAACTTGACGACGGAAAATTGCATGGGGGATTGCATGGATACGTAATATTTAACATTAGCGACGCGGATCATGGGCTACATACAACTATCGATAGTTATCCTTCTCAAAGTCATACAAACAAAAGGTTTCGGGGTTTGAACCATCCCGCTGTAAGGTGCTGTACCGCCAGTCTCACCTTCCTATTCGTAGCAGATAACCCTCGGCACCTTCCCGACTTCGACAAACCGCTCTATTCTATGCCAAGTATGGGGTGAGTGGGCTTCTCCGCACTCATCCCCGGATTCCCCACGACCCCCACGCCGCTTGACCACTGTCGGACGAGCTGGACCTCCTTGTGCACGGTCGACGTGGCCCAGTCTTCAACTGTCCGAGGCAAGTTCCGCCCGTAGATAGCCTTCATGAGGCCGCAGGTGCATTGATTTCGGACTTCTTCCGAAGTCCATATCCCTGCCATCCCTGGTATCGTCCGAGAGATGAGTGCCCATACGCCTGGGGTGGGACATTGAGACATCCTTTGCACATGAAGCTTGATGCGACACACGGCGTACATCCGTGGATGCAGATACAGCTCGTCAGCCGATACCGGTCTGCCGTATCGACAAATCTTCGAACAGGACGACGATTCTGTGGCTGCGTGCAGACTACGCTGGATCTTCCCCGCAGCATCCGCCTGGTTAGATTTCCCGAATCATTTAAGCTTTGGGGTTTGTACGAGAGCCGAAAGTACAGTATTGTACAGGAAGGTTGGAGTAGCAACCGGCAATTTGAGTTGATTCTTAGGCCAGGTTTTCTTATTTAACCCCAATCGATCTTTCATGTTGTGACTTATCTCCGAATTTCCTCGGTTACCACATTACCCTCACAAACATCCTGTTTACCCTAAGTATCCCAGCCGCCATATAACATATTCAGAATTATTGCCGTTTAAAATGGCCGACAGTGGCGCTGCGCCAGTGCCGGGCTCCAAGGGCGATATCTATGATGCACCGACCATGACACACGCTGAGAGCAGCGAAACACAGGCTAAATGGAAGTCCTTCAAGAACGCCGACGGCGATACTGCCATGGCGCTTTTCGATGACCCGGCCGAGCTCCATGAGCCTATCGACCCAGGCGAGGCCAGAAGAATTCTGTGGAAGATTGATCTTATGATTCTCCCGTATCTGGCTGTTTGCTATGCCTTCTTCTATATTGATAAAGTCCGCTGAGTCTCCTCGGGCCGTCATGAAAGCCCGCTTTGCTAACCTTGTTTCCGGATCAGACAACCCTTAGCTATGCCGCGATCTTCGACATGCGAGAAGATCTCGACCTACATGGCACTCAATACAATTGGCTGAGCAGTATTTTCTATTTTGGCTTTCTTGCCTGGGCATTTCCCACCAATTTCCTTCTGCAACGTCTTCCGATCGGTATTTTACCTCCTGAACAAACGCGGGAACCCAGCCCTTAATAAGATTCTAGGTAAATATCTCGGAGTCAATATTTTCTTGTGGTAAGTTGGTAAATTGAAATCATCTTCTTCGATCATCGCTCACGCAAAAACAGGGGTTTCTTCCTCATGCTCCAGGCAGCATGCAACAGTTTCGAAACACTTTCGGTCCTTCGCGCGCTAGGTGGTGCTGCGGAGGCATGCTCCGATCCGGCCTTCCTGTTAATCACCAGCATGTGGTATACCCGTCGTGAGCAGCCCGTTCGAATCGGCCTTTGGTATACTGCAAATGGAATCGGTATTGCTCTGGGCGGTCTCCTCGGCTACGGTATAGGTCATATCCGTGGTGCGCTGCCTTCGTGGAAATACGAATTTCTCGTGATGTAAGGCCCATACCCATACTCCGATCACGTATACCGAATACTGAATAATCTACAGTGGTGCATTGTGTGCTTCATGGGGTATCGTCATGTTCATCTTCCTTCCTGATTCCCCAGTTACTGCGCGTGGCCTTACAAATCGCGAGCGTCGGATCGCCGTGGACCGCCTCCGGGGGAACCAAACCGGTGTCGAGAACAAGCACTTGAAGCCTTATCAGATTCTCGAAGCTTTCATGGACTACAAGCTTTACATGTTTTTCATTCTTGGTGTTGTCTGTAAGTTGGAAACAATGCCACTTCAACGTACTCGTAACTAATAAAAGCAGGCAATGTCCCCAACGGCGGGATCTCCAACTTCGGGACCATCATTATCCACGGGTTCGGATTTTCTACCCTCGTCACAACATTAATGCAGGTCAGTTATCTTTTTCTTTCCCTACCTACTCGGCTCTAATCTCTAATGTGCGTGATGTACTCAGATTCCCTATGGCGTGCTCATCGCCTTGTCCATATTAGCATGCGTCTTTCTAAACGATCGCTTCGAGAACAAACGATGCATCTTCGTACTAATCTTCCTCATTCCCAACTTGGCTGGCTCATTCGGGCTCCGTTTTGTCCCAACTCAGCATCATGTTGGCCGGCTGATCTGCTATTACCTGACCGGACCGTATAATGCTGCGTTCGTGCTTGTCTTAAGTATGCAGATCGCAAACACAGCAGGTAAACTATTCCTTCACTCGCCTCGCCGAGTCTATAATCACTAAACAGTACATATCAGGCCACACCAAAAAGGTCGTCACTAACGCAGTCCTTTTCCTTGGCTACTGCACCGGCAATATTGCGGGACCGTTCTTCTACAAGACCGATCAATCGTACGTCCAAACATCAACTATCTCTTGAGGTAGTACGCAAAGCTGACATGATTTTCAGACCAACATATGAGCTCGGAATTTGGTCAATGATTGTTTCACACTTGATTGAGGCTGTACTCATCTCTACACTCGGTTTACTTCTTCGCTGGGAGAACAAGAAGCGTGATCGTATCCAATCTCAGATGGAGGGCGGTTTAGAAGGACGAGATCTAGATTCAACTGCTTTCCTGGACTTGACTGATCGTGAGAACTTGAAGTATGCCCTTCCCCTTAGGCCATTGATAATGTGCTTGGCTACACAAAACTGTTGACGACCATTGCTAACCTAGTCCGACAGTTTCCGATACATATATTAAGAGATCGATGGGTATAGATTCGAGATATCATCAGTTGACTCTTTTTTTGGATCTATGGCGCCTTAATCTTATACATGTTTGTAGAAGTCGGTACCCAGCATTACCAATATGTCACTACCTCAAGATCAGTTTCTTCCTGGTCGGTTCTTTGTAGGGTAAATCGGGTGTTCCTTTCGCAGCCATATTTCAGCAATGACATGCTCTCATCCGCCATGCTGCTCTGGTCAGCCATATTGTGCTGATCGAAGGTGTGACCTTGACTGTACCCGTTGCCAGAGAACTGGGCTAGAAAGCCCAGCGGAGTTCGTGCCAAGCGATATCTAGATCAGTCTGAGTCCATGGTAGTACAGATGTATCGTAAGGGCACACGAGCACAGCAGCCTTAAATCAGGCGACCACCTGGATCTCGGAAGGGCCGAAGGTATACTGCAGCATAGTATAAGTATGAATAATTCTAACGCAACATGAATGAAAGCAGATTCAAAGAAAACTAAGGAGAGAGGGAAGAGGGAAGAGGGAAGAGGGAAGAGGGAAGAGGGAAGAGGGAAGAGGGAAGAGGGAAGAGGGAAGAAGAGGACAGAGGAGACAGGAGCGGATGAAAAAGTAGAATAAATGTCTGACCCTTGCAGTAGCATTTCGGCCCATCCTGATAAAAAGAACGAAGAGAAAAGAAGTATGGAAGAAAAGTTGGGGCTGTTTATCCTCTGACTATTTCTAGACGGTAAAGTGGTCATATCATGATTGGGCTCTGCGAACACTCGGCAATAGAATAAGAAACCTCGTTGATGTTAATGACTCAAAAAGAACCATAAAAAGCACACATCACAATGATAAACATGGTTTCCCATCTCCGAAAAGCCCTTTAACAAGCGCCCTTGACCACCAAAACAGCCGAGTCATGGCTCTCCAAGGAGGTACTATAATGCGACTTCACACAACCCAGATCCTTCCCGTTCCAAGCATCAATAACATGATACGAGTGGCCACCCTTGAGCTCAGGAATCTCTTTCCAAATAGCGGTACGGGTGGCAGTCTTCTCCTCCGAGTTAAGCATCAGGACTAGAGTTCCCCCGAGGTTCGATGACGGACCGGACCAGTATTCGGCGGGGTGAGCAGGATCGAATGTCCAGTCTGGATTATAGCCCCACTTGTAGGGGTGCGCGGAGCGACCGACGACTGGATCTTGATGGAACTTGATAAGATATTTGTTCTTAATAGTAGCCAGGTTGGCATCACTCAGATTGTTGAGCTAGTGTGATGTTAGTATAGAACATCAGAGATGAGTACTTTGAAGGAATACCCACCGCAGTACCAATGATAAGAGGGGCTTTCATAGCAGCCCACAAAGCGAAGTGAGAGCGTCCTTCAGCGTCGGTGACATTGCCGTTGCCAATCTCAAGCATATCGGGATCGGGATGACCCCAGAAACCAACATAGTTCATCTTGAAGCTGTTCTCGTTGGCAATCTCTGCAATTCGGCCCCAGTATGCTAATAGATATGTTCAGAGGATACTCAATTCTAAAATATGAGACAAACGTACCTTGAATATCACCAGACATGCGCCACGAGTTACCAGTTGCATTGCCCCAGGTATTAACATCTGCATCTCCCCAGTCACAAAGGGAATAGAAGATCGTTCGACTCTGGTCGAGCAGGGCATCACGCATTCTGGTGTAGCGGGTGTATGTCTTCGACTTGGTCCAGTCGTAGCCAGGAGGAGCTGCGTCTGTCAGACCCGGGCATGTTCCGTTGGGGAAGTTGCCAGAGCCATCGGGAACACAAGCTGTGTACTTATCAGTCCAGTTTGTCGGAACGCCACAATTATCGTATTTGAGGTAGTCGATTCCCCACTCGGCCCAGGTTTCGGCGTCAATCTTTTCGTGTCCAAGACTGGCGGGGTAGCCTGCACAAGTAGTCTCGCCGGCGCCTGAACAGAGCTACTCAGTATGGTGACATATGCATACGGAAGAAAGCGGAATTGACTGACTGCTGTAAATACCGATCTTCAAGTCAAGATCGTGTACCTGGTCTGCGACACCCGAGATACCGTCTGGGAATGTAGTATAGTTATACATCAAGCGGCCCGTCGTGCTGTTTCTCGCGCCCTTGATGGACCAGCAGTCGTCGACTAGGTAGTGTTTCATATTGGTTAGAGTTTATGACAATGGGGTGTCTCCTGGGTATCTCTTACTGTTCACATATTCGTATCCAAGATCCTTCAAACCCAGATTGACCATCTCATTAGCGGCTGCCATGATCTTGTCTGCATCCACGTCACATCCGAAGGCGTTCCAACTGTTCCAGCCAAGTGCTGGCAGTCGACCCTGGTTAGATCATTAGCATTGCTTTCACTTAGGAGTGGTGATTGCTTGAGTGAAATCAATTCTTACCACGCCATCCTTCCTCAAAAGAGCGTTCGCCGAAGGCAACAAAGCCAGAATAGCCAGAGACGGAGATAACATGGTGAATAGACTCTGCACACAGCATGTAACCTCAAAACAGGGCCGAAATGCTTAGCTCTTTATATGCATGTTTATTAAGTAGGTACGTACGCCCCGGTGCGGGGGACCGGATAAATAGACATCGTCAGCCTAATAGACCGCCGATCTTCGTGCACCGTGTGTATAGGGTTTCATTGGTAATATCTCGCATTAGCCATCACTTGTTCTGGTTCAATCCGGGGATAAATAGGCCGAGTCTAGTTGAAACAATCTGCAAGGTTGGAACTTAATAGCTGACGCGTTGGAATTGGTTGACCCCGGACTTCTCTCCACCTTCCCACATCTGTAATACTACTGTAGCAGAAAGATTGAAAGTCTAGGTACTCATGATACATGTCTATCGTAAAATCGTTACTCGTTCTAATATACATCCGCAGGTATAAAAAAGGGACAATTGCCCGCTTATTAACCCTTCAGGATCAGCGCACGGGCTTGGCGGGGATCGGTACCGAGGACAGTAATGAGATACTCAATGCTAGATTATGTTAGTGGATGACAGATTTAACGGTAAGAACAACTTCTTACCTAGCTTCAGAAGCCAGCCGCCGTTTCTCTTCCTGAAACTCCTGCTGGCACGCTTCCCACGCGATGGCCCGTTCCTGCGGCAGCACGGTTTTAACGCGAACCTTGAACGTTGCACTGACGGGCCGGTGGTCGGAAGCACGGACCTCGTGTCGTCGATACTCAAGCTGCTTGACGCGGCCGGCTCCACGGTAGAGAACGCGGTCGCACCAGGCGGGGGAGCGCTTCTTGTCGCTCGAATCGTACTGGTCAGTACCGACGTCGTATTTATAGGTCGGGGCAAAGGTGATGGGGGCTTCAGTGAAACTGCGAAGTCGGAAGCCGGGGTTCTTGCGGCGGGATGCTAGAAGTTGGTCGCGTTCGAGAAGTTTTGAGAGGTTGTTTTGGCGGACAGCGTCGATAATGACATTGCGTGGGATAGAGTCAATGCGGTAATTCAGGTCCCCGTTTAAGATACAGATCTCATGGTCCATGATCATGGATCCGTCGCCTCCACTGGCGTATTGATTTATACGTGTGGTAAGACTGTTTTCAGCGGGCAAGGTTTCTGCTTCGAGGATCGCGGCAATGTCGTTGTTACGGTGAGCGGTCTGTGTTTGACCAGCCGCAAGATGGCAGTTGACAAAGCACATCGAGGTGTCGTCTAGAACAAAGCGGAAGACAAGAGCGCCCTGGAAATGACGGGTTAGAAGCTTGAACTCAAAGACACGGACGGGCGCCACAAACCTTATTGCCGTGCAAGCCACCCATGCCCCGCTTAATCTCGGAAGCGTTGATGCTCTTGATATTGTGGCGTTCGGTATGTTTGACAAAAACACAGGTGAAGAGTCCCACCATGTTGGCAGTGTGGAGAAGAACATAAGATTCCTCGAGAGGCATACATTCATGCAGAGTCCGGGTGAGATGGTCAGCCCATACCCGGTACTGCCGGCTCATGTGTTCCTTCTCGCCATTCTCCTTCTTCTTGCTACTCTTCAGTAAGCTCTCTGTAAGGTGATAGTTAGCAGATGTATATAAAAACAGTGCAGTCGAAATGCGTACTTGCTGTGATCTTCTTGTTCTCGAGGTCGACAAGTTCTTGGAATCCAAACACTACAATATCGGGAGGGTTCTCTGGCTGGACGGCATCGCGGATGAAATCAGACGTGCGCAAACTGCCAGGGGTTGAAGCACCAGCGTTCCAAGTAATCACGGCAGCACGTAATTCGCGGAATTTGCAAAACTCCACATCTCGGTTTTGCATTCGAGCATCTGAGTGATGTTAGATCGGTCGACAACTGAGACTATGAGACCAAAAAACATACCTAACCAGTCATCCTCTAGCATTCCATCCCAGATGCGAATGCAGTTGTCGGTGCCAAGAGATGTCACCTGCAAACGATTGATCGTCCAGACGCTGCTCGTGTCTAGCACAAAGTCACAAACAGGACTGTCATGCGCGCGCCAGTCCTTCTTCACGGTCCAGGGGTTGGTTCTTGTGTCATAAACGTAGATCATACCAGTCTTATAGCCCGCCCACAAATAGTTACCAACAAAGCCGAGACAGTTGATCTTGTAAACACTGACATTGACAACAGCTAGGCACGCATAGTCGGTTGACGAGTAAATCGTTACTTTGCCGTCCGCATGCCCAAGATACACACGGCCGCCCTCCTGGGTGGTATATGTACCACAAGTCACGTCACCCGAATGTTGCAGACCCAATGGGCGCTTGAAAACCTTGAATGTGGAGTCATCACGCGCGCTTGGTCGGTAGATGTAAACGTCTTTGCCAGCTGCCAGCCAAAGCGTATCATCCACCACCATGGAGAATTGGCCACGAGCCACTCGCTCATGGGGACTGTGGTAGCTGTACTGTAAATTGGGAACACCAGTCTCATCTGGCAACCAGACTAATAACCGGCCCTCGTCATCTATAGTCCACATTTCTTTATTATGGCGTAGGATTTGAACGACTTCTCTGCGAGATGGGTAAGATCGGCTAGCGACAATAGATTGGGATGCAATGTCGACTTCGTGCAGCTCTCCAGCGCTGGTACCAAGCCAAATACGTTTGCCCTCATCTTCAAGACCATTGCCAGGCTTAAACGCTAAAGACAAACTCTTGACTGTTTCTCCATGGCTGATGCTCAGAACTTGCTCGCCAGTGGTGAGATCCCAAACGCGAGTTAAGTATCCGGTGGTGCACACATATTTTCCGCATACAGCAAGCAGTCGGGTGTCGTACCGTGTAAGGATCTCTATGGGCCCTGATTTTAAGAGCGGAGGACGCCGGTTGGCCTTTGAAGAATCGGGATAGTCGGTCCGTGAGATCGTAATCTCATCGGCAGGAAGTTCCTCTTCGTCCGTATCTGTCCGCACCATTCGACGCTCTTGTAATGTTGATGGTAGATGCGATTCACGAGGAAAGGATTGCTGTCGTTGGATGCCGCGCTGAATTGGTGCCTCGCCTATAGGAGGGTAAGAAGAAGCAGACCGTGAAATTGGTGTCATCTGGGCTGGGTTGGCCACAGGCACTGGAGAATCTCGCGAATCTCGCGCAGGAGAGAATCCACTCCTACGAGGAGTCAGCGTAGGCCTTGGGGGAAGACCCGGACGATCAGGGGGGTTGTCGCTAGCCCGAAGCCTTTGTGAAGAAAGCGGAGGAGCAGTAAAAGTTTCCTGGGGTGCAGGAGAAGTCGGCGGGATTTGCACCATGAGAGGTCTAGTGGCCCTCGGGGGTTCAGGGATCGGACGAGTCCTAGAGAAGGCGATTTCTCTAGCATCTTGCCTGGCATAGATGGATGGCGCGGGCGATCGTTCGTCAAACGAGCGACGAACCGGAGGCTCCGTTCCAGGCCGTGAAGGCGACGGTCGTGGCTTGCCAGCCGATACCGGTTTGTTTAAGGGCTTGTCCGGGCTACTGGGAGGAGTGCTGAATGGAGACACATGATCCTCAGACAAGACGGGATCAGGCCGAGGAGCTAAGGAGCTTGTATCCGGATGGGAAAACATTGCCGGTTTGGCCGGGATCTTAGGCTTGTCTGCCCGGTTCACCGGCGGTGGCAGTGATGCGCTCTTTAACTTGCGCTCCGATTGCGGGCTACTGCCATTCAGTCCTGGAGCATTGGGTAAGAGCCGCGCATTTGTCTCTCCTGTCGGAGTAGAAGACTCGTACTGCGGCGTCACGGGTCGAGAGGCAGCTGGACCAGCAGACACAGACTCTCTAGCTCTATGTACTGGGGGTCTAACCATATGTTTATTATCCTGTTGAGCGTTGTGTAGCTCCCGCTCGAGACTCCGCGGCGGCGATTGAGGTGAGTGAACGGTCAAGGTAGGCGCAAGCTGTGGTGAGGACTGGTTGAAGTTCATGGAGATGGGCCGGCCATATCGAGCTCCAGGAGATTCGCGAGCTCGCAACTGCTCGCCGTTGGCTTGCTCAGTTCGGCGTCCCTGTCGTTCATCGGCCGCTGTGGTCCATGGAGAATGTGGCCGAGGTAGATCTAAGGAGGCGCGGCTTGAAGACCGGGGATCATCACCGGGTTCGGGGGTTCTCAGGAAGCGCTGGGTAAGATCATGCGAGCCATTTCCGACAGTGGATTGAGTTTTGCGGTGCGAGAGGTTTTCGAAGTGGGATAGTAAGGAGGACACCGGTCTCCGCTGCATGTCAGGGTTAGTAGGTCCGCGTGCCATATGAGACAAGCCATAGCGTACAATGGGAGCTTCATCCGCATTCTCCTGGCCCATGCCGTTTCCCTCCATGGCCATAAATGTAAATCCTTCGCCGATACCAGCCGGTAGAATCGATCATAAGCTTGATTGCTGGAGCCTGGGAAGGAACTCTTGTGTGGGGGGGGTAGAGGGAGGTTGGAGCAGGTGAGGGCAGGAATGTTGAGAATCCGGGGAAATAAGCAAAACAGACAATCACAAGCGGCGCAGAGGCCGGGAAATCAAGAAAGAAAGTAAAAAGGAGAGGGGTGCAAGTAGAGAGAAGGTGAAATAAAGTGGCGGGGAGGGAATGTGGTGGATCACGGGAGTGGCAGATCAACGTGGTTCCTGCGCATACGTTCTTATTCTTTGATTCTCTGGTTACGCGTCAACCCTGCACTCCTTTCCGCGCCATGTGGTACGTCTTAGGCTCGTCTGTTCCTACGAGCTAGTCCTCCTGAACTAGCATGTTCAAAGATCAAGCGCCCCCCCCCCCCCCCCCCCCCCCCCCCCCAAAAAGTTCAGGAGCTAACAGCCCCGCAGTAAACACGTCCTCAATGCCCAAGTGGCTATTCGCTCCCCTTGCTGTATGTTCTCCAAGACTCTGCGTGCTATGCAGATTCTCACCAATATATCTACTAGGCCGCAAGTGGTTCGACTGTGCCGAATGCCACCAAGAACAGGAGTCCCACATGCTGCAGAAGGCTCAGGAGATGGTAAGGCACAACCCCTCGGAGGCATGGATTGGGCGGTATAGGGAGTGTCTAACGTGTGTGGGGTAGATCTTTGCATGCAAAAAATGCAAGAAGTGCTTCCGTAAGGATGCTGCTGAGTTTGAGGAGAGGTATGACTCCCCCATGTCCCGTGGAAGGGTATGCGTGACTGACATTGCTGGGATTCTTAGTGACGAATTCTGCCCGCACTGCGATAACCACTTCGTCCTCGAGGCCGTGACACCAAATGCGAGACTGGAAGTGGAGGGTGACGATGCGCGCATGGACAACCGGTACGTTCAAGGGAACCATACGCTCAGGCTTGACCAGGGTGCTAACAATAACCAGAATGCTCAAGGATGACCGTGTCCGTGGCGACCAAGAAAAGTCCATCTTCCAATTCAAGGATCTCTCGGATCGCATGGGCTAGAGGGGGTGCATTGCGTGGATGCAATTTCATGATGTTGACGATCTGATGCTTTTGTGCTTGACTACGATAATCCGGGCTGATTCTCCCGGCGATAAACCGAGCCCCGTGGTATCGATACCCCTACGTTGTACAGTACGGAATTGAACGGTGTAGAAATTCGTGGTTTTAAGTTCTCGTGAAGAAAAGAGACCAGCGCTGTAAATTGGCACACATCATTGAATCGACCTACTCTGCCGACTCGCCACCCCGAGTCAAAATGGCGGCTGTGGTGGTACCTGTCCGGCTGGTCTTCTTCTTGGCTGCCTCTTCCTGCTTCTCGGTCTCGATGCTCTTGACGTAGGCCTCGATCTGGTCATCGGGTAGCATCTCCACGCGCTTGCCGGGGGCCATGATGGCCACTTCGATATTCTTGGCGCCAGTCTGCACAACCTCCAGCAATGACTTGATAGTCAGCTGGATGGTCTGCTCACGGTCCATCTCATCCTGATGGTTGCGCTCGAGGAACTCGCGGACAGTCTTGCTGGATCGGCCGATAGCGTTTGCTTTCCTGCACACGAAAAACAATTAGACACAGTCCTCCCACGGGTTATTTTAGAGTCCAAGAAAACCTACCAAGCGGAGTAAATGCCGGAGGGCTCGGTCTGGTACAGGCGCGGTGTCCCATCGTTTTGGTCGAAGCCAACAATCAGCGTACTAATACCGAATGGGCGGACACCACCACTCTGTGTATATCTCTGTTGTACGCTAGCAATGTACTTGGTGATGTATTCGATGGTGACGGGGTCCTCGACGGTGAGACGGTGGGACTGGGCCTCTAGCCGGGCTTTGTCGATCAGGATACGGGCATCGGCATTCAAGCCAGCGAAAGCAAGACAAACGTGGTCGTCAACGAGTGCAATCTTCGAAGGGGTAATGCGGGTATCTTGGAGCTTGAGGGCGGAGCGCTTCTCGCAACCGAGGACGACGATGTCCTTTCCTTTGACACCGACGGCACAGGTTCCTGCAGATCATCAACAATCAGCAAGCCATTCGGCGTGAAAAGCGATGAGCCCGTGAATGCCAGAGAATCCATAGTTGTCACTGGATGGTCGGGATGGATGTGGTCTTACCGCGCTTCACGGCCTCCATAGCATATTCCACCTGGAAGACGTGTCCATCGGGACTGTAGCTGGGTTAGGCAATGTTCGCTAGAGCTGGAGCTCGGGGTGAGTGATCTTACCTGAACACTGGGATGAGTTAGCATGATCTCTTCAAGGTCGAGCACTGGAGCAAAGGGAGCTGGTGCTTGAGGGAGCTAGCTGGCTTACCTGATAGAGCTCGGTCGTAGCCGGACATTGTGGCGCAGAAACAGGGAAATCAGGTAGAGGGTATTAAAAGGCAGGTAGAAGAGGTTCCAGGAGATCGAGGTTGAAGAACGGAGGAGGGCGCTGGGGGACAGTGATGGGAGAGCGGTACCTTAGCAATGACGAGGTCCGGCGGGCGGTGGACGCGACAGCCTGCGGATGCCTGAAGCGCAACATTGCCGTAACTTTACACTCCAAGTTTTTCGTTTTTACGAGCGATCCCAACAAGAGTTCCAATTTCTGAAGTCATGGCTTGCAGGAATTTGAGTTGATGCTCACATCCCTATGGCTTTTCAATACACCTGGATGATATGCGGTTGAAGAATATATGATGGGTCCAACTGTCAGATGCTCTGATGTCCCTCATCATGAACCGAAATCACGAACCTCCAGTAATTTCTACTCACAAAAGCCTAGGATTGCAAGGTATACAATTCAGCTAGTGATCATATCTACAAGGCACTTTGGGAATATGGAACAAATTTTCAGACATATACTATTCCCTCAATTGAAGGATGGGAAGCTCCCAGTGAAAGTACACAAGACCCATTGGGCGAGACAAATACACGAAATGGAGTCGAATATGAACAAAACAATCTTTTTTGTTGCATTCACAGTGCCTGGCGAAAAAGACATCCACAATGCCGGCGCAAGTAAAGGAAATCCCCCAACACCCCCAACGGAGTCCGAGTCCGAATCCGAACCATTGTATATCCCATCCGTGAGATCGATCAATACCCTGAATTCTCCGACGCTTGCCATGACCCAACGCAGAAAGGGACGACAAAAGATCTAAAATGCAAAGCAGGTCGAGTGCGCAACCCAGGCTCACCATGCGTTCGCGTCCGAAACCCTCAACAGACAACGGCCAAAATAAACCCAACCCCGGGGTGTCGCCGCCATCCTTGCAATAAAAAGCAGACCAAAAAAAGACAAACCATGAAAGAAAACCAAGCTCAGAGATGGAATCAAGGGGATGAGCGGACCCGCTCAATGGAAATAAAAACAAAAACGAAAACGAAAAATCAACAGGACGGCGAGGCGAGAAAAAAATCCGGAACCATTGACACGCTACCCGCCTGCTCCTTCCAACCCGATGCACCGGAACCGCATAAATCCCTTATACAAATGCGTATCAACGAATATCAACCAACGCATATACCCGCCACAATGCAGGGCTGCAATATGGACAACGTAAGTGTGACCGCCCAGTTCGTCGGGCTTTTTGAATAGGTACATGCCATTCCGCAATTAAGCGGGCGACTTGTTGGCGCCAGCACCGTTACGACGAGAGTGAGCGTCGTCGGAAACGGTCAAGCCGCCGAGTCCGGACGACAGGAACGCGAAGGGGTCGCTGGAACCCTCATTACCGTAGAAAGCACCGTTTGAGGTGCTGGTGGAGGGAACTCCGTGATCAGCACCGCTGAAAGCCGCCTGGGTGGCTGGGTTGGCGAAGGAGGCAGCAGAGTGCGAGGTGGTCGACGATCCATATCCCGAGTTCACCTGGCCCATCTGGGGGTATGCTCCGGGACCGTTGCTCAGGCCACCGGCGGGGAGGGCGTAGTTGTTCTGGGGAGCACCAAATTGGCCACTGAAACCACCGAAGCCGCTGGCAGTCGAGGCGAACGGACCAGGGGCGGGAGTGCTTGTCATCGAATTAGGACCCATGTTGAATTGCGACGGGGGGTCCATGGGGGAGGGAAACGCCGAGTCGGCCACAACGGCAGCACCCGAGCGAGGAGCACCACAGCGCAAGCAGTTGATGTTCTTGGCGAAGTTGTGATAACCGCAGCCTTCGGAGCCACACTTCCAGTCACCGGCGCGGAAAGGAACCACACCACCATTGCCACCCATGCCACGAGAATGACCCATGCTGTGGCCGTGGCCCATGTGAGGAGGCATCATGTTGGGCGGGCCGTAGCCGTATCCGTAGCCCATGGGGTCGGGGGTAGCCGCCATGGCGGGGAACGAGCAACGGAAGCAAGCAGTGCGGCGCTGGAAGTTAGAGAAACCGCACGAGGGGCAGGTCCAATCACCGGGACGAGGACGGTTCTTGGACGGCGGGAAGGGAGTAAGAATCTCAGCAGCCCTGTCCAGAACCCGGCTAGAGGAAGGTGAAACCTCAATAGCCTTCTCGTTCAAAGCGCGGCCGTTCATGCACAGGCTCTCGGCAGCCTCCTCGTGAGACGAGAAGACGGCAAAGCCGGTGCCCGTGGGCTTGTGCTGGTCCGGAGTCCGAAGAGTCCAGAAGGCAATTGGCCGACCACCGAATTGAGTGAACCAGCTCTCCAATTCGGACTGAGTGGTGTCGTGGGGCAGGCCACTGAGGTGAAGGACCTTGCTTCGCTCGGCAAGGAAGGCGCGAACATCGGCATGAGCATCCATCGGACGAGTGAGGATCTCGGGGTGCTCGTGGGGCGGCTGCGACTTGCGGATCAGACCACGGAGTACGCGAGCGAGAGTAATGGACTCCTCCATGGCGCGGCGCGGTGAGGCGGGGGCCAATGCTTGCAAGTGGAAGGGGAGGTTGTGCTTGATGGGGGCCGAGGATTGAACGGGCTCGACCTCGAGGGCGGCGCAGATGTTGGAAAGGGAGCTGGGACCGAAGGGCAGCGACTCGGGATGGTGGGTTTGCCAGCGTTGATATTCGGTGCGCAGGTCGAAGGTGCGGGAGTGCTGCAGGTATGCGGGCAACACGACTGCCTTGTCACGGGCCTCGCGGGGCAGCTGCACGCGCAGATCCCACGAATCCAATGTGACAAAGGCAAACTCGAGCTGTTTGCTAGTGAGGTGTTCCTGGGCGAAGGCATCAAATCGGGAGATGGCATCACGGAAAGTACCTGCAGAGCGGACGTGCTCCCATGTGAGGGTAGTCAAGCTCGCTATAACAAAATGGTCAGCGAAATTCGGGGCCACGGGGCCTCGTCGGCAAAAGCTTACTGCACAGCGGCGTGATAGGAGTGTTGACAGGCTTGACAAGGACGCTTTCACGGTGCAACTATAGAATTGAAGATGATCGTTAGATTTTTTTTCCCCCTCGTTGATCGGGAAAACCGGGGACGGAGCAATGTACCTCCTCACAAGTCTTGGAGTCCAAAAGGATCCATCCCAATTCAATCACCTCGGCCGAGTCCTTGGTGACATATACGCCATGTTCGTCACAGGTGGTTGCAACGTGGATGACAATGTAGCGATCCAGCTTCGGAGTGGGTGCTGAAACGGCCGCCATGTCTGACTTGTCGCTGCCAACGGAGCGGCAGGGGGGAGGTCCGGAGGGAGGAGAAGGGAGGGGGGGGGGAGGGAGAATCTCTGCAAGGAAGCAGAAGACAAAACACGACAAACAGGGGGTCGTGGCGGAGAGATGGAAAAGAGAAGCCCAAGGAGAGGGAAAGGAGAGAGGGGGAAAGGAAGAAACGAGGCAACTCGGTGGAGATTTTCGGGCCTCACGGGGCGGAGATTGGACCACGGTCTATTTCTACTTCATTTCTTTTACTCTCTCGAGTTCTAGAGTTCAGCCATATGTACAGCTCGTGCAGCTCGGAGTTGTTGTTCTATTTTTCCCTCAATTCCCCCTCTCCCCCCTGACCTGATTTCTATTTTCCCATCCCACCTCTGAGCCGTGTGCAACCCCAACAGTCCATCCCTGTCCGTCCCCCGAATTTCGCGCGTGTCTCCGCTAATTAATTTCTGGCCCTTCGTTTAGTTCGGGTCGACTGAGTGGTAGCAAGGTACGTGACTATGTGACTGACTTCTGGCATTCCGTGAGTGGGGACCCCTGTCAGAAATCTAGGAATGGGCCCATGCTTCCGAGTCAATTAGGCTGCGACCGAGAGCCGGGGCAGCATTCTCCGTAGAAAGTACATGATGTACACCTAGGAAAGATAACGTATCTAGAGAGCCCACAGGTACACCGGAGCGTATACAGACATCTACCCAACAAGTGGTTTGGAGATCGGGTGAGGATAATCACGTGGCGTGCCTGACCGATAACCGTGGTCACTTCATTCTTATTCAAATGTTCTATGGAATGTCTCTTCTATTCGTATCGGATCTGCTTTTTCCTTCGTGAATCCCCTATTCTCCCCCAAGATTCACCACCTTGGCGGCTGCTTTCCCCTCGTCCGTCTCCCTCCTCAGTGCTTTGCCTTCCGACCTAACTTAGACGGGAGAAGGCCTTCAAGAAGTCGGGGGAAATAGTCAAAGCATCTTGACCATGTAAAGCCTGTACACCAAACTCTATTCAAATTAAACCGAAGCCTCTTCTCGCAGGTTCTCGCATGATCAGAAACCGCGTCATCGAGAATCGCCCTGCATCTCTCTAAATCCCCGGGGGCAATGGCTGCAATCTTACGGGCTAGAACCATATCCGTAAACAATCATTGGTAAGAACATGCCGCGCGCTCGGCTGAGCCGGCTCTCCATCCTCGACCCTGTGAGTCCACATACCAGGGGAAACCTACCTTTAGGTTGTTCGAACAATCCAGGATGAATATACTCCATTCAAGTCTCCCATCAGTGCAGCGCTTGTCTAATGCTTTAAATCGTACTAGTATGCAAATGGGAGGACAACAGGACAACCCTATAAAACTAGCCGCCTGGACAGAATTATATATCATTTCCGGGCTTATCATCAGAAACAATGACTGGTCGAGTCAGAGACTATATCAGCCCCGTCATGATTCGATCTCTAGGTCGAAACTCAATCGGACAGAGCTTAGACGAAAGCACTTGACAGTCAAAGAACCAGTGAAGACTTCGTGCTTTCTGATTGGATCAGTCGACCTAACAATATCCAGCTCCCGAAGATAGATCTTCATTCCCCTGAACTTTCCTGATTATTTGAAGATCGTTGCCTGTGTGTAATAGCAGTATAGAAGGGCGGGATCCGGAAGACTTTGTCAAGGTGCTACAGACATCAACCATATCAAAGTGTGCAAAATCATGGTATTTCGTAATAGAAACCGCAAGCCTGAAATCAACATGGAAATCATATACAACCGAAGCCAGTCACTACGTATCGATAGCCCATCGATGCCAACCCAGAATCCAGATACAACCAACGCCATCCAAAAGCCAGACCAGAATGTCATCACTCATCAGCCGTTTCCTCCTTAATAATTGTTCCCCGGCTGGTATCATGGTCGTCCTCTTCATCTTCCTCCATGATGCTAGGCTCGACGGCAACGTGGTTACGAGCAGCGCCGCCTTCAACGGTTGGGCGCACACTGCCGGAGCGGACAACACTGTCACCTTCATCTTCTTCCATAATAGAGGGCTCTACTGAGACACCCCGGCGATGGGCAGTTGGCTCGACGGAGCGTCGGACACTAGCAGAGCGGACGCTGCCAATGTCACTGTCTTCTGTACCAGCGCGAGGGCGCGCGCTCGCCGCACGGGCATCCTGAGCAACGGCAAGAATCTTCAAAACAGAGTTCTTGGCCTTGACCAAGGCGTTTCGACTGGATGCTTCAGCAGCAAGACCTTCCTCGATAGTCTCGCCAAGCAACTCCTTGACTTCCTCTGCGAGCTGAACATTGTCTGGCTCGATATCTACGCCAGTCGCCGTTACGCTTCGGATGCTGGAACGGAAGTGGTCTTCGCCCTCCGGGGCGCGAGAGCCAGCACGAGACGGTACTGTTGGAGCGGCAATGAAGAGTTTGCTCAACATGGAGAATAGCAACTTGCGTTCCTCCTTGTTGCAGCGACTGGTTCCAGCACTGACGCCCAAAACACGCTCCAGAATATCCTTGACTAAGGCAAGATGCACCCATCCACAAGCATTCGAGCTAGCGGTACCGCCAGCCAGAATGCGCTCGCCTCCCAAGCCAACAACCCGGCGCTCATCAGTCCACTCGGCCAGCATGCCAATGACACCGGTCATCAGTGCCTTGATCTCGCGTTCGCCAATGCTCTCGTCAACCTCGCCATCACTATCCTCCTCGGCCTCAAGCGAATAGTGCTCCTCGGCGGCATTGATAACTCCACGGACCACGGGTACTGCAACCCGCCGCATATGCTGAGTGTTTTCCAGGCGAGAGTGGCAGTAGACGGGGAAGAAGTATGCGAGTGACTGACGAAGGGCAGGGTTTTCCTTCGTGCGAGGGTGGAAGAAAGACACCACAAGACTCTGCAGCAACGTTTCCACAGCATTTTGATTATATTCCTGAATGGCAGGTGGGACATTCGGCCCAGTGGGTTCAAAAGTACTGGTAAGTAGTAGCTTTGACAGCGCTGAAGCCGCGCCGGATTGCACGCTGGGAGGAGAGTTTGCTTTCAGTGCACGCGAGAAAACCTTGAGCAAAGGCTTTTGGACGGCAGGAGGGGTCACGGTCTCGCCGTCAGGCTGAGTGACTGGTGCAAGGAGCGAGGGATGCGTTGTGATCATGTCGCAAATGATTTGCAACGCAGTTACTTGTAGGCCTTCATGACCCTTGCTGTAGCAGTGGATGAAAAGAGTCATATTTTCCTCGGCAAGGTTCTGTAATCGGGGTTCATTAGTTGTAAATATCGTCGTATATGAGATGCAAACTGACCTTATCGAGAAGACAGCAAAGACCTAAGCAATAGAGACCACGCTCGCGGATAGGGGCCTCATGGCTGCGTACGGCGGGAACAACAAGGTTGTTCAGCATGGTCACCAAGTTCATATTCTGCTGCAGGTTTCCTTCAACATTCTGAAGCATGCACTGGGCGATGTGGAGACACTTCATGTTGACCACAATCTCACGAACAATCTTTGCCTTGGCTTCTTCCTTGTTGAAGGGCGTTGATTCTTCTTCGCCCGGTGTCTCGGACCGATGTCGGCTGCTTGCATCGTCACTGATTTCAGACCTGGCCGACACAAAGCTGTCCTCAGTGGCGATAGTATCATGAACTTCGGCAATGGCTTCCAGGACAACACTGCAGAACTCGCTTTCGCCTGTAAGGTCGGGTCCACAGGCACATCGCAATGTCTCAACAGCGAGCTTGGTGCATTCTTCTGGGAGTTCTGGTACGGCCAACGACTCTCTGAGTAGAGAGAACATCTTCCGGCGACCCACCTCGTCACTGTAATCTAAAGTGATCGCGATGTGCAAGAGCTGCTCCACGATAAATTCCTGCTCTACCGCATCTTCGTCGTTGGCTTCACTGGAATCCTTCAATTGCTTCTTCCGTTGCAAAAGTTCAGTCATATACTTGGAAAGGAAGTAGGCAAGCGCCGTAACCTCTGGCATCTTTTCGTCTGCGAGATCGTCGTATTTGCCCTCGTTCTCGACGCGGCAAAAGTCATTGAACGATCGTAGGAGGAAGGCCGACTCGCCGGTGAGGGATTCCCAGAAAGGCTCGTCAAAGACTACTGCCTCCCGGTAATCTGGACGACCTTCCCAGAAGGCACGCATTGCTTCGTGGGCAATGCCGCTTTCCATTCCAGAATTGATGACATCAATTCTCTCCAAGAGTTCCAACAGGGCATTCAAGTTGGGAGGCGACCGTTGGGAATTTCCACCCTCATTCGGGTCGCGGCTGGTTCCAGCACAGTCTTCGACCCAACAGTCACAGAACAGTTTACCGGTCGCCTTGCGAACGCTCTCATCACGATCGCGCAAGCCCCAGCGGAGGAGCTTTTCACGCATAGATAGGGACAGATGGCGGAAATCACCTAGAGTAGGCAATAGACGGGAGTACAATGTACGTCTGGTCGGCGCATCGAGATCGCGGGCTCGTTCGAGAAGGTAAGGGAGAGTGGTGGGGGCGAGCGGGAGGTTCGTGAGGAGGTTTTTGCGGACATCGGCACTAGTGTCGTTCTGCATGATATCCATCAATTTTTCGAGAAGAGCAGAGGAGCTAGCTTCGTTATCCTCATCACCCTCGTTCCCGGCGAGGCGGGCAAGGCCAAAGACAGCCTGTACGCGCACGGATGGCTCCTTGTCACGAATTCGCTTCAACAAACCTTGACGGATTGTGAGATATAGTTCGTCATCGATGGACTCCAGGCAGTTGACGACATGCGCGACGATTTGAGTGGCGCGGAACCGGATCATCTTGTCCTTAGCGGATAGGATGGGCACCAGGAGGTTGATCAAGCTTGCGGTAAGGCGAGCAGTGGGTGTTTCCCTGCTCATCTCATCCTCGTCTTCTTCGTTAGAGCCGAAAAGCTCATTGTCCTTTTCGAATGCATGTGGAAGGAATGTGTCCAAAAAGCGCACAATGCGATCGCCGACGGGCTCGGACTTCTTGATCGGAAGGATGCGAAGCATGCAACGGCCCACCTCGACGTTAAACTCTGTCTCTGGAACAGTCTCCTCCTCTGGAAGCTCGATTTCTTCCTGATCCTGATCCTTTCCTTTCTTCTTCCGAACGATGCCGGAGCTAATCTCTTGCAATTTGCGCAAGCGGACCACTAGCTTGCGATGTCCGGTTGTCGCTCGCTGGGCATCAGCGAAGATGGCGCAGACATCGCGGCGTATATTTGGGGAGGCGGTTGGCAGCGCTGCTTCTTCGGGAATCGTGAACGATGGGGTCACTGAGGGGGCACGCCCGGCGGAGGGCTGTGCCGAAGACCTGCGCGTTGTCGCGGAGGTCGAGCGGGCGGCGACGCGGCCGGGCATTTTGGGTGTCGATATCGAGGCGCAATTAGTGAGGGACGGAAAACATGGCAGTCGCGAATCCACAGATGAGGCAAGGAGAAGTGCGGGCGGTAAACAAACAGCCCAAACGGGGAAGGAGCGATAAGAGTCACGTGGTGCGATTAATCAGCCCGGTCATCGGAGCTGCTCGGCCGATTGCATTGAATCCATTGACTTGCATTGCATTGCTTTCATTGCATTTGTGCACGATGTTCCGTCAAAGCATTCGTCGCTTTGGTACTACGGCCCTGCGTGCCGCTGAAGGGTCGACCGCCTACTGCAACCGTGTGTCCACGGCGCAGGGCGTCGTCCATGGCCTGACAGAGGGTATGTCTTGAGCTCCGCTACAGCTTCATGACCAATTGAGCTGACATGTCGCCTAGCGATTGGGAATACCCCCTTGATTCGGTTAAAGAAGCTGTCTGAGCAGACCGGCTGCAATGTTTTGGGCAAGGCGGAATTCCAGAACCCTGGTGGGAGTGTGAAGGACCGGGCTGCTCTGTTCGTGGTCAAGGACGCCGAAGAGAAGGGACTGCTTAAGCCGGGTGGTACGGTGGTTGAGGGCACCGCCGGAAACACCGGTATTGGTCTAGCCCATGTCTGCCGGTCCAAGGGCTACAAGCTGGTGATCTACATGCCCAACACTCAGTCACAGGGCAAGATTGACCTGCTTCGCCTGCTGGGCGCCGAAGTGTACCCGGTTCCCGCTGTCGCATTCGACAACCCACAGAACTACAACCACCAGGCGCGCCGGCACGCCGAGTCCCTTAACAACGCCGTCTGGACCAACCAATTCGATAACACTGCCAACCGTCAGGCGCACATTGAGACTACTGGGCCTGAACTGTGGGCCCAGACCGGGGGCAAGATCGACGCTTTCACTTGCGCTACCGGAACTGGTGGTACCCTGGCTGGCATCACCCGCTATCTTAAGGATACTAGCAACGGGAAGGTCAAGTGCTTCCTGGCCGACCCTCCTGGCAGTGTTTTGCACAGCTACATCCAAAGTGGCGGTAAGCTGACCGACCGCTCTGGTGGCAGTATCACCGAGGGTATCGGCCAGGGCCGTGTCACAGACAATCTGAAGCCTGACATTGACCTGCTGGACGGCTCGCTGAACATCAGTGACGAGAAGTCCATTGAGATGGTCTATCGCTGCCTGGATGAAGAAGGCCTGTACCTCGGTGCTAGCTCCGCCCTGAACGTTGTGGCTGCCAAGGAGGTTGCTGAGAAGTTGGGCAAGGGCAACACCGTTGTTACTATTTTGTGCGACGGCGCTTACCGTTACGCAGACCGGTTGTTCTCCAACACCTGGCTGGAGAGCAAGAACCTTCGCAGTGCTATTCCCAAGCACCTGGAGAAGTATATTGTGCTGCCTTAGATCTAAAACAATTGTATGAAATGTGAATATATCTGTACTTTGACCATGTATGTTTACTTTACGTACAATTGTCTCAGTAATGCAATAGGGTGGCGGGTGACATTTAAAATACGTTAACCTTCGAACTCATCAGTGACTAATTCAAGACATTTCATGCACCTTGTCCTGTATACTGCTTTAGCCAGTCAAGCACAGTGCGATACCACAAGAGCAGATTCTCCGGACTTCCGCCGGCGAGCACCCGACCTGGGAGTGCCCGTCGGCACGGGGGCAGACGATACCAGTCAAATGCGCCAATTGCGGCGTAGGGCACCGCCCAGTCAGTCGGGACTGCCCGGTGAAGATTACGGCAATGAATGAGGCAAAGCAGGCACTGGCCGACTGCCCCATATATCACCGCATCCCACTGCACTTCCGAAATACCACAAACGGTAACATATTGACGCCCCCGAAAAGGCCAGATCCGGCCGAAGTAGTAGACCTGGATCTATCTATGCATGCTCCGGGAGCACCGCAGGGGGCGAGAATCTCTCAGCGCACTCAGCAGGTTATAATCGACCTGGAACCAGAATCAACTGAGACAGGGACGTCACTTGAGGAGCTCATCAAATCCTCCAAGCCCAGAAAAGGCCCTGGTCGCCCAAAGGGCTCGAGAACCAGGCCCAAAGACCAAGCGCGACCACCTCCGGGGCAAACCAACACTATAATTTCGACAATCCAGCGATCGACGAGGTCCCACGCGGTATCTCAGACGGCTGCGTAGGAGCACACTATCTCGAAAAAGCGCCGCATGGGCGAGCCGGAGGACGTTATGGACGAACAGCCAGACCACGGCAACTGGTGCGATATCCAACTCTCTCAGGCCGACCTCCTTCAGGGCAATTTCAGGCAGGATACCCTTGAAGAAGAGCTCACTCAATTCACCAACGATGTCACAACGATCAACGACACTAACAATACGCCAGAACCTCGCCTCGAGGATCTAGACCCAGAAAGCCCAGAGTATCAAAAACTCATCACCCTCAAATATAACCGAATGCAAGCGGTGCCAGTTAGATCCTCTCCTCCCGCGATCACAACCGATGCACCCACAATCGAAGACCCAACTGATGACGTGTGGCACGAGGCCAGCGAGCGTAGTGATGATGAATTTATTCACCAATGAAATCCTTTGGAATACTTCAGTACAACGCGCACAAGTCGTGGTCAGTGATGGCTACGTTCCTCAGGGACAGGAAGGTCTTAGCGGCGGACATCGTCATAGTGTAGGAGCCGTGGAGAAGCGAACAGCAACATACAACCCACCAACCAGCGACTGCCGCATTCCAGCTAGTATACCCAGCAAAGGAAACCCCGCGTGAGATGGACCAAAATGGAGACCCGGAACAGGATCCAGATCGTCACCAACCGGGGGTATGCCTCTTCGTATCGAGAAAGATCGACCCAGGCTCCTGGTCGTGCCAGCTCATCTCGCAGGATTACCAGTTGTTGAAGCTCAGAAGGGCCCAGCCAGGCAAGCACTGGACGGACCTATTTATGCACAATATGTACAATAGGCCAAGCAGCAACACTTTAGCCCAGCTAAGAGGTGAACTAGCGAGACGCCCTCTCGCAGAACACATTATACTGGGATACATAAACGCACATCATATCACATGGGGAGGAATAAGGATCATAGCTAACAATGAAGGTGAGTAACTGCTAGAAATCACGGATAAGCGAGGTCTCGAACTGATTACCGAGACAGGAAGGGCGACCTGGTCTCGAAACGACTAGTCGTCCGTGATTGACCTGACCTTCATTAGTTTAAGTCTCTTCAATCAGCTCGTCAACTACGAGCGGGCAGATGACATTGAGCATTCATCCGACCATTTCCCGATCAGAACAGTACTTGACATTGAAACCCCGGTGCTAATACAACAGAAGCGGAGAAACTGGAATGCGACTGACGATAATAAACTCATTCAGAAGATTAAGGAAGATTCAAAAGCAAAGGACCTGTCACAAGCGGGCCCACCGCAAATCGAGGCCCAGTATCAGAAACTGCTGGACACCGTCCAATCAGCAATTGAGGCTTCAACTCCGTGGGCAAAACCGTCAACATGGTCGAATCCTGACTTCGATAACGAGTGCAAGGCGGCCGTTAAGGAAGTTCGTCGTCTACGACGCAGGCATACGAGAACAAAGGATCCGTACGATTAGATGCGTTACTCTGAGGCACGCAACAAGAAAACACGTCTAGTCAAAAGGGCACTATCGAGAGCGCACCGCCGTCGAGTCCAGCAGGTCATCGAAGATGGCCCCCAGGGCATGTGGCGCCTCGCTAAGTGGGCGAGGAATCGCAACGGAGCCTACGAAAAAGGCCTCACCCCTTCTTTAAAGATTCAAGGTCTTCAATCACCAGGACAGCTGGCGGAGACGGTCGAGCAGAAAGCAAACGCCTTCCGGGCAGCTTTTTTCCCACAGCCACCGCTAGCAGATCTCTCAGACACTGTGTCATTTCAATACCCGCAGCCCATCGAGTTTCCACCAATTACTGCACAAGAGATATAAGAAGTAGTAAGAACGGCAAAGGCAGGGAAAGCTCCAGGAGAAGACGGTATTCCAAACTCCCTCTGGCACAAGCTGATCGAAGTACCGGTCATCCTACAAGTACTCGGACAATTATTTGATGCGTGTGTACGCACTGGCTACAACCCAACAAACTTCCAACGCTCAATCACGGTTATCCTTAGAAAGCGAGGCAAAAGCTATTATCAACTCGCAAAGTCCTACCGGCCTGTAGCTTGGCTCAATACCCTTGGCAAGTTCCCAGAGGCAGTGGTCGCACGGCGGATCAGCTACGCGGTGGAAACCATGGGATTGCTCCCAAAGACCCATCTCGGCGGTCGACGGGGGATCTCCACGGACCACGCGATTCACAACATGATTGACAGAATCAAAATGGCCTGGGGAAAGGGCAAACCGGTGGTGTCACTGCTGATGCTGGATGTATCAGGAGCATACGATAATGTTTCCCACGATCGCTTACTCCATAACCTCAGAAAACGACGCCTGGGACAAATCGCCCCCTGGGTGAAGACCTTCCTCTCTAATCAGAGCACGAGAATTCGTATGCCCGAGGGCATGTCCGATCGAATTTCGACGCCGACAGGCATCCCCTAGGGGTCACCGATCTCGCCGATCCTATATCTTATTTACAATGCAGACCTCACTAAGAACTACGGGAACGGCGTAACTAGCAACGGCTGGGTGGACGATGTCTGTTTCATGGCCAAGGGAGACAGCGAACGCGAGACCACAAAGAAACTCAGAATGGCATATCGAAAAGCCGATCAATGGGCCAGAACACATGCCTCAGTCTTTGACCCAAAAAAGTACGCACTCGTGCACTTCGTGAACACCCGAGAAATTGACCCTTAATACACACCGCTATCTATACAGGGGTATACCGTACTAGCGACGAGAACGGCCGAGCGCTATCTGGGCTACTGGCTAGACCCTGGACTGGAATTCTATCACCACCGCGAAAAGGCAGTGGCGAAAGCAGGCGTGTCTCTCCAAGCGTTAAGAAGCTTAGCCGGTTCAACATAGGGGGGCTCCCTTTCGGCTATGCGCAGGATCTATTAAGCCGTGGTTATCCCGCAAATACTCTTTGGTCTCAGCATGGTACCAACCTATGCTAATTAGCAAAACGAAAGCTCGCACAATCAGCCAACCGTTCGCGGGCATCCAGAAGCGGGCTACGTGCCTGATTAGCGGAGCATTCAGAACGACGGCAGTAGAGGCGTTGAACATAGAACTGTACCTACCACCAATGGCGATCCATATGGATCGGCTAGTGAAAGAAACCGCTCTACGACTACGCATAGGGTCAGCATTCGCAGTCCCACCAACGATACTACGGCGTCGGCCTAATGACAAGAGGGACTGGGCAGGATGGACACTAATGGAAGCGCAAGCGTGGAAGACGGGCGGATATCTTACGGCTCCACCGGGAACTTTGACGAGGCACTGGGAGAGTCGGAAAGCATTCGTCCAGGCACTATGGCAAGCACCACCAGAGGTGATCATCGAAGACAGAGAGGTCGCCGTGAAACGTCATGATCAGATCCTAGCGATAGACTGGAGGGAAAGACCCGCGATTCTGTACACCGACAGGAGCGGTATTGAGGGAAGGATCGGAGCGGCGGCGATCGTAGATCTCGAGGACCAACATACTCATAGCCAGATGGGCGACGAGAATACGTCTACTGTGTACGCAGCAGAGCTTCGTGTAATCGAGATGGCGCTCGCATTGGTTCTGGAAAGCACAGAGCCGTGGGCTAAACAAGCAAAGAACAGGCTAATCATCTTTGCAGACAGCCAAGCGGCACTAAAGGCACTCGGCCGACCGCGTATGCCGTCGGGGCATGTCTATTTGGCAGGATGCCTTGAACTTATTCGCCAGCTCGCTGATAAAGGCATTCGGACCGAGCTCAGGTGGATTCCTGCTCACCAGGGAGTGATCGGTAATGAGATCGTTGATCAACAAGCCAAAGAAGCCGCCTAGAAACCCGATGGACCACTGAAACCCGACAATCGATATATCTATCTCGCGGCCGCAGCCAATCGCCGGATCCGCAATGAAGCGAAGCTTGAGTGGGAGAGAACGTGGGCGAAGGAGACAACCAGCCGGCCGACGAGACGCTTGATCGAAACACCGACAAAAAAGACGTTGGAATACTGGCCAGGCCTACGCAAAGCAACGGTGTCGATTTTGATGCAGCCAGCCTTGTTAGGAGTTCGTCTCGATAGAGAGCGATTCCCTGATCGGAGAGAACGCTTCTTATCCTGTCGCGCTCATCCTGGTGCAACGGGCACTCGAGCAAGACGTGAACCACTGTTTGGTTGCCGAGGTTGCAACCACACCGCGCTGACTCACGTCGGTTGATGTGATGCGGCTTAGATAAGCACTCAGGCTAATTCGTCCCGTGCGTAAAGAAGAAAGATGGCGCCTAGTAGGAGTCCAGTGCCAGGTCCACTGTAATCCCTTGATCCAAGCGAGCATAGGAGCGGCAACCGATAGACTGGAAGATTGATGGAAAGAGGTCGTGGGAATGGTGTGTCTGTGGTGAAGCGGGACCCCTGGTCGAAAGTGCGACAAGGGGTAAATGACGTTCATTTTGGCTTTCCTTTGTGTTTAGCATGTTTGCATCCATGCACTTACTGTTTTTAGTTTACAATTTCTACGTTCGAGGACGTCCGACCAGGAACTCGCCTTGCGAGCCTCCTAAGAAGGTCGCTCAGTGGGCTGGCAACCACTTTCCAGCTGTCGGCAGGCCTGACAGCACCCCTGCATAGCAGCATATATTTAGAGCGAGCTACATCGGGCAAATGAATTCATCATCATTATCAGTATAGAAATCCCCATATAAAGTCAGACCCAAAAGTACAAAGCACATAATATTCCACTCCTTCTGCATCCCCTCGTCTCCGTGGCATGCTCCTGCCTCTCGTTCTTCAGTCCTCTCCAAGAGCTTCGGTTCTCAATTGATGATGTTGGCGTGTTGAATCGATAATTGTTGAGTGTCCTGACCATTCTCGGTGGTCGGTCTTGATGCTCGGTGGTGTATGCACAGCGTCTTCACAACCTATCCTATAGTCGCAAGGCCAATCTGTTCGTCAGTGTCCGGCTCCACTTCCACGTGCTGTAACTGACCAAGGAGGCCAGTTTGATGCATCATCGCAGCGGCATAGCGGGCCGCGCGCGGGTGAGATATGATTGCATCGTAGTCCGTAGTGTCTCCAAGATCGGTGCGAGCGACCTTGTAGAGCATAGTTCGCCGCAGATCGTTGTACAGCGGACACTGGAGCAGGACATGTCTCGGTGTTTGAGATCCCTGCTCACAGCTACAACGATACGATTCTCTTTCCTCGATCTTATACAGGAAGTGCCCTAAACCAATACGCATTGACCTCATTTGGATGAGAATCGAAGCGTACGGCTTGGACAGCCCCTCATATAGCTCCAAGGCCTTTCGCATGGGCGATTTTATCAGGCGCTTGGTCGGTTTGGCCGTCTTCTCCCTCTCCCATTGTCTCTTCCACCGTTCTTTGATACGCTGGCGGCCGCATGGTTTCGCCGAGGAGGCCAGCCGGACAAACTATTTCTTCGAGCCCGCACTCGCACCCTCAAGTGAATCCCCCGCGCCCGACAATGCGGCGGATTTTGCAGCCTCGTCTGCAAGTTCATTGCCAGGAACACCCACATGGGCTGGAATCCATCGAAGGTGTTCCCCGCGACCGAAGGACCGGTACGTGGTCACAAATGCAAGCGAGCACGTACTGGCCAGATGGTCGCTTCGGGTTCTGCAATGACTTGATTGTAGCTGGGCCGTCAGAGAAGATCACCATTTCCCTGAATTTGTCCTCATTTGCCTGATTCCGTCGGTCTGCCAGTTGCCCCAATGCCATCTCAATGCCCGTGAGCTCGGCCACATTCACATTTGATCTTCACCGCGGATGCACCCACGAGTCCTGCGTATCCACTGCCATCAGTGAAGATACGATGGATCGCTCCGTCGGCAAGTGCGGCGTCCAATTCATTGCTGTCATGGGTCTGGATGGCGGTTTCTGCATCCTCCATGACACATTTGATGCGTGTCTCCCACAGGGGGGGCGAATGATGTCCTTGATTCCCAGGGCACATCCCGTCCCATCAACGGTGCCAATGGGCCGTCCTTCTTCTACTTCATAGCCTCCAGCGGTGTCAAGCCTCCAAGGCGCATATTCTTTGGTTTCCGTTCTCATTTTAGCAATAATCCCTTCGGGTACGGCCCAGGGCACTCTCGTTTGGCTTCTGATTGCTATTTCCTTAATAGTTTGTTGCATCAGTAGGTTGATTGGTGTGAGGAATAACTCAATGTCGAGGGCTGCAGCCGACGTGCTTTTGAAAGCCCCGCTGATCATCAGCGCAACGCGCTTCTGGATCCTTGTAAACCCCTTGGTCTCCCGGCGTTATGCAGGGATGAGATACCAGGCCTAGCAGCCTAGAGCACGAAGGTTGGAAACGTTGGGTTGACGGCTATGCAATGCTTCGTATGGTGTCATTTCTATCTTCGAATGCCACAGACGGTTAAGTGTGTAGTTGACGCCGTGAATGAGTTCACCTCACAGATACCGTGGCAGCTGGTGCTCGGTGAGCACCGCAACAAGTGGTTTGACGAGCCAGCAGTTCTTGATCTCGGAGATGCCATTCAATTGGTGAGCCTACGGCGGTGTGGCATCCCAGGTCGTCCCCTTTGATTTAAGGTAGGATTGCAATGGACCATTAAATTCGTTAGCCTAATCACCATGCACAGACTTGACTTGGTAGCCAATCTGGGTGAGTAGATAGCTTTCCACGACCTGGTAGCACTTGACGACGTCCGTATGGGCCTTCATAAGGAAGATCCAGCAGAAACGAGACGCCTCGTCGGTGATAGACATAAAGTATGTCTCGCCTTCCTTGCTAGCAATGGAGATGGGTCCCCAGACGTCAATGTGCAGAGAGTCGCTTGGTCGCACGCGGATGGATTTGTTGGTAACGTACGGAAGTTGATGACCCTTGCCAGCAAGGCATGGGGGACAGGGAGACTTGAGAGCAGATCCCTTGATCAACTTGATGCCCTCCGCGAAGCCAGGCATGCGGCGAACGCGTTGCTCACCTGCGTGGCAGAAACGACGATGTGCGAGGTCCATAGAGATAGGTTTCACCTCCTTAGGCATAGCGCGAACCACTGAAGCCGTGGCGGAGGTTTTTAAAGCTGCGGAAGCGTAGAAAGTCTCTAGTTGATGTTTTGAATCAGTTCACAACCAGTAGAGATCGTTGTCGGCGTCTCCATAGCCAACGGCCTATCCGGCCGGTGAGGTTAGGATTGCATGATCCGATAGCGTACATGTGATGCCATCGTCGCAGAACATGGTACGACACAAGATAAGGGAGCTGTCGAGGTATTCAGCGTACCAGACGTTCTTCAGAATGATAGGACAAATGACCTGATCGTCCTTTCCGATCGTGGTAAGTCGGGTGGTGCCAAGGCCTTATGTGTAGAAGCGCTTGCCGTTGGCAGCCTTCACAGGGACTCTGCAAGGTGAATACTCGACAAAAGCGTGATAATTGGGCATCATATGGTATGAAGCGCCCGAATCAAGCATCCAGCGAAGTGGGTTGATGCTTGCATTCGCGGTTGAAAGGGTGGAGATATCGATCTCTAGCGTATTGGCCTGTGGAGGAGTCGGTTTGTCCAATAGCTTGTTAAATGCCATGATGTCCTCCATTGACACGATAGAATCGACCCGTACGGTCGCAGTGTTGATGAAAATATCCTCAGGGCTTTGTGGAAGCTCTGCGGTCGTATTTGCCGTACTGGTTCCCTTATTGAAGGACTTGCCAGCATTTGCGGGATTGAGGAAGCAGTGCTCAGAAGAATGTGCCGACTTTCTATCACGGTAAGTGCAGAACTATTTGCTTCGTCCACCACCCCCCTGATTGTTCGTTTGTTGATCCTGCTGAGCTTGTTGACCTTGCTGGCGACCAGATTGGTTAATTTGTTGTTTCTGTTGGCCACTGGACTGCTGGGAGGACTGCTGAGAGGCCTAGGACTGCTGCTGCTGCTGCTGCTGGCCACCCTGTTGGCCGCCCCTTCTTAGTAGTATTAGAAGAAAGGGTAGGGTGCTACTTGATATTGTTATAGCGCTGGTCTTCCGCGGTGCCAAAGTCAGCAAAGACGTTCTCCATAAGTCTGTCATCCTTTAGGTCGAATTTGTGGACGCCCTGAAGCCATACAATAGTATCAGGGTAGTTACCCACAGCCCGGACGAACATGGAGTATTGGATGGCTATAGAAAGAGACTCTTCGCCTAGGGCTTCATCTACTTCCACGTAGGCTCGCTGCCAGTTAGCAATGAACTGAGCGCTTTGGTGACCTGCTTTGTAGACGGTAGACTCGAGTTTGGCCCACTTGGTGGCGATGGTCTGCTGTGTGGGACGACCGTACAGCTATTCAATGATCCTAAAGGCTTCGTATGCGTCTTCAGTCTGTTTGACATGCTGAATGGGGTCATAGTCGAGACAGGAGATAAAGATGTCCAGCACAGTGTACATGAGAGCTTCCCACTCTTCAAGTTCCTTGTTGGGTTCATCAAAATGGACTCGAACGAACTTAAGAAGCTCGTCCTCGGTGATAGAATTAGGCAATATGGTAGCAGGCTCATCACCGTCTGTGTCATGAGTGCGAGGGCTTGTGCCCAAATATGTGGTACGTGGTTGACGCCGATGCTCACGCAATACCCTTTCGTTATTTTCCCTAGCGATATGATCACGTATGGTGCGCTCGCGTGGGGTAGGACGATGGGAAGTGAATTCAGCACGATGCTCACCGATGAGAATCTCCCAGTGGCGTACGCTGCGAGACTTGAGTGCTCGCTTGAGCTTGAACAGCCAGTTTGAGTAGTTTTGGGAGCCCTAAAGCTTGCCCACGCGGTCAGCGATCTTGCCGTAGTCGTCAGTAGCCATTTTTGCCATAGAGAGATGCAAGAGGGATCGGATGAAGATACCTAAATAAAGGACTTGGATGGAAAATGGATGAAAAAAATGCCTCTGATTGAGGTCGTTTGTTGACGAAAGCCCTCACTCGACACTCGCGGCGGCGAGGTCGGCGACGGCGAGGTGAAAGCACTGGTGAGGAGTGTTGGACTATAGTTAAACAGTCTCAACAGAGCAGAGAGCTCATAACCTATGAAGAAGGAAGGAGGAAAAGAGAGAGATGTAGATTCTAGAGATAGAAGCTATGGAACTAGATCTATTATGGAGGCTGAGGCAAGGATGCGGTGAAGAGGGGCAGAATCTCATTCGCTGCGAATAGTATACAACCAATCAACGATGTCTGAAGCTCTGTTTTTGTATTACCCCTGAGTCTGGCCATTTATAGTTAGGGCATTCTAGATTACATATGTAATAAATATGACGGATAATTGTATCTCCGTTCCACCGCGGTATTCGTACGGACAGAATACCTTAGGCGTAAGCAACAGCTTCTACATAAGGATAGACATAGGGAAATCATCTACCCAATTCATTCCAGTTGTCACTATACTCCTTGATTCATAATGCCGTATTAAGTACAGTCCATACGGCCTTAGTCGGGAAAACTGTACGGCCTCATTTAGGATTGTTGCATTCAGGATTGCCCGTACGGCCTCACCGTCTCACCCGGGACATTTGCGATCTCCCTTAGGACGACCTCTGCTACGTGCTGCTTGTGTGTGTGGTCCGTTGGTTGTTGTTGTTGTTGTTGTCCGGTCTGCATTGTCAGACAGCCATCGAGCCATCCCCACTTCAATATGAAGTACTTTTGGATGGCCTAATGACCTTCATTTTCTTGAGGTGTTCTATACTTCTTTTCCATCCCTAACCCCGGCCCAACTAGAACAGTCGATGGAGCGAGATGACGCCAAAATAAAAGATTTGAACATGCCTGATCCTCCAGCGGAGTAGTTTGGCACTAAAGAAGTATAGAGTTCTACATTTATTAGCTTTTGGTCCTCGAGGATTGATAGCAGGCAGTCGCTCCTTCTCTTTGGGCAACTGCCTGCTCCCTCCTGTAAACTTGCCGCAGATAGTGTCTTTTCTCGCTTCCATCCTCGCTATCCCCATCTCGGCCATCACTAGGACGGGCGGCTGCAAACACACACACTAACCATGTCATCCGGAAATGTGAACTTGATCGAGGGTAAGAAAAGACCAGCTCTTGAGCAGGCCGGCGGGATTCAGAAAAAGCCAATGACTAATCCGAACACCAACCCACAAGAAATGGTAGAGTCCATTTCGTATCTCCCTCTCTTCGCATGAAAGATTTAACTAATTCACTTGTACTACAGCGTGACACCCAGATCGCTTACCACAGTTCAGTTGAGGATAAGGAAAACCCTCTTGACGCCTGTGTGAACAAAATGGTCAGGGAGGCGCCGTTGCTGCGCTACGATGCTGAGCAGAGAATAGCCGCTAACGAAGGCGGCTTCGGCCTTCTTGCGGAACTCCGTGAAATGAACGACAAGATCAATAGACTCGAATCTCATGGCCAGAAACTCGAATCTCATTGCCAGAAACTCGAATCTCATTGCCAGAAACTCGAATCTCATCGCCAGAGCCATCTGGACATCCGTCAAAGGGCCATTTCCACATGGGTGCGAGATGCGCTTAACAAAGACACAGAACGCCGGAAGGAGGACATCCGCCGACTGAACAAGGACATTATCCACGGCGGCGATGTGCGTTCCGATGCCATGGTAGTCACTGAGCGCTACAAGAAAAGCAGCACCGAATGGCAATATTTCCGTACTCTGTATGGCCTCACCCCGGACAATGTGAATGATCTCGGTATTGTCTACAAAATCCCATGATGCTCTTCTAATCGCTAATATGTTCTAGACCAACAGAAATGTTATCGATCTCTGCAGGCCTTGGATAGAGCGGCTTCTATCTTGCTCAAGAACGCTTTGACAAGCCTCCCTACTGAGGCGATGGGTAAGGAACGCGAGGATCTTGTCGCTATGCTGCTGGAGGAGAGATATGAAGAGTCTGAGAAGATGACCAGCACTTTTCTTGGCGGGAATAAGTCGTCTGTGGCTGAAGAGTATTTCTAGTCCTTCCAAAAAGCCAGATATTGCTATCCAATGAATCACATTCTAAGGAACAACCATCTTTTGATCACTTGTAGTCTTTCTTCTGACCAAAGCATCCTGACCACCAAGTGCGGAGGTAAGAGAGTCCAGAGAATCATAATCAACAATGGTTACTTTGATATGTGAGTCTAATTGACCTGATGCTACTGTTGGCGCAAGGGATGCCTTTGGCCCACCCAAAGAACATCATTTCTATATTTGCTTAATCCATGGCATGCTTATATAATGATGTTACTGAACAAAGCCGTTGTACAGATCAAACAAAATAGCGGTAAATCCGTTCACTTCAATGATACAATGCGGACGATGGCCGTCCTGCTAGATTTTACTTGCAAAAGGACTGGCAGGCCGATAGCTACCACCTGTACTTCTAGACGATGCCCAAGCTGCCTGTCATTCTTGCCGAGGGGTGACCAACCTACAGCTGTGACTTGAGGAATCCTCCGAAGAATTTGCCAATTTGAGGGTAGTCATTGATACTCACCATAGCGGAGACGTCTGTGGCAGGGAGTTAGTATGAATTATGGAACCGGATGTTGAAGAGAGCCACTCACATTGGTCGGGACGGACGATGATAAGGGCGCCTTGTAGTGGATCAATGCCCAAGAATTGATAAGCATGACCGTGGCCCTCGTTGTAGCTCTTGTCGTCGTAGTAGATTTTGTGTAAGTCTGATGCAGGTTAGAATATATCTAAAGTTTATCGAGACAAGAAGACTGACCTCTCGTCTGGTTTTGGCCGGTCACTGGATAGAAATGTTCCGGGATCTGTTCCAGTTCAACATCGTGACGTGTTCCATGTCCCACAACAATCGTTTCGATTAAGCTGTCGACATCTCGAGAGCTTGGCGTGAAGGTGTGGATTGGTCCCTGCGGCGAGGAAAGATATTCTCCGAGCTATAAGATTTATTAGAAATCATCTGACCTATTTGAAGAGAGTACAACTTACAGAATTCAATTTGCTCCGATTATCTGCGATGGTCAAATCTCCCGCAAAAACCATGATGCGCCATCGGCCATCGGATTTGAGGAACTTCATGAGTTGCTGAGGCTTGGAGTCGCAGAATCGGACAACTTGTGCGCTGGGTAGTCTCATGCCAACAACGACATTCGCAAGCTGAGTAGACTCTATGGATGCTGTGATTAGTGAGACTTCATATTTGGCTATCAGACCGGCAGTGTATTTGCCGGACTGAATGAAACCCCGTTGGAACTCGGCAGGGGTAGTTTTGGCCCCGGAAGAAAAGAGCTTAGAGAAATACCGGTCGAAATCAATTAGATCACTGGCTACCTTTTATCTCTCTAGGACATAGGTTTCTAGAAGAGATGGAGTGGCCAGGCCAGTCAAAACTTCGCCCAAATTCCAGCCAATGTTGTACCCGTCCTGCAAGCTGACATTCATTCCTTGACCAGCCTTGGGGGAATGGGTATGGCAGGCATCGCCAGCCAGGAAGACTCGATGATCTCTGTGGAAGCAGTCAGCCTGACGCTGACCGATGGAGTACGCTGACCACCATACGGTCTCGGCGAAGTCAACCTTGTATGGATGGAAGATAGCCTGCGCTTGTTCTTGTAGGCTCTCCAAGGTCACATCCTTAGGATTGATTCCCGGTGCAAGTTCGATATAGAAGCGCGTCAAGTTTATGTTCTCACCCTCGCGGGGGATGATCAGGATATTCCCAGCCTTTGAGCGAAGAGTGGACTTTTTGCGAATATCTGGGAAGTTTGTTCGGGGAACCATATCCATTACACCCCAGACGGCGTCGCTGCTATCACCGATCATTTTATAACCCAGCGCCTTGCGGACAACGCTGTGGGCACCATCGCACGCCTATATAACGTGTAAGAATTGAAAGAAGTGATCTTACAGCAGCACGAAATGTAGGTCATATTCTTCATGGTGCGAGGGAGAGAGCACAGCAGTTCAGTCTTAACTGACTGCAAATTTAAGGTGTTAAATGCAGCTAAAGCTTCAGAGACAGGATGCTGATGATTGAATTCCCCGTGGATGATTAATTGTGGCGTCTTCCAGTTCCCGGCATGTTGTGCAGGGTCCCATTTCCTCCACTCCTCTGGATTCAGCCAAGGTGGTCCGCCCAGCCCATGCAAAATCGAATGCTGTGTGCTGCTAGCTAGATGAGAGAGCAGATTGAAGGTGCCGTTATCTGAGATTACTGCTTTGAACCTGCGGCCCAAATTGTGGCCCTGTATCCAGTTGACCATGTAACCTCCGTAACCGAGACCGAGCGCCACCGCACGCTCAGTGTCGACGTACTCAAGGGACTGGCAGATATAATCAAACCCGTTTTCTAGGTCTGAGTACGGTTTTCCAGCCCATGAGCCGTGTACGGCATCAGTGAACTCATGCCCGTAGCCGGTACTTCCTGTGGGATTTGGTGCCACGACGATGTAGCCGTGCTCGGCGAAAAGCGCGAGATGGTAGCGCATGTCCCAGCTTTGTCTCCAGCTATCTTGTGGACCGTCATGGATGATATAGAGCAGGGGATACTTCTGCTTTGGATTGAAGTACGACGGCCTAATCACCCATGCATGGATCTGGCGCTGTTCGTCACCCAGAAACCATATTTGATCAACTTGTCTTTCTGTAAGACCAAAGGTCTCTTGACCGAGGGCTGATGGGAGTAAAGGGCGAGAGACTTGAGCCGGTAGATCTTGAATGATTAACTGTCTGCTGTGAACAAAGCTGTCGCAAGACACTAGAACCTGTTCTGCTTTCCCAGGTAGGGTTGTGACATCCAGAACCGAACCGAACGGGATCAGTCCGTCAAATAACTTCAAGTCGGCTGGAGTCGGCTGGTTCGGCCAAGACTTCAGGTTGAGCTGGTAGAGTACTTGACGTCCGTCTTGGTTGACCTGAATCAATAGGGATTCGGTAGAGGCAAATGAAATTGCCGATGGGCTAAGATTCCATTGTCCCTTGCCATCAGCGGACGCAAATATCTCTCTGCTTTCTCCTGTCTGAAAATTTGTCACTAGTACGATTCGGTTCTTGTCAGCAGCGTATCCGTCCTCCTTCTTGCATAACAGTGCTACGGTTCCACCCGCATTTATAGCGGGAGAGCAGATTGTACCTCCCAGGCCACGGTATCGCCAAGCATGGTAGTATTCATCTGTGGGAGGTGATCCAGCCCAGCCCATCATGAGACACAAGTAGCATGATGAGTTTGTATGTGTCGATGGATCAGACTCGAGGTCTTTGGCGACAAACGCAATATGATAAGTATCTTTGAAAAAGTCCAGAGAATCTTCGTCTATCGATCCGTCTAATTCGATGTCTCCGAGCTTGAAGTATTCCATCAAGTTCGTCATAGGTGTCATTGTATATTGACCCTCCGGAGTCTGTGATGGGCGCACGAGTTCCCCGAACCAGATCACGTTTTTGGGGCGATGAGCACTTTGCCCAGGGACTGTATTTTGGGGTTGGCTGGGGAAAGGGACATGAGTCCTATCAGTAGGATTGAAAAGCGTCCCATCTGGATTGGCTTGGCCAACAACTGCAAAAGATAAATCATCATCACAATCCTCCCTAAATGCAATAGATCCCACTTTGAGGTTCTGGACCGGCCCAGAAACAGTTCCCACGACGTAGTGGGCACTTCGGAGACGAGCATCCCTAACAACAAAGCGAGTGTATCCATTGTCCATGGCTTCCAGCCAGATGAGTTGTTCGCTGTGGCCGAGCCATCTGGGATAATTGGCATGAGGGTTGTCGGTGATAGCCTAGGATCGCGGTGAGTTTATCTCTCGCACACGAATCTGTGCAGACTCGCTGTGCGAGCGAAACGAATAATTTCGCTGTGTATACACCACGAGATTCCCGGATGCATCTGGGATAGGGGAACTGCATTTTGGTGCTTCGAGCACGGCCCTCCATGGATTTTTGCTCAGTCGGAGACACAGGGCAGCAGACGGATGGAACCTACTCGGGGGTCGACCTAATAGTACGCGTGGCCATAGTGATATCCAGTATCTGCTTTGTATGGTAGACACAGGCCTTGGTCCTACCGGGAACGGGGACGGGTCTCCTTTGCACTAGTGATACGGAGCTTCAGGCATCAATACGCACGAGAAATATATATCGAACAACGTGTGTGCGTTGGAATAGAGAGAGATAACCAAGATAAATACCAAGATACAGCTGCTTGGAGTCTCTGCCCTCGTGGCTTTAGGGGTCGGGATTCTTGGCGCCAAGGACCCCCGCTTTAATCCTGGATCTATATACAGTATGTATCTTAGAAGAGTCGTGACATGTATGGCACTAAATACTTTCAAGCCAATTTGCTTGATCGAGCTCCACTGAAATACAAAAAATCAAAGAACGAGCAGACTATGTTGCAGGGCGTGCGCGTTTGACGAATTAAATGAGATTCAGTGCAAAGTCAATTTACAGTGGAGTTAACAGCACCCGTCAAGTGGTGTCTGTATTCACATCCTCAACAACCTTGAACAAGTCTCAAGGGCATTTCCCGCGTATTTCTGTAGGAAAGTGGGCCATTATAACCACGCATGATTTCACCATCAACGCACCAATATTCGTGTGAGTTGTCCTATAAGATGAAGTCGTATCAACATAATCCATATGGCATATTGACTCGGCCCCATAAACCGCTAGCTTCTACACTCCTGACGCGCCCTGGGAAGCACAGGACATGTATGAACACCGGTAGCCTTCACAGAAAGGACGCATTCCCAATATGATTATGAAATGATGCCCATTGGATGTAGATGAAGAAGCTTGGCTGACAAAATATCTAGCAGAATCGCCTTCTTCTCGAAACCTCAAGTACGTGCGTCCTTGCATCAGGATTATAGTAGAATTTAGGATCAAAACAGAGATCGACCAATGAAATGAGACTAATTAGGGTGATGCTGCTTGCCGCCAATCAATGGCAGTCGCTTGGGATAACCTCATCTCGGGATCGCGGATAGCGATGAGATTGGCTACTTTCCGTTCACGATGGCGAATATCCGCCCCACAGGCGGAACCCTCAACATTGTGGTTTCAAACATATTCCAAAGATTTTGCCGGATGGCCTCAATCCCGGCTTCGTAAAAAAAAACCCCCACCCTAAGAAACCCCCGGCACCACCCACGCCATGTCTCAAGTCGTATATCTCACCGTTGAACCGGAGACAGTAGACAGGACCAAAAAGCAGTCTTGGATCCACCCACACTTGATCGAGAGCGTTGATCCTGTCAAAGGTCGTCAATTCCGTGCATGCCATCATATCCCGAAAGGCGCCTGTCTTCTCATCGACCTCCCCTATGCAGTGATTCCCGTTGTTGATGAGCCCGAGGTCAACGATCATCTTATTTGCAACAATCCCGCTTGTAATCGTCGAGCTCCTCGCGAAAAGGGCCGATATTCATGTCTGAATGCTTGCATGCAAGATGTGGTATGGTGCAGCAGCACCTGCAGAGACGCTGATAAGTCTCGACATGGCTTTGAATGCACATGGCTCAAGAAATACGCAGAGTCAATACGGAGCAAAAGAGGCGAATACGATTTTGGCATGCTCTGGCTGATTGTTCGTTTGCTTGCCTTCCGACATGTTGAATTGCAAAAGAATGCGCCTACCGGATCTAAGTCGCTCCCCAAACATAGCTGGGAAGCCATTGACTCGCTGTGCGGATCCTCCGGAACTTGGTCTCATGATCAGGTCAAGGTCTGGACAACTCTCGCGAAGAAGTATCTGAAGAACAGTCCGGCTCTACCCCACGGGTTAAATACGGATCGAATGCTTCATCTGATCTGCCAAGAGGAGGCAAACTCATTTGGTCTCTATCCCAGAGAAACGGGGCATTATCCTCCACCTAATCCTCCAATTGATAGAGGAGAACAGTTTGCTGCAGCCGTTTATCCCACTGCCGCAATTGCTAATCATTCATGCGTGCCAAATGTATGTCTTCCGACTCAACTTGTAGAACCGGAAATACTAATGCAGTCATAGATCATTCATAAACCTGACGACGAAGGCCGCATGGTCTTCACCGCATCTCGCGACATTTTTCCCGGCCAGGAATGCTGCATCTCCTACTTCGATTTGACGAAACACATAGAACTCGACTCACGCCGCGCACATCTTCGGAAATCATTCCGGTTTCTGTGTCGTTGTGATCGTTGCGTCTCCGAAGAGCCTACTGAAGAGGCTTCGGAGTGGTCCGCGATGCCACTAATGGACGACTCGATATAAAGTTCCGGCCTTTTGGAACTGCATCGTCTTATACGACTTCACTCTGATGCATTGCCGCAGATACGCGACATTTCCTTCCGATGCATGACCAGCGCCTTGAACATATCAATTTATGATTATATCTATATTGACAAATAAAGATTCACGGGTATGATGACAATCTTGCACCTGTGTAATGAGGCCTTTATTGCTTTGGGAAATTCGCATCAAGCCTTGAAAACATAGTCCACAATTTCAGTCATGATTTCAACATAGATTTGATTTAAATGAAACAACCCTGAGCCCGCCTATATAGGTCAATATATAGGCGGGTAGAAGAATATCAGCTTCTGTTCATGCCAGCTCGATAGCCACGAGTGCCCAGGTACTTCATGCGGTGTATGTAAAGTGAACTTAGCGCTAACGATCCCCTTTACTTGGTGGGCATTAATGATCGAATTATTATCATGGGTTAAATTGGTAGCAAAGATTGAATTGGTATCAAAGATGAGATGGAGAATTTTCCCGATGGGCTTCTAATATGTTCACGTAGAACATGCAGATATAATACACGAGTAAAGATAACCCACAAAAAAAAAGAACCAGAGGGTTTCCAGCTCTCAAGGACGCAATGCAAAGAATCAAACCAAGCTATTTCCACAACTCAGCTCGTCTGATGCAGCTCCAAAGACACAAGAGCCCCACCGCAGATAGCGAAAAGCCTTCCTGAATACACGATTCAGAGCAAGACAAGAAGATGGCACAACAAAAACAACCCAAACGCCTTCTATGCTCCCTCTATTCCAAATCGCCAAGCGCCACAGAAGATATACAAATCGAAGAAAAGCGGAAGTTGACATCGCATGTCTAAAGGTATGCAGTCGAACAGAACACCGCACTCAAACACCGAGCTTAATCCGACTCGGGCATTCTCATATAAGCATCGATAGCAGCACTGAATGCCGCAAAACCAGCGCAACCAAAGGCAGCCGCCTGCGGGCCGGCCTTGGCACCGAGGATACCACCGGTGACACAGCCCGCCGCGACACTGTTGGTCAAGTCGTTCTTCGCGCGGAGACCCTCAATACAGCATTCGGTGCCGGAGTAGAGCGCGCCGACGATACCGAAGTTCTTAGCGGAGGACCAGGAGCGGGAACCCATATCCTTGAATCCACGACGAACTTGCTCGCGCCAGGGGAGATCGGAGATCGCGCGACCTTGGGGGGTGAGGGGAGAGTCGTAAGACATCTAGGCGCAGGACGTTAGATTTCTCATGTGAAAGAATGGAGGATAAGATTAAGAGCTTACACTGGCCATGAAAAGACCAAAGGCACCTCCGAGACCGAACCCCATTGTACCGGAGATGACTGTCTTGACTGGACACGACTCCATACCAGCGGTCATCTGTTCGAAAGTTAGGAGATGCGCGTTTCGCGACGCGGGACTTGAAACCTACCATCTTCACCATGGCTGCCTCCTGCTCATTCATTCCTGCGGTCTGGTTGCCAGCACCGCCGAGGCCACTCATCGTCGGCATACCGGGGACACTCATGATGAATTAGGGCGCGTAAAAGGTCGAAAATAAAGGTGGTAGGAGAACGGCGTTCAAGTAATTTGAATCCGAGATGAGAGGACCTTTGAATAAGAAAAGGTAGGGTGGGTATCCCCTCGAAGAAATGCAAATTCGAGAAGCTCACGTCGAGGCTCGGAGATCTTGCGGAGGCGACTCACGCAAATTTATTTTTACGGCAACCCAAACCAGTCCACTGCGCCGTTTGTCACGTGATACTCCGGGAAATCATCGTCCTTCTATAGTTCAAGTTAGTTACATCTTATGATAATGCAAGATCAAGGGATTCGTACATCCTATTTGTAAGTTTATATATTCAATGCGTCTAATTTTCGATAATTATCTTCAAACGTTCCATCATAGATGGCTAGCTAGAAAAGGAATGAAGCCAGTCGCTTCAAATATTCGCAATAGAAAGGAACGCTCTCGTGGGTTGAATGGTCGTAACCCTGCATGAATCCGTGTGTTCGTGCCAAATCGCCCAACGGAGACCCTCAATGGGGCCGAAGAAGGAAATGGGTCTAGTATATACATAGAAAAGAAAAGAAAAGAAGAAAAGGTAAGAAGGACCATCAGTCCTTCTTGCTGCTCTTGCTCCAGCTGGACGAGGACGACGAGTCCTTTCGCTCCGGCGAAGGCGAGAGACTTCGCTCCCACTCAGCCATGAGGTTGGAAGCGGTACGTTGTAGCTTGGACGGGGCCAGCTTGGTGATAGTGGGCCAGGGGATGCCTTCGGTCATGCTGGGATCGGGGGCGGCGGAACTAGGGTTCCATTCGCCAAAGCTGGAGATGGGGCGTCAGCGCATAACGAGGTTGTCATAGATAAAATCAGGAAAAGTCGATATGTACCTGGCACTCGTTCGGGGACTGCTACTTTGTGTTCCGGGCGACTGTTCATGCTTCGAGGACTCTACTGTTGACCGGCTGGACGAGGGCGTATGCGTTATTTTGGACTTGGAAAGCGGCGTGTCCCATATATCCCAGTTGTCGGCTGTTTCATCCTCCGCGGCTGAACTGCTGAAGTGGTGATTTGTTCGCTCGGACTCGTTCGCGCCCCGTGGGGTCGTTGCGGCGATTGTGTTGTCGGAGGGACTGCGATGAGCGCCTGTCGACGTCTGCGCTGGTGAATCAACGCCGAATTCATGCCAGAAAGACGAGGAAATGTCCGCCGGCTTGGAGTCTTTACCGGATGATGCATCGGCCGCTGGCCTCCTCCCCCGCGACGATGACGATGTAGATCGTGAACCACTACCTGCGGCTGATAGCCGGTCTCGACTTTGGGATTTGGCCAAAGAATCGCGCTTGCGTGAATTCGACGGTGTTAACGAGTTGGATGGTGACATGGTTCGTGATTCGGTCGCGTTGATGCCCTCTTCACCCACTGTTGCTTGTCGGATGTCCTCAAAGAATGTCCAGAGACCCTCGCGCAGATCGGAAGCCATCTGTTTGCCCGTACGCACGAGTGCCTCGCGCGATGGAGGCGGCATGGTCTTCCGCCACTGTGAAAGGAGGTGCTCCGGCACCTGACTCTCATCCATCGGCATTCCAATACTGGGGGCATTGTAACGCTCAACAGATGGCAGCGTAGCTGACCGCGGGGCGCGGCCAACACGCTCAACCTCTGACGGGCCGGGTCCGCCAAGTGATGGGCTCTGAACTGTTACTGGAGACAGAAGAGACAACGTGCGCGTATGAGAGCCTTGGAAGACACGCCGCCCGTTGGCAGAGATGGTTGTACCCTTAGCTGGAGTAGGACGGACGATGCTTCGACGATCCAATTCCCGGCTGATACGTTCCTGTGATACAGACGAGCTTCCGACCGAGCTCATGCTTTGTTCCCGACGATGCGTACTGGATGCCTCCGCCCCGCTCAGGTCAGGAGATCGTAGTGGCAGCAAGGGTTCAGCATGAAGACTGATCTCGGTGCGTTTCCTCGACTTCTCAGACTGCGCCCATTGTTTCTTCAGAGTTGACAGGTCCGTCTCAGCCCGAGACAGCTCCTCCCGGAGCTCCATCACCCTCCGCTCTTGCGAGGCGATGGCCCGAAGGAAATCGATACCATCATCATCGACGTCTAAGGGGATAGGAGCACCGGGGGTGGCGGGGGACGGACGAGTCGAGGACTGCGTGACAGGGGTCATGGATCCGGGGGAGGCGACACTAGGGTCCGTGGCGGATGGCGGCTGGTCCAGCGGGATGTTGATGGGGAAGTTCAAAGTCAACCGTTTCGCATGTCGGGCCCCTGGTTGGGCACGCGGTGGAAGTGATGATCGATTCTGTAACAATGATGAGGATCGAGAGAGTGTTTGCCCAGAGACAGGCCCCGGTTGGATTGGAGAGTCGAGTGACGTGCGGGACGCATCCGGCATAGAGCCATGGACGTCGTCGCCCGTTCCGGGTAAGCTCTCCATTGTGGGCCAGCCAGCTGGAGAGAAACTATGTGGGATAGGTGGGCATGAAGGAACGAGAGTGAAGGATTGGAGTATATGTACAGTTGAGGAAAAGAAAAACGAAGTGACGGAAAGTCCAGTCCCCCGTCTCCTGAGCCCACAGCGGGTCCCAAGGTCCGCGCATCTTTGCCACGAGTGTTTCAGGGGCCCGCGCAGCCTCGACGCCGCTTAGCGCTGCCGACCTTCATTTTAACATTTTGAATACGTCTCTTCTAGATTTTACGCGGGATACCATCCCACTGCTCACTGTTTTCCTATTGTAGCTGGGAACAGCGAGAGCCCCAAATCTCTAGGATCGACGCTGTGAATTCCACGCGATGCTGCATTCCAATTGGAGAAGATCTATCGGCCAGAATGCTGACAGCAATGACAGAAGCCTAGACCCTGCATAAGCTTGTCATCTAAAGTTGTGGATTCCGTGTTATGTAGTCTTCTGGTAAGAGAGCAAGAAGTAATGAATCCTTTGTCTATAGTCGACCTATTCCATCCTTTGTATCTACCTTGAAGCAGATACTTGTTAGCAAACATTCTATGGATTGAAATCACATAGCTTCGCTGTCAAGGAATGTAACTCTCAGTAAATAACACTACTTATCTCTACCGAATCAGCCATATCAGGCTGAGCACAGCTACACACATCCCTGCACTTCGATGAGATCAAGAGTCATTTGCATTTGATCGTTACTCGAGTCGTTCCAGCGGTACCCAGTATCCTACCAATGCAATTTTCGGAGATCATTCATCTAGCCTTCGAAACCTTCCAACGGGTCTCTGTCCCAAAAAGGGAACCTAGACAGTCAGGTTTTCCATCTCGAAGTCCTACGGGTTCTCGGCACATGCATGAGCTAAGCACATGTGCAGCTGGAACCTCGGATTTGGAAGCGCGTGAAAGACTCCAGGAATAACCAGCATATATGGGCGCATGCATATATATTTTGTGCTGTGATCCAGGTGCATCCGGACACCTGGACATTCTCCAACTAGCAGGTAGATATAATTGCAAATATCCGATCACAGCCTTCTCATTTCAAAAGCTATGACACACCACTGAGACCCAATCTCAAAATAGCAAGACGGAGAAAGGCAATCCATGCCAAATTACATGCAGTGCGTAGGCAGCCCCACCGCCCCCAGAAGTGGCGCCGGGCGGGAGTTGTTAAGGGGAGCTAAGAAGCTCTAGACGTCTTGGCTGTCGATTTCAGGGGTACTCGATGTGGCATCCTTCAAACGTTGGAACAGTGGAATACGAGCTTTGAAACAAAATAAACAGTCGACGAAGAAGGTTGGAACTTAATGAATAGAAGCTGTGGGGTTACAGCACCTAGTACATTCCAAGGTCGATCATCACAAGTGCGGAGGGGTGGATGTGTAAGGACTAAATGCCAATGTACTGATTGGACCAGAATACAAGAAACAATAACCACAAATCCAATCACATCGTAATATTTTCATTCAGACGGACAGTTCACAGATAGCCAGAGACATATTGCACAATGAAAGTCCCCTTGCCTCGGGATATGGAAAAGGCAGGGGACAGAGGATAAAAGCGCACATAAATGACAGCGAGAACAAAAAGCTATCTATGAGAAGGAAAAGGGTTCAAGACATGGGTCTGAACCAAGAAAATAAACAAAGGCAAAGGAGAGACATAAACATAAACACAAGTTCCAAGATAATACACCAGATCGAAACTCCGGGGCCGGTCCCACCAGGTACAAGAATTGAAAAGAAAGAACGGACACCATAGATGCAAGGCTGGTGGTAAGCCTGAAAAGAACGCAAGGGGGTTGTACAAGCAGGTAAAACGCCAGAATGGTCTATACAACGAATGGAAGAAGATCAAAGGAGGAGGGGATGTGCGGGGGAGAGCAGGATGCAGAGGGTCGCTTAGATGCCCCAGCGATTGCGAAGTCCGTCTGCCCAACGTGAGTAGAGCACATCAGACAGTTGCTTGGTATGTTCCATGCCGGCGACGTTTTGGCCAGGCATGTTGGAGAGGGGCGAGGGAGGATTCGGTTCCGCCACGCTCGACTGTCGGCGACGGTGGCTTTTGAGGTGAGGGTTGTTCTGGGCTAGAACGAGACGGGGGCGTCCAGGAGAGTCAGGTTGAGGGGATGTGGGGATCATGGAGTTGAGGCGGGGATCACTGTCTGGGGTTAGTATCTCTTCATCACTGTCGGAAGAGTCGGAATCTGTGACATACGCCTGAAGTTTCTCGTTCATGGTGCGGATGATGTGATAGAGTCCCTCAGGGTCGACCATCTCCAAGTCACTCCAGGCCTCGGCCAGCCGGGAAATGGCCTCACGCTTCTCTCCGTCGCCAGTAGTAGAGAGAACTTCCTGACAGGAAAGCCCAACAGCACGGCTGTATGCACGGCGTCCCAGCTGAGCTTCCTTGCTGCTGGAATCCCCAGAGACCACTTTCGGACTAGAGTTCTCGTCGAAGCCAGGTGGCACCTTTGGTGTTTCACTGGGAACTCGGTCCGATACACGGCGGAATTGCCGAACAGTAGACGGGCTGTTCCCGTAACTCAAGTCTAGACCGAGAGGCTGCTTGATACCGCTGGATCGCCGCTTGGTGTTGGCTCTGCGGATTGAAGGTGATCGGTCGGCAGCCGGGGTTCGTCGAACTGTGGAATTAGGCTGATGCTTGGGTGGCACGGGCGGAGGAGAGATATGCAAGTCCTCCATCAGTCGAGCAGGGTTGGTCTCGTTTTCGTCTTCATCCTCGTCGAGCGTGGTCCAGTCAGTACCCTTGGGCACCCACATAGATGGAGCCTTGACAGTGTCGAACACCCAATCGTCGTCGTCTTCCTCTGGGGTAGGTGGCTTGGTGATTGTGTTACTGATTTCAGTTGTTAGCCGTGAGTTGGGACCACCAGTGGTGTTGGGGACTTACAGGGACTCTGCGTAGTATTTGACGTCCTTCGTGACTCCGCGGCCGCCATCCCAGTCTTGCTTGCGATGAATGAGTTCCTGCAGGGACTCGGGCTTTCCAGCGCCGCGAATGAACTTATGTCGCAACAACTCCTTTGCACTAGGGCGACGATCGGGGTCCTTGGTCAGACATTGGGCGATAAAGTCCTTGAAGGTGCTGCTGTATTCGTTGCCCTCTAGTCGCGGGGCAGGCTGTTTCGGAATGAGGAAAAGGACCTTCATCGGGTGGGTACTAGCATGAGGTGGTTCGCCGTTGATCATCTCAATCGCAGTAATACCTAGGGACCAGATATCGGCCTTGAAGTCATATCCAGCCTGCTGAATAACTTCCGGCGCCATCCAGAATGGAGTACCGACAAATGTATTGCGCTGCGATTTGATATTGACCAGCTGAGCGGCCACACCAAAGTCTGCCAGCTTGACTTTTCCAGTTTGAGAGAGCAATACATTTGCCGCCTTGACATCTCGGTGGATCTTTCCTTCAGCGTGAAGATAGTCGAGACCCTGTAGCAACTCTCGGCAGACGATTGCCACATGCGCTTCGTTGAAGACCCCGGGTTTTAACTGCAACCGGTTAGCGACAGACCCCGCAACAATTGCAAATGAGTAGGGATAGACCACGTACCAGATCTAAACAGGATCCGCCACCGAGGAATTCCATCACAATCCAAAGTTTGTGACCCTTCAGGAAGCTCGCCTTGTATTGTGTAACATAGGCACTAGCGCAGGTGGCCAAGACGGAAATCTCTTGCTGAATCTCCTGAATATCATCTTCGCTGGACTCGAGATCAATCTGCGACGCGGAAAAAAGGTCAATTAGATGTGTGTGAGGGGCATCGGATGAAAAAGTGGCGCGTACATGCTTCACCGCTACAATCTCTCCGGTGTGTGTGTCAATGGCCTTGTAAACGACGCCGAAACTTCCACCTGTAAACAAAGGACAATGGGTCAGTACATGGTATGTAGGGGCATTGTAGGTAAATCTGGTACTCACTTCCCAGTTCCTCCATCACCTGGTAACGGCTCGCCATATCGTCCGCCATGGTTTCGCAATGATCAGGCCGAACTAGTGCGCGGTCGGACAGGGCTGCAGCGGAACAGTGTTCGTCCAGCGGAAACTGGGTGAACTTTGAACTCGAAAGACCTTGAATCCTAGGCTTCGGCGTGACAGCGAAAGAGAAGAAAGTGTCGGGCAGCTGGGCACTTGAAACCAAAAGGGGTGGAGCATATATGAACGGCCCTTGTCCAAACAAGGCCGTCTCGCATGGCAACCGATGCTAGCCTCAGGCCTTAAGTGAGAAGCACTAACTAAATCGGGACTAGCGCATATGCAAGGGTCAGATCATGTGACATCATATTTGTATAGCATCACTAGTCCAGCAATTGGAGAAATATTTGAAGCTAGGGAGAGTAATTGATATTTTATACACTACTGTCACCTTTTTCAAGGGTTTAGGCCTTTCAGATGCACTTGTACGGGTTCATAATGCCGTTCTATAGTCGGTGTCAGCAAAATTCAGACGTGGGGCAAGGGTGCGAGCAAGGTGCTGAACTTACCGGATCGTAGAGACCTTTCAACTGCTTCATCAGCTTCACCATGGTATCGTTCTGGCTGTAGCCGATGAAATCACGCTTAGCAATTCCAAGGCCGTGCTCAGCACTAATACTGCCCTGGCGCTTCTGGATCCACTCATACACCCAAGGCTCAATAGCCTTCTCGACCTCCTTGTTGTACTGGCGCACGGACACGTTCAAGTGCAGGTTGGAGTCACCCATGTGGCCATATCCAACAACGGCGCGAACGGGGAAAGACTCGTCATCACCAACGAAGCCCATCTCGGTCAAACGAGCCTTGCAGTCCTCGACCAGCAAGTACAGATCGGAGAGGGGGATTGACACATCGTACTTGTAAGTACCACCCAGATGGCTCAGAGCCTCAGTGATACCCTCACGCCAGCGCCACAGAGCCTGAAACTGGGTCTCATCCTGAGCCAAGACACCGTCAGCGACAATGCCCTCGCCCATGACGTTCTCAAGGAATGTCTCCAGCTTTGCCATATCGTGCTCGGCGTTGGAGCCACTGGTCTCAATCAGACAGTAAAAGGGATATTCACCCTCGAGAGGGTACTTGTTGCCAGTAGACTCCTTGACCAAACCCTGGCTGCGGCCGTCCATAAGCTCAAAGGCAGACAGAATCTCGGAAAGCTGGCCCTTGGCCTGGAGGTAGGCCTGCTGGACCTGCTCGAAGCTCTCCAATCCGAAGTAAGCAACGTTGACGGCCTTGGGGCGAGGAGGGCAGATGATGGAGACAGCGGTCACAAGGCCAATGGTACCCTCGGAGCCAATAAAGAGCTGCTTTAGATCGTAACCAGTGTTGTTCTTCCGCAGAGTGGAGAGAGAGTTGACGATGGTCCCGTCCGGCAGGACCGCTTCGAGACCCAGCACAGTTCCGTGCAAGCTACCGTAGCGCAGCAAGCGCAAACCACCCGCGTTGGTAGAGACGTTGCCTCCAATGTGGCAGGATCCCTTGGCACCCAGGTCCAGAGGGAACAAGTGGTCGCGCTTAGCGAGATACTGATCCGCAACCTCGAGAATCACACCAGCATCCGCGACCAGCACACCCGAAGCCGTGTCGAACGAGCGGATCTTGTTCATACGCGAGGTATTGATGACGATTTCATCGAAGACGGGCACGGAGCCACCGACCAGACCAGTGTTACCACCCTGCGGCACCACAGCCAGCTTCTTCTCATTGCAGTACTTCAGAACCTTGCTGACCTCCTCTGTGCTTCCAGGCTTCAGCACCAGTTTTGTGTGGCCACGGTATTTGCGCATCCAGTCGCTGTTGAAGGGCTCGATATCGTCCGTCGCATCGGCGGTCACGCCATCGATAACAGCTGACTCGGAGCCCAGAAGCTCCTTGAAATATGCGACGTCTTTGGCGGTAAGCTCTCCGAAGTTGGGATCGCGCTTTACGTTGGGGTATGCGTCGCTGGTGTACTTGATCTGCTTGTCAGCCCAGACGGTGGAGCTAACGCTGAAGCTGCGCACGGCTGTCGTCAGAGGTGTGTAAGGGAGGGCGGGTCGGAGATGGATGCGAGGGCGAGGCACTCGCGCCCGCCGCAATGCAGCAGATAAATTCCTGGCATTAGACATGGCAGTGATCAAGAGGTGTAGGGAGGAAAAGGAATTCGGAAGTGGATGCCCGGTCAATTGAAGAGTGGAGAAGCCGCTCCGATCACCAGCCGAATCCCAATTTTTAATTGCTTGCACCATCGGAGTTGCCTCCGCGACTCCATGTTTCTGATCAGTTCGGCGTTTCTCGGCATTTTCGGATTCCGTGCTTTCGGCTTCCACTTTTCCATTCCAACTCGCTATCGATTTCCATTAGCTGCCCGATTCGGTGACCGACCGGATTCGGGATGCGAAGACGTGGTCTCGAGCACCTAAAAGGGAGAAAGATTCCTTGCCGCAACATTTCGTAGGTTGAAGGTCGATCTTGCAGCCATTTAGTTCATCCCTCGGTGTTTGATCCACGACTTCAATCGGGTATAGTTTTGTCAATTCTCGGTATAAGGATTGATCGACATCCCAGAACGTCCGTAAAGGTAGTAAGTAGTAACTGCCCACGTATGTGTCGGTAGAGATTTCATAACCTTCCAGGGCTACGACTCACGTATGTTTGTTGGGCCTTACCAGAGTGCGCGTCCAGACATGCTACAGCTCGGTAGAATTTAAAGGCACAGAGCCGTAATATTTCCGGGGAAAAAAAGGTGGTGGTAGCACTTGGTAAGCTTTCAACTCTAAATGAGGCTAATTTCTGCACCATCACAGCTATCACAATCACAGCAATCACGAAGACCACTAAGTACCAACTAGTTGAGCCCAGTCAATTAAAGCCAGAAAAAATATAGATCTGGTAGAGTTCAATGGTAAACAAACTTCTGCCATGCGTAATCTGAAGGCGAGTCAGTTACGTCATGGTAGCGCCCCGCAGAGCCAAGGGGCACAACCTCTCACCGGAGGTCAACTTTCTCTCCTACACAAATTCCTCAATCATGACTTCTGTAGTTCTGGTTACTGGAGCTAGCGGCCTCCTGGGACGACAGGTCTTCAGCACCTTCCAGCACTCGGGCGTTCTTGTGGTCGGACAAGGATACTCGCGTGCTGCCCCGCCAACCATTCTCAAGGCGGATCTTGAGAAGTCAGAGGATATCAAGTCCCTTTTGGACGATGTGAAGTGAGTATAATCAAATAAATAGACCCTATTCAGCTACGTGAAGCTTATGGAATCTGCTAGGCCCCATATTGTGATTCATTGTAAGCTACGGAATGCCCGTGGATCATGTCACTCAAGCTGACGGGGGGGTCAATAGGTGCGGCAAACAGATCTCCAGACCTGTGCGACAAGAACCCGGAGCAGGCGCGTAATCTTAACGTCAATGCTGCTCGTGCTCTCGCCGAAGAATGCCACACCCGCGGCGCGTTCCTCGTCTACATCTCCACCGACTACGTCTTCCCCGGAAAGGAGGGCGACGCCCCTTATGAGGCCGATGCGAAGACCGAACCGCCTAACCTGTACGGCCAGCTGAAGCGCGATGGGGAGGTGGCAGTGCTCGAGGCGACCCGTGAGAGCGGACTGGGCGTCGTGTTGCGAGTCCCCGTGCTGTACGGATCGGCCAAGGAGAACTCCGAGAGCGCAGTCAATTGTCTTGTGGATGCGGTGATGAAATCGCAGGATGCCAATGCCGGTGTGAAGATGGACGACTGGGCGCTGCGGTACCCCACCAACACCGAGGACGTGGCCCGCGTGTGCCGAGACATCGTGATCAAGTACTTGAGAGAGAAGGCGCACCTGAAGGAGATGCCAAAGATTCTGCAGTTCAGTTCCGAGGACCGCATGACCAAGTATGAGATCTGTGAGAAGTTGGCTCAGGTGCTTTCCGTGCCTTTGCCCGGTATGATTCGCAACAAGCAGGGGAATGATCCCAATGCCGGTGTGCAGCGGCCCTATGATACGCACCTCTCCACGAAGGTGCTCAAGGACCTGGGCATTGATGTGCGGACCATGGACTTTGTGGCCTGGTGGTGAGTTCTATTCCATCTCAAGTCATCTCATGTTGACTGGTCCAATACTGACAACCTTACAGGCGGAGAGAGCTGGGGGCATACAAGAAATAGATACCTCATATGATACATACTAGGGTGGTGGTTAGGTATAGAGAGAAAAAGTAGTTTCCCAGCCAACTGGGCATCTCGCGATGCAGGAACACAAAATAAAATATGAAAATGTGACGAGTCCAGACCCACCGCATGCAAGCCCGATTTTTCGATTTTTCTTAGTTCCCTGCTCTGTGGGTTCGAATCGTGAGATCCTATTCCCAGACTAATGTCTTACTCAGGCCCTAGATCGACCTATGCCGGGTCTATGTTGGTACAGGGTAAACCCTGCATATGGATAAGGGAGATCGCTACCATGATCTACGCCGCTGGGGAGTCTGAGTCTGAGTCTGAGTCTTGAATTTGAAACCACAACTTAAATAGTGAGTTACACTCTGCGTCAAATCTTACACACCAGAGGTACAAAAAACCACAGCCCTTGCATCCATAGCTTAATCTTCAGGATGATCCCCCACAGAGTGGACCGCGGGTCTATCCACGATGTCGCGGATCTGAGTGGAGCCAAGGGCTTAAAGGCATTGTGTCTATGTCTACACGAGTGCAACCCTAGATAGGTAAATCACTATTCCAAAGTTCAGTTACATGTACTTGTCAATAGTCGCCGATCGTAGCGCAAAGGGACAAAACACGAAACGAGGGACGTTTCCGGCTCCACATACCTGCATTCCTTCCACTTCCCAAAAACCCAGACTGACATTTTGACTCCCACGATCCGATGAAACTCTAGGTAAGTGTCCAGTCTGATGAATCACACTCTATCTCCCTAAATGCGGCCCAACTCTGGATTGTCACGTTATACCTTGGCGTTTTCTTGAGCCAAAACAGGGTTGCCGGATTGCAGGACTGCAGAGCTGCGGGCCTCGTCGCATTTTGTTCCAGCCTCATCTTGGCACTTTGACCTTTAACTGTCCCACCTTCCCCTGAGTTCTCGAACCCCGGTTCCAACTTTGCCCAAGCTTTCGTCTTTGACTCGCGATCCTAGCCTTACAACTCTTACACCCCAGAATGGCACTGATCAGTTCCCGACCAAGATCAAACTTTACCTGAAATTTTGACTTCACCCCCTCCCCTTCCCCACGAGGTGCTTGCGCAACCATGGTGAGGCCTGCTGGGCCTGCTGCGGACGTTACGCTGCAGAAAATGTCGCGATATCGATCTGTTCGAGAGGCAAAGAGTGTCGACCGCCATGAGAAAGCCCTTTCGCCCCAGCTGGGCGCAACAAGTGACCAGAACCCATCAATCGCAAGAAGCATGTCTCGGTATCGTCGCAATCGCCCTTCCGCAAACAACACCACCACCGCACCGATCAATACTCCAGCCCCTCCTTTGCCAGATCTCGCTTGCGCAAAAGCCCAAAGGGTGTCTCCTTCACCCGACGCCAAGCTGTCCCCGAGCGCACAAGAAGAGCGCGCGCGAGAGAAACACAGACAGGATGCGATGGCGCAGCTAGAGGGTGAGAAGCAATCGTCTGCCGAGATTACATTACGGCCGGTGAAATCCGAGAAGCACGTGCGTGTTAAGAAGGATGTGGGCAAAACAAAGCTCACGCGCTCAGCCCCGACAGCTGCGGATGTAGAGAGTCGTCGAGCCAGCGCACATGCGCCGTCTCATGATAATACGCGCAAGTCTTTCTTCCAGAAAATGGGCCTCACAAAGGCACAAGACTCTGCGCCAAAGTACATTGGAGTTGGTGGAGGGGGTATCGTTCCTGGAATAGATGCACCCATTTCCGCTGTGAATGCTGGAGAACGCCAAGTTCTTGTGCAATATAGCGATGCTTTGCTTAAGCTGTCTGTGACTCCATCAACCCAAGTGCAGGATTTGCTCCTGTCCGCCTCTCAGAAGTTGTCGCGTGACATCGACCCCGAAAAGTTCATCGTCCGGGAATCTTTTCACCAAGTTGGCTTGGAGAGGAATTTGCGAGAATACGAGCGTGTCCGAGACGTCATGAACTCCTGGTCACACGATGCAGACAATAGGCTGATCATCATTCCCCCTTCGAGCATGGACGCCCTTGCCCAACTGGACGCCCATCTCGTGCCCAGCGAGAAGCCTGCTGAGACAAGTGTTTACCTCTACTACTCTCAGAGGCCTGGAAAATGGGACAAGCGGTGGGTGACATTATATCCTAATGGCCAGGTGACTATTGCAAAGAAAGAGTCTTCCAAGGACCCTACTGCCATATGCCACCTCTCCGACTTTGACATATACAAACCTAATGCACGGGCTCTTGCAAAAGAAATCAAGCCTCCCAAGAAGATCTGCATCGCCATTAAAAGTCAACAGAAATCTTCCATGTTTTTGTCGACTGAAAAATTCGTGCACTTCTTCAGTACCAATGACAGCGCGATGGCCGACAAATGGTTCACGGTAACCCAGGCATGGCGGAGTTGGTATCTTGTTAACAAGATGGGTGCAACCGAAAAGAGCGACGCTGGCATCCCACTTCCATTGAGATCTCTCACGAACCGCCAAAATGCAGAGATGGGGCCACGCCCATCGACGGCTAAGGATGTATACGCTCATAAGAAGAGCAGTCGGGACCATGCTCCTCCGCCTTCATCTTTCCCCAAGGACTTGGCCATCGATACCCTTCCGGGAAGACCCTCTGCAGAAATGGATACCACCACCTTCTCTCCAACCGGGTTGCTGGGTAGATCATATTCCCAGCGAAAGCAGGCAATGCATGAGAGGGATGAAAGGGCAAAGCGAGCGAAGGAAGAACCCTTCACAGAGCAGGGTCTGCTTAATGAAAGACCTCTAAACCCGCCCGATTACTCCAACAGCCGCACAAACACCATGACCCGCGCACCGGATGGCCTAAGCCCGTCCTTATCCGTCAGCCAAAAGCCAAAACCTCTCATCGACTTGACACCCATTTTTCAGGAAGCACCACAACACGTCCGCAAAGGCCGCGGGGTAACCGTTGAACCCGGTGTGAAACTTGTCGACGCTGCCACTGGACCTGAATTGGCTGTCAACACAATAGTCATTCCACCCGCGACTTCATGGCGAAGACCATCTGTTGAAGTAGCCCCTCCGTCCCGTAACCGCTCAAATACCGCCCGCAGCGTCCGCCAAGTCGCATCACCACACAAATCCTCCCAACTCAGCTCTGCCGAAGGCAGCCCCATCGTGCCGTCCAACCCCTTCCAACCTAACAGTCTGTTGACCTCTGAAAAGGTCACCAGCCAGCCCAAACTATCCAAAAGGCGCGGTGTAGCAACAGGTGATCGCAACGCTACTCAGCCAATGCTTGACCTGTCGCCAGAAAACCCATTCGCAGAGGGCAGTCTGCTGCGCCAGCTTTAACACTTTCCAATATCCACGACGACACGCTTTTCTATGGGTCTCCGGTGTTCATCTCGGGTTCGGTCAGGTTTCATATGTTCCTGTTCCTTGAAATTTCAAATTAACTAGGCACGCGGGTTGTTCATTCCTTCCTCTGCTCTCCGTGATTAGACCCGTGTGCTTGTGCGTGTGCAATTTCATGTTAAGATACCCATTTGTGGATAATTTACTCGAGTGTTCCTGCAATTTTCTTTCTTTCTAACTTCTTTCTTTCTCCGTAAACGGAGGACCTATGAATATACCTTTCAAGGTAGTCTTACCGGCATCAACCAAACTATGCGGATGAGTTAACCCATCCCGAGGCCTTCTGCCCGTCTTGACAAGTGACTGGATAATGTTCAATGATACCCCATAATGCGGAAACTACTCGGAGCGAGGATATAGAATAGTTGGAGGCCTGTAGCTGCTCATTCCGATTGTGAATAACGTACCTCTTTCTTTTTCCGAATATTTATATCAGACGATAGACTGGCAGCACTTAGATTGAAATTTCCAACCTGATTTCTCACAAAACGATATTCGTTTCACGAGACTTCGAAGAGATGCCCGAAGCGGCGTCTGTAGCTGACTGTGTTCCAAACGTGGTTAAAAGAAATCACCCGTAGATGAGTGTTCAAGCAATTGGAGCGATTCATCTAGTGTGGATTAAATCCGTTGGACCAACAGAGTAATCTAATCATCATAAAATAAATCCATATCCCGTCAGGTAACTTTCCAGCAATTGAAAACAGGTACCAGCAAAACTCCCGCTAAGCAACTAATCAATATACAGCGACTTCAACCCAGTCCATCATAACCACTAAGCATTCAAAGCGTGATATACCTCAAACTTCCCAAACTCCCAGTACGCATCCGAAAAAGCCGAAGGATTCCTCGCCACAAAGTCCGTACACGTTGACGGACAACCATACATCTTATCATAATACTGCGGCTGCGACGCAAGTTCTCCACAAAGATCGATATTGGCAATGATATTCAAGTTCCGGAAATGCGAAGGAATATCGCACTTTGTGCTGGGAAAGTCAGCTAGAGCTGTGCCCCAGGTTGAGGGGTCTGGTGTGTGTGATTTGATATCGACCGGGACAGAGGTGCGAGGGAAGAACCAGGTTCGGATACCGGCGGTGCGCAGTTCCAGGGCATAGATCTATTGGGGGATTAGCTGGTGTTGGTTGAAACATAATAAGCGAAATAGGAAAAGGATTAGACATACCCCTCCGCCATTCTGATTCAAAGTCGCGCCATACGTCTCCGGTTCTCCAACAACAACGCATCCCGAATTCCCATTCGTACTATTATCGCAAGTCTTGAAGATTCGATTGCCCGTCTCCTTCCGCTTCACCTCCATCGTGCATCCGAGCGTGGTATGCAGACTGACCTCATTGCCATGCGAAGCCTCATTGGTCGCTTCGAGAATATCGATCTCGCCATTCGAGGGCCAATTCGCTCCATCTGTCATCCAGAGAGCAGGCCATGTTCCACAGCCGTGCGGTGTGTGAATGATGTCAAAGATGAAAAGACCCATATCATATGCCTTCTTTGATTCGACGCGGACGGAGTTACGACCGCTGAGAGCACTGGGCGTGACCGTGTCGACGCGGAGGATTGCTGAGGTATCGGTTGCGTGGGTTAGGTTGAGGCCTGTGGCTGTTTCTTTGTTGACGTAGACGACGAAGCCGTCTGTTGGGTCTTGTTCGGTGAAGTAGTTGAATTGGTCGAAGAAGGATGGACCTGAGTAGGTGTCCTTTAGTGTGTAGTTTAGAGGGGCGTAGTCTGGGTAGCGGTTTGCTCGGACGACTTCGATGGGGATGACGATGACTCCTATGATCACGATCGTGATGAGGGTGGAGATGAGTGTCCGTCGTAGGGTCCAGTTGAGTGGTTTGTACCAGGGTGGCTTGGCGGGCTTGCGCTCCGGGGACTCGGGTATAGGTATCAGGGTCGAGGGGGCCTTAGGGATATCTGTTGACTGGAGGCGGGGGTATTTCGAAGCTGCACCGCTGTAACGATCGAGGCATACTCGAGGGAGCTTTTGACCATCCATGGTTGGCGTATAGATGCCCCGATGGGTCGAGATCGAGAACGTAAACAAAGGAGTGCGAAAGATGTAGTGAAGGAGTAGACCTTGATGGACTTGTCATAAGCTTCAAACCCAGGAGCTTAAATATGGTATAGTCTTATGTTGATGCCGTCATGGTGGTCCCTGGAATGTGCTCGGAGAGGACTAGCGCCGATCACTTCAGGGCCCGGTGCCGATCAATTGCGAGTATAAACCAAAAACACAACACATTCGAATTGTCCTAGTCAATCACAATTATGCAATTCGCTCATCGAGGATCCCTTGCCACTCCCATCGAAAAAGTTCTTGCCATGTCTACAATCCCATTATCGATTCCCAACACGGCACACGCGACACCCTCCGCAATCGGAAAGGAATGGAATGCCGGCTCCCGCGCACGGGGAAGACCCAAACGTCATTGGCCTACAAGGGTAAATGCTCCAACTAGTGTAAATGATGCATGCAGATTCAACGATAAATCTCCAAGATGTTCATTATATGCAACAAAAGCAACGCTGTCAGCAATGACGTATGCCCCAAACAACGCCGAACCTCTATATAGATACAAAAGATGTGCAGAATATGTATAGATGACTGACACTAACGAGCGGAGCGCATGGTCGATGATCGATGAACCACGTCGCCATTAGTCTGCGGCTGTTGGGTTTGCCAGTCGTAGCCTTCCGTGCCGGTAGTCACACCAGCGTCACGCCCCATTGACATGGACCGGGACTGTGGACGACCCATGGACTCGCCCCCGCTGAGATTCGAGGCACGTCGGCGCATGCGACGGTCAACATCAGCAGCCTCGCGCTTGTTGAGAGCGTCGGAGGGTAACAGGACGGCACGATCCAGTGAGTACGGCAGCCCACGGTGGCGGCCACGGATTTGCATGGCGATGATCACCAGTTTGGACACAACGTTGAATTGGCCGGAGAAAGAGGTATCGACATTAGTGTACCCGAAGGATAGACCCACAGTACCGTAGGCAGAGACAACTTCGAACAGGACGGTAAAGAGCTGGAAACTAGAGTCACTGGTGACCTCCAACCGGTCCCCTTCCGCGATGGCGATGACAAATAGTCCCAAGAACACATACCACAAATCGAAACTCAGCTGGCGTCGCAAGTGAGCTCCGATGTAGCTGGGTGCTGTCTGATCATCCTCGTCATCGGCATTCTCCTCGTCACCGGGACCGTATATACCCAGACTTTTCTCCTCGTACACGTTCGTGCGACGCATGGAGATGGCAATCGGGAAGACGGAAATGTACATCATGATCAAGTATGAGACTTGAATAGCGGGGTGCAAGTCCGACAAACTCACAATTCCGAAACCTGCAGTACGAGTGGATGCGGCCTGGAAAAAGCCGTCGAGGACTCGGATACCGGGTGCAAGGGCAGTGACGGTCGAGTCGTTCAACTGCAGACCAAAGTCAGTACCAAATATGATTCAAAAATGTATCGATGTAAACTCACGTCCAGAATGATGAAAAAAATGACATCAATGCCGTTCAAGGCAACAAGAATGGCAAACAGCCACCAGGTGGCATTTCGAGGGAATAGAAGGGTGAAGCAACGACGTGGGTGATCAAGAAGGAACTTGAGCTCCTCCCAAAGGGCCGTTCCCTGTCGAGCAAATTTCGAGAGAGTCCAAATGACCAAACGAAGCATACACGGGAATGCAGTATTGCCAATAATGATCAAAAACGACATGATCAGCAAAGGAAAGACAGCCTTCTGGAAGGAGTACATCGAGTCCGGTGTCAAGGTAAAGCCCAAATCGTTAAATGCAGAGGCAGAAGTGAAGATACCCCACCAGGGTCGTCCAACTCCATCTGCCTTGACCACATTGCCCCAAGGCTGGTCTTCCGAAACGATCCAAGGGACCAGGCACAAGATGCCAACGAGGTGGAACCCAACATAGTAAGAGATCAGCACGACTGCAAGAGTCTTAAGCGCGCGGTATTCAATACCGCCCAGCTCATCACGCTGCTCCTCGGTCAGATCGACAAAGTTGGAGTTTCGAGCCACCGTCGCGTTCCAGCTGAGATAGGGCTGGGTTGTGTGGTCTCTCTCCTGGGTTAGTGACCGCCAGATTCCCCGGACAGTATTCCGCGTGCCAGCGTTACCCAAGCCCCCAGTCGTCTCGTTTACCTCCTTAGTGTCTCGCACGGTAGGCCTCGTATCCAGGCGGGGGAATGTACTTCCGCGAGTGCGAGTTCGAGGGAATTCGGGCTCATTGATGGTGATGTGCGGCGGCTCAAGGGGTGGGACATGGTCGTTTTCGTCCGAATGCGTAGAGCTGCGTCGGCGATCGGATCGCGGACTTGAAGGCTGAACTGGGCCATGCCTCTCATCCTCGCCATCGTCCAAAGTTTCGGGGACACCACCGCGATCGTATTCGCGAGGACTGGGGATGCGCAGGGCGCCTTTATTCTTCCGCTGATTTTCCAAGAAAGCAATGTGTTGTTCCGGGTTAAGTTGCGTCGGCACTTTCAGGCTGCCCAAGCCGAACCGACGTTCCATCCGATCATCGTCGCTGCTGGATCGGCCGCTCGCATCGTTCCCGGGTGTTTCGGTCTCGGATTGCACGTCATCGACGGACTTCATCGTGGGATTGGGGAGTCGGTCGCCTCGCGCATGACCTGAACCGTCCCGCAGCACGACGATGGGACGACCGCTGACTCCGAGTTCTGCGCGATTGATTTCGTCACTATTCTTACCTCGGCTGGTTGTGTCCATGCGAGAGCGGGTCGTACGCAAGGCGCGCGCATCACGGACCACGTGCTGGAAGCGCTTTTCGAACCAGTATAGACGAATGAAAACCAGTGCGCTGTGGATGAGGATTGGAGTGCAGAACATTGTAATAAAGTAGAGCACAATTTGCTGGTACAGGCGCAGCTCATTCAGGTTGACTGTGTTCAGCCCGCTCTGAGTGGCGGCGCCCGCCGAGAGGAAGAGGGCATCGATGTAGGCGATATCGTTACCGGGATAAACGATGACGGAACCGATTAAGGCCCATGTGATAATATAGGTATAATGGAGGAATATAAAGTTGAGGTGCAGCTGGTTGATCAGCGGGATGCGCTGCTTGAACTTGTTCGCCCGACGGAGGAATGCTGAGCAGCGCCGGAGGAAAGCTGAGTACATGGTATTCGAAGGCCGGCGTCGCCGTTCCCAAGCGGGGGCCACAGTCCGCGGAAGTGTAGTGACCGGTAGGGATTGTTCGAAGAGGGGAAACTTTTCGGTCCTGTCGTCGTCATTTAGCTTCAGGTTGGCCACCAGATCGGGGAAGACATACATGTGTAAGATTGCCGAGACTCGTGCAAGAGAAGCACGGGCAACGCCGCCGTTAGCCGCGTGGCATTGGGCCGCAATGAAGATAGGAAAACGAGGCCATTGCGTTCAAAGAGTGAATAGGAGAAAGTCCAAACAGGGAACTGGAAAAAATAAAGACAAAAAACGAAAGGCAACGAAAAAAGGCGCAAACGGAAATTATCACGGTTGGTAAATTACGGTAAAAACGGCCGAAAACTGCCAAAAACGTGCACTGTCGATCGTTTCCCGCTGTCTGTGGCTGAACTCGGCAATGCGATCGAGAACTGATTTGATTTAATTTGATTTGAGTATTTTATTTCTCTCAGCTTCATGTTTTGTCCATCGCGACCGGGGTCAGCCACACGACTTATATATCTGCCTAGAAGACGAGGGACCTAAAAGGAGCGTGTTATCCACCCCCAAGGTGAAACATTGAAAGCCAAGCTTTTGGCGTGGTCTCGCAGAGTCGAGACTCTTAGCATCCCTGCGATCCACTATCCATGTCTATATCTCAAATTTATTCCGATCCCGACTGCCTCCCACCGTGTCGTCCTGCAGGCGCGGCTAAATCTGTCTTCTGCAACTACTCGGATGAGGCACACACGGTCAAGTGTGCGCCTCCAAAAGGGGAAATTGGGTTTCGTCAGGGGAGAGGTCGGCCCACTTTTCATTCCCCTGTCTAGTCTCGGCCTTTGGCAATGGTGTCTGGGCTCGGGCCCGATCCCGGGATTCCATGTCGGCTCGAATCTCAATCGATCTTGGAAATGCCCTTGCGGTGAGGATCCGCGTTCAAGTCTGATGTGACCCATGAACTGCAAGTGCAGCGCTATCGACAGGGATTCCGACGATAAGCCAATATACGCTCGCTTTATCTACTCGTGCTGCATATCCCTGGGAGGCTTGTCCGGAATTCCCCGAATACGTTCATTCATTGAGTAAATGTCTGGGATCGTAAATCCACGCCACCGCCCTGGCAAAGGAAAAGACGGTCAACAACCAAGGGATGCCCCTGTTCACACCCCGGTCGCTTTGTCAAAGCTCACGAATGTCTGATCTTTCAGTCATCTGGTCCTACGTGGATAGGAAATGGGTGAAGGCAAGTTGTTTATATACATAGGCAGGATTATAATGATCATCTCACTTTTTACCAGGCCCTGTTTACTTGAATATGGCCATATTCATAAAGTGCATTATTCTCTAAGCGACACTAAGCAATGCATACCACTAACGCAGGGTTCTTTGCCTGTTCCACAGCTTCACTAATACAGTAACAGCAGGTGTCCTCCTTTATCACATAGGCGCAGTGGTTCTGAGCAATCGTAATAGTTTTAGCAGCTAGCTGAGCCTGCCAGTTGGAACTTGTCAGCAGGGTCGTTGGTGATTCTGGCCGATTGAGAAATGCCGACCAGTTCTGAAGTGCAACGATATCACTAGGCCGGGAGAAATGCAGATGCTTATCTTTAGCATCTATGTGTCGTCCACATCGTTTTCGCTGATCATCCTGACTCGTCTGGCTTATCTTCTCATGGTCCGCTGTCTCCTTTGGGTGTCGAGGAAGTCTCACGAGCAGTGAGATTTGTAAGGCTCGCAGGATGACCAAGTCGGCGACCCATTCTCCTCGCTTATGTACACTCACCACCGACTCTAGCATTTACATCTCCCAATCTTGTGCACCCTGGAATCCTACATCAAGTGGAATATCGATCCAGTATATGAAAGATGTAAACATGTTCCGCCGAAGTAGTCCACGTAGTGTCCATCCCATGGACCATGGTTGCACCAAGTCCAGGTGTCATTCGTACTCTCTCGGACTCGGGGTTCACTGACGGCCCTGAGTTACTCTTTGTGCGAGCGGATTCGCGGGCCAACAACTTCACGAACCCATTTTTACACCAGCGCAGTTGACAAATTCGAGCTTGTTCCTCGCAAGATCATGGATCACATGCAAGCTTTTGTTTAGCTATATTTTGCGAGTCTGCACTTTTGTTTTAACAAGACCATGGGTTGTTATGCAGGACCCGATATTGTATGGCAGGAAACGAGAGCAAGAATAATCGTTAGTCCAAAAGCTTATTAGAGATACTCATTAGAGAAACTAAGTGGTATTCAGTAGCTAGTCAAGTATCATTAGCTAAGAAGGTTTTTGACTGCGTAAATAAACGGAGCGACTTCATAAGCTGGTGAGTTGTTACGAGGAACGCTTCGCCGATGTCGCACAAAGGCCCGTCACATATATAAAACACAGAACAAAGCATGGCATCCTAGAAACTAATTTTCTTTGATCATCGCGTCACCTTAATCCGGAAATATTTGCTTAGGTGGAATGATTAAGCGGAGCCGACTTGATACGGGTCTATGAATTCGGGGATATCTCATAGCTCGGAGTGATTTTCGTCTTGAGCCATTGGGGTTATGCTAGGGTCCCCATCATCTGTACCCAGGCACTCAAAAATTCTTGTCTCCATACCCATTTTGGCAGTCTTGCTGACTATTCGTGCTGCTAGAAAAACCGGATCATCTTCATCCTCGTCTCCCTCGCCTCGAGACATTGATGACATTCCGCAGAGCGAGATGGAGGAATCGCCTCCCTCACGACGCTGAATAACATCTTGTATTGCCTGCAATAGGCCTGGGTCCCCTGCATTTGTGCCAAGGACACGAAAATAATCCACAGGTCCTGTTTCTATAACAGTTTCCAGCAGATCCTGGACTTCCGTCCAATATTGTGCGGGATTTATAGCACGCAATGCAGCTTCTGCCCCGTGATGAGGGCTTTCAAGTAGACGCTCTGGGATTGGTATACCATAGGGGGGATATAATTCCATGTAATTCCAAGGCTGGCAGCATTGTAGCTGATCACCAGCATAGTGGCTTCAGCTTGGTTTCCCCACTCATCATTATATTCAGACGCAGGGGCGAAGAAAGACACAACATTACTGCGAGGCATTAGCTCTAAACCTGCCAAGCGGCATGCAAGCTGGATTCGGCCTCTGTAGAGATGGTCTGTGTCGAATTCAAAGTCAGGCCATGATAGAAGCACATAGTTGAATTTCAGAGGCGGCTCTATAGGGTCTATAGCAGTAGACTTAATTTTAGATAGCATATAAGCCACTGTATAGACCCAATCATCCGGTTGCTCTTCCTCCGGCGGTACGACCCGACTGTCAAGAATGGGTTGTAGCTTATCAGAGAGAAATCTGTACCACATCCAGGGCGACCACCAATCGTTTAGAACTTTATTCGGTAAGGGCAACTCTATTCTCTTCCTAGATATGGGTTATTACCAAAGCTCTATTGGCATACCGGTATGGGCAAAGGTATCGAACGTACATCGTTGAGTTCTTGCCGTTCCGGACATTCTGGGCATCTTCAGATAGTGTCTTCATGGCCGACCGATATTCTTGGCTGCCATGAATTTGGAGCAGATTGCGGGTTGTGCCATTGTGAAAGTTAATTGCGGCAGCTCTGAATAAGCACAAGAGTTAGCTCCTCTGGGTGAGTACTATCTCCTGGATGCTAGCAGACTTACCCATATGCCATTGTGAGGTCAATGCCGATCCCTAAAGAAATAGTTAGCCTTTTCGAATGGATAAGGAACCAGTGAGTTCTTGATCCAAACACCTACCGGGCGCGGTTTGCATCTCAAGAGGCACATGGCAGCCATCCAGGCCCCAACCTGTACCCCCAAAAAATATCCCGCTAGCTACTATCCATGATAGGAGTAATGGTGAAAAAGGCTTTCTGATAGTCATTCTCTCAAATAACTTTCGATGGAAGGAAGGATAGATTCGTCACTAAGCGCTGGTGAGCTCGTGAGCGAAAACCGAGCGAATCCAGGGCAAAATGCTAGTGGTTGTAAAGGCCAACTTGTCACTTCCCGAGTCCGATCGTTGAGGGGGCGATGCTACAAGACCGAGGTCTAGGCAGGTCTAGTTTCGCCCCCATGGGACCGTGGGTAGTCGCCAAGCAAAATATTGATCGCAAGGAGCTGCGTGACTGGGATGCCAGCGCGCGCGCATGGCTTTGCATCGCGGATAAAGTCAAGAAAAAGCAGCAAAGTCGATGTTTTCTGGCTCTTGATCAATTCGATCTAAAGATGGCGAGCCGCTCCGGGCTATATTACGGCGTGATTGAAGTTTAGAAAGATGTCTTGGAAGGGCTAGAATTACTGGTCAAGGATTCCTCCCTGGAACTGAGAACAGTCAACCTACTTTTCAGGGCTCTCTGCACTTCATCTTTACCCGGATATGGACATTGTCAGCAAAAAGGAGCCGATGGTCCGCCAAAACGATCCTCTCGTCCCAGGGATCTTGAAGATTGGGCTCTCTTGCAGCTTCACTGATGGCGATGCAGGAATTAGATGGTCCCTTCCGCTAGGACACCTCCAATATTATGGCAATCCAATGCAACGGACCGGCCTGGTGAGGTCAGAAGGGTCAAGACTGACTCAGCCTCAGTTTTGCCAAGTGCTTCTAGGCTGCGTCCTTGGTGGTTAGGGTGTGAACCCTCGGCAAATGGACGTAGCTCTCAAGTGGATTTTCAAGCTCGATGAGAACATAAAGAATGCTCTCATCGAGGATGTCGCACCTTCATCTCCAATAGATGTCCACAAATCGTGGCTACCCGTCCTGGCCCAGGCAGCTCAGGAATATCTCTATGCGGACGAATTTGACCGCAGAGTGTTCACCAGACTGATCAAACTCGGGAGCCGTAAGATGGACTTCTTGGGAAGGCTGGAGAAGTGCTTCTTTGGTCTTGGGGAGCCGCAAGCTTTCTTACGACTTCCCACCAATGTTGAAGCGAAGGTTCAGGTTCTTCGTAGTGTTGCGCAGAATTGCCACTTTTCGAGGTCAGATGTTTTCATCCGGTATCGACCATCAGTCGGGGCTGACTTCGAGCTCACGACGGCTTGATCAAATCGGGGGTTGTGGGAAGAATACTATCGAATAAGGCACCGAGCTTACGTGCTGTTGTATGTACTGGCCCGCTTTCTGCAGATTCTCGATGCAAAGAGGACAATGCGGCTCCGACAGAAGAGAATTCTGGCGGAGCTTCTAATTTCACGAGTGAGAAGTCCAGATTCACATTCAGAAGTGTTGCCGTGGCTTCAGCGACACCGCTGACAAGAGAGGCTGAAATACGTCCCACCGACATCCTTATGGGAATGAGAGGTACGTTGATTCTGACGGGAAACATTTCGTTCAACAATAGTTTGAACACAGGTATTGCTAGAGGCCAAAATCACCGCTTGAATCTGGAGGGGGAAATAGCTTGGGGCCTAGGTCTGACACGTCGTGGCGCGATGTGACTAGAATTCCTGTCGCAGCTGAGATCTTCATCGGGCGCTTGAAACGCGCCTACAACACGATTCGCTTCCTATTCAAGAAATTTGGGTACCGAAATGTGTAAATGACATTGCGAATAACTTGATCTTCTGGAAAGTTGGACTTGGCCAACAAAATACTTCTGAGGAAGCCCCCGAAAGAAGTTCTGATAATTGCTAGGTTGGTGATGCGGATCCCTGGCGCTAACTTCTTATTTGGCGCATATGACAACAGAAAGGGTCAGAATCAACCCTTCATCAGCGCACAGTGGGCATATATTCAGAATGTGGCGGATGCAAATTTAGTTGTCAAGAACTTTCTCCAATGAGTATCAGCTGTAGTCCTAGTACGGAGAACGTGCGGAGTTGTTAGATTCTAGATGGGCGTCGACTCCGAATCCACATCTGATAAATGGTTGAGTTTCATGAGATCACAATCTACGGGCAGCTTTCAGATACTATTTTAGATACTCCTGTGGGCTGAAAGGAAGAGCTCCAGGATGGTAGACACACGTTCCCAGGGCAAATCCAAACTCTTCTTCTCTTTAAGGTTAAATTGCATCAGCACTATGAAGCTATAAAGCCCAAGGATTGCTGGCTGATACGAGTCCGACAGCTTATTCACTTCAAATAAGCCTGGCTATTTGTGGATCTATTATTTATCATGAATGTCCCCCTTTGAGAACAAGCATTGTTTCGGCCCAAGACCAGCTTCCCAGAGCACCTTATAATTGGCTGATGGCCTCCCACAGGAGAATAAGCGGCTCCTCCGGATGTTGCCTTCGCAGACACCCAAATTCCGATCAAGAAATTCATCTCATCTCGTTAGAGCGATTAAACTTGTCAATCTACGGATTACTGAAAAGGGCACATCTAGCTACCCTCTGGTCCACGACTGGATGGTACATTACAAAATGTCATCAGCAATCCACTGGATCCGACGACATCGGGTCGCGTCCATCGTGCTGGCCACTATCGCAGCTCTACTACTTCATTTCTTATTGTGGAGGGTCAAACAGGACCAGATCTTCATCGTCCCAACTGTTCCCATCAGCAGCCACCCACTCGGGGCCAGTACCAATTTTACTCCGCCTTTTCACACAAAGGGTCGACAAATTCTAGATGCCCTGGGAACCCCTATTAAGCTGGCTAGTATCAACTGGTATGGGGCAAGTGATAGTGATTTCGTTCCCGGAGGACTGGAGGTGCGGCATCGTGATGAGATCGCGCAGTTGATCCTCGATTTGGGATTCAACAGTGTGCGGCTACCGTACGCCGATGAGATCGTGAACGAGAACGTTGTGGTAGGAGCCGAGGTTATTGCTGGAAATCGAGATTTGTTCGACGGTATGAAGGAAGGGTCGTCGGTTCGGGCGTTGGATGTTTTCCACGCTGTCGTGGAGAGTCTGACCGCGGCTGGGCTGCTCGTCATTGTCAACAATCACATTACGCAAGCAACATGGTGCTGCGGAGCCAACCCCTGCGATGCAAGCTGGTCGAATGAGTGGTTCGGTGGCCAATTACTGTGTCGTGTCCCGCAAACCGAAGAAAACTGGATTCGCAACTGGGAGACGGTGATGCAGCCCTTGGTGCAAAACCCCCATGTAATGGGAGCGGACCTGCGAAATGAAGTCCGCGGGCTCTGGGGGACAATGCACTGGGAAGAATGGGCAATAGCAGCTGAAAAAGCATCCGAGCGATTGCTGGCGATGAACTCGAACTGGCTGATGATTGTGGAAGGGATATCGTCCGCGAACGACTTATCAGGAGTGCGCTCACGGCCCGTGCAACTCAGCGTTCCAGATAGGGTGGTCTATTCAGCACATGTCTATAAATGGTCCGGCTGGGGCAGCCTACGCCCCTATGGAGGACGATCATATGAAGACTTTGCAACGGAGATGTGGACAAACTGGGCTTATCTGGTGGCCGAGGATATGGCGCCTGTGTGGGTGGGTGAATTCGGAACCCCCGATGATCAGTCGGAAGGGGATCAGAACTACTGGCGTCATCTGGTACGGTTTTTGAGTCTGATGGACGTGAGTTGGGGCTACTGGGCGCTGAATCCGCGCAAGGCGACGGGGGAGTGGGAGAGTTATGGGTTGGTGGACGATGCATGGGGGTCGAGCACTCGATCTCATGATCGTCTAGCGGATTTGAAGCGCCTGGGACTGAATGTGGACTGAATTTTGAAGATAGAGGGTTGTTTCACGAGATGATATCCTCAGGGTCAACCACGGTTTCTGTATAGTTGCCATGATTGGTTTCCTCGTGGCGGACGGGTGGAGAGACCGTGCGTGGGTTCACCAATCCGACCCTCGGGATGCGCCAAGCTTTATCTGGGCATCCACTCTTACAGTTCTCAAAGGGCTTCTCTCCCGAGTTCCACCTTCTTTCTCCAGGGTCGTTGTTGCTGCTGCCCATTTGCCTGCGGCGTGTAGCCTGATTCGCCCTTTCTTGAGCTCGTGCAGTTCTCAGGTACACTTGGAGCATGTAGATCAATATATTAGGCATCCCCTCGAGAGGCCCCTTTTTACTCGACCTGTTCCCTGTCCTTGTCCTCTATATTTTTCTGATTTTGTGTGCCTTTCGTGCTCAGATCAGTCAGGATGCTAGTCTGGGTAACTCGCTGTCTGCCGGGCTTTAGTATTATTGGGCTGGTGCTGTTGTTGGTGTGCGCCTTTTCTGATGTTTCAAAGTCTGCGCTATGGAAGAGCTACTTCCCCCCACGAATGACCCCGTACAGGGTGGCTTCTGGGGTGGCATGAATATAGCACAGCAGATATTTGTTGTATACGCTGTCTTGATTCATGTCCATATGTTTGGATTTACCCTACGGCTAGGTTGGTCTATCTTCAGAGCTACCGGCAAAGCCAAGACGGCGTTGGAAAGGCGCATTTGGCATACTCCCATCCCCTCGCCTCGGTCTGAAGGAGGAGACTTTCACGAGCAACCGATCTCGCCGATTTCCATGTCCTCGGTGGACTCGTTGATCTCGAAGAACCTCAAGACAGACGTTACCATCAACGAAGTTGTCGAGGAGGAACTAGTCCACGCTATCATCCTGCCGAACTACTGCGAAGACCTTCACACCCTCGAGACAACCCTCAGAGTCCTAGCAAGCCACCCGCGGGCTCAATCGCAATATGAGATATACCTGGCCATGGAGCAAAAGGAAGCCGATTCCTCGGACAAAGCTGGCCACCTGGTCACCAAGTTCGAAAAGTTCTTCCTCCACATCTGCAGTACCTTCCACCCGTCTGGTATTCATGGCGAGATTGCAGGGAAGAGCTCAAATGTGGCGTTTGCTGCACGCCGTATCGTGGAGATCCACCGCACCGACTTGAATGAGGATAACTGCAACGTCGTTGTCACTGTCATGGATGGTAGGTCTTCGAAAATTCCCCCAAAGGCTAATGTATGCTGACAATGACCAGCCGATACCCATCTCTCTCGTGACTATTTCACCGAAATCCGACGACTGCATTACGCCCACTTCAGCGAAGCGGACCGCTCCCTTTACTGCTGCCCCATCATCTTCGATCGCAACTCCCACGAGAGCCCCGTTTTGGTTCGATGTGCAGATCTCCTTTGGGCCTTCGCGGGATTGTCGACCATGTACCCCGGAACAATGATCTCCATTCCTACCTCGGTATACTCGCTGCCACTATCCCTAGCCGAGAAGGTCGGCGGCTGGGACAGTGACCCGACGGCCATTGGCGAGGACATGCATATGCTGTTAAAGTGTTACTTTGAAACCGCAGGGAACGTCATCTCCCGCGTGATTTACGTCCCCGCCAGCCAGTGCAACGTGTCAAGTGACCGTGGCCACGGCTGGAGAAGATCAATGGACACCCTATTCGCACGGTACCGCCAGGCTCTCCGCCACATGTGGGGAGCTCTGGATTCAGGCTTCGCGGCTCGTCGTTCGCTGGGCTATCTCCGTTTCCACAAACGATGCTCATTGCTGCGGCCGAGACACTTTGCCTTACTGGAACTATTATACGAGGCTCACTTCCTCCCCAGTCACTTGACCATCATCATGCTGTTCTCGGTAATATACACCATCAGGACACCCGCATCGCAGCTACATCCTACCCTTGCATGGGCATTCTCTGCCACGGACATAGTGCGCGGAATGTCATTCATTGGAATGAACATTTGTCTTGCGCTGTATGAGCGGTGGCACACACTCTGCCTCAATGCTCGCATGCGCGATATGCAGGAGGCCAATCTACCCGATACAGGCTGTTCCCAGCGTACCTGGTGGAAACCTCAGTACCTGCTTGATCGCATCGCCTTCCCAATCGCAGGTACCCTCTTTGGTGCCGTTCCAACCGTCCACGCCGTCTTCGCGCACTTCTTCACCGATCGCTTGGTGTATCGGGTTAGCAAGAAGCCGACCTTTACGGACGCAGTGGCGCTGGCATGAAAGAGCTGTCTCTATATTTGGACGATCTGGATTTGAAGCATGATTTACGTGACTTAATGTGTATAGTTCATAGTTGTGTTCTGTATAGACCCCAAGTAATAATGATAGAACTCGGCGCGGGGGAAGGCTGTTCTGATGTTGTGATTCGTGCATTTCACCGCGCCCCACCATCTCCAACAGTTGGAGTTGGGGTAGCAGTAGGAACGGCTCTCTGTGCGACTTCGACCTACACTATATAATTGCCTTTACTTTACTTTTACCCAATTGCTCCTACACTTGCAACATTTAACACAGTAATCCAGTATGACTCCTACCCGTCGCGTCGCCATTATCCAGTGGCACATCAAGGTACAACGCCTCGGACCCCAAGTCTTTATCTATGACGCCCACGCCACTAACCACCTACATATGCAGGACGTCGCTATAGAAGACAACCATGCAGCTGCATGCAAGTATATTCGGGACGCCGCATCACAAGGAGCAGAACTAGCCGTTCTCCCCGAATACCACCTAAGCGGCTTCACCCCGACAGACCCGCGCTGGGCCATTCAAGCCGCCGACTCGGCAAAGTACCTCTCCGCGTACCAAGCGCTCGCCAAAGAGTTGAAAATCTGCCTTGTTCCCGGAACCATCATTGAGAAGGAAGAAAGTGTTAGCGGGGACCTCTTCTGGAACACGGCGTATTTCATTTCGAACGACGGGTCTATTCTCGGCTCTTATCGCAAGAAGAATATTTGGCATCCTGAGCGTCCGACGTTGGCTTCATCTGGTCTCGATGCGCATGTTGCTATCGATACGCCGATTGGGCGTGTGGGAATGCTGATTTGTTGGGATCTTGCGTTCCCTGAGGCCTTTAGGGAGTTGATTGCTGATGGGGCGGATATTGTCATCATTCCGACTTATTGGACGCCTCATGATGCGTCGGTCGAGGCGAGGGCATTTAACTCGGATGTCGAGGCGTTGTTCTTGGACTCGACGCTGACGGCGCGCTGTTTTGAGAATACGTGTGCGGTTATCTTTGCGAATGCTGCGGGGCCGGCAGAGGATTTCCTTGGCTTGTCGCAGGTTACTCTGCCGCTTGTTGGACCTGTTGTGAAGATGGGGAATGAGGAGGGTGTGAGGGTGGTGGATATGGATTTGGGGATTTTGGATGTGGCTGAGAGGAATTACAAGGTGCGGCAGGATTTGAAGAAGGAGGATTGGCATTATGTGTATCGGCACAGTGTTGGCAAATAGATTCAGAAGACCGCAGTCAACTAGTTGAATGGACTGTGGACCAAGGAGTTAGAAGAAATAGATATAATTGAGTAGATCTAAAGCAATTCATAGAGCAGTAACAAATCATTAATAATGAACTCCTCATCAAGGACAATCAAATGCCAGACATCCCGGAATCTTGGAACCGTGGGACTTCAAGACCAACAATTCTAAACCTCGAAAAACATTGAACGGCCCAGGCAAAGTAAAAGCAGAAAGCAAGGCGCAGACAGTTTACGAATATCGAATATAGTCAAGATGGCGTCCGCAAAGTCACAGAATAATGGCCCAACTCCGCCAACGCGAGAAGCTCAATCATACAGTCGAAATATCCCCCTTTCAAAGCTCGATAACAAGGCATCTTGAGTTTACTGCACCTGGCTGACAATCTCACTGGCGCGACCGAGGGACTCCACCATCTGCTGGCACTCCTTTCGTCGGCGGACAGTGTAATCGCTCTCCTTCAGTAGGTCGTCGAGCTCGTTGTTACGGTACATCATCTCCAGCAGCTCACGTTGCATCTCGTCCTTGGTGAATCTGAATCATGTTAGTGTGAGGTTATCAAGATGATCTGGGTCAAACGTACTGCACCAGTGTGTACATAACGGCCTTGGGGACCATGTCGATCATCGTGCGCTTCACGATATTGAAGTAGGAGGTGATAAGGAGCTCTGTTTGGGGTTAGAATGGTACCTTGCTGATCGGACAAGGGTGGACATACTGATAACCTCAACCTCGGTAGACTCCCGCTCGGACAGAGTAGCAGAAGCCTTAAGAGTGGGGGCGGGGCCTCCATAGCAGCCATCTTCTTCTTGTTCTTGGAAGCCCAGAAGCTGCCGAAGAACCCACTGTTGTTTTGAGCCTCGCCGGTGGTGTCCAGAGAGGGGCTCGCGGCGCGGGCAGGCAAAGGCAGAGGCTTGCCGGTCTTGGGGTCGACCTGGGTGGGCTTGGCAGCTTGCTGGCGGTCGTTCACGAGGGCCATAGCCTGTACTTGGTTAGTGTTTCTGGTCTACCATTTCAAGGGCACGGGGCTCTTACGCGTTGTCCGTTAAGGAAGTCGGGGTGACCGGTGTTGATGTACGTGGCCTCCATAGCGATCAGGTCCCTGACCAGCTTGCCGGTAGGATCCATGCACTTCTTAAAGAAGGCAATGGCGACGGTATGGAACTTCTCCTTGAGCATGGGATACCGGCGGAAGAGGTTCTTGTTCAACAACTGGCCGAGGATGCGCACCAGCTCGTCGTAGACAAGCGAGATACACTTTGTGCTAGGCTCCTCCAAACGCTTGATCTGTTGCTTGACAATCAACTCGAAGGCAGTGGTTCCGACGAACAGCGCGGGCGAAGATCCGGACGAGTTGTACAGGATTGTGCGAATGTCAATATCCTTCACAATGTCGAAGGGATCGACGGCTTTGACACCGTTCGCGTAGAGCTCGTGGAAGACAAAACTGATACGAGCACCGCCCGACAGCTCGATGCTGGACAGCTCCTGGTTGTTTCCTTCCAAGACAGTGCGGTATTCATTGCTGAACTCAGTGATGATGTTGAGGATAATGTTTGCGCTGTTGCCGAGCATAGAATCGCCGAGCTGCGACAGCTCCGTGCTGTACTTCTGGAGGGAAGAGGAGATACGGGCCTTGATATCAGGGAGGGTCTGCTTGATGTGCATCATCAAGATCTAAAATAGGATTAGTTGCCTGGTCACGCGACCTCCGCGAATGCAAGACGTACCAAGTTCAGCTTGCGAGCAAGGTATGGGGTACCACAGTACGAGGCCTTGTTCCGATACGCCTTGTGGTTCTCGAAGAAGTTCTTCTCATTCTCCAGGGCATAGGAAATGAGCTTCTTGTTCTCAATGTCACGCTGGCCACGGTTGACAACGGGAACGTAACCCAGACGCAGCGGGATAATCCGACCAGCGAGAATATCCACAACATCGGTACCATCGTCCATCAGATCGACCTTACTCAACACACCGATGGTGCGCTGTCCCTCGGGGTCCACCTCACGCGCCAGCTTCAGACCATCGGAGTTGGCCAAATCCTGGTTGGCCGAAGTCACGGCCAGAATGATAGCATTGGGCTTGCTGATGTACTTGAGCACCATATCCTTGATCTGACGCTCGATATCCTTCGGCTGGTCGCCGACGGGCACCTTGGTGAGACCGGGCAGATCGACAAGGGTCAGGGTAAGGACGTTGGGGGAGTAGATGCGCAGGTTGATCGGGGCAGGTGAAATGCCAGCGTTTTTGCCGACCTTGGTTTCCGTCTCACGCACAATCTCATCGCGGATCTTGTTGAAGTCGAAGAACTTCTCGCCGGGCAAGTGCAAGAACTCGCCGTACTCGTCGACGTTGGACTCGCTGTCCGTTGTGTCCAACATCTTGTCGCCATTCGTTTGCGCGGTGGGGGTCTTGTTGATAAGCTGCAGAATAAGAGGTCTCCGAGTAACAATTCCCGAGCCACGAGGCAAGCTAAAAATGACAGAAAAGGCGGTTAGCAATGGCTGACGACGCCGCCTGGAGGTAACCCCGCCACCCGCACTGTCGCGAAATGCCGGAGACGAGAGCACCTCTGGAATGGAAGGAACGCATACAAATCACGACCGACAATGTTCTCTAGTACTGAACTCTTTCCACTGGACTGCGAACCGACGACAACGATCTGCGGCAAGTCGATGGGGTTGTGCACCTAATGCAAACGGTGTCAGTTTCGGGAAAGAGACCACGGTTGCCGCATGAGAGCAGTTGAAATATACTCACTCCGACTGTAGAGAAGACATCCTGGAGTTTGTTGACCAGCGAGATCAGGCTGGGATCGTTTACGTTTATGCTGCGCACAAGTTAGCTAGGCCGCATCGGAGGGGGGAGGGTGGGACAGGGGGTGGTTGCGCACGAATGGCCAGTTGGGCTTGCCATGGCTGGCGATGTGTAGGATATCTGAGCAAAAGAAGGCTAGAAATCAAAAGAAAGGGCACACGTAGAAAACACCCAAGGGAAGAGGGAGATATCTCAAGGAGAGGCGGAGTGTTTGGTTAAACAGACGCAGGCGGTGACAGTGGGTGGCGGATCCACAATTGGGTCTTTGGGTCTGTCGGCTCGTGGGACTGCGGCACTTACGACTTAGGCATCCACTCATTCTACTTCTACGATCTCTACGATGTCTATACATCTGCCTAATCTCGATCAAAGTCAGAAATTTATTGAACATAACTACAGGGTAATGTGCTTGTCAAAAACCGAATACAAGATGCACGGAGAACGCTTCTCTCTCTCTACTCATCCGACACCGAGGCAAAGCGGTCCGACATGGTTTGCAGGAGCTGCTCGTACTTGGCAGTAACCTCCTCCTCGTTGTCGGGTACCTCAAACTTCATGCTCCGCAGAGACGCCTGCAGGTCGGAGGTTGAGTCACGGACCTTGCTCCACTGCTGGCCCTGAGCCACGGCCTTCTGAGCCTCGTCATGGAAGCCCATGAATGCCTTCATCATGTACTCGGTCTTCCACAGAGGGCAGAACTGATCGTAGTCACTGTAACCGTTCTGCTGCAAGAAGTCGTCCTTGAGCATGGCAGCGACATCCAGAGTAATCTTGTCCGAGTCACCGAGCGCCGCCTTACCGACCAACTGCACGACCTGGTCGAGGTCCTCCGACTTGGACAGCAGCTCACGGATCTGGTCACGCAAGCGAGGGAAGTCCGGGTTGTGCTTTTCGTAGTACTTATCCAGAACGGTAGTGTACTTGCTGTAAGACATCGAGGTGTTGACGGACGGGAAGTGCTTGCGCTGGGCCAGCTTCTTATCGAGACCCCAGAAGACTTGCACGATACCCAGGGTACTGCTAGTGACGGGATCGGAGAAATCACCACCGGGCGGGCTGACGGCACCGACAATGCTGACACTGCCTTTACGCTCGGGGCTACCTAGAGCACTGCTGCAACCGGCACGCTCGTAGAAGGAGGCCAGCTTGGCACCCAGGTAGGCGGGGAAACCCTGGTCAGCAGGCATTTCTCCCAAACGACCGGAAATCTCACGCAGAGCCTCGGCCCAGCGAGAACTCGAGTCAGCCATCATGGCCACGTCCTTGCCCTGATCACGGAAATATTCGGCAATGGTGATACCGGTGTAGATGGAGGCCTCACGGGCGGCCACGGGCATGTTGGAGGTGTTGGCGATCAGGCAGGTACGCTTCATGATGGGCTCCTTGCGGCCCTCGACGGTGATGGAAAGCTATTTGGAGAGAAGCGGTCAGCAAATATACATGGGACTTCACGTCAAACAGAATAAATACCTCGGGGAAATCCATCAACACCTCAGCCATCTCGTTACCACGCTCACCGCAACCGACATAGACGATGATGTCTGAGTTCGAGAATTTGGACACAGACTGGGAAATGACAGTCTTGCCACATCCGAAAGCACCGGGAATACACACGGTTCCACCCTGGACACTGGGGAAGAGAGAATCCAGCACTCTCTGTCCGACAATGAAAGGCGCATCGGCGGAGAGACGGTCGTTGACCGGGCGAGGCACACGGACCGGCCAAGTCTGCATCATTCCGAACTCGCTCTTCTTACCCTCGAACTCGACCTCCAGCAGCTTCTCCTCGACGGTGTAGCTACCGGCAGGGGATATCCGTGTAATGGTACCACGGGCACGCGGGGGCAGGAGGATTTTGTGGTTGTTCACCAGGCTGTTCTCGAACACGGTACCCCAAATGTCACCACCGGTGATGTGGTCGCCGACCTTGAAGCCGGCGGGCTTATACTCCCATTTTCTCTCGCGGTCGAGCGCATTAACGGAGATACCACGGGGAATGTAGATACCCTTCGACTTGTCGGAGATGGCCTTGAGGGGTCGCTGGATACCATCGTAGATCGTCTCCATCAGACCGGGGCCCAGCTCGACAGAGAGGGGCTTGCCCGTCCGTGTAACGGGGTCGCCGACGGTCAAACCGGCTGTTACATCATAATCAATTAGCTTCGGCGGTGATCGATCGGAGCATACGTGGCCCACGAGAGGGAGGGAGTCGTACCGGTCTCTTCGTAAACCTGAATGGTGGCCTTGTCCTGTTCGATACGAATGACTTCACCGACGAGAAGGTCGTGTCCAATATGGCACTGGCAGCCATCAGATCAGCAATGACTCGGAGGGCATTGGGGGTAGCTTCCGGGGGCTTACCAGCTCGTACATGGCACAGCCGATCATGTTTTCGGCCACGACGACGGGGCCGGAAACCGAGAAGATGAGGCCATGAGGCTCCTGGTCCTGGTCCTTGGGGGCCATGGTGGTAGCTTTGGTAGAGGGGTTGGAGGAGATGGAGGTGGGTGAGTCTGGAAGCGGAGACTTTGGAAGCTCACGGTTGACGGGCGGTGGAGAGGTCGGACGCTCGGGCTCTCTGCTAATCAGTTGCAGCAGTGACGGCCTTGCTTTCAATCGGGGCCTTTGCAAGCCTAACATTCGTTTTCCTGGTAATCTATGTACAGTCTATGTACAGGTTGCCCAGGTTTGCTCACGGGGGCCTGGCCGGGGGGTCGTGGAGTTTCCCCCTTATGCCATCCAATCCTCTCACTCGTTCTTCCGAGCGATTAGCGCCCGGGATCGCCAGGTCTCCATTGTCCGCGAGTTTATCTGTCAGCCTCAAAAAGCGGTGATTAGAAATTAGGGAGGTTGGGCGTTAGCATCGTAAGGCGCGATTACATGGTAGTGCTAGCCATGTGGGTGACGTGCCCCTTTATATAGTTGCTGCGTGGCGAACATTGATCACCATGCCATTATTATTCAGTCTCGGATTACCGAGGACTGATTGTTCCAAACGATATATCTTATATGGATTGTTGTGGCTTTACATTGTCTAGCTTCAGGGGCTAGGCGGTACATAGGGCGCCGGTTCTCGATAACACATGCAGCGTATAGATCACACGCCGCTCAGGATTATACCATCACATAAAAGACCTCTACGAGGAATCCGCGATTTGATTTAAACCTATTCCGCGCAGTCATAAGGTGTTCCAGGCATATTCTTGCGATCCTCAATCGTATTCCAAAGTACCGCGGAGTCCTCTCATAGAGAGTCTTAGAAGGATCCGATCTACGTGAAAACCCTCGTTCAATACCTCTATCGCCCCAGATATCTACGAAACCGACTTTGGCGGAGGCACAGTCGACATACTAATAATGTCAGGAGCACAATGATACTCGAAAAGAGATTTTGATCCACGAGTGGCTTGATGATAGTACGACTCCCTTGAATAGCACATTGTAGGACCTCCGGCAAATTGTCGACATGCTTTCCCTGTGCTGTTGCTTCTGTCAGTGTCGAGGCTCCACGTTCGAAGATTGGCCAACGTGAAAAATTTGTGAGCGGAATCATTTCTTTCTTCTTCGTCTATCTCAACTTTGATCAATCCACTCCGTTCCTCCAGTTTATAGACTCATAACGACGCACGCTTACTCTGGAGAATCGCAAGCCTGTAAAACAGGCCTGAAAGGTCTCTACTACCGTCCAAATTCACTCCCTTCCAAACCAAACCTCTTTTCCTCATCGATTCTTGTCCACTTAACTCCGAAAGCTAGGAAAAATCCTGAAGCTGTCGTAGCAACTGCAACAAACTATCAGCGCCCACCTGGTTAGTTACAATCCTGCTACACGGTCGCCCCAGAGAAGGGCCACTTACAAATATCGATGTAATGGCTGTGTTGTAACATTCCAAACCCAGGCGTAACAGTTTGGGAAAATCTTGTTCGGTAGTTTCACGTATATGGGCAGTTCCAGCGGCAGATAACAAAGCTATTTGGGAAACAGTCAGACCGGCATGGTAGGCCAGTTCTTGGCCCAGACTTGAACGAAACACGATACCTCTAAGAACTTGTGTGACTGTGGCTCCCAGGTACTGAAAGAATAAATTGAGAGAGACGGCAACGGGTATGAGATCCGGCTTATCTTTGACCGCTAGCTGGACTATGAGAGAGGACATTTGCTGGGCCATACCAACCCCGAGACCGTGGATGACCTGGAAACCAATCCAATGGCTAGGTGGTGTATCGAAAGTCGAGAACTGAGTATATAAAGCTGCGGCAGTGCATATGAAGACAGGTTCAATGAAGAGCCAAGGATTGTAATAGTTTATTTACCGCGCTGTGTCCTAGTGTCAGCCTCTGATACCTTGATAAGAAAGATCCTAGTGTTAAAAATTTACCCAGGATACCAGCAAACAGTGTTCCCACTATTTGAGAGAGCATAGCAGCTAAAACCTGCGTACCACTTTCCAATGGAGTTGCCCCTTGCACGGCTTGGAACTATTCAGGAAGATAGTAGTTTAAGATGCGAAGAGACCCAAAGTGACAGAAGGAAAATAAGACACTGAAGGTAACTGTTCGTCTGGTGAGTAGGTTCCCCGGTATCATAGCACCATCACCTTGATAGCCGAAACAAAGAGTATGAGTATCACACCTGAGCCCATAAAGAGACCGATGATAGTTGCCGAGTCCCAATCGTTTTTTGTGCCGCCCCATATCATAGCGAGAAGCAGCATAAAAATAGCTGGAATGAATATTCCACATCCGATGAGATCCAGGCTCTTGATCCGCTGGACAGCAGTCTGATTATGCTGTATAGATGGGGGGTTGAAGAAGCAGAGCATATAGAATAACGTCAGAGCACCTGGAGGAAGGTTCACCCAGAAACACCACCTCCACGTTGCCTTCTCTGTTAAAGCGCCACCTATAACAGGTGCTAGAATTAGACCCATAGCAAAGCAACTGCTGCATATGCCTATAAGAAGCGGTTTCGCTTTCTCGGAAGAAACAGTGAGAACAATAACAAACCCACCACTAGCGACACCGGAGGCCCCAACACCTGCGACTGCACGACCCACAATAAATGTGTTACTATTTGGAGCAAAGCCACATATGAGACTGCCGACTAAAAATATGGAAAAGAATATTATGTAGATCCAGCGAAGGGGAAACGTTGCGCTTAGCTTTCCTGCCAGCGGAGTCAATGCGCACGTTGTGAGTGAATAAGCGGCCGGATACTAGGCCAGCTGTGACGTATCCTTGAAGTCGGACGTGATGGATGGAATGACCTAGCCATGGGGTGTCAGATACAGTTGAAACTTTCGGGTAGCAGGAAGGGGGGGTTAGTAGTACTGTTGCCATGACGAAGATATCTAAGGACATCAGGAAGGCACCGAAGCATATACCTATGAAAACGGCATAGAGCTTGAAACCGTGCATCGCCGTCGAGTTCGTCTCTGGCCCTTTACTACTGCTCGCAGGCTAAGGTGGGGTACTAATGCCAGCAGCATCTTCTGACTTGGTAGCTCTCTTGGCCTCATCTGGAGAAGAGCAAGTCATGTTCTAGATCTGCCTGCGTGGGCCACGATTGAAGCAAGTGTGGTAATTGGTATCTGGTAATAGACCAATATGTCGATTGCACACCGAGTCCGTTGGACCGGCGACACAAATGACTCGCGCGAAGTCGCCCGTTCTAAACTTTTGGCCCCCTGTTGAGCAGCACCACATAGAGCAAGATCACGTGGGAAAAACAATATGTGTAGGTTAAGATAGTCCTCATTTCAAAAGGATACGTTGAAAATTTAGGTAACCTGCTGATTCATTCTCACTTGAGTGATAAAAAACAACCTCCAAATACGGACTTTGAGTGACAATGAAGAAACCATTTACTTTTCTGTTTGATAGACTGATTTGCCATGCCCTCTACCCACCGAGGCCGAAATCGACAATATACCAGGCATATCCATGGAATATAGATGGCGAATATTAGTGGGAGTAAGCCATCGTTTTATTTTGAAAGTTGGTCTCATTAAAAGGGAAATATGTTGTTCGGTTGAAAGAAGACAAGTATTCCCGTTCCGCGGGTCTTTACTCTCTATTCGGACTCAAAAATAGGGATTTTATTTGTCATAGTGTAAATTCTTGTTAAAAAATGATTTCGGAAGGGCCACAGCTTACAAAATCGGAGAAAGAAGATATACCAAGCAACCTACGGAGATACTTTGACGATTTACCCCAGCTTCCATCTTCGAAATGATTTAGAAATTTCGACAAAAGACGGCTTCTAGACAAAATACTGGATACATAAGCCGGACCCGTTGTTAAACGGCCTTTTTGACTCTAAAATGGTTCACAACGACTGGGCTACGAAAGGACACCTGAAACGGAAATTTACTCTACAGAGCAGAACATCTTCGAAAATTCTTCCCTTCATGTTAAAGGCCACGTAGTCACGTTCAACTCGAGCTTCTTATGAAGAAAAAATAGAATTATCCGCTAGTAAAGCCATAGAAACTATGAAGATGCACATCTCGTGATAAATGTCTGGGAAATACCGTAGATATCATCTAGGGTATAAGAAATATTACTTGGTAGTCTTTGTGGTTTGGGATAGGATAACAACTAGTCCCTCTGGACTGACAGTATGTTGACGCTTTTACCTCCGAGGTAGTATGGCTTTAGTCACTGCGGCTAGAAATATAGTCGTAGGGTTTCATAGACATAAGTTTTCATAACTTCGAGCTCTTGTAAACTGCGAAAATGGGCGGTGGGAAATGCCTAAAAAGCTCTATCAATGGCAAGCAAGGATATAATGAGCTTTGGCATGAAAATACGATTCTCAAAGCACTAGAAACTGACATAAGTTAGGCATTATTGGTTTAGTAGGTATTGTTTTGACATGAGCAGCTCAATGGATCTGAACAACCCGGACTGAATTCTACGGTCAGCCTGACTCTGGGCGCATTCATAAAAGCGGCGGCGTCTAATAAGAAAGCCCCACCCGACAGAGAAAATATAGTACGTAGCGTGACCGAAGTACACAAATCACCGCTTGTGACAGAAGAACCAACCAATGATACGAACCCAAATCACGCCCTAGAAACATAAATCCATTCATACCGCCAGAATAGTGAATGTGAAAGTGTTGATCCTCTTGGAGTGTAGTTCACATGCAAGCCATCCCAGCCCTTACCCCTCTCGCTTTACCCCGGACCCCGGACCACGGTAGAGGCGAACGGAGGAGCCACCGTGGTCATGACAGCTGCATGTGGGCGAAATTTTCACTATTTATACAACATGTCACACTCTCCATGGCTTCTTGAATCGTGCTTGAAGCCTCCCTAGTCAATACTTTGCATCGCTGACAGGAACCATGGCGTTGAAAAGTCCCAGACAAGGGAACAGCACAGAGTGCCACTACTGGGGCTACTCGTTTCATTGGACTGATCGCCACAGGTCGGCAGATGAGCTTCGTCCCATGGCCTTCACCTATGACAATATTGCCGATGAGTGCGTGCAGATCTTGAACAAAATTCCCACGGATGGTGATTCGGATAGGCCATTCAAGAAGGATCTGTACGGTCTATTGAGAGACCATGTCGACGAGGACCCTAAGCTTCAAGAGCTATGGACTCAGGTCAACACAGTCCCAGAATGGGTCGACTGGGAGCAGATCCAAAGAGGACAAGACATTTTCTTCCGATACGGTCTTCCTATCCTGAACGTGGTATGTTCGTGACACTGCCTTTTCATACCTTGCGGACGCTAACTCAGAAGGATAGCTCAGCTTTGAAAGCTTACTGGGTGGAATGTATGACTATTTCCCAGCCATAGAGTTTTCAGACTAATACTTTCTAGGGGAGCAATCCGGGTTGTTGAAACACTCGCACGAACCGGTGGCTTCGGTGCCAAAGTCGTACGTCGCCGACTTCTCGAAACACTCCAGCATATTCTGCAAGTCAATAGCTCAGCCGAGGGGATGAAACCAGGAGGTGAAGGAAACGTCTCATCAGTACGCGTGCGACTTCTCCACTCATCCGTCCGCCTGAAGATCTTGGAATTGGTGAAACAGAAGCCTGACTACTATGATATCGACAAATACGGGACACCAGTGAATGATTTAGACTGTATCGGGACGATCAACACTTTCTGCAGTTCAGTCGTCTACCTTGGACTACCTCGGCAGGGAATCCATCTCAGTCAGCAAGAGATCGAAGACTATATCGCTCTCTGGCGACTTGTTGCATTCTACATGGGCACACCGACTGAACCTTTCGAAAATAGCACCAAGGCACTGGCTATGATGGAATCCCTTTTGATATCTGAGATCGATCCAACTGAGATCGGAAAAGTTCTCGCGAAGAATATTATTCTCGGTCTTGAGAACACGGCTCCAGCATATGCTTCCAAGGAATTCATGGAGGCATTGACTAGACTTTTGAACGGAGATCAGCTCTCGGATGAACTGGAAATTCCAAGATCGAGTCTCTACTACCGCGTCATGATATGGGGTTATTGTTTCTGGGTTGCGACCGTTTCCTCCATTATTCCCAAGATATACTTCCTAGATCGGCTGATGATCGGGGTAAGTCGTTTGAGGCAACTGCCGCCTTGTATACATTTTACTGACGAGTGAACTAGCTACGCCGCAAATACTTCTACAAGATGATCATGGATGAGAAGATCGGCCTTGGCAAAGAGTCTCGCTTCGAGTTCAAGTACGTGCCCACTTTGACACGTACTACACGTCTCGGAGAGCGGCGCAGCACCAAGTTCGAGAGACCTGGCGTTGAGACCTTAGCCCGGTTGGGACTTCTTGCAGCGTTTACTGGGGTGGTGGCCTTGGGTTTGGGTCTGATATTGGCGGCAGGAGTGCTACCAACCAACCAGTTATTTTATGGCGGTCTGGCTTAGACTGGCGACAAGCGATTAGCGGGTCTTCTTTTGCACACTTTCTTATAGTTCGGCTGTGGTCACCATAACGCCATCTGATAGTCTAGGAATTTAATGATGTATTTTTTTTAACCCTCATGTGGATGATTATCGCGATACGGGTCGATATTATCCTGTGATGAATGCAGGGTTGTTTGTCGCGTTCCTTGGTGCTCTTCAAGCATGTGATTTAATCTAACTCACATGTGGCCTTAGGCCATTGCACGCGGGCTTCGTCTTATTCATGATGCTACAATTAACGATTTTTCTGGCCTGGGCGTCAAGCTCCTCCTGCCGGCGTTGATCGTGGTCAATCTTGGCCAACAGGATCATCTGAGCACTGCACTGAACTATTTCCTATCGTTGGTAAGTGATAAGTTCGAAGATATAAACCTTGGAATACTTGTCATGTTTGTAAGTATCTCGTATGGTCCAGTCTCCATACATCTGCATCCATTAGCCTTGCGCATTTAGTCTCACGCATATTCAACCTACCTCGATGGATAGCCCCAGCATGCGTACTCAACAACACAGCATTTCTCTCCTTGCTGCTCTTACAGTCTTCGATAGCGTGGGGCCCCTCCGACTCATACTTCGCGGTCGAGAAGAAACACCAACTCCCATCGAGCGAGCACAAAGATATTCCTTCGTCTGCGCAGTCGTCAGCAAAGCGATAGATTACGTAGTAGGGCCCAAAATGCGACAAGATGGACCGGGCAGCGACCTTGACCATGAAAAACCCCGAATAACCCCATCAACCAATGACGACGAACTGCTGACCGAAACCACGCCCCTGCTTCCGCAGCGCGCACAGAACGCAAGGCGTGCACTCGGGAGCTGCATCCGCAGCTGTAACCTGTTGGTTTGCTCGTTCTTTCCAGATAGCTTTGAGCAGCATCTGTTGTCACCAGTTGGTGATATATTCGCTGATGTGGTTATTGGTTGTACCTTGCTCGCTGCGCTGATAGGCTTGGTGCCGGCTCTGCACCGGGCATTCTTCGCGCGAGATGACAACCGGGGAAGTCTTCCGTGCATGGCTGACGACCAGTGTTCGAAATTCTAGACATTGATTGACTGCTCTTCAAAATTACAAGCCTGGGTACAGATTGGAAGTCAGGTTTGAACTTACGGTGGCCGATGGTGACTCCAAGAGGATTCTCATCTGGGCTATGGCGACGCTCTTTGTAGTGCGGCTGGTGATCTGGCCAGCTCTCAGTATCTCGATCATGTATGGGCTGTCATGACATATTTTTTCTCCCAGAAGACGATCCGAAGCTTTGGTTTAGCATGATGCTCATGCCGACCGGTCCGCTGGCGTTGGTGATTTTCGGACTGGCGGAATTGGCGCATGCATCAAAGACCGAGAAAATGGCTATTGCAAAGACATCAATAGGTTGAAATGCTGCTCATAATTTACATTTCGAATCTCGTTTAACTTTGACTGGATTGTTTACGCTCTGTCATCATTCATGTTTCACGATGACGGGCGCACTGAAGGCATACGAGGCGGCGCGGGTTAAGTGGTTATGACGTCTACTACTCCGATACGGATTCATACGCAAGGTATTCATTTTCTTGAAGTATCACACTACCCTAGATTAAGGTCAAAAGAAAGAATTGCTTGCACTTAGCCATTTTCAAGGTCATCAACATGATTCATTCAAAATTTGACCTTGTCGTTTCACCTGCGAACGGTTTCAGGTGGCGTGCTTGTAGGTAGCGCGGTTGTAGAGGGACATCATTACTTCTGCATAGAGAGTTCAAGTTAGTTCACTATCCAATCTTCGCACAGATTGCCAGTTTCCTCCCGGGGCAAAAGAAATCACATACTCCGCATCCCTTGCAGGTGCAGCTGCCCTTTTCGCAAGTGCAGCCCTGAGCGCCAGTACAGCCGCAAGTAGATCCGCAGTCACAGGCCATAGTGGATAATATATTTGTATTGTGATGGATTGATGAAGTGAGATATGTCAAGAGTAGTTGGAAAAAGCTCTAACGATGTATCGAGGTTGGACGGTTCTTATAGCTGGGGCGTGGGAGGGGGTAGGACCAGAAGCATCATGATGGCGTCAGCGGGGATGAGCCACTGTAGAATCATGTGTGCAATCCTATAGGGCTTCATTCGGATTTAGTTTCCAAGGTACGATCGGGAATGTCTGAGCCAGGTGTCCGGTTAGCTAGCTATGGTGCAGGGTCCATGTACATGTATAGCGCTTGCGGTGATCACCTAAGGGTGCCACAGGATCACCGAATTCTTTGGGCTAGGGACTATTCAACATAATACGATCAGAGCTCAGTTGAAGCAAAGTGCATCAAACTCACTACAACTTGATTTCTTTACCATCAGCTGACGAGAGAAAGATTTGTCCGGTGACGCCTGACGAGTGGGTTACCGATAAGAGCTCATCTGCTCCCTTCTCCCATTTCCCATCTCCGCCCGCAACCCAACCTCCATATCCCAAAGAGGGGACCTCAAGACCCTTTGAACCCTCTATTTAACATCCCCCTTCGTCTCAGTTCCATCTGGGATCTTAGACTTTGATCTGTCTCTGCCCGGTGACACTTCCCTTTTATCGATAGCTCCATCACGAGCTCTCCCAAACGGCGAGGAACTATCCACCCGCCTGTAGATCTGCTCACCTGGTTCTTTCCAAAGAGCCAGGGGACTGGGCAGATCCCAACTTTCGACCTGGCCAACAATCATCCCTTCCAACCTTTCATCCCCGACCACCCTGATCTTCCTTTCCCCGACCCTATTGCCGCCGAGTCCGGCAATACCGAATCTCCTCCAGAGTACCGATCCGCCCAGCCATCCTCCCGAGCCCAACCCAATCTCCGCCGCCGCCGCCTTCCTTCAAGCAGCCCTGATCCTTCAGTTACGGGGATTAGAGCCACGCCTGAAGACGGCACCGCAGTCGCGTCCCCGAACGATTCTATACCTCCCGGCCGAGCTGACGGTCATTCTTCATCCCACAAGCGTAGGCGCCTGGCAACCATGCGTGCGGATGGACTATCGACAAATGGCTTTCCACAGGCCTCCAACGGCTCGATCCCTACCTCAAGAAAAGCCAGTATGAACGGCCAATCCACTACTGCGTCGAATGGAGAGTCACACACGAACGGTTCTGCCAAGTCTCTGGCAAACATGAGCTACTACGGCCATAGGCGGGAGGAGGTCACGCGCATTATAATGCAGAGTCTGTACGAGATGGGCTACGGCGGCGCGGCTTCTATGCTGAGTGCTGAGAGCGGCTATCAACTAGAGACCGCCGGGGTGGCCACCTTCCGAAGTGCTGTGTTGGGCGGGCGATGGTCGGAGGCTGAAAGGATTTTGATTCAGTCATTCAGGAATGGAGGTGCAAACAATACCCAGAGATCCTCACCGGATGAGAATACACTATTGTTGGCGGAAGATGCGGACAGGAGCAAAATGCTCTTCTACTTGCGGGAACATAAGTTTCTTGAGCTCCTGGAGGCGGGTGATCTAGGCGCGGCACTGATTGTTCTGCGGCAAGAACTCACGCCGTTGAAGTACAATGTTGAACGTCTTCATGCTCTTTCTAGGTGCGTTGACTACAGATGATATCACAATACGATTTGCTAACTTTTACCTCACAGCTTTCTCATGTGCCCCACAGAATTGCTACGTGATCAACCTGGATGGGACGGCCCCCACAGCGTATCGCGAGAACGGCTTCTCGCGAAGCTATCCAGGTCCATATCCCCTTCTGTCATGATTCCTCAGCACCGACTCGCAGTTCTATTAGACAGTGTGAAGCAGAGTCAGATCAACAACTGTCTGTACCACAATACTGCTGATCCGCCTTCGCTTTACTCGGATCACATGTGTGACCGAAATGACTTCCCATTGCAAGTCACCCACGACCTCACTCAACACTCTGACGAAGTCTGGTATTGCGGGTTTTCCCACGATGGCACAAAGCTGGTCACTGCTGGCACGGACAATACCGTGTTTATATACGACACCAGTGACTTTAAAGTGCTTCAGCGGCTAGATGATCATGCTTCGGGAGTTGCATTTGCTAGCTGGAGCCCAGATGACTCGAAACTAATTACCTGCTCACAAGACAAAAAAGCCCGAGTATGGAACGTAGAGGTATGAATTTCCCGACTGCTGAGATTATTTACTGCCGCTGACTCCATCTTCTAGACTGGCCGCTGTCTTCTCACCATTGACCATCATAGCGAACCCGTAACCGCCGCCGCTTGGGCTGCAGACGGTGAATCGTTCGTAACGGCTTCTTTCGACTTAAGCTCGCAACTCTGCCACTGGAGTCTTCGTGGGACATCGCTGCACAAGTGGAAAGGCGGGTTCCGGGTGCAGGATTGTGCTGTCAGCAAGGATGGACGACGACTTGTAGCGGCAGACACTGATTCAAAGATCCACGTGTTCGATTTCCAAACCTACGAGGAAGTCATCTGCTTCCCTGTCGCCAGCAAACCCACATCAGTTGCTATTAGCCGGGACTCAAAACATATGCTCGTGAGCTTGGCAGAAGGAGAGATCCAGCTCCTCGAGATGGACACATCCTTTGTGATTAGGCGTTTCTCAGGTCAGAAGCAGGGCAAGTTTGTTATCCGGAGCACATTTGGCGGGGCAGATGAGAACTTTGTCGTCAGCGGCAGCGAAGGTGAGAACTGCAGATCACGTAGCAGGACACGGTCGTACTAACACATTCCAGACTCCCAGGTCTACATCTGGCATAAGGACAATGGCAAGCACGTGGAGACTCTTGGGGGGCATATCTCGGGTTGTGTCAACTCAATATCATGGAACCCGACGAACGCAACAATGTTTGCTTCAGCAGGCGATGACTGTGCTGTGCGCATGTAAGCATCTTCCATATCCAATTTACTACTCAAAGCGCCACTAACAAAACTCCAGTTGGACCGGCGAAAACAACCGACCTCGCCCGGCAGGCGTCCCAAGTCAACGGCGTGGAGTATCATCCAACGGAATCCCACGAACAAGTGCATTGAGATCAACGTCAACATTCTGATCTCGATCAATAATACAGAATCCGCGCAAGCCAAGCAAGAATGTTTCCATATCCATGCTTCTAATCACAGGCGTCCCCGTCCCAATTTCCGCTGGCGTTTCTTTCAATTTCACGGGCAATTGACGGTTAGGCAATCATACTAGGGGCTTTTAAAGATGATAAACATGTGCTCTTCCACTTGTTCTTTTTGATTTTATTTGTGCAGGCCCATACCCGACTCCGACCATGATCACGATTCCTCCTATCACATACTTATACAGACCTTTCTGGAGTACTTTCAAAGACTGTAGCATCTCAATACATGTGTAAATGCGATAGCATTCCTTCTATATTCTTCTTCCTGTTGCCACGTAGTATGGAGTCTATATATCTCCCGGGACAAAGATTTTGTTTCATACTGCGCTCTCTACTGTATAAGAATACATGGACAAAATACAAGTGAATTAAAATTGATTCCGTCATTCGTAACTCCAAAAGCGTCCGCGTAATTAGAAAACCCAGCAAAAAAAAGTAAATCACAAGTGCACCTTTGACCGGGTAATCATCGTGTCTGGCAATCTTAGACTGGAGGTTGGTCAGTTAAAAAAGAAAATGCCGAAAGAAACTAGTGTATCCTTACTGAAAAGTATTGTTTTCCCTTTCCTCCACGCAGAAGCGGCCCCTCAGTCACCTTGACTGAATTTCATCTTTACATTTGCAGAATTGCCGATGAACGCCAATGTACGGTAAATGTCCCTGAGGGACATATCAAGTCACTTTTGGCTAGTGGAAAAGCATGCAGTAAACAGTTGGAGAATCAAGGTCATGGTATTCATGAAAGAAGATCGGCAACTGGAGTGAAGTTAGTATAAAAGCCTTGAATGAGGTTTGAAGAGCCGACTCACCATTCATGGGCATCTCGTCAATTTGGGTAGAGTAGTATAGCTCGATGTCCCGCAGAATACGGACATCATCGCTGGTAACAAAGTTGATAGCCACACCCTTGCGACCGAAACGACCAGAACGACCGATACGGTGAATGTAGTTCTCACGGTTGGTAGGCAGATCGTAGTTGATCACGAGTGAAACCTGCTGGACATCGATACCACGAGCCCAAACATCGGTGGAGATCAGAACACGAGAGTTACCCTGACGGAAGTCCTGCATAATGCTGTCACGTTCCTTCTGGGGCATCTCGCCGTGCATGCTTGAGACGGTAAAGTTGGCCTCGCGCATCTTGTCGGTCAACCAGTCGACCTTTCGACGGGTGTTGCAGAAGATCACAGCCTGGGTGATAGTCAAGGTGTCGTAGAGATCACAGAGTGTGTCAAACTTCCATTCCTCCTTCTCAACAGCAATGAAGTATTGCTTGATACCCTCCAGAGTCAACTCGTCACGCTTGACCAAGACACGCACGGGGTCTGTCATAAACTTGGTCGTCATATCCAACACGTCGTAAGGAAGGGTGGCCGAAACAACCACAACCTGCGTCGCCGGCGGAAGGTAGCGGTAAACATCGTAGATCTGCTCGCGGAAACCGCGGTTGAGAAGTTCGTCTGCTTCATCGAGGACGAGCATCTTAATGTGACGGGTGCGCAGGTGTCGGCGACGGATCATATCGGCGACACGGCCGGGAGTTCCTGACACGACGTGCTGGCCGTAGTCGAGCTTGCGGATATCTTCGCCGACGTTGGTGCCACCGATGCATGCATGGCATTGGACGTTCATATAGTCGCCGAGAGCCATGACGACGGACTGGATCTGGGTTGCGAGTTCACGGGTAGGGGAAAGAACAAGGGCTATCGTAAAGGAACACTCATTAGCATCGCTTTCTCCACCACTCAGATTTTGGGGTCTATATACCTTGGGTTTCACGCACAGCCGTGTCAATGACCTGCAGGGTACTGATCGAGAATGTAGCGGTTTTACCAGTACCAGACTGGGCTTGCGCAATGGTATCGCGACCTTTGCAGATCTGAACAATCGCACGCGACTGGACAGCTGAGGGAGACTCGTAGCCGTAAGCATAGATGCCGCGGAGGAGGCTCTCCTTCAAGTGCATGTCCTCGAAGGTAGGGGCCACCGTGACCTCCTTGGAGGTGTTGAACTCCATCCGCTCTGTGCAGCTGTTAGCAGGGTGCTGTTTCAGTACGATTGGAGGCGCATACCTTCGGCACGTCTGTCGATTCCGTCCGCCATGGTGAAAGGAGTAAGGATTCAGCTGACAACAGGGAAGGGATCTGAATATTCGATTCAGGTGACGGTTGTCGCTGTCTGTAAGTGAGAGTTCAGATCGACTTTTTGCGATGGAAGTGGCACTAGCACGTGACCACCCGCAAAGCTGCAGCTCGAACCCGCCGCAAATCCAATTCTTCTCAACGGTCAACGCTGTCTCCAGCCAACCTTTTTGTGAACAGGTCGGAAATAAGCCGGGATACGGTCGCACATTCAAGATGTTGCTTGAGGATCAACGATTTATTCACGAAGACCTTGAGAGGTTGGAGCAAGCCGTTGCTGATCGCGTGGCTGAGAAGCCGCGAAATGTAAGTTACTACGCCCTTGGCGTTCATAAGATGTCTCGTTTGCTGACTTTCTCTGGACAGATTCGGGAAGAACTCGCCCGCGACCATGACCTTGCGAAACTCTTGGACCGAATTGAGGAGCAGTCCAAGAGACTCCTTGAGATCTACAAGGATGCGGACGGTCTTCGCGAGAAGGAAGTGCAGTCGATCGCGACAGGAGACCAATTTGAAGAATTCTACAAACAACTTGACGGCATCAAGGATTTCCACAAGCGTTACCCGAACGAACCTGTCGACAACCTTGAGAAAGCATACAAGCGTCGCCAGCCCGGCGAAGGCGAGGTGTACGGCATGGAAATCGACAACATGTTCACCGGCGAGGAAGGATTTGGACGGTATTTGGATTTGACGACTCTTCACGAGGACTACTTGAACTTGCCTGGTGTGAAGCGAGTGAAGTATATCCAGTATCTCGAGATCTTCGACGCTTTCACTCCCCCAAGCATGTCGATCAAGCGGAAAGATAAGCTGTCCGACAAATATTTCCGCTACGTTGGCGCGCTTGCCACCTACCTGGAAAGCTTTATTAAGCGTGTTAAGCCCCTCGAGGACCTGGACAAGTTATTTGGGAGCTTCGATGAGGAATTCGACAAGCAGTGGGAGGCGAAGGAAGTTCTTGGCTGGACAGAAGACAAGGCTGAGAACGGTGCCTCTGGACCCAAGACTGAGGGCACAGGTGAAGGAACATGGTGCCCGGACTGCGAGAAGGAATTCAAGAACGAAAACGTGTATCGGAATCACTTGATGGGCAAGAAGCATATCCGTGCCGCGGAGGCTCGCAAAGCATCAGGCGCATCGGGCGAGAGGCCCACAGGAGCGACAAGCAATATATCATCTTACAGCCTAAAGGAACGCGCCGTTGCTGAACGTGAGCACCGCGTGCGCTGCCTGGCGAAGGCACTTCAGGACAAACGACAAGCCACCAGGACCAACGTGGAGCGAAAACAGGGTATGACGGAACGTGAACGCCAAATGGAACTCGAGGCCTTGATGGCCGAGCCTGAGAGCTTTGGCGAGGGCCAGAATGGAGAACAATCTGACGACGAAGATGATGACGAGAAGATCTATAACCCTTTGAAGCTTCCTATTGCCTGGGACGGCAAGCCCATTCCATACTGGCTCTACAAGCTTCATGGTCTTGGAGTCGAGTATCAGTGTGAGATCTGCGGAAATCATGTCTACATGGGTCGTCGGGCATTCGACAAGCATTTCTCTGAAGCTACGCATATTCACGGACTGAAGTGTTTGGGAATTACAGCAAACACGAACCTCTTCCGCGAGATCACTAGCATCGACCAAGCTATACAGCTATGGGAATCATTGGAATCCGAACGCAAGAAGGAGCGGGATGCCCGCGACAACGTTGTACAGATGGAGGATGCCGAAGGCAATGTCATGCCGGAAAGGATCTATCTCGAGTCAGTAACCCTTCATTTCTATCCCCTATCTAGGACATATGCTAACAACTCACAGTCTTCAAAAGCAGGGCATTCTCTAGTCGCAACGGGGCCTTCCATTTCCTGTCCCTTCTTTCGCTGGTTTTTGGTAGGGATGGCGTGTTGTTATTAAAAGCTCGGAGTTTGGCGAATACCTTCGGAGTGTCTATGTAGATAGACCGATATACCTCGAAGAAAGCGGTTTGCAATGTACATCTTTTTGCACTTCTGTATAATTCGTAGTCACGTGCTTTCGTGTTCCGTGGATGAGGTCCACTCGCGAATTTTCGCGTCCCGCTTCCTCGTTTTGAGTGTTAGGTGTTATTCTATCAAGGGCGAGTTGTCCCTGGTGCAGTCATGCTCCATGGGGTTCAAATTCAGCTTCCTGTGTGATCTTTTGTCCGACCTCGATGACAACCGCGTGGCCAAGGCCGTGGCCGTGAAAAAGAACGGACCAGACATCAGAACTATTGGACAATGGTTTGCTCAGCATGATCGACACATCCATAATACAGACACAGATAAGCTGGCTCTGCTCTCGTGTATGTTTCCCGAGAAACGCCCAGACCGTGTTTACTGGCTCCAGGCCACCTCGCTGGCCAGAGTGACCGCCCGTTGTTTGGGCTTGGGATCCTCCCGCTTGGCAGAGCTAGATCAGTGGCGCAAGTCCGGAGGCCCTGATCTTGGACAATGCGTGGAGAATGTGATGCGCCAGGCTGAGAACGATATTCCTCCGAACCGAGAAGTTACGGTGGAAGAAATTGATCTGGCCTTGGGCATGATTGCATCTCGATGCCGCTTTTCAGGTCCCCAAGTACGCCGACAAAAGACTGCCGTAGATGTGGAAGGTGCTCTGACACCTTTATATCGGCGTCTTAGCAGCCGTGATGCCAAGTGGCTTACTCGTATGATTCTGAAGAACTACCCCCTCGTGCTTCCGCAAAAGTATACTCTAGATCGGTTCCATTTCTTGCTCCCATATCTCCTTCAGTTCCAAGACACATTACAGGGTGCTGTGCAAATACTTTCCTCCGAACCCATCAACAAATTCCCATCTCGTCCAGATCCTCGACTGGCTGCCAGCCTTTGTTCGATTGCTATTGATCATCTACGGCCACGTCCTGGTATAAAAATCGGACGACCGGAATATTACAAAGCTCGCAGTATCAAACACTGTCACCACATGGTAAAGGGCCGCCGTATGAGCATTGAACGAAAATATGATGGCGAGTACTGTCAGATTCACATCGATCTTACGAACAAGCAAACCCCGGTACAAATATTCTCGAAAAGTGGCAAAGACTCCACGGCAGATCGGTCTGGTATCATTCCAACTCTTGAGGAATCCCTTCAAATAGGCACCAACAATTGCAAATTCGCACGTCACTGCATTCTGGAAGGAGAACTGCTAGTATGGAACGAAGAGAAGAAGGCCGTGGCAGACTTTCACAAGCTTCGAAAGTTTCTTCCTCGATCTGGAACATATCTTGGGATTGACAGTGACTCTCCGTACGACCACAGTGGACTCATAACCCCTAACATATGCTGACGTGGATAGGCCCCAACCTTATGAACACTTGATGATTGTCTGCTTCGATATTCTTTTGCTTGACGATGATGTTTGCTTGAGAGAACCTCATCGAAAAAGACGACTGCTACTCCAGGACGTGTTCCAATTAATCCCTGGGCGAGCCGCCATCGCTGAACAAGAGGTCTTGGATTTCAGTAGATCTGACAGTCGAGGTCGACTAGAGATTATGTTTGCCAGTGCAATCTCTAAACGATGGGAGGGTTGTGTGTTGAAGGCTTCCGAAGAGCCATATTTTCCTATGTACTCTACTGGCGTGGAAAAGACATTTGGTAGGTGGATCAAGCTCAAGAAAGACTACATCCCCGGCCTGGGAGACACGGTCGATTTCGCTTTGATTGGCGGGTTTTATGATGCTCATGATGCCGCCGCGCCCTCCAACAAAGTGCGATGGACACACCTTTTGGTTGGATGTCTTCTAAATAAGGAGAACTCTGAGCTTTCTAAGACTGTGCCTCGATTCAAAGTTGTCGATGTGGTCAACCACCATTGCATGCACCGTGATATTCTCCAGTATTTTAATCAAGTGGGAGAGTTCTATGCGTGCGACCCAGAAGAGTTCGAAGGATTTGATGTGGAATACGGACATTCTAGTCTTCCTCGAGCATCCAGCCTATTCAAGAAACCCTTTGTTGTCGAGATGATGGGCAGCGGATTTGAAAAGCCGTCCAATGCCCGTTATTTCACACTGCGGTTTCCTCGCATTCTGAAAGTCCATACCGACAGAACATTTCAAGATGCAGTCTCTCATCGAGAACTCCAACTTCTGGCAGAGAACGCTCGATCTATATCGGAGGATGATCTTTCCCAAGAAAGAGAGGAGTGGTGCAAGCGATTGAAGGTCGGCAACGGACTGAACCAATACATTGCGCAAAGATCACATAGTCCATCTTCAAGAAGCTCCAGCGTTAAATCAGATGCCGATTCACAAGCAACTGAATTATCTGATACTTCTCATGATAAAGACGTCCCCGACTCGCGTCAAGACAGAGAACATTCGCAAAAAGCTCTTCTGAACACTGCCCATGGCTCAATGCACAGTAGTAATGATGTTCCTGCTGTCTATGTTGATGAAATCGCCTTTCCGGAGGAGCCTCGTAGCTCAAAATCCGACGGCGTTCTGGCTGAGAACCAGAACTTGTCATCTCGCCAGGCTCCTAGCCAGACAGGAGCCAACACACTTGTTCAACCACCCATCAAACATGGCAAACGACCGCCGGGCAACATGTGGATGAAAGCTAGGCCGCCTCTCCTATCCGATTCACAAACACCGAGTGTCGTCTCCATTCACCCCGAACAAATCGAAGAACCAGATCCTATAGCTCCATCTTCCAACGAAAACAACAATCCTCGATCCCCGTTGATGACAGTCCCTGTGTACATGTCGGGTGTCGCCTCTAACCTCCCACCCAAACAAGAGTCTCCCGGTCTTCACAAATTCTTCCAGGCCGTAGGCTCTATTGAGGCAAGATCCTCCCTCCAACAATCCAACCCCGAAGCCGTCTCGAACAGCATAGCTTTTGGCATCGTGCTCGTCAATCCCCGTGAAACATCTCTTGGTCAAGAAATCTATCAAACCGCCCAAGCTCTCCAGGGGTTCAGAGCCAGAGAATGCTACCCACCTTTAGGAAGAATCTTCTTTCTGGATTCCCATATTGTGAAACAACTCGTTCAACCTAAAGATCTACGATTTTGCTTACGTGCCACTTGGGTGGATCTTGGAAAAAAGTACTACTATGCTTGTCTTCGTTGGGATTCTGGTCCAGATTCAAGCAGTAAAGAAACCCCTCAATTGGAAACCCACTACAAGAGGTGTAGGCCCGAACTGACGCCTCCTGTTTCCGTAAGTTTTGCCCAAACCGAAATCTTGGCTATGGGGGAGTACGAATCCATCAATCCTCTCCTCTGCTTCGATGATTAGTGCTACTTGATAATAATGAACAATGACTGGGAAGAGAGTACACCCTCCATGCAAGTGTCGTAATTACTAGTAACCGTTTAGAAGATAAACGCCGCGCTATCATGACAATAAGATACAGCAAGCCGAGACTAATCCGCGTCTTCCCTCCTGGCACGGATATCTCTCATCAACGCCTTCGCTTCCTCGACCTCCATTCCATCCTGACACAACTCTCCCGCCAGCTGATCAGCACGCTCCAGGTCCCCATTCCGCAAAGCGGATTGCGCCAACCAGAGACGAGCCTTGGATGTAGTGGCCGTGGGACCCGTGCCATGGTGCCAGGCATCGCTGGCGGTCGAATCATCGTGCTGCATACCAAAGGACGAGGTCCTGGGGCGCGGCTTGCGGCGACGCCGACGAGAAGCTCCATCATCGTCTTCAGAGCCTTCATCGCTGTGAGCTGCGATCTCAGAAGCAGATGAGTAATCGTCATCATCGGAGTTCTCATCGTGTACGGGTGCACCGCCTGATTCTTGCTGGAGGGTCAGCTCCATGTATGCGGCGGCCTCTTCTTCATCATCTAAGCGCTCGTACAGGGTCGCTATCTGGTGCAGGGTTTCCGGATCCAGTATTTTGCGCGTGTTGGAGCCGGGACTTGCGCCTGGCACGCCGTCATCTGCGTAGTAAGAGCCTGCAACAAGGGCGCGCTTCAGAGCTTGGATGCTCTGCTCCACTCGGCCCATCTTCGCGTAGCATGACCCGACGGCTTGCCACATCTTGGGATCGTAAGGCTGGAGAGCCGCAGCGCGTTGGTAGTAGAACAAGGCGTAGAAAGCCATGTCAAGAACCTCGTAGGCTTGGCCGAGACCATACCAGGCTCGGTAGTCCTTGCGATTAACATCGACGGCACGGCGATAGGATTCGATGGCGGTGTGCGTGTTCTTCATTTCGATGTATTCGTGGCCCATCAGTGTCCAGGCGGACAAGAAATTACGATCCAAGGTCAAAGCACGGCGGAAGTACATGACAGCCTTCTCATGCTCGGATTTCAGAGAATAATAGTTGCCCACAACACAGCAGGTTTCGGGCCGGAACTTGTCTGTGGCGGTTGCTACTTGGGCAACGAAGGCCAGCTTTGGCCGTTCGCCCATCACATATAGAATATTGGAGAAGTGATCGAGACTGTCGAGTCGGTGGGGTGATGTAGTTAGGATCTGGGTGAAAATTTGAGATGCCTCGTCGAATTCTGCCATTTGTTAGCCTTGGAAGTGGCAGTGTCATGCAAAGAGGATTACCTTTGTTGTGGTAGTAGAGCAGTGCTCGTTGGGTCTGTAAGAATGCACTGGTGGGGAAAAGAGATTCCAGCTCGTTTAGAGCTTTGTCTGTTGCGTTTGTAGCTTGATATAGTTCCTGGCTGCAATAGACGTGAAAGATTAGGGTCATCACGTTCTCCGGCAGATGAGGCAGGATTTGGTTTAACTATTATCATGTTAGCGGCAAGGCATTTTCAGCATATCAACAGAGAACTAACATCCTCCGTACTTCCAAGCAAATCATTCAACTCTTGCCATGCGCCCCAGTGGAATGGGTTCTGGTGCACACTTCGAATGAGCCATGTTTTAGCTAGTTCCTCATTCCGGCCCTTCAATAGAACGACAGCATAGAGGTACTCCAGCCAGCCCTGGCCTTGCTCTTCCAATCCGTTAGCAGACTGCTCTGCTAACCAACCTTCCAAACCCCGCGCTAGATCTGGCAATTCTCTGTTGACCGCCATTCCGCCATCTGCAGGACCCAACACCATCTCAGTTTCCTCGTCTTTGCGTTTTTCTCCGGCCATGTACTTCGAATATAGAGCAAGGAAAAGCGATTTTTGGCTGATCTTGGGGTACGGGTTTTTCGTGGCATGACCTTTGGATCCTTGGAAGGGAGAGGCTTTGTCCTTGCCTTTCATTGGGTTGGTCCGGGGCTGTTTTGACTTTGAATTGGGCGATGTCATGGAGAAAGGAATGAGGGGGGCTTTGGGAGGTAGGAAAACTGCTGCACAGCGGTCATACTCTCGAGTGTCAAAGTAGGATTTGGCCAAAAGGTACTTGTGTGCTTCTTGGGCTTCGAGAGCGGCCTCTTCGAGGTCCTTTGTGCGCAGGTATGGGTTTATAGCGGGTGCCAAGTCCGTCACATCCATCGGGGATTCTGGATCGGTGTCTTCATGGCCGACTGGTAAGAGTGAATCCAGCATCTCTGCTGCCCTAAACAATGCATGAAAACGTTAGTCTTGTGTCTTGTGATTTGTCAATGACTAGCCCTACCATTTAGCTGATTGATAGAGACAACGCTCCGAGCACTTGATAGCTGCATCTTCAAACCGGTAATTGAGATCCTGGATAGTGGCCTCGGTGAACTCCATGGTGGGCTATCTCACGCGCTGCACGCGCAAATATACCGTTCGTTGAGGAGCCCACGTGCACTGTATGAGACTCGGTATGCGATAAGATCACAGTCCGCAATTTGCCAGCGATATCTGGTTGGTAAGGTAGCAAGCGTGTCGTGGCTCAATCAACACTGGAACTGCGGCCGCAACGAATTCTCGGGGTCGGCGCGTTGGCGGCGCGGACGGCGATCAGTGGACACTTTCAGCCCAATGACGGCAACCAACAAAAAGATATGTGGCAATGAAAGCACGCCCTATCGAACATCGGTCGGAATCCAGCGCATTTCTCAAGAAGCAATGACAAAAAGGACGCGGAGCAACTGCGCATGTCAACACAAACATAGCAAACACGCCAAGTGGACCCTCCGCGGGGAAAATCAATTTATCGATTGTTCGGAGACTATTCGGTCTTTCACATATACCCTTTACCTTTAATTTTTCCAATTGTGTCATTATGGCTTCTACTACCAAGCGTGCCGATTTCGAGGCCATCTTCCCCTCGCTGGCGCAGGATATCCTGGCCCATGCGAAGAAGTACAACCTCCCCGCCAACGCCCTTGAGTGGTTCGAGAAGGTAATTACCCCTCTTCACAGGAACAACACAAACCCCATTCTAGACGTTAATTAACTCTTCGGAACAATAGTCCCTGAACACCAATGTCCCCGGTGGAAAGCTGAACCGCGGCCTCTCGGTCCCCGATACCGCTCTCGCCCTCCTGAAGAAGCCCCTGACCGACGAACAATTCGAGCACCTGAGCATCCTGGGCTGGCTCACCGAGCTCCTCCAGGCCTTCTTCCTCGTCAGCGATGATCTCATGGACAGCTCCATTACTCGCCGCGGTCTGCCCTGCTGGTACCGCAACGAGGGTGTCGGCCTGATCGCCATCAACGACGCCTTCATGCTCGAGGGGGCCATCTACCTCATCCTCAAGCAGCGCTTCCGCTCCCACCCCGCCTACATCGACATCGTCGAGCTCTTCCATGAGGTCACCTGGCAAACCGAGCTGGGTCAGCTCTGTGATCTGATCACCGCCCCTGAGGACAATGTCAACCTGGATAACTTCTCCATGGAGAAGTACATGTTCATTGTCACCTACAAGACTGCCTACTACAGCTTCTACCTGCCCGTTGCTCTGGCCATGCACTACCTGCAGGTCGCCACCGAGGAGAACCTTAAGCAGGCCCACGACATCCTGATCCCTCTCGGTCAGTACTTCCAGATCCAGGACGACTACCTTGACAACTTCGGCGACCCCTCGGTCATCGGCAAGATCGGTACCGACATCCAGGACAACAAGTGCTCGTGGCTGGTCAACCAGGCTATCCAGCGCTGCACCCCCGAGCAGCGCGCGATTCTGGACGCCTCTTACGGTCGCAAGGACAAGGAGGAGGAGCTCAAGGTGAAGAAGGTCTTCGATGAGCTCAAGCTCGAGCAGCTGTACAAGGAGTACGAGGAGAAGGTTGTCGGCGAGCTGCGGGCCAAGATTGCGGCTGTTGACGAGTCCAAGGGTCTCAAGAAGGAGGTGTTCGAGGCCTTCCTCGGCAAGATCTACAAGCGGACCAAGTAGATGAAGTAGGCATGGCGCATTGGGCATTTGGCATTAGCACACTTTAATCTCTTCTTCAAGTTCCTTCACACCATTATAGACCACTGGCCCGAGGTTCAGGTTCAGGTTCAGGTTCAAGTTCAGGTAAATACAAACAGATATACTACTGTGGCTGAGGCTTGGCTTTCGGATAGCTAAATGAAGTATGTGCACGACCAATAGACTCGGACGCTTTGAGCCCGTCCAATCCCCCCAAGCGCAAGGGCCAATGTCTATTTCCGTCGATATCAGGTCTATCAGAGTTTTTTTTCGTTTATCATTCATCGTTTATCAGCTATCAACCGCCACTTTCTGACAGAACGCGTAATCCCCTTGGGATCCCAGCAACCATATGTAGAACAACCTAAGAATCACCAAAGGCCACCAGATCGCCAAGGTGTAAGATCCCGTATACCGTCCACGTCACAACTCGCAAGTCGAGAGCCTAAACGACCCTCTCCGCTTGATGCGAAACAAAAAAGAAAGAAAGAAAGAAAGAAAGAGCGGAACAGACCACCCCGTTCTCCACCCCCTTTTCTGGAACTAGCGGGCCCAATCCTCAGCTCCGGACGCGTGGACTCGTTCCCGACGGCATCCCAGGCCGAAGACGCCGATTTTAATGAACCTCCCGTAGCCATGATTATGATTTCTTCAGTCAACGATGATCGCTCTGGTCGCGCGCATTGTCACGCTCGCGACATTCCTCCTATGCGCCCTCGCGGACCGAGAAGCTCAATGGCGCAGTCAGAGGTTTAAAGGCGGCTACGAGGGTATGTTCCCGGTGCAGCGGTACTCGTCGAAGGGGGTGCAAGGTCCAATTTTGAATTATTGGCAGCGCAGCGAGGCGTGCAGTGATGGGTACGTGATGCTTGCGCCGCGTGGACCGGCGGTTAGGAAGCCTGGGCCCATCATTCTGGATTCCGAGGGCCATTTGGTTTGGTTCAAGGAGTATGATGATTGGGTTACGTTCAATCTTAATGTGTATACTTTTAAAGGGGAGAGATATTTGACTTATTGGACGGGGGATCATGTTGATGGCGAGCATGCGGCTGGGACCGGGTATATGGTGAGTGACTACCGACCTACTTATTGTGCATTGTCAGGCATGATGATGTGTTGGGTCCGTATGTCGTGCTGATTTGTATAGCTCAATTCGCATTACGAAGAAGTCTACAAATTCGACGGTGTAGATGGGTTGGATGTTGATCTTCACGAGTTCCATATTACGCAAGATGATACGGCTGTTTTCATCGCCTATGCCATTACCCCCGCTGATCTGCGCGAGGCAGGAGGCCTCGAGACCGGTTGGATCTGGGATGGTATTTTCGTGGAAGTAGATGTTGAGACGAACGAAGTACTTTTCGAGTGGCGTGCCTCGGAGCATTTCTCTTTCATTGAAGTCGAGCGAGACCGCGAAGGGAATGGTGATAGCGAAGACCAGCCATGGGACCTCTTCCATATCAACAGCGTTGACAAAGACGAAAAGGGCAATTTCCTCGTCTCGTTCAGATATACGAGTTGTCTGACATACATCGATGGTCGAACGGGTGGAATTATTTGGAAACTAGGTGGAAAACACAACTCGTTCATCGATTTATCTGATGGCGCAGCGACGAATATCAGCTGGCAGCATCATGCCCGCTTTCAAGATGACTACTCGACCTCCAACACAAGAGCAATTACCATCTTCGACAATTCATCTCGCGGGCAAGGCGCCCCCGAGAACCCGAGCCGCGGTCTATTCATCGACATTGATGAAACAAAAATGACAGCCTCTGTTCGCCAACAATACTGGAATCCGTTCCCTATCAGCAGCCAATCCCAGGGCTCAGTACAAGTCCTGGACAACGGAAACGTGCTCGTCGGGTATGGCTACAATGCTGCATACACCGAGTTCGCTCCCGACGGCGAAGTCCTCTGCGAAGTACATTTCGGATCGGAAAATTCCTTCAACTCGGGCCAGGTCATGTCGTATCGCGTGTTCAAGCAGGATTGGGTTGGATTGCCGCTTACGAATCCCGACGTGGCACTTTCGGATACACATGCTTCTGTCAGTTGGAATGGGGCTACGGAGGTGAAGACGTGGGTGTTGCAGGGTGCATATTTGCGGACTCAGGCGCGGAGGTCGGGGCATGGGGAGGCGGTTGAGGATTCGGAGCTGGATTTTATTCTGGCTGTGCCGAAGTCTGGATTTGAGACTGTTGTCAATATCCCTGACGGATGTTTGTATACTAAGCTGAGGATTGTGGGGCTGGATAAGATGGGTGCGTATCTTGGTGCGTCGCCTTTGATGGATTGGGAAGATCCGGAGAAGTTGAGTGTGGAAATTATGGTTTATGATGGGGAGGAGGAGCAGGATGGTCTGGGGATGCAAGGGACTCTGCCTCCTTCTTTGATGTTTGGGATGGGATTCCTGACTGCTACGGCGGTTGGGTTAAGTGTGTGGCTTGTGTGGAGGTTTGTTCCGTTCTATGCTTGGAGACGGTCTTTCGCCAAGGCTGGACAGGATCGAAGTACCACTAAGTGGCAGGCTGTGCATTCTGGGGAGGAATTGGATGAATTGGACGATCTAAGCGATTTGGAATCTGGGGAGCGAGCCGACGATCATCTCTTGAAACGGGAAGAGGATGAGTGATTTGGCATTCTATATTGCATTGCATATACGGCGTTGGGTTTGTTGAATCTACACAGTTGCATCTTGGACATATCAAGCAAGTCTTTGCATTCATTCTGCTAAGCAAAGTCGGAGTAAAGAGTGAACCGACATGTTCGACTGTAGAGATTTATAGTCCACAGCTCTAAGCAGTTGCACCGACGGCAAGACGCTTGAAGCCACCGGTGGCAGCGATCTCTTTCTGTAGCTCAGCCATGCGCTTCTGGTCACCAGTGGGATCGGTGGAATCCTCATCCAGAGTCCACGAGAGGTAGCTGTTGACGTAGTTGGGCTCGAAACTAGCATCGAGGATACCAAGACGCTTGCCGTAGTTGGTGACCTTCTCCCAGTCACGCTTGACGTTCTTCAAGTCACGACTGAAGTAAGCGTACGAGCGCTCAAAGATCTTGCGGTTCACGGGGGTTCCCATGATGGGCTTAAAGTCAATGTATTCCTCATAGGTGCCAGCGGGGTCGGCAATGACGGCGTCAGTGGCACGCTTAACAGCATTCATGAACTTCTGGACCTTGTCCTGGTTGGCGGCCAGGAAAGAGTCGTTGGCGATGTAGAGGATCGAGCAGAAGCAGCAGCATCCCAGCTCGGCCAACTGGTCGATGCGGAGCATCTGAACGTCGTCGCGGGGGCGACCCTGCTCGGCGAGCCACTCGGCCAGCTCGACCATCTGCACGTTCTCGAGGCCGATACCGGCGTCAATATCACCACGGATGATGGCCTTGGTCACATTCATGCCGCAGCGGACAGCAGTGTAGTCGTCGGCGGTCATGCCATAGTACTTGGTAAGTTCATCAATCTGGATCTTGCCAAACTCGCCGACATAGCCGATGCGCTTGCCCTTAAGGCTGCGGAAGTCCTCGGTGATACCGCTAGACTTCAGGTAGACGACACCGGTGAAGGGCTCGTCAAGAAGAGAGCCAATTGAGGTAACGGGGAAGTTACGAGCCTTGGCCTTGAGAGGTATTAGACCGATGTTGTCAATAGCGGATTATAGGAACGTACTGCCAGGGTGTGAATCATGGCCTTGAAACCCATGTCAACCTTGCCGCTTCCGATAATCTCGGTCACATCAGAAGGGTCATTGGGCTCGAGGAGGGCAACCTTGAGACCTTCATCCTTGAAGTAGCCACGGGCCTGGGCGAGGTACAGGGGGGCGTGGTAGGGGGTCGCGTGCCTGCGAACCACACTTAGCCTACTTCCAAGCTATCAGGTCTAGTCAGTCATCGCCATACCAGTTGGTCAGGAAGGTGATCTTGTCAGTGGCCATATTGACGGTAGAACAAGTTCAACTGTTTATACTTAAAACCGGTCAGCATCCCAGAGAGAATGGCACCCTCAATTGAGACGAGTCAGAACGAGGGGGCAAAGCAAAGGGGAAACAATCAAAAGTCACGCATGTCCTTTCGCTAGAATTATCTAGATCAAGTTTTGACAGTATAATCTCAGAACAGCCAGACTTCACTCCGAAAAGATTGGTCTGACCGAACACCTGTCATGCGTAGCAGTGACTGTTATACTATGAAAAATACCTTGATCCGCGATGATCATCGTAGCGAGAGTCCTGGGGACCCCCCGCGGGGGGGTCGAGGCTAGGACGTGCGCGGCTCCATAGAGTGCCGTACCGATGGTTGAATCGAAGTTGGAGTGGGAGTAGAATTGAAGTATAACAAAGTAGAGGAGCGGTTGAAGAGGAGAAAGAGGAATGAAAGCAGAGGGGTAGAAATAGCCCGGGGCGGGGCAGAAGCGCAGGGTCCACGGGCTTTGCTCATGATGATTACACCACCGAAAAGCATAAGAAAAGGCTCACCGGCACGATAATGATCTGCATGTTTGGGGTTGGCTCGTAACTCTATTCGAATGGTAACCCACCGTCTTCCGATTCCAACCGGTCTAGGCGCCGAAACACTTCCGAGCTATCCCATGCTCTATACTCCTAGGATGGCTTACTTTCAAACCAAGTCGGAAAACAATTGAATCAAATTCCACAGAACATCATAGGCTCCAAATGCAGGCAACAGATAAGGTACGAGTCGACTTAAGAGAACACATATTACACCATGACGTCAGGCAATGGAGGGGACTACTCCACTCCGGAAGAGAAAAGAGAAAACAAAAACACCAAATGCAGGATAGAGGCCCAAATGGACCAATGAATCAGCTTCAGCCCTCTTTCCAGGCACTAATCCCTACTCCTTCGGACTACTGCCCTCCGCTTGGCTGCCCCCATTGATCGGTACAATGCTGTCGAGTGGGGATTGGGGTCGGTCCGCCGGCTTGCGAGTTCGCAGCGTAAGCGGGTAGAAGTGCTCCTCTGGCTCTTCCTCCTCACTTGGTGGGGGTTAGCTCTGAAAAATCGATGTCGGCTGGGGTGAACTTACGGGAGCTTCCACGCGACGTAGTCCTCGGTGTTCAGACCCTCGTGGCCCTCTTGGAGAGAGGCGAAATCACCGGGAGTCATCATGCCAGAGCGATCCCGGGGAGATCCAGGAACCGACAGAGGCCGGGAGATCTTCTGTTCGGTTCCACCAATGATGTTGAAGTAGTCTTCATTTCCATCGAACGAGGACGGATAGGCTGCAGTTCAGTCTTAGCAATGTGTTTGAAAAAGCAGGAAAGGATGGGAAACATACCTCTGCGAAGGGCCAGCTGGCGGGCCTTCACGTACTCCAGACCCATACGCTTCCAGTCAAGGAGGTCGCTTAGGCGCTCGGTGCGGTTACGCTGGTTGATACGTTGGCGTCTGCTCTTCTCGGTGAAGTTAAACATAAAGTCAGTCAGCTGGTTGACTGAGTCGTCAACTCCCTTGGCGCGACGATCTACAATGTAGATACCGTAGTCGGAAGAGTTCTCGATCAGCTCCTCCATGTAGCAACCGAAACCGGACAAGTTGGTGGTGATACTGGGAACACCCATCACTGTGCACTCGGCCGGTGTATAACCCCACGGCTCGTAGTAGGACGGGAAGACACCCAAGTGGGTTCCACGAACAAAGTCATCGTAATCCAAGGGCAGTACGGGGTTGGAGGAGTTGAGGAACTCGGGGTGGAAGACGACCTTGACGCGATCGGAAGACTTGTTGAAGAGCTCCACGCGGCGGATCTGGTTCAGAATGGGATCCTCGTGGTCGTTGACCATGTTGTGGGTGACGATCGGGGGGAGACCGTGGCGCTTCATGGCGAACAAGCGACGACGGAGTAGCACTCGGTCCTGGCTGGTGATGAGGTCCTTCTCATCGGGCATGTTGTCACCCTCCCTCCACTCCAGACAACGCTCGTACATGCGTTTGCCGATGCCCTGCTCAATGTTCTCAATGGTGTCGCGGAGAGACTTGACCACAGCCTGGCCCTTGAGGGCCTCGACTGTTAGGGAGGAAGTTTGAGCTGGCATGATAATAAAGGCAACGACGGTCATTTTCGAACCGGCCGATTTGAGGCGGTGGTTGAGACGAGCCAGGCCCTCAATAAACATGTCGACACCCTTGTTGCGGAACTCGTACCGACCAGCGGTGAAGAGGTAGAGGGTGTTGTCCAGGTCGAAGTCATTGTGTCCGTAAAAGTGGCCGCGCACAAAGTCATTGATCTTCTCCTTGGCCTGGGAGTGCAAGTTCTGGAACTCGTGCATGGCAGAGAACTTCTTCACGTTCAGACCATTGGGGAGGACACCGTCGGGCTTGCGCTTCAGCAGGTGCTCGCTCTCGAATGCGGTAATGTGTGACACCGTGGTGAAGACATCGCAACTGTGCGCAGCGGCTCGCTCAATGCAGTAACGGTGATAAATACCACGCTTTCCGGCCTCCGCGTCCACGTCGAAGTATTGGAGGTTGTTGTAGAAATCAACCGATCCCGCACAGAGATAACGACCCAGCAGTGTAGCGTGTGTGGTGAAGATGGTTGTCAGGTCCATGTGACGCCTCTTGGTCAAGGGCAGAGCCACACCGGCCAACCACTCGTGGAAGTGGGCGACGACCGCCCGGCGACGTTCATGTGCGATGTACTATATAGCAGTTAATAAGATATTCCAGCACTGTGTCGATTGGCAGATGTAGAGTGAACTTACCTCGCCCAGGAACCATGCCACCAGGTATCCAAAAACGATCGCCTCATTGGTCTCATGGTCGGCAGCCGGCGACGGGATGCCGGAGGTATTCCACAGATCGCCCTTCCACTCGTCCAACCATCGGTAGCCCGTGCCCGTATTAATGAGCAGGACGCGCGGGGCGCCCTCAATCAGCCAACGACCGTACAGGATTTCGACTCCGCGCGACTGCATAGACTGAATGGTCTCGCGCATCGCCGGGTTGGATGGCGTGAGCTCCTCAACCTCCACAGCAGCCGAAGCCTTGTTAAGAGGGCCGATCAGAGTGTAGCGCTCACCATACTCGGCAGTAGTGACCGGAGCTTTGGACTTGAGCACAGAGTAGATGCCACCGACGCGGTTGGCCACCTCGGTGGCTATCTCGAACAGCATATGGTTGCGCACATCGCGCTTGATGGGCTCGGTACCGTTCTCGTCGGCCATAGCTGAAGCTGAAGCTGTAGCTCAGTGAAGTGAAGAAGAAGCCCTGAGTGAGAAGAAACAAAAAGAGGGGGGCAGTGGCAAGCTTGGGGACTTGGACCTTGTAAAACGGGGTTGGCAGCTCCGGACTCGGTCTGTGCGGGGGGGCGGGATCTTGATTTTCCCCATGGAGGCTGGTTATACGTTTTACTAGGACTGTCTCAGGACCTCGGATCAGCAATTGAAGGAAATCCTCTAATAAATTAAATAGAAACTTCTAGGTACATGTATGTCAAGCAACAGTGGCCGTTTTCCCATCCCAAAAGTAAATGATCGGCCAACTTTCGAGTTTTTCTCCCGGGCTTGGCCGAGGCGGCTGTCCGGGTTGGAACACGGTACGACGCTCTGGCTCCGACCCCGTTAGCCTCGTTTATAAATGGAACCCGAATGGGTTCCCGGTCAGACTTTTACCGGTAACACTACACCTTCAAGCTCCTGTTGCTTCCTAGCTCTCACTCCAGGGGGGGGAACCGTACCCCCACGATTTACGTGTGCGGAGAGGGAACTAACCGAATTGGTTGCCCCGGGTTCCCCCAATTTACCAAAAGTTAGTACCTTCTAAGTACCTGGCGCTCTTGCAGGCGTCGATCCGAGTCAATGCCTCCAATCCTAACCCCTGAACCTACGGGCATTCCCTGGTAGCGGCAAAAAAGTAGGGCAGGTAAGAAGGGAAGAGCCAGTCGGCGCACGTTCACGGGAGCTCGATTCTGGGGAAAGCTTTTATGACGTCACCACATGCTCCACCTTCCCGTTGCAAACTTGGTCTTTTCGTTGATGCCGTAACTATCAGGCATTCATTACCAGGAACCACTTGCGAATATTATACTCACGGGACACATAGTTCAACTGAAACTCACTTCCCAACGATATTCATAGATACAAAGAGCTTACTCTTCCTTAATTGCTAGATCCTCGCTTGCCAGAAGCTATTCTTTATTTGATTATCAAATACGATCCTGCAGCATAGCCACCAATCAATGTCCCGTCAATGCCCGATCAATGCTATTCTCACAAAGACACTTCCAAATGGATTGCTCGCAAAAATCAAAAATTCTCAGAATGCCTTGCTCAACGAAGATAAATACCACGACTGGTGCCTAGTGAGTGGAAACCACCTTTTGCTCCTACCATACCGTCACCCGTGGACGCACCCACAGTACCCAAAGAGCCCATCTGGGCAACATCGCCATACCTACCCAGATATTTTAGCTAGGTAGGTATCATCTTAGTCCCATCTCGCCCGGTCACCAAGTGACATTACTTACAATATGCCGGCTCTGTATTTCATCCGGCGACTGTGCTGGGCATCGCAGACGCTTTTTCAAAAGCTATGGGATAGAAGAAAGTCCTCTGACCCGATGACTGCTTTCAGGATGCCTTCATGTCCATGTCCTGAAACTAAACCCTGTTCTCGTTCACCTTCTTCACCATCCTTCCCCTGCTCCTGGGGAGAAACGCCCGCGACGGACGAATTCCTCAGTGGCACAGTGATAGGCTCACCAATTCCACTTGGTGACCTGCGTGGTCTTACAGCGGTCAATCCCGATCCTATCATTTCTTCGAATAGTGGTCTTAATGGCCGTGTTTTCATAATGTTACCAGAAGTGGATGGTTTTGGTAGCAAGCATTTGAGCCAACCAACTCGTGATCTGCACGTAGGCGGGCTAAGAGTGCTCAATTCTGATCCAAGGACGGGTCTCAGATATGGTTCCTCCTCCACATCCTCCTCGTTCTCTTCTTCCACATTTCATCGGCCTTCTGCGTCTTCTGTATCTTCATTCTGCCCAGTGGCTCCGCCGAATACGGACACTGTCAGTAGTTCAAAATCTTCCCAGGAACATACCGTGATTCCGTCCGCTCGGAGTCTAGTGTCATTGATGCCATCAAATGATCAACGTCTTGTGCCTAGCGAGAGCAAATGCTTGTACATTGACGCTGAAAGACCGAACAACATGCCAAACGGCTCCGAAAGTGTGTCTAGCAACTTGCCTCCAGTTTGTTACCTCCGTCCGTTGTTTGCATCTCCAAGAACCTCAATCGGTGTGAGACGTCAAACGTCAGAAATGTTTCTGACTGACGTTCACAGACCAAACTCACAACAGGTATCCCAGCTAACTGACAACTCGAAATTTGGTCGCGGTGGACTCGAGGTCACGGGAACGAGCGTCTCCAGAGGCCGCCTTCAGACCATAGCTTCATTGGAGCAATTGGTCGATCAAGAGGGAAGAGACTGGGCAATTGGCAGTCTCTCTCAGCCTAATATGGTGTCTAACAGCTTCCCAAACCACCGTTCGACCTGGCCCTGGCGGGAGTCTCCCGGAGCCGGCAGCTTTCCCCTGCCATCAGGTCTTGTCGCCGGCTTAAATGCGAGCCCAGTTGCTCAGGATCGTAGAATATCGCGTAATTTCTTTCACTAACTTGTACCCATTTCAAATTTGTACTGATTATCCTCTAGATGCTTTTCGTTTTAATTTTTCGGTGTTCGCTTCTAGTTTCCGAACTATGTAGTGCCGGCGCACCACCCATTCAGTTTAGCGCAGAATGCGATCTACTGTTTTTTTTTCTAGAATGTACTTGAATGATTCCATGTATCTCATTTAATTTCCATCTGGACCCTCTCCGGCGTCATTGTCAGGGATCAACCAAAGTTCGATGCCGAATCGTTGATGAAGTCATTGTGGGGGGATGACTTCATCATGCTGTCACGCATCCGGTCAAGCTCTTGACCAAGTCTCTGATCGAGGTATTAAAGTCGTCCATATGCGCCAAACTTTGCTATTCATCAATTAAATCGACAACTCCAATTTCAAAAGGTATGGCATTTGTCTCTTCAGTCGCTCTTAGGTGTTCCAGGATTCAATCGTTAACAACCGACCTAGATCAGTTCTATCATAATCTTCTCTATCTCCCACCCCCCAATCACACCAAAACACATTCAAAATGGTTCGCGGTGCCGAGTACGACAACGGAGTCCCCCAGAGTGATAACGCCATCGACAACGGCCCCAACAAGGCCCACGGTGTCGGCCAAGACGTATGTCTCCCAATTCAATTCCACTTGAAACACTTCACAGTTAACACCGACACAGAACGGCCCCCTCGACCGCAAGGTCGCCCCCATGCCCGCCGAGACCGGTTCCGATCGCGAAGTTTACAGTGGCACCGGCGCCCCCGGCCACAGCAGTGGTAAGGGCGGCCACGAGCCCAAGTCCCTTGGCGAGCAGAAGGGCCACGGTGCTCAGGCTGGACAATAATTATGGTGCTGGCACCCTTAACATGAATGAATTCCAGTGGCACGAGCCACGCACTACGATTCCTGTACACTGTTATGTTGTCAGTGGAGTTTTTTTTGGATTCGGCCTTGCGGCTTGGTGGCATAGCTGCATGAATAAATGATTTACTAAGTTAAAATCCTCGGAGACATCGTAGCATTATTGTAACAGACTGCACATTGGAGTAGTAGTCCTCCTTGTCTGCACCAATCGACATCTACGAAACTTGATCGACACTTTGAGTGAAGGCGCCGACGATACAGGCAATTCCAGTATTGATTGAGCAAAGAATCTCGACAAATATTTTTTTTATGCGAGTCACTTGAAAATAGGGTTCTTGATCCTTCAAAGATTCTTGCGTACATTCAATATTGACACGGTATCAGTATCCACATCATGCTGCATGTGCTTCTAAAATTCATATTGACCGATTCGATTCCTATGGCCTCAAGAAGCATTACGCGTGAGCTAGACAAACCGATCTAGATAAATCCGGACTGGTTGATATTCCTCAAGTTCCTTCTTGACGCGGGTGCTTTCCCATTTCTATTTAGGAATGCGGGGTGGCCCTATTGCTACATCTATACAGCGAAGTCCGAAGATCCAGAGATATGCCTAGATTACCTCGGCTACCAGTAACCACTCAGTTTAGGAGTGATCTAAAGACCATATCTTTGTGTCCAACAGGAAACAGAGTTCTAATCTACTTCCAAGGGTACATAATAGCACAACTGCATATCAAACAGTTAGAGAATTGAAACAGATATCTTTATTGAATTTCCACAAGAAACGCCAGGCTGACTCTATAAATGCAACTCATCAGGCAGGCTATGTGTTGACAATGATTGAACAAGCAAATGGCATGAGCCCTTCTGTACAGCTTCTAAAATTCGTGCAAGGGCTGCGACAACGTAAAGGAATTATATGTATAGTAGAGAAGTACCCATTAGGGGCGATGGGAATCAAGATTCGGCTGAATCGGACCCATTGCCTTGGGCTTGATTCTCGCTCGCGGATTCGGCTTCTGGCTCGGGTGTAGGGGCAGGGGCAGGGGCAGGGGCCGCAGTGGTCTTGGCTTGGACAAGCTCAAGGAGCCTATCACCGACCTCAACAGCACCGTTGATTTTGCCCAGCTTTGTGCGGAAATGTTCGATATCGGCTTGCATTCTGAATATAGTTAGTATATCGTCAGGCAAGGTCAAGGGTAAGACAAACCTCTTCTTGCCAGCCTCTGATTCAACTCGAGCTTCTTTAAAGGCTCTCATCCATTGGTCTCGGTAGCTGTTGAAAACAGGGCCCATGATCATCTCAACGGTCATGTCGGGAAGATGTTTACTCAAAACCCGGTGTAGAGTACCCGTTTCCTTGGCTAAGGTCTCCATGTAGGGATGAACACCTGATGAGTTATCCGCATCCCACTCAACCTTTTTCATAGCATTTACATGAACATTTGAGCGCGAACTCATGATATCCACAAGCTTCTCGTGGATACCGGATTGGTGTTCCTGGCACAGCCGCTTTACCTTGTCAAATTCGGCCATAGCTTGGTTCCCTTGTCCCTGGCGTCTGACAAATTCACGTACATACGGTACCATGGCAATGACAAAGCTCAATGCTTGCGACGAGAGGGCAAGGTGCTTAGTCGTAATGTTCTTTAGGCCTGCACTGCGCGTAGCGCCAGCGCCAAGAATCAATTGTGAGGATCGCGAGTTGAACAGTTTCAAAATCTCCAGCAATTGTGGGGCAATGTCCTGGATCATGCTGGGGATATTGGCCATGAGGAATTCGAATTCCTCAATACTGCGCATAATCTCCACAGCTGAGTCCGGTAGGATGTATTTCTGCTCGTCGATAACGGCAGTGCGTACCTTCTCCTTGCCCGACCCGTTGACGTCGCTGCTTGCTTCAGGGGATTTGGGTTTCTCATCATCGGCATTCGGGACCCAGATCTTTGAAACTCCAACCCAGCACTCAATGTCATTGGTGCTGGCTTCAAGGATACGCGTGAGGATTGTGACTTCTGAATCTCCGAAGTCACGCGCATCCCACCGATCTGCGTCCATGACTTTGACAATACGATGCCGCTGGCCTTCGCCAAAACGAGAAATGAATTCCTTGATCTGATTACTCACGATCGTCTTCAGTGCAGTGCCACCTCGGCCGGATATTGCTTCACACTCATCAGCAAAAAGACGGTTCAGAGTGAAGTACCTCAGGAACTCTTCTTTCGAAAGTTGAGATGTCTGCTCCGATCGAACCTTGAGAACCTTTGTAATCTGAGACTGGGCAATGTCTACCGCTTGGCCGAGTAAACTCGACATGTCCAGGACTTGTAAGATCTCGTCCTGCGCCATAGCAGATGCAGAAGATCCATCATCTCCATTTCCAGGGCGAGGGCTTAGCGGGGATTTGACAGCGGCGGTTGGAGAGCTTCCAAGGCCACTGGCCACATCCAGAAGAATTTTGACCTGCACACTCAAGCGACGCAAGCATTCACTAATGCCTGTGTATACCGCAACGAGCATTGCGTAGGCATCTTCTGGTTCAAGTGCACGAAGATTGCGCGCAAGGCTTGACGATTTCTCCTGTTGGCTTCGCTGCCGGTCGTTGTGTGTCGATACCGATATCATGGACTCATTGTCGTCATCACTGGAGCTGGGCAAGTGTTTGCGAATCAAGCCCTTCATCTCTCGTAGAACGGCTGTTTTGAACGAAGTTGCCGCAGGGGTGGTGTAACGCGCTCGTGCAAGACCATTAAGCTGGGTTTGCAATCTAGACCGAAGCTCACTATCAAAGTTCATATATGCCGGGGAAATCATAGACGGGGGGCGTTGGCCACCACGTTGTCGCTGAAAAGAGGCACCCCAACGCTGCAAAGTCACGTTGGAGGACACATTTTGGACATGCTGGCGTAAGTCTCCTAGAAGATCATTCAAAAAACGGCTCTCGTAGCCCATTCCAATGCGTTGTCGCAACACTGCAAGGTCATCGGAAGCTCCTTCAAGAGCTTGGAGACCTCGAATGTCAATGGCTCGCCTTGGGAAATCTTTCTCGTCCTCCTCGGCGGGCCGGTCAGAAGTTTTCTCGCCAGCCATCAATTTATCAACCTCCTCGAGCTCATCAGCAGCGACTTCGATATCTCCTTGTTCGACAAGCTCTTCACATCTTGAGACGGACTCAACAACATCACGAAGCTGAGCCACTGCAGCTGCCAGCATTCGCACGTTCTCCCTTCGCCGTCTCAAATTCACAATCTTTAGGCCACCCAGAGCCATCTCTTTATCAATTTTTTGCAGATCTCGCCGCAAGACTTGGATGCGGTTTACGGAATCAGCAGCTTCCGCATGCAATTCCCGTAGCGAACCTAGTGCCGTGAAGAATGATTTAGAAGCAGTTGAGATGGACGAAATTAAGTGAATTTCCACCGTATCCATATACCACGAAAGCTTTTCTTGGAGAATGGCATTAGTAGCCAATGCTTTTCTTCCGGTATGCACAGGCTCTGGCGCGCCACCGTTCAAGTGCTTATCGTCTTTTGTCGGCGGTCTTGGCGGTCTAACCACCTCTGATTTCTCTGAGATAACATCGAAAGTGCGGGGGTTCTCTAGATGAAAATCCTCATCAAAATAAACAGTTGGGATAGTGGACAAAGGCGTCACGGCAGGCCCGCGACCCCGTGAGCCAGCAGAGAAACGTCTTCCGCGGGGGTCATAAGGTGAGGTGGGTCGTGAACTGCTCGTAGACATAAATGAAGATCTTCGTTCAGGACTCCAAGGCATCAACGATTCCTTATCATCAAGTTTAGGGGATTTCATTCCCTGCGCCTGCTGGTTTTCTTCTCCAGCATTTTCCTTCGATTGTTGAAAAACATCATACAGACCGCCGACTTGTGACAGGTATGGTTGGAACACCTTCGGATCCACATGCGTGATGTTGGTGAGGGTAACTGGGGCGATATCGCGGGATGAGGGTGGTTTGTATCCGCTGGCGGTTGCTGCAGTATGAGGTGTTAAGCCGGTGCGGACTATTGGTGGTTGGAGCAAGGTGGAGATAGCTATACAGAGCGTTAGCATATCAGCGATCAAGATGCTCCGGTCTTAGTGTTCAACGAACCATTCTGGTCCGACTCAGCTATTGAGCCATGGTGAAGAGATGTGTCCAAGGCTCCTCCAATGCTCACGATCGAGCTCGCTGTAGATCCCCTCCTCAGGGGGTACCGTTGAGGGGGTACCCGCGGAGACTCCAACTGGGGCGAAGAGTAAAAGGAGATAGACGGAGTAGACGCGCCTGAAGCCAGGCTGTCAATTGACTTGCGCGGACTGGAAGGCGCCATATTGTGCAGGTCCGCGAGGCGGATGCGACAGCCCGGGGTCGATCGTTGGGGAAGCTCGCAGTTATCTGATCATGACAGATGTGTGTCTGAAGGGCGGAGCTGTCAGCCCGGTACAGCAACAACCACACTCAACGCTCGAGCTCGTCAGACTGTATAAGTTCGGTCCGAGATCGTCCAAAGGCCTGGCCTAAGCGTAGTTGTCGAGGTGGCTTTTGTTTCCTGGATGCCATGCGCATGTCCATCCACCCAATCGGGAAATACGCTAACCGAAGCGGGATATGCCGGATCAAGTATTTATCCGGTAAGCTGTACCTTGAGGCCTGAGGCATAACCACTTAACGCGTCAAACTAACCTCGACGCGACGCGTAGCGTATTTCCGCCCAATGCCAAAAGTTCTCTCCCTTCCTGTCCTCCACCCTCAACCACCGCACCCATGGATAGACGCACCCCCTATACCCTGAGCGTTCTTGCGCCCAGCACCAACGGTGTTGATGAGTCTCGTACAACTATTCAAAATCGTCTGCGGGACTTTGTGCTTGAATTTCAGCTGGATAATGCATTCATCTACCGGTACGGCATCCCACATTCATGTTCCCCAGAGGCTTGTTCCGAAAGGCTGACCTGATGCAACAGCGATCAATTACGACAAAATGTGCTTGTGAAGCAATTCTACTGCGACATTGACATTGCCCATCTAATTTCGTATAATGAGGAGCTGGCTCACAAACTCACCACTGAGCCCGCCGATATTATTCCTCTGGTAGGCACAGGCTCCATCTCTCGTCAAAGTTCCCCGCTAACCCGAGTAGTTTGAGTTGGCGCTCCAAGACTGCACTCGCCGAATCGTCTACCCCGGTCAGCGGGATATCACTCTTCCATCTCACCAACTTCTTCTGCACTCCTCGGCTTCGCACATTTCCATCCGTGACCTGAATGCCACCAACATCTCCCATCTCGTCCGGATCCCCGGTATCGTCATCGGTGCTTCGACTATCTCGTCCAAGTCGACTCTTATCCACATTCGTTGCAAGAACTGTGATCACAGTGAAAATATCCATGTCGAAGGTGGCTTCTCTGGCCTGTCGCTCCCGCGGCGATGCGGTCGCTCTAAGGAGCCCGGTGACCAGCCCGGTGAACAGTGCCCTCTCGACCCATATGTGGTTCATCACGAGAAATGCCAGTTCGTTGACCAGCAGGTTTTGAAGCTTCAGGAGGCCCCTGATCAGGTGCCGGTAGGTGAACTTCCTCGACACGTTCTAATTTCTGCGGATCGCTATCTGGCCAACCGGGTTGTTCCTGGTTCCCGGTGCACTGTTATGGGTATCTTTTCCATATACCAGGCCAAGGGTGGCAAGAAGGAGGCTGCGGTGGCTATTCGCAACCCTTACTTGCGGGCAGTGGGTCTCAACACCGACATGGATCAGACCGCCAAGGGTAACTCCGTTTTCTCTGAAGAGGAGGAGCAGGAGTTCTTGGAGCTCAGTCGTCGCCCTGACCTGTACGATGCATTGGCCCGAAGCATTGCTCCCTCTATTTACGGCAATGTAGACATGAAGAAGGCTATTGTCTGTCTTTTGATGGGAGGCTCGAAAAAAATCCTCCCCGATGGAATGAAACTTCGTGGTGACATTAACGTGCTCATGCTGGGTGATCCTGGTACTGCCAAGTCGCAATTGCTGAAGTTCGTTGAGAAGGCTGCTCCTATCGCCATTTACACCTCCGGAAAGGGTTCTTCAGCAGCTGGTCTGACAGCGTCTGTGCAGCGTGACCACAACACTCGCGAGTTCTATCTGGAAGGTGGTGCAATGGTGCTTGCTGATGGTGGTGTTGTCTGTATTGATGAGTTCGATAAGATGCGAGACGAGGACCGAGTGGCTATCCACGAAGCCATGGAGCAGCAGACTATCTCCATTGCCAAGGCCGGTATCACTACAATTCTGAACTCCCGGACATCTGTTCTGGCCGCAGCCAACCCGATCTTTGGTCGTTACGATGATTTGAAGACCCCGGGCGAGAACATTGATTTCCAGACTACCATTTTGTCCCGTTTTGATATGATCTTCATCGTTCGTGACGACCACGAGCGCGGCCGTGACGAGAGAATTGCGCGTCACGTCATGGGCGTTCACATGGGTGGTCGTGGTATGGAGGAGCAGGTTGAAGCTGAGGTCCCGGTTGACCAGATGAAGCGCTACATCAGCTACTGCCGCAGGTAAGTTCCATAATATTGGCGATTATTTCAGGGATACTAACATCTATCGATAGCCGTTGCGCGCCTCGTCTCTCCCCCGAAGCTGCCGAAAAGCTCTCTTCTCACTTCGTTTCTATTCGCAAGCAAGTGCATCGAACCGAGCTCGAGTCTAACACCCGTTCATCCATTCCCATCACAGTTCGTCAACTGGAGGCTATTGTCCGTATCACTGAGTCTCTCGCCAAGCTGCAGCTCTCTCCCATCGCCACTGAAGTTCATGTCGATGAGGCCATCCGTCTGTTCCTGGCTTCCACCATGGACGCCGTCACCCAAGGTGAAGGCCAAGGTAGCAAGGAGCTCATGGAGGAGGCACACAAGATCGAAGAAGAGCTCAAGCGTCGTCTGCCCCTCGGCTGGAGCACCAGCCTCGCGACATTGCGTCGCGAGTTCGTCGATGGCAAGGGCTACAGCGAGCAAGCACTCAACCGGTCCCTGGTGGTCTTGCAACGCAGAGAGACTGTCCAAATTCGCTCCGGTGGTTCGCAGATCTACCGTAACGCTCCTTGATTTGTCTATGATGATTCTGAAATGTTAATTTTGATACACTATGTGCTATGGGAGACGGTTTCGGATTGTGCATCGACTCTCAAGGCGAAGGAGTTCATGGGGTGTTTGGCGTGTATGATATCAGGTTTGGCGGTACATTTTTTACGAGCACGAATGCATTATCTATCTTATTACCAATTGACCCTCCAAGGCTCTTACCACCTCTAATAGGCACATGGGTGCAGTCCAACGTTTAGTCTATCATTGTAGGTGGGGGCGGATCCATATATCTCGCTTCAAATGTTGCAAAATCGACCGCCAAGCAAAGTAACGCAGCTACCTATAATAGGGCTACCCTTAATTACTATCCACATCTGCCCTACCATCAAGATATTTGGTAACCTTCCGGGGGGCATAAACACTGTTACCTCTATTGTTCACTATGCAAACCCCTCAACAGCTCCTCAGTCTAACAGCCAAGTATTCCAAGGTTGCCCAGAGTCTCAAACTTCTTGCATGCAGGTAATGCAGAGTGGACAAAGAGCCTCTAGGCATCAGAATTCTCCTCTTGGCATACTCTGGTCCATAGTAAGGATGACAGCGCCTAATCCTACCAGCGGGGCAATAACGGGGCTCTTGGCCTGCATCACGAATGCAACATCACGTACATTCCCTCGATCCTGTGGCTGAGAAATAGGGCTGCATCATGCGCCACGATAATGGTATATGGTGGCGCCTTTTCCATGACTCCCGGATAAACTTACTAGGGTATAGTCTACACCATAGGATGAAGCTGACTCCACAAATTGTTTGAGTCGGTGCAATGACACCCCCATCTAAGGCTCGATGCGCTGTATATTTTAACCAGTGGGGTGTCCCGTTGTCTTTCAGCCTGTCTATGGCGTAATATCTGTCTCCTCAACCCTGCATCTTGGAGCGCCCAGTGTGGGACACATGCAAGTGAACAGCCCACGTCGTAACGGATAGCAAATGAGCCTGGGACAAGTGTTAGACAAGAATGCGGGTTTCTGCGGAGCTTTCTTTCTTACCCAAGTAGAGCCCAGGTCAACTAACTCCAGGCCGGCAAAATTATAAAGGAGCCCTGCTTTCCAGTTAGATTGTTAGACAAGTGCTTTCCATCTGCCAAATCCCGCAGGTCAACTTTCACCCCAAACACAATGAGCTTCTACCAGTCTGCCCTCAGCTTTGAGCTGGATGATGACCATATCCTCAAAGCAGTTCTTCAAGACGAAGATGGAGAGGAGCGCGAGTCGGAACTAGATTTGAACCACATTATTGGCAATAACGACGGTATGTGGCCCACAGAATCTTACTTTTTGGAGAACCACGGCTAATCGCTCCTTAGGCACTTTCGAGTGGGGAGGCCAGAACTTCAAGGACAGTGCCAGTGATATTGAGCTTCACCGCGAAGGAGACGAGGAGGTTCCAATTCTTCGTGCCAGGTTAAACAACGTGGAGGGTGAGGAGATTGACGCTGATATCAATCTGGCGGAGCGGATCACCAACGATAATGGGAACTTGGTGTTTGTCTGATGGCCTCTAGTGCATACCATATCTCATACACTTCTCTTACAGCCGGACTAAGACAATGTAAACTTGCCTAAACATTCTTTCCAAATGTCTCTACATCTTTTGCAACTGTCTCTTTCAAACAGGACCTGGTTCTCCTCCTCTCTCTTCTTCGCACTCTCACACTTTCACTTTCATTTTCCACTTTCCACTTCACATCCCCCTTTCACTCTTGCTCTCTATCTTTCACTCTTGCTCTCTATCTTTCACTCTTGCTCTCTATCTTTCACTCTTGCTCTCTATCTTTCACTCTTGCTCTCTATCTTTCACTCTTGCTCTCTATCTTTCACTCTTGCTCTCTATCTTTCCCTCTCACTTGGTTTGGTTTGCTCACCTTCCCAATTCTACTCCCTTCTCTTTTACCCCGATGTTCCCCGCGTACTACAAGACCGTCCAGGGACGCCTGGAGCTTTTTCAAGATTGTGAGCCCACAACCTTGAAGACCAAATTTTCCGCTTTTGAAACTTATCAGGTTTCTATGAGTGCCACTTGGCGGACTCTTTCATGAAGCAAGCACAGTGATGAGACCAACAGATTACTCAATATACCCCCGTCACTACCTTTGGATATAATCCCTGAGAATGCAGCCACTGCTTTTCCAGAGAAAGAGTGGGAAGAGTGGGCCAAGGTGAGGCACGACTTATCTCCTTTGTGCTCAGAGCAGCAAATATCTCCTTCGCCCCAGAGCAGAAATCAAGGAGCTCATCCCTCGTCATTGAATGGGAGAAAACACTGGAGGCGACGAGACTCAAGTGAAGAAGATCACCTTCCCCAAATGCTCCCCATTCTCGAAACTGTCAAGGATCATCTGGCTATGGGGGTCTTATTGTGATTGAGGAACGTTCACAGGCCGAGGACTTTGCAATGATGATGAGCAGCCTTCCATACAAAGGTGAAAGCGTGTGCCGTCTCATTCTATGGACGGACGGATCGATTGTCCGAAGATGCAGAGCAGGGTCGGTGGTCTGGAAGAGAATATCTCATAAGACATGGGCGCGTAAAGAATTTCTTTTACCATACAGAACAGGAATTACAGATATCGTGGAGCTCTTTACAATCTCTCATATATTGGACTGTTGATCAACTAAAAGAGCTACAAGGCTTGTATCCGAAGACTTCTGCAATGAAGATCGTGATATCCAGATCCAACCCAAATATTGTGTGTTTGTGTTCTCGGGCAGTATCGCGACTCTTCAAAGGATCCAAAACGGCTCTGGGTGGCGCACCCTCGAGGGAGCATATCGCGATGACTACATTCTCAAATGTATCGCCACAACTACGCCACTAATTGTTGTGATTGATTGGTGTTGCAAATTAAATATGAAGTACCAAACCTTGAGAATGGCTCCATTCAGTCTGCATGACCGCATCGAATTTCATATCTTGATCACACTGTCATGGGGTGAGTCCAATCAGGCATGTCTAATTGTATTTTACTTCAATAACGGCAGAAGTCACCAAGGCTTCTTTTTGTAATAGATCTCCGTCCATTTCGAGCCCTGGGGTGTCTATTCAATTGTTTGTATAGTTCAACGTTATCCCGGCGGGTGGATCTTGCATCCACATCCGGATAAATATGCCCCGCGCCGTCACGTCACTTTATCCTCTTCCCTTTGCGTGGACCCCCTAGGTACGAATTTACTCCAAGGACCTGGGCAGAAACATTGAGCCCTGTCATCACTCTCTTCCTTGCTACAACGAATCGAGCGTCGGCCCTCAATCCCTCTCAAGCTCCCTACCCCTCACCCCGCACATCGGCTTTCCGACTCTTGAAACACGACGCAATCACAACCTACGTCAATCATGGCTCCCCTCATTCGTGTCATCGGCTCTCTCAATGCCGATATGGTGTCCGTCACACCTCGGTTTCCCGACCCGGGCGAGACAATCACTGCTTCAAAATACTTCACCAGTGCCGGCGGCAAGGGCGCAAACCAAGCCGTCGCATGTGGCCGGATGTCTCGACCACAACCCACCGGAGAGGGAATGAATGCCAATAGCGATGTTCACGTCGAGATGGTCGGTGCTGTCGGTGCCCTTGATGGCCACTTCTCTGCCCTGTTGAAGCCGACGCTTGAGAAGTCTGGAGTCGACACATCGCTGGTGCGAGTCATGGAGGACGCATACACTGGAGTAGCTGTTATCATCGTTGACTCGTCCGCTGGAGGTGAGAATCGCATTTGTTTCTCGCCCGGTGCAAACTATACGGGCATGCAGCCTAAGCCGGAGGTTCTGGGAACCGCTCTCTCGACCCCAGTGCCTGATGTGATCGTGATGCAGGGTGAGATCCCTGTCGACACTGTTATTGGAATCCTCCGGGAAGTCGCCGCACACAAGAAGAAGAATCGCGCTGCTGGCAAGCGCGGTATCGAGTGTGGACCGGAAGTGATGCTCAACCCGGCTCCTGCACCACCGGGAGGTCTGCCTGAAGATGTCTATGCGGCGGTCGACCACTTGATTTTGAATGAAACAGAAGCGGAGCTTATGACGCCGCCCACAGAACAGCTCCTCCAAGTCGTACCAGACGCCGAGGGGCTGGACGGCAAGGAGAAAGTTGCACGATACTTCCACAAGCTGGGTGTGACGTACCTACTCATTACGCTGGGAGCCAAGGGTGTCTGGTACAGTGCTACAGATGGAGGGTCCACTGGTCCTAGCGATGGGGTCCAGCGCTTTACGAACGAGATTCCTGCAGCGGCGGTGTCTCAAGTGTTAGACACGACGGCAGCGGGCGACACATTTGTTGGAGCATATGCGGTCAAGGTTGCGCGGTGGCGGGAGCAACGTCGCGTCGAGAATAAGGCGAGTCAGGATCTCACCGACGCGGAGAAGCCGCATCGGTATCAGACAGTTATGGACGAGGCGATGCGCCTGGCAGCGCGCGCGTCAGCTCGCGCCGTGGAGCGCCAGGGTGCTATGGATAGCATTCCGTTCGAGGACGAGGTGTAAGGCCTTTAGATTATAGAGTTAGAGTTCATAAATGTAATTATATCATAAGACTAGAGTCGATTGACCGTGAATTCGATCTAGCCGGTTTGAATTAGCCTTCGGCTTACCCCTTGAAGCAAATTTGGACCTTGCGACAGGAAGTCGGCCCTTTTTCGTCATGGAATGCATGGCAATGACGGGGATGGCACAGTCCACGAGCAAGAGGGGGATCTCCCTACTCAAGGAATCTGAATCTCCAGGCTCACCGGTTCACAATCAGACTCACACGCACACTGTGGCCAGCCCTGAATTCTACACCTGGATAGCTGGGAGGGAACCTTGAAAGGGCATCGGACATTCTCCAGCCCTCCAGCACACGGCCCTCGTAGCCCTCGCGACCTGCGACCTGCAAGCTGCAACTCTGAACCTTCGCCGTGTTTGCAAGAGTTTCATCCTACTCCCGCGCCGGGCTGGGGCCCAATGGAGCAATAGACCAAATGCGTTGGCGAGCGGGGTGTGCTCGACAGTCGCGCGCTGGTGTACTGTAAGGGAGGGGTTGAACGCGAGCGTGTCGCGCGTAGAGTATCTGGTACTTGGCAATCGTACGGCGAGGCGGAAGAATGGCGGGTACCGGGTACCGGGTACTTTGCGCGTCGCAGGGATACGCGTATAGAGTGTGATGCATGGGTGTTAGCACCGACACTGGACTATTCCTGGAACTTTCTTATCATTCCGAGCCGAGACTTGACGATACTACATGACCCAGTCCTGGTAGATGGTTCGATCAAATGAGTGAAATAGTCAATGAGAAGAACATGAGGGAGCCGGATAGCGGGTAAGAGTATAGGAGTATGGGAGTATAGGATAGAGGCGCGTACCCGCGTCGGCATTCCACCCCGACACGTTCCCCCCGAACATGGAATGGTAATTGGATTATGCTGCATCAACGCCACCGGCCCTGAGCCCAGGCTGGTAGGATCCAATCGCGCCGAATGCATGGCGCCTTGCATGCGAACGCGGTCGCGCTCTCCGGGCTATGTGAACTGCACGAGGCCTTGAAATAGTCCCCTTTGCCCTCCTCCTCCTTGCCTATCTAGAAAAGTTAACATCGACTCGGTATATCTATCTACTCATCCCATACCCCATTGCCACTCTCCAAGCCGTGCCTCTCTTTAGGACTATACAGTCTTGTGGACCCCCCCCTCCACTTTCCCCATTCCAGGCTTCACCCGCGACCCTATCTTCGGTCCTGATTTCTTTTAATCATTTTATTCTTCTGATTCTTCTCACTATATTATACTCTCTTTCAATCTCACGGAAGAAACCCCCTAGGTCGATCTCGCGATCGAGTTAGTGTAGACCGCCAATCTCCCCACTTAGCGCCGACACGTCAAAACAAAGCCAATCTCACGCGCCTTTCACCATGGCCACCCTCACCATGACTCCCTCTCGCCAACCCTTTGCGAGCCTGGATACCCCGAGGATGAACACCTTGATGCGGTCTAAGCTGAACCGTCAAAATCAACAAAATGGTATGGCTTGTCTCTGTGAGGACCAAAGTCCCGGTACTAACACCGACTAGGAGCCGCCCTATCTGCAAAGCAATCCATCTTCATCGACAACTCCGAGAACATCGACCCCAGCAGCCTGAGCTCATCTTCCAAGCGCAAGCGCAGCTTCGATGATGACGATATCTCCAAGGGCTCCCCCAAGCCCCTCAAGTCCTCCCGCTTGTCCCTCACCCAAGACAACAATGTCTCATCTCGACTCTCGACACCGCTGAGACTCGTTCCCACCACTCCTCGATCTGCTCCTCTCCTCAAGCCCGCTGGCCGGACCCCGCCACCCAAGTCATGCAAGGCGTTCGGTCGCCGGTCGGCCATTGCTAAAGCTCGTCCCGAGTCCAGCAAACGCGCTGTCGCTCGCCCCTTCTCTCTAGCTACCGCCCTTTCCCAAAACAAGCCCGCTGCCACTAAGCCCAAGGGGCCAGCATCTTGGTTCTTCGATATCCACGTCGACTCGGAGCAGGAAGAGATGACCAACCTCATGCAGCACTCGACTGGTGTTCTTGATATCAGCGACGACGAGGGCAAGACCTCCCCAGCTGATGGTCGCGGCAAGGAGAACGTTCCTCCTGCTGATCTGGGCATTGATCTTCCTCGATCCCGTCAGGCAACTGCCCTGGTTGCTGCGGCTGACGCCCGCAAGGCTTCAAAGATGGAGGAGGACCGCGCGCCACTGGGCGAGCTCGCTGCTTCTGACTACTACCCTGAAGACTGCAATGCCTTCTCTTATACCGTTGTCTATGACGACGAGAGCGAGAATGGCCCCTTTAAGAAGCCCCATGTCCTCACCCAGGCAACTATCCTTCCTCCTGCTATCACCACCTCTATCGCCTCCTTGCTGGAGACCGTCACTCCTCTCAAGCCGGTAGCTGAGCCTACTGAGAACGAATCCGATGCAAAGATCGACATCTGGGAAAGCGAGAGCGCCACTGAAGAAGCGTCTCAAGTGCCTGAGGACAAGACACAGTCCTCTCCTTGATCAACCAAAAACAAACTTGCATTTGCATGGTCCTTGGCGTTCTCTCTCTCTCTCTCTCTCTCTCTCTCTCTCTCTCTCTCTCTCTAGCTTCGACTTCAGCTTTAAATTTTTTTTATTTTATTTTTTTTGCATGGCGCTGGATTTTGGTTAAAGTGGCGTTCTGACATTGGGTCTAATCTGGTTTGGAATACCCTTCTCCTGTTATCTCGTCTATTCATCCTGTTTTATGGTTTCAAATTGTTTTGTTTCCACCTGTTGATTAATGAGTATTTGTCATGTCTGATGCTGGTTCACGATGTATACACGCAGGTCTAGTTATGATTACAATGATTATTATTTGATACATCTTCTCCAACTCGATTGTATGTAGGTTAAAGATGTACCATAGAGCCTTCTCGATAAGAAAGCTCGGAGTTTCCGACTTTCTTGGCGCTCTTTCGATTCTACAGGAGTTAGTGTACGATCAACCAGACCAGCCTTCCACTGCACGTCGCCACTCAAGCCCGGGGCTGGGACCGGGATTGCAGCGCCGTGAATGTGAGGGATTTGACGACCCCACCACACGGACGACGGAGGTGAAGTTGGTTCGGGTGGACCAGGGAATTGACCTCGGACACCTGGAAGACACCCACGATGTCTACAAGAATGTGATCCACGATGAGATCGGAGTCGAGGAAGCTACTGTGGAGCTGGATAAGATCCTGAACAGCAAGCCTCGTTTCAATAAATGGATCATCGTGATGGTGTACGGCATAGCTTCAGCCGCCGTGGGTCCCTTCGCATTCAACGCCCGGCCCATCGATATGCCGATGATATTCCTTTATGGTATACTACTTGGTATTTTACACCAAGTAATCGCCCCACGTTCAGAGCTATACTCCAACGTCTTTGAGGTGTCCGCCTCAGTTCTCACCTCCTTCATCGCCCGTGGCCTTGGAAGTATCACCTGGGATGTACCTAACGGCAACCGCGAGTACCTCTTCTGCTTTTCTGCGATTTCCCAGTCATCTATTGCGCTGATTCTTCCGGGTTATACCGTTCTGAGCAGTAGCTTGGAACTCCAATCCCATCGTCTTGTGGCTGGATCCATTCGGATGGTATATGCCTTCATCTACTCCCTGTTCCTCGGCTACGGAATCACGGTCGGTACTACAATCTATGGCTTAATCGATCCCAGCGCCTCGTCCGATGTCCTGTGTCCGAGTACCGGAGACTGGGGCAATGAATATGCGCCGCGATTTCCATTCGTGGCAGGATTCGTGTTATGCTTGTTGGTTATCAACCAGGGCCGATGGAAACAGGCTCCGGTGATGTTGTTCATCGCAGAATCGGGCTTTGTTGTTACTTATTTCGTGACACAACGGATCGGCCCCAGTTCACAAGTCGCCAACACCGTCGGGGCCTTCACAATCGGTGTGATGGGCAACCTTTATAGTCGCCTGTGGCATGGTCATGCGGCGACTTCTATCTTACCGGGTATCTTTGTCTTAGTGCCGTCGGGTCTAGCAGCCTCGGGGCCTCTTCTCAGTGGCATCAAGTCTTCTGACGAGACACGGCATAATATCTCCACTGCAATCAATCACAGCAGCTACACAGAGTACTCGGTGGAGGATTCTCAGATCTATACAGCTGATTTGGGATTTGGCATGGTGCAGGTATCCATTGGGATCACTGTGGGGTTGTTCGTCGCGGCCCTACTCATTTATCCGTTTGGAAAAAGACGGGGAGGATTGTTCAGCTTTTAGAGACGCGAGGTAGCTCACACTTCGTTGAGTGTCTTTGAGAACATAATCTGGATGCATGCATAGAATAGAACTGTTGAGTGCGACGCTGGATTAATTCTCATATTTCAGCTATAACATCAATTGTGATCATCGTCCTCGTCCATATCCTCCCCTTCATCCTCATCATTATCTCCCTCTTCACCTTCTTCCCCTTCCTGGGCAGCATCTCTCGCCGCCAGAGCGGCAGCAACCTGCTCCTCAAGTATCTCTTTCCGCTGCATCTCTTCTTCTTCGCCCTCACTCTGCTCTGGCTCATTATTCGCATCAACCCCTTCAAACTCAGCCATCTTCCCCCTCTTCCTCGGTCCACCACGGCCAGGCCTCTTCTCCATCCCGTACGACTCCTTCTCATTCTTTCTCCTCCAAAGCGGTGCCCCTTTGATAGACGCTCTCACCTCCGTCGCATACGAAATCTCTTTACTAGACGAGGTTGCAGGATCCACCGTAAAGTAAGCAGCAAGATCCTCCTCGCTAGACGCATGGTCGGGGAACTGAGCAATACGCTGATAATCAGAGTCCGGTGCCGTGTAATTTTCAACGAGCGCCGCGATCTTGGCTCGCATAATTGTCTTTACTTTTGCCATTGTGCCGTTACCAAACCAGCCGTCGCTAATTATTTCGCATTCCGAGCGTAGGAAGGAGGGTGGTGGATCGACGGGGTAGAGAAGTGATGCTAGGATTGGGTCTTTGATATCGCCGGCCATCCAGATGCGACCATCGCGTGGGAGGGGTACTTGGCCAGTGAAAATGTGTGTGTCTGCCCGTGCAGATCCGGGGCCAGAATTGGGAGTCTCGAGGTCAGCTTCGTTGGAATCTGCGACACGGAACATGAAGGTTTGGTAGTGGCGGTATTCTGGGGAAGTGCGCGGGTCCACGCCCAGCTTGATGATAGCGTCGCGCCAAGGTCCAGAGCGGAAAATGTACCCAACATAAGGCAATGCATGGCGGAGTAGGGGTTGCTGTTCATCTGACGCCAAGTAACTGCGGATGGCACGTCGGGTCCAGGCTGGTCGTTCTTCGAAGAGTTTTTTGACTCTTTCAATGGTTCCGCGAAGGATCGGATCGAGACTGTCGATTGGAGCGAGGTCTTCTTGGGGCTCGGACGGAACGACGGGAATGTCGAATGCGACAAGGTGACTGCGGATCTTGGTTGGTTGCTGGGTGTTCACTGTAATCATTTTGCCGGATTCGTCGACGGCTTGCTTGACTGTTGGGTTTTGGCGATACCTAGTGAATGAAAGGTCAGTGCACGTCGCCGGGTTTTTCTCAGGGTATGGATGCGTACATGTACTGGAACGGAATATCGCTCTGGGTGAAGGAGGGCGGCGGGATGATATCCACATTCGTGATGGCTCCTTTGGACATTTTGATCTGGTATTTCTTCATTTTATCCACTAGGATTTTGTCAGTCAACATTTTCTTTCTCTATTATGCATATCACTTACAGTCATATGGAGTGATATGCTGCCTGAATTGGTTGGTGAAGGAACTGCGAGTAGACGACCACATGAAATCCGGCAGGCCTGATATTGTTAGATTGGACCTAATAATTTTCAAAATGGTTCTATACATACCTCGAAATAAATGTGTACGTTCCACTTTCCCTGCCGTTTCAATCTGGTACTTGGAGGCATTGTCTTGTAGACTGCGCAGCAAGTCCTTTGAGGTTGGTCGCGTAGGAGACTCGTCCTCCGGATTAGCCTCAGTGAAGGGCTCGTCCGAACCACGTTTGCGCTTCCGGCCTGTTCGTTTTGGGACAGTGACTTTCAGCAAAACGTTATTTGATGGACAGCTGATGGACTGGATTTGCCGAGCCATAACGTCTTCTGGCCGCAGTGATAGCTGGGCTGGTGTGTCAGGTTTGGGCGGGTTCAGAATCTATTTCATGTCAGAGTGATTGAATCTTGATGAGTCAGGACAGAAGCTGCAAGCCTCACATTATGGATTCCCGCATTCCCCTGGAGTGTGTCCACAGCCCTGTCGAGGTTTCGGATCACGGCAGGGTGCTCGACGCTAACCAGACGTCGAGGCGGGACGGGGTAGAAGGGTGCAGTTCTGGAATCACGTTGTGAGTCCATCGTGTAGATATAATACGAGAAACACAAATGCTGAGCACTCGAGATATTCCAGGCGTGTTTGGTCCAGACTATGCGGTTAAGACTGCGCTTGTTTGGAGACGAGTCAATGATGAAAAGACCATCAGCACGCAACAGTCACCACCGACGAGAGAATTCAGTTGCGTTGCACTTGACTCGCCTTGGACAAAGACTGAAGTATTTAGTCCGAAGTATTTAGTCCGCCTCTTCTCAGTCTGAGGTTTTCACTACCAAAATGAGCCTTCTTCATAGGCAAGCGCATTCCACACTGCCTCAGAACATCAGGATGTGCTGACTAATCACATTCCTTGCTGCCGAATCTCAAGGTGTCAATATCAGACCGCCTTCTTATGGTAAGCAATCTGGTAACCCATTTAGTTAGTTACAAGGGATCCAAAATCGACAAATGTAGTATTATGTACATATGAGCCAAATACTCAACATGCAGTCTCGCTCCACTTCACGGTCAACCATTTCAACCCCTAGGTACCATAGTAAAACAGCGTCTCAAATGGTTCTAAATTGTATGCTAGATTTGAACTTGGGTCCTTCGGCCAGTCTAACAGGACTCCCTGAATTATGTATACTATATAAATTGTAGGGTCGCTTAATAAAGATGTGTGGAGTTTTTCACTGGGGATATTTAATGGATGAGGGTCCAACCATCCTCAAATCAAAGGGCCATAAGAAACCTCGATCTCAGTTCCAACAAATTTGACATCCTTTTTCTTCAGAGATATGTTTCGTAGTCTCTGACTTGAATCTTTTTTTTCCGATGGGCGTAACAGAATCATTTCAAGTTTGCGATCAATTGCACGGTTTTTCGCTGATTCGAAATATCGAACGCCCACGCACCCACTTCGTTGATCCGCGGATGATTCAAATAGTTCCCACTTGCCAAAAATCTGTGAGAAATTGATTAAGATCAGGAATTCCACTTTCGTGAAACTTCATTACAATATCCCGCAGTTCGTGGGCTTTCAGAATAATTGAACGTATGTAAAGAATATGAGCGCGGTAGTTCCTTCGCTGACGTTTTGAGTCCATCCAAGAAGAGGAGTCACTGGTAAATTTCTAAGCCGGAGATACTCTTCGAAAGCACTGTATCAGGGACTCCCAGTGTTTTTCAAGAGCTCTTCTCAATAAATCCAGTCATTATTTATAGGAAAGCAGTCTTCAATGATTCCCGGATTTGTTCCTCTCGGATCCACTTTGTATGTTGCAAAACGACTCATTATCACTTTTGAAACCGCCACTCGGAGGTTGTGTTGCCTTCTGATGTGTGGGAGCCGTAGCGAGTCCTCCGAATATCTTCGGCGATGCGATACGAGGACAAAAGACGACATGCCATTGTAGATGTTCGATCGCTCTCGGAAATTCATTGCCGTGGACTGCACCGTACACTGCATTTGAAAGGTAAAGATTTAGAGATATTGTATTTCTTTGGAGCAGATTTGATTTCTGGGGTGAAGGTAGGTGCAAGCTGTTCGATTTCACGTCGGTTCCTGTGATGGATATGACAAGGAGTACTCAATTCAGAGGGCATGTGCCGGGGTAGCGTCTTCGGGTGCATTAATACTCGGGCAATAACATATGGTTATGTGTTTGATATTATCCCAATCATCAAAATTACCATAATTCCGGGTTCCGGCTTACTTGCTAACGCCCCGTAGTCACACACTAGAATTCGAAAACAGAGTACCTCCCAGACACTCACACTTTGTTTCTCGTCCCTGCCCGAAACCACGCTAATCCGTGTTGAGCTAAGGCGCAATATAACCCGTTTTCTAAGAAGAGACTCCTTTTTTTTCCAGAACTATCCCATTACGTATAACACAGTATATGGCACGACACTCCCTTACTCTTATTGTAGCTCAGTGGCCCCTCCCTAGTCATTCTCATGGTACAAAATACCAAGAAAATGATAATTTTCAGGACTAGGCTTTATCAATCACAGCTTGAGGTACCATTAATACATTTATTGTTATGTATGGGTCATTTAGGTGTTCATCTCCGAGAACTCGATTTGCCTTCGAAACTTTTGTAAGCCGGGATCTCAAGATTTCATTAGCAGGTTAAGAGTTATCTGCAGCTATCCATGGTCCACTGTATCTCTTGAATTATGCTCTGTGGTTGTAAAAGCTGCACATTGTGACTGCAATGCAGACGGACAGATCTGCTGAGACGAGAAAGCCTCAAAAGCTCTCTTTGCCAGTCCTCATTCATCTCGCGCCATCTATTGAGACATTCTCGAAACAGAGCCCGTTCTTGTTCTGTTCCATTGCCTGCGGCCACTCCAAAGTCATACATTTTCTGAAAATCTTTAGGTGTATCCGCAATGATGACACTGACCGGATAATCCTTGAGAAGTAGCTTTTCGAGTTGATTCTTGTGGTCCAATGCCCGTCTGTCATTCGCCACCGCCTGCATCTCAGCAGCCTCGGTGGCTTGATGTCGGGGATCAGCCTGCTCGTCTTTGACAGCTTTCCACTCCTCCTCGGATAGGACGTGGGAAGTTACAAGACCGGTGGTTTCAACAAAATCTTGGCCACCGAGGACTGGATAGAAAACGTCCCAACCCCACGCACCACTGTCAAAGAAACGTTCAGTATTGCAATCCACGAACACCATGCCCACGACATCATTGGGCCTGAGTTCCAGAAACTCGCGAGAAGTATAGCCTCCCCACGAGTGAGCGACAATGATAAACGGAGGCTCAATACCGGCGTTCCTAAGAAGGGTATCAAGCTCTGCTGCGACTGATGCTGCAGATATGCTTGGTGGTGTCTGGTTGGGACCTTCACTCCTACCCATCCCTGAACGATCATAGTTCAACCAACGAGCAAATGGAACCACAAGCTTTCGCACTACAACCCACTCATCGATCGTGCTGCCAACGCCTTGCATGAGAACGACGATAGGCTTTCCAGGCTTGCGATCTGGCCCCGAAACGGACAGATATAGGTTGTGGGAACCGACGGAGACAAGCCCATCCTTATCACCTTTGTCCCAGTCAATTTTAGAAATTGGTTGCATTGTGAACTGGATGTGGATTCAAGTTGAGCAAGCAATGATTTGACGTCGAGTTGTTGGATAACGGGGAAGTGAAAGATGCCCAAGCCCCCGCTTTCTAAACCCGCCCCTCCCTAGAACATTCTACGGGACAACCATAATTTACAATGACTCGTTAGATACTAGTTCCCAATACGTTCTATAACACGATACTGCTAGCCAGGGTTTGCTTTAAACTAACGTCATAAGGATTACCGTGGCTTCGGCTACAGCCTGAGAAACCGAGGAGGAGTGTCTGGGGCGAGTGACATTCATATGCATCACTGTGTGGTAAATCTGATACAATTATTTTTTGATGCTATATCTAAAACTTACATATGTGTAGCACTGGAGATGGGTATTTTGTTGGTGTGTATTTTACATAGAATACTCCATTTCTACTGTGCATAACAATCCACGGCATCTACAGAACGGACTTGTGTCGCAGCGGGATTCTCAAGTGTGCCATTGAGGGTAATGATCTCCAGTCTCTGGAGGCTTCGGTCCACGGGTAGCTAAATGTGAAGGAGGATGGCTATGTTTCATGACGGTTCCAAGGTTCAGATATGTAACCAATGTTGGAGATATATGTATTCGTATCTCATCATACTAAAGTACTTGTCTGACACCCCATTTTGGTTCAAGCTGTAATAGAGAGTATCTGCAGGTTACATCTTGTTACTTACCTTAGATACTTGAAACCATGGCGGGTTGGCGCAACCATCTATGGAGTATTGGAGACATCGTCTATATAAAGATATTTGTCAATATGTAGACTAATGCGAATCATAATTTCATCAAATCGGACCTGTGGCGCAGCGGTAGCGCGTGTGATTCCAGTCCACAAGGTCATCCGTTCAAATCGGGTCAGGTTCAAGATTTCTTTTTTTTTTTGGTCACTTTCCCCATACTTTTTTTTATTTTCTTCCAATTGACTCTTCGTAAAAAGAGGGTAGATAAAAACTTTAGTATCTTATTTATTATCTTTAAACTTAATCCTCTTAGGTAAGTTCTCATTAGAGATATAGAAAGTCTTAGGTTCATAGTTTTTTTTTTCAATTCTTAATTAAACTCTTCTCTTTTTAGACTTTATGTCTCTAGACAAGAACTTGGCAGAGAGCATTGAGCTTAAGATTAATAACTAGGGATACTAATTCCTTATTTACCCTCTTTCCACGGGAGAGTAACTGGAAAAAAACAAAAACTATGGTTAGAAAGTGACCAAAAAAAGAAATCTTGAACCTGACCCGATTTGAACGGATGACCTTGTGGACTGGAATCACACGCGCTACCGCTGCGCCACAGGTCCAATTGTATATTAAAATCTTAGATTTTAAGAGATAACACGTACCAAATTATCATTAAGAAACGTATCACTCTTCCTTACCAACACGTGACAGCTGATATAAGCCTAGCAAGAAGCGGGAAAACGCATACAAAATAGCGTGGACAAAGAGGATGTTGGAGATGTGCGACATATAGAGCTCGAGTAAACGTGAGCAGTCGCTAAAGCACACCTGACGAAGTTTAGATTTGATCGCCATTGTAGATGAATTCCTCGGCAGTCTGCGCTGACCTTGGATTTGACCCCTTCCCCCTCTTCCCATCACCATCACAGCCAGGAGATCCCGCCGCCTTTCACTTTACCTCAACAACACACTCCTCTTCGTTCCACCATCCCCACCCACACAACTGGTTCTTCACCTGCTACCTTCCTTGGCCTCGGCCAATATCATTACCGTCTATTTGATATATTCTGGCCGTGCATCGCAATCCGGTGGCCCTGGCGCTTTCGAACCCCCCGCTCCCAGCCTGCCACTAAGCGACACGGAGATCCTCCAGAGCGGATCAAGCACGCCAGTCCCATCTCGACCTCTCCGCCGCCTGGCCAGTCCTGCTTGCACCTCAAACGCCAATTGTCCCATCTCAGGTCCAAGAGGTACGTATCCCTCCACCTTGTTCTCGTCATGCCTATCCCCTTTATCACCGAGCCGTCTTGCCCCGTGCGCGTGCTGTTACACCCCGTCCTGGTATTCTAGTAGCCGCCATTGAGTGATGAATGGCCCCCCTGCGAATGATCTGATATCACTGCCTCATGCTATTCCATATGGATTTGGACACTTCATTTGTTGGATAATTCGGAGCGCTTACGAGGTTCTCCTAGGTCGACACAAACACATCCGTCTCCCTCGTGGCTTTCTTGAGCGGCCGCTCCTGTTGCCCGCCCCCAAGTCACCCTGGCTAAAGTGCAGCGCCCGGCTGCACTGGCAAGAAGAAATCTAGTGGAGTTTATGTGGCTGTCAATACTGGTTTCAAGATGAAGGGATTCAGACAGAGAGTGGTAAGTATCCTTATTCGTGTGCTTCTCACCGCACTATCATCTCCGCCCACCCCCTTCCCCCACCATGCAGATGGTGCTCCCCCTGAATCCGGATTTGAATCCAAACTGATCACATTGCTCATCTCAGCACGAGCAGTTGTCGAGGGCGAAGGACGCCAACAAGTCGTCGAAGAAGAAAGACTCCAACTCAACATCCTCGGGCCAGGCATCTCTCGGCATTTCCAACACACAGCAATCGACATCGCCTAACCAAGGTACCCCGACATCATCCACGACTTCTCTTAATGATGCGCGAAAGTCGCCGGACGATGCTTCCCCGGCAGGGACTCCTTCCGGGGGTAACGCCACAGCCCAGCATTTTACTTCCCAAGGAGCCGGTATCCCAGGCCAGCCTGCGAACAATGGACCGGGTACCCCAACGCGACAAGGACAGCCTGTGGCTCCCAGCGTGATCATTAGCCCCAGCGCTCCGGTAAGATCGCCTTCCCCCTCGGATGAAGGTGACCTCGATGAACCTGACTCATTCTCTGCGATCTCACAGCATGCTCCTCCCCCTGGAGCTGCCGAGACGATGCCCGGAGACCTCGCACCCCCAAGGAAGTCCCATGTTTTCGATCGCCTCCAGACCACCCCCAAAGACATGTCGGAAGGAATTCGGACCCCTAAGCGCCAGCACTCGTCGCGATTCGACATTTCCGACCAGCGCCAACGAGAGCTGGAGAAATTGCCAGGTTTCCACGAAGTGGCCCCTAACCGACGCCAGGAGCTGTTCATGCAAAAGATCGATCAGTGCAACATTATCTTCGACTTCAATGATCCTACGGCAGACATGAAATCCAAAGAGATCAAGAGGTTGGCTCTTCACGAGCTCTTAGATTACGTCGCCAATAACCGGTCCGTGATCACTGAGCCCATGTACCCCCGGGTGGTGGAGATGTTCGCCAAGAACCTGTTTCGACCTATTCCTCCACCAATGACCCCACAGGGCGAAGCATTTGATCCTGAAGAAGATGAGCCTGTTTTGGAAGTTGCTTGGCCACATATTCAAGTTGTCTACGAGTTCTTCCTGCGATTTATCGAGAGTCAGGACTTCAACACCAATGTTGCGAAGCAATACATCGATCATCAGTTTGTGCTGCAGGTATGTGTTTGAGGTTTTTGAGAAATTCAGAGATGAGATGGCTAACGATCAATACAGTTGCTCGATTTGTTTGACTCGGAGGACCCTCGCGAGCGTGATTTCCTCAAGACTACCTTGCATCGGATTTACGGCAAATTCTTGAACCTGCGATCATATATTCGGCGATCGATCAACAATGTGTTCTTCCAGTTCATGTATGAGACTGAGAGACACAACGGTATTGCTGAATTACTGGAAATCCTGGGCTCCATCATCAACGGCTTCGCCTTGCCTCTCAAGGAAGAGCACAAGCTATTTTTGACCAGGGTTCTGCTTCCCATGCACAAGGTCAAGAGCCTAAGCATGTACCACCCGCAGTTAGCCTACTGTATCGTTCAGTTCCTGGAGAAAGACTCGACACTGACGGAAGATGTAATTCTTCACCACTTTCATACTGCTGCTTATCATATACTGACTTTTCTTTAGGTTGTTCTCGGTTTGTTGCGCTACTGGCCGAAGACGAACAGCACCAAGGAAGTGATGTATCTGAACGAGGTGGAAGACATCTTTGAAGTCATGGACCCGGCCGAGTTTGCGAAGGTGCAGGAGCCTCTCTTCAACCAACTTGCCAAGTCCGTAGCCAGTCCCCACTTCCAGGTTGCTGAGCGCGCTCTTTACTTCTGGAACAACGAGTACTTCTGCAATCTGGTGAGCGACAATGTGGAAACTATCCTTCCAATCATGTTTGCTCCGCTTTACGAAAACTCTAAGGGGCATTGGAACCGGTGAGTTGAGATTTTATTAGCCCCATTTTGTTAATATATACTGACCGTCTCCGCTACAGCACCATCCACAGTATGGTCTACAATGCCATGAAAATGTTCATGGAAATCAACCCGCAGCTCTTCGACGAGTGCTCTCACGAGTACACCGAGCAGCAGAACAGTGCCGATCAGCGAGAGAAATTCCGTCAAGATCGATGGGACACGATCGAACAGCAAGCGACAAGCAGAAAGAACGGAGTTCCTCCCCCTCCTGCCCCCGTTCTCGATGTGCCTGAGCCTATCGATGAGGTTGAGGCTATGACCCATGAGAGTCAGAAGAAATTGAATACCTTGAAGCTCCAGGAGGACACCGAGATCTCCAAGGACCGACCTGCTCGGGAAGGAACCCCAACTTCGGTGAGTTTAGTGCATCTCTGACCTCTTATCATTATGCTGTCTAGATTCATGCATCCCTATGCGAGTCCTCCTGACTTATTGACCTTTTGGCTGTGTTCACCCTTGATTTTGTCTTTTGCTAAGACCCGTCCACCCGTTTAGCCAGCCTGATTCTAACGTGAGAACGTCCGTTTTGCTCCAGACACGACGCCATGTCTCCATTCGCGGTTCCCGGAGGCGACGGAGCGGTAGCGGCAGCGGTAGCGAGATTCGGCCGCGACGACGATCGGTCGGCGGGACCAGTGCGACGAATGTACAGATCTTGCATCGAAGCAATTCGACCAAATGAAGTTTTCCCTTCTTTCCAATGGACATGTGACTTCCGTTGATATTTCTGCGACCATGGCATAGCGAATACAGGTTGCGACGAATGTTACTATGTCATGATTTCGATTCGCCTGGGTTAATGCCCTCCTTTTCCCCCCATCCCCATCCCTTCCCCTATCGAGTGCCTCCTTGCCTTTTATTTCTCACTTCAATTTTCTTTTGTGTACATGGCTTTTCTGATACTTCCCCTTCTGTGTCTTGACTTATTACATTATGAGTGCGAGATCACTGAACGGACCTCTGAGTTGGAATCCGTCTTAGAACCGTGTTCGGGTATGGAAAATGGGTGCGAACGGCGTTTCCATCTGCCGACGAGTGTCGGTGGCTTACTATGTGTTGCCAGTTTTCCTTTTTAGACCAATACTGAGTGATGACCTCTGGGCTTATTCGAAAATGTGTAGTGGTGAACACTTGTACGTCACTACTAGGTACTCATGTACCATGAACGTACCCGAACATAATCCAGCGTCCCCAGGCTGTAGACAGCCGCTAGGTGCCCGTAGACCTAGTTATATATCTTTGTACAGCCCGGGAGCAAGATATTTCTCATGACTAGCTACCAAGATAGAACTTTGACAGCTGTACTATTGGTGAAATGAGTCGGCACCATTATAATGGCAACTAGGTGATATGATACCTTGGTAAGGCGATAGGTACTAGTACCTGAGAGTACAAGAGTAACCGCGCGCTTAGTCGCTTACGACACGCGCGTGGTTCGGCACGGAACAACTACCTCCGGAATACCCAAAACGGCCTAGTGTTTCTTTCGGGGTCTTTGCGATAGCCCGCGTCCCTTCTTCTCGGGGCCAGGTCTCGCGCGCTACTCTACTCTCCCCGTTACACTCTTCCCCCGCGGAGTTCTTTCGTCTTTTCTTCTGCCGTCCAGTCTCTCATTTACGTGGATCAGGCGTATTCCTTGTGTTTATTTAAATGACTTGACGAATTCCTCGCTTCCTGCCTCCCTCCGATCGATCTTTTTCGACCTAATTGTTCGGACTCCGCAGAGCTTCGACCACTCCACGTCCTCGCATATGCGCCTTCAATTCTGACCGAAAATACTTGCGCGGGCTGAAATTCGATCAGCCGGCCACTCGGCCAGGCCTTAATTACAGCCATATTCCTTCGACTGGCCCTTTCGAGGGGATCTCCGCCTCAATATGGAGCGGAATATCGAGATTTATGCTAGCAAGCTGGGGGATGAGAAGCTGGGTATGTGCGCTTGGATGAAGAATTCCCGAGCGCCCATTGAGCAAACTCGTTAACCGTGTCTCCCCTTCGCAGATGTGAAAGTCAGAGCCAATGTCGCAACCGAGTTGCGAGACAGCATTGAGCCGCTATGCTCCGGTGCAAGCTACCCTATCTTCCTGTCCAAGCTATGGCCGGTCTTCAAGACAATTTTGAAGGGAGACCCTGTCTTCTTCAGCATGTCATACGAGCAGGTGAGATTTCTGGCGAGCCGCGTCCCCGGCGGGTCCGAAGATGAACCCTAATCCCCTGACACGATCTAGAAATTACGAAACTGTATATTTGAGACTCTACACCGTCTGCCGATGAACTCGCCCGATGTTGAACCCTACGCTGCGGATATGGTTGACTTGTTGATGGATCTTGCGCGCATCGAAAACGAAGACAATGCGGTTCTGTGCATGAAGACTATCATGGACCTGGAGCGAAATCAAGCAAAGGCCACCTCGGCACGGGTGCAACCTTTCTTGGAGCTGATCCAGGAGATGTTCCAGACCATGGAGCAGGTGGTGCGGGATACATTCGACACACCAAACCAGGCGACCCCTTCCGGAATGCCCTCAACCCCGAATGCAAGCGCCCAGAATTTCCAGTCACCCCGACCTAGCTCTCCTGCGACTTCGGTATCAGACCTTGGACCTGAGCAGCAGTCCAGCAATGTCATCTTGAAGGGCATGCAATCGTTCAAGGTCCTTGCGGAGTGTCCAATCATTGTCGTCTCAATCTTTCAAACCCACCGCGCTTCGGTAGCGGCGAACGTCAAGCTTTTTGTACCGCTGATTAAAACGATCTTGCTGCTGCAAGCCAAACCGCAAGAAAAGGCACACGCAGATGCTGCTGCGCAGGGTACGATCTTCACCGGAGTTTGCAAGGAGATCAAGAACAGGGCCGCATTTGGGGAGTTCATCACTGCTCAAGTTAAGACGATGAGCTTTTTGGCATATCTCCTGCGACTATATGCCCACCAACTCCAGGATTTCCTTCCCACCCTTCCTTCTGTCGTCGTTCGCCTTCTCCAGGATTGTCCTCGCGAAAAGTCCGGTGCTCGAAAGGAGTTGCTCGTTGCGATTCGACATATTATCAACTTCAACTATCGCAAAATCTTCCTGGAGAAGATTGACGAGCTTCTGGACGAGCGAACTTTGATAGGTGATGGCCTGACCGTCTACGAGACCATGAGGCCCCTGGCGTATAGCATGCTGGCGGACCTAATTCACCATGTTCGTGACCACCTGAGCCGTGATCAGATTCGCCGCACCGTAGAAGTCTACACGAAGAACCTTCACGATGACTTCCCTGGCACTAGTTTCCAGACGATGAGTGCCAAACTCCTTTTGAATATGGCCGAAAAGATTTCCAAACTGGAAGATAAGCGAGAAGCTCGCTATTTCCTTATCATGATCTTGGATGCAATTGGTGATAAGTTTGCTTCCATGAACCACCAATTTAATAATGCCGTGAAGGTTTCCAAAGCCTACAAGGAAAGCCGCAAGAACACAGCGCCATATGCTGAGAATTATCTTGCCGAGAAGGACCAACCTCCGGACTGGGATGACATTGATATTTTCTCCGCTTCTCCCATCAAAACCTCTAGCCCGCGCGATAGAGGTGGAGACCCTGTTTCGGATAACATCTTCCTCTTCAAGAACCTCATCAATGGCTTGAAGAACATCTTCCACCAGCTGAAGAACTGCAATCCTGATGATATTCAGATCGATCCAAACAGTGTGCCCATCAATTGGTCCGAGGTGTCATATGGATACAATGCCGAGGAGGTTCGGGTCATCAAAAAGCTCTTCCATGAAGGTGCTCGCGTTTTCCGATACTATGGTGTAGATCAATCACCCCCGGAAATGAACTACTCGTCTCCCTTCGATTTCCTTGCGAGTCAATACACTGCACCCATGTCGCGTGAAGAGAAGGAACTTCTGGAGAGCTTTGGCACAGTCTTCCACTGTATTGATACAGCGACATTCCATGAGGTCTTCCATTCGGAAATTCCATACCTTCATGAGCTCATGTTTGAGCACGGTGCATTGCTGCACCTGCCACAGTTCTTCCTGGCTAGTGAAGCGACATCGCCTGCATTCTCAGGCATGGTGCTGCAGTATCTGATGGAGCGTATCGACGAGGTCGGAACTTCGGACATGACCAAAGCGAAGATTCTCCTGAGAATGTTTAAGCTTTCTTTCATGGCAGTGACTTTATTCTCTGTGCAGAATGAGCAGGTTCTCCACCCGCATGTGACCAAGATCGTCACAAAGTGTATCGAGCTGTCTGTGACGGCTGAAGAGCCTATGAACTACTTCCTGCTTCTGCGGTCTCTCTTCCGGAGCATTGGAGGTGGCCGATTCGAGCTTTTGTATAAGGAGATTCTTCCTCTCCTGGAGATGCTCCTCGAGACCTTCAACAACCTGTTGCTTGCTGCTCGCAAGCCTCAAGAGCGGGATCTCTACGTAGAGCTCACTCTCACGGTTCCCGCAAGGCTCAGCCACCTCTTGCCACATCTGAGCTATCTCATGCGTCCAATCGTGGTGGCCTTGCGTGCGGACTCTGACCTTGTTGGCCAAGGTTTGCGCACCCTGGAGCTTTGTGTGGACAATCTCACGGCCGACTACTTGGACCCAATTATGGCGCCCATTATGGACGAGTTGATGACTGCACTCTGGGACCACCTGCGACCTCACCCTTATAACCACTTTCACGCACACACCACCATGCGAATTCTTGGAAAGCTGGGTGGTCGTAACCGAAAGTTCTTGAACCACCCACCCGAGTTGTCATTCCAGAAATATTCCGATGACAATCCAAGCTTTGACATTCGCCTCATTGGCCCCAGTGAAAAGCGTCCTTTCCCTGTGGAGGTTGGCATCGATTTGGCCATTGGCAAATTGATGGAAGTTCCCAAGTCGAGTTCAGAAAAGCCTTCTTCAGATTCGGCTCTGGCGTCCGACAAGTACTACAAACAGCAGGCATACCGCATGCTCAGCTCCCACCTTAAGCTCCAGATCGGATACGAGAACCTCCCCGACGACCTGGCGTCCTTGATTCGTCTCCATGCAAATGACCTATTTGAAGGCAAAGCTGGTGCTATGGCCGATATTATGGAGAAATCGGAGAGATCAGCCTCAATGCCAAAGAAGGTGGCGCAGGAAGCCACTTTGAAGAAGCTCCTCAAGGCCTGTATCTTTGCAACAACTATCTCTGATCTTGAGCCCGCTGCGACTGCTTTCGTGGCTGATGTCTGCAAGCACTTTACTGTTGTGGAGGTTGGTCGTGCTCTGGCTCAAGCCCGCCACAACCGCAAGCCGTTTGATGTTGCAAATGGCGAGGGTCCCGCCTACCTTGATTCTCGGATCTTAGCCGACGCAATCGTGGAGTCACTCTCGTCAGACCACATTCAAGTGCGAGAGGCAGCTGAAAAAGCTATGCTGGTCATAAAGGAAGCCGCAAATGTTATCTTTGGTGCCCCCGACAAGGCGGCCAAGCTTCCATTCTTCCAGCATTTGGGACGTGTGTTTTGTCACAGCTGTCACAGCGAGGAGTGGTTCACGAAAGCGGGTGGAAGCCTGGGCATTAATCTTCTTGCCACTAAGTTGGACCTTGGAGAGTCTTGGATCTATGAGCGACATGTCGAATTCTGTCGCGCCCTCTTGCATGTCATCAAGGATACTCCTGCAGATCTCCCTGCTTCCACGAGGATCCAGTCCCAGGACACTATGGCCTTGATCCTCAAAATGTGCGGCAAGCTTATTCCCAAGGATGATCTTAAGAACGAGAAGAGTCGCCTCTTTACCTTGTGTGGCTTCTTCGTCTTCGAACTTGGACACATGAACAAGTACGTTCGCGAGACTTGCCGTGTTTGCTTCGACACTTTGAAGGATGAGCTAGGCTGTGAAGTACACGAACTCATCTTTCCTGTGAGGGATCGTCTTCTCCAGTCGATTTTTAACAAGCCGTTGCGCGCTCTGCCCTTCCCAACGCAGATTGGCTTTATTGATGCCATCACCTATTGCTTGAGCCTGCACAACGAGATCGTCACTTTCAACGAGCCGCTTAACCGATTAATGCTGGAGTCTCTTGCTCTTGCTGACGCCGATGACGAGTCACTTGCCTCCAAGCCCAATGAGTTCAAGAACGCAGAGATGATTGTCAGCTTGCGTGTTGCCTGCCTGCGTCTTTTGTCTATGGCAATGAACTTCCCTGAGTTCGCCAATACGCCGCAAAATACTAGCCGTGCACGGATCATCTCCGTATTCTTCAAGTCGCTATACTCGAGATCTCCCGAAGTCATTGAAGCAGCCAATTCTGGCCTGAAGGATGTTCTTACTCAGACTAACAAGCTGCCCAAGGACCTCCTCCAGAATGGCCTCCGTCCAATTCTCATGAACTTGCAGGATCCCAAGCGCCTGAGCGTTGCAGGTCTTGATGGACTCGCCCGGCTGTTGACCTTATTGACCAATTATTTCAAGGTTGAGATTGGTGCTCGTCTTCTGGATCACATGAAGGTCATTGCCGATGATTCCACCCTGCAGAAGGTTTCTTTCAGCCTTGTCGAGCAGAACCCTGCCATGAAGATCGTGGCCGCAATCTTTAATATCTTCCACCTTCTTCCCCCTGCGGCCACTTCATTCATGGACCACCTTGTCAACAAAGTGCTTGATCTCGAGCAGAAGCTCCGAAGAACCTCGCACAGTCCTTTCCGGAAGCCCCTTGTCAAGTACCTCAACCGGTATCCCAAGGAAAGTTTGGCTTTCTTCCTGGCACGTTTCAAGGACGTGCGCTACGGACGCTTCTTCGGACAGATTCTGGCGGATGCTGAGAGCGAAGCGCTTCGCAATGCAGTTGTGGCTGACACTGAAGGATTCACATCCAACGCGTTTGGATTAGAGGCTGATGGCAAGAACACTGCTGCAATCAATGGAATCTACGTTGTCCACTCCGTTTGCTCTTACAGCTCAACCAAGCGTTGGTTGGTCGACCATGCAGACTTGAGGTCAAAGCTTCTGACTGCCGGACGAGAGCTGGAGCGGAAGCTTCGTGGCGACAGCTTGCCGCCTGATGAGCGTCTCAGGGTGGAACAAGCCGAGGATCAGTTGATGGATGTATTCACAGTCTACCTGGCCGAGGCTAGCCATGATCTTGATTTCCTCTTCGAGGTCATTGATGGCCTGTCTGCTGATGAGCTCAAGCGTACACTTGCCCTTCCTAAGTTCATCTACAAGCACATCATCACCAATGAGTCCATTGACTACCGCCGATCTGTCATCATGCGTTGTCTGGACCTCTACGGCCAACGGGCTTGCTCGCAGAGGACCAAGACATATGCATTCCGTCACCTGGTCAATCCTATTTTCGCTATGGATGTCCAGCTGACGTGGAGCAGCGCCAACAACGGCCCTAGACTGATGGATAAGAGCATGACCGAGTCCATACAGAGTCGCCTGTGGAAGCCTCAACTGGCCGACCTCAGCGAAGAGTCTAGCCAAGCTGGTGTTGATCATTCTCGGATGGAGCTTCTCCAGCTTTCCGCTTTGCTGATCAAGTACCATGCGCAGACTGTACAGGATTCCCGCAAGGATATCATCAAGTTCGCTTGGAACTACATTCGTCTCGAGGACATCATCAACAAGTATGGTGCTTACGTCCTGATCAGTTATTTCATTGCCCACTACGAGACTCCTTTCAAAATTGTCATTCAAGTCTACGTTGCCTTGTTAAGAGCTCACCAGAACGAAGGCCGAGCTCTTGTCACACAGGCCCTCGACGTTTTGGCTCCTGTTCTGCCCACACGAACAGCAGGAAACCAAGGACCAGAGGCACGGTATCCGCTGTGGGCCAAGTGGCCTCGCCGTATTTTGGCCGAGGAAACTGCCAATTTGCAGCAGGTGATGAGCATCTTCCAGTTCCTGGTGCGACAGCCAGATCTGTTCTATGAGTCTCGGGAGCATTTTGTGCCTTTAATTGTGCCATCGCTTATCAAGATTGCTGGTCCGCCCAACACCTCGAATGACAGCAAAAAGCTGGCTCTCAACCTGATCGGGCTAATTTGGCACTGGGAAGAGAAACGAGCTCTGGCGACAGATGCCAACAGCTCTATGTCTAATGGCGTCACCGAGTCGCCCAATGCCAAAAAGCGCAAGTTGGAAGAACCAGAATCCTCTGCATCTCCTTCTCTTCCTCCTCCACCTAGCCGAGGCTCTGATTACACCGTGCCGCCTGAATTGCGCGCTGCCTTGGTCAAATATCTCATCACTTTCATCACCACGATCCCGGAGCGCTTCCAGATTCCTGCTGCGGACATCCGTCAAATATCCTCAGCCAAACAGACACCACCTGCGCCTACTGCTGAGATGATAAGCAAGGCCATGAACCTTCTTCGACAGCTCCTGTCCAAGGAATATTGGGGAGATCTGGATATAGATCTCTACCAGAAAGTGACGGAGCCCATCCTCTCCGGCGAGAAAGCCGACAAGCCTGATGACAAACATATCACCGCCATGATCAATGCTCTGCAGGTATTGCGGGTGCTCATCGCTACCAAACCGGATGAATGGATCACAGCACGTCTATCTACCATTCAGAAGCTCCTCGAGAAGCCTTTGAAATCCGACAATCCGGAGATCCAAGACTGTCTGCATGGTCTTGAGGATGAACTGGAGATTTCTCCTAAGTTGCCCCCTCCAGTTCGTCGTGTTCTTGAGGCCATCCCAGATGACACACCTGACGATGAAGATGTTATGGATACCGAAAGCACTCCGTCAGAATTCGCAACTTACCTGTCTGCGATTGCAACCGAGACTCTTTCGGCCAGCAACTATGTGTCTAGCCTGAACACCCTCTGGACGCTTTCGAAGATCAAGCCTGCCGAAATTGACACTCATGTCCCCGCTGTCATGAAGGCCTTCTCAACAAAGCTTGCCAAGGAGCATGTCGCGGCCTCCACCAACCAGAATGGAGCACAGGCTGCTCAAAATGGCCAGAAACCTGCTGAAGCAGTGCCAGATCAGCAGGAGTTCGAGCTCGGCGTTGATCTCATTTACAAGACCATCGAGTTGATCTCCGTTCGCATGTCCCACCTTGGTGACCAACGACGCCCGTTCCTCAGCGTGTTGGCTTCCATTGTGGAGCGGTCGCAGAACATCAAGCTGTGCAGCAAGGTTCTGGGTATGGCAGAGGAATGGATTTTCCATTCGACCGAGTCATGGCCAACTCTAAAGGAGAAGACCGCAGTCCTACACAAAATGCTTCTCTTCGAATCTCGTCCTGATCAGACCATGCTGAAGAAGTTCCTCGATTTGGTCATTCGCATCTATGAGGACTCTAAGATCACCCGCACCGAGTTGACCGTCCGACTGGAGCATGCTTTCCTGATTGGCACCAGAGCACAGGATGTCGAGATGCGTAACCGCTTCATGACCATCTTCGATCGCAGTTTGACTCGTCTAGCTAGTTCAAGATTGAGCTACGTACTCACTTGTCAGAACTGGGATACCCTCTCCGACTCCTTCTGGCTGGCTCAAGCATCACACTTGGTGCTTGGATGTATTGACATGAACACCACAGCCCGCCTCCACCCCGACGATTTCACCTTGTATCCGTCGTCGTTCCTTTTCTCCAGTGGCGAGAAGGATTCAAGAAAGTCAGATATTATGGTTGATGGCCAGCTTGAGACATTTGTTGCCGAGCGCAGGAAATTCATGTCTGATATCGGCGATGTTCGGGTCCGTGATTTGATGGAACCATTGTGCCAGCTCCAGCATACCGACGCGAACGTTGCTTACAAGCTGTGGACTACCCTCTTCCCTATTTTCTGGTCAACTCTGTCTAAGGATGACCGTATCGATCTTGAGAAGGGTATGGTCTCTTTGCTTACTCGCGAATATCACCAGAGGCAACTAGACAAGCGACCAAATGTTGTGCAGTCTCTTCTTGAGGGTATTGTACGCGCTTCTCCCCGATTCAAGGTTCCTCCTCATGTCATGAAGCACCTCAGCCGTACCTACGATGCCTGGTACATTGCTGCCACATACCTTGAAGAGAGTGCCATCAACCCGATCATTGATACTGCCACTGTTCGGGAAAGCAATCTTGACGCGCTGGTTGAAGTTTATGCTGGTCTCCAAGAGGATGACTTTTTCTATGGAACATGGCGCCGTCGTTGCAAGTTTGTTGAAACCAATGCAGCACTGTCCTATGAACAACAAGGCATGTGGGACAAGTCCCAGCAACTGTACGAGAACGCACAGATCAAGGCCCGCTCTGGTGCTATGCCTTTCTCGCAGGGTGAATACTTCGTGTGGGAAGATCACTGGTTGATCTGTGCCCAGAAGCTTCAGCAATGGGAAATTCTGAGTGATTTCGCCAAGCACGAGAACCTGAATGATCTCTTGCTGGAGTCTGCCTGGAGAAACATCGAGAACTGGCAGAGCGAGGGCAACCGTGAGCAGTTGGAGTCCTTGATTAAGTCCGTTTCTGATGCTCCTACGCCACGCCGCACTTTCTTCCAGGCCTTCATGGCTCTTCTTCAGTTCCATGTGAAGAAGGAGAACATGCAGGACTTCAACAGCGTCTGTGACGAATCGATCCAGCTGTCTATTCGCAAGTGGCTGCAACTGCCTAAGCGTATCACGAATGCGCACATTCCTATTCTGCAACACTTCCAGCTGTTGGTCGAACTCCACGATGCTAGCCACATCTGCGGCAGCTTGGCTCAGACCAACGAACGCAACCTGGACACCAAGTCTGCAGAGTTGAAGCTTCTCCTCGGAACCTGGCGGGACCGGTTGCCAAATCTTTGGGACGACATCAACACTTGGCAGGATCTTGTTACATGGCGACAGCACATCTTCCAGCTCATCAACCAGACCTACCTTGGTCTTCTACCCCCCCAGACAAACAATGTGGCCAGCAACTCGTATGCCTACCGAGGATATCATGAGACGGCCTGGATCATCAATCGCTTCGCCCACGTCGCTCGCAAGCACCAAATGCCCGAGGTGTGCATCAACCAACTCAGCCGCATCTACACGCTCCCGAATATCGAAATTCAGGAGGCTTTCCTCAAGCTGCGCGAACAAGCCAAGTGTCACTACCAGAACCCGAAGGAGCTGAACAGTGGATTGGATGTAATCAACAATACCAATCTCAACTACTTCGGACCGCAGCAAAAAGCCGAGTTTTATACCCTTAAGGGTATGTTCCTTGCTAAGCTCGATCATACCAATGAGGCCAACGAAGCATTCGGAGTTGCTCTATACTACGATCTCCGCCTCGCCAAGGCCTGGTCTGAATGGGGTCAATACAGCGATCAGCGATTCAAGCAGAAGCCGGATGACTATGAGTTGGCTAGCAATGCCGTCAGCTGTTATTTGGAGGCTGCAGGTCTCTACAAGAGCGCTAAGTCGCGTAAGTTACTTAGCCGGATCTTGTGGCTGCTTAGCTTGGACAACGAAGAGAGCCAGATTGCCAGCGCGTTCGAAAACTTCAAGGGAGATACTCCCGTCTGGTACTGGATTACTTTCATTCCTCAGCTTTTGACCAGCTTGTCTCACCGCGAGGCACGACTGTGCAAGGCTGTCCTTGTCAAGATCGCCAAGCTGTATCCGCAGGCTCTCTTCTTCCTCTTACGCACGAACCGAGAGGACATGCTGAGCATCAAGAAGCAGCATGACCAGAAGCAGGAGAAGCTGGCCCGGGCTAGACAACAGCATCAGCAAGCATCCTCGCCGAGTACCAAGCCGCCAGCAAGTGGAGAAGCCTCTCCTGCCCAGAAGGCTGTTACCAGCGTCCCTAGTGCCTCTCCTGCTAACCAAGCTGCGAACCTGCCTACCGCTCAATCCCCTGCCCAGAACCAGGCACAGAGCCAGTCTCCGGCCCTAGGACAAGGCCAAAGCCCAACTCCAGGCCAAGCCGGTCAGACTCCAGCTCAAGCACAAGCACACCTCCAAGTACCAGGTCAAACCGGAACTCCACAACAGAACCAGAACCAAGCAGCCTCCACGGAGCAGCCCGAGAAGGAGCCCCTCAAGAAGCCTTGGGAGTACTCGGACGAGATCATGTCCGGTTTGAAGACTGCTTTCCCCTTGCTCGCTCTGTCTATGGAGACTATGGTCGACCAGATCCACAAGAACTTCAAGTGTCCGCCTGACGAGGACGCTTATCGACTGATTGTTGCCCTCTTGAACGATGGCCTGTCCTACGTTGGACGCATGCCTGGATCTTACGCGCAAGATTTCAAACTACCTGCAGCTACCGAAGCCAACATCACTCGATTTGCAGAGACAATTCTTCCGGCACATATCCGCAAGTCTTTCGAGGCGGACTTTGTCGTCAAGAAGCCTACCATGCATGAGTATATTCACAAGCTGCGGCGTTGGCGCGACAAATTCGAGGAGAAGCTCGACCGTCGACCCCAATCTGGCTTCCTGGAGACCTACTCGCCCCACCTCAGCGAGTTCCGCTTCCTCAAGTTCGATGAAGTCGAGATCCCCGGCCAGTACCTCCTGCATAAGGACAAGAACCAGGACTTTGTCCGCATCGACCGCTTCCTTCCCGATGTGGACCTTGTTCGCGGTATTGGAGTGTGTCACCGCCGTCTCAAGATTCGCGGCCACGATGGCAGCATTCATGCCTTCGCTGTTCAGCACCCTGCTGCACGCCACTGCCGCCGTGAGGAGCGTATTCTCCAGCTATTCCGGATCTTCAACGGTCTGCTGGCTAAGCGCAAAGAGAGCCGTCGTCGCAACCTCTATTTCCATCTTCCTCTGATGGTTCCTCTGGCACCGCATATCCGCTTGGTGCGTGATGACTCGTCTTACATTTCTATGCAAGGCATCTACGAGGACTACTGCAGACGAGTTGGTATGAACAAGGATGAGCCGGTCCTCTTTACGATGGATCGTATGCGTTCTCTGGCAGAGACGAAGCAGAATGTGAGTTCAACCGCCTTCGATTACTATCAGGACATAACTGACATCTCTCAGCGCACAACCGACCAGCAACAGGTTCTACGCACCGAGATCTTGACCGCTATTCAGGAGAAGTGGGTTCCCAGTAACGTGGTGTTGGACTACTTCCAGCAGACTTACCCCAACTTCGCGGACTTCTGGCTCTTCCGGCGACAATTCGCCTACCAGTACGCCGCAGTTGCGTTCATGACCTACATCATGCACATTGGCAATCGGTACCCGAACAAGATTCTGATCTCACGTTCGACTGGCGACATCTGGGGAGCAGAGTTGATTCCGACCATCAACCCTAGCAAGGCCATTTTCTACAACCCAGAGCATGTGCCGTTCCGATTCACACCCAACATCCAGACCCTGCTGGGTCCCATCGCCACCGAGGGTCTGTTTGCCTGTGCCATGATGGCGATCGCACGTTGCCTGACGGAGCCACGACACGAGCTGGAGCAGCAGCTGAGCGTCTTCGTCCGCGACGAGATGATGTTTTGGGCTACTGCCCAGCACCGTGGTGTCCTGCCTGTCCCACAGCTGCGCGAGCTAGTCTACAACAACAGCGACATCATCGCCAACCGCGCTGTCAGTCTGGCCAGCCCTCCAGAGGGCAACCTGCCCGCCAACCAAACCTCGATCGATTTGATCTCCCGGGCGGTTAACCCCCAGCACCTTGCTCAGGGCGATGCGTTGTGGATGCCATACCTCTAAGTTGTTGCTTTTTGCTGATTGTCCTCTGCTGTTTTTTCTCCAAATCCTGGAGTGGCTTTTTGTCATTGCTGCATAGGCTTTGCGGGTTGGTTTTGCTTTTGAGCGTGGCGCTTTGGTAACGAGGAAATTATCCTCCCTATTTGGCTTAAGATGTTTGTGATACCGATTTCTGTATTTTTCTATTTTCTGTTTCCAGTTCAATAGCCTAATCTATTCAGTCATTCAAAATTCTCTCTTGAAGTAGTTGCCGTTAATGTAGAGTAAACGCCTGGCATTACCCTGTGATATTTCGTATAGATAAATCAAACGCCCGCGCCGATGATATTAAAAATGGAAATCAAACAAGAGACTGCTTCTTCTTGATCCCAAGAAGACTACCGGTAGGCTTCTTCGGTTTCTTGACCCGTGCAAATGACGCCGATGGCGGTGGCATTTGAATCGAGGAAAGCTTCGATGTTGACGATCCAGCCAGGATGGGTGGCTCCACCTCGTCCTCAACGATGCGCTTGATCCTTTCTCCGGTAGAAGTCATGAAAGCCTGGCACGCCGCCTCCTCATCCTCTTTCTCCTGCCGCAGCTTGGCCTCGTCCACCTCGTCCCGGACAAAGCTCAGAGCCACATCATCACTCTTCGTCTCGTTCCGCTCGATGCGCGCATTTCGTGTCCGAATCTCATCCAAAGCATCCGCAATAGCCATCTCGCGCTTCGAGTCTTTCATTTTCTCCTCCAACTCAGCCATCTTATCACGCTCAAGCTGCTCCGCCTCTTCATTCTCCTCGCGCTCGAGACGGTCCAGCGTCTGCTCCTGCGTCTCATTGTACTTGTCGTCCTTGGAATCTCGCCACACCTCGAAGTTTCGCTTGGCGCCCTTTTCGCATTCGTAGTCCATGTTCTTCGGGTCCGTGCGGAATGTGATCTCGCCGCTGCATCGTGTGCAGCGGATGTAGAAGCGATAGATTGGGATGTTGAGATATTTTTCTTCGAGGCTTTCTTTGCGCGCGTTGAATTTCCGCCCTCGGTATATATATTCTCCGCAGCTAGTGCATTTCATGGAGAACGGGGCCATCAGACGGACGGTGATGACCTTCGGTCCCTTTTGGCGGAGGTGTTTGGGCGTGCGCCCGATCGCCGACGGGTCGAAGTCGGGTGGGTAGTATTTGGTCAGGACCTTTCGCTCGGACATCTTGACGGTGGACTGGGGGTATCAAAGTTGGGTTTGGGGTAGTCAAGAAAGTGAAAGAACTTTGAGAAGTGGCGGACTGATGCTGATATCAACACGTGACTTCCAAGCACGTGACATGGCGTCTCTACGGAAGTCGCGTAGCTGAAGGCGTCTCGAGGGGTGACTGCGTCAAGTAGCTTCGTTGGTCGATTCATGGAATATTTATGCACGCTGGGTACTTTTTCAACGCATCCTGTCTACTCGAGTTGGGTAACGTCTATATACTGTGTACGTGCACGGGCCACTGTTTGTCCACAATTCGCGACCCGCTCTGATGCGAGCTGCACCGCGGCTTTTGACTGGCAAATTCTCCGAGGCACTGAGCTCATGCCCTCTCATTATCCTCCCCAGCTCTGACACGTCCGAACTGTGGCGATGGAAAAGTATCTGCGTTCCTGGCGGCAGGACGCGCTGAATCGCGGCCAGCATGATTCCGCCATCTACATTGGAGACAAGGTGCTGGCACTGACCAGTAAGTTTCTCGTCGCGTTGAATTCATTGCAGCAGGGCTGACAAGGACTCTACAGATAGCGACTCAGATGCCTTTTGGCTCGCTCAAGTTCACTTTTCGAATAATAACTTCACACGCGCGTTAGCCTTGTTGTCCCGCAAAGATCTTGTGTCTCGAAGCACCGCCTGTCGTTACCTTGCAGCCCACTGCTACATCAAACAGAACCAATTCGAGCAGGCCCTGTCAATACTCGGCGAACACAACCCTACGGACCTGGTGCGTAATACCAATAGTCGGCGGAAGATACAGCACCTCGACGGCCAAAACCATGTTACGCTGCGGAATGGGAAGAGCGCGCGCAACGAGCGAGGTGGAGAGCGAGGTGGAGAGCGAGGAGGGGAGCGAGGAGGGGAGGATCGCGAGCGAGATGATGCCAATAATGTTCGGTTCGAGGCCGCCATGTGCTATTTGAGAGGTCTCTGCTTTGCGAAGCAGAATGCGTTTGACCGGGCCCGCGACTGCTACAAAGACGCGGTGCGAATCGACGTGCAATGCTTCGAGGCATTCGATCAGCTTATGAAGAACTCCTTGATGTCGCCGACAGAGGAGCTTGAGTTCCTCGAATCCCTAGACTTCGACTCTGTTTCCTCTCCCGACCCCACCATTTCCCAGGAAGCAGCACACTTCACCAAAATGCTCTATACGACCCGGCTGTCCAAATACTCGTCGCCCGCCATTTTATCGGATGCGACTGAGACACTGTCCACACACTACAATCTCTCAGAAAACCCAGACATACTTTTGTCGCGTGCAGAGGCATTCTACACCCAGTGTCGCTTCGCCGAAGCCCTGGAACTAACCTCCTCCATCCTCTCTACCTCCCAGTCGGGTGAATTGACGACAACGAGCAATTCCAGCATGCCCGCGAACAGTAATATTGGCCATGCTCCCGCGGTCTATCCGCTCCATCTGGCCTGTTTATATGAGACCGGAGCTACCAATGCGCTTTTCTTGCTTTCCCACATGCTTGCAGATCACGCCCCCGAAGAACCCTACACCTACTTGGCCATCGGTGTCTATTACCTCGCCGTGTCGAAGATTGCTGAAGCCAGGCGGTTTTTCTCTAAGGCATCCTTACTTGATTCCCATTCGGCACCAGCATGGATTGGATTCGCCCATACCTTTGCTGCTGAGGGGGAGCATGATCAAGCTATCGCAGCTTACAGTACGGCTGCGCGACTTTTTCAAGGTAGTCATCTGCCGCAGCTCTTCTTGGGCATGCAGCATCTGGCACTGAATAACATGTCACTCGCCCATGAGTATCTGTGTGCTGCGTATGCCATGTCGACTGGATCTGTACCGGGCTCTACTCCTAATCTTCCTTCGAATCTCGCAGCTGCACCGCTTGGTGGAGATCCCCTCGTTTTGAACGAGCTTGGTGTAGTATTCTACCATCAAAACAACTTGGGCGCAGCTGTGGAGTTGTTCCGACAAGCCCTGGCGTTGGCTACTTCTCTTCACTGTGAGCCTGGCGCATGGGTCGCTACTCGTGCGAATCTCGGGCATGCATTGCGACGCTTGGGCCGTCTGCATGAAGCTCTCCGCGAATTCGACGAGTGCCTTCGTGTGGGCGCGGGTGGAACCAGCATGGGGTACTCGCCCTTCTTGGGCGGTGGGGCGGGTGGCTCCTCGGCTGTTGCCACGGCATCGGGCGTTGGTGGCTACGAAGATCGCGGTCTGGTCGGATCGCTGCATACGTCACGGGGACTACTTCTGCTGGAACTCGGTCGCACCACCGAAGCAGTGGCCGCTCTGCACGAGGCTGTTCGAGTACTGGGGGCAAGTGGGGGTGGGGATGCCGCAGGCGGGGCAGGTGTTGCTGGCACGCTCCTTTCCCGGGCACTCGAACTCTGGGCCCTTGAAGGACGCGAGAAAGATCGTAAATGGATGGCAGAGGGAGCCCGATCGCAAAGTCGGAGTTCAAATCGATCCCGTGAGGTTCGGGGTAAAGAACGGCACATGCAGGATGAGAGCTCCCGGCGCCGCGCACGTCCAGAGCCTTATCCTGAGGAATGGACCGACGAAGTGACACATACAGCTACGCCAGATGCGGCAGATACCGAAATCGCCGAAGAGAATGTTGCATCTGTTCTCGATGAAGAAGCTGACGGACTCCTCCGCCGGGCTTTGGGTCGCGTACGTCCCGGTCGACAGCGCCGGTCAGCTATGCCGGCCACTCCTGACACGGAGATGAATGATACACCGGCACGCAGTCGCAGGCATCACCGGAGCCAGTCCCGACAGTGAGCTTTCACATTGCATTCCAGGCGTTATGGAGGATAAACGAAGCGATTCAAGGGGCATCGGCGGAGCAGATTCATGTTTACTATACCAGGCATTTTCACCTAAAAGACTTATGGAAGTTCCGAATTGGGGAGGCTCGCACATCTCGAGCCAGTGCTCTTTCACCATTTCCTTATCTTGCGCTCTTATGTATAGACAGTATAGACGGCTGCCAATCTGCCAATCTGTCAATCTGTCAATCTGTCAATCTGTCAATCTGTCAATCTGGCAGGGGACTCACGTGACCTGCACATCGGCACGGATCCATGGATTGTCAACGGTGTGGCTTATCGAGAAAAAGCCCCCCTGGGGAGCCGAAGGCAGCAGAATTAGAAGTCAAATTTAAATTTAAATTCAAATTCAAATTCAAAATAGAATGAGATTCGAATTCTGTTAGATTCGAATTCGAATCGGCCCCGATAACCCTTCTCTTGTGCCAACCTTCCCGGACTCCTAAATTTGTCTTTCCTCTCTCTGGTTCTTGATTTAGGGGCTGCCGAGCGCCACTACCGCTGTGGATTGCCACTAATCGTGCTGGGCCTTATTTTAGCCTACACCCATGGCTCAACGTGCATGAAACCATACGTAGGCTTGACACTGATAGCAAAAAAACCTAAGAATGAGTGGCCCCTTTGGCCCCCTCGTGTTGGGGTGTGATTACGCGGGGGCCTTTAATGGAGTGGCTATGAAGGCCTTTGCGTGGGGCAACGAGGCTATATTCTTGGCTTCCGAGTTTCTTGGCTATGGCGGAGCACTGGAGCCTCGCTAGTATCGGACCCTGAGTGACTACTATCCATGGAACAGGATGCTGCCTTGTCCCCTAGACAGTCGGCCGTGCTCTGAATATACCTCTCCTGGCAAGGGATCGTCCACGCAACCGCATTCGGAGTTCAAACGCGTCCTCGGGGGCTAAGTGGACCGGGACGCAGGCACAGAGTTAAGTAGCCATTGGTGCGGCAATGACGCGACAGGGCCCCACCGTCCTGGGAAAGTGATCTTCACCACCTTGAATTCATTCAGTTCATTCTTCGCCCGAGCTTGATCTCCATTTCACCTTCTCCCCCCACCCCCCCTTTCCCTTCCTCCAACCTCCGAAGAGATGCTCTTACCACCATGACCGCGAAGTATCCCTTACTACGTCCACGACGCGGCCTGTCGATGCTCTGTATCATTGCTTGCCTCTCCTGCAGCGTCATTCTCGCCATCTGGTATGGCATGAACTCCGATCGCGACTACATTCATCCAGTCCTCACACAATTGATTCCCGCGGGCCACTGTGCTTGTCAAACATCCACCACCTTCCAATGCTCTACCTGTCTCTCCTGTCCCGAGACAAGTCTTCAAATACCTTCATCCCCTAGATGGTCCTTCGACTACGCCCGCGACGCTCGCAATGAGGCCCTCGATAGCAGACAGTGCGAAGCTGCCTTCCCAGGTCTGTTTGAAGATGTTGCGCGTGGCCAGAAATACTGGCGCGCACTTCAAGGCCTGGTGACCGAGGACCTCGACGTGATCCACTTACAACCAGGAATGGCGCGCGTCTTCATTTCACAAGGTCATCTGCATGTGGTCGCTGCGCGCGCCAAGGGTGAGGACCACCGACGGAAAATTCTGGGGGTATTGAGCTCGATCCATCGTGCGCTGGCCGCCGACCAAGATCGCGCCGCACGCCGCGACATCGAATTCGTCTTCTCTGTGGAAGATAAAGTGGAGGACGTCACGAATTCGGAATACCCTGTCTGGGTCTTCGCCCGCACCCCAACCGAAGAGGGCGTATGGCTCATGCCAGACTTCAGCTTTTGGGCCTGGGATAACCCTACCAACTATATTGGCCCCTACGACCAGGTGGTCGATCGCATCACAAAATTGGACGTTCCCTGGAACGAGAAAAAACCGCAACTTGTATGGCGCGGCAAGCCAAGCTTTGCGCCGAAGCTGCGTCGCGCATTGATGGAAGCCGCGCGAGATAAACCCTGGGGTGATGTGAAGCAGGTCGAGTGGTCCTCCGGCACCAACGTGCTCAAGATGGAGGACCACTGCCATTACATGTTCATTGCCCACGTCGAAGGTGAGAGACTAGATCAGCGACAAGCTCCTCCTGGATCAGCCACTGACACGTTCTTCGTAGGACGATCATACTCCGCATCCCTCAAATACCGACAAGCTTGTAACTCAGTCATTGTCGCACACAAACTCCAGTACATCCAACATCACCACTATCTCCTCGTCTCCGAAGGCCCGAACCAGAACTACGTCGAAGTCGAGCGCGACTTCAGCGACCTCGGCGACAAGATCGAGCCTCTCGTCCGCGATACCGACGCCGCAGAACGCATCGCCAATAACAACGTCAAAACTTTTCGCGAACGATACCTTACACCAGCAGCCGAAGCATGCTACTGGCGCTCGCTATTTGGCGGCTACAGCAGCGTGTGGAATAGCACGGTGAATCCATGGTCCGACCGAGACCACAAAGAGCGCGGTCTCCGGTATGAGTCCTTCGTGCTGCTGGAAAGTCCGAAAATGTTCGAGTTCAGGGCTGATCGCTCCTTCTTGTGATCTGCATAAACACCAATAGAGTGCCACGACCCTAATATTTACAGCATAATGTTAATATCTTCCCCTGTGCCGCCTGGGCGGGGTTGGGGAAGAGTGATGTCAATCAGCAACAGAGGCGTTCAGCGCAAAAACGTGATACCACAGCGTCGGCTTTTTTCTTTCTTTTTATTATTGGCGTCTTTGGAAGATACAGATACCAGCTTCATACAATGGAGATTTTGAATTGCTTCCAATGTTGGTTCATGAAGGCTTTGTCAGACATGGAGGATGAGATGAGATGGGACAAGGCTTTCTAAGATGAGCCCAAGGCGCCTCGGGAGTGCCTCGGGGGTACCTCGGGGATACATCTAGGCAGATACCTGCACAATAAAACCGCAAACTATACCCATGTCTCAAAAACCCCCGCCTTGTCAGCGGCGAGTTGTCTGATATCTCCAGCGCTCCGAGGTTCCAAAGGTTTCGGCGGTCGAGCGTCTGTTCCAAATCTCCGTGTTCTGAGAAGATAGGCGACTAAAGATATTGTCTCCTAGCTATTACCTGCATTTAGAAAACCCGACAAAAATGGAAAATCTCATATCCCGCTTAGTGGACAAACGTGCATTATCCCAGGATATTCTGCTGTGTAAATTATATACATGGTCAGGCACTTCCAAGTGTTGTAACTGTCTACACTAGGTACCTAACCATGTCGATACTCTACACAGCAGAACAAACAAAGATCCGTCGACTTTATCTCCAGTGAAAAGTAGTAGAAGAATGCCAAATTACCGACAGAGAGGTCCAAATTTGGAACCCAACGACGTACCTCTTCCACCTCCGCGCCCCTAAAGCAGCTCACCATGATTAGAACGGAGAGTAAGGCTGAAGTATATTCGTATGTCAATTCGACATCCATTTTCCAGCAAGCACATCTTAGTCATCGCGACATGAATGAAACAGCAAACGCCTTCGTAATACCAGACCCAACCCAACACCCGTGAACAAGTGAGAAACCATGGAATAGACCAAAGCCTTGGAACATGACAAGACCTTTGAAGAGAGTCCGAAGGGAGTCCTGAAAAACAGAAAGAGAAAAACAAAAACAAAAGAAAAACAGAAGAAAAAAGATTTTGCTCGAAAGGAGTCAGTAATCAAGTATCTCAGCACGGTGGTACAACAGAGATGATATGACACCGAGACCCTTTGACGTTCTTTCCCTCAACTGCTTCCAAGGTTCATAACCGTCCCTGACCGCGTGGCTTCACTTCTTTCTTTCCTCTTTGTTCCCCAAAGCCCAAAATGGATATCGAAAGCAAATACAGTGCTCAGGAGACCATTCAAGATGTGGACTTTGTCCAGGAGGATCTGCAGTCAAAGGTCTCGAAGCCGTTGGTGAGTTGAGTTCATCTCTTTGGCGCGTTTGGTACCTCTGTTGACTTTCCCCAGTGGATTCTCATCGTCCTGACCATCCTTTCTTCAACTTTTCTGTTCTCGCTGGATAATACCATCGTCGCGGATGTGCAGTCTCCCATCGTCGATCGGTTCGGGGAGGTAGGGAAACTGAGTTGGCTGGGTGTTGCCTTTGTGCTTTCTGGCTCCGCTACGATTATCACCTGGTATGGACCATCGGGATGCATTGGGGGGTTTTATTGACATTGCTACAGGGGAAAGCTGTTTGGGATCTTCAGTGCCAAATGGCTGTACCTGACCTCCGTTGTTTGTTTTGAGGCTGGCAGTGCGCTTTGTGGAGCTGCTCCCAGTATGAATGCGTTCATTATTGGCCGTGCTCTTGCGGGGTTGGGGGTTAGTATGGGCATATTCTATAGATTTCTCACAGACTAATGGGTTATAGGGCGCAGGCATGTACCTGGGCTGCATTACTTTGCTATCACTCACCACTTCTGTTCGGCAGCGGCCTAATTACATGGCGCTCACTGGAATTAGTATGTTGTTGCATCCCTTGGAGGCTTGTCAGATACTAACAGATGCTTTAGCTTGGGGATCTGGGACTGTGCTTGGTCCAGTGTATGAGTTCCCCCGTCCCCTTACAGAGCCAATACTGACAGCATGGTAGGGTTGGTGGTGCATTCTCGGAAAACCCACACACGACCTGGCGTTGGGCCTTCTACATCAACCTTTGCATTGGCGGTGCTTTTGCTCCAGTCTACATCTTCTTCCTTCCCCGGGGCGATCCCCAGAAAGGCATGACGCTTAAGCAGAAGCTGCTGCAGATCGACTATCTCGGCATGGTGTTGAACGTCGGTGCGTTCACGGCCTTGATCATGGCAATCAACTTTGGAGGAAATCTCTTCAACTGGGCTGCTGGACAGGAGATTGCACTTTGGGTTGTTGGTGGTGTCTTACTGCTTTTTTTTGTTCTGCAGCAGCGGTTCACCATTGGCACCACGGACACGGAGCGCATTTTTCCTGCTGATTTCCTACGTCAGCCTCTGATGTGGTTGCTCTTTGCGCTTATGTGCTCTGCTTCTACTTGTGTTTTTGTCAGTTATATCCACCTTGATCGCGTTTGAGCTAGCTGACATTCTGCAGATCCCCACCTACTACATTCCCCTGTATTTCCAGTTTGTGAAAGGGGACTCGGCTCTGACTGCAGCAGTGCGGCTGCTTCCCTTTATCTGCCTGATGGTCGTCTCTGGATTCGCGAATGGCGGGCTCATGTCCAAGTTTGGGTACTACACGCCCTGGTACCTGGCTGGTGGAATCCTGACAACCATTGGAGGTGCTTTGATGAGTATGTACATTGTCTCGGTAACGGGACTAACCACTAACACTACGAGCAGGCACCATCGACGAGAACAGCTCGAACAGCCTAGTTTACGGATACTCTATTCTTATCGGAATCGGCGCTGGCATGTTCATCCAAGCAGGCTTCTCAGTAGCGCAAGCCAAGGTCACCCCGTCACGAGAATCGGATGCTTCTTCTTTCATTGCACTGGCACAGAACCTCGGCATTGTCCTCGCATTGGCAATCTCTGGAGCTGTGTTCCAGAACAAGGCACTCGACGAGCTACAGAAGATTCTTCCTAACCTGCCGCGGGATGCACTCCGGGGAGCCATTTCGGGATCGAATGGTGGTATTCTGAAGCAGATCCCGGCGGACACAAAGGTCAAAGTACTCCATGCTGTGGTCGATGCCATGTCTCGCACATACTACCTGGTAGTAGCTGCGGGCGCTTTGACAATCATTGGGTCTCTGTTCATGAAGGTCAGCCTACTCACCAAAAAATACAAGAAAAAGGCTAACATGGAGATAGCACGAGAGAATCTTCATGCAAGCTGCCGTCGCAGCGTGATTTAACCCGAATCATTTTACTCGGCTATCTTGAAGAATAAATATCTCACTGAAACATTGATTAAGAGTGGAGACAAAGTCGCTATGGGGTTTAATCAAAATTGTCTTGTATCGAGCACGCAAGATTATGTAGTTCCGATCCGTTTCATAAGGTCTAGAATCCATTCAGAATGCTAGCAGACAGCGAAAACCCATACCAAACCGTAGCCACAAGCGCAATGGCATTGACATGAATAGACATCGCATGGTTGACTGCAAACCCCCGATTCGCCTGGTGAACTTTGCCTTCGTCCGGATCCGCCGAGTTCTTCTTGTTCTCTGTACACATATCAGCATCACTCACGCCTGTCCTTGATGGAAAAGTCCAAATCAGGTATTTCTCCACGAGTTGAAATCTCACCATGAAGCGACCGTCTAACGAGCGATGCGGTCGTAGTTCTCGGCCCGTAAATGAACCAGTTCAAAGATCCCATCACCAGCACCACACCCAGTGGCACGACGCTCCATACATCCTGGACCAGCGATACGATGCTAAACGGTGGTCGGGTGGCGGCTGTTAGCGCGGCGAGGCCGACTTGGCAGCCGAAGTATACGGGAAAGATGCGTTTGTTTAGGGTGATGAACTCGCGCATTGGGAGGGCTTGGTAGCAAATTTTGGTGTTGACGAAGCTCTGAAGGGTATTAGGACTTGGATTGGAGGTGAGTGGAAGGGATACCTAGGCTTACCTGGTACACTTCTGCCCCGAGCAGGGCGCCGTATGAGAGGAGGTGGTAGGGGAGGAGGTTCCCCATTGTCTTGAGAACGTCCATCTGGCTGAGTAGTGAGTAGTGAGCAGCGAAGCGTGATGGGTGGTCAGCGATCTGTGCCGATTGAGTGCATTCTTGAAAGAGATATGTCAGTGAGTCTGGCCTGGGGAGTCTACTAAAGAGTGAGGTTGCACAAGAGCGAGCCTTGGGTCCCAGTAGTCAGCAAATCCGGCTGCCTACCTGGGCTTGGCGGCTGACGGATATCTTCCCTGCTAAAAATTCCGAGTCTGATTCTAATTCGAGCTGATCGTAGGTTGGCGTGGTTGAAGTGGCTGACCGTTGCGTATATGTCAATTGGTCGCCGTGGTTGGTAGATCGCCGTGGTGCCCTAAGTTCGTGGCGTGATGTTCGGTGTCGCCGACAGCTTGGGAAGAAGACAATGCACCAAGTTGAGTCTGCTTCCAGTAGAACTCGAAAACAGATTACCTCTTGGACACTCACTTTCTTTCCGAGCGCCCCACTCGAAACTACCCCAATTACAGGTTCCGGCATTGGCAGATCTATTTGAGACACTGACCTGGCCGTACCCATTACGGCGCTAGTCTATATTTGATCAAGTCATACTTAATCAGTTCCTATGAAAAGATATATCTCAATTCCAAAACGATTGAGGTAGTTATGTATAATACTGTATTTTACACGACAGTCCTATATAACCCCGAGTTTCCAAAATATGTCATATCATAGGCTTCGCACATAGATCTTTCCCAAAATCTCTAGGCATTCGAGTTGTGATAATTCCCTAACTTGAACAACTTCTTCGCATTCTCTCTTCCAACTTTAGCGTAGTTTTCAGCTCCACCAAGAGCCTCCGATAAGCCCTCCTTGTCATTGTCGTACCAAGACGCACCATCCTGGATCTTCTCGTAGGGCGAATCAACCGAGAACAGGATTCTATCGGCGCCCACGTAGTCACAAACGAACTTGACTGTCTCTGTGGAAAAGTGGCCGCTAGTCGTGAGGTAGATGTTGTTTTTAAAGTAGTAAATGAGATCTTTCTTGCACATGGTATCGCCTCGTGACTCAGCCAGTGGTCTTTCAACATCTCGTAGCCAGTGATTGGTGCGCCAGAAGTCCTGAGGCATCCGCTCGCCCAGATGGCCCACAATCAGTTTTAGATTGGGGTGACGGTCGAATACTCCGTTGGTTATCAACCCCAGAACATGCAGCGACACGTCGATCGCAAATGACTCTGGGGGCCCAATCAGATACCTTCTTTTCTCGTAGAACTGTTTGAAATGGGTCCCCATCGGTGCCGACGGATGAAGGTAAAAAGGAACATCCAACTCGACGCATTTCTTCCAAAATACATCATATTCGGGCTGGTCATAGAACAGATACGTTTCTCCATCTGCTCCCGCATGCTGCCAGTTGTTCACAAGAGCCCCATGGAATCCATACTCTTTCACACAGCGTTCAAGCTCTTGCGCCGCCTGGGCAGGGTCATGCATTGAGAGCGTGGCGAAGGCGCCCATCCGGTCAGGGTATCCTTATATCTCGTTGGCAATCCAGTCATTCGCATCGTGCGCGTGCTTTTCCGCTTTAGCTTTGTCTGCGATACCTTGGCAGCCCGGAACCGTCAATGACCAAATTGTGTATCCGATGCCATGGTGGTTTGATAGATCAAGACGCTCGCCGGTGGGGTGTTTGATTTGGCTCAGATACCTCTCGAGGTCTTTAGGGGCAATATAAAGAGCAGCTTGGTCGCGACTCGAGTCCGCCAGAGTAGGTATTTCGTAGGCTTCTTCAAAGGAGACCTTGCCGAGCATTTTGATAAGTCGTAGTTTTCAACGAGTTGCTTTGTTGGAATGTGAATATTATAGTTAAGGAGCATGATCTGCCTCGAAATGTACACATTTTATAGACTGCTGAGACTTGTTTGCTTGACGTAATGGTCACACTGAAGTCTATGATCATTGCAATGGCATTGAAAACCAGTCTATGCACGATCCATCGGCTATATCCTGAAAAACCATGTGTGGAAACACCGGAAGCCGTTGCCTAGAACCTAAGCCGAACAATCGCCAAGACACATGGAGATACCAACCGATTCAATCCGCGCTTTTCAGACGCGATGTATCGTTAAGCATTAATCGATCATTAATACACTTTTGACCATGAATGTATCGTTCGCTGATCGGCGTTGTGCTCAATAGTATTATGGTCCAATGCGTTTTCTTTCTTGTAGATAGGCGTCTTTACAGTAAGTTTTCTCTGCCATCGCTTCTACTGTCTGCATATTCTTTACCTTTGAGTGACGGCAATCTCACACGTCATCGTTGAGGGCATAGATCTGTAGCTCTAGAGTCTTGGCACAATAAACTCAAAATACCATCTACCGAGTTACTCTTGATATACCCATGTATCTACCCGCTGGAAAGGGAAGGTATATAAGTACACTCGTTAATATTTATCTCTCAAGGACTTCGCGAACAAGATGGGTTGCTACTTTTATTTTGCCTATGTTTGCACTGAAGTATTCACAGCTCACTTTTGCGGGCAAATATCCAACCAGCATAGGACGTACTCTAATAGTGGCCTATTTGGCGGTCTATCTAGCACATTCAAAAAGACCACTATATACACACGGGCCCGTTTAAAGTCTAGTGGACCAGAAAACGGTACGGTTGCGAGCTGATGATTAAAGGACTGACAGACGGTGGCCCGGAAGGCCCGGAAGGCCCGGAAGGCCAATCCCCGCCACCCAAAAGTAGTGCTGATCAAATGTTCTGCTTACATACCACCAAGGGCCTAAGAGAGTGTTGTACACGGGGGCAAGAGAAGCATTACACGTGATTTATATATTGGCGGGTGTTTTGGGTAGGCATCGGCAGCCTTCGAAGGCAAGATGACTGAGCCTAATGCTGACCACGTACCTCATTATCATCCCAAATCGCGCACATTCCCCAGGCAACTACTCCCTCTGACCAATTAACATTCACGCAGTAGGTGGACGTAAATTAAGCCCGACCGCTAGGTCTCCTCCATCCTTTGATTTAAGTTCTTCTTTGAAACATTCCGGGGGAGAAAACGGTAATTTACTCTGACTCAATGAGCAATTACATACCAATACGCTGTGCACCATAGTGCTGCTAAATCCTTTTCGGCAAACAGGATTGTCCAATGCCAGAAACTGTACTTACGGTGATTTTGGATCTACCAGAAGTACAATGGCATGACAAAAGTATTTACATCCCTCTAGACCCCAGCCTAAATTACATAATTTTCTGCAGGTCAAAAGCCTCCATGAGTCTCCATGAAATTGATCTGGTAAAGTGTATACCATGAGACCCAATAATATCCTCCACACGGTTAAGCATAGTCTCAGAGAGATGCTGTAGGTGTCTGATATCAAGCAGATTCTATGCTTCCTGCGCGGTAGCTACCAATATATCCTTGGTGTCGTCGTTATTCCTCATATGTATTAGATGAGGCTGGAGCTCATATATTTTTGCCTGAAGTAACGCCTAGAGATTTTCAAGGTCGTCCGCGGGCATCGCACAGTGTAGCAGTCCATCAGCCCAAGGCCATTGAAAAGTGAAACCGACCGCTCCGCTGCCATCACCAGGGTCAAAATGTCGCACGCATGTCTCCCGGACAAAGGAATCCAGTTTTCGATCTTGTCCACATGGCATTCGCAAGGTTTTGCCAACATCAAGTCGCCTCCAGGGCTTCCCGGCTGGGACATAGCAGAAACTGGCTAGGACATGGGTGCATGTAAATATTGAGACTCTTGGACATAGCGCTGAACCGGAAGGTTAATCTTACTAGCATCTCATTTATCCACCTTCTAAATAAGGCAAGAGGTAAAGATTTTGCTCTTGGTCTTGGCGCAGTCGGGGCATATTCGGATCTTGTCATCGTTGCGCATTCAATTTAAGGTCCGAGAGAATAGGAAACTAACATGGGATGATATTTTGAATTGTCAGATTGGATACTATAGTTATCAATCACGTCATGGAATGTAGCTTGAAGTTTCTTGAGACATTAGTTTAGAATGGCAGTGTAGATTGAATTAAGTATCACTTAGCAGCGAGAACGCTTGAGCCATGGCATGTCTTCAATCCATCAGCGAGAAAACTGAGAAACTATCAACATAAATTAGGCCCTTCATGGCTCACCAAGACTCTCACTTCCAAGGCTTATTCTGAGAACTATCATGGCTACTAGGAACCAGGTAAGAGTAGCCCCAAAGCATGTCGCACAGTTCTAGCCACGCCGAGTGGCTCCAGACAACGCGAAAAGGCGGAAGAACAAAGGCATCTCCATCTCACCAAGTGCCACACCACATCCCAAAGAGCCGGTAGCTGGAGATTCAAGGAAAGCCCCATATCTGCCCACTTGATAACCCGCCAAGCCCCTTGATGCGTGAAGCGAGTGCAGCACTACCAACAAATAGGATGGAACAATAAACTTTCTAGAAACTATCCCCGCAGAAAGATAAGCTGAGAAAGGCAAAGTGACATAGATCCAGCATGGGTCTATCACGCAGCTGAAAGCCTGGATCCATCCCCCAGTCATTTTCAGACCGACTCTGGCCCCCGGGCAGCCGTTGCACAGATGCGTATCACCGTGAGATTCACGCTCTTTGCACATGAATTGCCCGGTTATAAATTCTCGATATTTGGCAACGGCCTGCCAATACCAATTTTCCGGCAATATCGTTTTCTTGTATACTCTGGACTACGGCGAAAAGTCTTCAACGTATAAGCTTGATAGGAATCAAGGACGGCAATTATGAAAGCCGAGAAAATCTCGAAGTCACCGAACGGTGATGGTTTGCCGGGCCAGAAGGAGGATCTATTAGAACGACGGCGCCTTCAAAATCGGCTGTCACAGAGGAATCATCGTAAGTCTGCAAACTGTATTCTCAATGATGATAACTAACTTCAGTCAGGTCGCAAAATCAGAGATCGAATTGCGAAGCTGCAGGAACGTGTTATTGCAAATGAACTTAGGGCTTCCGCTGCTCTCAACGGCTGGGACCAACATTACATGCCATCGCCTCTACTTTCCAATCGCCATGTTTCTCACTCTCACTTCAACATGAGCCCTAGGGACCACTTGGCCACCGACCCATCTGCACAATATTCTCATTCATACATACCAACGGTTCCATGGTCTCGAGATATGGCTCTCAATTCACCACTGGGGCTCATGGGAGACCGGGCATGCTTCCTAGATGGGAGCTTCCCCACTTGGCCAAAGTGCTCATCACCTTCAGCTTCGGACTGGACTGAAATATCCGGTATAAATACACTAGGAGGCCTAAGCGAGGATACGTTTCAGGGTTTATTTACCACAGGAGAATCTCTTCCAATAAAGAGCCCCAACAACCTGGACCAGCCTCTGTACTACGTCGCTACAGGTGAGCATATCCAAAATCGCCACAACAAAAACTATGCAATGGACGTGAATCAATACGAGCTGAAATACAGAAACAGCTCTACCTCAAATTCTCCAAGTGCTAAGCGCTATATCACCCCAATCCAAGATCATAGTTCTTGTCCCTCCAGACTCCGCCTCGGCAGCCGCAGCCGGATATCCTTCACCAGCACCAATACTAGGAAACGGACTGGAGCCATTGTCACCACCGCAGATAAATGCAACCTCAACCGCGGGATACCAGTATCAAACGCAGATCGCCCATGGGATATGTTCGGCTCCTGGATCCTATGTGCCGGGGTTTCCATCGCACAAGATGCAGAGTCCCCCTAGTGGAGGATTTTCAGGGATGAGGCTGTGAGATAAAAGAAAGGATATATCCTACGATTTCCCTTGAATTTGATTATAATGGTAGAGGACTTCAATGGAGAAGGCGCTGGTGCTGAGGGTATAGATCGTAAAGTATGAGCACTTGTTTTGATATCTAGGTTTGAAGCATATTGCAGACCGAGGCTTTGGTAAAAAATGGATTGATTTTTGATATTTCTGAAACATGTAGTGTGGTCTGCAAAGATATAAAGCCAAAGTCTCGTGCAATCTATATCCAAGCCCATAGACGTTGCTAGCAGCGAACAACAGCAGACGATATAAAATATAGAAAGGGGGAAAAGTGCTAAGAAAACTACATACGAGGCCATCTGAAATTGAGATTATGCACCTCAACTTCTCCTAGTCACCTGCAAAGGAAATAAAGACAAATTCCCGAAAGAAATTATCTGGTGACTGAAAGAAGCATGTGGCGGATGTGGTGGTGGTGCCCCCGGCGGGGAGGGGCACTCCTCAATTTGACTAGATCAAGACTGGGCCCTTCTAGATCTCGAACTGCAATAACATTACCTATATGAATTACGAATGTAGCCAAAGAATTCACTCTTAGCTTGCTCAGCTGAGCATATGGGGACAGGAGCATGCATATATTGAAATTTACTTAGAAGAAGACAATAACTGACTGAAGCTGACCGGTACCATTTGAAGACCGACAAAACTACAACGATAAAATCTGGATCAATGATCTGAAACAAGTAGAAAAGATCTAGAAAATGGCCTCTCCACACAAGACAAATGATTCTTGTCACAATTTAGTCCTTAGGCACGCATAATTCCATGATACATACAACGGGCGACTTGAGCTAAAGGAAGGAGCGACATGAATACAACTTCAAACCCCATAGGTGAAAGAAGCACTAACATCTAATCAAAGTGAATACGCCACAGTTCGCGATCACAAGCAGTCTTATACCCCGTGCGAGTATGCAGCATAGCCGTGTTATCGCTAATGAGCAGATCCCCCTTCTCCCACTCAAAGCGCAAACATACCCGATGGTCATAAGTAATCCGATCCATAACCCCAACTAGACTAGGATGGTCGTTCTCAATCGTGACATCACAAGTTGAGAACTTGGTTTTGCTCGAGTCCCATGGCTGGTGCCAGCGCACACAGGGCATCCCTGAAACGGGATGTTTCACAATCAGTGGTAGGTTCTTCAACTTGGCGTCCCAAAATCCGTCGTTATCCATTGCCCATGTGATATTTTCCAGGCGCTCAACTGTCCATGGGAGTGGCAGGTACCGGAAGAATAGTCGCGAGCTGGCGAAGAGTGTATACCCGCTTCCTTTTGGTGCGGTCGCTTGGCAGGTGAAGAATTGGTAGCCTGGTGGACATTGAATTCTTCTCATTTCTCCGGTAACGGGATCGGTCACTTCGTTAAACTTGAACATCCCGTCAAAGTGCATGGGCATAGCCTCGTTCGAGGTGACGTTGTTGCCCAGCTTGTCGGTGCGACCGGCATCGCGGACTTTCTGGATTATCCCGAAGCTCCACGGGAGAATACTGCCAAGCTGCTCAGCAGCCTTGACATATAAATCTTCCTGGAGAGTCTCTGAAAAGCCACGTACAATAACAGGTGACATACTGTTTGAAAGCTGGCGAAATTTGCGCATAGGCAGAGCAGTGATTGAAGGGGGTGGGTTGACATTGTCAATGTCGGCAGGACGAATGATAAGTCCGCAGGGATAGAGATGCTCGAACTTAACAGAGATACCGTCTTCAGCCCAGTTGAAGATTTCGGATCTTTCGCGGAAGTAATATGGCTGGCCGTTTTTGTAGATCAGGTCGTGGGTGTCGCGCACGTCTTCAGCGTGAACGGTACGATAGGAGCCATCCACGCCCACTGCTACAGATGCATGCCACGGAGTGAAGCCCAGTGCCCCCCGAAGCCGTGGAATGAGAGACACAGACAGCTTCTTCTCTCCTGCGGACTCATGAATTGACAGTCGGACATAGTCATTTCGATTGGCTTTGATGGCAGCAGCGAACATCTTGCCACGGACGATCATCTGGCGCGCGATTTGAGCAATCTGTGTTTGTCTTGCACGTTTCGATAGCAACTGAGTTTGCTCCTGATGTGCGAGGTCTTTGGTTAGAAATTTGATGTACCCACGATATGTCAAGCAGGTATCATTATCCGTCTTGATTGCCTCGTCGGCATCAAAGGCTGGGTCACCGTGAATGTACATCAGTTCATGGCGAAGACAACTAGCGTGAGCTAGGTAGAATGCTTTGGCATCCTCTGGGCTGTCTGTTTTGAACCATGGATGCTCAAGGAGTTCAAACAGACGGATGAATTTCACATGGTGAAGACCCTTGTCCACGGCCATCTGTCGCAAGGCCTCTCCATAGTCCCAGACTGTCTCATCTGGAACTCCAAGAATGTCTAACGATCCGTTAGAGAGTCTCTTACAGTCATAGTGGGGATCTTACCATTGTACACCAGTCCGTCAGAGCTGATGTATACATCCGCACCAGGCTCGTATACCTGGGCGATGTTCTCGCATAGCCCGTTGAGATGAGCAAGCGCCAACTCTTCACCGAAGTCGGGCATCGTACCCAACACCTTATCCCTTGCATTGGGAGATTTGAAAGGAAAAGCAGGAAGAATCATGCGGATCGGTTCTCCGAGTTTAACACGCTCCTCCACGGTGGGGATGAAGGACTCGAGCCCCTTCCAGGAACCACCATTCTTCTCATAGTCAGCACCATAACTCTCAATGACCTTGAGAATATCGACGGCCATCTTTTTATCGTTTGAATCATCCTCAGAGTGAATTGAAGGTGCAATGTCTCCGTTGACATTATCTGTCGCGTGGTTTGTAGCGGCATTACCGTTTGCGGTAATCGGAATGTGATCGGCGCTGTCAGATTCGGACGACGCTTTATCCACAGTCCTGATGCTGATTGGAGTAGTATCGGCATATTTTGCCTCTTCAGAACTGAAAATGCCATTCTGGGAGGCATTCTGCGGATATAGGGTAGGCAACATGTCCGCAATAGGTGCGAGGGCAACCATCGTGACCGGAGTTGAACTTAGGTCACACTGATGTATAAGCTTTGTCGGTCGAGTCCAGTCTCAAACTTAGAGACGTCAGAAACTTTCTAGTATATTACTTCACCCCTAGGATGAAATAGAGCTGGGTTCACAAGAGCGATATCGTGCTATATAACTAACCATAGACTCGCTGCGGCGTGCCGGCATTTGTGGGTCATGACACTCATCCTGATGACTGTACTTGTATTGCGGACTCAGACCACGGGGATGAAGCTGAACCTTCAAAGTCGCCAGAATATCGCTCTATTGGTCCTGTACAACTCATATTAGATGAGTCTCAGTCCACTCCATTTATCTGCGATCAGAGTCCAGAGTGAGATATACCCTATAAATGAAACAAAACAGCACAACCCTGCTTGCGGGGGTGTTTTCATTGCCAGTGCACTGAGAGATTAACTCAAGAAGATGCGGGATGATGAAATGTGAGTTAGATGGTGTCAGCAGAGTCCGCTCGAGACCGACGGCGCAACGGAGAGTAAAGGATGTGCCAGAATGTCACTGGCGGCCCCGTCAAAGTGCCAATGTACGATGACTACCGTTGCATTTGAGTACAACCTTTGGCTCTGTATACAGTTCCACTTAACACGAGGACATCGTCGTTGGATCGGCTCGACAACCCATGTCAATTTGTCGAGATCCTCTAACTAACCCACGAGCCGTGTCCACGCTTCTGACTATGTAAATTTGAGTAGCTTGAGCATATGCAAAGCTTCAAGGACAAAATATTGATTTTCAACCTATATAGTGGTAGCCATAAGAGTCAAATGGTTGGCTCGTTGGACACAACAGAGACATGATTTCTTGGAAGATGCTACTATTATGAAGAGTAAGCATTGCAAAGAGAGAAACATTTTGCCAAGTTCAGTGAGCGAAGAGAACCTTGCAAAACCCAAACTACGAATGAAGTCACCAGGCTTTCAAACCTATCCTATATCATTTGCTCTGCTCGGACCAGTCATACTCCATTACTCGAGATACGAAGGCGGCCATATCCGAGCTGGTGAGCTGACGCACAAGGTGTAATGAAGCATCCAAGCCCGAACTGATTCCCCCGGCTGAAATAAGCTGCACAGCTTTTCCCTTGAGAAGACCTCCATCGACATAGCGCTTATGAATTACGTTGGACGATTCACGTTTATTGAAGCGGTCACAGATCTCCCGCAGTTCATCAACAGCGCGATGATGAGTAGTAACAGTCATTCCGCTTAAGATACCTGCAGCACCCACCAAAAGGGACCCGGTACAGACTGAAAAGAGGATGCGCGGTTTCTGAGATGGCGACAGGGAAAGGGCTGCAAATCTGCGGATGAACTCTATCTCCGACGCATTTCTATTGACAAGTGGTTCGATTACAGAGGGAGTCCCTCCCGGCACGACAAGGATGTCGTATTCGTTGATTTGCTTGAGAGCTTGTTCGAGCGAAATATCGGCCTGCACAGTCAGGCAACTTCCACTGGCTGAGCGGATGGTCGGGCGCTCGGCAATGGTTTCAAGTGTGAACATCCGGTCTGGCTGGTTCGGGTCACGGTTGTGAGAGACATGAGACAAGACCTCCATCGGGCCTGCAAAATCGAGGATGTCTGCTCCCTGAAAGAGCAGCACTCCGACCTTGTAATATTGACTGGCTGTTGATGACATGGCGTCAGTGATGGTCTGGTCAACTGGGATGTGACGCTAGACTGCAAGTGTAGGGTCAGTCAATGGTGAAGGAACAGATGGATGCTTTGAAAGTGCCAAGCTTTCGATCCAGGAAGGAAGATGAAGAAGAAATTGTGAGAGTTAACTCGACGATGGATATTCGTGTGCTGACGGGTAACAGCCCGACGCGGTACCACCTCGTACTTCCGGGTTCACCGAAACCTACTTCATACGGTGTGTTTCAAGTCCCACGCTGGGATTTCCCGTGCATGTTTGCTCTGGGTTTATCTTACGTACAGTTCTCTCACGCTGTTCATGTAGCGGGGCTTATGAGGCTATGGTCACGGAGTTAGGGCTTTTTAGGTCCGTCGGGATGTGGGCTCAATTGATCTTGGATCTCCCCGCAAACATCGGATGGTGGGGGGATGTCAGGTAAACTGTATCTAAATAGATAAATGCAAGACTTAGGCCTCTCATCACCCCGGTAAAAGAGTTTTGTGTTCAATTTATTACGCTCACACCCACAAACACCCGCAATATGACCTCGCCAAGCTATAGCAGCCATTTCTCCATCGCCAATATACCGTTCGGAGTCGCTTCGTCCAAAAGTCATCCGATTCAATGTGTCACTCGGCTTGAAAATGAAGTCGTCTTCCTCGTGGAGCTACAGCAGTCGGGGATTTTCACTGAAGTTTCTGGTCTTCCTGAGGGTATTTTCCAAAAGTCCACACTTAACGAGTACGCGGCCCTAGACAAGTCTATACAGCGCCAAGTGCGAGCTGTGTTGCAAGAAGTGTTGAAGAAGCCTTTGCCCGCGAACTTCACCGAAGATATTAGCGGGGTTACGTTGCATCTTCCGGTTTCTGTGGGTGGATTCACGGATTTTTCGTGTAGTTTGCATCATGTTCGCAACGCAGGGCGGGCGATCATGAACGACCCTACTCCACCTCCTGGCTTCTTTCATTTTCCCGTCGGATACAATGGTCGTACTAGCACTATCGTTATCTCCGGGACCCCGATTATTCGGCCGAACGGCCATTTCTATGACCGATCTTCATCTTCCGAAAAGAAACCGATCATATATGGCCCATCTAGAGCTATGGACTATGAGCTAGAGATCGGCTTGATTGTCGGGAAGAAGCTTGACGCTTCGAAGGGATTAAATGCAAAGGATGCAGATGAGTATATCTTTGGAATGGTGATTTTGAATGACTGGAGCTGTGAGTATTGCTGACCACCATCTGTTATTCGTATCCTGACTTGTACCTCCCAGCCCGTGATGTCCAAGGTTGTGAAATGAAACCACTTGGTCCGTTGAATGGAAAGTCGTTCGGGACATCCATCTCCCCGTGGGTGATCACATTAGATGCCCTGGAGCCATTCAAAGTCCCAGGACCCAAACCAGAGGTTACGTTGGCAAGCCATTTAGAAGACATCAGCATATCAAGCTATGACATCGGTATGACGGTTGAGATCATCGCTGCAGGTCAAGTCTCGACCGTGACCGAATCCAACCACCAGCACTTGCACTGGAGCGGACGTCAGATGGCTGCACATCTTGCAAGCGCGGGTACTGATCTCGAGACCGGGGATATCCTCGGCACGGGGACTGTGAGTGGTCCGGATGAGGGAACTCTTGGTTGTCTGATCGAAATGACCAAGGCAGGGAAAGAGCCTATCAGACTCGTTGATGGTTCGACACGCTCATATCTAGAGGATGGCGATGTAGTTCGCATGACTGCTATGGCTGGAGGCGCTGGTTCTGGTGTTGGTTTCGGGGAATGCGTGGGCGAGTTGAAGCCTGCGCGGAGTCTATAGATTCTCTCGCTTGTTTAATTGCTTCATGTGATTACCTAGAATGGGAACCCGGCTCTTGTACGCTACAAGTAGTAATTCAATATTCAAAATATCGTGGATTAATAGACAAAAATTATAGACAGTGTACGAAGTATTGAGTATAAGTAAAAACAAAGAAGTCCTCCCCAAGTCCTAAAACCCAACACCGCGATTTTTGTATAAACAGAACACGAGATGATCCGACGCCGGGAAATGCTCCATGGTCGCGCTGAAGGAGAAGAAAGTTTGAATGACACCCACCCCAAGTTCAGTTTTATCCATCCTAGCTCCAGAGCGGAGGGTGAATATACTCGGATGCGCGGTCAAGGATGTTAGGCATGGTCCATTCTCCACTGCCGGAGCTCTCAGGTGTAGGAGGTGGGAGCGATCCAACACTGGGAGTCATGCTTGCAGTGACAGGAGGAGCAAATACACCTAATGACCCACCAGCAGCATTAGGATTAGCCTGAGGAGGGAACGCAGGGCTACGTCCATTCGTAGAGCGTTTGTGCTGGTTGCCGAATGCAGTCAGCAATTTCTGCAGAGCCCGGTGCGTCTTGGCCAATGATTTTGCCCATTGGGTCTGAGTGTCAGGAACGCCGGCAGCAGGGGAACTAGGATCCATGATGGGTGGAACAGTCGCTGGTGGATTCGTCGCACCGGTAATTGGGTCGTAGGTAGCCATGCCCTGGGGAGATGTCAGGCCGCCAGTAGCACCAGTCAGGTCACCTGTATCGTAAGCTCGCTCGTTGCTGGCTCGCTGAGCAATGATGCCCTCGAGCTGACGTAGGAGATTCCACACATTCGTGTCCAATTTGGCTTCTTCAATAACCGCGAGAAGGAATGCAGAGCTAATCGCGCGTTGAAGTGCAATCCATGACCGCGCTGCATGCGAGCTGATGTTGTGCATTTCGATATAAGCCTCAACAGTTGTCATGAGATTGGCCACACAGTGACCGCGCATGCTCGCAGTATCGGCGTCACTGGACTCGGAGCTCGGCTTGAGCGCTGGCCGGCAGAGCTCGGACGAGAAATACGAAGAATGCAGTTTCAGCACGACTCGCTCCAGGTGTTCTGTTGGGTTGGAACACCACTGTGCATCCCGTAAATAGGGTTTCGCTTCCACCATGATCTGCTGAATCCTATCTTTGTAGCCCTGAATGCTTTCTACGCTTATTTGAGAATGAGGGCTGAGCATTCGAATGCGAACAACCTCCAAAGCCAGAGAAATAACTCGAGAGAGGGTTTCAAAGTAGGAGAGATCGCCAGGCTGTGAACCTTCTCTGTATGCAATATCAGGCTGGCTGACTGCCGTGGTAGATGGGCGATCATAAGAAAGAGAGAAATGACTATCTTGCCATGCCATGGACCACCTGTCGATATCAATGAGACATGATCGGAAATTTTTGAGGGTCTATATAATGTTCACTTACCAGACATGGCGACGGCGGTACCGTTCAAGCGATGAAAACCTGCTTGACTCAACATGAAGGCCAAGAGCTAGGCCCATGCGAAGAGTCATGCCGAGCAGGACATATGAAATTCCAGGGTTCATGTTGTAGGATAAGACATTGCCGATGACCAAAAGCGTTTGGATTGCTTCAATAGTCGGCTGTGACAAGAAATTCGTCATGCGGAGACATTGGTAGGAACAGCAGACTGAATCAAAAGTTAGTCAAAGTAGTGTTATCTGAGTTTTCTGGCTTACCATAGACCTGGGAGGTCAATTCTCTTTCCTTGCTTCCGAGATCCGACGACTGGCAGCCGGATGCCAGTACAGCAAAAAGTAGACCTAGGTAAGCTATGCTCACACCGAATGGATGTTGCGCTTCGTTGACATCCTCTCGGTAAGCCCCACCAGAGGCAGCCCTGCTTTCTAAAAGAAGATCAAGGGTATTTTCGAATCCTGGGACGTCTTCAAGCACGGGGTAGATCGCTCCCGCAATATCCTTATAATAGTAGAAAAACCTGCAAGAAGTATTAAAATCTTGTACTTTCGATGAATCGACGAATGTGACTCACTCTCTGCACTGTTGGTCCGTTGGCAAGGCACTGCAGACAGCACTAATGTCAAACGTTGACATGTCCGACGACCACAAATCGACGAATGGGTAGGTTGCAGATTCGTTGTCAAGTCCTAGCTTAGGCAGTATTCCGTCCTCCAGGAGGGCCTGAAGCTGATCAGACCCGGACTTGTTATTCAAAATATAGGCGAGGACCGATCGGGATCCCAAGTGAACCGTGCCTTTGCCTAGAGTGTTTGCAGCGTGGATGCCCTCGCGTTCAGGCGAGGCACCCTTGGATCGGGAACCCGCATCGGTGCTCTGCACACTGCCAGAGTCCAGCATTGTAGAAATGCCTTCATCAGCTCTCTCAAGTCCCACGCGTAATGACGAAATGGTAGACTCCATTTCTCGAAGTCGGTTGCGCACATTGTCCCATTCCTCCCGCGCAATCGAAACCCGACCGCCCGCACTATTGCCATTTGCTCGGACCGGGGCGGGCTCGATTTTTACTTGCGGCGGATGGTCTTCGTAGTTATAGTGACCGGGATGCTCTGTCGCGGAGCCAGTCGAAGCACCACCTACGGGGCTCTCTTGGAAACCTTGTGAGCGTTTCTTGGAGGGGCGTTCGTAGGAGCAAAGATCTGCATGGTCGCGCTTGACACACCCGTCGCACGGCAAGTTCCGATCGCACTTGACCTTGCGCGCATGGCAAGGGTAGCAAGCCTTGGGCTCACGCGCTTTGCGCTTCGTGCGTATGATGGCGTCCACTTGAGACTGCGGCAGTTCCGAAACGGATCTGTTTGGCCCGGAGGGCATGTCGGAAGGCGAGTATGAAGGCCCGGGCGGGTATGGCGACGTCATTGCGCTTTAAAAAGTCACCTGGAGTTTTTGTATAGGCTTCGCGAGATTATCGTTGCGTCGGGCACTGTAGGTGTCTGCGACCGTTGGCGGCTCGCCACAGACAGCAAGGGCCGATTCGAGATGAGGAAATGTCGCAGGCTAGCGATATTCGAGAAGGTCAAGGAGAGGTTCAAAATCCATCCAATACTCGCGTTGGCGCAGCATCCAGCATCGCAAGCAATTAATTGGAGACGATTGGAGAACCGAGAGAGTATCATCGGCTTATCTGTTGGATCACGTGGCTTGCAGTGGGCTGTCCAAATGCGGCACTTTGCTCTACGTCAGTCTTCATTCCGATTATTAATGTGATATATGCATTAGCTAGTATTATTTGAGTAAGGCTATAGGTATATAAACATTCAAGGTAGTGTGTATCATCAACTCCATGCTCACTTCAAAATTGATCATGAAAACAAAAAGAGGTAATTTTCCAGCGCAAAATGCAAAATTCAACATGCAAATTAGGGGGACATCGCAAGACTCTATGGAGTCCGTATGGAGTCCGTTGTCAAGGCTCTTCTATCAATCGTCTCTCCTTAGGTCTTGATGGCCTGCTCCTCATCATCGGAGAAGGCATACTTGGAGAACCGACGAATAGACTCGCCCTTGTAATAGAAGATGAAGGGAATAAGACAGCAGGCTAAGGCAATGAATGCAAGAAGGGAGCTTGCCCACTGGTAGCCGAGGCGGTTATACATCTGCTCGGTGAACAGGACGGTGGAGGCACCCCACATGGATCGCAGGAATGTCTTGGCTGCAAGAGCAGAAGCGGCCTGGTGCTGGTAGGTGTCGACTATAGTATGGTCAGTAATGAAGCATATCAAGAGCTGCAAAATAGGACTTACCAAGGTAGTTGTTGGCGGAATTATATAAAAAGATGAAGCCAAAGCCGACAGGCCAACCTCCAATGGCGGGTCCAAACCAGTGAACGCCGGGGTAGGATGTCCAAGCAAAGATGAAAAGTCCAATCGGAATGAGCCAGCAGGAAAACATCATGGGGATCAGACGCTTTTCTGCAGGAGGCTTACCATCATACTGCCTGGAGATCCTGAGATAGTTCTTGTTCACGAGAGGAGCACAGGCAGCGCTCATGAGCACACCGATAGCCAGAGGAATGAACATCAGACCGGTGCTTCCGGCGCTCCATCCTTTGCCAGCTTGATAAACAATAGGATACGCAACGAAGAACATGTAAAGCAAGCCATACAACACCGACATGTAAAGGGCAATGCAAAAGACAATAGGCTCCAGGAAGAGAAGCTGGAAAGGACGGATCAGAAAGATACGCAGCTTCTGTCCCATAGGGCGAGGATCGAGTTCGGCCTCAGTGGTGTAGTTGTCGTCATTTTCGCTCTTGCGCAGCTTTGCGGCGCGCTTCTTCAGCAAGATTGGCGCATATGTCTCGGGAACAGTGAACGTGATCAAGACCCAGGCAACAAAGGACAGAATCAACTGCAACCAGTAGAGCCATCGCCAGCCAGCAGCGTCAAAGAGGTAACCACCAGCAAGAGGGCCAATTGCAGGGCCAAGGAAGGGCGCAGCGCTGAAAGCCGCCATGGGCACACCTCGCTCTTCATTTTTCCACATGTCCGCCAGTGTACCACCTACCAGGGTCATTGGCGCACTGAAGGCGATACCGTCAATTGCTCGGCAGACGATGAGAGTCCCAATGTTCTTGGAGACAGCACATGGAATAACAAAGATGACTGCGATAAACAGGGTGACGGCATATACCGGGCGCCGGCCAATTATTTCGGACAATGGAGCAAAGACCATTGGGCCTAGAACGTTCTTAATTAAATAGAAACAAGATCAAGTGCAGCCGTTAACTACTTACCGACACCAAATCCAATGACAAAGACACTGACAACGACGAAGCTGACTTCACGAGAAACGTGGAAGGCTTCCACGGGGCCTGTCAGACCAGCAGTGATAACACTGCTACAAAATGCGACGACGAAGCAGGTGAATGCGACAACCATCGTGCAGTACCATTTGTAGGCTTTCGACCAGTTCTTGGGGTTCTCGGGGTCATCGAGATGGAACGTGACAAGCTTCCAATCCTCCATCTTTCCGGTGGCATTAGACTTGACAGTTTTAATGATCTCGCCTGCTCGTGTCTCATTTGTGTATTCTCGAAGGTCGGCGCCATCGGCCAGTTCTCGCACAGGGAGGTCAAGATAGTCAAGGCGTTCGGAGCCGGATCCAAAGGAGGGGGCCCGACTGGAGTCGAGCGTGTGGGTCTGTTGTGATCGGGGTGTCTCCATGTTGCTGATATGGATGCGGCTTATCAGTATAAGAAGGTATTGATTTGCCCAAAGTGGTTGAGAGTGAAATGTGATCCCTTGCAGTTATATTTCTGTCTACTGAGGATATAACAAGCTTCTTATAATCTGAAGCCGTGGACTTGGCTTGCCAGATTTTAACATCTTGATCAAGCCGGGAAGGGGACGCGGCAAAAGGAACATAGTTTCGGGAAGCCATACTGATGACATCTCGGGCTTAAAGCCACACTCTTAGGATATGGTGAGCTCGAGGACCCACTTTTGTCCCATATTACCTGAAATGGAACGGAAGTGCTAACCTGATATAGAAATATGCTACGACGGGCCACTTTTTCCTGAACGTCTGATCTCTGCGGCTAGATCCATACATGGGTTATGCTTTACTTGTCCCTGAGGGCGTCATTGGGTCAATGTACCGGGAAAATGAAGGTGGTTCCTGTATCCAGATGCTTCGGTCTCTTCTTATTGGAGACGCAATCTTTACTCTGCCTCCAAACTACTTCACAATAGGTAAAACAGGCATGAATTGTTTCGTACTCAAGTTAGAAGGTGTGCACTAGATTGTCTACGGGTGGTCTGTGGGAGAATCATTCCAAGCTCCAGCTTGGTGCCATGCGTGGTAGGTCTAATCACGCTAGCTATAAGGAGCAGAGGATGGCACACATGACATGAAAAGATTTTGAGAGTCAATTTTAATCTCATATGCACGATGGTGCAGTACGAATGTTCCTAAATCAGTCTGAAATACGGTCACGGGGCAGAAAAGCCGATGAAGAGGCTATAAACGCGTTTTTTGATCAGCCAGCCCTTACAATAGACCCATCTAGGAATCTGCAGAGCGTATGGTCTGTTGACCGGTTTCACCTTAGGGTCTCATTGCATGTATCTTCGGCCACCTGCGATTCAGGCATCCTATGAGACTCAGCTAATGCCATGCAAGAAATCTCATCAAATAAGATACTTAATGAATTTCTTAAAAGATCTCAAAGTCGGGCAGAAATTAACTTATGACATATGAAGGTGAACCCTATCGGCACCTGAAGCATCGTAAGGGCTGTTCGCCTTGTAGAAAGCCCTGCAGGTAGCACTTGAGTGTTACAGACTGGGGGCACACCCGTTAGAAAACATCATCGGAGAGTATTTCCATTTTGGGACAGGCATCATCTTTCCGGATCTGGATCTTTATCGCCTTGCCAAGCCTAATGGCGAGTCGGAAATATTTCTGGTGTTCTAGGTCTCGTTCGTTTTTGCAGGGATCAATTTCTTTCGAAAGGGCTTCAGGTCTTAATAGAATTAATGGAATAGTGTCTACAGATCCATCATGTCCAACACACTGCTGGTATAGTTCCACAGCGGAGTCGAGTAGTCTGTGCAGAAAGTATATCCAGTATAGTACGTACTCTGCTGACCCTGCAAAGCATAGAGCTTCTTGTAGAATCCATCTCTCACATCATCCGTGGAGACAATGAGAGTTTCGGGTGAATGGGATGCGAAAGCGGCGATTTCAGGCTCTTTGGTAGAGAATACACCGGTCTCACCCATGCGCTTAAGATCGGATTTGATCAGCTTCTTGGCATCTTCGGCGGTGAAATCTGCCTCGGCCACGATCTTCGTCATGAAGTATCCCGACACGCCAGAATACTCGAGCTCCCACTGGAATGGAGGCAGAGGAAGACTACCAGGCTGGTTCTCTGGGTTGGTATTTGCAACGTTGATTCCGTCGGGAAGACCGGTGTTGGCGATGGCCGCAGCGTAGTAATTCTTATGATCCCATTTGGCAAACAAGCAGGATTCCTCCTTGCGAAGGTCAAAGCCATCCAGAGCGGACAGAGTGGGAGGGAATGTAATCAGAAGCTTCTTTGCTTTAATAAGCTTGCGACTCCCGTCCGCGTTCTCGACAACCAACTCCACGCCGGTAGAGTTGCGCTTCGCCTGGGTCACAACGCTTTCATAGAAGATGTTCTCGTCGTCGATGTAGTTCGCAGCTTTGCGGAAGAGTTCGTACGTACCGTTCTTTGGCCGAATGTACCCTCCTTCTAGCAACGCGTTGATGTGGGTAATGCCGAAATTTTGGATAATATAAAGCAACGGGGCATCAAGAATATTGCCTACATTCTCGGCGAACATGAAAATTACATCCAACGCTCCTTGCAAGGCGTTTGCCTCAACAAACTCACGGAAAGGATGGAGGAGAACTTCGGGGACCTCGTCAGGGAGGTAGTAGGCTCCAGAGGAGAGGTAGTCGAACTGCTCAATCGAAGCACGGTACAAAACAGCACCAGCCGTAGTACCCAATATCTCGCTGCCGGGAAGAACCCTTTCGCCCGTGTTAAAGTTGACATGTTCTGAAATGATTGAGCCTGGAAGAAGTCCCTCATAGTCGACATTGAGCTGACTAAAAAATTTCGTGGTGATGTCGTTGTTGAAGTATCCCTCTACACCATAGTTGACATACTCATCATTGGGAAGGTAAAGTGTTTCTGCATGACCTCCGAGGCGTTCATTCTTTTCCACGAGAGCCACACTGTATCCCTGCTCTCTCAATTGCACGGCGGCATAGGTGCCAGTAGCACCGCCTCCGAGGATTGCCACATCGCGTAAAATTATGTCGTTGGCTTTGAATCCGGCAAGAGCAGTAGCAGAAACTGCCAGAGAAAACACACTAGCCAAACGCCAGTTTTGAGACAAATGCATGGTGCCTTGATCTTAATTCTACGACCGACCAGGGATTAACATTGTCTTATTCACTAGACTTCAAAACTATGCGTGCTTAAGGGGCTGAGTTTTTCTGGGCTTGAGCAGAGGGTCAAAATTCACTAGCGTGTGATCACCTGAGTCGTGATTCGTGATTCTTGGATTATGGAGTATGAACAAATTGAAGCCAAATGGGTCAGGACTCGATGATTGTTGTGATAGGTGGAAGGAAAGAAGTGATCGACAGGAGAAATCAACTTTTGTGAGGTGGAGCTCAATCTCGGGAAATACGGGTTGCATAGGCTGCCGGCCCTGTTAGCCCGATTTACGGTCGCGAGACAACCAGAAAATCCACTTACGATTTCTAAACGGATGAGAGGATCTTGAGCATGACCCTCGCCACTGGAGTACGTGTCAATCAAATCGAATTTACCACCACCCACGGCAATTTCCACGCGGGTGCAGGTGGCGGAAGTGTTCTCCAAGTAGATGTGAAGAAAGGGATTATTCTTGGTTTCCAGGGCCGTTCTGGTTGGGATGTTGATAGCTTGGGAGTTGAATTTGATTAGCAGGGAAATGATCAGATAGTGTTTCTCTGATGAAAATTTGACTAACTTCCCTTCCATTTTCTTTCATTGTGTTTTAAGATGAATATTATACACCGTGTAAAAGAATTTCAAATATTTGTTCAATTACCCCGACAAACCATTATCCAGAATCTCGTGGTGAACGTACAAGAACGATGAAGATCAGAATTAAGAAAGTAGCAAAGGAAAAAAAAGGGGAAGATATACAAACAAACGCAGACCATTTGCAAGTAATTGAATTGTCGAAATCAATTTCATACGTACAAGCTCCGAGAGGACTCATCGCTTACATGCAGATCCCATTCAGGGATCAAGTTATATTTCAGCTGTGCAGTCAGAACCAAACGAGGATCGTCTGTTTCCAACGGGAAAAAGAGAGTGGAAGGAAATGGATGATGCAGCATTTGTGGTATAGCATCCGCAATTGCCCACTTCAGCTGTGTCTCTGCTGCACATTTTCTGATGGCATCCATGACTCCAGTCCTAGTCGATTCGATGACCATATGCTGGATGCATATCTCTCTCGCCTTGTTTTGACAGTCTACAATATGATATTGGTGGGTAGTGGGATCCCACATGCTGACCCAATCAGTATAGTAACGCCCGTAATTGCCTTCCGTATCGGGGAACAGAGAGATACTATTTTGAACCCTAATCACTTGACACGCTAATCCTTATATGGGTTTTTCGTATGTAAAAACTTGTTCCAAGTTGTTATGGTAACAACGCTAAAAGTATAAAACCGTATACTCATGTACTGTTACATATCCAAAGATAACCTAATCCATGTCCAAAAGTAACCTGCCTTCCTAACCCTCCCCCTAAACCACCATGGCGTCATTCGTCCACACTTCTCCCAGAGATGCCATTGTACCTTAACCCTCCAACTTAATATCCGGAAAACAAATGCGAAATACGCACGTCCTGATAGTATATGATGGTCCTTTTCCCGCTTTCCAGACCGCTTTCTAGGATAATCTCCCTATTTTACAATACGACTGCGACCTCGCATGTATTTCAGAAACCGCCTCTCCATCCCTTCTTTTCCATACACGGCAGCAACCAGACTTCCTCACTCATTACTCTTACCTGTTTCCGAACATTATGAAGCGCCTATGGGCAAGGCCCATAAACTTTCGGGAGAAGAGTGTGTCTTTATGACCATGACCTAGTACCTTCTCTCGCCCTTGAAAAGCTCGTCGGAACATGGTCTCTGCCTCTTTGTACCGACCCTGCGTATAGAACAAGCGGCCAAGCCAGTGTGCAGCATAGAGTGTGTCTATGTGATCACAGCCTAGCACCTTCTCCCACCCTTGAAAAGCTCGTTGGAGCATAGTCTCTGCCTCTTTGTACCGATCCTGCGCATAGAGCGAGCGACCAAGGTTGTATGCAGAATTGAGCGTATCTTTATGACCATGACCTAGTACCTTCTCTCGCCCTTGAAAAGCTCGTCGGAACATGGACTCTGCCTCTTTGTACCGACCCTGCGTATAGAGCAAGCGGCCAAGCCAGTGTGCAGCATAGAGTGTGTCTGTATGATCATAACCTAGCACCTCCTCCCACCCTTGAAGAGCTCGTCGGAACATGGTCTCGGCCTCTTGGTACCGATCCTGCCCATAGAGCGAGCGACCAAGGTTGTATGCAGAATTGAGTGTATCTTTATGATCATAACTTAGCACCTTCTCTCGCCCTTGAAGAGCTCGTCGGAGCATAGTCTCTGCCTCTTTGTACCGATCCTGCTTATAGAGCGAGCGGCCAAGCCAGTGTGCAGCATAGAATGTGTCTGTATGATCATGTCCTAGCACCTTCTCTCGCCCTTGAAGCCCTTGTCGGAACATGGTCTCTGCCTCTTTGTACCGATCCTGCGCATAGAGCGCGCGACCAGAGTGATACTGGTTTTCGAGTTCTGTAAGGCTGGGCTCAAGGGTCCCGACTTGATTTATTTGTTAATAAATTCGGACTAGATAAGAAGCACCATGGACGGGAATCTAGAGTTCCTCACCAGAGTCTGCCACAGTGTCTCGTGCTCTTGGGGTATTGTCAATCTGGTCGATTGGAACCACCAAAAGAAGTTCTTTAGCATAGGCCGCCGCAACTGCTGCTGCATATCCTTGCCATTCCTTATTCTTGTGTGAGTCAGCATAGTCACAGATGCCCCGAATGACCAGACATGGAAAGTCATTCATAAGCCCCGCCGCTTCCATCTCCACACAGTACACCTCTAAGTCCTTCGCAAGCTGATCCCGCCGCCTGCCATCCTTCACTACCTGATTTGCAGATGCAATCAGACCATAGTGAATGACTGAGTCTTCATGATCTCGTGAAGGCCGTGGATACAGTTTAGCCCGATCACAATTGACACACATATTAGACGCTGTATGGTCATAATCTGCTTGGTATAAACAGTCCTCTTGGGTTGGTCGTGCAAAGTTTGCAGCTTTGCGAGGCGTCGTTTTTGCTTGGATTTCAACAAGGAATTCAGGAACCCGACTATCTTCTGTGAAGTGATGTGCTTGGAGTGTTGCAAGCGCGGTTAACAGAACCTTAGGTGGCCGATTCAGCATTCCTGTTCGCTGAAACTGACTGCCGCTTAACGCTTTACCAAGATCGTATTGGATCACGCCTCCAGATATGTCCGCTGGCTGGCTCACCACAATATCACCTAATCGAATATCTACGTTGCTGCTTGGTACTCCTCCGCCGATACCGACCATTAGACCAAACTGGATGGAGTGGAAGCTGGACAGCAGCTGCATTGCAACCGTTGCAGCTGAAATATTGCTATATGCACCACTCGGTAAACAGGCAATAACAATATTGTGTTTCCCGATACTTCCAAAAATGTATGTATTGTGATCTGTCCCCGGACGAGGTAGACTAGGATGTATTGCGTCCAACATCAGCTTCGCAGCTGCCATCTCTAAGGGCAAGGCGCAGATCCATCCGACTGTGTAATCGTCATAGGATAGAGGTGTCCTGCCGATCATGATGTGCTATGCAACGGTGGTTCTTGGGATAGAAGAACGAGTTTATTACACCTGGGGAAATATGAGAGAGACTGAAATATGTCCAGGTGAGGGGTAGCCTATGACTGTACTCCGTAAGGCGTTAGCCAGGAATCCCTTATGCCTAATGAAGACCCGAAACTGCCACATGGCAATACTTAATGGAAACAACGAAAACAACTCTTACTGTCAAGTGTTGCCTATCAAGTTGACCAGAGATGGACACCAAGGGTAGCGTCAAACCCTCTGTAGTGTAACAAACGAGAGATGGAGGAGGGAAGTTTGCAGATTGCCAACGGTCGCCTAGTTTGCTTGGTTTGCATGGAGCCTTCTAGACTAGAAGGCTTTAGTCAACCCTACGCAAAGATCGTATCGGTACAAATGAGCTGTCAAAATCAGGTACCATTACTGCGTATGGTCATAACTTGTATTTCACGTGTTTCCATATTGGGTTAATACAATCACGTGATTGGGGTTTGAAAGAGCATCTCTATGTCATTAGATATGGAAGGCAATAACGGGCGGCACTGTATATATGTGAAGCGATACACTGGTCCATTTTGAGCATGGCATCAGATCTGGAATCCTTGGTTACTACGTAAACCTAGGACTAAGAGTTAGTGCCAGCCAAAAATAATAATAATAACAATAACAACAATGTAAATGAGAAAGAACCTTTAAAAATTGAGCCGAAAATGCTTAAAATACTTCTTTGTGGATTCAGCAGGACCTCTTTTTATTTTAGTATCTGGTTGATTAATGAAATCATCCCAGTCGACCTTAACCCCGGCGTTTCGGTTCGCCTTTGGTGGCATAGTGACGATAAATTTTCCAGACGAGTGATAGAGGATGATAAAAGTGTCGGAGAAGAATACTCGGGGCTTACTCTTTAATCTCTCTTTTACTCATGATGGATGCCCCAGTCTCTTGTGTAGTTTTCCTCTATATCGTTCTAGCTCGAGGCTAGCCTTATTCGAAAAGTGGGCGACTGCATGTTAAAGCGGCGGAGCCTGGGCAGAAACGCCACGTTTTTGAACAAAAAGGCACGCACCACCGTGACCTTTTCGCCATCACCCCGACTGACCTCCCTACACTATCGCTTTTTCGACCGACATGAACCAATTCCGTGCAAGTTTTTAGTTAGCTGTCCCCTTATAGGGATACATAGAACCCCATAACGCGTCTCTATTATTCTTTCGGGTACTCAGGGATTGGACTCATCTAGATCTCCTAGGGCTAACAGTTACTCCAACTCGGTAGGCCTCATCGTCGCAGAACTTGGTCACAAGTTTCAGAGCTGATAACGATGGATCAAGTTGTCTTGGTCGATTTGTGTGATGTCTGCGAGCAGATATGAGTTTGATACATAAATGACTAGGGCTGCCATGCCATCCTTCTCTGTAATGAGAGATATCACTACAATCATTATTATGTCAGGCGAATTGGGTTGTGATAAAATTTCTTCTCGCGTTTAACGCAGATTCTTTTTATGTACACAACCATCCTGAACGGTGGTTTTCCGCGGCCATTGAATGGAACATACTGAAACAAGATCTTGCTACTAGCTCAGCATTTCCGCGGTCATCAACTACGCCTCTTTTTCTTTTGACTTTTATAGTCTCATTTGCCTTGAATTTCTAGCTCATTCTTTCTACATCCATATCCCGAGCTTTGAAGCCCCTTTTATTATTATCGCTCGGTTTCTTTTTCCTCCTGTTTCTAGAATTATACACGCTACAGACCTAAATGGGTTTTTAATTTTGACATTTGATCAATCAATATTAACTTATACTTAGGGACCCGAGAAATGCAGAATGCTGTCGCAACAACTTACGTATCCCAGAGCGTGCAATAAGTAGGTGGTGTAAAATCAGCGAGGTTTACATGCGTCAAAACCCAAAGGGCCGAGCATGATTGGACGCATGGGAGGCCAAGATAGACTCTATTGAATAATGGGTAACTGATCAAAAATTGATATAACCTTGAAGGTTTCAAGAATAGGTCTCGTGGAGGGAGTGTAGTGATGTCATGTGTTTTTTCAGCCACCTGTCATTCTCTCATTGCTTTCGTTTTAGTGCTTAAGTCGGGGAACTGAAAAGAGCAGACTGTCACAAACGCTGAGGATTATTGAAAGCATTTTGTGAACCTGTGACCTTTTTGTTGCAATGACTAATTCAATGATTATCTTACACCAAGGATACTGGTCTGCTTGGCCTCACGTTCACTGCATTCAAAGGGTATAAGATGAGGGTTTTGCCGTCAAGGTCTGTAGACAATAAGAAGCGATGTTTTTGAATTTTGGTTTCATTCACCAATGGACCTGTATAAGCAAATAGCTTCAGAGAACATTATATGGTAGAGACTAGACGAGTCAAGTATTCAGCCGTAGGTGGCCGAAAGGTGCCTGGATCGGCCACCCGGCCCAATCAAACTGATGCTTATTCTTTTCGATCTCGGGTGCTTTCTGAGTAAGGAATATACAGAAACTTTGCAGACTTAGCACCGCCACTTTTGGCCCGACCTTCCCTGCATTCCCGCGCACGTCCCTTTCTCACTTCTAGATTACATCCACTACCAGCTGCGTGCCAAGGAATTTGGATACGAGCAAGCCACTAAGAAAGCAGCAGATGGTATGTGCCGTGTCTCGAGACTGGTAAACATCCATGCATTAAAGCGGCCGATCTTGGCCCTTTCTGTTCCATGGCTGATTGCAGCCATTCCAAGGCGCTCCAACTCACCAGATTGGGCTCGATCCGTATTCTCTCCATGATTTACGTACATATAACTATCTGGACTTTTTCTTCCTCTGTTCGGTCAACTAACACATGAATTTTTGGAGTCAAAACTTACATTGAATTCTCAAGCCCTTCAAGCCCAGAATATTTTTCTGTTCAAAATTGATCAAATTACCCTAGCATGATGATAGGTCACTTGACAATATTATCAATTACTTTGGGTCTGGTTGCAATTTTGCGATGGGTTTCGACCAGAAACAAAAATGCACTTTTACCTCCAGGGCCAAGAAGAAAGCCTATTATTGGCAATCTGCTCGACCTTCCACCGTCGGGTGTACAGGAGTGGCAGCACTGGCTAAAACATAAAGATCTCTATGGTATTAATGTCTCGCTTCTGACCCCGGGGATTCTGGAGAATCTGGCAATAAGGAAAGAGCGCTAAGAGCCGCGCATAGGTCCCCTTAGCTCTGTCACAGTCTTGGGCAGCACCATAGTCATCATCAATGACCGAGATCTGGCATTTCAAATGTTGGAAAAGAATTCCGCCAAGCATTCTTCTCGGCCACATCTTGTCTTTGCCAATGAACTGTATGTACTCCTTAGAAATCTTTACAATGCAGACGTATTTGGATCTAACACTTCAATTATAGTGCTGGATGGAGCAAATTACCATCAAGCCAAGGCAATACACCTCTTCTCCGAACCTATCGCCGAGCAATCAAAAGAGCAATCGGAAATCGAGAATCTGCGGCCAAGTTTGACAGTCTACTCGAATTGGAGGCCCGTCGATTTACATGCCGAGTACTGCTTACACCTGAGAAGTTTCTTGAGCATAATAGAACGTGAGTTGTCAGGCATATCTGTTTCAGAAATTAGTTGGCTCATTCTCGGATCATAAGCGCCGCCGGTGCTTTCATTCTAAATGTGATATACGGCTATAATATCGAACCCCATGGCGAAGACCCATTGGTACGCCTAGCTGATCTCGCATTGTCACAATTTTCTGAGGCCATTGCGCCAGGTGCATGGCTAGTCGACTTGATCCCAGCATGTAAGCTATGAATGAAACCACCCTGCAAAGCGCACCACTGACCTAAATTTAGTAAAGTACTTACCAGAGTGGTTCCCTGGGGCGGGATTTCAACGAATTGCTCGAAATCACTTTAAGACCCTGACAAAGCTCGCTGAGAATCCTGTGAAATTCACAAAGTTTCAAATGGATCGGGGGGAAGACCAGCGGTCTTTTGTATCGACACTTCTCCAACAAGGAGAAGAGGAAGAAATTGTCAAATGGTCAGCGGTGGCACTTTATGGCGGCGGATCAGATACGGTGAGTTTTATTAACCTACCTATGATTAGAGACCGGTCCTTAATTTTTGATTGTCGACTTTTTAGACTGTTGGGGTCCTAGAAGGATTTTTTCTGGCAATGCTTCTGTTTCCCGACGTGCAACATAAAGCTCAGGCCGAAATGGACAAGGTGTTCGGCAAACCGACTTTCCCAACCGCGGCTGACCGAGAAACACTGCCCTACCTGAATGCAGTCGTCAAGGAGGCACTCAGATGGCACACAGTCAGCCCTCTCGGGATTCCCCACCGAACAGATGAAGATGATATTATAAGCGGCTTCTTGATTCCCAAAGACGCAATTCTTTTGCCCAATATCTGGTATGACTAGCAGCATTTCCATGAACTGTTTGAGTCATCTGACGTTTTCCAGGTCATTCAACAACGACCCTTCTTCATATTCCAACCCACGAGAATTCTGCCCTGAGCGATTTCTGTCAAGTCCATCTGCTCTTGAGCCTGGAGATGTGACCTTTGGATTTGGTCGCAGGGTTTGTCCAGGGCGCCTGGTTGCTGAAACATCTGTTTTTTTGATGATTGCACACACTCTGGCCGTATTTGATATCCGAAAGCCCATTAGACAGGATGGGAAAGAGGTCGAGCCAATGGTACATTTTACACCGGGTATTCTGAGCCATCCTGTTCCTTTTGAGGCCGCATTTATCCCACGAAGCCAGGAGCACGAGCAACTGATTATCGATTTCGAGAAAGCCCATCCTGTTGGCAAAGGAGACTCCAATGCCTTGGCCGACGCACTTGTTAATTGATGCTTGTATTTGAGTACGAATGAATACGCATGAAATGCTATCAGCCCTATGGTCTGACCCAGTAGGCAAAAGCCACTAGCCACTTATTTACTTTTTGATGGGGCTTTGGTCATCTAGAAATGTGGGGGGAAGGGACAGCATCACCAAGTTAAGCGGAAATAACCAACTCAGTCGGAAAGCAACTCCTTATAATTAGTTTCGCAAAAAGACCCATAGGGACAATATGAAAAAAGAAGATAAGGTGAACCGACTGCCGTGTAATCAGCACGTGACTCACCGATAAGCCTCCGTAATCGGCTAGCGCGGGGGGACTCAAAAAATTTAGGATCGACTCATCGCGGGGCTTTCCTCTAAGTCAATCTTGAGAGGCATCTGAGCCATTCCTCCTCCTTTCCCAAGGAGGCTTGGTACATACCCGACTTCTTTTCTTCACACGATGACTCCTACCGATTCCTTCCTGGCCATCCCGGGCTCGGTGGCGTTCTCTCGTTCGCGAGGACTTGCCATTGCTGCCAGCTTGGGAGTCAAGGACGTTCGGGCTCAATTCATCCACTACGTCCACCTTACCCAGCCGCTGGATGAGCGTCAACGCGCTGTGCTGGAGCAACTGCTGCGATACGGCGATATCACCGACGTTCCCCCCATCTTCACCTCCGACGACGGCCAGTTCGATACCTTCTACGTTTACCCTCGCACCGGAACTATCTCGCCATGGAGCTCCCAGGCTACCGGAATCTCGCACGTCTGCGGCCTCCGCCAATTTGTGAAGCGCATTGAACGTGGTATGATGGTCTCCTGCCTTCGCAACGATGCTGAGGACTACAAGACTGGATACTTGGACACCCTGCATGATCGCATGACCCAGATCATCAGTAAGGATGAACCTGAGCTGAGCCAGATGTTCTCTGAGCACGCTCCTCAGCCCCTCAAGACTATTTCCCTCCAGGGTGGCAGTAAGTCCCCCAAGGAGGTCCTCCAGGAGGCCAACAAGGAGCTTGGTCTCGCTTTGGATGACTCGGAAATCGATTATCTTGCCGAGGCCTATGGTCCGAACGGCGCAATTGCTCGCGATCCGACCGATGTCGAGCTTTTCATGTTTGCTCAGGTCAACTCTGAGCACTGTCGCCACAAGCAGTTCAATGCCTCGTGGGTCATCGATGGCAAGCCCATGCCCAACAGCCTCTTTGCTATGATTCGCAACACTCACAAGAAGAATCCTGAATATACCGTCAGTGCCTACAGTGACAACGCTGCTGTTCTCGAGGGTTCTGAGGGTGCGTTCTGGGCCCCTAACACCACCACCGGAGAGTGGTCGCACACCAAGGAACTTGTGCATTTTTTGGCAAAGGTTGAGACTCACAATCACCCTACTGCCGTCTCTCCTTACCCTGGTGCCGCTACCGGATCTGGTGGCGAGATTCGTGACGAGGGTGCCGTCGGTCGTGGCTCCCGCCCTAAGGCTGGCCTGGCTGGATACTGTGTGTCCGATCTCTTGATTCCCGGACACCGTCAACCCTGGGAGCTTGACGTTGGCAAGCCCAATCATATTGCTAGCGCCTTGGACATCATGTTGGAGGCCCCTATCGGTAGTGCTGCGTTCAACAACGAGTTCGGTCGTCCCTGCACGGCTGGTTACTTCCGTACCCTCTTGACCGAGATTGATATTGGCAAGGGTCAGAAGGAGGTGCGTGGCTACCACAAGCCCATCATGATTGCTGGTGGTGTCGGTACCGTCCGCCCCCAGCACGCTCTGAAAAATCCCGACGTCGTCAAGCCCGGTTCTTTCCTTGTTGTCCTAGGTGGCCCCGCCATGCTCATTGGTCTTGGAGGTGGTGCTGCCTCTAGTATTGCCTCAGGTGAGGGATCTGCGGACCTTGACTTCGCCAGTGTCCAGAGAGGCAATGCCGAAGTCCAGCGCAGAGCCCAAGAGGTCATCAACGCTTGTGTTTCCATGGGTGACAACAACCCTATCAAGTTTATTCACGATGTTGGCGCCGGTGGTCTGTCGAACGCTCTTCCCGAGCTCATTCACGACTCGGGCCTGGGAGCCAAATTCGAGCTGCGCGAGATTGACAGCGCCGACCGAAGCATGAGCCCCATGCAGATCTGGTGCTGCGAAGCTCAGGAGCGTTACGTCCTTGCCGTTGGCGAGGACAGCATGAACAAGTTCACTGCTATTGCTCAGCGTGAGCGCTGCGGTTTCTCGGTTGTTGGTCGTGGAGGCGGTACTTCCGAGGAGGAGAAGCGTTTGATCCTGCTCGACCGGGAGTCTAAGGAATACCCGGCTCCCATCGATCTGCCCTTGTCTGTGCTTTTCGGCAAGACGCCTCGCATGACCAGGACCGTTGACTCGCGCAAATTGACTCTGCCTGCTGTGGACTCCAGCCTCATCAAGTATCTTCCTTCGCTTACTTCGAAGACTGAGCTTGTTGGCGAGGCCGTCAACCGCGTTCTGTCTCTGCCGGCCGTCGGCTCTAAGTCTTTCCTGATCACCATTGGTGACCGTACTGTCGGTGGTCTTACTGCTCGTGACCAGATGGTTGGCAAGTGGCAGACCCCCGTTGCCGATGTTTCTGTCACTGCCACCTCTCTGCTTCATGGCGTGAAGACCGGTGAGGCTATGGCTATGGGTGAGAAGCCCACTTTGGCTCTGATCTCTTCCAGTGCCTCTGCCCGCATGGCCGTCGCTGAGTCCCTGATGAACCTTGCTGCTTCTGACTTGGTGGACCGCCTCAGCCGCGTTAAGCTCTCTGCTAACTGGATGTCGGCTGGCAGCCACCCTGGCGAGGGTGCTGCTATCTACGAGGCTGTTGAGGCCATTGGTCTCGAGCTGTGCCCCAAGCTTGGCATCAGTATTCCCGTCGGAAAAGACTCTATGTCCATGAAGATGAAGTGGAAGGACGAGGCTTCGAATGAGGCCAAGGAGGTCACTGCGCCTATGTCGCTCGTTATCTCTTCCTTCGCTCCGGTCAGCGACTTCCGCAAGACCTGGACCCCCGCTCTCCGCAGCCTCGAGGACGTGGGAGAGACTGTTCTCATGTTCGTCGACCTTGGAATCGGCCGGAAGACTCTCGGTGGATCTGCCCTCGCTCAGGTCTTCAACGAGGTCGGCAATGAGTGCCCCGATATCCATGACGTCGATCTCTTCCGTGACTTCTTCGACGCCACTCAGCAGCTGCAGGAGGCTGGTATTGTCTTGGCCTACCACGACCGCTCCGACGGTGGTCTGCTGACTACTCTTGCTGAGATGATGTTCGCCGGCCGCTGCGGTGTTGAGGTCATGATCGACAACATCTGCTCTTCCTTCCACACCAAGGACGTCGTTGAGTCTCTCTTCAACGAGGAGCTGGGTGCCGTCTTCCAGGTTCGTAAGGAGCATGAGATTCAGTTCCGTTCTGCCTTCGCCACCTGCGGTCCTCCTCCTGGCCTGATCCATAAGATTGGTCGTGTCTCCGAAAAGTCCAAGCAGAACCTCACCATCTACCACAAGGCTTCTCTGGTGTACCGCAACACCCGGTCCAACCTCCAGCAGACCTGGGCCAAGACCTCCTACCACATGCAGAAGCTCCGTGACAACGCTGAGTGCGCCGAGCAGGAGTTCGCCAACATCCTCGACGATGCCAACCCCGGTCTGTCGTGGAACCCTACCTTCGACCCCAAGGATCATGGCCTGCCATTCATGACCAGCCTCTCTCAGTACTCGCCCTTCACCAACAAGCCCCGTGTCGCCATTCTGCGTGAGCAAGGTGTCAACAGCCAGGCCGAGATGGCCTTCGCCTTCAACACCGCCGGCTTCTCCGCCGTCGATGTCCACATGACCGACCTCATCTCAGGCCGCGTCTCCCTATCCACCTTCGCCGGTCTCGCCGCTTGCGGTGGTTTCTCCTACGGTGATGTCCTCGGCGCCGGTCAAGGTTGGGCCAAGTCAGTTCTCCTGCACGAGAACACTCGCAAGGAGTTCCAGGCCTTCTTCGAGCGTCCCGACACCTTCGCTCTCGGTGTCTGCAACGGTTGTCAGTTCTTGTCTCGTGTCAAGGAGCTTATCCCCGGTGCCCGCAACTGGCCCAGCTTCGAGCGCAACACCAGCGAGCAGTACGAAGGTCGTGTGGCCATGGTCCGCATCTCCGACCCCGACCCTTCGCGTCCCAGTGTCTTCTTCCACGGCATGGACGGCTCCTCATTCCCCATTGCCGTTGCTCACGGCGAAGGTCGTGCTTCCTTCGCCGGTAGCCCGTCTATGACTGCCAAGGACTTCGTTCGCGAAGACCTTGCCCCCGTCCGCTACGTCGACAACGCCACCCTTAAGCCGACTATGACCTACCCTTTCAATCCCAACGGCAGTCCCGAGGGTATCGCAGGTGTTCGCAGTCCCGACGGCCGTGTCCTGGCTATCATGCCTCACCCTGAGCGTACCGTCATGGGCGGCATTGCCAGCTACCTGCCTCCCCACGCCGAGGAGTGGGGTGAGATTGGTCCCTGGGGCCGCATCTTCTTCAGCGCCAGACGCTGGGTCGGTTAGAGAGACAAGAGAATTGAATTCTTGTTCATTATTTAACCTGTTGTTCCGTTGTCTATATTACCGTTTATTGGTTCAAAGCTATTTGGGAGTGAAAAAGGTTTTCTCCGTCGCATCGAAAAGAATATTACGAAACAAGAAAGTTACGCATGCCATATTCAATCAAGTTATTGTAAGTGCACTACCGTGGAAGATACTAAAGATTATACCAAAATTCAAGCAAGATTTCTTTTTTATTTTGATTTTGCTGTACAGTCATGGGGCTCGTAGTCTCCATAGATCGTAAGGGCATGAAAGATATCAAGAGCAAGATCATGCCCGATGATCAGCAAGGCCAGGATATCTAGCACTGAGATATTCATTACAACTTCAACCAGCCTTTCCTCCATTCGAGCCGATCTGCCAAGATATTCCAGCTCGGAAGTCCCTCCACTCGCGCAACACCCTTCAATCCATCCGCAACGAAGCTAGTCAGGTGGTCGAACTGGCGCTCCACGTTTCGCATCTGGTGGTTGTAGGGCGATTCACGGAATGAGATCGTCAGAGTCTGCTCATGAATATCATCTTCCTCATCTGAGTCGGATTCAAAGCCATGTCCGCGTGATGTACTTATCCGGCTATCATGATGTTCCTCTAAATCTCGTGCGGTCTGCAGATCTGCGAAATGGATGCAGAGGTCCAGGATGTTGATGACGGCCTCGTGGATTGGTTCAAGGTCCTCGGATAGGAGGCACTGTTCTTTCAATGAGGATATGTAGGCCTGGTGCGCGGATATCATGGCATCGACATCTTCTGCGTTGGAGAGCGTCGATCGTAATGATTGCTCTGCGGTGGAGATAACCAGGTATGTGAGGTGTGAGTAGAGGAAGTCGAGGAACCAGAGGAAGTTGTGATGCAGAGCGTGGATAAGAGTATCATGTTGATCATCTGTGACGGAATTGCGTGCATCTCTTATGCGCTCCCGCACAATAGCATACTTGGCACGCCGGATCTGCATGAGGAAGGTGGAAATGAGCCGGTAGGATTGGATGGCGTCTTGGGTGATGATATTTGCCACAGGCCAAGGAAGGACATAATCTATTGAAATTGTTTCGAGAATTTTGACGGTCCGTTTTAATATGTAGGAAGCTGAAGAGCCCGCTGATCGCACAACCAGCTTTGATGGGTCAATGCCAGGCATGACGCTAAATGCCGATCTTGTTACTTCGGTGATCAGGAATTTGTCGTCCCAGGAGCGGCCTCGGTCCATCAGCTCGAAGATCTTCGCATCAATAGTGCCGACAATGCTCAGGTCTTTTCCTAGGTACACATGTTGCAGAGCATCGAGAGATGTCCACAAGCCGCATTGTTCGTCGAGTTCTTTGCGTAACAGCCCAGAGCTAAGTGAGTGGTTGACATCTACCAGTCGATCGAAGGCGGTCTCGACCAGCACGGAGAAAGGGAGAGAAAATGAACAAGATCCGGTTGGAGGATAAAATTCATCGAAAACCGTATCGCTGCTTTCATTCTCTGAAATGTCCGGTTGTGCGTTCAAACGATGCAAGAAAACCATGCTCTTGCCAGTCGTAAACACCTTCTGTACTCCAGGTTCCAAAAATTGAGGGATATTCTGTCGTCTACTGCCCTCGTCCAATACGAACCAGTTGTGCCAGAGAGTACGTAGTTCCCCGTTCTCCCGGTTGACTCGCACAAAAAAAGTGTTGTCTTTAGAATCAACCTTTCCTGCCTGCATCCATAGTTGGATTGAACTTGTATATGTTTTGAAGCAGGAGAAGAATAGTATAGCAAGCTTTCCGGATGCGTTCTCGTCACCAAGAGCTTCGACCATGCAAACCAAGTTGTAAAATAGGTCAAGGCAGCGCATAGGTTGAGTAGTCGAGGTCGATTCCAGCTTGGAGATGAGTTCAGCCAGCATTTCGAGATTGCGAGAGTATCGGCGAACATCATCGAGCAGTTGAATTAAGCTGACTGTCGAGCCAGGTGAGAGGTATTCGCACTGGATTCGGGAAAGAGTCCTATCAAACTCAAGCAACCATTCCTCTACGCCCCGGCAGAAGGTCTGCAGGTAGGGGATGGTCTGCGGCATCTTTGTAAAGCGCCGCGCAACATCTAGTTTGGCTCCGATCTTAGTGAATGATCGCAGTAATGCCGAAAGAGATGTGCGAGAGGAATATGCGAGAGTATATCTGCGATCAACTTCAATGTCGGTGTCCAAGCGCCAGAAGATGGATGTCGGTAAGCCTTGAAGCATGAATATTGTCTCTCTGGCACACTGTAGTTCTGTGATAATGCAGGATGCATCTTGCTGGTCCTTTGCGACCTTCGGATGGTTTTCTGGTGTCCAGAACTGGGCCTTTTGTATCGAGGTAATGAGATCTTCGTCTTCACCTGACCCGAAGACCTCATCGGGAATGACGTATTCTTTTTCTTGAGATCCGGGGTTCACTGGTAACAGTTTAGAAGAAATGAGATCCCCGCCATCTGAGATTGACAAGAGTTCATCTTCTGAAGAGTTGGCTGCGAAATCCACCTCTTCCCAGATGTCTTCATGGCTGTAGGCGGTTCCTTGGGCATTGAGGTCGGACCACAATAGCGACTTGTCTTCTTCGAGGGCGTTGGCAGGAATTGGGAGTCGATCAAGGTTTGATAATTGATCTGGGCGATCTGAAAGTTGCAAGAGTAGGCTCAGGATTTCTGGATGCCATGTGTCGCGATAGCCCTCTAGTTCCTTGAGGCGAGTACTTAGAGCATCGGCCAGCTCATCTCGGTTGAGGACTTGGAACTTTTCCTGTAATCCCTCCAACTTGCGCGCTACGGCGAACTGATTGGTACGTCCATGAGTACCAGGACGCAGAGCTCCCTCTACGCGCTTTCGGAGAGTCTGGATGCGCGGGGATTGCTAGTCGAGATCAACATTGGCCCTCCAAGACCCAGGATACACACCAAACTTACCTTCTGGTCAGGAGGAACTCTGGCCAGCACAGTAATTAGCTCATCGGTCAGTGAGCTCAAGGCCAAAGCCATGATCTATGATCGACAGAGCCCAGAACCCAGAAGTTGACTGATGAAGGGCCGCGCGGAAGCCAACTGGGACGCGCGGGCGCTAATCCACAGGGGGAAAAAGAACGGGTGCCTTTATATCGCGGCCGCCGCACGCATTCTCCCCCTTTCACCATCCTCCACCATGGCGATCGCCCGTCCCATTCGCATGCTCGGTGCTACATGCATCTTACTTTGTTTGTTCCTGGTCTTTCAGTTGCGACAGGATTCTCCCAAATCCACTTCGAAACTCGTCCATGGCATGTCCAGAGACCCTCTTCTAGACCGTGTGTTTGCCACCATCCATCACCACCCGCTTTAACTAACATCCTCCAGCTGTCGGTGAACCTGAAGGCGAATTATGGCGAGCCGAAGAGCACGACTACTCCCCCGATGGCGAGAAGTCCGCTCGCACCAATGCCGCCATCATCTCCCTCGTGCGCAACGAGGAACTCCGCGACTTGATCCATACCATGCAGGACCTCGAGCGCACTTGGAACAACAAGTTCAACTATCCCTACATCTTCTTCAATGACCAGCCTTTCACCGAAGAATTCAAGCGCCAGACTCAGGCGCTCACCAAGGCCAAGTGTCAATACGGTGCGCTCTCCCTTATTTTGGCTCCCTGATTTTCGGGACTGACTTTTTTTTCTCTCTGCTTCACAGAACTCGTCCCCAAGGAGCATTGGGGTGTTCCCGACTGGATCAATATGGATCTCTTCCGGGAATCTGCTCAGATTCTCGAGGAGGAAAACATTCAGTACGCCTCGAAGGTCTCCTACCATCAGATGTGCCGATGGAACAGCGGCATGTTCTACAAGCACCCCGCTCTCGAGAAGTATCGCTACTATTGGCGCATTGAGCCCAAGGTTCAGTTCTTCTGCAATGTCGACTACGATGTGTTCCGCTACATGGAGGACCGAAACAAGACCTATGGCTTCACCATCAACCTGTACGACGCCCCGCAGACCATCAAGACCCTCTGGCCCGAAACCCGCAAGTTCCTGGCTGCGAACCCATCATATCTGAACGAGAACAACATGTGGGATTGGATTACGGATGATCAGGCGCGCCCCGAGCACACCGCGGGTGGCAACGGATACTCCACCTGTCACTTCTGGTCCAACTTTGAGATCGGCGATATGGACTTCTTCCGTGGCGAGAAGTACGAGGCCTACTTCCAACACCTGGATCGTGCTGGTGGCTTCTTCTACGAGCGCTGGGGTGATGCGCCGGTCCACTCCCTCGGCATCGGCCTCTTCGCGGATTCCAACAACGTGCACTGGTATGATCATAATCCCATTTAGAAAATCCCCCGAAACGCCGTTGTACTAACATCTATTCCAGGTTCCGTGACATTGGCTATAATCACATTCCCTATTACAATTGCCCGAACTCACCTAAGTGCTCCGGCTGTACCCCAGGCAAGTTCTTCGCCGGCGCAGACTTCCTGTCCAAAGAGGACTGCCGGCCGACATACTTCAAGTACGTCGGCACTCACTAGGCGGTCGACCGACTTACGGTCATGTTACTTCATGAACTCTTTGCATCATCTCTCGCATACCCAATGAGTATATTCCGGACAATTCGGTGGTTCGGTACCTGGCGTTTTCAGCGGACTCATACCTCTTGATGACTTGTGTTGTGTTTTGTCCCCTTTTAATTCCCTTTTCTCATAAAATACGTTCCTAGCCGTGGCGGCTCCCAGGGCGGCTCCTTGGAGTTGCTGCGGGTCTAGACTTCTCTGTACTTATATTGATCGCACATTGACAATTTCTTTTGGTGTTTATTCCGTGTTTCCTTGTCTGTTTCTGGCCCAGTGGGTCTCTATTCGTGCTTCAGATGGTGGTATGACGACATGTTCTTGCTCAGTGCGCGATATCAAACAAATCATAGAAATTCTGGGACCAAACTTGGAGCAGATAGATTGTTATTGGATGTTATATTCAAGGTACGGGGCAAAGGCAAAGCGCTGAACGGGAGAGGAACATAGATTAAGCACCAATCAAGGCGCAATGGACCTTTTTCCAAACGGCGGCAGCACTAACAACACAGGAGATCTCTAAAATATGTATACAGCTTTCTCTTCTACCCGATCTGCTCCCGACCAAGAAGGAAACGCGCGGGCCATTGGCAACATATGGGGGTGGTGGGTAACCGGAGAGAAAATTGATGGAAGAAAGAACAAGGCAACGCTAATTTACTCCTCCTGAGGGTAGAGCTCTTCCCGGAGAGCGACACCCAGCTCCTGGCGCAGACCCTCGAGCTGCTGAAGGTATTGCTTGTACTGTTCCTGGTTCTCAACCTTGGCCTTGATGCCTGTAAAGCAAGAGGTTAGCTATCGACTCGAACAAAATGTGGTTGATTGTCTGGGAAGCATTTCGTACCCTCGAAGACACGGACGGCAGTAGGATAGTCGTTGACACGGCGGGCGGCCTTCAGGGCGGCGCTGAGGACCTCAATGGAGGGGACGAGATCGTAAGCGAAGCAGTTGTTCAGGTTGCGCTATAGCGAGGGCTGATTAGCAGGTGTTCAATCGCATTTGCGAGATGAAGAAGGGAAAGGATGTTGAAAGGATATCGCATCGGGAAAGCCGGGTTGGAGGTATAAGATCTTACCTGGAGCTCGAAGACATCCTGCACACCCTCGAATTCCTTCTCAAATCTGCAAACATGGCACTCAGTCAGCAAAACTGGTTCCAATTGAGCCTATATAGTCATAGAGACAGGACCCGAGCAGCGCCTGGCAGCGCAAAGCCCGAAGCCGCGTCCCTCTCTTCCGAGATCTGCCGAGGCCAATGGGTGAATTAGACGGTCGTACCGGGAGGAGAACTCCTCGAATGTCTCGTCCTCGTGGCCGGAAAGGCACTTGGAGGTGGTGCCGAAGGTGCGGGCGCGGGCAGCCATGGTGATCGGGGTCTGCACCCGGGAGCGGACGATGGGAGCTCGGATGAAGCTGGCAGGGCGGACGGCGCGCGTCGCGACACGGAAAATGGACAGGGACGACATGTCGGCGGCGGTATATTGAGACCCGGGGTCAATGGATTCGGTGGTGAGGGGAGAGGTGGATGGGGGGAAGGAAGGAGACGAAGTGTCGTGTTAGCCGGCTGGATTTTGCGGGTGGTGTGGTGTCGCTGCCTTGTGGCCTGACTGTCACGGGCTGAGTCATCACCCGATGTGGCCCGTTTGATCTCAAACGCGTGCGGCTGATTGGTCAGGGCGGCCCAAAGTACGCATCATGCTGATAACTTGGGGCAGGATGGCCTTCAATTATGTCTGATAAGTAGACTACTGCACTTATCGAGTCTCGGTGATATACTAAGACGCTCTTTTTTTTTTTCTAATCGGATTTTAACAAGTCTAGGCTTACCCATATCGACGGTCCAGCTGGATGGGCGTAAATATATATATATCTTTAATGTTGGTGCCAAGGTGGTTGAGTCATTCAGTCTAAGTCTGAACCTCGAAATGCCTCGATAACATATACTTACATACATAACTATTATCGAGGCTTTCACTCAGCCAGAGAGCGAGATTTTGGATGGTCAATGGCATAGGAAACACGACGGGCTTTATAGATGCACCTACAGGAAGCATATTGAGGCTGATAGCCAATTGAAAATATTACTCTCGGGTGGGAAATGAAGTTCTCGTATTTGCATCCGCAGTAATGAGTAGTAAATTTCAAAACTAAACACAAATCTTGGAATGCGTGGGTGCCACTCGGGGTATAAGCGCTGTCCTCACGCACGGAAAGTGTATACCCCGGACAATAAACAGTAGATCATCCATAGCAAGGCTAATCTCCCAATGTGGAGACTGCTCAAACCATGCCACTCATAATTCAAGTCTAGCGTATGAAGGCCAGGGCCCCGACTCGACAGCCTCGGCTACTTGAATGTGAAGAAAGGTGGTGTGGATTGTACACTCCCCAGCATTATGGCATTCAGCTGCAACCGTGGTCACAAAAAAGAAAGCAGAGACAGCCAATTCCCACTTTGCGGGTGAAAGAAGCATGGAGAATCTTGCACGTCATAAAATAAGGGGTCAGTATAGACCCTAGGACCTGAGATGGGGCTACCGAAAACGGCCATTCAGGCATCATTTGATTATGCACGTGAAAGTTTCGCGGGTGTACCTGAAAAAAAAAACCAAAAAACCAACAGCAATAAATAGTAGGAAAACATAGACGAGTTAGCAGACAAGAGACTTGTCAACCATAGACTAATCATTGCAGAAATCCAAGAAACACCCAAGAAATACCGTTTAAACATGTTATGCACCGATACCTCGGAAGCCACGGCTGGGGATTTTCTCGCCCACCCCCTTTTTACGGCCGCGCTATTCCTCTTTGGTCGACCCAACGCGCCGCAAAAAAGTAACGCTGTTCTCTACTCTTCTTCCTCCCTGACCTTCTTTCTTCCCATCGACGGTCCTTTCCATTCCCTTCTTCCTTTCTTCTGGCCTGCCCTGACTGCGCGCGCGCGACACCGAGTCTTTGCAGTAGCCCAATCGGCTTTTTACTCAAACCCGCCATCGAATTCCCTACCACATCCCGGACCACCTCGTTCATCATGGCCGACTTCCTTCAGAAGGTGCCCCTCCCCACCCTGGACCGGCCCTTTGGCGTCCACCTGTGGCCTCTGTTCGACAAGGCCTACGAGCAGGTTATGGGTTACCCCGCCAGCGCGTTCAAGTTCACCGAGGGCGTGACCCCCATGTCCACCTTCAAGGAGACCGCGACCATGCTGGTCACCTACTACATCGTCATTTTCGGTGGCCGTGAGGTCATGAAGAAGCTGCCAGCGTTCAAGCTGAATGCTCTGTTCATGATCCACAACTTTGTCTTGACCGCCATCAGCGCCATCCTCCTGGCTCTGTTTGTTGAGCAGCTCCTGCCCACTCTTGTTCGCAAAGGCGTCTTCTACACCATCTGCGACCACGCGGGTGGATGGACTCAGCCCCTCATCATCCTCTACTACGTAAGTTGTGTCTTGTGCGCGCGCATTGACCGATTCGATCGCGATTAACCTTGTATCAGTTGAACTACATCAACAAGTACGTTGAGCTGCTTGACACCGTCTTCCTCGTCCTCAAGAAGAAGCCCTTGACTTTCCTCCACACCTACCACCACGGTGCCACTGCTCTTCTGTGCTACACTCAGCTTATTGGTCTGACCGCCGTGCAATGGGTTCCCATTACCATCAACCTGCTCGTGCACGTTGTCATGTACTGGTACTACTTCCAGAGCGCCCGTGGTGTGCGCATCTGGTGGAAGAAGTACATCACCATGTTGCAGATTCTGCAGTTCGTCATTGATCTGGGTAAGTACGATAATTCAGGAGAGTTGGTTTGCGATACTAACGGGTACGAACAGGCTTCATCTACTTTGCCTCCTACACCTACTTCTCCTCTTCCTACTTCCCTTGGGCCCCCAACATGGGCCAGTGTGCCGGTGAGGAGTTCGCTGCCTTCGCTGGTATTGCCATTATCACCTCGTACCTGCTCCTCTTCATTTCCTTCTACATTGCCACCTACAAGAAGGAGACCAAGGTTGGCCGCCCCCGCCGCAACACCGGCAAGAAGTCTCTCATCGACATGAAGAACTTCGAAATTCCCTCCCCCCAGACCAATGGCAACGCCTCCAACGGCGCTGCCACCACCGGCCGCTCCAACGGCCCCGTCACTCGCTCCCGCAAGGCCTAAATGAGTCCCGAGGGACTTGTCTCTTTGGATTTTTAAGCGCGTGGGGAAGATGAGGCGAGAGAAAAGTGTTGTGAAGTCATCTCGCGATGACGAACGAATCTTCCAAAAATTCTTCGAACATATTGCAGCTTGAAACACAGGGGAGCGCGAGCAAGAAGGACGTTGGCTGCTCTATGGTGGTTCGCTTTATAAACTTTTAATGAATGACCCCTTCATGATGCCAGACACAATTCGACTCGACTTGTCTGGTGCATGCGGCATATGCCCAGGCTGTGAGGATGATGTGGGTTGGGTTGGGAAGCGGGACGAAGGGAGTCCTGGGCGAGACATTTTCTTTTCATCCGCGGGAGGGTTGTCGGTCCTCGTCCCGGTTGTATTCTATAATGTCATATTCTTTAGTTCATGTTTGTCGTTATCACCCCCGGCCTGCTGGCGGCAGGCCTCTTGATCGCATGTTTTTCGCCCTATTTGGTAGTAAATTATATTAGATGCATACATGTTAAAATGTAATCCATTGATCATGCAAGTTGAGTGTTTGTTTCGGGTTCCTCACAGTCCAGTTAGGTAGGTAAGAGCAAGGCATGGCCATTGCATTATTCCGGTCCGCATCGTGACCTGCCTAGATGTGCAGTACTGCGTGGGGATGTGGAGGAACACTGGCCTGGAATTCGGTAGTGTCCTGCATATGAAATCAGTAGACCCAGCGCACGACGTGTCAATGTAGATGGATATGGTGTTCATGCTGACAAGACGAGCTACAGGTCGAGCTCTCGTCCGTCTAGATGGTTGCCTCGCGGTCAACTTCAGCAACAACAAACAACAACAATCAACAAACATAAACACAAATACGCTTTATGTTGATAGGGAAACCAAAGTGTTCCTGAGCTGGTCAATGTGTAGTATCACATCCGCTGGACCCGCAGCAAATGCAGGAACTAAGCTGGCTTGTAGATCTATGCAGGAAGGCTTGTGCAACCGGGGCCAAACAACGCCACGGATGGACAGGTCGAGAATAGATCATCGAAAAGCCCGCAATGAAATGAAGCATAATCAAAGCTTGCCAGCCATCTCAAGGATCGCCGGAGCTCTTTTCCAGCGCACGGCACAAACGATACCGAGAGGCCAGCCACCAATATCGCAGAGTGTAGAGAGCAGTACACAGAACTTAATTGGCAATGACAGGTCGATCGGTACCCCTGGCACCAGCCATCCACGTAACGTGGCCGGGAGATCTTCAGTAGCGTATCGTCCATGCATAGAAAACAATGGAGGCTGACCATGGAGCATGGCAACCACGCCGAAGAGGAGGCTGTCACTCGGGAAGATAGATCTATGCCTTGCGTGGTAACCGTGCGCTATTAATTCAGACGCCAAATACGTATTGGCCAAGCACAGAAGGTACACCTGGAGTAAAGATCTGTCGGAGACTTCTCGGAGAAAAAGTTGGTGTCCGGACTGAGAAGAGCGTGGCGCCTGGCGCGGCTTGGCCATTTCATGCCCAGGTGGCCCTTCTTATATCAACCGGCCGAGTTTCAAAAGCATGTCCCACGTCCAGCGCCAGACATACGGTAGACTCTAGTTTCAGAACATGGGCCGAAAGGCGGCGCCTATGACATCGACAGGCCCGCTCCGAACCGGTGGCAGTAGCTTGTTTACCAGGCTCGTTGAGGGATTCGTGAGTTAGAGAGTTAGAGAGTAAGAGAGTTCCGTAACGCCCTTGCCTGACGTGGGCAGCTGCATGAGTCTATGGCCAGAAATGGGTTGGGCAGGAGTTTATTGGTTGCAGGTGACAGATGGCTGGTATCCGTTATATTGCTGATTGTCAGAACAAGAATACCTGAAACGATAGCGTGAGAGGTTGGCGCTAGGCCGAGAGAATTCGCCGGCTTTGATCAGCTCACGCAAGGAGTTTCAAGAGGACCTTGGCACGGACTGGAGAACCAGCCCAATATAGCATGGAATAGTCTCTTTTCTGGGGTTTAATTCAATAATTGCACGGATGCGCCAAGGAGTATGATATGTAGATTATGATCAAGGTCAAGGTCAAGGCCAAGGTCAAGGTCAAGGGACGGTGCCTTCATACCCAGGGTACAGGACATACCTAGGACATCACAGGGCATGAGCCCCTCATTGGGCGGGAATTCTCCTGCCACCCATCAGATCGGTTACAATGGCCACTGATGATCTTTGATCCATGGAGGTCCCCGAAGGTACGCAGGTACATGCTATGTGCATTTGTATTGCGCGCAGACCCCCCCTAACCCAAAAGGGCTGGGGAATCATGGAGATGCAGTGCCCCTGACATCCCCTAGCTCACTTGCCCACTTGCACAAAGAAATTTCGGTACGAACCGGACTCCACCAAAAGGATCTTCAGGTTTCGAGTTTCGACCCCAAGGAGTTCGTCGGCGTTTGAGATTAACGTGCCCCACCTATCTAGAGGGTCGGCTAAACTTGGCAACTATCCACACTGTTCCCAGTTGCTCACGACTGGACTGTTCGCACTACACCTGCTCCACCGAGCTTCCTTCGTGGGCGCTTCCATCACGAGCTGGCCTCTGTAAGCGATCCCGTTCTAATCCACCATAGGTAGGAGCAACCTGAATTGGGCTCACTCGGACCCCTGATTAGCTTCTTTGGCTAATCGTATCACAGAACTGATCTCCTTGAACTGGACGGGTTGGCCAATCTAGATGCAGCCGCCGGTTCTTTCGGCCGATCCTCCAGAGCCAATGATGCTGCACAGACCTGACTTGCGGCAAGCCCAGCGCTAGGTGCATGGGCCACACGGCCAACGACTGCTCCGCTTGATCTATCAGATTTTTCTCATATATTTTATTTATTTATTTATGGCTTTTTTGCCCGGCGTTACAGTACCCTCTCAACTGGGTTTAAGTTCCGTCCTAACTGCGCGCCACGATGTGGAGAGTGCGCGTCGCCGTGATGGTGAAACTCGTCCCTCTTCCTGCAAGGGTTGGGGCCATCCCCCATCATGGCTTGTTCCGTCACTAGTTCGGAAGCATCGAGCCAATCCAGGACCCGTTCCCTTGTGCCTGCAGGAGCACCGCAGGAGGTACACAAGGAAGGCTAGGAAGGCTAGGAAGGCTAGGAAGGCTAGGAAGGCTAGGGAGGCTATGAAGGCTAGGAAGGCTAGGAAGACTAGGAAGACTAGGAACTTAGCTTTTGCCTGCTCCTGCACAGCAGGGACCTATGACCTGCAACCTGCATTGTCCTGCAATGCCCTGCAATGACCTGCAATGACCTTGCCCAGGGCCTTCATTGCTCAGTACACGTGGACAGGGATTGATGACAGTCCCCTCTTTTCTACCGTGAGGCGCCGGGTCTAAAAAAGCCCCCCCTCCCCTGGTGGACCGATTCTTGACGGGTGGGAGCTTTTCTTCTACTTCTGATCCTAGCTCTTGAACAGTATCGAGAGCGGATCCCCTGTTCTTCATTCACTCCCTAGGCGGTTCCACCAGACCTCAAAAAGACCTTTCCCTGTCCCGTTTGTGCCGTGATTTGACAGGAGAAATATCTCCTTGTCCCTATTAAACCCCGTGGGATATTTGACTTCGAAGTGACTGGAACGCCCCCCTGGACTTTACCCTGCGATCGTTCGAGGACTCCTCGTTTCTTTCCTCCATTGCTCTACTTCTTATCCTGGGCTGGTCTCCTTTCTCGTTGCCTCTTTTTGCCCACCCTGACCGGAACAGTTTTTTCCTTTGAAGTGTTCAAGTTGTTCTGAAGAGTTGACTGGCAAAGATGTACGAACCCACCGCCTCGTTAAATCTTCACCGTCTGAGCAGGCAAAGCCTCCAGAAACGTTATGAGTCGGACGAAGAAGATGTATCTGAGTCTGAGGCTGGCGCTCAGGACTTTGTCCCCTCGCTTGTAGGCTCTCAAAGAGCCGGTACCTTCGACTCTGATCTAAGCGCCGACGAGAACTCCCAGGCCGACCCAGACTCGGATCGAGACGAACAGCTGCTCTCCCCTTATTCTACAGCCAAAAGGCCCCGACCGGTGTCTATGGATACCGTCAAGCGGAACAGTAATCCCAACTTTGGTGACGATGCCTATGTCTTCGACCCTGAAGAGGAAATGGTTTTTGAGCTGCCCTCACCGGATAGCCCGCCGATGGCCTCGAGCCTTTACTTGCAGCCTGCGATCTATGTCCGTCCTGATTTACCACCCGCTCACCCAAAGCCTAGGTCACGATCTCCGTCGCCGTCATCCATCTTCTCCGTGGAGAGTGCCGAGATTCAGACTGCAAAGAAGGTTACCATGATAGAGCCACCTACTCGTCCTACCGTGGTGTTCATCAACGCTATCGGCGTACGCTCAAAGGCTGCCAGATCCAGGCCCAGTCACTCTCGAACCAGAGCAAATCCTCGGGATAGGGGGTCGCGCATGTTCCCCGATATGACTGAGAGCAGCCTCAATGTACCTCGCTTGGCCGAGAACCAGGCCACCTCCCTTCGGCCCTCAGAGACACACGGGAAGCGTGAAGGGCAAAAAAGCCCCAAACCCGCTATGCTGCCGGCCACCACCCCATCCATGCAAAGCGCCACCATCAACCGAGTGTCTGAGATACCCGTGCTGCCCTACATTCCCCCATCACCTCAACTTCGGCCACAATCAATGTACCGATCACGGCCACGCACAGCAGGCTGCGAGAAATCCTTCCCAACACTACTCAACCCTTCCCGCACCCGCCGACCAACAGACCTAAGCCACCGTCCAGCCTCCGTCCGCACGAACAGCAACGGCAGCGTGCCATCCTACTCTCGCCCGGCCTCCCCTTTATCAGACGACATCCGCCCAGGCTACATCGTCGATCACAGCGAAACAGCCTCTCTGTACTCTAATCCCTACACCTGCAGCCCGGCCTCTTCACCTCGTCCACCCAGCCACTTCTCCAAGCGCAGTATGAGCAATATGCTAGCTCAAAAGTCACCCATGATGCGCCGCATGACCCGCAAGCATTCCGCCACATCCAGCATTGCCTCATTGGCCAGTCTGCGTTCCGAAATGGATGCTCCAGCTCCCATCCCTGCTGCTGCAAGCCAGCCGAGCTTGACTTCAATGAATTACGAGTCTCGCGTTGTGCGAAAACCGAGTCAACGCCGCCATGGGAGGCATAATAGCTCTGCTTTTGGTGGACGGGGCTTTATGGGGCTGAAACTTGGGAAGAGGTCTTTTACGAAAGCCTAATGCTTTTCTTTAATTTTTAGAGTTTTTTTTTTATGGGCGGTTATATTGTTCAACTGTTATTATGGGAATCTGAGGTTTTGGATTGGGGTTGGAAATCTCTGATTTTGGCGTTGGTTTTGAATTTACCTGACACTAGGTCGGCGCTTTCTCTTACTCCGGGCCGGTTAATGTCTATTTCAAATTTGTTATCGTTATCTTTGTTTTTTTCCCTGATTCATATGACTGAGTTGATCTCTGGGTTGTTTCTTATTGGCGAGGCATGGCTGATCTTATGGGAATCTCTTTATTTGCAATGATATCTGGAGGGGCGTGAGATGAACAAGCTCATGATTTTGCGGGTCAGAAGAATGAAGAGAGCCGGAGTTTAGATTGAACTATTTAGGAATTATCAACAGATACTTGACTAGGGGTTTCTACAAATATTTTTCGCCGACTGATGGCCTAAGTTTTAAAGATAAGTTTGTAGTGAGATAGGCCCAAGCAGATGATGAGCTACTTCAGTTGCAAAGGAGGCTTGGTATATTGCAGAGTAAACGAGTTACTAGCATCCAGAGTAAAAAGCAAGGCGGGGAATGTGACGGGACAGAGAATGCATAAAGATGATCGCAGATGACGCAAGATAGCATGAGGGCTAAACACAAGAGAACGTCGATATCTACTTCCGTGCCTCTAGAGCCGATTTGATAGCTATTGACAGGTTAGCATTAGGTACAGAGACTGCTGCAGGTATCGCACTGACCGTCACAAGAAGTCTTCGCATCTCCAAAGAGCATTCTTGTTCCAGGCATAAAGAACATTGGGTTCGGGACGTCAGCTGTCAGGTTCAAGCCACATTAGTCAGTGTTAATATAGAGTAGAAGAAGAGCATACCGTAACCACTTGACATGCCCCGCTTCATGACAATCACTTCCTTGCTCTTCCAAGCGTGCAAGACGGGCATCCCAGAAATGGAAGAGTCGGGCTCGAGCGCTATAGGGTTAACGGTGTCGTTGGCGCCGATGACTAGCGTAACGTCTGTGTCGGAGAAATCGTCGTTGATCTCGTCCATTTCCAGAACAACTTGCAGGAGTCAGAATTTTCACTCAATAGGGGCTCAGCAAGACTTACTATCATACGGCACGGAGGCTTCCGCGAGTAGCACGTTGCATTGCCCGGGCATGCGACCCGCCACGGGATGGATAGCAAAACGGACTTTGACGCCGCGAGAACGGAGGATACTAACGATTTCGGCAAGAGGATACTGGGCCTTTGCGACGGCCATTCCGTAGCCGACGATGATGATGACATTCTCGGCACCTGAAAGAGCCTCTACAGTATCGTCGACACTTGTCTGTGTGACTTCTCCTTCAATCTTCCTTTCGCTCTGTACTGGAGCGGCACTACCACCAAACAGAACATTGGGCAGCGATCGGTTCATGGCAGTACACATGATGTAAGACAGGATCGAACCGCTCACTCCGATAAGTGAACCGACACTAGTCAAAAGTGGGTTGTTCAGCATCAACCCTTCGGCGACTAGAGCAAAACCTGAATAGGCATTGAGCACGGTGATCGCAACAGGCATGTCGCCTCCTCCGATGGCCGAAGTCGTGGTGTAACCTTTCATGAAACTGAGAAGAGTATTTGCGCCGAGACAGGTGGCTGCAATTGCCGGGCTAGCGGGTGCCATAGTCAGGAAAGCTCCCATAGTTGCTACATTGGTGCCAAGCAATGTGGAGTTAAGAATATGCCCGCCAGGGAATATCTTAGGCTTGGATGACATGCGACCAGCTAGTTTCATAAATGCAACGATCGAGCCAGTGAATGTCACACCTCCAATAAGGACACCCAGGTACGCTGTGACCATATGCAAAGTCGATATATCAGTGATGTCGGCCATCACACTACCGATACTGGTAAGAACAGCAGCCAGGCCAACAACGGAGTGCAGGGCAGCAACTGTCTGAGGCAAGCTAGTAGGTGTGATACGGCGGCCGATCAAACCACCAGCCATGACGCCAGCACCAGCAACTGCAGCGAACTGGGTCAACGTCTCTGTTGAGAAACCCACTGCAGCCAGTGATGCAAGAATACCAGAGACGACACCTAGGATTCCGAAGATGTTTCCACGGCGTGCGGTCGTTTGAGAGGCCAAACTGGAGATAGAACTCATGCATAATATGGTACTGACGAGGTAGCCAGCTTGAACAATACCAGCCACTCCAGTGCTTGCAGCAACCAAGAAGCCACCGCCGAACACAGCAGCGGGAATAGCATATAGCCAGGGATATTCCGGAGGATCAGTGGGGCGTTTGAACATGTCAAGCATGCGCTTTGTCACGGCAAATCCACCAGAAATATTGCCAAAGGCCAGAAGAACCGAGGCAGCACCAAGATACTCAGGAAGTGATGTCGGATAGTATCCCCCACCCATGATAAACAGGCCTCCGATTCCAACCATACCGGAAATAGCATTGGTAACGCTCATGAGAGGTGAATGAAGTGCAGGCGCTACTCCCCAGACCGCACGATAGCCGACCAGACCAGCAAGGCCGAATGTCATCATATTGCCCATAAACATAGGGCCAGTAGCTTTACCCAGAGCGAGTGTCGCAGCCATCGCTCCCGTGACGGTGGTAACCTCCCGAGTAGCGTTCTGCCAGGGTGTGATTGCAACTTCCTCCTTCGCTGCAACAGTCTTCGCACCTGCCTTCGGCGCCGGAGGTGGAGCAGGTGGTGCAGCCGGAGGAATGACTTCACCGTCGCGCGTAACGATAGATCCGCGAACCACTTCATCATTGAAATCAATGCCGTACGTCTTCTCCTTGGGAGCCATAGACAACAGAAGCTTCGTAATATTGTTGGAATACAAAGTGGAAGACTGAGTAGGCAGACGAGAAGGAAGATCCGTGTAGCCGATGATGGTGACATCCTTGTAATTGGAGAGTTGACCGGGAACAGTTGCTTCACAGTTGCCACCAGCCTCGGCTGCAAGATCAACAATGACCGAGCCGGGCTTCATGGCAGCTACCATTTCCTTGGTGATTAGCTTCGGCGCAGGCTTGCCGGGAATGAGAGCAGTTGTGATGATAATATCGACCTCGCGGGCCTGTTCCATGAAGAGTTTCATCTCGGCTTCGATGAATTCTTTGGACATTTCCTTGGCATAGCCACCTTGGCCAGCACCATCTTCCTGCATGTCAACTTCGACGAATTCTGCACCTAAGGACTGAACTTGTTCACGGACAGCTGGGCGAGTGTCGAAGCCACGGACGATAGCACCCATGCGACGAGCCGAGGCAATTGCGCTCAAACCTGCCACTCCAGCGCCAATCACGAGAACCTTACTTGGAGGAATCTTTCCAGCAGCAGTAACCTGGCCGGTCAAAAAGCGACCGAAATGGTTCGATGCCTCTAGCACAGCTTTGTAACCGGCAATATTGGCCATGGAGCTTAGAGCATCAAAGACCTGGGCACGAGAAATACGAGGAATTCGGTCCATAGCGAACGCGGTGACACCACGGGCAGCCAGAGCGTCGACAATGGGCTTATTCTGGGCGGGATACAAGAACGAAATAAGGGTTGACCCTTTACGTAGAGCTTCCACCTCATTGAGAGGACCTTCGATTTGTGGGCTTCGAACCTTCAACACGATGTCACTCTGCCAGATGGCGTCCCGATCGACAATTGTCGCACCTGCCTGTTCATAGGCATGGTCCAGTAGCTGCGCCCCCTCACCAGCACCGCGCTCAACTAACACACGCGAAAACCCTTTCTTCAGCAAGAGAGCCACATTCTGAGGAGTAATGGCCACTCGTAGCTCATTCTGGTATGTTTCCTTTGGGACGCCGACGGTCAGCTCGGAATACGGCGTTGCCGAGACAGGTGTTGAGGTAGGCTCCGAAGTCGGAGCGGCGTTGGAAGTGCTTCGTTTGTATACGGATGGCAGAGGGAGCGAACGCGTCTTTGAGGAGTTCTTCGTCGATACATGAAGCGAAAATGAACGAATTTGCGAGACTATTTGGCAATGATGAGAATTTACCTCGAGTCAAGGGCGCCCTGAGGCCGTCACAAAGTGAAGCTTACCGGATGGCAGGACCAATTTCCCCGCGCGCGCAGGGGTCGCCAGGCACCCCAGCGCTGACCGCAGGGGCAGCTTGACACTCATAGCTGGACCTCGCAGGGCAATCACAAGACCAGGCTTTCAGACTAAGACAGAGTGCATCTGAGGTAGGTGAGGTTGAATGAAGGGGAAGAGCGTGAGAAGACAGGAGGGAAGAAGGAGGGCGGTTACAAGGCACCGGGATTCCCACCTTGCGATGGAACGGTAGTCCTTAGTCGCTCTCGGATCTTGAGGCCCCGGGGGTTCGTGAGTTCCTAGCCGGGGTCCACTGGTCCGGTTATTTACTTGACACGCCACATCTTATTCCCCCGCATCAACGTGTGGAGATGACGGATCTCCCGCTTCTCCACCATGCCATCTCTTTTCCTCCTGAATATCCCCCGGCTATCGAGATAAAAATCTAGAATTCGGTTATAAGACCGATAGATACTTGAATAATATAATCAAATCTATGAATTCTCCTTCGAAATTAAGACAAATAGTATCATCTGTAGGCGAGAGCCAGAAAGACAAAAAAAGAATTCACTAATCTCCGATAGGGGGAATCGAACCCCCGGCTGCCGTGTGAGAGACGGCGATGTTAGCCACTACACCATATCGGATATTGGATGGAAGCCAAGCCTATTTATTGCTACAGGATCTATGTAGAACTTTTATCTCTTATAGCCCTAGCCCGATTTCCGCTTGGATCTGACTTTTATGCTCGAGATGAGGCAATTTTGCCCTTACTCCGCCGCACCGACCTGTTCCGGCCCCAAACTTGTCAATCGGTCGATCAGTCTCCCAAACATCGCATCCAGGCGTATTCGCCCTTCACTCTTTCCAGAAAATCGCATATGTGCGGCGGGGCATCAAATCAGCCTTTGGGGTGTAAAACGAGGGTGACGGGGTTGATAGCTTTGGTTAATGTCGTCCGTATTATTTCGAAAGCTAGTGGTTGTTAAAGTTCACGAGAGTTGACGAGACAATGACAGTTCCAAAGTAACCAATCATCTCCTCGATATCTCTCGTTCTAAGCGTTATTGTCAATTATCCAGACGAAGCTGAGCTCGAAAAAGCTAAAAACTGGCCAATGATCTCCTTTGGATTAACATCCTCCGACCGAGTCTCGGAGATATCAATCCTGTACATATCCTTGATAATATAACTCTCCCGTACTTGCATCACATCCATAAGTTTCTGAAACCAAGACATTCGAGTTTTATAACGATTGTCTGCTTCAACTATATTCATTCTCGCTCTGCTCCGGAAGTATTCGTGCTGCAGCCAAAATGCATATTCGGCCAGAGAGCCTGAGAGCCGAACCACTGACACATCATTAATGTCTACCGATGTGACGTTGTTCACAAAGTAGTCATTCTTGTAGTCAGGGCCGCGCACCTAGTAGCATCATGTTAGCGCATGGTAATGCCACAATGTGATCATCGACCAGTCATAATTATGGTATCTCGGGTAGATCACCAAAATTACCGGAATTACACTTTCCAGCATTGGATAGACCATACTTGCCGAAACGCCCCGTGGCTATTCACTAGAATTCGAAAACAGATTGCCCTTCAGACTCTTCGCTTCAGCTGGGAGGGTTAGTACGCCACTGTCGCCCAACGGAGCGTGATTCTCGATCTGTCTATTGCGCACCCACCCTATTCTCACCCGGCGGCACCCACCCAATTATTGACCACTGACTAGCCGCTAGTTCTGAATGGCCAATTCTCAAAGAGCCATTTGCTTCTTAAATAGCGATGCAAGTAGTCCTAGGGTAAGTATGGGTGATATAAGTGAAAAGCCTGGAGACTGGAGTGAGAGGGGTGAGAATGGGGTAAGAACGGGGTAAGAATTCTTACCCTAGGGTGAGAGGGGCTAACCTACTCTACACTATAGAAAAGGATAAATCCCGGTCCTAAGACGCTCTATAAAGATAATCTTTACTAAATAAGCTATTTAGAAAGCCCTTAAGGAGCGTATTATTATGACTTATAGTCCTTTTATCCCGGCTTAAGGCTCAAAAATATCCTGTCAGCTATATAGGCTCCAATCATGTGTCTAGGATTGCCTGTTCTACCGCTGGCTTGAAAGATTCATTCTAGTACACATAACCAACTTTTATGTTTTCTTGTCATTAGCGCTGGAACACTTTTGGTTTAACAATATGGTAGCCTTTAAAAAGGAGCGTAATATCCTCAACCTCTAAGGGTAGAATCATGCAATTTTTCGTGCTATCTCGTATACTTACACTAATCTGGTCTTTGGATGAAGCCCCCTGTAATTTCAGACTCAAAGCAGCAAGTGTTGTTAATTTATTTTGCTGAAATGTACAAGAGGTCAGAATAGAGTCGATGGTTTTGCTGGTAAGAAAAATAAGGTGTGCAGGTGTGTCCGCTACTATATTACGTAGTGATCGATTGACAAAATTCCAGAGTTACCCTTGTATGAGATATAATCTACAGCAATTGATGATTTGCATCAGATTTATACTGTATGCTAGTTCCTGTACCACATTTGGTCACGATCATCGTTCAAAAGCCGCCCATACTCTAGCATTAGCCGCCACCAAAAGAGTCTCATGTCTTCATTGCGAAGTACAAGGCGCGACCAATCATAACTTCTCTGAGCAACTTTTTTGCCTAGGGCCTGTCCCTCTGGCTCCTGGGTCAAGTAACGGACAGTTTCAGGAAAATCCCGAAGATCCATGCTGATCGGGATGTAATGCAGCCATGGAATTAGCCAGTCATCGTGCCACTCCTGGTAGAGAGTTTGCTTCAGAACGGCTGATTTCGACATAAGGAGACGGTAGAAGCGTCCACTGAGGCCATTTCCGTCAATGTCAAGATTATATCGTGCCTTATAGCCGTCGGAAATGTCGTCTCTGTTGCCAGTTTTGATTTTCAACTCATCATTCTGTTCATCGCACGCGAGATCGTCGCATTGAATGGCTGCTGAGATTCGCACCCGGGTAGAGTTAGAAATGGCTGCAAAGGTGGAGTTAATTGACTTCCACTCTGGGCCTTGCGGTTGCTGGGTTTGGGTCAGCAAGGTAATAGGATGGCTTTCGTCCGTTGTTATCAATGCCAAGCGCTGGCGCTGTAAAGACCTCCAGTTCTCGGTCGTAGAGTGGCCTCCCGTATTTGACCCGGTCCAATAAACAATGTTCTCCTTGTCTTCCCAGTCTAAATCCTTCTTTTCCTTGTACTCCCCTGTTCGTAGTTTTTCGGCATAAAATGGGCTTGGGTATAGCAAGTCATTGAAGCAGGAGGCTTTCGCCTGAGAGAAGACCGGGACTAGCGCATGGGTTATTGTCATGGATTCCGGGTGACGAAGACCAGCATGGATATTGTGAAGTTCGGGGAATTCACAAACATCTTTACTCAGCGTCACGTTGGAGAGAAATCCCATTTGAGTGAGGAAAGGGGATTTGCTGGTCTCGAGGGAAAAGTCCCGTGCTGCAGTGTCAGGAGGACAAGAAAGTGACAATGCATCCCAAGTATTTTGTTTGCCAATATTCAAAAAATCGACGTGCTGAGCAAGATCGGAATTTTTTCCCGGTAATGGGGGGCCTTCGTGCGAATTTCGAGCAGCGCCCAGAACATGGGATAGCATGTCGTGAGGCACCACAACTTTGGGTTCGTCCATAGTATTCATCGCAAGAGTCAAATTAGGTAAGGTTTGGAGGATCTCTGAGTCAAACCAGGGGCTAAAAATCTGTCCCATCCAGTCTGGTGGATTGTGAAACAAGGGTTTTGTGCCCTGGGAAACTGTGAACCGGTACATGCCCTCCCCCTGGCTTGCGGCGATGACATTTTCCAGACGAGCTCGAATATCAGATGGGGCTACGCCCCATAATGGCTCCAGGTTTGCCATCATGGAATCAAACTCGTCCGTTAGGAGGAATCCTTGCTTCCGAGCTGCTCGAAACCACTTATCAAAATGGAGAGGAGGCTTTCGTCCGTATCGGCGCTCGTACTCTGCACAACAGGCATGTAGTGTTTGAGATTGGCTTTTGATCATCATGTTAAATCTCGACTCGGCTTGTGCAGCAAGATGATGAATTGGATGTGCTGATGAATCAAAGCCAATATGTGGTTGAGACGGTTCTATGCGCCATAATTCTGAGTATCCAGTGAGAATAGGCAGCATCGGGATGATCATGATGGCTAAGACCCGTCGCCGTGTTGACGATGGAGGGAGGTTGGTTACTCCGAAGGTCAATGATACAACAGATATCAGGGGCATTATTAGAGACTCTTGAAGTGTATCTGCCAGATAGCCTTGAATCGCGGCGGCAGAGTATGAGTCGATGGTGGTGGCTGCAAGGGTGTGACCGCTCAGTACCTGCGGGATAATGATAGTGTGTTAGCCTAGCGCCATCTTGCGATAAGTATTAACTGAGAGGAATGGCAAAACAAACCAGATAAACGGTAGCTGTCAGTCCTGCTGAGGTGCAGAAAGCCTGCAGAACCATCGACCATGCTAACATGGATGATGGAGCAACGACGAGTAGGACCCCTAAAAGAATCAAAGATACTCGAAGGACAATCGCCTCCATCATCTTGGGGAGTGGTAGCTGTTGGCTATAGTCGTTACATATATCAAGCAAGAAAAAGCTCGAGGATCTCGCCAAGACAGAGAGAACCAGAAATAAGACTGAAGAGCCATTTGAAAGGTCCACAAAAAGAAAAAGGGACGATATTCCGAGCAAGCCGAGAATTGATAATTGGATAGAATGTCGGAGTTGTGATTTAGGTCGTGTCACTCCGTTATAACCCCCCGGCTTTGGCAAACTAGGCGACTGTGAATCTCGATAGAACAGTGCAAGATATGTGGATAGCACTGCCAGCGGCTGTGCCGAATTAGCCTCTATTCACAGATTTTCAATTAGATCGAAGAGCACACCATGGCATGTGTTGTATCATAATACACCGTCAGTACGCGTGTGATCGCGATGAAAAATGAAGTGCTCCATGCCATCCAATTGAACTCGAATTCTCGTTCCTTCGGCAAGGGTTCATCGTCCGACCCCGCTACCGGCAACTTCGAAACTTTACGTCGTAGTCTCAACCCAAGATAAAGGATCACCCAGCACAAGCACTCGATACGAATATCGGGCCTCCATTCTGATGTCTTTCTTGAGTACTGCGTTACGATTGCAATGAGGGCGGCGACGACATAGGTATAGCTAGAGTCCATGGCTTATGGTCTACCCGTTGGTTATCTGTCAATCCATGTCGACAAATAATATAGGACTTACTTCTTTGTCCATCTGGCTGGCCTAGCCACAGCTCCAGCATACCTTTTCTGGCCTTTATTTGTTCGCAACGCCCGCTGTCTCTGTTCGGAGGGAGTAAAGAATATCGGGAGCGATAAGACAAATCAGCGGCATGGTACTCTGTTCAGAGCTGAGAGGAGTGAAATGGGACCGAATTCCGTGAGGTGGAAAATTGGCCCAGGGGTCGAACGAGATAGGATTAGTGCCATAGCTTTCGCCCCCACGATGAGATTGAGTAGCATGTATGTAGGTCTTAGACAGAAAAGGTACAATTGGTGGCTTCGATATTAGCGCCCCCACTATTTGTAACCGAACCACCGCCGTTCAGCTGAGGGCGCAACTTGGCACCTATAAGCGAGACTGAACACAGCAGTCCGGCGCTAACGTGGGTCAGGAAGGCCAATCAAAACAGTGGTCACATTGGGTGGGTCATGATGGGCGGATCCGGACGCGCTGATTTGGAAAGGTCAGTGAGCGAGAGGCAGCGGGTGTAATGGCGGGAAGAACCCTGTTGGAACCAACCAATCTTAGAAGGCGGCTCAATTCCACCTATGCCGCCATCATCGTATTCATGGCTATCATAATTTCACACGTGCTGCGGAAACTAAGATGATATTTATGAGGCAAGCATAGAGATGTGTCCCCTGAGTCCCATTTATCCTACCTAGCACATATAGCATGTTTCAATGCGCCCTCACTGCTGGTTGTTGGTAATTATTGCAAAAGGTGAGAACCGAGGTCATCGGAAGGAGTCCACATTAGGTACCTTATCAACTCACCAACGATGATTAATTAGCCAACAGTCATTTTGTGGAGTCATTTTGTGGACAATCATGACTCGTAAGTTGTTTCAAAAGGAAAGAATTGGAATCCTTCGCCATAATTGCGGTAGTTTCGTCGCTCGAACCCCTGTTTGTCCATACATTAGTGCGCGACTAGACAAATCACCGGGCATTGGGGCCCATACGACTTAACCAAATTCAGGTGGTTTATGAGTCCGGAATAGAGAACCCTCTCATATTATTCAAGTTGAGCCCCTTCCCCCTATAATTTCCCTCGATTTCCAATTTTCATCCACGGCGCTTCACAGTACCTAAGTCTGTTTGTTGGCTTAAACATCGGCTATAGACTGAGCTACCGCACCTGAGCAGTCTTATCTTCACTTGTCTTTTTCCAGGATTAAAGCTACACTTATCATCTGCTGCCCGTTCTATTCTTGAGGCTGTGGAAACCTTTGATCGTTGTTATTTATCCAAATTGTGCTTCGTCCTCATCCCATACCCCTTCGGCTCGTTCTCTTGGATATATCTTCACTTCGCAGTAAGTTACGTCTCACTTTTGACTTCATATCGACTTCTCATCGCGCTCGCGGCATACACGGAGATTTGTGATCAAACAATACTAAGTCAAAATCTGACTCTTCAGGCATGAAAAAGCTTTCCCAGTTCTATACAATTATCTCCCTTTGGGTGCTGTCCTTTAATCATGTTTCAGCCATAGGACCTTGGGCCATGACTTGGTCTGACTCAACATTCGGACCAGATGGCCCTTGGCATGCTGTTAATATTTACATGGGTGCAAATGACACGGAGATAGCCATGTTTCCGGGAGGATCATGGACAAGTTATGTTCTTCTGAACACGCTTTGTGACAACACGACAAAAATATCATCGTACTGCTATGGAGATCGCGCCGGTCTTTACAACCCAGACACCTCGAAGACCTGGGATGGCGATTCTGTTCGCCTGTCACCTGTTAATACATGGACGGGCATACAATGGGGTTACACAGATGCCGTATCTCTTGACGCCTACATCTATCGGGCACTCGAATCCATAGATGTTGGCGGTACAGGCACATCGGACTCAAACTTGATTGCCATTAAGCAAGGGTACCAGACCTATCCTGGTGGAAACATCTTCCCCCTGGAAGTGGGTATTCTTGCGCTGGGGTCTCCAGATATCAACCAGACATTCGCTGAGCCCAGTGGACCGCCCACGAATGGTACATTTGTCACCAGCTGGCTGTATGAACACGGTGTCACTCCATCCTATTCATATGGAATGCATATCGGCTCTCCGAAGTTTGATATTCCTGGGTCCCTGTATCTAGGTGGCTACGATAAGAACCGACTGCTCGGGGATATATCTACACAGCCAATCAACAGCGGAGAATTGCCAATCGAAATGCTTGATATTAGCCTTGGTGTTGTGGATGGCGGCTCAGTTTGGGGGTCCTCCAGTATCACGGACTTGATGGCAAAGTCTAATTCATCTTTACAATCTGGAACAAATGTTGCAATTGATGCGACAAACCCCTACATCTATATGCCTCAGAGCACATGTGATGCCATTACTGCATATCTACCTGTCACCTACCGCTCCGACCTCGGTCTTTATGTGTGGGACACAAACAACGAAACTTATGCCAAACTTATCACATCGCCCAGCTATTTAGCATTTGATTTCGCCAAGAACGACGTCAATACGGCGAACATAACCATCAAGGTCCCCTTTGCTCTTTTAAACCTCACTCTCTCACCTCCCTTGGTGGAATTTGACACTCCATATTTTCCTCTTATGCCCACCAATGGAACCCCAGTTCTGGGTAGAGCTTTTCTGCAAGCGGCCTTTTATGGTGTACATTGGTCTCAAGGTTATTGGTTTCTGTCCCAGGCTCCAGGACCGGACGATAATTTCATTAAGAACATTGTCAGCATAGAGCCCACTACGACTACCATCAGTGGGTCTGCAAGCAGTTGGAAAGATACCTGGGCATCTTACTGGACCGCTCTACCCTCTATAGCTGCCAACAACGACTCCGGGACAAATTCGTCCAGCTCCCCAAGTTCTCCAACAAATGCTAGCACCAGTCTCTCTACGGGGGCCAAGGCAGGCATTGGCGTCGGCTGTGGGTGTGCTGCCATCGTGATCATTTTCTTGGCTGCCTGGATTTTGATCCGTCGCCGAAACAGAGCTAAACAACTCACCACATCACCACCTCAAGGTGATCCGGGACATCATCTCGTTTCGCAGGGAGGTGCGCCAGTCGAGCTTGATGACAGCAAGCCAGACATCTTGCATGAGCTGAATCATGACCCTGCTTTCGCAGGCTACTATGAAAAACGGAATTCGGGGAAATCTAGAACAGTCCAAGGTCCGCAAAGCTCGATTGGACAGTCGGAAGGTCTGGAAAGTGGTACCACTTCTCGCTATGAGCTTTTTTGATGATAACCTTGTGAGAACCGACATGGCTAGCCAGTATGACCTTGCTAGCCAGTACAATTTGCTATTATAGCACCTTTAGACATAATTTTTAACAATACCATTTCCTAATTAAGCTATACGAAAGAAATTGTTGAGGTGTTGTTCCTAGGAGTGGTTGCGTCGAGGGTCCAGATGCCTGCAGGGACCCACTCAACCATTCACCCGAATATCCACCTGGCACAGCGGGCGACCCTTTTCTTGAAATATGCGGTTCAATTCTTACAGGGACATTGGTCTATTTTCTTTTACCAGAAGAGAAAATATCTAAAGGAAGGAGATCGAAAAATAGGGGGAGGAAACGGGGTTACCAATGAGTCCTTTGGACCTATAACCTGCAAGCACTCACCCGCTCTGCCCCTGGTGCTCCGAGTAACTTCCGTTTCTTTCAGAGTAGTGCCTATGAAATTTTGCTGACTCGGAAATGTCACAACACTCTTTCGATATATAGCTCAATGACTATCACGTTCATATCACCCCAAGGTGATCTCAAAGTGTTCAGCAAATGTGTAAAAGTCAGGCCTTGTTTCCAAAGCATCCCTTACAGTTCAGAAGAGGTTGGCCAACTGCCAGCTCATACAGTCCTTGGTGTTCTCCACTCTTCTTTTTACGCCGGAGTCGATGTCTTAGAGCCAACAGAGTTTGCCTCTCTACTATGGTGGAAGTCCTCGGAGTCCATGTCGACAGTCCCAAGGCCTATATTGAGCACCGGTAAACGATGCTTCACCATATCAGCAGATCATCGTCCTAAACCAATGGATTAGCGGACATTCCTAGAAGCTATTCCTATTCTCTCTTGGATTCAGTCTGCCTATGGAGAATGGCTGCAAAAAGATGACGATTCCGAGGACCTTACTCTTCTGGAAATCAGATACGGAAGCGACTTTTCCCCAGCTACTTCGAGAAGCCAACGTTCATAACGTCGCGGACCATTTAGAATGGCTCGTGGGGGATGCAACAGAAGTTATTTCAGCTCACACAAGTCAACTCAACCATGTATCTTCTGATTTCTTTGGGCTGCGACCATATAATCTTTTTTACGGATGTCAGTGTTTAATATAGCGAGTAGTCTCAAAGTATATCGTTTTCTGTTCGTTCATTGTCCCTATGTTCCATTTCTTCAAGCAGATTTATAGATAAACTTATAGACTGATTATTATAATTCCGCAAGTAAAATACGACCGAGACTTCGAATTCAATACTAATATTGGTTTCGGGACGCTCTGGAAAACTACGCTTAGCCTACAGGCTAGAACGTTGTTTGACTTAGTACTTACCCTTATGCAGTCCTTACAATAAAATGTAGTTTACACCGCCACAGTATATCATCCCTAATTATATACCGCGTAAGTAATGAAATGTTGGGGGATTGTGATATAGCGTAACGCCTAGCTTGTATGTATCTAGCGATCAAACAAAGAGGCCTTTTTATTTTAATCCAGACCTGCATATCCGTAAAAACATTAAAGGAAACAAACACATGTCGTGGAACACAAAAAAGAAATAATCTGTGGTGATCGGCCAACGAACAGTTCTCGACAAAAGCTCGTTAGAATAAAATTACAAGCTTGAGACCAGACTATCTAAGATTGATGGTCTAATCCCTTATAGCTCCTTTGTACCTGGGCCCTTGTAAGACCATGTGCATTCACGTAGAAAAGCTAATAAAAGTTCGAAAACATTTACAAGGTTTAAATTTATCTTTTGAAACTTTCTGATTTAATAATTTTCTATTGTTTCCCCCGCTGTGATGTTTGATAGTAGGTCACGTGTCGCGAGCTAGTCCCGATTAGGACTCGGGGGTGGCATTATTTTGTAGCTATTCGCTCTCTCCCTCTTTTCTCTTTCTTTCCTCAGTTTAGAACTTTTCTAAATGGCACACACATTATGCCATAATAGCCTATACCACCCGCTCTTACTCGAATACCGGATCTACCGTAGACCAGCAGACGGTATTTTGTGGTACGTTAATTGTTTTGAGGTAATGAAAACCTGGCAGCCCGTGAGCTACCACTCGTTGCTAAAGGTCTGACCGTTTCTTTGTTGACTCGGTTCTTTTCTGCTAACCGCTTTCTACTGTTTCCCTCCGCTACTCTGCTCAGCCCTACTCTGTTTAATCACATCTGTTTGATCACTTTTCACCACACCCTTTTACCCCACCTTTGAACTACTTCCATTGAACGTGTGAAAATTCCATTCACATACGTATGATGTTAGCTTAAATAAGCAAATTTGAAAAAGATTAACTTATACCACAACGCTAATTGACGGTAGATTAGCTGCTGAAAATGGCTACCTTGAACGCCGGGTTGGAATTTTTTCATACAAATACTTCGTTCTAGATGTCAACCAACCAACCAAGGATACCGCTCTCAGCCCAGATGTATCATTTCAATCCGCAATGCATAGAGAAAAACTAGCGAAGGCTTTGCGTTTCCGCAATCTCTTCTATATTAAAGATGGTAAATACAAGAAACTTACGGATGGCCCTTTCCAGAGTGGCTTCAGGGAAAGTCAACTTCATATGCCAATATTTGACCTCTTGCTTTGTACCAAATATATATTGAAATGGGGATGGCTCTATGGCTGTCTGACAATGCAGACTGGACAGCAACAACCAACGGACAACACACACACACACACACACACACACAACCAACACGTAGTAGAGGTCGTCCTGGGGGAGGTCGCAAGTGTCCTTGGTGCGGCCGTGGGACCGTACGGGCAATCCTGAACGCAGCAATCCTAAATGAGGCCGTACGGTTTTCCGACTGAGGCCATATGGAATGTACTTAATATGACATCATGAATCAAAGAATGTACTGACAACCGGAACGAATTGGGTAGATGCATCTTCTATCTCCCTCCTCATGTAGAAGCTGTTGCCTACACCTAGGTATTCTGTCGGGATGTTTTATATGCCACCAATCAACGATATCAAAAGCTCTGTCTTTGTATTACCCCTGATTCTGCCAATTTATAACTAGGTATTTTTTAGTATTCTACTTTTATTCTCTATTAGGAATAGTCTTAGCTAGTTGACCGGTTCTACCAGGGAAACGGGACTAACCCGGTTAGGACTAGCGGTATGAGTATATAGCTACGCGAGCGCGCCCAGACTTGGTTTCTTCTCTAGTTTTATATCTTCGTTAAATACTACATGATACCTTTCAAATTGAGTTATAACACTTCATAGCAGCAGGTATTTGGAGCGAGCGTCGAGTAATGACTTTATTATCGAGACCCACTGACCCCTTATGTCCAATGACCTATGCGGCTGCTGCCGAGCTAACAGACACTCCTTGCGGATTACCGAACTCCAGCCTTCTGCCTCGGATGATTGATCCATCTATCATCGACTCTATCAATGGAGTTTCTAGCCGTTGCCGTTGCCGGCGTGCTTGGTAATTTCTGTTCCATCCTGCTATCCACCACCTCCACTGGCTGGTTCAACAGCCTGTGCAGCCCAGGAGACATATCAACCGTCCTCGGCCCGTAATTGTCAATTGGCGCTCACATCTACTTACCTGTCTCCGATAAATTTACCAAAGCCGCGACTCGATGGTTTACTTAGAAGGCGCCCAAGGTCGCTTTCGTTGTAAAGGTTGCGACTGAGAGCTGTGGAAGAGACAGTAGTTCAGGCTTGAGACATACGATTCATAGCAGCACTAATCTACTCAGGTCAAAAATTCCAGCAAGCACAACATTCCTTTCATCGCTGTCAACGGCGGCTAGCCGACCAGCTCGCTTTGTAATATCAAAATTGGCATCGAGATTTGGCTCAACCACTTGACTTCTGTTTCAAACGCAAACATGAGCATTCTCAAAGCATATCTTGGATGCCCTCTGGAGGTCCTCCCCAACCAGAACGTCTTAACCAATCTTCGAAAGAACTGGCTCGTAGGTGGAGATCCTCCCAGGAAGAGTCTTCGGCTGGATCAAGAGCCCCGTAGCAAATCCTGTCCTCTGGCGCTATCGAGATCCATTCCATCATTTGGCGAATATCCTCCTTAAACCCGTTTCCTACCGCTTTAGAAGCCAAATCAGCCCACTCATCCATTGAAATTGGGGAATAAATTGCTGGCTGGCCAGTGACCCGTGTGAAGGTGGATGCAAATTCGTCCATCCGTAATTTCGGACTGCAGACGACATAATTTTTGTTCTTTGTTTTCGCAATGCCTAAAGCAAATACCTCTGTGAGAGATTTTATCAGTTTTGTACTTCTCATGAATCATAAGTTGCTTCTCTCCAGTCTCCTATTGCAAGGCGTGGGATATCGCACCAGGTCTTCCTTTGTGGAAACGACTACAAAAGAGTCGATATCACAACTTACCTGCGGCGAAAATACCCATATCATAAACGGGATCAACCCACTCAACTAATTTCGTCGACGGAATCGGGGGACAAAAACGAACGACCCCATTTGCTGCAACAGTGAGAAAGATTTTCCATGGGGAAATCTCCTTTTCAGAACTGACCTTCTCTTCGGCAATACTGCGGACGATCCAGATTGGTGAAGAAGAGACCTTGAAGAAGAATGTATTATTGGCTGCAAGTTCACACGGACACTCGGTGTCAGAAGGGAGCCTCACCAGGGAGAAGGCATGTGACCGCAGATAGCTCTTGCTTTGCCAACTGCTCAATGATAAACTTATGATCCATATGGAACAGCTTATCAAAGCGATTTGAAGTCGCTCGTCTCATGTCAGGCAAGCTACTTAGAACAAAGTGCTGAATGCGGCAGATCTTCGCGGCAGAAATAATGCTCTTCCCGCTTTCGAGCTCCTGCTTCAGGTCATCCTCGTTTTCAATCGTTCTTGAACTGGTCTCGCTCGTCACCGCAAACACACCATAAGCCCCGGAGAAAGCAATCTGAAGACTTTCTACATCAAATATGTCTCCGGTAGTGAGGCTCAGACGGTGGTCGGGGGTTTGAAAATCATTCAAAAGACGTTGAGCTGAGACGGAGTTGACATCCCTGGTGACAGCGCGGACGTTCCACAGTTCCCGCGCACTATCACTTAAAAGCGAACTCACTACGCCTTTGCCTTGATGTCCTGTGGCCCCAAGCACTACAATAATCCGGTTCTGCGCGTTGGATCTCATTTCAATTCGATAGGAAAGTAGATCGTCTCGGGGGTTTGTTATTTTTGAATAGGAGATAAATTGAGCAGAAAAGGCTGCTCCAGGGAAACTTATATAATGATCTCGCACCTCTTGGCCAGTCCAATCACTAGGAATGAACGGACTCATTACAAATCCAAGGCTGGTAAAAGTGGCCGACGTGTTGAGCGGATAAAGCATCTCTCCGTGTCGGAGACTTATGATACCAAGGGAGCTCCCACTTCCGGACTGACGTCATTCATGTGATCGTGTCAGAGTGTGTGACAAATCAGCGGTGCCAAGAACTATGTACAGTGGTGTTTATAAGTTTGAATCCGTGTTCACCGCACCGCACTAAGGTTCGTGGATGTAGGTGGGTACACAACACCCTTTCGGTCGATATCTCCACCTACTCCATGGCCGCGAGACCTATCTATTCTTGATCGGTCTCGGCGTTCGGTGTCAAACCTGCCGCCACTCACTACCCTTTCGTTCTCGCCTTTTTTTTATATTTTCTTTGCTTTCCGGTCAATTTGACATCTTGCTCAATGCGTGCAGGACAGGAGCCACATGAGGTCCATATTTTGGAAAAAGAATCCTCGCTGGAGTGCAAATGACAGAGCCAATTGGCCCTTTTTTCTGTGAGCAGACCCGAGGCAGTCGCAGGGCCTAACGACCAAGGTGACTAGGTTTCAACAACCAGGCTAATATGCCATCGCTCTACAGGATCCCGCAGGATTCATTCTGATCGCTCCCGTTAGTACATCGGTATGCGTCAGCCCTCGATACGCGAAGCGACCTGCTGCATCACATGAATCTGTCAAACGTCGGACATTACTACCCAGACCATGGAGTCCACGCCCATCCGCAGCGGCATCCCCAGCGTACCGAAGGAGACACGGACGACCATCTAATTGCTCCCACTAGCTCCAGAGGTGTTTCATGCCCCATCCAGGGTAAGCCACCAGTGCAGCGATGACAGGCAATGGTCAAGGGGGTACCCTGAAGGGACGTGGTTTTCCGGAAGGTCAACGGTATTGGGGGAATCATCTGCGCAGATGCACGTTTTCTCCGACAGCCAGGCGGCCAATCAGGCGGTACAAAATCCAAAGCGTCCGGCCAGCACGTACTCACTGAAGTTTACGACCATGTCGCCCTCGACTCTGATGTTGATCCACTGAATCCCCGCATAGGTGGGCTTTTTTGGCAGTGAGGCAGCCGATTTGGAAGTTAAGGCGGCCGCACTGACGGGAGCAGGGGGCAATGGAGCGGAAAAATCGAGTCCCGCAGGTTCCACCGCTGGCGCTGTCCGGCTGGCTTCCAGCTAAGAGTGCAGTGCAGGCGCGTTGCAAGGGAAAATACGCCAATCAGTAGGCAGAAGAACAAAAGACGGTGAAACCAACCAGGTGGATATTCAAAGCACCGAGCAAGAAGGTGCTTCGGCTCTACGAGGGCCTGCCAAAGCCGTACGACTCGATCCTATTGGGAAATATGGGGAGGTGGGCAAACCAACTAAGGCATGAGGGCTTCAATTACCATGGCGGCATCAATTCATGTACATATTGTCACCACTCTCTAAGCTGGATGCCAAATGCTGGAGCTTGTGAATTTCCTGTACTGGGATGAAATGGAGTCTCATTGATTTATCAAACAATCATTCAGTCAGTCTTCCTCCTTAAAATAGAAATGAGCTGTCCCAGGAGTGCATTTCATGTTTTCTTTTCCTTCCGCCGGGATGGTACCAGCTATCTGGTATCCCTCATCTGCAGTTCATGAGGCTTCGCGTTGATGTTGAAGCAACCTTCTTTTCTGTTCTTGGCAGTAATTTCTTTTCCACTGACCGTGAACACCCTGCGTCATTTTCCGCAAGTTCTGCGACCGATACCTATAGGGAAATTTCAGTAAATAACTCGTCTTTCTCCACGGATCCTTTGATAGGCTCACCAGTATTTTTCATTGTGTGAAAACCATGCTCCGGTGAGACGACACTGGTCAAGCCAAGGACGGTCTGCAGGCCATTCACTGCTTCCCAAATTTCGAACCACCCAGAAGACAGCCTGATTCATGTCTTCGGGCAAAGCGTATTTTGTAATTAAAGTCTGACACATGGGACAGGCTTTTGAGACCAGCTTCCCGGGGACAAGAGACACGAGATCCTGATAAGGTTTTGAAGATATCAAAGTCTGGTATAAGTGAGGATCTTCTGCGGCTTGATTCCTAGGGACGAGAGATAGGAGATCCTGATGAGGACAAGCAAAGGTAGGCTCAGCTGTGAGATGAGCATCGGAGGAGGAGAAGCTTATAGTATGCCGAGCTGCTACACATAACTGGCCAGTTTCCTTAATAAATAAAACCAGAGCAACTCGTACATTGTAGCCAGATCTAGTGCTAAATAAACAAGCGTGGCCGAGGCCGGGTTGTCCTCTATCGTCAAAGTCATACTCGAATGGGCCATATTTGGTTTTAGCTGGCTTCGCGGGTGATTTGAGGACCTTGATAAGCTGATCTCGACCTCGAATCGTCAGAGAAATACAGGGGCATAGGTCAGCTATGCCAGCATAGTATGTGCAGGGTCTCTCCAGAGCTGATTGTCTCAGTAAATTTTTCGTAAATTGTTTCCGTGGATGGAGTTTCAAGCATTTTGCACAGTAGGCCCAGCGGCGATTTTCGAGTCGAAGAAGGATTTGATTTCGCAGCACATCCTGACTGTTTACGCACAGTATTGGATTCCTAATACGCAAGAGTCGTGGAAATTCAAGATCTTTGTGCTTCACTAGCGTCCCGGATAGGCCGAAAAGCTCTTTGCAGCTAAGGGATAGACAGACTTGATCGACTAGTGAGAGGTTTTGGTAGATCTTCTGTAAGATGCTCTCATCCAAACAAAGTATGGTGGAGTATTTTTGTACTTTCTTCCAAAAGATATGAAGCTGCCTAAGGAGCATGTTTCGACATCGCAACATCTTCGAGTCTTCAAGGCGAAAGGTAATGTCGAACGAAAGGCAGGAGACTGGGTTTTGATTTCGGATACAGACGCGATGTAACAATGAGTAGATCGAGAGAGTCAATCTGGTCTAAGATATTTGGTAATGTTGAGAATGAAAGACTTCAGGGCTACCGTCTGTGATTAAGAATTGTGACTTGGTGACGTATTGATTGCAAGTTCTGATTCCAAGATGATCTAATTCGGCGTCGGTAGGTTTAGATCCGATGCCTGTTTTGTCTGGTAAGCCCGCAAAATGACTTTACCGATCTCGCCTTGGTTGGCGCAAAAGCTCCAGTAGTATAGCATTCAGACGAGACCTATCTACCAATCGATTCTAGTACTAACGCATACTCACCCTTCATCCACTTGATCCTATAGCCACCCCGCAAAAATCTGTTTCTATTATCAAAAGAGCCGCAGCTCTGCGAATCATCTATATCTAGTTGTGACCACCGCGTTGATTGAGCTCTGCTTGCTAATCATTCTATGGCCCAAGATAGCAGAACAAACGCGCAGCGCGCACTAATAGGGAGACAAGGACTCCCGTATACCACTCGCGCTATAGGTCGACGGGAATAAATATTTACACGCGGACTGATAAGCTTGGCAAGAACTTCAGGTTTAGAGATCGTGCTGAGTTTCGATATAGCCGCAGTGAAGCATTAGGATCATTGTGAAAGGAAGGAGTATCAGAGCAAAGCTTGAAATTGAACGTTGATGAGAACCCCTAGAGCTCCAAGGCCTGGAATCTCCTCAAATGAATTTATAGTGTCTTCAAATCGACTGTTCAATAGGTCTCCATCACCCACATAAATATCAATGGCCCAAAAAGCGCCGGCTCTTTTAAATCCAGAAGCTCATTTAAACCCTAAGCTCCGCCACCCTCTGATTCCTCAACATGAATCGCTAGCTTTAAAACACGGATAAAGTACGAATATCGGGAACATATGATTGGATAGAGTGACCTTACCTAAATTGTGGTGCTCATTTCTCTGTACCGGACCCGCAAATCCCACGCTGGGTCTTTCATTTTACAACATGGCTATAGTCTTCCTCCGTCTGCTGTAATTTACACGAAACTGATCAGTTTCAACTACTTAGCCAGGAACTACCTCTATCACAAAATATTGGCCTGACATAAGTGAAGTTTTCTGCTCCTCCTGCTCTCTTTCTCTTTAACGAAACGCCACGAACACCCAGGAGCCAACATAAAGATTTCCACGAGTTGCCCTGAGTGGGGTTCATGAGACCGCGACGGGTGCCATAATAGGGCTATGTAGTAGAGCTGAATTGAAGCTACTAAATGTCAGTTTGAATGAGTAAGACTGATAACTGATTATGGTCCAACTTCTCTACGAGGCGAACTCCAGAGGGAAATCCGCTGAAATTCCAGCAGAATCAGGGGCCTAGACCCGTCATTCTACGAACTTCTATCAGCTCCAATGCTCTAAAAACTTCTCTAGAATGAACAAAAATCAGGAATGCATTCGCACTACTCAAGCTGGTAGCTTGCACCTCAGTCAATTGAAATTTGACATAGATTGGACACTTCGGCATAGTAAGCTAAATAAGTTTACTTCAGATTGAAATGAAATTCAAGCCATATTTAGGCGGTACCAACCCTGCACAGCCGATTCAATATATGCGCGAAATTTTTCCTGTCCCCTGGGCGGTGCGAAGGACTCCACAATGATGTTGACGATGCTCTCAGCATCAACCAAGCGGATTCCACTCCGCTGAATATCCTGCAATTCTTCATTTGTGGGAAATGTATAATACTCGCTTTCTTCAGACTTTTGGGGTGTTTTCGGTAGCTCTTTTCCTCTGGCAATAGCATCGAATGCATCCATCGCCACAGCCACCCCCATGTTATAAACTTCTCCCATGAACGCGAGCATCGACTTAGAGTAGTCTATAGGATGCTCGCGGATTTTGATAACATCTCCCGAGTCCCAGTTCTCGTCGATGTCGTGAAGGGAATATCCGAAGTAAGTTTCCTTGTTCTTCATAGCCCGGACGGTCGTCATGACTCCACGGTAGGCAGGAAGCGTACCAGGGTGGAGGTTGAGCAGACGTCGAGGCTTGGAAAAGTAGCGAATGATGTCCGACTTGAATCGCTGGTAGCACCGCACTGATAAGCCAACGCTGATGTGATGTCTAGCAAGTGTCTTGATAAAGGACATTTTGTTGACGTTGGGTACTTCTTCAACGAGAACTCCGTATGTGGTTCGGATTTGGTCCACTGTTTTATGCGTGGCGCCTTCAAGGGTCTCATCTTTGAAGTAAGGTAGAATGTACTGCTGTAGCAATTCTCGTTCGAAAAAGGCTAGCTCTTGAAGGTCGAATGAAGTAGCGCTGCGGCTAGCCTTGTGTTTCGGCAGGTAGACGAAAGGGACATGACCGGCAGCAAGAAGCTGAGGGACTAGACTGCTTACTATAAGGTGGGAGAAAAGATCAGACCCACAGAAGAGTGCCACATGCAATGACCGGGCGCAGGGGTTCTGCGTCAAACTGCAGGAAATACGAGCAGCATGGGCTACAATCCGGTCGATGGCACTCACATAGAAATGTGTACCACAAGTGAGGGACCCGATGGCGTAAAGCCCTGGTGAAGCACTCAAGCTGTCAAAGTCAACGATTATCCCACCACTAGGATGAGCCGTAATAAGGGTGTTTTTCAGTGCAGACTGGATAAGAGGCGATTGAATACGGTCGAGACTGCACTCTTGACCAGTGGCCTCAATAACAAACGGGGCCTCAACAATGCCAGCTGAAGTCTGCGCTTTGAACGTGCCATCCCAGTTCATAGAGTCTCCTCGAACGATCTGTAACTGGGAGCTTTCCAGCATCCTGAGTATCTTCTGCGCATTTTGCGCGGGCATTGCATGACGGAACCTCATCCATATACTATGATATTTCTCCATGAAGAGCTGTTGACTTCCTGGAGACAGACATTTCCAATATCGCTCAATGACTGGAGCCGTTCCACGTAGCACGGCCTGCCACTGGACCTGGCTAGTGAGTGCAGCTTTGATGTCCTGTCGAATTTGCTTCACCGGAGATGAATCGTCTAGAATCCAACTCCAGTCGCCATCTGTGGCCCGTGATAGCTCATCCATTAGACCACTCATCACCTGGAGAAGGCTGTCTTGAGGGTCGGATTCGGTCTTCTTGGCAAGTTCGTATAATGCATAGCGATGCGGGTAGGTAGTCTGGTCTCCTTGGACTTTAGGAAGGCGACCACTACGAGACATCAAAGTAATAGTGCCTCGGTGGCCGTTGTCAGAGAGGTAGGTGGCAGCGTCCACAGCAGATAACCGGGAACCCACGATAATAACAGAAGAGTCAGGTGTGATAGATCTTAGTTGAGGCAGTGGCCACGGGCTCGCGAAGAATCCGGGAAGGTTGATGAGATGAGAATTAAAGACTGAGCTGAAATTGCCGAGTGCAAGAATGACGGCCTGCGATCTGAGGTGTGTTCCATTTCCAAGTGTCAAAGTGAAGGCGCCGTCATTGGATCGGTCGATCTCTTTGGCCTCTTCATGGATAACAGAAACCATCAATCCAGTCAGCTGAGCTGCATCCATTGCTTGGGCCCAGGTGGCTTGAAGGTATTCCCCATAGTTCTGGCGAGAGGGAAAGTCGCCTTCTTTCAAATTTGTTCGCCATTGAGAAAAATGTCGGGGCTGGTCGACGTACAGTCCCATTGTATCGGTATGCATGTTCAATATTGTGCCAGTACAGGCATCTGAATAGGCCAGGCCCGGACCAGGGATTCTGTTCTTTTCTAAAACGACAATTCTTCCAAGTTGGTTCCCACTTTTAGCTCTCTCGATCAATTGAAGGAGAATTGCAAGACCGCTCGCACCACCTCCTACCACAACAATGTTGGGTGATGTAAGAGATGAAGAGGCAGGGCTTTGAGACAGTATCTGAACCATTGTGAGTGGAGTGAGTAAAGATATTTTGATAGTGTGTCCCTCAGCAGAGTAGGCATAGTCGTATTGTCCCTTTTATACCTCAACAATGGTGCCTTCAGCTCTCTCACTGATTACCCCTCAATGCCCAAGTGGAGAAAAAAACGAGTGAAACGCAAGTATGTGAGATGATTCTTGATCGATAAAGTTCCGCAATGGAGCGCCTGCAGAGCCAAGATGACGTGATGGTCTCGACAAGAATCGAAATCATAGTTATACCCACCTGTCTATGCAGTCATCTCATGAATACTACCCTCCATGCGAGAAACCCCGCAGTCAAAATGAGAACACAAGTAAATTAAAAAATAAATAGAAACCCAAATCTACCACCGAGCTTTTTCCACCAATGTAAGATAACCACAAAAAGAGCAAGTCGTTTCTTTAGGCACTTGCAGGTTAGCGGAGGATACGGAGTGGGTGGGCCTTGCTATTTGCGCGATATTTGCTGCAGAAACTAATTCAGCCAGCCTACATTCGATTATGATGAGATTTCTGTTACTAAATGCCAAGGGTATGGAATCGAAAGTGGCAATCCAGCATATTATTGAGACATACAGCAGAATGTTCTCCTTGAGGTTGCAGATTCAAGGCCTAGTATCAAGAATTGATCCCATCTTTATATAAATTGCCAGCTGTGTCTCTTTGCTTGACTAGTTCCTGTTTCTCCACTATATTGCTACCAACTGTCTACTATTGTCTATTGCCTTGTTGATGGTACTTGACAAGATATTGTCAGCTTTACATACCATTATGCGTACTTCTCTCGGTGAAACAATCCTTCCAGAAGGTTTAGCGAAAAACATGCATGTTCAGCTTTCTGACAAAGTGCGGAAATTCTCTAAACGTCTCTGCCTCGCGGGCGTCTTGGCTAGCGATGACGCTGGCTCACGCCAATACGCGGACTGGACTCGAGAAACATGTCAAGCTATGTAAGTGATCTCCAGTGAGGCGTCCAAGTATTAGAGTGTCCTCTTACTAACAGACTCTTAGTGGCGTAGACTTTTGTCTCGTATGTTTGTCGCCTAGAAATGTGGCAACATACATCAAGGCGCTCAACACAAACCCCTGTATTGACGGCATCATCGTGTATTATCCGATATTTGGAGACTCGAGAGATGATGATGTGAAAATTCTCGTCAATCATGGCAAGGATGTTGAGGCTCTCAACTGCAGGCCTACGCTTCAATTCCCCGAAGTTACGGATAGTCCAGGGCAACCTTGTCTGGCGCCCACACTAGTGCCATGCACGGCGAGGGCCATTGAATCCATTCTACATATGATTGGAATCTATGATCAGAGTGTCCCCACGAAGCAACAACTAGGGGGTGGGAGGTCTGCATCATCAATAGATCCGATGTTGTCGGACTTCCCCTCGCCCGATTGCTGGCGGGCCAGGGAGCTCGTGTCTACAGTGTCGATGTTGCAGGGGTCCAGCTCTTCCAATTACAAAGCTCTTCATGTGGGGTGGATGAGATACAAAGTTTGGCCACCGAGTGGACGCTGCAAGACGCCGTGAAGATGTCTGGCGTGATCATCTCGGCGGTCCCGCACCCTGCGTTCAAGGTGGACACCGAATGGCTTCAGAGTGGGGCTATCTGCATCAACGTTTCTTCATTCAAGGTATGCAAGGCTCGTGAAACACTATTAGCTACCAATTTTGACAATGCCTAATCTATGGATATAGAATTTCAAGTCAGATGTCCTTGAGATTGCCTCTAAATTCATGCCGCGCGTTGGAAAGTTGACTATAGTTGCTCTGTTGAGTAATCTCCTCCTTTGTGCAGACAAACATTGAGGTAAGTCAATGTAATATTCATTAAACTATATGGTGATGCGCTGGAGGGTCTCATGACCATGATATATCACCGAATGTCGGAACGCTTGCCATCGCTTCCAAGGGGCCCTGAGTTAGAAACTATGAAAAATATTATTGCTTTATTTCTCCTCAATTATATGGTGCAATGTCCAGATTTTTTGATATCTCAGTAGCTGCACAGGAATATCAGGATCCTCTGCTGACCTACTAAGTTGCAACAGAGTCAAGCAGATCAAATCTTGGCCTTCATGGTGGTTCCAGTTTTTAACAGCCGAGCGCTCACAAGGATCACGGCGCCAAGAAGAAAAGACAACCCACCCCATATCTGGGCACCGATGTAACCATGTGCCCTTGCAATGAGAGCTCCGCCGAGAGGTGGACCCGTCAAGCAGGCAAAGCTGACAATGGTGAATCCCATGCCGATGCGGACCCCAGTCTTGCTCAGATCTGGTGTCAAGCTGGAGAGTGTAGAAGGCCAGAGGCCTTGTATACCGTTGGAAAATATGCCATATAAGACAGCGAAAACGTAGAGACCCGCGCTCGAGTCCACTGCGGCCCAACAAAACATCATCAGGCTAGCCCCGATACTTAAAGGAATGATAGCATTCAGAGGCCCAAAGTATCGATCCGCTAGGTAGGCAGGAATAAGCCGCCCGAAAATTCCTGCCCCGTTGGTCACGATGATCAATGTGGTTGAATCCGAGTACGTCAAGCCAAGGGCGGTGCGACCAAAAGCTCCGACATAGTAGAAGGCGAAATAAAGCCCCCAGAAGTTCAAAAACATGCCGAGGATGAACAGAATGTAGGTGGGCTCTTTCAAGGCGACCCAATCGACTAATGGACCCGATCTACGCGGGGGCAGTCGCGGCCGGAGTAGCAACGTCGTCGGTATGCTTGTAGCCACCATCACGAAGCCTAGCACTCGCACCGTCCATCCGAATCCAATGCTTGGCATGAGGATCTTTACTAGACCCGAGAAGAGCATACCGCCGGTGCCGCTCCCGACGAGACTAAATGCCAAGGCAAATACCCTGCGGCTGGAGAAGTAGGTGGCCACAAGTCCCATCACGGGGCAGAACTGCAGACCACTGCCAAGGCCAGTGCAGATCCCCTGGGCAAGAAATAGTTGCCAATATTGGGTGGCGAGGGAAGTCATGAAGACCCCTAGTAACTGTAAGATTACCCCAGCGTAGTACACATGGTAGAAAAAACCGGCGTCCAATGCACGGCCGGAAAAGGTCCCGACGAAGAAAATGAGAAAGACCTGCACAGATCCCACCCACGAAATGGCCGATGGTGAAACTCCGAGTTCGGATTGGTAATAAGCTTGGAATACGCCAAAGCTGGCTATATAGCCCCAAGTATTGAAAGCCACTAGATGCCCCATTACGGCCTGCGTCCAGGCTTTCATGCCCCCATCTGGTGGCGGAGGGACCGTCAGCGACGGCGATGGACCCTCTAGCATTTCGGATTCCGTATTATTGCCGTTCATTGGGAATGCCAAGGAGGCTGGGACAAGTGTGAAAATCAATGCAAGTAGAATGATCGAGGAAAGGGGCGGGAAAGAAAGGAAGCAAAGGTTTGCACGCTGCAATGGCGAATATTCGACTCGTCAGACCGGTTTATCAATCGCTTGGGCAGCACACTTGGCAGGGGGTCTCGACACAACCCCAGAGTTTCTTTGACTCATCGCTTACATACGTTTTAGGAGGTTGTCTCCAACCCTACTCTTAGATTGCACGATCTCGACATCTCCGTCCAATAAAAGCAATGATCGTTCAGAACCAGGGGTGGATTTCAACCTGCTCGTGCATGTTTGGGCATCCCTGTGTTTTTTCTTTAACTGCCAAGCAACGGCTGATCGTCACTCTGAATGGAGGCAGCCTGCATGATTTGCGGAGCCTCGGGCACAAGTACTTTTGTAAGACCCCTGACGAGCCAATAGCCTGGCTCTTTCCTTGACTAGTGACCCTTGAGTGCCTTTTCCTTAGTCGGAATCCGCATGTGCTGGGACTTTTGTTCCGTTCTGTTGCGTTGCATAAAGCTAGTGGGGCAAGCATGACAGAACAAAATGACATCGATATACTTGCTTCAGGCTAAGTTTGACCATTGGCATCCCCAGACTTGAAAGAACTGCTTTGAATTCTGCAGAGCGATTACCTCTACTAAGCGCTATTATTTGATAGGTTGATTTGCTTGTTCAGGGATGCTCAAGATTTCGGTGCCTCAGGATCCGAGATCCATCATATGCCAAAAAGTAAGTTATGCAGTCTTGAATTTGCTCATGCTATTATATATGGGCCTATCTATGTACTCTTAACCAGCGTGTGGTTCTTATACTCAAGGAACAAGCAGATGACTGAATTATGGATAAAGCTATTTAGAATCAGGAGCTAGCTAAATATACGGGAGTGACAGTAACGCTTAGACAACCTGAGCAGCATCTCTCACACGTGAACATGCCGCTAGCAATAAAGCATTGCCCCGGAAGGCTGCCAGCTGTAATTCCTATATAGCAGACAAATCGTCGCTGAGATTCGAGTTCGTGCCATGTTGTTAGTCATTACTAGATGGTAATATTCTGTGACAATAATTGCAATAGATTACAATCAATAAGTCTGCCAATCAAGTAATAACATAATAAACCGTGTTCCAGAACAAAGATGCATCGAGAAACCTCAGAGAATGTTAAGTATGAGAACAAAGTACCTCCTGCTTTCGACCGAATCGTATATTGCCAAATCAGTCCCTTCCTCACGTCCATATGCTCTCGCAATTTGATGAATTGGCATGTGCCCTCTCCACTCAAAACACCTTGAAAAGTTTCTTATCGGTATAGAGCCATCTCGATATCAGAACAATCGCCGACCCTGCGAGGCACATGACGCCGCCAAAGACCTTCACGTCCAGCCAGCCATTAGCGGAATTTTGCAGGATAGCTCCACCGATGGGCGCCATGGTGAGGGCAGGGATGGAGCTGGCGAGGAAAACAACTCCCAGTCGGTAACCGATTTCGGGCAGGGGAGACACAGAAATTGGAAGGGCGCCAAAAAGACCTATAAAGGCTCCTGATGCAAAGCCAAACATGACGGCAAAACCGATGGCGATAGACGGTTTCTCGGCGCGGATCCAGACAGCGAACTCGGTGATTCCGGAAAGAGTACAGGCCATGATGAACATATTCCACCTTCCAATTTTATCGGCACCATAGCCAGAGACCAGACGGCCGAAGAGACTAGGAGTATAACCGTCAACATTCCCTTGAATTCGGGGAGGCTTGTAACAGGGCTGGATATTGACTTACCTAGCAGCGTTGAAGATGGACACCAAGTATTGAGACATCTCCTGCGACATGTACGCCTGGTCAAGACCCTGCACAGCCAGATAGTCGATGGGGATGAAAATTCCATAGGTCAGGATGCAGATGCCTAACAACAACATGACGAATGGGAACTCTTTAAAGGGTGCAGTGAGGCGGCCGACGGGCATCTTCTTAGGCACGGGCTTTGTTCTCGGGCGGACTGTGAGAATCGCAACGATTTGCAGGCCGAGAATAAGAAAGGCCGCAGTTCGCATGGCCCAGGGGTACCCGGTACTCGAGATCATGCGACTGATCATGATGGGGAGATGACGCCGCCAACTGATGAGCCTGTCACCATGATTCCCATAGCTATTCCGCGTTTCTTGGAAAACCAGGTTGATACACAGGCAATGGTGCTGCTGGAGTATCCTTTCATTGGTCCAACCTCGTAATACTCCTGGAAGCTGCCGACACCTGGTGGAAGAGCATTGCTTTTAGCCCATCGCGTTAATGTCGGATGCCACGTAGCGGGAAGCTAGGAAGACATTGTAAAGATCATAAAAATACGTGCTGTTGACCCAGCCCGGACTGGAGAAGGAGCAGCACCACGCTCCTAGGACGACCAACCACGCAGCGGTGCCGCCATCGGGGGACCAGCGTCTTCCAATTTGATGACATCTTCTGGCTTACTGCCAGGGTGAGACCTTTTGTCTGCGAAGCCCTGCTCAGTTTCTCCATCGAAATCGGACTCTGGGTGCACAGCCTTCTCGGGGTCGGTCAGGGCGTGCGCCGGAGTGGTATTTACGATGTTGCCCGTAGTAACCATAGTGAAGAGACGAGGGAAAAGTAGGCGATTGACCAAGTGCAAGAAATTTTAGATAAAAGTGAAGTGAGTAGCTCGAAATGCCAGATTCTCTCTAATTTTTTTACTCCCTTGGGCACCGATTCCATTTATACCAAGTAGATCCGCATACTTCTGTAGGCGGACAATGAGTGGAGCTGTACGGACGATGCACGGCTTTTGCGGCGTATTATTACGCCATGAATTTGCCTGGGAATCAGAAAGGCGCGCCCCTTTACCACTCCATGCAAATATTATACGGTCTTTTGAAAGTAGCCGTGAGGAATTCCTATAAATTAGGATTAAACCAGGTTGGTTAGATAAGGCAGGATAATCACTCGTCAATCACCGGTTATATCACCTCAAAGACGAAAGAGTAATGGGTAGTGGCAAAATACCACTCCCCAGATCGACAGATTCCAATGCTCCGCTATGTCGAAATGAGCAACCTTTTTCTCTCTATCTCTCTTACACTTTCGACCCTGTGCATGATGGGTCCCCTCGACGGATCTTCAGTCCTCCTCTGCCCTCGTCCGGGCCGCCGACGCGACAAGCCGCAGCTTTCTTGCAATTCCTGCCGTCAGCGAAAGTGCGTTTCGCTCGCCTGCTCCGCAACCACATTCCCTGACCCCCGCCACAGATCGAGCTAACGCAGCGAATAGGCGAAAGTGTAACCGCCAAAGGCTTTTTTCCCATGGCATTGTTAGTCCCGCGTCAATGGAACGGCTCATCCTGAGATCAAGAAAAATAAAGGATGGTGAAGCTTACATCATACAATAGCGATCAGAAACACCACCTCGAGCCGACGTGTATTTATGCCAGCTCGCCAGTGCCCTATTCTCCGCTTGGACAACTGCATCCTTTCTCCCCCACTCCTCCGCACCTTTACGAATATAGCAGCGCAACTGCCAGCGAGCGAGACGGGTTGGCAACGCCGAGTATCTCGGCTTCAATTCCATCGCCAGAGGCTACAGATTTGAAATTAACAAAATCCGGAACTGGCTTTAAAGATTCAAGCCACTGGACCTCCGTTCCGAGTGGCGTGACAGAGGCGAAGGGTCAAGATGATCCGCTCGGTGCGATCCACTCGGTGCGATCCAGCCGGAGCCTGCATTCGACGATGGTTCATCACCACTTGACCAGAATGTCCTCCTCTTTGAGGGGTGCAAGCATGCAACTGACCAAGAACTTCTCAGTTCTATCCCGCCCAGGAGAGAATCTGACAGCTTGGTTGCGTTCTACTTTCGGATTTAGGAATACCGATGTAGGTGTGCTTGGGACTCAGAATGCACCCACGCATTTTTGCTGACCGTAGACCCGAATAGCTTTCATACACCCAGCCGAATTCTTGAAGAGAGTAAGTCCTCATACATTTCAACAGAATAAGACTAGTCATAAACCGCATTGATCAAGTATAACGCGTTCTGGGAGAATCCTAGCGCCACATCGGTTTCCTGGCTAGGACTCTTGTACAGCATTTTCTGCCTCATCAGCCAAATGCAGGGCCAATAAAGCGGCATTTTAAGTGCCCAGAGCAACGTGTCGTCCACTTGGTTACCCCAAGCCTTGTATAAGATTCTGAAGTATTGAGAAAAGACCGTCCAGTGTCTCGTCCGGGGTCAGTTCGCCAAGGGGGGTCCTGATATTATGGAAACCCTTGTTCATTACCTCTTGATTGAGGACTACTTAAACAAAGATTCCAACATTGGAGTCTGGCTCTTGATGGGCAACATTGTCCAAATTGGTACGTTCTAATGCTACTCTGTGCCAGACTTTCACAGGAAAGCCTTCCTCTAGCGCCCAAGAAGAATGCTCCCCTCGTTTCTCTGTCACCTCTGATTGGGAGCTACTAAGAGATGAGCAGCTATCCGCATGGGCTACCATCGAGATCCCCAGCACTTCAAATCCTTATCTATCTATCAGGGCGAAATGAGGCGCCGGATGTGGGCTCTTATATACTCGCTTGACATAGGCTTCTCGACGCAGATGGGCCTCCCAAGCAGCATCAAGCACTCTCTCAGCGACACCATGCCACCTCGAAATCTTCAGGACCGCGAATTTGACGCGAGCTCGACTATCCTGTCGCCAGCGAGACCTATTGATGAACTTACCTCGAGCACTGTGATCATCGCCAAATTTCACGTTGCTACCAGCTTGGGTGTCATATTAGACAAGGTCTGCAATCCTCGGCCGCTATCATGCGAGGACCTTGTTGCGGCGAATTCAACACTAGACCTAACTTTTGCGACCATTCCTGACCCTTGCAAGTTCCGGCCCATGTCTAATCTCTGTTGGACCCTCCAAGCGTCATATTTCAGGTCAGCATCTTGGCTCTCTCCTGTAGAAATCCACTCGAGCCTAAGAGTGAATCATCCCTCGTACTTGCAACGAAAAATGGCAGATTATCTACTCTACACCCCACTTATATACACATGCCTAGAAATAGAGAGTTAAGGAGGCTGCTAACGTGACTTTTGTCCTCAATAGCGAATCAACTTTGACATGCATTTCCAGAGATCCCGGATCCTAGTCAACTGGAAATTTCTCAGTACCTCGAAGGACACGACTCACAACAATCAGTGCTGGAGTATCGTGATTGAGGCGGCCTTAGAGATTATGCGGCTGCAGCACCGCATGGAGGATGAGTCCGAGGTCTTGGACGCGCTCCGCCCTACTGGAATGGTCGACTCGTGCTTCATAAACAATGGGTACTTCCTAGCTGCAAGTATCGCCTGCTTTCTTTTGCAGCATCGTAAGGACAGGTTGTCGGTTCAGGATCTGTTAGAAGTTCGCAGCCTGTTAGAGAAGAGCCTAGCCATCTGGAGCCGCACAAACGACTTATCGAGAGAGGCAAGCAAAGTGGTCACGGCTCTGAAGGTCGTACTCGGACCACGCGAGGAGCCCACTACACACTCTACAATAGACGTAGGGCGTCACCTCAAGCGAGTGGAGGTGAGAAGCCAACACATTATCACAAAGATCCAGATCTAAATAAGCTCGCGCGCTGTCCCAGATACGTTTGGCAGAAGTCAGATGGCGCTTTTTATTTGTCCCTCTTTCTTTGATGATTTGCCTTTGATGACAATTGACGACAGTATGCCTTTTCCTTCACTGCCCTCAATCTCTATGATAGACTATTGGTTATTGTGAGTGAAGCGGCTGCTAGAAGCAATTTACCGGCAAACAACGCAGATGGATGCCAAAATCGTTGGAAAATATATATTTCAAGTCACTGCAGCACCATCGCAACAACTCTTACGAAATCTGGTAAATCTGGTATGCTAGGGTGTAAGAGAGCCGTATGTGCAATTAGATATTGATGAATCGATAATCGGGCGGGTAGGGAGGGGATCTAGAAATATTCGCTCTGTGTTTAAATTTGTTCGCAAGCTGTACAGAGGTACTGGATTCGAGAAGAGTTTTCACCACTCTTATTTCCCCACGTTGGATAACCCTTTCTCTGTGGCGACTTCGCTCTTTTGTCACTCTTTTCTCCACTTCATCATGTCGTCTTTTGAGAAGGATCATCAATTCAGACTTAAGGCTTTCCAGACTTTGTTGTGCCCACAACCCCATGTCATTTTCGAGTACGTCGTGAAACTCAGCCTCCTCGTTTAATATTTCTTCGATACCTTCCTTGGAAAAAGGCTTGGGCTCAAAAATCGCCAAAATCTTGTTACGTGGACTCAAATATCTTCCACGGTGGCAGCAAACATGCTTAATATCTAGCATGTCGGCTTGTATTCTTCGAAGAAATGAAAGAAGCATGATTTTTGAAGCTTCACAGCCTCGAAGTTCCTCCACGGTTGAGAGCCACTCGAAAGCCCATACAAACCCTGGCGGGGTCCTGAGTTCCGGTTCCTCAAATCCAAGATTGAATGATGAAGAAAGGTGGCACCCGTTGCCGTCAAGCACGCATGGGCAGTTGCAGTCGTCGGAAATAAAAATATCAACCTTTTGAGCCATGCACATCCTGATAGAATCCACAGTATCCCAAGTCAACCAATTAACTCGCCCCAGTTGTGAAACAAGGTGCAATAGCACAGTGCGTCCTTCGCTGTCCACATGATTTGAGTTGCTTCCATTCTCAAGGCAGTATTGGACCAACTCAGCATCTGGACATTGCACAATTGAATACAGTGCAATCTGCCCATCACTGTTAGGTCGATTTGGGGTTTGAAACCCGCATCTATAAAGAACCTGGGCCTCTTTCCTATCCTTAACATAGTGGAGTAGATTATTGTCACTTGTACCATAATGTGTATCCCTAAAAGCGAAGTTGACGTTTTCACAGAGTTTAACCAAAGGTTCAAAGTATGACGTACCCAACTCATCAATCCATAGGTGGTCGCGTATAAAGCATATCAGGGCGTGTCTGACATATCTTTGAAAGCCGCTCGGGGTATAACAATCCCGTATTGTGTACAAGGCTTCGAAAATGAGCTTCCATTGACCACACGCAGACGCGAATGCGATAAATGATCGGTTCAAACGTGTATCCACGATTGAGAGGTTCGCGGCACTTATATGACGGCAAGATGCTTGAAGAAATTATAACGGGCTCATTGAGACAAGTCAAGATAGAAATTAATAAAGAGAATTTTTTATTTATTTTTTGATGTGTATATTCTTTTAATTTTTTGATATTCTTTATAAAATTAAATGAAGTAAAATAAAATAAAATACTTCATTTTAAAATACATATATATCCCGTATTTTATCTTTTCTCGTTGACCAGGTGAGGATGATCCTTGGTATTTGTCTCTAAATAAGAATAATCTCCAACACTCGAGAGTCGAGCTTTTGGGCAACTTCTCCAGACTCTAGCAGCAACAACAGCGAACTTTTCGGGGTGCGAAAGAACCCAACGAACCGCATCAATTATTCGGCATTCTTGATTGAGATTTAATCTGTCCTTCTGAACTGATTGTAAATTTACTTCGCGCTCGGCTCACATGACCAGTTTGTTGGAAAAACCACAATTTCGTCGTCGCGACGAATACCCAAATCACTCATGGCCTCTGCAAATGTTCAAAATAATTGAAACCTCTTTTACATGTGGGCAATGAAAAACGATAGGCGAAGAGACAATTATGTCAGAACTTCTGCCATTTATGACTGAGCTGCGTGCGAATGAATTTAAAAAGTTAAAGTTCTCGTTTCGGGGGTACACGATATTTGAGAAAAAGTTGGGAAAGTGCTGAGCATTAGACAGCCTAGGTGAGTTAACACTGAATACTTTTAGCCGCCTACACTGCCTGACACCTTAGCTAAGTAAGTCACAGAGTGAACTGTTGGGTGCGCCTCGCAGGTGTTGCTTTAGTCTCTTGGCGCGCGCGAAAGGTCTTCGTGCTTACTTTCTTTTTGGCTCAAGGACACGGCTTGTTCCGGGTGGTTAGAATCCTTTCTGGATTGTAAATTGACCATCTCCCTCCAACCAAAATTGCGGATATCTTCTGCATAGGTCTTTAAAAGTCACTTCTTGTTTCCTTCAACCATATCATGAGCTGTCAGAGCCATAGCGGGTTTACAACGAGCTGAACACCTAACTCAATGCTACTGATGGATATGTACTCTTGGGCGGTTAAAGTTGTTATTTTGAAACTTCCGGTGGGGCAATAATATTTTTTTAATAGTTTGAGAGCTACGCCAAGACTCCGCCCCGTCCATTGTAGTTAGTGTAGTTCAATAAGAGCAAACTAGCTGCTAAGGCAGCATGGCTGTGCACGTTGCTTAGCGCGCGCGAATTCACACCGTAAAAAGAGGCCTGTCACACCCTTGACAAGGTCGCATGAAGCGGTGCTAAAATGCTCGATCTTACACCTCTAGGTTGGAGTAAGCGAATAAAGTATTATAAGTATCGCAAGAATGCCTCAATAGAGCTTGCTGCAGAAGACAGAGAAGAAGAACAAGGAGGAGCGAATCTGCGTATGATGATGATGATGTTTATCAAACTTGCGAATCTTATGTAACAGACTGCATAGCCACGTCGGAGCCCTGTATATGACAAGTCGCTCAATGTTACTGTCTGGTTCTTCAGAAAATAACTTCGTCCGAGGAGACTCCGAACTTGCAACGCATACAGGGAATTTGGAAAAGCAACAGCAAACGGCAGAGGTGTTACCCATGGACTACCATAGGCCTAGTCGATTTCGGTACCAAAAGCGAGACTACACCCCATGACATCGCTGACATTGGCATTGTTGAGTACTGAATCTCCGGCTTCGATGACAGCAACAGTAATGTTTTTTTTTCTGAAAGCCTGTTGGCCACAACCAATCCACTGGTGCCTCCGCCAATGATGACGAAGTCGTATTGGGAAGGTGAATCATGGTGGCTACTGTCCGCTGCGCTCAGCAGAAGAGCCGCAATAAAAGGCCGGGAGTCAGCATCTCTAGTCAAGAATGAATAAAACAGAACCGAGAAAGCGAAGCCTTTTTTGTATCTGTTCGTAGCCTAGATAGCTTATTTCTCCCATAGCACTAATTCAACACTCTTACATATCTCCGTATTCAGTCATCCCTCTCTGACAGTAACTACCAATGGCCAAGTACGTAAACAGAAAGCGTCACCGGAACCTAGTACTAATATTTGAAGTTTCGCCATGGACTCTACAACTTCTATTTCGATTATTCAAGATACGCTCCTAAGTTTTTAATATTTCAAATCATGGCAATTTACTCGGGGTAATTTTGGCTTGGCTTGTTTGACTGCGTGGTGGAACCCAGGTCAGAGTGGATATATCTAACGGCCTTCACAGCCAACCAAGGGCAGGTGTCAAGAAAGGGTGTTCAAGATTATCGACCCCGAATGATGCCTGCGGAAATTTTCCGTATCAAAATACTCGGGCCGAGAATGATTATTCAGTCTCGGCTTCCGAGAGTGCCGGTTAGCATTCATCCAGGGGACGAAACCCACACGATCTTATCTCAAACGGCCAGTACGCAGCATAATTTATAATTTGTTCCTTGTCACTATTTGTCAGCTTTGCACCTTTCCTCAAATAGCATTGTATTTGGCTCAGTATAACGGTATACTTCGCGAGTGCATTGACGTTTAATTGATTCATCCTCCTCTCTCACCTTATAAGAGTCTGAAGCACCCTTTAGATAAATGAATTGGATCCCCTCCGCGGCTTGAGTGACGAAGCTGCAATCTATATCCGGATAAATGAGAATTTTTCGGAAATACCCATTCCACAGTCATGGGGCTTTGGCTTATCCGCGGTGCAAGTGTATGGAAATCTTTTGACATCGTCCGTGATTATTTAAAGTCTAACGTGTGATTTATGCGGTCAAGCAAACTTAAAATCCGTTCGATATCCTTCGATTTAATGGAGGAGCTTAGACCAGTCGGTAGTACTGTGGTTGAATAGAAGGAATTCCTCGACTAGAATACTTTCTTACATCCTGCTTATGAAACGTAACAAAACTGCATATAGAGGTAAATCTAGGTAGCGAGTGGAGATGAAGTTTAGCTATAGTTGAATATATGCATTGATTATGTAAGGAGCCAAAACGCAACGTATGTTCAGAAGTGTATCGTCTACAATTAAAGGAAGAGGTCAGAAGGAAAGACCCCTATTTTTGAATTCTCTCTAGGCCAAAGCCCAAGAGCCCCACTTATATGGCTCCGATAGACATCATCGGCTGAGGTTCGCCTCGGTCTGAGCTGAAGTATCAATCTCTTCCACGGTCTCGACGGCACCCTTACTGTCGATGAAATGCGTAATGCGCTCGTTAGGGAGCCAGGCACTCTCTGGCATGAGAACGTAGGAAGCCAAGGCGAAGATAGTGACGCCGGCCATGATGATCGGGGCATCTGTATACATTTAGTTGGAGATCAACAAATTTGAAGAAGGAAGCTTACAGTTCAAGTTCGCGCCAGTAACAGGCCACTCGTAGGGCGAGAACAGAACAGCAACGACCCAGCCGTTCCAGAATACACCGATGAACTGGAAGGGCTTGCTCCAGCGGCCCAGGCTCCACTGGGGCTTGGGGAAGCGGTCAGGCGTACAGAACAGTCGACCCAGACAGATCAAACCGTAAGCGGCCGCACTGGGAACACCGGCTGCGGAGACAAGGGAAGTGAAAGCAACATTTGAGGGGAGAATGGTGCAGGTGATAAGAGCAGCGACACCCCAGACGACAATGACGGCGTTACGAGGCTGGCCGTCGTACACCTTGGAAACCCAGCCGGAGAAGGGCAGTACACCGTCACGGGCAACTGCGAAGACCAGACGGGAGGCGGCGATGATAGCAATAGCGGTGTTGAGCCATAGAGCGACGATGCAAATGATGTTCATGAAGATATGTCCACCCTGACCAAGGACAACGGCGTAGAGCGGAACAAAAGGCTGAGGGGAACCGAACTCCATAAGCTTGTCCGCGGTAGGCTAGAAAGATAATCAGTGATTGGAATATTAGCATGTTTGAGGAAGTCACATACGGCACAGAACAAGAACAGAATGATAGTAGCCAGACCACCGAATCCACTGACAACGGTACTCCAGAAAATTCCACGAGCTGCAGTCACGGAAGCGTTCTTGGTCTCCTCGGCAATGTGGCCCGACGCATCGAAACCGATCAGGATACCAGCAGTGGCCAGGTAAGAAAGACACCAGTTCCAACCCGCCGGCGCACCGGTGCCGTTGTAGGTAGTCATGAACGCCTCGTGGGTAGAGCGGAAGCCCCAGGTCTGAGCAGTGCCAATAGGCAGCCAGATGAGATTCAGGAAGAAATCGAGCATGACGAAAGCAGCGGAAACCCAAAACACCCACCGGAAGTAGCGAGGAGGCATGAAGTTCAGCAGAGCGGCCAGGGCGAGCATAATCTCGGTACAAATCCACTGGACAGCGCGGAACTTGACGCTATCGGTATCCTTGGGGAAGTCGACATTAAAGACGGTCAGCTCGGCAAGCATATAGTTAGCTGCGGACTGGGTGTTGCTGGCGCAAAAGGTCGTCCAGGCGGTGGTACTCCACCAAGCAACGATGAAGCCAAGCAACCGACCGAAACGGGGACCGCCAGCCTCGGCGGCCCAGAGGTAGATTGAACCAGAAGAGGGGGAAGCAGAGCAGACTTCAGCAATCACAGCGGCGGTAATGAAGGTAAAGACCATGGTGACCAGGTAACTGGTCCAGTAAGCCAAGTTACCACCGGCAGCAATTCCCGTGCTGAAGGTGACGCGGACACCACCCACAAAGTAGAGTGCGGCTAGAACAATTAGCCCAGGGATAAATCAATTGATTGAAACATTAAGGATATATACCGAAGGTGGTGGCGAAGTTCTCAAAAAAAGTATAAGTCCGATGAAGCACCTGCGATTCATGAGTTTGCTGATCATCCAGCCATTTAAGCATCACATACCGGCTTATAGCCCATAGTTCGCTGTATCATGTCAGTAAGAGTTTTCTGTCAAATGCAATATGCACCTACTCACCAGCAATGCGGCATCATCCTTAGCCTGGATGTCACTGCGGTCATCCTCGCCCGCGATCAGCTGGTCGTGACCGACGCTCTCTTGCTCCTGCTGTTCGGCCATGGTTGCAGAATGAAAGCAACCCTGTAAAACGAGTGAACGCGACCGAAGGTGTGAGAATGCAAAAGTTCAAGAGTTCAGGACCTGGCGGATAAGATTGTTAAAAACCTTGAATACCGTTTCGCGGCCCCGGTCAAGGCTCGGTTCCCCACCACGGGAAGATTAGGAGTGGCTCCGCCGCGAACTTGGTTAAACTGGATAAAACTTGATGCTGTTCCAAGGTGCCGTAATAATCTACACGCGCACAGCATCAACGATAAACGGGCAGTGTCACGTCAACATGTCCCCAACACGTGGTCCGACCACTTCAAATGTCATCCAGTCAACATTTGAAAGTTCTGACGTTCCGTAGTTTCCAAACCCCGAGCTCGGAGCTTTCTGGTCCGGGCCCTTTTTTTTTTTTTTTTTAAAAGAAGAAAAAAATCATATTAGACTCCAGGGCCCGTGCCTAGCCTGTTCCCTGGCCCGCTTCATACGATCGATCTGGCCCGTGGTTTGCAGGACCTTTCGGAGCGTGTGGCTTGATCTGTAAATTGAGGCTATGATGGGTTGGTAGTCTTACATCGGACCGTTCTTTTAGGGATGGTTCGGGTCCTTGTGTTGGGGTCGAGAGAGAAAGCGGTTGGACGCGGGGAATCCACCGATCCACTTGGTTGCGACTCTGATCAGGCCACTGGAGCCCACTAAGCTCAGGTTTGATAGCTGGACTCTGTATTCAAGACCCCCTAAGGCTGATGAGGGAGTATGCCAAATTCAATAATTCTATAGTAGAGGGACGCTAATTCCACCCGAAGTAGAGAACGAAAAGAAATGAAGAGAAAAGAAAAATGAAAAGAAAGAAAGCGCTTCCAATGTAAAAGATGAGAACAGATGGCGACAGCCTTTGCAGGCACAGGATTCATGAAACGTCGTATATTTAGATATGTCAGAGGTGTAGTAGTCTGACAACATATGCATGCTTGGGAGCATCGGACATTGCCCGACGAATGTGTAGAGAAGGCTACACAAAGCCTGGAAAAATCAGGGCAAGAGAATGTTCGACTGGATTTCGTCGAGCGTCTCCGTCCACCCCTGAGGAAAGGTGCGTCGCTTGAACCACACGCTCTCGAGTAGCTCGAGTGCTTTGTCGACATTCTTGAAGCCGAACCGCTTGAGCTCTTCCATGGTCTGGCGAACGTATTTCTGCTCCTCTTCTTTTCGAGTTTCTTGTCCGGCTATGAAGAGAGGCCACAGGACTGCCAGTTGACCAACGTCCTTGGAGAGCTTGCGGATCAAGGTCAAAATGCGAGTGATGAGCATGTCCAGATACGCTCGGTCGGTGACCCAGCCTGGTCGGCCGGCTCCCCCTACCTGGTGGAGATGCACAAAGGTTGCCTTTTCGTAGGCCTCGATGCATCCCACATACTCGAGCATGTGGGGGAATGGGAATCGGCGCAGGCTCTCATCATCCAGCTCCATGTCTCCGAGCAGTTGCAGACTGACTGGGGTGCTGGCACGCCAGGCCACGAGTCGGTTAAAGATGTCCTTGTATACCATATCTTGCTGGTTGGGGGACATCCACTGCTTGTCATGAGCGAGAGTGCTGATGGCGGCTTGGACCTCCATCATACCAGACCACGCCGACCGCAACTCCACTAAAGTTGGATCATCATGGATACCCGACAGGCTTGGAGTGCCAAGATTATACTCCCACCCGCCCCCGAGTGTCTTCCAGTAACTGCCATCAACCACGGTACCACCGGGTGTTGCGCATGCACCGGCGACATCAAGATACGATAGTAATGATACAAGAAATGATCGCAGAGGGTGATTCGTATCGGCGACCCGTTGAACCTCGCGTTCGGAGCTGCCGGTATGTGGATAGAAGAGGAGGTTATAGATCTCGCGTGCTCCTTTGAGGTGTACAGCCCAGTTCAGGTGCTGAGAGTCCATCATCTGCGATTCAGTTAATTAGGCGTCGTCCAAAGGGATTTTCAGGTAAAGAAACGCACCTCAAACAGACACAGGAGCAGGCACGTCGCAAAGTCGGTCATTCCAAGTTGTCGCTTCGGGGCAGCATATCTCGCGCGGAACATCTGCACCACTTGCCCGTATTTCCCCATCGCTTTCTGGAAATGTTTATTTCGCTGCGGTCCGACCGACGTATTCGCCAGATGCAATGCGCCCAACGCCTGCATGGCGCCCACCATGGACGGAGACGAGCGAGAGAAGTCGGGGAAGTAACTGCGATATGGGTTCGCGTTGATGGGGTTATCATAAATGATCAGAAGAGTCGACACTCGGTCGATGAAGTGGGTATAATAGCGCTCATCAGTACATTGCATATTGGCCAAGTTGGCCGGACCCAAGGGTTTCTGGAAGCGAAAGCAGATCGGATGTGGTTGTGGTTGGGGGTGTGGTTGTGGTTGTGGTTGTGCATGTGATTGTGGTCGTGGTTGTTGTTGCGGTGCCGTCTTCGGTGACACCACAACGGCCTGCCATGAGTCCTCCAGGTCCTCCTGCTTCACGGGAAGTGTTCCCGTTGAAGACTCGCCGGATGAGTCCGGGCTGGCCGGCTTGTTCCTCCTTCGCGGGGGCTTCGGCGGCTTGGGTTCCAGGCCTTGCGACGGGCCGTAGACCTTGAAGGTCATCCGCCCTTGTGTGCCATCACACTCGAGTCCCAAGCGAGTACAGTTATTGCATATTGGGGAGGCCTCATCACAGCGAACATGGCGACGGCGACATGTTGAGCAGCCGGTGAAACCGCGATGATGCCAGCGGCGGACGCGTTTCCGTGAAGCGGTGGGCGGTTGCGACTCGGGTGACTCTGACGTCTCGGTCACTGGGGCGTCCACAGCTTGAATCTCCATGGAGGGAGAAGTTTAGACGAAGACATGAAGACATGAAGACATATCACACCATGATTGACAAACGACCGAAGAGGGGAGGTAATGCTGATCACCCGATAAGTGAATCGAGGATCGCTTCAAACTCCCCACTCCCCAACTTTTTTGCCTGTTTTTTTAGACCCCACGTAGATCCCACTGACCAGCTAGTGGCTTGATCTGGGTTTTCTTCTTCTTTCCAATGGCCAAGGGCCGGTCAAATCCACCCATCCACCCATCCACCTATTATTGACAGTTGTATGGAACCCCGCTTAACTGTGCTTTCTATTGGCAGCCACCACCTACAAGCTCCACGTCGGCGGCTCCGGCGCCTTTGGGCTGACGCAGTCCGAAGTGCATTGGGTATAGCATTCATCGGTGGCAATCATTTTTCGACGAATCCTCGTGCAGCATTTGGCTGTTTGCACCAAAGCCAACATGACACCTGTGGGAATCTTCACCCGTAGTCCTCACTGGCCTATACATCTACCCCGACGCCTTCACCAACTCTAAATCCGTGTCGATCATAATACCGATCGACAACTCTGTGTGGATCTTGATCTGGGGGCACCTGATATAAGCGATACTGTACCATGGAGAAGAAGTGGAAAGGTCATCATCAGAAGTCGAGATAACCAATCTTCATGTTCATACTTAGGCTGGTATGGGTCACTTCGTATAGCTAGCTAATCATAAAGAGATCCACTTAGATACACTTGCCGCCATCAACCACCATCTCCGTCCCGTTGATGAAGCTCCCTTCGTCACTGGCGAGATAAAGACACATATTCGCGATGTCGTCAGCTTCGGTCAGACGGCCCAGGGGTACGTTGCCGATAAACTTTTCCCGGTTCTCAGGGGTGTCCTCCATACCCGTAAACATGGAAAAGAGGCCCGTTCCTGACAGTAAGGGTGCCACACTATTCACGCGGATGTTGTGGGCACCGTACTCGGCTGCAAGGCCCTTGGTCGCCTAAAGTGGAGTTTAGCTGTAGCTCTCTATCTCGTCTCCAAGTAGCTGGGTCACTCACGTTGGTGACGGCACCTTTCGATGCGTTGTACCACACCAGGCCAGGTCGCGGGCGACTGGCACCCGTCGAACTGATGTTAATCATACTGCCACCTCGACTCTTGCCCTGTTCCATAAATCGAGGCATTACGACCTTGCCGGCTAGGAAGATACTCTTGACGTTGACCTTGAAAACACGTTCCCATTCATCTTCGGTTACCTCCGCAGTGGGCTAGACACGGACACAAACATCTTGGTCAGCATTAGATCGTCTCCGCAAAGACCTTGGAACGGGGGTACCCACCTTATTCCGATAGGTAGTGCCGGCATTGTTCACCAAGGTATCCAATCCGCCATATTTCGAAAACGCCAGGTCGACAATCGTCCTCCAATCACCCTCTTGTGTAACATCCATGCGCTGGAAGATCAGGTTGGGGCTCTGTGCGGCCACCTTCTCGCCACCCTCGACATTGATGTCTGCAACAATCACTTTGGCTCCCTCCTCGCCGAACCGACGGGCGATAGCAGCGCCAAAGCCAGAGCCACCCCCTGGTAGAAAGTGGATCAGTAGTGTACAAGCGGGAAGCTAGTCGGACTTACCCGTGACGATGACAATCTTGTCTTGCAGTCTTGAGCCGGCACTCATTTTCGGTGTTGTAGAAAGCAAAATGAGAATGAGGATAAGAAGAAGAGTGAGAATTGGATTGCATTCGTCCAGAAGAACGAACCTTTCAAAAGTACCTGAGAGGGGGAGGGGTTCTTGGCTCGAAGGATCCAAGATCGGCGCGAATTCCGTTCCCCGCACGACCTGCCGACATCGCCGGACGCTCTTTTTCTCCGAGTTGGGCGGTCATGGCATACTTTCAACTGCAGTAAAGAGGCAGGTGAACTTTACTGAAATTGACTTTGAATAAAGTTGTCGGGTGGCTGGACTGGTGTTAATCCGAGGTTATGTACCCGGCATTAGCTTCATGTACTGACTGGGATAGCCATCCGCGTTGCCTCAACAAAAGTATGCCCAGGTGCGCATGATATATGCTTCTATTTTTCTCTATAGATTGTTATCAATTGATGAAAGCAATTGCATCAAAAGAGCCACCTTCCCAAGATGGTGTGTTTGCCTGCATCTGTTTGCATCCAGTTAAGATCGCCGCCACCTTCCCTGCTATCCAGGGGTGCATCTCCCGCTGAGAGTCAAAGCTTTCCCTAGGTGGCTCTCAATACGTACTCTGTCGTTCACAGTCCAATCCCTTAGACTTCACTCCACGCTGTGCTCGAGATGTTGTTCCAACAGCTCCTTCCCTTGTTTACTTCTCCTCTCTTAGCCTTCGCCTCGTCGTCCCTGACCGGAGCTTCCGGAGCCTCTTGCTATGCATCCACTCTTCCTTCGGTTCCTCCTTCAACTGACGATCGCCCTGTACCCTGGGGCTCACCTAGTGTACACTTCTCCGCCTTAAACGGTACTCTTACCACATGCTGCGACTCCCTCGACGAGATTCGGATCGCGCTAGATGATATTGATGAAAAGCTTCTCGATTTACTCAATCAGAGGTAAATTACTCTGTCTACACAGTGTTCCTCTCCACTTCTCTTTCTCGCTTCCTCGCTGCACTGCCAAGTCTTCATGGCCTGAATCCTTTCTTAGAGCCGCCTACGTACGCGAGGCCACACGTTTCAAATCGACACGCAGTTCTGTCAATGTACCTTCTCGTAACGACGAAGTCGTGCAAGAGGCTGAAGAACAGGCGGAACACATTGGGATGCCGGTTACCATTGCCCGCGCCACCTTCGAGGCTATTTTGAATTCGAGCGTGCCATTTGAGCAATGCATCGTAAGTCTCAAGTCACTTTTATTTTATTCTGACTAAAGCCAACCTTCTTGTAGTTTGACACTAGCCACCCGTAGTGGTGCCATGTATATTGAATATTGGCGGGCATATATGTGGTCGGGGGCGCAGCGGCTACTCGAGCCAAGGTGATTTCCGAAGCGGGTCTAAAAGGTTCCTACGAAAATCCGTTCGTGCAATGCACACTATTCATACCTTTAGGAGTATTCAGAAGAAAACATGTAGTGAGATGTAGGACCCTGAACGTCTACCCCGCAGGTGGGGGGAATTGGCCGAGGCCCTATGGTTACGCTATCCAACACCGCTGCCTAGCAGTGGCCGTCCGGGCATCCTCAGATCAAAAAAGTTAATGGAAATTACATCAACGAGCTCACAAAGCTTGGCGAAAGATTCCTGAAGCTTATTACTGAGACTCTTTCCGTGCCATCGGAGGTCCTCTTTTCATTTTTGTCCGACCAACATCGCCTCAAGCTTGTACATTATGCCTTAGGTTCTTCAATAAGTTCTAATATGCAGGGTGTTGGCCCCTACAAAGATTCATCTGGTTAGTAGATATTTCTCCTACAGGCATCACCTCCCTATATCAAGGGTCTACAAGCACTGAACAAAAGTGAGAGATGGATTGATGTCCCAGTCATTGAGGGTACTTTCGTTATCAATATTGGACAGGCTTTTGAAGTGATAACACGTGGTGTATACAAAGCCACTACTCACCGAGTACTATTTGGTTCACTTAAAAGATAGTGTCCCGTTCTTTTAAGGTGTCCGTGGTAGTTTGACCAAAAATGAGGCACTGGGAACCCTACAGGACTACTTTGGTGAGAAGACATCGTTAGAGGCTGATACAGGAGCTCACATCGACTCAGCATTCCTGTGCGGAAATTATGACACCTAGGGCGAGTCACAACTACGGACAAAGATCCGCAGCCACCGTGACGTGGGACGCAAGTTCTACGCCAATTTATTTGACCAGTATGTCAACGATGATTGAAACCCGTCAAGACGTCGATGTATATTAGAAATATTCACAATATAGCCGCCCGTTTTAATCTAAAATCTCAGTTGCTCCTCAGCAGGCCGGTTTCCAACCGCTACCTCGATCTTCTCCATAATCTCATCGGTCAATTTATCCACAACACCCAAGGCACGCACATTATCGCGGACCTGCTCTGGACGAGAAGCACCAGTAATCATAGAAGAGATGTTAGGGTTTTTCAGGATCCAAGCCAAGGCCAACTGCGCCGTAGAAATACCCAGCTCCTCAGCAACAGGCTTCAGCGCAGCAGTCTGCTTCAACTGTTGTTCCCAGGTATCGTTACCCACAGTCTTACGCAGGCCCTTGACATATCCATCCTCAGACTCAGCCAGCCGAGAACCCGGGGGAGGCGCGGTAGCATCATTATACTTGCCGGTAAGAACACCACCCTTGAGAGGCGAAAACACAGTCAATCCCAGACCGTGGGCCTCATACAGCCAGCGGTACTCCTTCTCAACGCGCTCACGTGCAAGAAGGTTGTATTGGGGCTGTTCAACGGCAGGGCCGATAAGACCCAGTCTATCGGCAATGCGCCACGCATCGGCGATTTCACTCGCAGACCACTCGGACGTTCCCCAATAGAAGGCCTTGCCGTTGTCGATCAAGTAGTTGAAACCACGCACAATTTCTTCCATGGGGGTTTCCCGGTCTGGGCGGTGGGCATATACCACATCCACGTAGGGAAGATCAAGGCGCTTGAGAGACAGGTTCATGCCCTCAATGATGTGCTTGCGAGAAAGGCCGTTGTTGTTCAGCGGTTTATCGGGGTTGGCGCTGTTGGCTTTTCCCCAGTAGATCTGGTCAAGGTTAATATCATGCTAACTTTAATATTGGGATGAAAGTACCTTGGTAGAAATAACTAAGTCGTTCTGCTTCCATCCAAATTTCTTGATCGCTTCTCCGAGCACAATCTCAGACTGACCCCCGGAGTAGACCTCGGCTGTGTCAAAAAAGTTGACTCCGGCGTCCCACGCGGCTTTCATGCAGTCAAACGCAATTTCTGCTCATAGTCAGTATAAATACCCCTAATTAGACCAGGAACATCACGCAGTACCATTTCCAACATGTCCACCATAAGTAAGCCAGCTACCAAGCGAGATAACCGAAACCTTCAAGCCCGTCCGGCCAAGGGAACGATACTGCATTTCAGGTAGAGATTCGGCCATTTTGAATACCGTGAGATAGAATGAATTGAAGAGAAGGATACTCGCGCAACTTCAGGGGTAAATTGACAGCTTCGGACTCTTATGTAACTTCTTTCAGGATGCGGGCCGATGCGGGGTACGCAGGACCCCTTTTCTCGGGCGGACACTGACCCGTTTCCCTGATTCGGACGCCGATGGTGGTTTCGGGGGGCTTGGACTCCCATGGCGTCAGGTCCGTGTGGGGTTTAGGCTAATTGGCGGCGAAACTGATGGAATTGCTGACGAATGATTGACCGGGGGTTTCTTTCGCGGCTCGGGGAAGCGTTTCACATGAGTCATTTGTACTTGGCTCGAGTATGATTCCACCTGTCGCAATACAGGAGAGTCTCAATGATAATTGAACATTATTTTTCCCCAGCTCCAATAAATAAACTACCACATTTACCATTTTGTTACCAAGTAAACGAGACCTCGGGTCAAAGGAACCCTCAGGGACGAGCTTCAAAGCCCTTTCTCCCGCAATTATTTACCGTGTTCCATCTTTGAAGCCCGGCGGTGAATGGCTTCATACTGACAGCCCGTGGCGGCAGCACCAGGCTCTTCTGGATACACAGGGGTCTGCATTGGATCATCATACTTACAGTAGTAAGACTCTGACGGAATGAGATTTTTCTGACAATGGCATTATGAATCAATTCACCATCCCAGATGGACTGCCTGAAACAATTGAGAGAAACATGTACATGAATGGAAAGTTCGGTTCAATGATCCAAGACAAGTGATGGCACTGTAACAGGACTGGACTTCAAACATATTGACAATAGAAAAGATGCACGCTCAACGTGAGCTATTTTCCGATCAAGCTTCGGTGATGTTATCTTAGAATCTCTTGTGCATGTGGCCATGGTGATGGACGTGTCGGCGAGCATGCTCGGCAATACGTTCCCGTTGTTCAGGTTCTTCTGGCACATTGTCTCTCTCAACGTATGCTACCACTGTCGATGTCGCCATAATTGTCGTAGTTGAAGATGAGAGCGTCCGCTGAACACCGGTAGTGGTGGCATAGGGAGAGCCATTTTCGTCAATCAGGACATACACGTCCTGCTCCACATAGACAATCTCTTCAGTCATGGAATCCACTTCCACCGAGGTGGTGGGGGTCGGAGTAGGGGTGGAGGTCGATGTAGTGGTAGAGGGTGCAGTAGTAGCGACTTCTTGCGTGACGTAGGCATCGAGATTCAAGTCCCCTATACTGATAGAGAGGGAAGGCAGCGAGATGGAGATATAAGGAGTGGAAGTGCTAGGCTCCAGCGATGTAGTGCTCGACGATGAAGATGAAGCCATTGACATGGTGGCGTATGCTGGGCCCCATTCAATCGGAACACTCCCAGGCAATCCATCCGCATGCATATGGACATTTTCATCTTTCAGTGACTCCGGCACGTCAAAGAAACAATCTCTCTGCTTTTCCTCCGATTGGAGATTGAATATTGTGCAATCGCCAACGAGACCCGTCTCACTCGTGCAAGTGTCGACTGCCTCCTGAAGGATGCCATCTTCCCAGCCATACATGAAGTCACCATGGTACCCATATCCTGTCGGGTCACCGTTTGAGAGCGCAAAGTAGCCATCCACGTCTTTGAAAGCGTATGTGTTCCAGATAGTCTCATAGAAAAGTGAGACCAGTCGAGTCTCGTATCCATCCGGGCAAGTGCCGTCCATCACAAGAGAGGGATACGCCACGTGGGATTTGTGGTCCGTTGAATCGACATCCTTGCCATTCCAGCAAGACGGGAACATCAGCTCGAGGCGGACCCCATCCGTGCAATGTTCATCGAGGTAGGTTTTATTCGGCATAAAATGACGATAGAGGGAGGATTCAGCAGCTGCGGCGTAGTTCAGACAGTTGAATCCAATAGCCTTTTGGCGTAACGCTTTCTGCGATTCTTGGGGACCAGACCATGAAGATTTCGGTGGGTCAGGAATCGGCCAGGTGAAGTTGCGCTGGAGGGGGTCGCCTGCTAACATCCTAAAGTTACTCGGAAAGGCTGTCACATTCTCTCCATAAAGGAGATAATAACTATTCACGAGATGTTAGCACGAGAAAACAAATCGTATCTGTTAAAAAAAAAAAAAAAAAAAAAAACACTTACGCAAGCATGCCTCCAACCTCTGGAACCAATTCGGCGCTGCCGTTGGTGTGCATAAAGTAGAGAGGAGGGGTCCAGTAAGCGGACATGTCCTGCTCTACAGCGCATGAGGTGCAGCTGGACTCGAGCAGAGTATTCATATCAGAACTCATGCCAAAGTCTGCATCATTTTGTCAGATCTAGCTCTTGCAACGAAGGGAAAATGGACTCACTTCCTGCCCCGTGGACCGCATGAATGTGTCCTGAGATGTCTCCCGGGTCGACAATAGGGTCCAAACGAGCAACGCCAGTTCGCCCACGGCAGGGAAGGCGCCAAAAAGCATCAGTAACGACGGGGAATATGGTAAGACAGGCGCCCAAAATGGCTGTAAGGCGAATGTCCTGCATTTTGCGATGGTATAAGGCGCGTCGACGCGCTTAAAGCGATAGAAACGAATGATATTTGTTAAAAACGAATGGCAGTGACTCGCCAGGAGCACTTAATCAATCGAACTGGTGTAGTGAGCAAGATTGAAGAATATTGGGCGTGTATATGGCGGAGTTGACGGCGCTAGAAAAGATGTTAGTGGATCAGTGGCGCTACGAATGGTTTTGAACAAGAGGCGTTCAACGCCCTGGACCCACGGGTCGCAGAGTTGGATTGCAAATGGCCAATCGAAGGCCATAAGGAGAAAGACGGGGATCCCTTCCGATAACCTGGGGCATCACAGTAGAAGACTCCCTTCGGAAAGAGGAATGGTCCCCTTGCTTCGAGGCTGTCACCCTTGCAAAAGGCGTGAAAATAGCCAGTGACAGTGGAGGGATAGGATCGCGAAAGGAAGTCGATCAGACATGCCGCTTACCGTTGAGTTTGGAAGCGCGTTCTCTCTGACGTCAACAAATAAACACGGTCCTACGATGACTTATATGAAGCTATCGTACGGTATCTATAGAAGATCATCAGCATCAATGGCACCCGACTTGGAAAGGATAAACCTTACGTTCGATAATCTCCAATGCAATCAAAATGGCTCAGCCTTGATCAAAAGGAGTGAATAAGCGAATAAAGGTGAATCAAAGGAGAGACGAAGTGAAGGGGAAACGAGTGTATGCCTTGCCCTGAGATAGGGCTGGAAGGGAACGGACGGGAAACCGAAAGGCAAAATCGACACACCAAAGAGACCGAGGACAAAACAAGGGAATCAAATAATCAAATACTTCACCCTCAGAGCCCCAAAGATAGCACACTCGCCCCCCCTTTAGTCGCTTGGTCCTTTCGACATTAGATGACTCCGCCAATCCCTTGGTATTCCTGATATTAAACCCCTCCGCCCCTCCAACGGACACAGTCGCACGGGGACTCGGGCCATATCGTGTACGATTGGGTTCATCTGGGAAATAAACGGGATATGAAAAGCCCACTCTGAAGACGGGCGGATCTAGCGGTGTTTCCAGCCGGGAAACGTGCAATAGGAGCTCGTGCAACGGAGGCACTAGCAAATCTGTAACGGACGCTGGCCAGTGCTTGGGGGTGATAGTGACCAGTCCACCGTTTGATCCGTAATTTGAGACGTAGAATCGAACATGTTGTTCCTGGACTAAGGATTTAGTCGTCTCGTGTGCCCCACGCTACACCCGCGGATTGGGCCGTCGGGCGCATCATGAAACAGTCCACTGATTAGGGGGGTCTTGGTTCGGTATGGAATCCTTCAATCGAATCTCGCTTCGTATATATCCATATTTCTAGGAAATGATTGCAAATCGGAGACATTCGTTTTTGAGTTAAGCCTTGAAGTATATCCTGTGCGATGATCACGGCAGCATGTTGACGTCTACGAGGCGGAGGTATGCAGTCCCAAAACAACCATCGAAAGTAGATCAGTCGCTCAAAATCCCTAGGGCCTGACACGGCCTTGGAGGCCAAGCGTTGCGTAAAATCGGACTCCGTACCGCGATCGTTTTAAATTGCTGGTGCCCACTTAACCCCAGCGGGATGTCCGAGTAACTCTTGTCTGGGGCCTCGCGATTCGTTACTGATTAGGATGATTCCGACACGACTGAAACAGCGAAGGTGGAGTGGGAAAGCTTGTCCTTCCTTCCAAGGTTCCGAGATTGCTGGGATTCATCTGGATAATATAGCAGAGTTGATTGTACAGCTAAGCGATGTCTATTCTGAATCGTGGTACATGTACAGTAGGTCATTGAGGGGGAGATCACGAGCGTACGGCTTCCAACGCCTTGCGTGCGCGGACAACTGCTTCTCGTGCGCGGTGGTCGGACACGTCACTAATGCTCTTACCACCCTCGCGGACAATCTGACGCAGCAGTGCTTCCGTCTCGAGCAGGGATGTGCGGCCTTCTTCCCGGACCTCGTCCTCCCAGAATTCACGGGCACTATCCCACTTCTTCTGCTGCCGACGCAGGGAGTAGATTAGACCGAGTGCACCAAGGGTAGCCGATTCATAGGCTGATGCCGAGGGAACGGAGAGGTATGTAAGGACAGAGAGTGCTGAAGTCAAGGTAGTTGTAGAGACGCTGAAGAACACTAGGCTCTGGGCGAGTGCCTGCAGCGAGGGAACTGTCGTGTGGAGTAGCTTGGCCCTGATATCGGGGATCAGGGTTGGCCAGGGAGGAGGTGTAGTCTTGGTGAGAGTTGAGTCGGTGGTGGTTTCAGGAGAAGTAGTGGGCTCCTCCAGCAGGCCCGCCTGCTGATACTTGCCCGAATTGTAGATAACCTCGCGCTCGGCGCGGCGAAGAAACTGCTTCTCCAAGATATCAGATGTGATCATACCGACATCATCAACCCGCCAGAAAAGCTTCCACCATGCAAGACCTCGCCAGCGCGGACTAGCGAAGCCTGCCTCGAGAGCGCTGCGGAGCTCTGAGTGCCCCTGCTCTGCCCAAGAGACAACCCCACGCTCAAGCTCGGACTGTACTTTCTCAGGGACAGCCCCGACAGTCTGTTCCTGAAGAGCTTGGGCGTCCCGAGCAGAGACACCTTCGTCGGCCGCGTTGAGCAGCGATTCAATCAACGGGACCAGAGCAGGGTTCAAATCTTCTCCACTGGCCGCTTGGGAGAAAGTTGCGAGCCAGTCGATCACAGGCTGCACACCACTCGCATTCCACCCACGTTCATATTCGGTGGCGTTTTGTACAGACTCGCGGATCTTATCTAGGGCAATGCTCGCACGGTCGATATCCACAAAGGAAAGACGATCGCTATCGCGTGTCTCGTTCGCCACGGAAAGCTCGATTGCACCGCGCACTGAAGCAATTTCGTTTTTCAAATTTGAACGGCCCACCAAGCTACTAAATGCCAACAATCCATTCACTCCGTGGCCGCACACGATACTCCTGTGCACAGGGTACCGGACCATATTTTGCCGACCAGAGTGTGATGTTGTGATAGTGACATTGGGTACGAGGAAGGTATCGGCGGAGAGGGGGTGCCAGTCGAGGCCGCTTCAGAGCCGATATTACCGATGAGAAGTTCGATGTTGCCCTTTTTCAGGACTGGTGAGCGGACTGCGAGTGTCGGGAGAAGGTCATTGGGTATAGATTCTGAGACATCGCCGTATCTATCAGATGGAATATTAGTTAATTTCCCAATCGTGGCCTTGCTTTCAAAGTGATTCTGTACCGAATTAGTAGACCCCGCGAGGGGTCCGCATCATAGCCGTCCAGAACATCCTCCCAGCTCTCGCGTTGGCTCAAAGGATCGGCAAGAAGCAATCGAACTAATTTGCGCGCAGAGTCGGCATTGTCCAGTCCGAGAACTTAGAATCGCGAAAACGTCAGAGCCTATCTTCAACGAAAAATCGGAACCGCCAGCACGTAGCCATTGCGCAGAGTATAACTCACCAGCAACTCGGATAAGAGGCGCTTCCGACTCCAATCCTCTCAAAGCCAGTTGTAACCGACTGATACTGACTTCCTGTATCGCTGCATCCTGCACTCTACTCAAAGCATCGTGCAGCTCCTTGAATCGCGGCGGGATTGCCTTGCCGGCCGTGATAACCGATGATGTAGTGAAATGGCGAGTCGTGATAGTCGTAGGCGGCTCCAGAAGGCGATCCGATCGACGCGCCGAGCCGATTTTACCAATGCCGGTGCTGGCGCCAGCACGCGACGTGAGCTCTCGTCTCCAGGTTGAGCAGGAGGGACAGTAGAAGACACCCGCGCTATCCAACGGGCGCGACAGGCTCCGTGGAAATGCGCTACGCAGTCTGGGGGGCATTGGGGCGCGATGAAGCGAGGGCTGTGGACGAGTCGGAGATGTGAACGAGGGACTTGAGGTCGGAACCTTGGAAAGTGAGGAATGGACATGAGGCTTGGCGGCTCCACCTTTACAATTACAGCTCCGCTTCGTTTCTTCAATTGCAAATGGAAAATGAATTTGAAAATTTAAAACGATGAATTGAAAGCCATCATTACATCATATTCCTTATTTTTTTCTCGCCTGAAAAAAAAACATCTGTTATCAAGTCAAGCTACACTCATAGATCTACTGAGCTCCTGGATCCATGGATCCTAGAATACCAAATTGAACGCGAGCCATCCAGTTTGACTACTATTATTGTAGATCCAGTTGTATGGCCAGACAAGTGATGGGATCAAGCTGATAGGAAGGGTATCGTGTCGATCATGTCATGGCAAAAGCGTGTGCGCCGGAGGACAGGAAGAGGAAATGCATAGATCATGTCATAATATCAGCTCAGCCAAACCCCACGGCCTTTCTAGGCCTCTCTGGAAGTTGGGTCACGCTGGCGACGATTACGACCCGAGCCGGCAGACCTAATAGGAGGTTAGAAATACATGCTTGATCATCAATGAGACATCACTTACATGCTGATTCTCCTGGCGACGGTGGCCAGTCCAGCATCGTTAGCAGCTTCCTGCTCGGCGCGTGCCAGGGCTTGACGGCGAGCTTCCTCGCTTCGCTCAATGACCTCCTCCTGGCTAGGAGGCAGGCGCTCGTTCTGGATGTCAACCTTACGGGCATCCTCGAAGTTATGAATGGCTTGCTTGATACCCTCGGCACCCAGCATGAGAGTACCAGGAGGAAGACGACCGCCAGCCGCCGTCTTCAGTTCTGTAACGCTCTCAGACTGTTCACGCAAGACCTGGAACACACGCGAAAGACGACCAATAGCAAGAATCTTATTCTTGATGGCCCGGCGCCTGACCTCGCTAGCTTCCGCAGCGTCCGTCGACAAGGAAGGCGAGGTGGTATCCACAGAAGCAGAGGTAGGAGTTTCCTCCTCCTCCTCTTCCAATTCTTCCTTCGAGCAGGTGTTGAGAATGGCGATCAGCATATCGGTGATCTTCTCGCCGACGAAGGGCAGGGACCAAGTGAAGACATCCATGAAGTTGGGCAGCCAATAGGGGTGCGGGGTGCAGTTGAATTGTCGAATGTTCATGACGTTGTTTTCGTATTTGAGGACGGCGGCCTTGTTGTTATACACGTCGAGGTAGTTGGGAGCGCTGAAAATGGTCATGACGCTAGGGAATCCGGTCGTGCGAGTCTTTCGATACATACGGTACCCTGCATCCTGGGCCTCGTGTGCTCGAATGATAGAAAGCAGGTTATTCTTCTCAAGGAACGCGCATGCGGCCGGATAAGAGAAGAAGTAAGAACAACCACGAACACTGTTATGGATGAAGAAATCGCCAGTCTTTTCCTGACCGAATTCCTCGAGAGGGTCGGCCCAGAGAATGTCGCACATCAGACCGTGCGTCGGGGGTTCACGGAATCGATCAATCTACTGTTGTTAGCGACACGTCGATTTGATGGATAGCATGTACGTACGGCCTTAATGTCTTCGAGAGTGTGAAGCTCCGGGCTAAGACCACCGTGGATACACAGGAACTGCTTATTCATGACGGCCGCCAGCGGCAGAGAACAGAAAGACTCGATGCACGCCTCGTAGAGCCGTTCGCTATACTTGTGCTTGCACTCAAGCTTGAAGGTGAAGTAATCCGTCAGGTGGCGACACTCGTGGTTACCGCGCAGCAGCCAAAGCGAATCGGGATACCAGATCTTCAACGCCCAGAGATAAAGAACACACTGCAAGACTGTCAGAACCGCAAATCCGATGAAAACCAAGCATACGCACCTCGACACTAAAATAACCACGGTCGACGTAGTCGCCCAAGAACAAGTACCGTGTCTCCGAAGGGTCGCCGCCAACCTCGAACAGCTTCATTAAGTCGTAGTATTGGCCGTGGACGTCACCGCAAACCGTAATAGGGGCGTCCATTTCGAGCAAGTTGGGCTCCTGGCGCAAGACCTCGGTACCGGCGTGGATGATCCATAGGGCCTGTTCTTCCGTAAGACGACCCTCGCGATACAGGTGCTGCTTGAGGTACTGGAGGTTTGGTTTGGAAGGGTCGTCCGGGGACCAAAACATGTCATCGGGCGGGGTGCTCAGGGCCGGCGCTTGCACCTCTGATAATTCACAGACAAGTCAGCGATCCGATTGCAAAGTGGTAATAGCAATTTCGACCGATCATTACCTTTGACCACTCGTTCGTTTGTCGACACCTGGCTACCATCCTCCATCGTGTGCAACGAAAAATCGATCTCGGGAACCGGCTTCTTCTCAGTCACCGCGCGCGCGAGAGCTCGATCCATTTTGGAGGTAGATGAGTATAGATTTCTGGAGTGTCGAAGATCGGAGCAAGGGGGCCGAGGAGGGAGGAGAGGGGGGGGGGGATTCACGGCGCGGAGGTGTGGCGGGGTGAGTTTAGAGCGGGAAGGGAGATGTCCCACAGAGGGCGAAGGAGATCAGATGAATAGTCTTTCCCCCGTGGGTTGAAATAACAAGGAATGTTTCGGAAAGGGGAAGTTGAGTGGGAGTTGGGCAAAAGATCGCGTGTGGTGATGGCGAAGTTGGAAAAAGAGAAACAAATTGGATAAGCGGGCTGGCCTCTCTCAGCCGCTCCACACTTTTCAACGATGCGCCACTTTCGGTCAGAAATCTGCCACTCTTTACGATCATAGATCGATCCTATCTTCTTCGATATGCAAGAATGAAGATGTCACACAGAAAGCAGTGTTGGCATCAGCCTCAGACTCCCAGTTTACGGCCTCAGGCAGAAACAGGGACCAACCATTGAGTCTCCACCGATTTCCAAAAAAACAGTGGAAACCCTGGGGTTCCGGATAAGCGATCGAATGCCATCTATCCAAAGATTTACACTTTTCCACCAGACTCTTTTTTCAGCTGTCGCACTTTGCATTCTTCTCGAAGCCAAAACTGATCGATCCTAGGACCCAGGGGTGCAGGTTTAATAATCTGCAGCCACCAATGGATCACTGGGCAAAATTGCGTCGACATTTCTTATCTGATTTACTTAGTCTTCCCTGTCGGAATTCAGCATTGGACTGCGCAGAAGTGAGCTGCCTCTTGATCGGTAGCACAAGTGGGGAACGCCTAGGGGATCAATTGGGAACACAACAGCTTGGATGGAACCGAGATGCAAAAAGCAGTACTCGAATGCCTAGGGCACCTATTCAAATATGCCTGAAATCAATCACATCCGTGAGCTCACTCAAACTACCGAATATCGACTGCAAAAGCACATAATATGTAGACGCACCGAGTATTTGCGGCGATCAGCGGTCCAATCGTGATCAGATTCGGCAATGTCACCACCACGGGCAAATCCTGTCTTTAGGGTTGCATTATACACTTGGGACGTAGGGGGCCAAGGTATCCTCGACGGAGTTAATCACAGAAGATCAGCAAATTTTATGCACAACCGGGAATTATAGAAAGAAGGCTCATTGCCTAGATTATGATGCTATATACTAACCCCTGACGGTAGATCTAATTCCCCAAGTAAATATTCAACTGTCAAGACATATACGGAAACATCACCGGAAATTCATTCTGTATCAATCGATGTCTATCCTCTCAGAACCTTCTTGTAGACGACGTCTATCAAACAGCAAGCAACGGTACATACCCTCCACCTGCCAATGGTACAAGCACGATCACGGTGACAACAACTAGCACCACCGCAATTGCATTCAGCACGACTACAGCCAGAGTTGCAACTACTGTTGGAGGTAGGGGAGCTGTTACATGCATTGGTGGAAATTGTACTGGAATGGGCCCAGGGCTAAACAATCTAACCTACTGGCTTTTAAGATTATCGAAGAGAGAATAGCGATTATTCCCAAGAGTTAGGTTACGATAAAAGTCTATATGCGCTCTGAGATGCCTTCGTCTGTTCTTTGTATCCCCCATAAGTATTTGGGCGAGAAAACATTCGAAGCACCAGTGTGAATGGTTGGTACACCGGAAGTCATCCAACTGTTCCATCTTAGACAAGTTCGAAGCAGTTTCCATACCATATTCTACAGTGAACCACAGCATAAAACTTCAAATCATACTGTTCAACTCTGCATTGACTATAAAAAGAGGCACAGACTGCGAGAATGGCTCCACCCGGCGAGGTCCATAGATGCGCCCCAACATTTCGGCCCCCAAGCTCCCCCATACTCTATGACGAATGCCAAGGATAATTAGGTGGCTCTGCTGGTTCAACTCTTGGGGCCGTTTCGCCTTCCGTGCCTGATAAGAATGAGACCTTCCGTTCCAATGGATCGCGTACAGGAACAGTCAAAAATTTCACAGATCAAACAAACTTTCCCTTTCCAGTCCTAAAGTCAATTCTATATCCTATTCAAGACCTGGCAATTCAACCCAAAACAACCCTGATCACTACTTTCGCTCCTCCGAAGATGTGTTTTGGATTCTACGTTAAGCCGCAACCTCCACGCCGAGAGAAATACGGGAACAAGAGCGAAAAATATCTTCGAGACTATGAACGATACGAGAAAGAATATGAAAAGTACATGAACAAGGACAACAGGCGCAGGCGTATGGCGAATTCCAACACTGGCGCCGTTGCAGGAACTTCGGCTGCTGTCTCTGGTGGCCCTTGAAACGCCCTGTTTCAAAAGACTATACAGAAATTTTGATCTGTCAAATGTACCCAAGGATAGATACTCTATCTATTCCTGTGATCTGGATGGGTGACTATCTGGATAAAAGGTCGCTCAAGAGGCATTATGACCTATTTCACGCGTTTACTCTGTACATTACCCTTCAAATTGAATCTATTCACATTCATAACTATTGAATATTTGCGACGGTAAAATAACATCCCGATCTTCCAAGATCCATCTTGACTAACCGGAAAGAAGATTTTGCTCAAATGAAGACGCAATATGGCAGTGACTGGTGAAACAAGATGCAAAAAGATGGGGCCTGGCCGCGAATCGAACGCGGGTCTCCACCACACCTGTGGATATTTCCGAACCCAAAGGTGGAAGTCTACCACTAGCCTACCAGGCCACAAGAAGATATAATGCAAAATCTGCAGCAGCCATACCCTTCTGCCAAGTTCTCGCAGGCCCGATATGCTCAACTTTGTGCAAGCGAACCTTGGATAGCATATTGATAGATCCACAATTGAGGGCGTTATAACTACCTATGTATATGACTTTTATTGATCCAACTGTGTTGGTCATGGATAGACTACCGTTTCCGGGTGCAATCAGCACACTGCGTGGTCTGAGGAGTAGAGGTAGCTTGAGTCCTGGAATCTCATAACGCTTGCAGCGATTTTTGTCCAAGTTGATGCAGCAGTGCTTTGTGGGCCCGTGATATGCTTCCTCCTCGGTTTCAATTTTTTAGCGTAGGGATTGTGGCATAGTCTATATATATTCCAAGGTCCACCACTCCATGTCCTGAGTAGTTGTTTATCAACAGTAGGCAAGGGCTGATCGAATATTCTGAAATTGCAACTATTGTATCTTCAAAATCTAGCACACTTGATTGACATAAAAATTTAAGAACTCAAGAGATAAGTATAGTACTTCAACATTAATTCACGATCGAATAGTGGGAATTTAAGCCCCCTTGGTAGACTTTGCAATGCGCGGGCTGTATTGGTAGTGTCATACAATGGCATATTTTCGTAGAGCTCCCATCGGGTCAGACCTTCGTGAACCTTTTCAGCAAGCATTGGCTGAAGTGGTTGCAGCCTCGAAGGTGATTCCTTCGCCAAGACATCAATCCACTTCTGGTATGGTAGCCCTGTGAGAGGTGTATCCAAGAGAGATCCCATCAGGTCCATGACATCATTCATATCAATCGAAACAGATTGCGCTGGGGGGACTATATGATAAGCATGCCCCAAAGAGTCGGGAGAAGATGCGATGTGCAGGATAGCAGCATTGACGTAGTCGACTGGAACAAACTCTTTGCGTTGGTTAGGGAGAAGAGGGTAAGACCGTATCTCAGCGCAAGAAAGGATCAAACGACTAAAGAAGTCGTCAGGGTTGCAAGCCCCGGTTTGACTGTGACCTGTAATGAATCCAGGTCGATAAATGGCGATTGGAAATCCGCAATCAACAAGCCGTCGCAGCATTGCTTCAGCTACCCATTGGGACTGTGCATAGCCATGGTCGAAAGGGAGGGCTTCGATATGTTTCAATAGTGGCTCATCTTCGGCAATTCGAACCGTCCCGGTCACGAAGCCCGTGGGACCAAAACAGGAGATACTAGAGACATAGTGCACTGCCTTGGTCCGACTACCAGCAGTTGCAAGACGCACGATATTTCTTGTACCAATCACATTAGCGGGGCGGTGGAGTGAATATGGCTGTGTGTAATTGACTCTTGCCCCTAGGTGAAAGATGATGCTTGACCAACTGGCGATTTCATGGAAGCGCTCATAGCCCAATCCCAGGTAGATATCTTCGAGAGATCCACAAAGAATCAGTATCTTGTCCGAGAATCGCTCTTCCCACAGGCCATACTTTGCCATGGCCAGCTTAATACGGTTCAAGCCCACTTGTGGACTTTCTGCACGCACTAAACACCCCACTTGATGCACTTCTCGCATCTTGAGCAGATCAGCGAGCATGAATGAACCAACAAAGCCAGTTGCACCTGTCAGAAAGACGCGCCCCTCAGTGTCCCGGCGCCAGTCGATTACTGGAGCCGAAGGGGAAACAAGATCATCAGCGATCTTTGTATCCTGGATCCATAACGCTTGCTCGTTTCGAGTTGTACCCAAAGAGTGCTCGCGGGAATTTTCGATGGTCGCTGCTAGTTCATCGATTTTGGGATGATCATAAAGAGTGAGAAGTGAGATATCAGCGTTGAAGGTCTTTCGAATTTGACTGATAAGGAGAGATGCCTGCAAAGAAGTGGCTCCAAGATGGAAGAAGTCGGCTTTGTCTTTTCCGGGAAGCGACTGAAGACCTAGAATATCTGTCCAGAGCGAAGCCAGTTTCTCCTGGGTGTTACCAGTCAGACTGTTGCTCCTGAAATGGTTCCACCGATCACAATATAGCCGAGTGAGAAGCTTTCGGTCTACCTTTGTATGGCTGTTGAGGGGCATTTGAGGAATCAACTCTATTTGAGGCACCATGTAATCTGGGAGCATAGTCTTTAAAGAGTTGATTGCCGTGGTTACTGCGTAAGGCTCTTTTGACGAGGCCAGCACAGCGAAAGCAACCAATATCGAGCCTGCACCCTGGCTGGCCTCTACCTTCAATGCAACGGCTTCGGTGAAATGACCGGTTTGTAACATGGCCATCTCAACGGCTTCAAGCTCGATACGGTAGCCACGCACTTTCACTTGGTGATCTTGACGTCCAACATAGTCAATTTGACCATCTGGTCGCATTCTGACCCTGTCCCCTGTACGATACAATCGCAGGCTCCCTTTTTCTGTCTGCAAAGTGACAAAGGAGGACACATTCTTTTCGGGATGATTCACATATCCAGGAGATACGCCAGCACCGCCTATCAATAGCTCGCCCTCCGCGCCATCCACAACCGGCTTCCCAGACTCGTCGCAGATATAAGCAATCGTGTTGCCAATTGGTTTGCCGATACTGACACTACCTATTTGCATATCGCCATCTGTGATCTGATGTGCAAGGCAGAAAATACACGTCTCGGTTGGACCATACGCGTTGATAAGCTGCTGCGGAGGCCCATGCTTGAAGATCGTTTGAATAGCAGTGACGTTGGCTGCTTCTCCGCCAATAAAGCATATTTTCAATCTTGAAAAAGCGTCGGGTTGAGTTGCTGCGGCAAGATTCAAAAGCGCTGTTGTCGTTGCCATAACTGTGATTCCCATTTTCTCGATTGCCGCGGACATAGCAGGCAAATCGAGCAAAATGACCTTGCTCAGTACTGCAATTCGGGCTCCGCGAAGTAAGGGAGCCCATATGTCAAACAGTGAAACATCGAAACTTGTGTTGTTGATATGCGCAACTGTGTCGGTGGAATCCACGGGCTCAAATGGTGCGTGGTAGACCACTTGCAAAATCGATCGAGCAGCGATCTGTACTGCTTTTGGCTCACTGGTAGTCCCCGATGTGTGGATCAAGTGCGTTCGATGTTCCAAGGTTGTGAGGACAGGCACTTCAGGGTCGGCTGCCCAGATGTATTCGGCAGCCCATGGATCTTTGGCTGCCCAGAGCGGGAAATCATCGATGTTGATTTGGATGTAGGACAGCTCCGGCTTGACGTTTAACTCATCCACGAGGACAAAGCGAGTCCCAGAATTGTCAAGGCGTGTCATTATTTGGATGTCAGGCAAGGTGGGATCCATGGGAGCACAGCTGGCTCCTGCATAGATGGTCGCTAACTGAGTGATAATGTCTGCGACGCCATGCTGAACAATTATACCAACTGGCTCTTCCCTTTGAACCCCCAGCTGGTGAAGTTGATCAGCAAGATGAATGGCCTGCAAATGCAATTCTTGGTAGGTAAGATTGATGTGTCCGTCGGTCACGGCCACGGAATTGGGGGACTGTCGAACTTGATGTTCGAATAGTTGTCCCAGGCCAACGTTCCGATCCACAAGAAGATCATACTCCTCCGAAGGAGACAGATTTTCCGAAGGCATTAATGGGTAAAATTGTCTCGATTTTGCTACAAAAGACATGATGCGTCACCTCTATGCAAGCAGTCATCTAATTTATCTACGTGGGCGCGGGCAAGGATTCTACGAGAAGCGCCAACCCTCCTGTTCTAAGACACGAACATCCTCATGCACTCCACCTGCCCCTGAGGAAATTTGGCTTGCGCCATCAGCCAGCCATTCATTTCCGATTGATCCCGCTTGGCGTAAAAATCCCGTGCACATTCTAGCTCAGAGCTTGAAAGACCCAATGGACAACGCGTGGAAGCCGTCTAATGTCTGTTTCCCTATCAGAGTAAGTGACGGTCGGCCAGTCCCCTTCTGAATCGAACTTCACCTTCATTCAGCTACTTTGAACATCTGTCGCCATAAGAATCAATGTCCCTGGGTTGTTTGGTACGGAATTAGTGCTTCCCAGCCGCCTTTGGTAAATCAGTGGCGTCGATGAGCGGCTCAATATTCTCTCCTACGTTATTGTTCATTATAAATAGTCACGAACGAAACATCAACCAGTAAGACAAACAGGTGTGGCTCGACGCTCATTCTTTCCACGCCACCCAAGTGATATTAGTGAATTGCTCAACCTGTCACGTACACGGCAGCCAAGTGTTTGCTGAGTGAAGCTAATACATGTATCTACTTTTCAAAGCGGACTGAAAACCACTCACGCGCAGTAACCAACTCGTATCTGCTCTCGGACCAACCCAAAGCCATGGCTGTTGTCTTCTTCAGCTCACTAGCGGTATGACACTCAGTTGGATCTGCAAAATATTTGCCATCTGTGATCTGAGTGAACCCAAACATGAGCTTTACATCCTCCAGCTCGTGGATCCCATGTGTATCAAAGGCCTCCCAGGACGGCAGGATTGGGACAAATCTGGATTTTTGTCCCGAAACATCCTGAAAGTCGGCCACAACCCGGTCAAAACTGCAGATGTGACTAACGCCATGGACAAAGTGGCCATCCCACCTCATTGGGTCCAAGAAAATGCCCTGTACTATGTCCCCGAAGTCATCGGAAATGCTCAGCCAAGGCACGTTCTCTTCCCCACCCCAGTAGGGAACCCGGAAAGTAAGAAATCCTTCCTCGTCTGGGAAATGAGGGAATCCTCCAAACACAGGTGCAGCCTCCTTGCCCAGGAAATTCTCCAAGAACCAGCCAGCACCAATAGGGTTGACGGACTTGAAGGCTCGCAGATCTCGAGCATATTTCTCGATTTTGTATTTCACTATTTCTGGTTAGGGAGATAAATGGGACTCTAGAGTGTCACCTACTATCCATGGCTTTCATTTGGACTAGGCCGCCCGTCATTTCAGTGCATGGAGGACCAGAGCTGAAAACGAAGTGTTGAACTCCCGCGTGAGCCGCGGCATCCACTATCGTTTTGCCCATGTCAAATTCTGTTGGGCCTTTGGTGTTGGCAAATATCTTGCAACAGTCATTATCAAACAATTGCAATGACGGTGTTTCAATGTCACATACTTTGTCATCCGAGTTGATGTTCACAAAGGCGCCCCAGGAGCCGTGAAATGCAGTAATCATCTCTTCGGAATTGAAACCATCTGCTTGGATCATCTCCACTCCGCGAGCAGCAAGCGCCATGCTGGCATTGGATTGGGGATTGCGGGTGATTCCTCGAGCCGCAAAGTTTGAATTTTGAAGCAATGACCTTAATACTGATCCTCCCTGGTTACCCGTCGCTCCAAAAACAGTAATTGTTTTAGGCGTCATAGTCAATGTTCAACTATGCTAAATGATGGGTGGAAGGATTGTAAGCCCGCTGTCCTCTCTTCAAGCTACTTTCTATACTGCAATCGGTTGATCTAGCCCCGAAAGTCAGAGGCCTTTAAGCATAGTTCGTCTTACAGGGGATGTAGTATTTGGAAACCAACGCACATTGCTTTATTTCGCCCAATCAACAAAATTCCGGCTATTTGTTCTGTCCGTTATTCTTCGAGTAAGAGTGAGTTTTCGTGCGGCTATAATTTCACCACAATATGATTCGGGTTGAGAGTCATAGAATCTTGGCAAATCAACGTGCAGATCACCACTCTTCCAGCCAAACTAATCCACGGATTACATGCAGCCACAACTTAATTGAGCGTCCCGACTACTGGCTCCGCGTGCCCAAATTTAAATCCCAGCTTGTTCATCACATGCACCATCAAAGACAAATAGCCCGGAGAACCGCATGCCCCACTTGCTCACTACACCTCCGCAGAAGTACGTGCATCTCGCATCTTCAGGTTAAGTGGAGCCTGACCCTGCCAAACCCCAAACTCGTGCAGCTCGTGGGGGTCCAAGTTATCGGGCTGCGCCTCGAAGTCAAAGTTCCATAGCAAACGAACTGTGATCAACCGCATGTTCAGGTACGCCAGGCTATGGTGGCGGATTGATCAGCACAATGTTCCCAAGCCACCATATCAGCTCGTTACTTACTTGATACCAATGCACTTCCTCGGTCCAATCGACCAGGGTGCCCAGATTGCGCGATTATCAGACTCAAACTCGGGGTCGCCGAGCCAGCGCTCTGGGATGAATTCCTCGGGGCGGTGCCAGTACCTTGGAGATCTGTATGCGGCGAGAAGTGCCACAGACACCCATGTCTGCAACTTGATTAGCTATATCATCTAACCAACATTTGGGCTGAGACTCACCCCGCCGGGAACCCATTGCCCATCGATGTAGCTGCCTGCTTCGGGAGTAATTCGGTGAAGACCGACTGGCACAGAAGGGTGGATTCTCAGGGTCTCTTTGATAACAGCATTGAGGTACTTCAGCTTTGCTGTAGAGTTGAAAGTAATCCCGTGCTCGCTTGTAAATGCAGAGCGAACCTCATCCACAAGCCTCTGGTAGCTATCCGGGTTATGGGTCAAGTAGTAAAAAATAGATGAAATGGCCGTGGCTGTAGTTTCGCTGCCAGCAGTGGCAAGAATGTTAATATTGTCAAATAGTTCATCCTTGTTCATCCCTTTCAAAATGAACGATGAAAAGCTCGCACGTGAGAATTTCTCGTCCTTCCCTGTCCTTTCCATGAAGGCGCGAGAATACTCCATGTGCTCTTCCATAGGAGCACTGATCTCTCGTGGAATAAGTTTCTCTAGGATCCGATGATAAGGTTTAAGTCGATAAGCGCATTGGAGAAAAGTGGCATGCTTCATGGCGCCAAAGATAACATGTGCCCAAGGATGGTAATCCGCCGTAGCAATGCAGCCGATCGGTTCACCGAAAGAAAGAGCACTGAAGACATCGAAAGTAAAGAAAATGGACCAGGCCCCGATATTGACGATGCTGTCTTCGGATGGAAAGTATGCCTTTCCCGATCTATTGTGTCGAAGTGTCTCAATCATGGTACTTGTGAATTCTTGAATCATCGGTTCTTGCTCTCTGATCGCTTGTTCGGAAAATGCTGGTCCCATGAGCCGTCTGTATCGAGGATGCTCACTTGTGCTAGCGAAAAGAATATTCTGTGACATTCCGGAGCCTTGAATGTATACCGCCGGGTTCTTCTCGAACGACGAGTCCGCCGTGGCTTTCGTTCCAAAAATTGTTTTGTTCGCCGACACTGTTGTGTAAGATAGCTCGTTTGGACCAACTCGAACGACCTCTCCATATTTATCATGCAGGCTGGCGAGATACTTGCAACTGTCCCCTAGAATCATGTGGTAGACATAGACAAGGCGAGTGGCAGCGTCTAGCTTGGGGCCGGGGTAGTTTCGCAGAGGATGGAGGAACACATTGTATGCTGCAATTATGAGGCACCAGGCGAGGAACTGTTGACACTGTTAGTCTGGGGGTGCTTATTGAGATCAGCCTGCTACCATACCAAGCCAGTGAATAGGTAAACCCAATTAAGTGACTCCATATTGATCCAAAGCTTTTAAACGAAGCGATATCAGGAACAATTCTTCGGTTTTGAATTATGCCCGTGAGAGTGAGGATAGACAATTCACGGAGAAGGTGATAATTTAATTTTGATTACTAGCGCCAGCTTGCTTGGACCTGGGGGGGGCTTGGGGATAAGTCACACTGAATGCCTAAAGTCCCTTGTCCTCAGCCGCTCCTCACCACAATCATCCCTTCACTAAGCATCATTTCCAGAGCCATGAGTCGGTTGATTGACAAGGAGCCACTTCCAACGCATCAAAAGCCATTGCGAGTGGTTGTTGCAGGGCTTTCCCGTACAGGGACGGCATGTAAGTCTCCAGACATTACATCTTTACTTGAAGAACTTTACTGAGAGAATAGCCTTGTATGTTGCTCTACAAGAACTTGGATTCACGCCATGGCATATGTGCGAGCCCATCGACGATCCTCGACAGATGTACAATCAATGGACGGAGGCGATGAATTGCCGTTTCTTCAATCAAGGCCGTCACTACGATCGGGATGATTTTGACCGTCTGAGAGGAAAATACGATGCTCTTCTAGATATACCCGCGAGTCTGTTCTGGGAAGACTTGCGTCGACTGTATCCGGAAGCGAAGATTATTCTCACTACTCGGTCCGCCGACTCGTGGTTCCAATCTGTTCACAACACCATCATCCCTTGGCTGGAAAAGCCGATCTTGAATGTCCTTCAATTTGTTGAACCCAGACGCCTGCGACCTGAATTGCGCATGGTCAAGACAGCTTACAAAGTGATTTGCAATAATGACTACCGCAGTGATTCTCTCAGGCAAAGATTCCTTGATCACAATAACCGAGTGCGATTCGGAGTACAATCTGAGAGTTTTTTGGAAATGCAACTGGGGGATGGCTGGGAACCCCTGTGTGCATTCCTTAGGGTTCCGGTGCCAGACAAACCGTACCCCAAGATCAACAACACGAATGAATTCAACCAAGGAGCAAGCGAAGCAGATGCAGCAATTTTAGGCGGGCTTCTGAGACCGTGGCTGGCTGCCATAGTTCCAATAGCAGTGGCCGCATGGTGGCTCTTGGCTTGAAAGCCCCCAGGGAAATCCTCAGCGTTAAGATAGGCACGGTAGCGAATGAAAAGATGCCCTCTTTACTGCATGTTTGACTGATCCGAAATCAAAGCCCAACCTGAATGCAAGAGCTGTTCGTAAACTCCGCGGGATTGTCAGATCTTAGGTAGGTTGTATTTAGAATCGGGCTGCATCTGCTATCTTACTGTTTGTGCACGGCCTGCAGCCCTCTAAATCAGCCAGCCATAATTATCCTATGCAGCTGTTATCACATCAGCCCTTTCCAAGCTGCTCGCCCTGTCGTTCATGCAATGCAATTCAATCACATTTTCGATAGTGATTGTCAAGGGTATTATTCCTTAGCTAGCATGTACACGAACACGAGATGGTTCGTGTCCTCTTTCAAGGTTTACCCGATTTTTCTCATAGTCAGTTGTCGCGGATAGGGAATTCCATCAAAACCTAACCCATTCGATGGAAGCAACATATACTCTCGAATTTCTCGTTTTCTTCGATTTGTTCCAAGTACTCTCAACATGGGCGAATTCTCAACCGAAGAGCGTGATATTTACAGCTCCAAATATCTAGTTGACTACTACGATATCGTCGCTCCTAGCTCGAAGTCTGTGGATGACGAATCATTTTATTGGGGCTGCTATCAAGAGCTGATGACACTTCGTCCTCCCACATCTGAAGATCCATTCGTCGTACTAGATCTCGGAACAGGAACAGGTCGTGTACTCCATGGCCTTGCGGCCAGTGCCAAAGTAGTCGGTGTTGACTTTACCGATACTGTACTTACGGGAGTCGATACTGCAAAAGACATGCTGAGAAAGGCAGAAGAAGTCACCAAAGAGCCTTTAAAGGGCCATGTCACCTGGGTTCATGGATCTGCTCTTGACCTTGAAAGTATCATGCGCGAGCAGGAAAACCACAAAGTTGATCTATTGATCTTCTCGATTGGATCAATCAGCCATCTTTCAGAGGACGATCAGCCACAGGTGTTCCTGAACCAAATCTCTAAGGTTCTTCGCAGGGACACTGGACGAGCTTATATCTCGATCTACGATGGATCGGTAATCCAGAAGAGAGGAAGTATTACCTTTCATCAACCAGAAGGAGTCACTGAAGTCCCGAGCATGGTGTATCCAGGCATAATTTACCGGGAATACAATCACCGAGGAGAATTAAGGGACAAGATTAAATACATCAAATTTGACCTGGACGTGGTGGAGCGCACTGATGGTGAAGATCGGGAGGTAGAGAAAAACCGCATATCTATGAAGATGCGTCAATGGGATGAAGACGAAATTGTGTCCATCTCAAATGGCAGCGGGGTGAAATTTTCTGGGAGTTCCCGCGGAAAGCATGAGACATTCTATGCTTTCCAGGTTGCTGCGTAGTTGAGGCCGTAAGGCCGGGACTTGAATCGACGTAGGGGCAATGGTTCCAGATGTCTACCCCTGGGCATTAACTAGTCATTTTGTGGCATTAGACATAATATATGGCGCTGCAAGCATATAAGAGACTACTGACAGCCGCGTGGCCCTCAGCTTTTTCTCCCTTTTTCCAATACTTTCTACCCAGTCGGCCACATTAACCACTATTTTTCTTCACGGGAAGCAATGCAATGTCGGTGTCAGGCTCCCTTGCACGGCTTGCTGTTCGCCTTGTCTACTTGAATACCAGATTCAAGCTCATGGTTTTCCGAATGCGAATGAAGTTTCGACGAATTCGATCGTCAGATACGTTTGTTGTTGTAGCAATGAGCCTTGCAACCTTCACCGACACGTTCATCTATGGGATGGTATTGACTTTCTTATTATGGTTATTGCTTCAGACTAACACTATAATCTCATAGATTGTTCCGATTCTACCTTATCTATTAATTCGAGATGGGAAAAGCTCGAGAGACGAAAGTATGAACGCAACTCTCAGGGGCTACAACAAGTTGAACAGTATAACTCATTGCTTCTAGCTCAGAAGTGGACTTCAATTCTTTTAGCAGTATATGGTGTCGCTTTACTTATTGGGTCCCGTAAGTACACTGGAGAGGTTCGAAAGGATCGACTGACCATACTAGCACTGGTGGGATTTATTAGTGACCGGATTCACACACGAAAATCACCGTTACTTGTCGGATACATTGCAGTCGCACTGTCCACCTCACTGTTCCTCTTCGGAAATACACCAGCTCTTCTCATCGTCGCCCGAGTCTTTCAAGGGCTTGCAGGTGCCGTTGTTGGTGTGCTCAGCTTTGCGTTGATTGCCGACACGGCTCGTCCTGAGAACCGAGGAGAGTTCATGGCATATGCATCTATTTCCTTTACTTGGGGGATGATCTCTGGGCCTGCTCTCGGTGGTTTCATGTAAGCCTTGCTTCAGGAAATGGATGCGACGGAATGCTAAAAAGTGCAGGTTTGATCGCTTCGGTATCTACGGTGCCTTCGCTTTGCCGATAGGCTTGCTCACTCTCGACATTATATTACGGCTTCTGATGAACGAGAATAGTAAGGCCTGAATTGAACTAACGGTTGATTTGGCTTTTAACAGTTTGCAAAGAACAAAGAGACTTGCCATTCCCAACCACTCGTTCCGACGAGCGCTCGCCCTTGTTAGATCGCCCGAACCCACCGAAGGAGTCGCTCGCCCTGTGGGACTTCTGCGAGCCTCGCTTCTTAATGATAATAATGGTGGAAGTCACGGTATCATCGATATTTTCTGCTTTCGAAACCGTGGGTTCCTCGCAGATGAAACCTTGGATCTCCATTCTATAGCTGACCATCTAGACACCAGACCCTGCCTCTTTTCACCATGCAAACATACCAATGGTCATCTACAAACTCCGGTCTCGTGTTCCTCGGGGTATCTCTTCCAAGCCTTCTCAGTATTCCATTAAACAGATATGGTCGGAACTGGAACCGCCGGCGCACAGTTGCGATCGAACTTGTGCTCGCCATCATTCCACTCGCGGCATTACGGTTTACGGAAGAAAACACCCCAAAGCATCAAATCATATTTGTTGCCTTGGTAGTTCTTGTTGGACTCTTCATGACGACGTCTCAGGCCCAGGTCATGGCTGAAGTGTCCGACACGGTTCGTGCAATCGAAGCCAAACATGATGTCGATTCGCAAAAGTCGAGCGGCATGGGTACTGGATACGCATTTTGTAACATGGCAATTGCGATCGGGCAGTTCGTTGGACCACTCGTTGCAGGCTTCACGAGAATCAAGTTTGGTTGGGCAGGGATGACTTTCACACTTGGTGCATTCTCGTGTTGCGTCGGGCTTTTGTCACTGATCATGATAAGAAACCCACTTGAAAGACTTGATCGATAATGAAATTTGAGATTTGATAGTGACAGTTATACAGCGCGTGAATGAGAATTAAAAATTAGTTCCTAGATGAAGTTGCGAAGACGGCTTTTTCTTCAAGGTTGTCTGCATGGGTAACTACTCAGTATACCCTCCGGGACATATATCAGCGACACCGCCTAGTTCAATTTAGCATAGGCAATGTTCAGGTTATGGTAGTTGGAGACTCTGCGGCTTGTTTTCTTGAACGCAATGGCTGAGAATACAGATAGCCAGATCTCCATTTGGTAGCGGAGCGATGAACTTTGTGGAGAGTTGGAGAGTTGGAGAGGGGGAGTTTGAGGAGTCTGGGGAGTCTGGGGAGACGGCGATCATCGGGCTCCCGATGGCCGTGCGGAACTGCGTCACTTCCCTCCGTCAACACTCTTATCTCCTCGCCATGTATGACTCGTACTGTGAGTATGGCCTGATATTTACGTGCTTTATGGTAGCTAACTCCACTAGGCCCTCATCTATTCCTGGCACAGGTGCCTCTGACCGTGTCGCCATTTATCAACCTCCCCACCTCGGTCACCCTACCCTACACCTACAAGTCCGTCCCCTCAACTCTCCCACCCTCCGTCACAGTCGACCCAAGCAATCCCGATGCGAAGGCTCGCTACGTCATCTCTTCCAGTGGCGAACATGCAGCACACCCAGACGAGATCCTGGCCGCGTGCCAGTCCCTTGAGCAACACCTGAAGAAGACCCGAAGCGACGCCGAGGGGGCCATCAAGGCGTGGGAAGAGTCGATCCAACAGCGAGATCTAGCAGAGAAGCGACGCGTCGCACCTGGGTGGTTGGATAGTGAGGAAAAACTCCTGCAGCCGAAAAGGACGTCTGTTCCCCCGGTATCCCAAGGAGGGGCTGAGAGCCTGCTGGACAGCACCTCGGCCGATCAAGGCTCCTCTAGTATGCCGGCCATGGCTCCGAACGACGAAGGAGCGGAGCTAGATCGGGCGTTTGGTGGCCTCGGTGTGAAATGAGCACTGGTCGCTTACCTTGCGAAGCCTCCCTAGTGCTTCCCACCATCAACCCTCTGTGAGGCGCAAGTCGGGTCTAGTGCCCCCTGGATTGAGCCATGACTTGGGATACTGTCCGCTGCATAGTGCCCGAGCGTGACGAATTTTTAAGCTCGTAATCCCAATGAACTGAACTGATCCGTCCTAGATGGAGTGGGTAATCCGCCGGAACACAGCTCTTACGACATTCTGGAATGTGGCGTTCAATGGGAGAGCGCATCCCCCCTTCATTCCAGTGATGACTTCGGGAATAGCACCTACCCAGGTGGTAAGTCCCACCCACTAGAAGATTTCAGGTTCTTCTCTTCAGGTGGTAACTAGCTCGGAAATCTTGAATTCTATTTCCATATAATACCATCTCCCGTTTCTGCCTACTTGCATCCATCGATTGATGGCGACTGTTATTAGCTTTCTTTAGTTACTTTCGTATCAGTACATACATATGTAGATTATCCCTGGCTGCTCAGGTGGCCCGGCGCTGCCGATATATATGTACTATATCTATGTACCTAAGAGACATAAAAATGTGCAGTACTTATCTTAGGGCCATCTGGGAGGTCATTTGTGTCACGTTCCAAACTCATCATATGCTGCTAAATTAACAAATGGAAGGATAGCTTTTCGCTCATTTTCCGCTATGTATGTTCTGGAAGTCGTTGAAGGCTTCCCCGAGAAGCTACCGCGGGCGGCGGGCAGCTCAAGCTGCCGCCCGGGAGCTCCAGCTTTTTTTCCAGCGACAACCTCTAATCCTACCAATCTCCCTAATAGCGCACTACAAGCCTATTCTCCCACTCCAATCGCCGAATAAATACCATGGAGGTGCTACGAACCGCCCCGGAAGCATCGACTTTCGTCCCCATCGCAGAGCACCAATCGCGAACACCCAGCTCATTCCATGACGGGCCCGCGGTGCTTCACTACCAGAGCCAGCGCTGCAAAGTTGTGATCCTCGAGCGCGATCTCGTCGCCAACCCCGCTCTTAACGCACTGCGTGGTGCAAACGCCGCGAACGGGTCTGTAGAGGACGAGGAGAAAGAGGTCTCTATCGAAGATGTCCAGACATGGGTGACATCCGAGTGAGTGCTCCAAAGCCCCGCGGAATGGATCAAAGCTAACACTTCTTCTCTCAGAAAATTCCTCTTTTTTCTCCAGCCGCCTCCGCCGGTGTCTCGATCCCTTATCCTTCCATCTCCTTGCACGCTATTCAGCGCCTGCGCGTACCAGGCACCGACGCCGAAGTCCAAGGACTCTACATGCAGATCGCGACACCGTCCGCACCCGCCGAAGATGACGAGGAGCAGTGCATCACGCTGACCGTGGTACCGCCCGCCACAGAGAGCACAACGGACGAGGAGCCGGAGGAGACGCCTACGCAAATGCTGTACAATGCCGTGTCGGCCTGCTCGAACCTGCACCCGGATCCCGTGGAGCCCGGTGATGAGGACGAGGACGAATCCAAGTTCCTCTCAACCGAGGAACATGGACAAGCTTTGTTCCAGCTTGGACGGGATGCGCTGGACTCGAGTAATGGAGATCTACCGCCGCCCGTTGAGGGTAGCTCTGGGTGGATTACGGCAGACAATATGCATGAGTTCTTTGATGAGGATGGGAATTGGATTGCGCAGGGTGAGCCGCCTGCTTTCCCGCTTGGCCCTGGTGCCGGGACTGTGAGGGAGAGAGAGAATGGGGAGGAGAATGGCGAGGAAGAGAGCGATGAGACGAAGTGGCGGAGAACTGAGTAGTTATGGTATACCGCTTATGTGTCTTTCCACATGTCCAGATGGAAGGGGAAAGTACAAAAATTAGGATAGTCATGAATATGCTATGATACGACGAAGTAAAGATCAAAAAAGAAGTTGAGTTCTAATTACGACTAAGTATGCGGTGGATATCGAATAATGACAATTCACACGTGAAGAAAATGGAGCAGAGAAAAGAATATAGAAAGAAAAAGAAAAACAAAGCTCCAGGCAAGAAGGTATAATGCTTTTGAAAGCAAAGACATGAATAGAAATAACCGCCAGCGAATGCATTACTCTCTGAAGAATCCCTCACCATCGTACAAGCTGACCGGGGTGGCGGCCACGACTCCTAAACCAACACTCTTCCCAATTGGTGTTGTCATGCCTCGTCGTGCAGAGGCAGGCGTGGGAGCAATCTGTTGGCCGTTCAGTCGGGTAGGAGAACTGTTCTTGCAAAGGGATCGAGGCGTGTTGCTCTTGGCGTGTGTTGGCGAGGTATTATCGGAGAATGCGTATCTTCCAGCGAGGTTCGCAGCCGAGGGCTTGGGTGGTGAGCCTCCACGGTTGGCATCTTCCCAGATAGTTACGCGATCCCGCACCGTTGAGTTGCCCTTGTTGGTTCGGATACCGTACATTGGGGATGCGGGAAGGGGGCCAAGGCCACCGACCAAGGGGCTTGGTAAGTCAGAACTGCGTCGAAGTGAGCGATCACCAGCGTCAGGGGTAGTGTGATGCAGGGAGTCTGTTGATTTACGCCAGTCACTACCTTGAGTGCCTGTGATTAGAGGCAAGCCACCGGCCAAGCCGGGTCCGACGAATGGGTCTACGGAGGCCTTGGGTGGAGAGCGTGCTGGGTTGCTGCGCGTAGATTTGGGCGTTTGGGGTTGGCTGCGTGGGCCCTTGACGCCAGAACGACGTGGACTTCCAGTACCAGGGGTGTTATCGCAAAATGGCGATGGGGCTTCAGGGAGCTCCCAAATAGGAGTGATTCTTGATGGGGAGGGCGTGTGGGTGAGAGTCCCATCCGTGACTGGAGGTAGAGAGGTAACAAGACCAGGCAGCTCACGGTTCTTGCTTGCGAGAGGGCCTTGTACTGAGGTATCATTTGGAGCATTCTTTCTTTTCGAGGGGCTTTTGTTGATTTGAGATTGCGGCTCCTCTGCAAGAGGGCCCAGTGTACTTGGCTGGGCCTTGTTGCGTCTGCTGCTTCGCTTGGAGAGAGGAAGGGGCGACGACGCGTTGGCTGGTAGAACAGGCAGTGACTTTCCACTCATGTTGCTTTCGCGCAGATCCACCTCTTCCATCTGATCGATATCCTCGGGCTCTTCCTCCACCGTGGGGGAGAAGGTAGGACCAGCGAATGTCATAGGAGGGTGGATCGAGATACGCACGCAGTTCTGGCGTCTATGACCTTTGCGCTGCGACTTAGGAGTCTTCAAAGCAGAAACCATAGGGCCTCGCTGGGACAGACTAGAGCGTTGCATAGGGCTCGGGGGCATCGACGAGGTCGCGGTTCGCCCCGGAGATCCAATGGAGAACAGGGTTCCGGTCGACTGGGGAGAACCGCCATAGAAGGGATCATTCTGCGGCTCGTTCTCATAGGATGGCGGTTGTTGGAACTGGCTGAAGTGGGGAACGTAGGCGCTTTGTGACCCAGACGACCTCCAGTTGACAGGGTTTATCATTTGAAACCCCTTCAATGACCCGGGAGTCCCACTTCGGAATGAGGTGTTCCTGGAAGGTGCCTTGGATGACAGGGAATCGCTCCGACATGGAGGGCCGCTCAAACGGTGGCTTGAGTTGCTAGGGTTTCGGGAGGTCGTGGTCATACTGCGTCGAGGCGCCATCCAATCCAAAGAGGACTTCCTTCGAGCCTCCGCAGTCGAGGAAGAGCGGGCGGGGAAGCTCTGCAGTGGTGGCATGGCAATGTTGGTACTGGCGGAAATGAAGCTTCGCCGCCCATCTTTCTTTCCAACGTCATTGGCACTGAATGGCACAAAGGTGCCGCCAGATGGGGCAATAGGCGAGTTCCGGTCCAGGCCGTTCCTGCCATCGTCGAGAATCGAGCTGTTTGTGGTATCAAGACTCATGGAAGATAGGCGCATCACTGAATCGTTCCTAGCGTAACTCATTCTATCCACCGGAAACGCGGCTGGTGGCGGAGGTGGTGGAATTGGGTCATCGGGTGCAAGACCTGCTGATTGACTGCAGATGCTGTTACCGCGAGTTCGTTGCGGTGACTCCTCAAATATTCTCCGTGGCGGATCGTACATATCACGAGAGTTACGGTCTTCTAGCAATGGACCAAGACCACATCGTTCCTTCTGGCTGGGAAAAGGCCAGCCTGGGGATACTGGCCGCATACCTAAATGGAAACCGACATCATCTTGATTGATCTCCGGTGTCTGCCTGGGCGTACGCTCTGTTGGCAACTCAAGCGCTCCTTCAACAGCAGAAAGAGGGATTTCATCTCTGGAGATCCGAGGAGGGCTAATCGGTTGGTGAATGACCGTTTCATCCACTGTGGCCATCGAGCTCAACCGGCTATGCTTGGAGAATCTTGATAGTCGCCTTGAACGGGACCGGGAGATTGAATGGCGCAATGATCGTGCCTTTTGTATCAAAGGGAAATCCGAGGTGTTCTTCCGTACCAGACTTTCTCGCGAGGTCAGTTGGCCCCATTCTCCTGGTTTGCCGTAAGGTAACTGTCCATGCGTCCCGAGGACATTTCCTTCTTCGTGTGAAAGCTCGGTCAGAGTGTTACCAGTGAAGGTGTGGATGCTGTGGGCATATTGCCCCTTTCTGAGACCATAGATTCTCAGCGCATGTCGCTCCTTGCGAACTCTGACCCAGACCACGATTCCCACCACCGACAAAACAACAAAGATGGCCGCGCCCGAGGCGGCGATGGCGACGACAGTACTCAGTTCCAGCATATCCACCACTCAGCCGATTGCTTTGATCAGAGCGCGACTCGCGAGTTCAAGGATTCAGGCGCTCATCCGCATGCGAATTTCGAAGTGGTTTGCTCGAATGTTTTTGCAAGCTTCGTATATTGTCAACACAGCTGATGAATCCGGAGAAAGCAACAGGACCACGCAACAAACAGGAGCAAAACAGAGCCTCGAGGATCAGAAGGGCACGGTGCAAGTAAGTGGCATTCTGGTGGCATTGTTATGGAAACATTGGTCGGTGCCGAGGAATGCTGCCGCATCACCAACTGGATCTGTAAGAATGCCAGCGGTCACACAGCCCCCCGCTACCAAGAGCATGAAGTTGTTCATTGGATTATCCGTTAGTGCAGACGGAATTTGGGTTGATATGGAAGTTTTCGCTTTAATCGACGTCGCATTATACTAAACTAGGACGTATGATCAACACGATAAAGCGTCAAGAATGGATGTCCCACATGATATAAAAGCCTGTTCAGCAAGTGAAAAGGCAACCAATGTCCAACGAGCTATAGTTAGCCGCAAGTCGATACCATCCGGATTGTTGTTCCGGCAAGTCAAGTTTGAACTCTTCAAGTTGCGCTCGAGTGCGCTCCGCCTCAGGACGTTGTTGATAGCTCCAAGTTTCCCCGTTCAGCACAGATGTCTCTCCACTTTATCAGGGGTAGATGCCTACCATGAAAAGCTATTGAACTGGCTGGCACTTGTCATTCTGCTAGATCCAAGGGTACCCTCGAAGTCTTTTGCATATGTGCTCTGTAACCGAAGGGAGAGATCGGCAAGGGCGAGCTGCTCTACCCCAAGCTGTCAGCTGATCGCCCCACCGCCTTTTGTATAGCAGTGGATACGTCAGATTCAACAAAGATGCGATATCTGGGGAATAACAAACAACCTCTCTCGCCTTTATGAGACATTTGCTCAGCCTGATATAAGGGATGACGATCGCCTAGCGCCTAGCCGCGCCAGTCTTCCACCGTCCCGACGGATTCTGGGTCCACGTAGAGTCATACCATCAGGAAACAGACGCCCGCCATCGAGGCAGCGGACAGATGCTAGCCCTTGACACAGATCCTGGGGAGGGGTCTAGTCCTCCTGTCTCATGCTTCCCCGCCAGCGCATCACACCGTCTGACCGCATTGAGTGGCTAGTCGTTCCAAACTTACCCCTCTGCAGCTATTTAATCCACCCCCGGATCTTCTTCGAAACGTTCCTGTTTCTTTTCTCTCTACTTCAATCCCCCAGTTCATCTACTCCTGAGCACAATGGCCGCAAATCCGATTAAGAATGGACTTTTCGTCCACAATAACACTGTTGCTCCTGAGCACCCTAGCTTGATGAGCATGTTCTCTCTCAAGGGCAAGACTGCTATCGTCACTGGTGCTGGTGCTGGTATTGGTCTCGCTGTTGCTCAGGGCCTGGCTGAGGCCGGTGCTAATGTAGCGCTATGGTATAACAGCAACACCAAAGCTACTGAGCGTGCCGCGGAGATCGCCCAGCAGTACGGAGTTCAGAGTATGTTTGGACATGGAATCGCTATGCAATTGATTGACCTAGCTGACTTTCATTCAACAGCCAAGGCATACCAGGTTGAGATTACTGACCCCAAGGCTGTTCAGGCCGCCACCGATGCCGTTGTCATGGATTTCAATGGCCGCCTTGACGTTTTCATTGCCAATGCTGGTATTCCCTGGACAAAGGGCCCCATGGTTGACGGACCTCTCGAGCACTATCGCGATGTTGTCGGCATTGACCTTGACGGCACCTTTTACTGCGCCAAGGCCGCCGCTGGCCACTGGCGCCGTCAAAAGGAAGAAGGCACCGATATCAACGGCAACAAGCTCGTTAATTTCACCTACGGTAGTTTCGTTGCCACTGCTTCCATGAGCGGACACATTGTCAACTTTCCCCAGATGCAGGCTGCCTACAACGCTGCCAAGACCGGCGTTATCCACCTTTGTACGTGGTCTTCAGTTTTTCCCCACGATGCACGCTAACAATTCCGACAGGCAAGTCCCTCTCCGTCGAGTGGGTCCGTTTCGCTCGTGCCAACACCATCTCCCCCGGCTATATTGCCACCGAGATCTCCAACTTTGTTCCCGCGGAGACTAAGAACATCTGGCGGGATAAGATTCCTATGGGTCGTGAGGGTCAGGCCCACGAGCTTAAGGGGGCCTACCTCTACCTGGCATCGGACGCCTCGACGTATACGACTGGAGCTGATCTCATTGTCGACGGAGGTTACTGTGCTCCTTAAAATGTGCAAGAGTTTCTTTTTAGCTAGCGATTGACTTTTACGAGATACGATACCTATACAACGAGATAGATGATCGAGACCGAAACTGAAGAATTATTGGTGATCCATGGGTCTATGAACGATGCCGTGTCGCTTGACATTCCACTACGTAAAGAAACCGATTTCCAAGCAAGCCGCACTGTGCGACGACCGCCCGACATCTCCGGCGCAGCACTGCATGCTTTCTCGATAAGCGGAGCCAATCGACTGCAGCGGCTCGAGCTGGAATCTCGTGACCGACATACGCCAATCTGCCCCTCACTCGACATGCTCAACACTGCCTTCCTGTTCTTCTTCGTGCCTGATGTAGGAGGCGTACTGGTTGATCGGGTTGCTGGCTTCGAAGCTGACTTGCACGCGCTCCACTGTCCAGTCAACCATCTGGTGGAGCCATGTGCTAGGTCCTCCCTGCTGCATACGGCGTGCGTGTTCGATCTCCCAGGCCATTGATGTGATTTGAGGTGTCATTTCGTTTGTGCCGCGGTCAATATTGTGTGTGGATAGTCGATGGCGGGCCCGTGGTGAGTAGATCTTGTCGTCCTGCGAGTCGCTGCTGGAGCTGTCGGATATAATGATATCACTATGCAATCTCGATTCTTTGCTTTCGGTGTTGTAGATACTGGTGCTGCTTGATTCAGGTTCAGATGTGTATTCGGGTTCCATGGCATCCACCACAGCGGCAGTGTTGCTGGACATGTCGAGTAGCTCATATTCCGCATTCTGCCCGGGCGGGCGACGCCGGGCAAAGCATTGGCGGATGCGACACACAGTACGGCAAATCACTTGGCAAGTCTTCCCCTGTGTCTTGTGAATGTAGCGCGAGAAGAGGTTTCCGCAGTCTTGCAGGGCCTTTTTGATAACCTGGCGATTCAGATAGACTGTAAAGACAAATGAGACGGAAAGCAGCACCAGAGGAAAGGTCAGCGATGCTTCTTTCGCCATGAAATGAGAACTCTTTATGACTTGAGCGCTTGATTGCGAGATCGCGATGTTTATACGTTGAGGAGCAGCGAATTTACTACGCAGGAGGTCTCCAGGCACCGACGGCGCCAGCGACAGCTACTCATCGGAATACGGCCAACTAGGGGATCAATAGAGATGTGCGAATGCATGTAATATCCTCACAAATGTGTTATTCCAGCGTAGTTGCTGCATTGTTCGTACTGCAGGGATCAGCCAGATAGGCCTAGAATGGGATGTCTCTAAAAGGACGTAGGTAGTTATTCGCGCAGACATAAAACGCTTCACCGTATTTTCCCGATATGATGGCCTGAGAGAAATCCCATGCTTTGAAGATCCTTGTTTCTGTAAGGGCAGCGCGGCCTGACAGCCATCGCCAGACCGAAATCAGGTCCAATGACCGCATCACGCCCCCCCGCGTTTCCGAATGACTGCCGCGCTCGGATGTTCCGTCAGTTGATCCCGGGCGTAGCGTGCGGAATTTGGGTCGCCCGGTCTCGGGTTATAATATGGCCCATCTGCAAAAGCCGAGTTGCTTCTGAGGGTTTGGTTCTCGAGTCCATCGAACGATTTGAGGCAACGTCTCTCTGATCCTTTGTTTCCTTTGGGGAAAGCTTTGGAGGCAGCCACCACCATTCTTTGTGTCGGTTTTAAACGGCGCTTATTGTCCTACTTTCGGACTCTGCGGTTTCGAGCGTTCAGTAATCGACTTTACTATTTCTAAAGATGTGGGAACCTGCGCTCGCAACTGCATCTTTGCTCTCATATAACCACATTATATCACTGTACAGGATACATTGATCTCTTCACTTTGCCCTCACATAACCACGTTACGTCGGTGTACAGGATACACCGATCTCCTGACCTGGTCCTATCATAACCACATTGCGTCGGTGTACAAGATACACCGATCGCTTGACTTCGTCTTCACTCAACGCTCATATTGATCTTGCCTGTCGCTCATACCAGAGCTGGCCTTTGGTCGGGATGAAGAACACCGTCCCGGATACTCGGGCCCAGGAGAAGGCCTCAAAGGAAGCAAGGGAGAAGGAGTTGGTACGCTGTCCACGCAATCAACGAACCTGTCTTACACTAACAAAGCTCCACGTTCAGTTCGAAGCTCTAGATGAGGCTCTGAGCTGTGAAAAGTGCCAGATCGCGGTCGCCAAGGACATCATGGCTATTGATATCAACAATGGCAATTATAACGTGAAGCACTACCCGCCCTTCTTTCAAAGCAACGTCATAAATGACGAAGGCATCTCCCCCTTTGATACCTCCGAAGAATGCAACGATCAAACATATTGGAAACATATATCTCAACTCCAACGACAACGATACTATGAAATTGTCGAGCAAAACCTGAACAAGTTGCTTGACCAGACCAAGGAAATGGACCCGGAGACGGCGCTCCTCTTTGCCCATTACCAATTAGACTACCACATTCGTCAACACTATCTCGCCCGTCGGGGCGTTCTAGCTCTCTGTCGTGACACGGCCGATTTGCAGCAGCTCCGCAGATGGCAATGGAAAATGTCCGACATCGACTCGGCCATTTTATCAAAACCAGCAGAGATTGAACTTACCGGAGCGAGACAGTGGGGCTGGCCAAGTGACCAGAATCTCGAAATGACCCACCAGCACATCATGTGGAAACGTTTGTCGCGGGCTCGACTGAAGCGTGTCAGAGAGGTCAGGGCTCGATGGGCTATTATTATGGAGGAGAGACGCAAGCAGCGCGAGCTACTTCTGCTTAAACAAGGAGCTACGCTGACAGTACGGCTGTACTGCCGCGGAGAGCTGTGGGATATTCGAACGCTGAAGAATTTTGTATATCCTGTTCCCATCACGCCCATCGTCCCGAATGTACGAGTGGGGAGGGTGACTCGGAGTATGGGACTCTGAGAAGCATACGTGGACATAGGATGTGACTGCTGGCAGTCATGCCACTTGATTTTTGTACAAGCTATAGATACCCTATGAATTCACATGTCTTGATATTTCCATTCTCGCCTCGAGTATAGAGTTCGCATAGCCGGATCCGAGCTTCAATCTGACATGCATGATCCATGCAGCTCGGAGTGAAAGACCCGGGTTATAGAGACATCTCATTTGCTCCATGTATACTTGTGTTGCTTAGCATGCGGGGGCTCGTTACGCGAGATGCACCCCAGAATCCGGACTGGAAACTTCGTGAGTCCGGAGCTACCCCTGTTGACCGTTTAGACACATTATGTTGGAAATGGAATATGCGGTTCCTCGCGGCATCTTGCAGTTTGCTCAACGAATGTACCGTCCGAGACATTCCATGGTAGACTCGGAGGATATCGAATCCGGTTATTGGTGATGGAGCGCGAAATGCTGCGGTACACGGGGCGATAACCTCTGTCAGAGTTTCTGTTATCTGTTTATTGTTTTGATATAGAGAAAGTTTCTCGGCAGCATTCAATTTCGGATCGCGCGCTGCGCCTCTGAATTACTGGCTTTAAGTACATTTCTCAAAATAGAAGCCATCTCAGTTCCACCTCAAATCCTCAGGTGAAAGAACTTGGAATCACTGATCACCCATTATCTCGTACGCGCATTCTCCAAATCCATCATAAATTGCAATAATTTCATGCAACCAGTAGGAGCCTTGTCAACGTGATTCACTCCGAATGATTGAGTCTTCCATGGAACAACACAGCACATCGATTACTGTGAGACTTGAGTCCACCTCATACTACGTTGTAATATGCAGTTGTATTGAGCTACTGCTCCAAGTAAAATATAACCATAAATACCTTGGCTATCCGGGTAGATCACGCATCCACCAGCCTTTTTCAACCAATACAGATACAAATTAAAAAATCAGAACTTCAAACAACAGAATGCGTTTGTCGACATTTTTCGCTTTGTTCTTTGCCGTCGCGGCTATCGCAGCCCCGTCAGACGACGTTGGTGAACATGATGGGGAAGCGTTGAGGTGCAGACATCAAGGTCGCTACGATGACTGCGTCCTTGTAAGACGAAAACATCTTGACAACCTTGCGTATGGTTCCATTGATGTTAATCCTTTTCAATACAGAACTGCCGTCATAAGGAATACCCTAACTGATGCATGGATGTGCGTATCTCCGTAACCTCCAGCTTCACGATACCATCGCTGATAGGTCTTTGCAGGATTGCTATCGTGACTGGTGCTAGGAATATCTGGGTTGTCCGTCAGCATAAACGTACAGCTTTCGACAATCTGTGATCCCATCGGAGGCGTTCAGAAAAGTATAAAGTTGCCATCAGCTTGGATGTAGGCCAGTCACGGGGACGAAAAATAGGACAGGAAGGGAGGAATAGCTGGGATAATTACTCTGTTGATATGGAATTGTAGTGAACGCTCGGAAATCTATATTGCACATGTGTGTAAAGAGCAACAGAACCTTGTCAATTCATCTCTGCCAGCAACCTTGAACTTCTCTATCCCCCAATTCCATTCCTATCAAACATTTCAAATGCACTTTCTGAGAATCGATACCCTGTCAATTGCCGTTACGGCCATCGCAGCAACAGTTGAAAATGAGAATGACGGAGCAGTATTTGGAAAATGCAAAATAAAATAAAATAAAATAAATAAATTTGATTCCTTACAATGCCGCGATGGAACGGGTTTCTATAGATTGTCATTACGACTACTTTTCTATTACTCTTGCCATTACAACAGAACCACTTTGGTATCCACAATGCGCTATTTGTTGATACTAGGAATAACTTTTCACCGCCATAACGGTTGTTGAGCCAATCGAGACTGTCGGTGCGCGAGATGAGGCATCAGAGCAGCCGGACTGCAACACGACTAGATATCAAGGGCATTCAACAGTACGCAACACTTGTTCTTGCTCTTGGATGTCATTTCTGGATTGATGCTGTGTTCAGGAATGTCCCGATCTGCCGGTTTTCAGGAAGGAAGCTTGGAAGGGGGAGAGTAAAAATAGGGAGAGCATACTGCAGTGAAAGTGGAGATGTTAAGAACGGAAGCGAGATATGCGCAAATACCACAGTGCGTAATCCATTGGTCCACATTTGAAGGGTAAATTAGCCGGAGTGTCAATCGTATGCCCCGCGTGCTTGTGCATGCTACTGTGTGTGCATGCTCGCATCCTGAAAGCATGAGACTATTCATGCATTTGGCGGGTGGTAAGAGGCTCGTGCGCTTATGACTCGGATGGAGCATGGCGAGGCTTGGTGGGCTGTCTCTAGCAGCAGCCACATTCCCAGGGTCAAGGGTGTCAGCTTGGAAGCAAGGCTTATTCTACCCTCCTCCCTCTACCCTCTACCCTCTTCCCTCTGCCGTGGGGGCCGCATATTCTTATGGCTGCAACTCACCGATCTTTAGGATGCGGGGAAGACGGCTACGACAGCATGAGAATAGGAAGCATGATCGTCTCATTCACAAGACAGCAAGTCGAGACCATGGGGATCCCGAGATCATCACACCGGCATACTGGATTGAGACGGACTCTCAATTTCGCCGCCAAGTTGCCATACCCCACTCCACCCCTCAAATGCTGGGGGAAATTGGACCGAGAAAATCCGGGATAGAAGTCGGGGTGCAGCTAGATAGCGTTCCGCAGAGCAACTGAGGACACTGAATCGGGGATCCAGGCACCGATCTCCCGATGGAGGGCGGATGTGGCTGGATTCCCCTCGTGCCATGAAGGGCGATATGCCTCAATCGTGGGGGGTCATGGCTAGCAGCTAGTAGGGCAGGACCTCAGGCCTCCGAGTCCGAGTGATTGGCGCGCGAACAAGTTTGAACTCTCAGACTGGCCCCGCTTTGGCAGGCGGGTAGTGACCAATCAGAGGCCCGGCACCACCATGACTAACCCATGCTCCCTTTCCGAGGGTCTCATTTCGTCACTTTCCTAACCACGCGCTCCATTGGAACGGGAACGGGAACTGGAACTGGAACTGGAACTGGAACTTGGCTCTTTGTCCAAGACTCTCGCCGATCGGAAGATCGCCGACGGCCAAGAATGGAATGCGATAGGATAGGTGAAGATGATTTCTGCAGGCCGAACGGGATTGCCCTGGTGAGACTAGTCGTGTCGACACCTTTGTCACAGGTGTCCCAGGTGTCCAGGTATCACACGGTCCTAGCAATTGGCGTCAGCAAAGGCCATTCCAACAGGACCCAGTAACATCTCTTCATCAAGAGATGACCGGACCCCTACTCCCTTATATCTGGTACCTTATCCCTGGTACCTCATACCTGATATCTGAAAACATCAACCGGAAGCCGGTATGACGTAAGGACGAATCCCACAGGCCTTCACGGTTCTCCGACCGGCGCCCATCATCGTATACTCTCGAGGAGCCCCTTCAATCCCATGTACGGCCCCTTATAGTAAACCGAGATGTAGACTAGTACCAAAGAGAACATCACACGATGAAAGAAATATCATGACGTCTCAGAGGGGAAAAAGACATCCACTCGACCCACAACTCCGGATGGGAGACAAAGTGGGTAGGCAAGCATCCTTGGGTGGGAACATTGGGAATTTATAACGCTCCTGTTCCTTCTTTCCTCCTTTCCCACCCACCACCCATCATCTTCATCCATCCCCCCACCCATCTACTCACCTATCTATCGACTGCTGAGATAACGCCCATCATGTCCAAGACCAGCGTTCTCCTGGTCGGAGCTGCGGGTGAAACCGGAGGTTCTATCGCAAACGGATTGCTAGACGATGGCCGATTCGTATGTTGCCTCACATCATAATCATCACGACCGTGCTAACCGGGGTCTCGTTACTGACAGGATGTGATCGCCCTCGTTCGCCCCATCTCTGTCCACAAACCCGCCATTAGGAAGCTAGAGGAACGCGGGGTTAAGATCCGCAAATGCGACCTAAAGGCTCCCGAGGAACATCTGATTGAAGCTCTCGCCGATATCGAAGTCGTCATTAGCTGTGTCGGCCCGGCCGAGCAGCAGGACCAGATTCCCTTGGCCAGGGCCGCCAAGAAAGTCGGCGTCAAGCGATTCATCCCCTGCGGTTTCATCACTGTCGCACCTCCCGGAGGTGTGATGTGGCTGCGCGATGAGGTACGTGGTTTGGGGATCTGGCGGCTCAATGGTCCCCGAGGCTGACTGGAAACAGAAAGAAATTGTCTACAACCAGATTCGCCAGATGTGGCTCCCTTACACCATTGTCGATGTTGGCTGGTGGTACCAGCTGTCCTACCCGCGCCTTCTGTCCGGCCGTGTCGACTACGCCATGACCTCGGGCAACGATGAGATTATCGGGGACGGAAACATGCCCACCGCGCTCACCGACTTGCGCGATATCGGTCGCTACATGGCCATGATCATCAGCGACGAGCGCACGCTGAACAAGAAGATTCTCGCCTACAACCTGGTGTCGACTCAAAACGAGATCTACAACTTGTTGGAGGAAATCAGTGAGGAGAAGGTTGATCGCAACTACGTATGTATCCTCCGACGTCCCTTTTGCGATGCTTGTTACTGACAACTCCTAGGTCCCTGAGGAGACCATCAACAGCCGAGTCCTCGCAGCCCGCCAGGCCAGTGAAACCTATCCGTTCGACCCCATCAAATTCATCCCCCGCTACCTCGCCGAATACCAATACTCCTGGGGAATTCGCGGCGACAACAACCCCGAGTACGCCAAGTACCTAGGATACCATCTCACCACCGAGCTTTACCCCGACTTCAAGCCCACCGATTTCAAGGAGTATCTTGAGTCCGTGATCCGCGGCACCGCCAAGGGTGTCTACCAAGACCGAGTGATTTCGCGCAAGCACCAACGTCACTTCCCCCGCACCGAGTCCAGCGACTCCTTGTACACGCGCATCTTCCCGCGCACTGAGTCGAGCGACTCCCTCATGTCGCGATGAAAAGATTCGGACGGTTTCACGCATTTCTTACATCGGTTGATCCGACTCGCTTCATATCTGGTTATTGAAGATTTATGACATTCCCCCTCTTCCCCCCATAGAATGGGGGCCTGCTGATTCATTTTGGGCGTCTTATGACTTTAGGCGTTGCCACGGCTTCGACGGGGAAACCATAGATGCTTACCCTCTGGGCAATGATTAAGATCTGGTCTTTGTGTTGTTTCATACTACGTTTATTTTAGGGTTCCTCTACGGAGATCCACGTTTTGCATATAGAAAATATTATGAATATCCCCACTGCCCTGGTTCCATCCATCGCACCTTCCCAGGTGTACCTGCCACCCAAAATATGATCCGTGATCCGTGATCCGTCTACTTTTTCACGCCCATCTGAAGTCAATCGACTCTGGACGAGATGTCTCATCCCCGCCGAAGAGTGCGATTCTCGGATGACCCCCAACTGCAAATAGACGCCGAAGCACAGCCTTCGCCAGTGACTGCACAAATACCCTCAGCTCCCTCAGCTCCTCCGGCTACTTCAACTTCCCAATGCGACCTCGCTACGGGATTCAATGATATCTACGAGGGATTGAAACCGCGGCAGGTCGCCGTTATCAGTTCGTGTGGCTTTTGTGGCTGGGTACTAGCGCTAATTAAGATGATAGCGGTGGGAACTGCCATCGGAACGGGCCTGATGATTGGAACGGGAAGAGCGTTGTCAATGTAAGCCGACTACCCGTCTGGTAATCCAAGCCATATTGACTCGGCATAGGAGCGGCGTGAGTGGCATTTGTACGATGCCTGCCGTGTGTGACTGACTTTGCAGCCGGCGGCCATCACGATTTCGTATACCGTCGTCGGATTCGCTGTCTACTTGGTACTTTCTGCGCTGGGCGAGGTTGTCGCTTGGTTGCCTAGGCCTTGTACTGTTGCGGACCAGGCTGTGCGGTTCTGTGATCCGGCGCTGGGGTTCAGCTTGGGCTGGATGTAAGTGTACGGCTGTGTTGATGGACCTGCGCTGAATGTTTCCAGATATTGGCTTAAATATGCCCTCGTTACACCAAGTCAATTGACGGCCGCGGCTTTGTTGATTTCATACTGGTTGGACCCTGAGCGAGTCAATCCTGGTGTTTGGATAACAGTCTTCCTTTTGACGATTACCGTGCTGAACTACCTCCATCATGGACTCGCGAGTCAAGTTGAGTTCTATGTGTCGTCATTCAAGCTCTTGGTCATGTTCGCACTCATGATTCTCTCGCTCGTCATCGCTCTTGGGGGAGGTCCAGATCGAGACATGCGCGGGTTTCGATATTGGAAGGATCCGGGTGCCTTTGCGAGTCGATACAATAACAGCCTCGTTGAGAATCTCATCTTGACTTGCGGGACAATGTCCTCGGCCGCTTTTGTGTACATTGGGAGCGAACGGGCCGGCATCCTGCCACAGTCTCTGAATATGCGGAAAGCGATCTCTCGTTCCACCAAGCACATTTTCTACCGGACTCTGGTCATTCATCTGCTTGCGGTCATCTTGCTTGGGATGCTCGTCCCCCACGACTCGGCCTCTTTATCTTTCCACTACAAGGCTACCAAGAGTGCAGCAGCATCGCCGTTTGTGGCGGCACTTTACTTGGCCGGCATTCCCGTACTCCCGGATGTTCTGAACGCATTCATATTGCTGTTTGTTCTGTCCATTGCGAACTACGATCTCTGGCTAGCTACCAAAGCCATGTGTGATCTAGCTGCCAAGCGCCGGGCGCCCGTATTCCTATCACGGCTTAACAAAAGAGGCGTTCCTATCTATGCATTGGCAGTGTGCTCTTCTGTGGCGACCCTTGCCTACCTCAATGTGCCTCAGGATGCGGCCCTCATGTTCAGATACTTCACGGATACCGTCACGATGCTCGGTCTGCTCACGTGGATGTCAATACTGTTTACCCATATATCGTTTGTTCGAGCACGAAGGGCACAAGGTATTGAAGATCATACCCTTCTCTACCAAGCCCGCTTTGGCCTCCCAGGAACCTGGCTGGCCATAGCCCTGTGTCTGTTTATTTCCGCGACCATGATCTTCGGGTCCTTTCCCTTTGATTCGGGGCAGATAAAATTCGACTATCAGTCTTTTGTGGCCTGTTATATCGGAATCCCCATTTACCTTTTCTTGTACATTGGCTACAAGGTAGTTAGGAAGAGCAAACGAGTCGTCCCGGCTGAGGCGGACCTGTGGACAGACAAACAAGAAACTTCACTCGAGTTGCCGGGGGCCCGACAGGAATAATTGACCCGTGTTCAGTGTATACTCAAATGTCATGAAAAAAACGCTTTTGACCCGAGTCGTAAGCCACGTTCTTGTACTTCTTTAATGCAGTGTGATGAGTGGGGGCACTAACAATGACAACTCCAATTCCCGGTGAAAAGCATCGTTTCTTTTGCCCGGCATGCACTCAGCCTTCCGGGGAAATTAAAGGCTGTCACTTGTTCGCCTCATAGCTGCATCTGGCCCTTTCAATCTTCACTGTTCCCACCTCCTCGGCCTCGTGCATCGCTTCAGCTCCATTTGGTGGTTTGTTTGCACCCCGCGATTCACTTCGGCTCACACTGATAAGGATGAACCTTGGGCCACCTAAACGGGCTCCCAGACCTCCAAGTGCCCTTTTTGATATGTCTCCGCCTCTACAGCCGATCACTCCGCAACGGCAGCGGAGCTATCGCGAATTCCTTGACAAGTTGAATCAAGAGTACGAGCTCGAAATCCCGGCCCCACAAGATTGGTCGCCTATCGCTCGTGGGAGTAATAAATCGGTACTATTAGAAATCTCCGAAGGCCTTCGATCGCTTTTTTGGGGCCATCGTCCGATCTTGGACCGTATCCTCGCTGACTTTGAGGAGTGGATCGCCGGAAATCAGCCACGCACCAAGCAACAGTGGAATTTTGTGAAGTGGCAGTTCGAGCAACAACCACAAGCACTGAGCAAGACGGACAGAGACCAGCGAGTGGACCATCTATTTCTTTTAATCCGGAGTGAGCTGTACTTACTCAAAAACAAGCCTCTGGTCTCCAATAATCGGGCCCTCAAGAATCCCCGAGAAGCCAGTATAGGCCATTCACCGAAGAAGCGCCGGATCTCGAACGGAGATGATGATGAATTTCACACAGCGCCCAACTCGCCAGCCAAGGGGCATCAGCCCGTCACACCTGATCTAAGGCAACTGGAAATATCGGAACAGAGTGAGCGGTCTTTCAACCAGCTGGGCAATAGATCACAAACACCAGCGCCCACTTTCTTGGAAAGACTCAGAGCTAGTGAGACAGTTCCGCACAATGAGAGACGATACGATGCGCTCCGACCCGCTATGGATGCAGTTGACACAAGCTTCTCGATTGTCACGAGTTCGTCCTTGGTTGCATCGCATAGTGAGCGACTGGAAGAGTCATTTGCAACTGACATAACCGAACCAATGGATTTTCAGTCAACCTACGCCGACTCTGTTGTCGACATGTTCATAGAACAGGAGATGAGTATGAATGCCGACATGCCTGCCCCGGATGAACAGACGAACTCTATGCAGGAGCATCTTGTCACGCAGCTCTTGCAACATGGGCCTTTCTCCGTTGACCAACCACTTCCAGCGAGAATCGCACTGCGATCTCGATATGAGTTGGAGCGTATTGCACAAGCCTGGAACGTTCCACTCGACCAAATGCTGAAGAATTCACGTGTCTGCACTGATCATGAAACATTTTGGAAATGGGTTCAGCACCACAGTCTACGAGGAGATCGTCCTATGCCAGAAAAGTCCCCCCGCAGAGCTTGGGATGCAGCCGTGGATGACTTCAAGACGGGGAGACACTCCGAAGTCGTGGTCTTGACAGGAGAACTGGATTGGTGCGCGAAGAACGAACCTGGCATCTTCAAACTGCGCTTGAACCCTCTTAAACCGGAACGTACCTGTCGCTTCCATCGACGCTTCGGATCCGATCGATTCTTGACAGTTACCATCCCCGCCGCGGCTCGACCTCCTGAGCACCTCAGACTCAACGACCAGCCATCTGTTCTTCGACAGAGCATTGCGTCTTGGTTAACTCGAAATGATCACTACTGCCTCGGACGGACCTGGCGCGCCTTCTTCGTGGAGGAAGTCAAATCGAAGAAGAAAGTCAAGGCCGAGCCCCGCTTCCGCGTCGAGTTCTTCGCTGTGGACGGTGCAGATTTCCTGCGTAGATCTCTTGCGTCTCTTGCGCCGCCGAACCAAGCTAGTGAAAGGCATACGCCGATGAGTTTGAGCGATCTTCTTGAATGGCATATGCCTTCTGCTGCGAATCACAACCAGAAAAGTTGCATGTTGTTCCAACGCATTTCTTTGGGGTTATCGAAAATATGGACATCTGTGGTTGTTCCGCCTACTCGGGTAATCAATCTACTTGATGTTCGTAGGCCTGGTCAGCCTGTCATGAATGATGGTTGCGCACTGGTGTCTCGTAATTTGGCAAGACGGATCTGTGAGCAGCTTGGTATTAACGGCGATATCCCGAGTGCATTCCAAGGTCGAATCGCAGGTGCCAAAGGTCTTTGGATGGTTGACAGTGAGAGGTCGAAGCATGGCGCCTTCAGCAAAGATGGAGGCGATGGCATATGGATTGAGATTTCGGACTCACAATTGAAAATAAAACCGCACCCGGTCGACTGGAAAGGATTTGTCGATGAGGAGAAGCTTACTTTCGAGGTTGTGAATTGGTCTAAACCATTGCATCCGGTTGATCTCAATATCCAACTTCTTGGTATTCTTGAATTTGGAGGACATGTGAAAGAGTACGTTGCAAAGTTGACACATGATGGTGTCTGGGCATTGTATCATGACTTTGCGCACGTGCTACAGACAAATGATGCTGTTCATTGTCGGAATCTTCTTCAGAAGCTTCGTCCGTCTAGTGAGGATGGTCCGACTAAGGCACGGCGCATGGAGCAGTGGAATATCAGTGATGCTGAGTACATTATTCGCTTGACAGAGGCTGGTTTCAAGCCTCAATCCTTCCGCCCTCTTCGACGTCGTTTACGGAAGTATCTGGAGTATCTGCTTGAACAACATGTCGAGGAACTCCACATTCAGGTGCCACTGTCTACGTATGCTTATTGCATAGCTGACCCTTACGGCGTTCTTCAATCGGATGAAGTCCATTTCGGACTGTCAACAAATTGGCGAGATCCGAATAATGAGTTCCTGGACAATATGGTCACCGGAAGAGATGTCTTGGTTGGTCGATTGCCGGCTCATGTTCCATCTGACATTCAACGCCGCAAGGCTGTGTGGAAAAACGAGCTCCGGCATTTCAAAGATGTGATTGTATTCCCGACAACGGGTGACGTACCACTTGCGCATATGTTGTCTGGTGGTGATTACGATGGGGATACTCCATGGATCTGCTGGGATCCTACTATAGTGGAGGCTTTTCACAACTCGGATCTCCCAGATGGGGACTGCCCGCCGCAACAATACGGCCTCACAGAGCACTCGGTGCCTATGGCTCAGCTGCCCACGACTGCGGACTTCTTACAGAGCGTGTTCGAGTTCAACCTTACCATGTCCAGCCTGGGAAAGTGCACAATTGAGCATGAGAAGGTTTCCTACGACGAGTCAATCGATAGTCCCAACGCCAAAGAACTGGCCTGTCTCCTCAGTCAACTTGTTGATGGACGAAAAGGTGGTGTCCATCTATCTGAGCTAGCATGGCAAAAATATCGCAACAAGATCAGTCCGAAAAAACGTCTCCCGCCTGCATACCGTCTTCCACTCCGCAAGCCCAAAACAAGTAACATAGTCGACTATTTGAAATTCGAAATCGCCATGTCCGAACGTGATGCGATTCTAAAGCAGCTCAACGATACTTTCCCCGAAGACGAAGGTCTAGATGACCGGGACGAAGACCTCATTCGTCCATGGCAGGGAGCCATCACCGCTGCCGGCAACAGTGAACCCAACAACAGAGATTTGAGTAATGCGCTGTCAAAAATGGAGCAATGCATTAAGAGGATCTTCGATCAGTGGGTAAATTCGTTCACGAACCCGAATGAGACCGAGACTTTCTCTCCAAAATCACGCGAAGTCATTAGCCGGCTCGCCTCTTTCCCACCACCTGAAGGGTCCCATTGGCTAATTTGCCTCTGGCGCAACCGACCTGATGAGTGGCAACGTCTACTGGGCTCCTACCTCTACCAACACCATCCGCATAGCACACTACCCTTTCACGCCTTTGGCGAAGCACTCTGTCAGCTCAAAGCGTCCTCCCAGTCCTCGCGCAGTATTATCCACGATGTGCTCGTTACCTACCGCGTCAATCAGAAGATGGTTGCCCGTCTCACCGCTAGAGAGACCCTAGCCGAGCCTGAGGCGATCGAGGAGGACGCAGACGAGTATGAAGGCGCAGAGGCCATTGAGTCCCTCATTTCTTCCCAAGGCTTGGAGGCCCATGATGGTTTTGATGACGGCATATCCGTCGAATGAGATATGATGCCACGATTTGTATAAGATGTTGACAATTTGATGAATATTTCCAATGCCTTAAGTATCCTTTTCCTAGATTGCCCCCGCCTCCCCTCCCCCAAACCATCGTATCTGAAAGCCAGTTGCAGCATATCTCAGACTTTGATCGAGTGGCAATTGGGCATACGCTGTCTCGCGGCTCGATATCATCGGCCGAGATATTCATATGAACATCAGATTCGATCCGGCATCCCTCCGCGCTCGATCGCGTATCAGCGCTAAATTAAAAAGTCTGAAAGCTAAGGTCGGGCAAATCAGCATGATACCTCCGACTCAAAATCGAGGCAGAGGTCACATGGAGATCGGCCATCCATTTAGGCAAAAGTGTGGGACGGGGCGACTAGTCTAGGAAGGGCTACTGCTTGGGCCTCTACTGTAGGTCCGTGGCGCTCGGTAGTTGTGACGGATGGCTCGGGATCAGCTGTGATGGGATTCACTCGAGTCGTTCCGATGCGCACTAGTTACGAAAGTACAGAAGGTACCGTACATCGGTGTACAGCATGTGACGGGGGCAGTGTATTCCGAGAACCCTGTCGTTCTCGTATATAGATTTCCACTCCACGGGGAAGTGGAAATGTACAGGGATTCGTTCCCCAGAAAGGAAGCTGCATAATATGCAAGACCGGCGATGGTCAATCTTACCCTTTTAACCCCCCTAGGAGGCGACATCCGGCCTTCCCAAATGAGTAAAGAGTCCAATGTTACAGGCGTAAAATGTCAAAGGGATTCGGTAAACGCGTTGGTACACTTGTTGGGGTGACATGTGAACGACCAACTTCATGACTAAGAATCTTCCACCTTCACGTGAAAATGGGCACATCATTACCACTTCTTCGTCAAGCCCCCGGCATGGACGACACTAAAGTCCCTAAGGTTTCGAACTCTTATACGGGTGCTCGCCATGCCCCCATGATGGAGTACGATCCTCAAGACCGCTCTCGTCGCGCCGCCAGTGTATTATCTATGGACGACCTCGAGGCGGCGCAAGCCCTCGAAGGCCTTCGTTCCGGTGAGTCGTCCCGAGGCTGATTACGCGCTTTTGTTGGGGATGCGGCTTGGACACCGGCTAATCTTTTTTGATCGTGGATCGCTTAGATTTCGGTCACTCCCCACGAGCATCACAGACCATCTCAGTAGCTTCACCGGACCCTCCACAGCCGGAACCTCTTCTTTCCCTCTTAACCTCCTCTCACCCGCTGATCTCCTCGACTATCTCCAAATCCGTCTCCGCATATACCTCTTCCAAATCTTACTCGGCGCGTTTCAAGTCCGGCGCCGAGTTCATCGAGCGCAACATTGGCTCGCCCGTCGCGAATACCGTTGGAACGGTTGGACGGAAAACCGGTGTCGAGAGTGGATTGCGCTGGGCGCTTCAGCGAAGGGAATCGACTACCGACTCGAACCCCGCTAGCAAACGTCGCAAGGTAGCGGGGGAACAAATGGATGTCGAACAAGGTGCCGAGATCACCCATCAGCCCCGCACGCGAAGCTCCTCAGATCTCTCCATGGCCGACACTCTCCCGCCTTATGACGACACGAGATCCCCTAGCTATGAGGAAAAGCCCGGGCGGCTGGCTCCGCCCACCTGGCAGAGTCGGCTAGTTATTTCGACTTCTGGACTTGGTGTCGCAATGAGCGAGGAGTCGTTGCGCAGTCTGACGTATTGTCTAGCCTGGCTTCGGTGGGCGAATGGACGTCTTGGTAGAGCGATCGTAGCTCTGCAGAATGCCGTAACAGAGTGGGAGAATCACAAGGCCCGCTTACGACAACAGAGCGACGCCGAGAATGGCGAGCGATCGAACAGTCCCGAGAATGCGTCTCTTCTCACCCAGCGCATTCAAGCCGTCAAGGAAGATGTGCTTTCAACATTGAAACAGGTTGTCGATGTCGTGTCCAAGTACGCTGGAGGTGCTTTGCCCGAGAACGCCCGTCACTTGGTTCGCCGACACTTGACATCCCTGCCTCACCGATTCCAAATGGCCAGCACATCGCAGCCGCCTCCCGACTCCCCCGCAGCGTCATCGGATGCCACTATCGGCGCTCATCGAATTCTAGTCCTGGCCAACGAAGGTCTGGATATCTTGGGACAGGTCAGTGGCGTGGTCAACGACACCCTGGTAAGTGCAGAGCACTGGTGTGAACGCCTGGGACGAAAACGCCCCGAGAACAAATCCGCACAGGATGCGGAGAAGGAACAGCCCCTTGCGCCGGACGCTCAACCGTACGGTATGGACATCAAGCAGCCTATCGTCACCGAGGCTGCTCGGGAGGATGTTCAGATGACGGGTACCGAGAAAACATGATGTCTTTTGGTCTTTCGGCCTTTCGGTCTTTCGGTCTTTCGGTCTGGTTTTGATCTTGATCTTCGGTCTTACGTTTCTTTTATGATTGATATCCATATTTGTTCGATCTTTCACTCTTTAGCCGCGTGATGGGAATTTCAGCGAGCCCGACGGTATTTTCTTTTCGTTCTCACTTATCGGAGTGTTCCGTAGCTGTATGTTAAATGGACTAGATCTCGGAGTTTGGCTTGACTAGCTTGACTAGCTAGTTGGTTAGTTATCTCGGCCCCGAATTCTAGATCTTTCCTTGTGGGTCTTGATTCCTGTAGCTTTGCAGCTTTGCAGCCTTGTACTAGGATCTACATGGTTGGTTGCTTGGCCCTTGCTATCACATTGGAACATTGGAATGTGATAGCAATCTTCCCCTCCTCATCTCCTTACCATGGCCTGGCTCGGTCTTTTCGCCTACATCAAATTGCAAGTGCAAGTCTCTCTGCTAAGGTTCTTGCTGCGACTAAGATCCTTCAAACAGCGACTTGCTATCCGAGATTTGCTCAAAAAGAGCTCATCTATAAAAATTCCATCTCGAGATCGAGGCCGTTCAATCTCCGCCAATCTCTATCTACCACCAAAGGTCGACCCGAACCCGAAATTACCATTTCCAGTTCTTATTAACTGGCATGGCTCTGGATTCGTTTTACAGGGGCATGGCACCAATGCTGCCTTTTGTTCTCGCATGGCCCAGGACGCCGGTATCGCTGTCCTAGACTGCGACTACCGAAAAGCGCCAGAATATCCATTCCCTGCAGCACCCAACGATGCAGAGGATGTTCTCAAGTGGGTCATTAGCAATCCACAAGACTTTGACCTCGATCACATTCTTCTATGTGGCTTCAGCTCCGGTGCCAACCTTGCTCTCGTGACATCGACATCATGGCCAGCTAAGCTTGAGCTCGATCATGGCGTTCGCGGGGTCGTTGCCTTCTATCCGCCAACCGACCTGTCTATTCCTGTTGAAAATAGATACCCGCCAAATTCCAAGTATCCTCGTGCGACTTGGCTGTATCGACTGGCTTATGATTGCTATATCCCATCGGCGGCAGATAAGAAGGATCCGCGTATGTCTCCTATGTATGCTGATGTGCATGAGTTCCCAGCCCATATGATGTTTGTGACGTGTGATGGTGACGAGTTGTGTCCGGAGGCGGAGGCGCTTGGGCAAAAGGTGAATGTTGGGTCTCGGAGTGTCGTGCTTCATCGAGTCGAGGATGTCAGGCATGGATTTGATGGTATTTGTCTTCCTGGGTCGCGCGAGGAGAGACTGCGAGATGAGGTTTATATATCTGTTGCGAAGACTATCAAGGAAATTGTGTCAATCCCATGACCTGTATACCGCAAGTCAGAGAAGTAAGTTATCGTGTTACCATTGAGTTGAAGTTTGGCGAATGGAATGTCGGTTTACTTCTCTTGTCTACCCAGCTGCTCCATTGCAAATTCAGTTGTCTGTGGCTTCACTCTGAGATCAACCCCCTCATGAACCAACCGTTTCCTTCATTCTCTAGCTTAACGACCATATTCATTCTCATAAACCGTTGCATTTCTTTACCATTGGGTAGCACCCAGGTCGCAACATTCTCAGGCTCGGCCACTTCCTCATCCATAATAATATCGATGGTCGGAGATCTTTTAAACCACAGCGAGGCCTTCTCAGTGCACTTTTTAGTCGATACCTGAAGGTATCGCTTCTGATAGAGTGCGTGTTTGGGAGAGTAAGGAACATCAAAGTTATGGAAGGACGTAGGGAAACGGGTATCACGTTGACAGTTGACGTGAAGTGAGAAGTCCGCTCTTCAGTTCCCTTTGCCGAACATAGACGATGGTAATAACTACGAGTTGATACTATCGTTACGTATATTTTTGTACGATGGGAGTAGTGTCTTCAATTGAACCAGCTCATCTAGCATTCTTTCAAGTAATTGGAATGTAGCCGACATGATGATAGCCAATCTCCACCTCTCGGACAAAGTTTCCCATTTTGTCTGTTGTTTTTGGACGAAGTGATTAGAACCTTGGGTAGGATCTAGTATAAAGGCACAGCTAGTAACCTGGCAGCGTCTCACTACTCACGTAGAATGTTTCGTGGGAGCTATTGAAGCCATTAAATTGCGTGGACGTTGTGGTGGTGTATGCTATTAACAGTCAGCTGTGTCTTTAAAGCTCTTCAAATGTTCCAGGAACTAACCACCCATATTGTCATATCTCAGCCAGTCCCCTACTTTAACCTCGGAGTTAAATCGCGCGTCTTTCACAACACAGTCGACACTGTCACACGTAGGCCCCCATATCGAGTATCTGTACTCTCCCAATGACTTTTTGCCTCCAATCAGGCGGGGTACCATTCTCTCTTTCTCCATGATCACGTTCAAAAAGTTTCCGTATACCCCATCACTTTGATATAGCATATCTGGGATACCAGAAGCAGCCGCACTGCCGAGTTGTCTTCGACGAGAAAGAACTCGGGTGATGAGCGTGTATGCTTGGCATGCATAGTATCGCCCTGGTTCTGCAATAGTCGTTACCCCTTTTGGAAATTCAACACCGATCGAATTTCGGATCGCTGATGCTGCATTCTCAAAACAATCATCTTGGAAACCACCGCCAATGTCCAGAATAGTAGGTTTGAACCCAAGTCTCTCTGCTTCCGAGAAGGCAATACTAGCATCTCTAATGGCCCTGCAAAAGGCATTCGGGTTTTTTGCTCCAGTTCCTGATATTCCTTGTAAGCACAGTTATCTACAACAGCTATTTGCTACTTTTTCTTACCGACATGGAAGCTCACCCCGATAACTTCAAGTCCTAGCTCCCACGCTCGAGACAACAGTGAGGCCGTGGTATCCAACTGGGCACCAAACTTCTCGCCGAACGAAATCAAAGCACTGTCGTCGTTTGCATAAATGCGAAGAATGAGCTGTGACTCGGGCATGTGCTTTTTAATAGAATCTAACTCGTCGATGTTATCAAATGTTGTGCAAAAGATGCCTGTTGAGCGTGCGAATGTCAAAGAAGCTGGTGACTTGCACGGGTTGGCGAAGATGATTCGGGTTGGATCTACTCCCAGATTTAGAACGGCGCGCATTTCCTCCACAGAAGCGCAGTCAAAGCCGGTGCCAAGATTCGCGAGAAACTTCAGTAGAGTCGGATCGGAGTTGCATTTTACCGCTGGGCTTGGTTAACATTATTCTTCCCCGGTTACTCATTGCAATGCTGAGATCATACCGTAATATGGTTGCACTCCGGGGAGACATCTCAGCCATCTTCGATGTTGCTGGGTAACCTGACCCAAATCCGCAACGAAGAACGATTCATCTCCACCCAGAACTGTTTGCTTTGTTATGCGGGAGATTTGGCTTTCGATTGCGAGATCGACTAATTGGCTGGGGGCTGACTTTGAAATGACCGGGATCTTCTCCGATATGAAGAATTTTTGCTGAGCTGGGAGCACATCCATGATTGCGGGATAGTGTCGTCCGAGTAGAGGAAAAAAGATCGGAGGATTATTGGGATGAAGATGCATTACGAGCCACAGGACCAAACTAGCACTAAATTGTCAGAAAATCGACTTGAATGCACAGGCCAGGAGCTCCGAACCAGAAAATATGTTGACATCTCACCCGACCTCAGTTCCCAGGTGGGCGACAGTGGATATAACATGGGGGTTTGGATCCACTTTAGCTACATGTCCAGGGGGAGCAGGTTTGCTACCAGAGTGCTACCTACCAGAGGATTACTCCGATGTAGAGATCGTCAACTAGTGACATAACACGAGGTCGGAATGATGAACTTTAGAGGCTTAGGCTGATGATAGGCCACATTTAGAGAGTCATAATGAATGTCTTATGACACACGGATATCCAGGAATTAGGAATTAGCAAATGTCGGCCTGCATTTACCCGTCTCGGAGCTTGAGACTACAAAGTCATACCGACTCTGTGTAATAGTCATGATTATGTGCAGGATCGGCTCCCAATTCAATTCATGGGCCGCCCCGAGCGTTCATCGGAGGTCTGATCTGATAGATCGAGATTTGTGGGACGCCAAAAATCGCTCACTCGTCACACATGCGGCTACATGATTCGTGTGTTGAATTTTCATTGGTGTTCTTGTCGCTGCGCCTGTGTGGAGACATCCTACTTACTTTTATAAAGGGTCCACAATATTGGCATATTAATATATATCAAGGGTCTATTAATCGCATTCTTTCCGACCATTCAATTGGAAAGGAGCCCGGAAGACTAAGACTCCATCGGCTCTGGAGGTATACTCAGTTCCGATTACAACGTGTGACTGGAACAACCTCGGCAGGAAATGTTTGTGCATAGTAAATGCAGGCAAATGGATCTAGGGTAGTGTTGCTCCACTCTTCCCACCCGCAGCTTAGGACATCCGGTTTGTAACCCCCAGCCTCCCAATAATCGTGCACCAAGCCCACCGTATGTAGTCTTCGTGCATCTCGGAGGGGCAGTAAGCTCAGTTATGTTCAGCTCGTTCCTGACTTGAACCCCTTACGCAAGGTATTCACCCAATCATGCGCCTATGAGGATCTGGTGGAAAATGTCCCACCAGATGTACCTGTGCAGGGTGTCCACGCCGAACTTCCCGGTGGCTGGCTAAGATCTCATCGTACGCTGTTTGCTCCTTTCGGCGATTAGCATCGGGGTGATTGCACATGTTACGAGACCAAGATATAATTGAAACCGGGGTTAACATATATCCATCAATGTATGTCTTGTCCCTCTCTTACTATGCTTTCTAGGCTACAGTACTTAGGGGGACGGAACAAGAGAATACGAAGACCGGCAGGGAAGTCACAATTCAGCAAGCTAAGCATAGGGCCCAGAACATTCAATCAAGTTTCTATTAGACAACCACTTTGCCACAGGAACCTGCTGGGTGACGCAATGCAGCACTCCGCCAGTAAGAGGAATGGCGTTGGTATAGACCTGTCGGACGACACGCTCCGGCATCAACATCTGTAAAGTCTGGAGCGCTTGCTGATCCTTCACATCTTCGCCATATTTGGGAATAATTACACCACCGTTCACAAAAATGAAGTTGACGTAGGAAGTAATGAGCTCGTCATCGGGGTTTTTGACCAAGTCTCGTGGGTCAGGTTCGTCGATGCTGTGGATCTCCATGCGTCGCCCCTTGGCGTCGGTTTCGCGGTTCAGAATCTCGTGGATCTCTGCTGACATCTCGTTCCACATGTTGATCTCACCCTCGTGGGGTCTCGTGATGACGATGACTCCGGGCCGCACAAACCTGGCTTCCGCATCCATGTGTGCGTCGGTGATGTCCATGTTCCGGCGCCCTGGGAACCAAATCACTTTCTCAACGCCCAGTAGTCGTTTCAGCTCGGCCTCAATCTCTGACTTCGACATGCCAGGGTTACGGGCTTCACATATGATGCTACTCTCGGTGATGAGTAGAGTTCCTTCTCCGTCTGTTACAAGTGCGCCGCCCTCAAGGCGAATGGGAGCATCGATGCAGGTAACGGGTGACGGATTGGTGTCATGTTCAATGACCCACCGCGCGAAATCAGTATTCTCTTGCAGTGTCTTGTCGTCCATCAATGGCCATTGTTGACCCCAACACTTCCCATCATTCATGGGCTTCTTGCCACCCCACTCATTGAATTGAAAGTTCAACGCAAATCTTCTTTTTGGGTGCGTCCCCGTCGCATTGTGAACGTATACTGGACCGGTATCGCGTACCCAGCAGTGGTTGATGGGACATGGAGTGAGAGTTACTTTCGACCCGTCTTTGATGCTCTCTTTCAACACGGTCTCTGCCCAAGGCGTATCTTCGGGCCGCACGTAGATTCGAACGGGTTCAAACTCGGTTATTGCAGCTGCCAGTTCCGCAAGCTCGCGACAGACTGCATTATATTGCTCTGGCGGTAGGGAGCAGCGAGAAGGGAATCCGAGAGCCGTTGCTTCATGTGGATCGCTTTCCGCTGGGAAAATATATCGCCCTTGCTGAAAGTCAACCTGGTCGTCACTGGGTCGTCTGTGGAAGCGTGCAAATATACTAGCACAGAACTCCCCTAGAAGGGATTTGCGAAACTTGACCAGGAATCTCATCTTGAGCTTGAGCTATATCCTTGCAAATATTCTAGGAGTATCTTTATTTCTTTCGAAAAATTCCCGAGACTTCAAAGGTACAGGCACTCCGGGTATAGTACGAGCTGGTGTAACTGTGAGGCGCCGATTGTACCAGTGCAGTACGCTTTGATTCTCTCGGGCTTGATTGCTACTTCCAGGGAGACGCCTAGCTGCATGGCGATCCGTGGCCTTCGGTCAGGCATTTACTCTCCCCGATGATTTTCTGTGGTGCTTCTGGACGATATGAATCATTTGGAAGACTTTCCTGCTCAAGAAGGCATTTTATCTTGAGATCCACGTTTCGCTAGCCTTATGTATTCGGGTAGCAATCTTTCCAGACGTGTTCGATCAATGCTTTTTAAGCTATAAATATAAAGCCCTAGTACACACCCCACCCTATGGATATCATAATGAAGCATGTCGGTATCAACGAAAACTTTGCACGACATCCACGGTAGGTCCATTCAGTGAAAGGGTGGCGATTACATTATAATTCATTCGATGGTATTAACCAAATAATACCTAGAATCCCCTCATCTGGTGTAAGACCTGGCCACAAAGACCCTTGGACTCTTAAATGCCTACGTATGCTTCGTGTCCTCTTCGAGCTGCCTGACCCGAAGAATTAGGCCCTTATGCAATCCAAGCGTTGACCGTGCTCACATCAGAGCCTGAGCTCCCCGATATGAGTACGGATATTGTGTGCACTCGTCAACTTGTACATACAATTTGCGTGACTTGCGGAACATGCGGTCTGCGCTTTTCGCAATAGTTCCACGGCAGTCACAATGTTGTTCGGGACTGATAAAGGACTATCATGGCTTACTCGGACACAGTATTCGCACAAAACAGGCCGAGAAGATGCTTTAAATAGGTCTAGACTCCTGGTTTTTTAATTCTTTCTTCATATGCTTTCTTCATATGCTTTCTTCATATGCTTGTCAAGGTGTCCTTTTGGATCAATTCAGATTTGTTTGAGGGAAAGAATCACGGCTGCCTATCTAAAATTTTATTTTTCTTCACCCTGGTTTGGCCGTATATGTTCTGCTTTGTTGGGGGGAAGGGCGGAACTAGGCCCGTTGCAAAACAACCGTCGGTGGCTTGTCAATGATTTTAGTCTACGGGGAGCGTTATAATTCAGCTAAAAGGGTGATACTCTATTGCCGAGAGTATCAGCAAGATTATTGGCTGCTTGAAGTTGGCTGCTTGAAGAGGCCATAAGATCTCTCCAATAGTCCCGTTGCATACCCACCACGCTCCGGGTGTGGGTATGCCACGGGACTACTGTATTATGTCTATAGGAATATGAGCCAGTAAGATTCAAAGTTCATGGAACTTCACCGTCTCTACTGGTGTCTCCAGCCAGTCTGCCTTGCGTTTGCAAAAGAACTCGAGTTCTGGCTTCCACATCTTCCCCGTCTCAAGCTCCATGGTACCATAAGTGACAATCACGGCGTCTGGAAATTTGCTCCTGTTCTCTGCAATCATCGGCGATCCACAATTGGAGCAAAATGACCGCTCAACGGTCCCTCCAGAGTCTGTCGCATGATCTTTGTAGGTGCGCAGTGCACCGGCACCCTTGGTGATTTTGAAAGCCTAAATAAGCGTCTCAGCCCTAGTTTACTCCAACAAAGCTGGGCGTCGCACTCGCCTTTTTGCTGTACCAGCTATTGGCCATTCCAATGGATCCGGTCGACTTGCGGCAGTTGTTACAGAAACACATGACGGTATTAATTGGATCGCCGCGGAGTTCGTATTGAACACTTCCGCATAGGCAACATCCTGTGATCATGGTGGTGGGTGTGCTGAACCTCGCAGATCGAATTATTGGTACGCCGAGTGTGAAACCACGCAGTAGTCTCTAGGTTTAGGTGGGTAAGCGAGGTAGAAGCCTTCACGTGCGTGTAGTAGATTGTAAGGTAAACTGAACGCTGGCCCTTCTATTTCCAGCGGGGATTGCTTAAGTACAGGCTGCCCCCGCTGAAGGCGGCGAGAACTACGTCCTGCGCGGTTCGAGGGTGCAGGTCACTGTACCTAGGGGGCTCATTTTAACCAGTGCTTACGTAGACCCGTAGGTAGTCCTTCTTCAAAAGAACGGAATCTCCCTTCAGCAAACACATACGGCTCCCTCATCGCCTCATTCGTCACAGGTAAGGCATAATTTGGAGCTCGCATAGAAAGACTCTATGTCTTCTTTCTCAATACCATTGGTTCGTTACTAATCTAAACTGGTCAATGCCGGAGAATATACATCATTGTCAGGATTGACGATAAGCGCAAATTCATTTTTGGAAGACTCCTGGCCGTGACCATTCAATAACAAGTTTTGACCAAAGAAAACTTGTGAGCTATGAAGATGTGTATAGAAACCTCTAAATTGTGGGAAAAAAGAAGTTAGAAGGGAGAGAGAGCTGTCTGGGAGAAGCATGCATGCTTCAAAACGCTGCACAAAATCAACGCTCCCGGTTACTTGCAACCCTTCAAGATGGCCTGGAGCTTGTCATCACTACCCTTGAATGTCGAGCCAAAGCCGTTAATCTCCTCTGCCTTCATAGCCCGTCGGAACCTTGCGATAGACACAAGCCCCTCGCCATCGCGTGAAGCTTTCGCGATAGCACCGACTCCAAACAACATCTCAATCACGTTGACAACAGCCGATTTGGGATCTTGGACTGTGTCGCAACCCGCGAAAGCTCCATTAGCAAGCTCACCTGCGATGGCAACGGAACATGCGATTGTGGCAAGTCCAGCAGCAGCCGCAAGTTCCTCACCGACGATAGGCACGAACTGCATATTTGGGTTAGTCTTAAGAAGACGTCACTTTTCGAAGAATATTCATTTACAATCAGAACAACGCTGACAATAAGGAGAATAAAGTCTTTCTTTCGCTTTCCTTCCTCCTTTTCACCCCTTTTTTCTTGCGTTCCTAAGTTTTTAGCCTGGTTTATGTTTTCCACAGCCTGCATGGGCATGAAGATTGGTATGCTGTAAGCTTGAGCAGCATCTTCAGATAGCCCGTTGACCCACTGCCTAACCATGATTTCAATCATCGTGGCTTGCATCTCCATGAGGAGCCCTAGAATGTCAGAAAGGCCTTTTCTGACAATGTCCTTGGGGTTCGGCACAACCATGGACTCATTCTTAGTAGGGTAGCCGCTGAACTTGAAATCGGCGATTCGCGAGCCAGCTTCATCGGCTATATAAGTATACTCATATGTGTAATCGTCGAGGACAACCCAGTCTGGTGAAAGTCCAATGGTAGCCAGTCCGCCTTCGTAGCCATCTTGATCGATAAGCTTAAAGGCTGTCGTTTCCTGGGACAGACGGAAATCCCCTGTGATCTTGGAACACACCTCTGGAGTTCAGAGTTCACAGTGCACTCAAAATCTGTGCAGTTGGTTCGTTAACATTCGAATATGATACGTCAACCTTAACGAAAGGGGAAGGGTTAGTCCATACAGTCGAATTTCTAAGAGTCAATTTCCAAAAGACAATGAAGAATCAAGCCGCGATATCCTCTGATCTCGAATCCAAGTTGGCGACATCCATCACCAATTTCGGGTCTGAAGACAGTGCGAACGGGGCCTCGTTGGCCCATTATAATTCCTTACAGGCAAATCAGACTTATCAAGATGCTCTCCTATCAGACAAGACTTGCCAGGGCGCTGGGGCTGAACTGTCGTGTTTCTGTCATTTGTCTACCTACGACAAGCTATCCTGCTTTCACAGTCTTGAATCTAAGTGATATACTCTTTATCGGGAGGGCAACAAATACATAATTGAGGCTCAATTCAGGGCCATTTTCGATCAGAGCAAGTGAATAACATATTCAAATTTATCAAGCATATGCGTGACCAAGTAAGGAGTCATCATTCAAGAATGAGCATATCAGTCATCCTCGTCGTATCTAAAAAACCGACCTCTTTCGCGAAGATACTGTCCGCTAATCCCACGCATATATTCTATATTCGGTGGTGGCGGTGGATTTGTTTCCGGCGGGGGACGAAAGCCCTCCTCTGCCATATGTGAATGATTACACATCTCTATACATAGGCGGAACATTATCGCTACCCGTATAGCTGGATTTTTATCCCCGAGATGGCGTGTGCTGATCGTATATTTGATGTCTTGCTTCTCTGCCCCAGTGAATTCTCTGCGGAGATTCTGAGGACGAACGGCATGGCCTTTTTGCTGCGATTCTTCTGTGAGGTCGAGGAAGGCCTTGACTCTGTCCTCGTCAGAGACATAGACTAGTTGCACAGGCTCGTCACCTAACAGTCCAAAAAGACCTGTCCTGGCGACGTATCTGTTACTGGCGTGTATGATAATTGTCTTTACCACGACAATCCAGCTAGGCGTCCTCTTGAGAACGTCCTTCTCGTACTCCTCAATGAACCGAAGATTTCGGAGCATGAACGAGCCCCCGCGGGCCACACTGGCCGTGTGCCAGGCAAGGTAAAAGAACGCGCTACTACGGGAAGAAAACTCCGGGCTCCCGGACTCCCGGGCTCCCAGTTCAAGTGTATAATATCTCGTTAGGGGTCGATTGAATGCCTTATTTTCATCGCGAACTGCCAAGAGCCTTCTGTTGGGACCTCTGATTCTGGGATCATAGAGCGACTTTGCAAAGCCACAGCGCGAGATTCGCGGCAGACACGAGAGATGAGTGGTGGGAGTCCATTCAAAGTTGAGGTCAAGGTGAGTCCACATGGTAATGGAGGTCCTACGGCTTGTGTGGACATGTCCAGCTCTACAACGCGATGTGGGAGGGAATAGCTCCAGATCATAAGACGCAGTTCAGCGGGGAGGTCCGGGAAGCCAGGGAACGTCAAGGCCTCTTCCGAAAGCAATGTGGTTTCGCCCATGGTAAATTTGCTTGATGTCGGCTATTGTGATTGACTAAGTTTAGTCAAAGGGTGAAGCGGGCGCCGGAGTAGGCGACAACAGTCGGCCAAAGACACCATATTCTCCCTTTGTCTTTGTATGGTAAATGGGGTATGCTCGGAATACCAGCATCGTAACACGCTAAGAACGACTCTTGACAATACTTCAACAGCGATATCCAGCGGAACACACATCAAGGCATCTCAATGGAACACCTCAATACTAGCACATACCAGCATTCGTCAGTCCGACATATTAATCTACGTAAAGGAAACAGTACGCGACGCATTCGTTTCGCGATGCGGATACGGATCGGCCCGGGCCACGGGAGTCAGACAAAACCGTGCGTCGCGAAACCTCTAATAATGGATAGGTTAGATTTTAATTTGTTCAGGAAGGGTCGATGGGACCGCCATGAACGTGGGGAGGGAGCGATCTACGGGCGACGGCCCGGCCCTACAGGCGCGGGAACACACACGAGGGGCGAATCAGGGGGCGAAGAATTGGAGTCAGTTCTGAGGACAATTGACAAGTGAGTACGGTGGTACTTCAGTGGGGATTTGTATTCACAAACTAAATGATCGTGTAGACTGCCTAGACCGCGGGCCTGGACACCGTTATCTGAGTCCAGTAGGTACGCGGTGGAGTAGGGTCGTAAACCGATGCAGCGAATATTCTCAAAGCGTACCATACAACTCCGGAGAGTTTCTCCCAGGACGTCAGATTGAAGTAGTTTTTCGTGATCTGCTGCTATTGCCTGATATGCCGCATAGCGAGCTTCAAGTTCGACATGAGTCCAGGCATAGCGGGGCGGCGGTAAAGTTCTTGCAGCACGGCGAGTCCGCCCTAGGTTTCCGAATTCTGACGTGGCGAAGACAGGATAGCTCATATGGTACCGACCATCAAATAAGACTGGGGTAATCAAAAGCTCTTTGACTCGGGCGCGGATGTCGTCATTCGTGGCGATATCTCTCAATTTCTGAATACTTTCGCTGGTGACAAGGAGACACACAGTCTTGTAATAATAGTCAGCGAAGGCGTCCAGGGATTTGGAGTACAATGCTCTGGAGGCAAGCCTTAGGGCAAACCATTCAGGTTGCTCAAACCAGCCGGTGATCTTTGTCAAAAGCTCAGTTGGGAGTACATCGATGGACATGTTCCCAATTGGCTTGTCAGACTCGGAGAATGAGGCTATAACAGACAGGAATGGGAGAAAAGAGCTCCGGGCAGAGGCGGGGATTACTGAGATCCCCAGGTAAGAAGAAAATGCAATGTAAACCCTAATTTGCCGTACTAAGCCTAAGCCTAAAACCGAGAAGCCGGCCAGCGAGACGGTGTAGCCATGATAGGTTTCTGTATGTTGTAGGGGGAAAGGGGGGACTCTAAAGTAAGTCCTTGACATAGAAAAGCTGAAAATCTCGGTTAGGGCGAACGTATGTGCGTTTTAGGAACAATTATATATTAATTGTCCCAGGATGGCTAATTATGCCGGGCGTTCGAACGGGAAGCCAAGCCGTTTCCAGTATGAAGAGCTGTAGTTCTCTTGATCAATTTTCATTGCTATTGCATATCTCAAGTTTCATCTTGGAACCTAGCTAGAGATGAGGCACGTGTGTAAAGATCGTAACACGAAATGGTCTTGAACGACTCTGAGCACAAATTTAATACACATAAATTTTCCATGGCAGAACAACCTTTGGCATCATAAAAATATTACGCTGTTCCGCTGAGTGATGCCACTAGAAAATTCGAAGGCGATGCAGGGACGCGCCTGTGTGTGCAGAAAACTTGGAAACCTGGCAGATGGGGCGGTACAGCGAATCTCGGCCACGGCAAGTACTGCTCGATCGAATCATTTTACTTAAATAATTTAGGAGAAATTTGGAGCTTCGGGCCACCATGCATTTACAATACCCGGAGGAGCATCACACCATTGGTATTCTTCCTGACGAACCAACAGACTCTACTAAACGGTTGCTTTTCAACAGGTGTACAATCAACTTTACGCGTAGGAAAGAACTATTTGTTAAATTGCGAAATGCTCCATAAAGCGCGCCTTGCTCGCCTGCGCCCTAAAGTCCCCTTTCCAGCAATCTGCGCTGCCTCCTGCGACTGTTATCTATTTGTTACCGCCCGATGTGGAAGCGATATCGAGGTTCGTTCAACATTTGCTTATGGCATACTACACGGTGCCCTTGTGGCAGAAATTAGGCTTTCGGAGATTTGGTCGAAGCTAAATTTTGTTCATATGTGGTCTACATAGAGCTAATTGCCTCAAACGTGGCGCATCGTGACTTCCACGTACGAGTCCGATCACAACACACCAAATTTCGGCACGGGTTAGCCAAAAGCTTGTCTCAGAGAGACACTAACCCTTCTTCAGCGCTGCACAAAAACCAACTCTAATACTTTACAGACCAATGCGCCAATCAGTTTGCCACAAGGGCAGTACCGGGCGCGGGGAAAGGCAGTCGCAAACGATATACTTTGTCAGTCGCATGTTCCCTGCGCGTCAAACTCTGTAGGAATTAGTACGATCGTAGTTACCCCAAAGGGTAAAGTTCTGGCAAGGTCGTCTAGAAAACTCTTTAGGGCATTCGCTCAAGTTCCGAACGCCTCTAGAGCTTTAGAGTTGAACGATAGCGGACCAACTAATTTAACTGGCTGGCATGGACATGATTGACGTCTGTCGGTACTTATCAGTAATACGAGGTCGGGTCCCAAATAATGACTGTGAACGCTTAAAAATGGGTGGAGCAACCGGGGCGGCTCTCTCCGTCGCCGACATCTGGCATGGAACCGTACGACTTCCCGACAGCCGGGACCACTCACACGGCAGATACTATGGAACGTGATATCACTACGGGGCAGTCTGCTATGTTGGACGGTCCATAACTAGGGCTAGAAGTGCCAGGCTGTAAAAATTAAGCAAGCAGAAGCGCACGGATAGGCCAGTGGATGCAAGTGCAAGCCACATAAAATGAAGCGTTCGATCCGAGCTGCAGCTAAGGTCAGCCACGGGAAGGGCAATTCTCGTTTTGAGCAATTTTCTGCGAGAAGCGAAGCGAGTGGTTCAAGTATGCTATGTTTATGTAGGCGGGTTCCGCTCAGTCCCAGGCGGGAAAACAGAGAAAAGTCAGTTCTCCGCTTTTCGCTTTTTTTTTTTTTTTTTTTTTTTTTTTTTTTTTTGAAGATGTAGCGGAGTCTTCGGGTAGGAGCCGCGCGGTAATGAATGGAAACGAGGTGACACTATTTGACCTGGTGGGCCTATACTTTAGCTAGGGAATGTTTACACTACTCCGTTCTCGGTACTAATGGAAACCCCTCTAACACCAGGCCCCTAATTCTAGTCTAGAATGTCTCGAAGACAACACCTTTGACTAAAACCGGAGTCCGCCTATAGGGGAAATTTGACAGGGTTTAAAGATGAAACTCATGGGCCCGTGCTTCCCGGGAGGGGGGTCGATGGGCCAACGGGCGGAGATGAGACCCTCGCGGGTTACTTGTTGATCGCCAGGGGAACGCAGTCTTTTCGGCGAATTTGTCTCGCACTGTCCACTATTCTAACGAGCCACTGGAGCGTGCCGCTCGATCTAGACCTTGCTATGGTCCCGATCCTGAGGTAAGAGGGGTGCCTTAGGACCTCGCTATACAAAGCCTCCCTAAAGGCTAGCTCTATTACGCTGCTTCGTTTACTCTCCGAGACCAGGGTGTCCTTAACGTCAAATTCACTGACACCGCGTCCCTTGCAGTGTCCCCGCTAGTGCTGACTGGGGAATATATCCGCCACATCTTGACCAGGAAGGTCCATGGATTGCATGTGAAATGGAAATCCCACGAGTCATAGCCATTCCCGGATGCTGGTACTATAGCACCATCAGTAACGGCAGCCGGGATCCGCGGCTCCAAGCGATCTAGATTTGGGGGAACTACCTATTGTGAGAAAGGACCTGGAATAATAATGGGGCTCGGGGCGACCCAAGATTTCGAGCGACAATCCACCTCCTTTCTTGACGCGATGCGCGACCTTGCAACCACTCAAAACACTTAAACGCCTCCAGGTCCCGCTCAAGGTAGTCCGTGCCATCTTAGCGTACCCTACACAACCTGCTGGTGCACTAAGCTACACAAATATCGAAAGTCCAGACATTTTACCCGCGCTAGCGATCTATACACGTACCATGCGCTGGTGAACCATTCATAGAAAGATCTTCGGGCCTAAAGGTTTAACCTAGCTGTTTCCCAAGGTTCCTCCATTGGACCAAAATACAAATCGCAATTCTCGTCCTATCTCTTCCGTCCTTTTTTCTTTCTTGGCCCCTCTTCTCTTCATATCCCGAGGGACTTGTTCACTTTTTCGCTTTTTTTTTCTTTTTTATTTATTTTACGTTTACAACCTCCCTATATCGTCATAGTCGAGATTAATAATTCTTTCGGCCGCCTCCCCACTTCGAGGCTCGGGGCAAAACGACCTAGATCCGCGTCCCTAAACCGTGGAGATTGTGAAGAGCCCGGCCACCGACCGCCCCGCTCGACTTTTATTACTCCGGAGCTTGGGTAAAAAATCAACATACCCAGGTTACCTTTTTTTTCTTCCTTCTTCGGGATTGATATTGAACTGATGGGAGTCGCTCCGACATCTACCCCCACCCTTTCTCCCCTGTGATCGCCACCATGGGCCTCTTCAAGCGCAACTCGAAAACTAGCGAAAAGGACGAGAATGAATCGTTCGTCTCCGTCAACAGCGCTCGAAATTCCAACACCTCCTTAAGGTCCCCCGGTTACAAGGGCAGTGGTCTTCCGGCATCTATCCCTGAGCTCCCCATTTCGAAACCGCCGGACCCAGCATTAGACCCCGCCGCCTATCTCCGAAGCATCCACGCCGTGCGCGAACGCGCAGCGCTGGTCCTAGGCAGAGCCAGGTGCAACCGACTGAACCACTTCGATGTCGACATGAGCAAATTCAAGGCCACCGCCTCCTATGTCGTGTCGATCATCAAGGTAAACATGGCCCCCTCCAGCTCTCCAGACCCAAACTTTCAAAGCCGGTTTCTAACCCCTATACCATGGAAAAGCGCGACTATGCGCCTGATTATGCGAGCATTCCGCCTCATGGCCGCTGGCAACATTTCGACGTCGGTGGTAGGCCACGAATTAATCAGCTTCTCCAGTCATGGCCTAGCAGTATTGACGCTCAGGAGCGGACTCGCCGATTAATCGATCTGTTCGTAGTCTCGGTGCTGCTCGATGCTGGAGCCGGTAATAATTGGTCCTACAAGTCCAAAGAGTCCGGCAAGATCTACGGACGGAGTGAAGGTCTGGCGGTCGCCAGCTTGGAGATGTTTAAATCGGGTCTTTTCAGCAGCGATCCGACAGAGCCCTGCCAAGTGGATGGTGCCGGATTGAGAAAGGTCACGGTCGAGAAATTGGCCAAGGGGATGCAACATTCTGATCAGAATCCGCTGGTCGGTATTGAAGGTCGTACTGGCCTGTTGGTGCGATTGGCAGAAGCTTTGAATCACCAGGACTTCTTTGGCGTGGATGCCCGACCTGGAAACATGCTCGGTAAGATTGAATTGCATGTACCCATTCTGATCGCCTGCTAAATCCTTTTTCAGACTACTTTCTGGGTCACCCTTCGACGCTGGCTTCTTCTGTCCCCATTGTCCCTATAACCACAGTATGGTCTGTTCTCATGGATGGCCTCTCGCCAATCTGGCCCGAGTCGCGAACCCAAATAGACGGGGTGGCTATCGGTGATGCATGGCCGTGCTCGATTCTCCCTCGATCTCCGCCCTCGCAGCCATGGGAGACTATTATGCCGTTCCATAAGCTAACGCAGTGGCTTTGTTTCTCGATTATGGTGCCAATGTCGAAATTGATGCATATTCACTTCGCCGGCAGCGAATTATTGACCGGTCTTCCCGAATACCGCAATGGCGGCCTTTTGATCGATATGGGTCTTTTGACTCTAAAGGAACAAGATTTGGAGCGTGGCATTCGAGCCTACAAGGAGAATGCGCAGATCAAGGGCCAGCCCAGTGTAGAGGTGGTCCCGCTCTTTTCTACCGACGACGATGTAATTGTGGAATGGCGCGCTGCTACTGTTGGCTTCCTGGACGAGCTACTCGATGAGGTCAACTTCCAGTTGGGACTGAGTGGTTCGGAGGAGCAATTGACACTGGCCCAAATGCTGGAGGCTGGTACATGGAAGGTCCGTACCTCCTTTTCTCCACACGAAACACATTTGCTAACTTCAATCAGGGCGGTCGTGAAATCGCCGAAGTCTCCAGGCCCAACACTAAGGAGCCGCCCATTATGATCCGTTCCGACGGCACGGTTATCTAATGCCCTATATACGCACGAGTTTAATGGATTATTGGATACTTGACCTACCAACTAATGGTGGTCCTTATGAAATGTTGATGACGACCTTTTGATTTGATGATGGCCTCTTCGTCTTTGATATTTACGGTTCTTGTTTTCTTTCCGATTGAGGCCTTTTGCATGATTTGCCAGCAATGGTGATCGCTGCGTTTCATTCTCGGATACCACTCTTACCCTTTTCTTCTCAAGCAGCCTTATTCTTATTTCACTCAAAACATTCATGGCTGCATAGAGCGAGATTCCTGTTACCATAGATTGCATACCTAGCCGCCAAGGTATGACGTTATTATCATCGCTGCCTCGGCTATGCCGGTTGCTTGTCCTCGCCCTTTCCAAACCTGGTCCGTATCATTATGAGTGTATCATTTCTTCTCAAATTGTACCTTGTAACCTCACATACCTCATGAGCTAGCTTTAATCAAGAAAGCCATCGCCACACTGCGTCATCGCATTCAGTACCTGCCACGTGATCGTTCACCGGGCCAAAGTTGATCCGTCACTCCGCATCTGAGGCTGGAGCTCATCTTCCTCTCTTCGCCCGTCTCCAATTCCGCAGATCAATTGTGGCAAATACTTTCCTCCTATTAAGCACTGAATTCAAACCCTCACGAGCTCCACAGCAGCTCTGCGAAGTCACCGATCCGCCCCCAGTACCACCCGAGTGGCCCCCCGCTCTTGCGGGGCAATCCGAGCTCAGCAACCACTACCACCAGCAGAAATATGGACGCGCGCAAGAAGAAGAGAAAGGTGCTCCTGATGGGCAAGAGTGGCTCGGGGAAGTCCTCTATGCGCTCCATAATATTTAGCAACTACGTCGCTAAGGATGTGCGCCGCCTTGGTGCTACTATCGATGTGGAGCATAGCCACGTCAAGTTCATGGGTAACCTGACTCTCAACCTGTGGGACTGTGGAGGGTAAGTTAATTGATCATGCGTATTCCATTCACACTCAACTGACACATGTATTGCGCATAGACAAGATGCATTCATGGAGACCTACCTTGCCTCCCAGCGCGGCAACATCTTCTCGGACGTCGCGGTGCTTATCTACGTCTTCGACATTGAATCCCGAGAAGTCGATCGCGACCTGGACACATACAATGCAATTATCGAAGCGCTGGGCGAGTTCAGCCCCAATGCCTACGTTTTCTGTCTCGTGCACAAGATGGACCTTATCCAAGCCGAGCACCGCCAACGCATCTACGAGGAGCGCTCCGCTCTTATCCGCAGCCGGTCTGGGGACTTCCGCGTCGACACCTTTGGCAGCAGCATCTGGGACCAATCACTGTACAAAGCATGGGCTGGGATAGTGCACAAGCTCATTCCAAATCTAACGGTGATTGAACGGTTCCTGAGCGCGTTCGCAAAGAAGATCGACGCCGAGGAAGTGATTCTTTTCGAGCGATCTACCTTCCTGACGGTTACGTCTGTGACCTCGGATGTAGGCGAGCTCAATCCCATCTACGACCGCCATGAGCGCCTCTCAAATATCATGAAGGCATTCAAGCACTGCGCCGCCCGCAACACAATGACAACCCCCGCCTCAGCCGGGTTCGTGGTCATGCACACCAAGACGCCGCAGTTCAACATCTTCCTCGGTCGCTTCACAGACAACACATATATCTTCCTAGTCGTGCCTCCAGGAGAGGCAGCCTATAACTGCGCCGTGCTGAACACCATGCTAGCCCGAGAAGGCTTCTCCAAGGCCGCGTCTGCAGGTCGAACGGATGGGTTCCCGCTTCCACCGCCGGAAACGTCGGAGGATGCAACTAACGGATTGTCATGATTTGCAGCGTTTTGTCATGTATAGCAGGCATTTTGGGATTTCAAAATTTTGACGGGCGCTGATACGCACGGCGTTGCGGTATGAAGATCTTGCATTTCTTGTCTTGCGTGTGCTGAGAGTCGAGATACCCTGGCCATGGCATTTTGTAAATCTCGTTCCCTTTCAATTGATTTCTTCTACAAATAAGGGTATTTTCAACTGGTTAGGATCCAGGCCTGTAGATGGGCTCTCACAGGTACCCATGGTACGTATGATCAGCTTTCGAGGGCCATACATAAGTAGCCTCGAGTATACAAATGGGAGAAAGGACGACTTCGAACACCAATTGTAACATTAAAACCGTATAAGCCGTGATGATCACTTCCATTGGCATTTTCTGCTTTGATTCATGTACTAAGAGCAACCAATCCATCTCATCTATTTTATTCATCCGTACAGATACAGGACATGGAACCTTGAATATCAGGATTTAATTATCTATCGGACTGGCCGGCCTCAACGGGAGTGCTGCAAAATGGAGATGGATAAGGGACCAAGGCTGTACAAAACATCACGCAAATTCGGCAAAGAAGAACGCCTATTGGACATCCGGCATGCGAACGGCGATATCGCCTGATTGTGTGATGTATCGCACCCAGGGGAGGGAGGGGTATTGCAGCTGCGAGGGTATTCAATTAGTCGTGCCAAACCGATTTAGGATTGGATTGGATTGAACAATACCTTTGGCTCAGTGATCTTCAGGTACCGCACTTGGATACCGCTGGTGGTGAAGTAGGGGATCTCAAACTTGACGTTGATGGGTCGCTTAGACTTGCCAATGGCGCCGGCGCCGCCCATACTGCCTCCGAATCCACCAGTCATACCACCACCAGTCTCATCATCTCCCTTTACAGACGGCAGACCCAGCTCCGCCCGCATGAGGAACTCCTTGCCACCACCAAATTGCTTGATCTTCCAAACAATAGCAGACTTTTCGGGGGCGTAGTGAACGGTACCAATGTTGGTGCGGAACCGGGGAGAATCTGCGTCTTCGGGAACGGGAACGATGATCTCGACGTTATTGGCGGTGCTGCGGCGTTTGAACTGTGCTTTGGCCTATAGCAGAGAATGGTTAGCAAGAGAGGGAGATCTTGTTGGTAGAGAGTCTTACCTTCAGCATGTATTCAATTCGTGATCCCGAGTGAGATTCCACCAGGCACTCAACCCAGATCAATGGTTTCACTTGTGTGTTCAATCGGTAACTCATGAGCTCGAACTCGCCATCCGGGGGAATGAAACTGATTGTTCGATCGTTCTCGAATCGCGACAAGCGCACGCATTGGTGGAACTTGACGTCTTCCATCTCAACAGCCTTGCCTCGTGTAGCACGGCCCGTGGTTTCGAACATCGCCTTGTCGTTCAAGCCCAATCGCAGCTCGGGCATACCGCTCAGATAACACTTCATCTTAACAGCGCCCAGAATCTCAGACCGAAGCACGTTTCCGTTCGCCGAAACCAGCAAGTTGAGAGATTCGACCACGTCAAGGAAAACTTCGTTCTTGCGATAACGGATGCCCTCACTTCGCCAAGACACGGCGTTTGTCACGGCAATGGGTGGTCGTGCTTGCACCTCGAGTTTGTGTGATTCTTGGGTAATATACCTTGAAACTGTCAGCACCGTTTGAATCAAGATAGCGCTTCTGCTTACTCTTGCAAAATCTTGCTTTCTGTTGTCTGCGGGTATCCAAAGTCCATCATTTCGTCCAGCAATTCGTAGATTACAACAAAGTTGTCTCGGATACTCTCCTCCTCCAGCACCTTGAAGTATTCAGTGAAGACCTCCACCAACTTGTGGAGGAACAAAAGGATCTCGGTGGCATTTGTGTTTCGCTTTGTCAATGCGAGGATGTAGAGGTTGCTGTGACGGATATAAAGGTACTGTACACAAAGCGAATCAGTACGGGTGGGGTCCACGCAAAAAGGAGATTCGAGGTCACGGTTCGGGAAAGCGGTTGCCGCGCTGGGAAACGTACGTTGATGCCCTCGTGAGAGAAGCAAGGAGGAACGGCGGAGCTTTCTTCTTCAGCGTCGCTCAGGAGGGTAGGGAACTTCTCGACTGCGGACATGGGGATGTCTCCGCGGTAGTTGCGAGCCAGAAGGGTCTATCACGACGTTAGTAAAGACTCCTCTCTGCGCAATTGGACAAGCGCGCTCTGTGGAGAGCGCATAATAGCCCCGGTCTCCTTGATCACCCACCTTGCCCTTCAGGTCCAGGAAGAAGAGTGCCGACGCCATGACGTGTCAACAGAAGTGTATTTCGGAAATCGATTATCGGGGGTGGGAGTGAGTGAAAAAACAAAGCCACATTCTGCGCCTTTGGCTGAATTGACCAACACTGAAGATCAAGATGGGTGTGAATGTACTGAGATGAGCAGGGGAGTCGGAGGTCGCGAGAGTCGAGATGCCCGCAGTGGAGTTGCCCACCCAAAGCGGTTAGCGTGGGCTCCTTAAATAAAATTCTCTTCCCTCACATTTTCTTCTCTTCTTCAACGCTCTCATTAGACAGTTCAAGGCAGTACAAAGTCCTTTGAGGCTTTCTGCAGCTGCCTAGCATTCTGCTAGGTGACTGTCAGTTTTAATTACTACACTTGCGATACAGAGTTTGCGGAGACTACGATTTTGTTGAGGGATCCATAAGAGCTGGCCGTGTATTTTGCAACTGTTACGCGGGCGGTGTCAGAGGAGCCATACATTCCTATAATTATTCACGATCTATTACTCTGGTAGGACAAAAACATTGGAGAGTTAGAAAAAAAAAAATAGAAAATATTTTTTGAGTGATATCTTTCAAATGGTATTTGCAACTGAGCACAAAATAAGGTAAAAATACATATACATCACTGTAGATCAAGGTACAGCCCTCCCATCGCCCTGAGGGCAAATATCAAAGAACGCCGGAAATGCCGCGGAGTATCCCCAACCCCTGCAGGTCTGGACGATCAAGTTCAAGCGACCGTGTTGAGTCCCAAAGGCTCGAGTATCCGCTCCTGAGCCACCTTGTTCGCAATGTGTCCTCCCTTCTCCAGCGAAATCGCGCCGATGACGGCGTACATGGTGTGTGCCAGAACCAGTTCGATGCCAGAGGCCTGAAGGTTATCGGGCTATGAAACATTATATTAGCGCAAGATCAGTGTCTAGAAGCAAAGTAATCGTACCTTTTTGGGCGACCAGCGAAGCACCTTCTGCATCTCGTATTTTTGCGCAAGCTCAGCCAGCTTCGCGCGGTCCGTCAGGAAGCTCTTGGTACTAGTAGAAAGATTCTTCAAGCCATCAAGAGCCGGGTGAGAGAATGGCACGCGGCCATGCTGGTCCTCCGCCGCAAGGGCATTCGCGGTCGCGGGGTCTTGCACGAGAGCGAGCGAAGCCTGCAATTGCACGATCCGTTTTCCTGGTCATTGTGTAAGCACAATTCTGCAGTTCCGTTAAATCAGAATTATTCCATACCGAGGAAGGCCAATCGATCATTGAATCCGCGGCGGCCTTGGTCGAAGCTCTTATGCGTAACAGCCAACCACTTCGTCTCCTCTGAGAGCATTTTGTCGCCCTCATTGCCCAGCATGCGGGTATAGAACTCATCCAGCAGGGCCGGATCCGCGTTGACGTGGAAATCGGGACGCTTAGAGTGCATACGCAGGCTGAATGGTGCCTTTGTACGCGGCGGCGTGTAGGACCATCGAGGCGCCGGGGCTTCACCGGTCGAGGATTCCGGGTCCGAGGCGAAGGTACGGCGGGTGACGATGGTCGTGATAGGACGAGGAGCGACTCTCGATGCGATGCAGGCGGACCTGACCGCTCGAGTAGACAGATTCGAAGCCATGGGGGGCGGGTTGTCTTCGGAAGTGAATGGCTAAGTAAAGTTCCTATGGAAAGAATTCCTCGACACTTTCTGCCATCCTCCACCGACAACGAGCCACCCAGATTGTTTACCAGAGATTCGATCGGTCTGTTCATTTGTTTTCGACCGTATTTACTCTTAGTTAACAAAAAATCTTAGTTTCACGCAGAACAAAAATCGCTACGTGTCTTATTGATTAGCCGGTGGCCTGGCATTGGCATGCAATCTGAGCTTCACCGCTGCCTGGATGCTGGACTCTGTAATCCGGGGCCACAACCACTTACAGCGACGACCAGGTCAGCATTGGCCGGGGAAGATATCTGAGACAACAATGCTTCGCTGCATGTACAAAAGCCTGTATCATGATTCGCATCCGCATAATCTTCTGTGGCGGTCAAGTGTGAACATGGTCCTTTGCCAAATGCCCATACCGCTGTTTGAAGGCCAGGTCTAGAGCCTCTGTGTCTGGATGCTGGTTGTACCCGTGGAATATCCCAACAGTATCTGCAATTATACTGTATGATACTTTCGGTCTTCAGAGGATCTGTCCGTTTCCATCTGAATCTAGAGCCTCCCCAGCGGTCTCATTTTAGCAACTGCCCTCTATGGATATACTCCCCATAATTCGTGTTGCCCTATCCCTAGCCAAGGGTCCGAGAACACTGCTAGGTAACCTCGTCTATGTTTTAGACTGAATGCGCACAGAATAAGCAAGTGCCACACTTCTAAGCATGGTCTAACCATCAGCGCCAGATCTCTAGCCGCTGCCGAGAAACCACCCGCATCTCAAAGCAGTAGAGTTCTAGATGGCCTGGGGAGAGACCAGGAAAATATTCGGCGACGTTCTATGGCCACCTTAAACCCCAGCTCGGCCGAACTACGACTTGAGGTTAAACAAGATCGGCTCATGCGCCGCACGGTCGATTCAAAAACTGCTTGATGTCGCCGTCGGATATTGGCGTCTCCCAAGCTCCAGTGGTTGGCTCGAAGGACCCTTGTTCCCGCTGTGGACTGGGCGCATAAAACGGCTGCTGTGTAAAGATTGTTTCTCCTCTGAATAGGGCAAGAGACTTTCTCGGTTGCTGCGGCCCACGAAAGCACAGAATGGTCCACGTGTGTGTATCCCCGGCGCGTTTGCGTCTTCTATATCCTGAAGATATGCCTGCTGCCTATTTTCTCCATCCAGGTACGACTAGGTTAGAAATTAGAATGCAGAGTTATAAAATTTCCGGAATTTCACCAAACAAGACCAAGATGTATAGTCTCAAGTGCTGGGAGAACTCCCGAGACTAGCCTCAACTGTTGGATTGCAGAAAAATCGAAGTATATCTCTCAACTCTCCCAGCTCTTCGGATTCAAATGTTTCCAGTCACGGCTAGTAACGGTCGATCCACCGCAGACGGTCCCTAGGGAGCTGTCAGGTGGAGACAAATAGAGCCACCGATTCCTCAGACGGTGATCGCTGCAAGAAGCCGGACGATGACGGCTCAGACCGCTGGTATCATTCCACAAGAATTTGCAGGCTCCGGGAATGCCTCTGGGAAAGGATCATTTGTCTACTTTGACTGCAGGAAGAAATTTACTGACTTATTGGCTGGGGGCTTTGGAAAAGCATTCGGAAGACACAGAGGAGTTTAAGGCAAAGCGGGTGTGACAGTCACGTCCAACCGCTTATACAAGTTTTCCGTCGGGCCCTTGCAGACTAGACGTTTCTAGATCTCAACAAAGTCACGCTTGGGTGTCGTCCTCCAAATGGTCTGATTGATTGGGATATCCGACGGGATGGCGGTGTACGACTTGTGATGGATGGCGTCTCCGAGGGCCCCTATTGCTCTGGTGTGAGAAATATTAAATGGAGGAGATCGGCTGGTCTGTTTGGCTTCTCCATCCTTTTCAGTTTACCTCCTCTCCACTCGTCTCGTTTCTATACTGTTCTACTTCGCTTTCCCGCTCAAAGTCCCCGTGGACCTTTGCACTTGCTTGAAAGTTCCCGACCAAAATGGCCCGCTACAACACTGCGCACATTGCTCAAGCCACTCCTTCGTCGTCAGGCCAGACCTATACATCAGTCGGCGGCATTCCAGCCAGTGACCACTCGGTGCAAGATCCTCCCTCGCCGCGGCCATTCCCTCCCAACCCACCGCCGAGCCCTGCCTAAACAATATCAATTGGGTTGATTTGTTGGCGTTGAGAAAAGTCAATCAGTAGGTGAGTCTCGTACATCCATGTTCAACTACAACGCTAATCCGTGGAACCATACAGAACAAAAAACATTCGATTGCCTGCAAAATGGGTAAAATCGGATGATATGATACCACAGGGGAGTGAAAGAAAATAATAACAAGGAAGTGGACGGCCTTGCGAGTCAGTTCTTTATTGGCCCACTTGGATTGAAAAGCCATGGTTATGCGTGGAGTAAGGGTATCCCGAGATATTTCCAATTGTGCATTTGGCTCATGACAAACATCATTGATCTCGATCAGAAGTAGCGATCCCTAGGTGTAGATTCAAGAAAATTGGGACCAAGGTGTCTCGATATCTAGAGTAAAAAGCAATTGGGTAACAAAGAAGAAATCTGCGCCTTTTGAGCTCGCGCCAGACCGGGATTTCATGTATAATTGGTAGAAAAAATCACTTTAATAACACAAGGAAACTCAGAGGTATGAGATGAAATCACAGGAAAGCAAGAGCGATGGCACTGGTGACGCTCAATCCAATGACAGCCCAGCCAGACTTGATAATGGCGGGGTTGGTAAGAGCGCGGCCGGTATCCCAGGTCAGGTGGCGGACGCCGTTCATACAGTGGTAGGTGAAGGGGAGGGCAAGAGTGGCCTTGAAGGCAATCTTGGCGGCGATGGGGAGAGCAGCCATAGCAGCAACCATGGAGGCGGACTCCAGGTGCCAGCCGAGAACGGGGGAGGCGAGGTATGCGGTGGCCCACAGGTAGAGAGAGCCGGAGAGGGCGACACCGGTGATACGGTGCAAGGAACTGCCGATCCAGCCGATCTGGGGCTTGTAGATGGTCAGATGAGGGGCGACGGGACGGTTCAAGCGCTGCTTGGCCAGGATCTGGTTCGGGTCCTCAGTGTTGGGAGAGGTGGTGACGGGTCTAGATATTGAGGAGTTAGTCTCGGTCGATTGCGGATGACGTCGGTTTTCATGGTTCGTGGGGGTTGGCAATATCGAAGTGCGCAGGAATTGACCGCATGGGAACTGACCTCGACTGGATTCCCTTTCCGAGAGCGATGGCGGCCGGGGAGGCGCGCATCATCGACCACTGCATGGCAAGCGGCTGCTGGACGGCAACTGTGAATCGGGGCGAATTGTCAGCGCGAGGGTCATTTTGGAGCTGGAATAGAAGACTGTAGACGTACGCCGACGCAGCGACTGCTGAGCAACCTTCTGAGAGAACATTATGTGTGATTTCGACGTGATCTCACCAGCGTTGAAGAATAAGGAATCAATCGTGAACAACCGGAAGGCACTACCTCGGGTTTGGATCCGTCACGGGATTTTCGGGAGCCAATGGCGGCCTCTGCAATTCGGCATCGATGACACTGGCGGACTTTTGTTCTTCCGGATCACGTGCTCCTCTCGCTTGTGTCCACAGCCTTTCTCCTGAAAGCTCCCGCTCTCTTCCTTTTCCCTCATCACGAGTTTCTGCTCACGTTAATGTACCGACCCCGTGGCCGGGATGAAGTTGACGTGTTTAGCACCCTTTTGTTTCGACATTCTGTCGCGACTGTTAAGGGATCTACGAAACCCGCAGAGGGATAGCCTGTCGTCGTTAATCGCCCATTTGCTTCTTTCAATGAGCCGGATGGGTTTCATATCAGGGCAACATACCGTCATTTAGTAGAATTACCTGACAAGAATGACCTAGCCTTGTTGGCAGATCGCTATTGTCTGGTGAAATTAAATAGCTGTAATTTGGAGGATCAGGAGCGGCAAGCTGAAGCTCTTGGAGCGTCTTGCAGCCTCAGGTTATTCTTCAGGCTGCTGAGTCTGCTCAGTCTGCCCTGTTCGATAGCTACTATAGTCGAATTGGACCCGCTGGCTTACTGAATGTATCCAAACGGTCTATGGCACTGTCAAAGGCCTGAGGAAACCGGGATGCCGAACTGGCGCCATCATGAGGCTTTGTCACATGTGTGGGTCAAGTGTCCGACACGGTACTGTACATGATAAGGACATGAGCTGAACTCTTCATTGCCAGCTAAATTTATGGTCTAAAACATGCCTGGTAGTTCTAAAGGCCGTTCATAGATGGGTTGAGTTTATTCATTAGAATCCTCGGTCGGCCCATCTTGAACCATCAGACTAATCATTTGCGGCGCGACCACCGAACCTCGGCAACTCGACGTTTCCCCACAAAGTGCCCGCGGCTTCCCCGGGGGTCATACGCTGCCTTTTAATCGCCTTGATCCATTTCTCCAGTTCTGTTTCAGTTGACACGATCTTTACATCTCGACCTTCTTTTGCTTATATCCAGTGGAAATACCGCTGTCACTGCTTCCAAGCAGTTTACGTTAACCGAAGCTACCGTTCGATTACATACCAGTAACAAGTACAACTTCACGATGCCGTTTAATACGGCCTTGACCCGCAAGTTGGGCATTCGAGGTAGGCGCAAGATCGCTCGGTTCTGAACTAAAACAAATCCTAACTTTATCAGTGCCCATCGTGCAGGGTGGTATGCAGTGGGTGGGATACGCCGAGCTGGCCTCGGCCGTTTCCAACGCAGGTGGTCTGGGACTGGTATGTCTGCTGCTCAACCATGCAATAACAAGACTAACATACTCTGAAGCTCACTGCTCTCACTCAACCTACCCCCGAAGACCTGCGCAAGGAGATTCGACGATGCCGCGAAATGACCAAGTACCCCTTCGGTGTCAACCTAACCCTCCTCCCCGCTCTCGTGCCCCCGGACTACGGTGCCTACGCTCAGGTCATTATCGATGAGGGGATCAAGATCGTCGAGACTGCTGGAAACAACCCGGGGCCCGTCATCAAGCAGTTGAAGGCCGCCGGTATCGTCATTCTGCACAAGTGCACGACTGTGCGCCACGCCAAGTCTGCCGTGAAACTGGGCGTTGACTTCCTGTCCATTGATGGTTTCGAGTGTGCCGGCCATGTTGGCGAGCATGATATCACCAACTTCATCCTGCTCAGCCGTGCGCGCCAGGAACTCAAGGTTCCGTTCATTGCTTCCGGTGGTTTTGCTGATGGCCAAGGCCTTGCTGCTGCTTTGGCTCTTGGTGCCGAGGGTATCAACATGGGTACTCGCTTCATGAGCACCGTTGAGGCTCCTATCCACCAGAAGATCAAGGAGACTATCGTCAACGCACAGGAGACTGACACCGCCCTCGTGTTGCGTCGGTGGAAGAACACCTCCCGCCTGTTTGCCAACAAGGTCACTCAGGATGCATTGAAGATTGAGCGTGAGAGCACCACCGGTGATTTCAGTGAGATTGGCCCGTACGTCAGTGGCAAGCGTGGTCGCCAGGTCTTCTTGAACGGCGACCCTGATTATGGTGTAAGTTTTTCTAATATAATTCCTCCTCCACACGATCTAATGTCGTCTCTAGGTGTGGACCGCTGGCCAGGTCATTGGATTGATTCATGATATCCCCACTTGCGATGAGCTGCTGAAGCGGATCGAGAAGGAAGCCGTGGAGGCCATGAACCGGACCAGGTCCCTGTACAGTGATGCGCCCACCAGCAAGCTCTGAGGAAGCATCATTTTGGAAGTCTTTTAGGGTTGTCATTACACAATAGAGCGGGTAGAAGAGGGGCTGGTTGCTTCTCGCAACCTTTCTTTGACCCACACGAGTTGTTGTCTACTAGTACCACGCATGATATCGTCATATGTCTTGAGCAATATAGCTCCCCCTTTGAAAGCTCTTCTATTCACCCGTAGGACAACATGCATATGTTTCCCGGAGCGGACACCGCTTCTCTCCAAGGGGTTCGAGGCGGTTGGGTCAGTGCGCGGCATTCTCGTCGTTCTCGCGGCTACATTCTTAGGGCTAACCTTACTGCGCCGCGCCTTTTACGCCGCTCACCAAGACATTCCGCAGTGTACAATGCGAGTCCAACCTTTCTGAGTAATGATAGTATTTGTAAATGCCTCTGCGGTTGAAAATAGGTGGCTGGTGAGCGCTATTACGCTGTCTCGGCCTGCCCATGAGGTCCAAGGGATGTGGAGACGTCCTTGCATGCGCCCTTGAGATCGTCTGCGGAATGCAGCCGCAGCCTCGAGAGCACTCCTACGATTGGGGTTGTTTTGATCTACCTCGCAGCCGTGCAGTAGAAACCGCATGCAATACCACGAGCTAAGAGCTCGGGTGCTTGTGGCTGCAGTGCAGGACGTCAGGCTCATGGCTGTCTTGTCATCATTTTGTACAACAATGATGCCAAATATTTCGCGCACCATAGAAATTGCAACTTTTCTTACAAGATCCATGTACATAGTCAAGATTTTGAGGCTCTGAAAAGGCTGTACATGGCCAGGCTCATCGTAGCAAAACAAATAAGCATCAAGCCTCGGATCTCCACTAGATCCATTGGGTGTTTCACAAAAACCGCTAGGCCAGCATTTAGTTCGCATAATCTATAGTATAGCGTAAAACCTGTACAGCAGCGTCTAGACCCGCATGGTACAGTAGTTCCAGCTTTGGAGCCCCTTGCCCCGACTTGCCCCAGACTTAGTTTATCAACTATACAATCCCCTCTAGCCCGACTATTCCCCCTCATAATCTATATTCTTTACTCCCTCTCTACCACAATCTACAATAATGGGCTTCATCTCATCTATGGCTCGCTGTATACGAGAAGGCACATTCTCTCGCAAACACCGCACCCCCAAGCCCCAGCGTCTAGACGATGAAACAAATGACCTGATCGAGACCAACTCCAACCATGGCTCTTCAGTTGGAACAGAAAGTACTGTCTCCGCTTCGACAGCGATGCATTATTCAACCCTAGAACCAATCCCTCCAATCAAATCACCAAAGCGCAGACAGCTCAGTCCTACCGACTTGAACCTACAAACACTCTTCGACAATGGCAAGGCACTGGACGCTGCGGCAGACCCTACAACAAGGGCGTTCGCTGTTCCAGAGTATCCAGTCTACAAGCTAGATATGACCCCGACACCGGTCGACTCACCGACGAAGAAGTTGCAGGATCCAATTGATCCGGGGAAGAAAGAGTCGAGGGACACGGGGCGGAAGTCTGTTGAATGGATGGATGAGAAAATAAGGAAAGAGATCTCCGTGCCCCAAACCATGGTGGAGCGGGATGAGAAACCGGCGCGGAAAGAGGGAGAGCGAAAAGAGGCTGTGTCGAAGCTCCGGCGATCCAAGACGCAGACGCTGAGAAATCGGTTAAACGTGAAACTTCCACGGGCTCCTCGTTCCAGCAGGAACTTGCGCGTCCACACATCGCCTGGTTGGATTGATGCTTCTGATCTTGCTGATGAAGAGTTTCTAATCAATGTTGAAGAAGAAAAGTGGTTAGAGGCTCACGGGCTGGGTGGAGGTAAAAACATTGGGACGTGGACTGGTGGGGGACTGGGAAGGCCTTGGTGAGGCATCCATGGCTGTTGGTGACGATTCGATGATTATGGGTGTAAATGACAGGGAAGAACTTTGGTTCGGAAATGACTTAACGTTATGCATTAAAACGAAATCAATCGAGCAATAAATTGAATATTCAACAGAATAGAACTACGGAGAGTGATGTGGAGGAGAATAGATAGATTCTAGCCATTGAAGCGGACAAAACAGAAGGGCCCGGTAGATAACGCCGATCTTTCTAAGGAACAAAAGCAGACAAAAAAGAAGGAAGGCTTGGTAGGTAAATCAAGTAATAGATCCGGAATGAAGGAAACTAATTTGGCAAACTTTAGCAGGCCGCCAGGGACTTCTTCCGACTACAAGCGGAACTAGGATTTCAATAGAGGCGTCGTATCCTCGATTGAAACTACTCAGGCACAACCAATCAAAATCAAATCTAATGGATTAAAGAATATATATGCGAAGAACACCTGGTTAGACAGCAGCTAAACCACGGTTCCAAAGCACAAAGCAAGAAGCAGAGAGCACCAGGCCAAACACATCAACGTAAACAAAAACAGTCTTCTTTCTCCGAGGAGTGCCACACGACACAGTTAATGATACACGGGCTCGATAACAATATCGCCTAACTATTCCAAACAAATGCCAAAGCGCCTGCTATCCATCCCTGAGAATCGATAACGGTCCGAGTTCGCGTTCCTGCCAACGCCCAAGAGAGCGGACGTGGCGACCATTGCTTCCCGCATAATGCCTGAAAACCAAGTGAAACACTTAGATGATGGAGCCGAGGGCAATGCAGGGAAGGCCAACACCGATGAGGTCCGAGTTGGCGGACGAGGGGGAGTTCTGGCAGCAGGCAATGTTCTGCTTGCACTTCTGGTTGACCAAGTCCTGGATGGGGACGGCAATGAGAATGGGGACTGTAGAGATTATTAGCGGACGATCAGATGGGAGTATTGCGGGGTAGCTTACTCTGGAGATCCAGCTTGGAGCACTGGTCGAACAGACCAAGACCATCGGAACCGGAGCCAGCACCGATCAGGTTGGACAGAGTACCGCCGAGCATGCCAGAGTTGACATCGGTGGTGTCACCGGCGTAGGTAGCCTTGTTGCAGCAAGAGAGCTGAGCCTGGTCACCGCACTTGGCCTGAGCCTGCTTGACGGTCATGTTCTCGGGAACGGGGAACTTGACGTTGGTGTTGCCCTTGTTGCCAACGCCGTTAGCGTTGCCAATACCACCGGCGGAAGGGCCGACGGGGGGAAGGGCAGCGACGGTGGCAGCGAGGCCAAGAACAGCGGCGAGAGTGAACTGCATTGTGTGGATTTGGATTTGAACGAGAGAGACTCGGAGATTGGTTTTTTGAAAAAAGAAGACTGGACTCAGAAGAGAAGATAAAAGAGAGTGATGCGGGATTGAAAAAAGAAGATCTGGGGCGATGAATGACTATGCTTATATAGAACAAGATGGAGGTCTGTGAGCTCCTTCGATCACCAGGATTCACTAAGATCTCTGTTTGTTTCCCTCGCCCGAGCAATCTTCCCTTTCTCCCCGGAATGCGACCTGGAGGGTAATGGAAGGGGGGATCTCTCCACCTTCCAAGCCTCGCCATCCAACGAACGCTCCCTCGGCGGACTCCTGGTATGGATCTACGGGGCCGATTGGTACCTGCTTCACGCGACCGAGTGATCTACCCTGGCATTCCTCCGCCCTGGCCTTGTTTTGATTGAGAGCTTGATGTATAGAGACGTGGGGGATATCGGGAGTACAGTGATCACAGTAGTATTCTCACAACCTCTCTACTGCTGGTGATGAAACTACTAACCCATGGCCATCCTCGTATTATCAAACGGTTCAGCTGTAATTCTACTCTGTTCAAATGTTCACATGTTTAAATGTTCAAATGTTCAAATGTCCTTTGCCGCTAAACCCTTAAGCTTAACTCGTAGTTGGAAAGTGGGCCATCCACTCTCCCAGCCACCACGACAGGGATCCTGCCCTGACCCTGCATCGATTCGGGAGCTAAGGCATGTAACCGGCCCTACCAAAACACTACGGGCCCATGATTCGGCCTGTTTTGGGTGGAGTCAATGACGCATGGTTAGTCCACGCAAGGGATCTCGTGCTAACTCCACGCTCGTGAATCAGAGGTCCCCCCGGCTCTCTCCCTTCATTGTTCTGCACCCTTAGGCCACGAGCAAGAATTGGGCAACGTAACTTTCCTTCACTATAGTGCCCTATGAGAAATCTCCGATCGGATTATGTGAGCTGCTTCCTCCAAACATGCCACCTGTGGTGACAGTCGGCCCCGGCCTACACTGCTCCAGAATATGCCTTAATTGACCCCCAGTTGCAGCGTTTGATTCTCGCCCTTTGGCTCATACTCAATCCCATATCCCGAGGTTCTCTCCTGGCCTCATTAGCCAAGCAATCCGTACCCCCTTTCTATCTTGCCATCCCTACTTCCTACTTTCGTGATGCCGCGGCCCGCTTTAGGTTATGTTAGAGACGAGTGCAATATTGAAATTAAAGTCTATTTCTTCTAATCGGAATGATCGAGGCTCTGGGTAATACTTTCGATGCTCATCTCAATCTCCTGCGGCGTCATGAGTCAGTGGTAATGTGGGATGACTGTTGTTTATTTATGGAGAGGTTGATGGAACAGCTGCATTAGAGCTAGGTCAATTGTAGGGGACTTTTGGTCTGCGCTGTTCTGGTATGTGGGATGGAATAGATCACCAATAGGCATTTGCTTTAGAACTTGGGTAGCAGTTGATTGAGAGGTTGTAGATGTCTTTCCCAGGTCATTTCTTGTCTGAGGAAGCGGTCAATTTTCCCAACCATATTGTCGTAACTACTCTTTCCTACTGATTTCATTATTCAATTTTGGAATTTTCGCCGTAGGAGGTTCCTTTGACCACTACTGTCTAGTGGTGGACGTAGACACAACAGCACGCCGTTGCGACTCTCTCGGTTTGCCTTCACCAAATAGTAGAATTTATATTATGATGTGAATCTAACTGAGATTTGAATATCGTGGCAATTCTTTTGGTGCACATGAAATTCTAACTGGATTTTCAACCGAAGTCCAATTGAAGACATGGATGTTCAACAGGTGGCACAGCTATACATGCACATTATCGGATATATATATGAAGTCAAACTGTAATCGCTTCACCACATGCATTTTCAATCTAGGCCACAACGGCCGGACATTGATTTTCGATGCAATGATTGTAAAGCAATGTAGATTTATATCATTAGATGTTAATATATTATAATTCGATAAACTAATGTTCCCTGGGTCGGACTTCATCTGTGGCGAGTACTGCTGGGCCCAACCTTAGTGCACAGACTGGACAATTCGGTCGCACCAAATCAACAGGGGTACTTTGCACTGCTCTGACTCTGAAGATCAATCACCAGTTACATGTAAGAATTGTAGGTAATTCCCCGCCAGTTCACATTTAATATGGGTCTCGTGAAGGTCATGAGGCGGCTCTTGCACACATTCCCCGATATGCCAACCCGTGACTTCTGGCCCAATCAAAGGATTTCTTCGTGGTTCATGGTGATGAAGCCACTTAACCGTCATATCACGTACAAAGTTTAATACAGGGTGGTCAGAAGACATCCAGCCAAGCTCGAAACAAGCTCGTTGCCTAGGACTTGGGCCAGCCCCCCGGTTTGCCTTGAAAAGAGTATTCCGCAACAGCGCGGATACCTGTCTTTCCAGATGTCCACTAGGTTCTCTCTGGTCCGCAGAAAAAAACCAACCTCTCACTAAAAGATAATACCCCCCTTGTACTTGCTTTTCCTCGCTCCGTCTGCATGGTGTTGGACAATTATATACAGGGCGCGCTCGTATGCAAGCATCTCTAAACCTGGGAAGATAAGTTCGTCAAAAGCTTCTCCTGATCTGGAACTTACAAAATCGAAATAGATTCAAGCCCATAGATCGTGTAGTCTAATGGACCCTCATTCGAACCTTAGCTATACAAGATGACGCTAGTCTATAATAGGCCTAGATGGCGAAGGCGGTCAGTCGCGGTTTGCTTCAGATCCCCCAGACTCGCCCAAGACTTAGCATCCTCGCTTTGATCTATCTGTCGCAGCAGGATCGATTGCAAGAATGTCCGACCCATCGCAACCCTCTGCGCCAGCTACAGAGGACCATGCAGACTCTTCATCTGCACCGGAGTCGTCCCCCGCCCCGTCCGAAGCTCAACCCGAGTCCCCAACGGAGAAGGAACAGCTCGATACCAAGGGCCAAGAAACCTCCGACCAAGAATCAAAGGAAGTCGAAGAAGAAGACACATCTGCACCACATTTGCCCGATGAAGTGCCCCCGCCACTCCCCGATGAAGCACCGCCTGGGCCAGCTGAGGATGATGGATGGGAGCCCGTATGGGACGCCAACAGCAACGCATTCTATTTCTACAACCGATTTACCCAAGTTTCTCAGTGGGACAACCCACGCGTGGCCACAGAAACCGCACCTGGCGTCGAAGCCAGCGCGCCCGAAGAACCCCCAAAGAAAGCTCCCACACTTGGTGGATACAACCCCGCCATCCACGGCGACTACGACCCGACTGCACCCTATGCGCAGCAATATGAAGAGCAGACAGAAGATGTGACTGGACCCGCACTGGATTCGACCGCTGCGTACGCCGCAACCGGAACCTTTAACCGGTTTACTGGGCGGTGGCAGGCGGACTCGATCAACCCGGAGAACCACAACGATGAGAACAAATCACGGCGGCAAATGAATGCATTCTTTGATGTCGATGCTGCAGCCAATGTGCACGACGGAAGGAGTCTCCGTGCTGAGCGCAGCGCCAAGAAGCTAAGCAAGAAGGAGCTGAAGATGTTCAAGGAAAAGCGCCGGGAGAAGAAAGAAGAAAAGCGGAGGGCATGGTTGCGAGATTGATTGAAGCCCCAGAAAGCTGGAACAGTCGAGACATCTGCCGGGAATCTTCCCTGGCTGTCGCATTTTCTGATGAACATTTGCATGCTATTTGTGATACCACCCACACCGGGTGTGGGAATCGGGGCGTTTGTGGCTATTATTTTGCGATTTTGCGATTTCTTCTAGCATGCTACATAGAGGGGCCTGATTTGTCGAAGCTTGCCTCCCTCACAGCACCTGTACTATTAGCTATGAGCATCTATGCAATCGAACTTGTACATCCAGTTCTGAATGATGAAGTATAAAATTGAGGATTTTCCGGCGACCCCACCGTGTCACATGACCTATATATCAAAGTTTCTTCGGCGAGAACAACTTCGTCGCTGCAAGAATCTACGCCTGTCAAAGCGACGCAAAGGTAAGCAATTCCGAGTGTTTGGGTAGTTTCGTCCACCAATTTTGTTCTTGATTGCACTTGAAGCCCACGTCTTTTAGTTGGTGGGGGGCTGAAATTGCATCACCATCCATGTGCTTATCAACGCCTCATGCAACTTGAAGCTACTATGGTTCAATTGCATGTAAACAGCGAAACAAGTATTTAAGCTCATTGATTGCATTTTTCTGAACCTCTTTCGTCGGCTTGACATGTTCTAGCTTGTTCAAACCCTTCAGAATACCTCGACTGACGCCCCACTAGCACATATCAAATTCTCCACTGAGTGGGAAAATAATCGTTGTTGGAAATCTTAGTCTTGCAACAAGCACACATTAATCCGATCACAATGTCTACACCAACGACAAAGCTCGTCGAGCTCTCGTTCGAGGCAGTTGACGACCTCATCTACGATGCCCGCGCTGGCGATCTCGAGGCTCTCAAGGCCGACATCGCCACTCTGGCTTCGCAGCACGGCTGTCCCGAGTCCCACATCGTCGCATCTGCTATCGATATGGAGGCTGAAAGCGAAGGCGGCACAGGTTCCTGTGTTTTGCACTTCCCGGCTGCCAATGGCAACATCGGTACGTTGTGCTTGACTTTATTATTATTAGCTATAGACTGATTTGTCTCAGAAATTCTCAACGCTCTTCTGCAAAAACTGTCTGACTTGGATGCTGCCCAGCGTGCGGCATTTGTCAACCACCGCAACTACTCCGGTAACACGTCGCTGCACTGGGCTGCGCTGAACACGCACTTGGAGTGTGTCAAGGCTCTTGTTGAGTCGGGTGCGGACGTTACTATTAAGAACGATGCCGGTCATGATGCCGTGTTCCTGGCCGAGCGGGCTGCCTGGTCTGCGTCTGCCGAGGAAGTCAACGAGGATGAGGAGATGCAGGAGATCGAGATGACCATTGGCGAGGGCGAAGGTGAAGGCCAGGGCGAGCAGCAATCGGCCGGGGAAATGTCTGCAGGCAGACAGGTTGTTGAGTGGCTGCTGTCATCGGAGAAGGCGGCTGGCTTGGAGAGCGGTGCTAATGAGGGATCGAGCTCGGCATAGATGGTTACATGAACAAAGCGATGGAAATACAATAAAAGTTTGAGATAGACAAAGCATTTTGGCCATATTCTATGAATCTAAGACATGAGTTCTACACTGGTAGACCCATTTTGTGGGGGATAATATACACAACGTTGGCCAGATGTTGCCAGGGGCCAATTCCATCAACCGCGCCACACTTAATCTAATTTCCCGTTAGTGTTTTGTGGTGTCACAGGGAACCAATCTACCACGGAGCCAGTGGAGTACGAGCCTTCGGTATTCTCGGGATCAATCTCTCGGACCTTGGCATCGAAGCCGACCTTGAATCGTCGGTCTCGCCATACGACTGTTACACCGCCGTAGACAGCCGAAAGCCAGATGGGGAGAGCTAGAAGTTCGCGGCCTAGCCATGCCATAAACCATTGTTGGAAGGGACGGCGAGTGGCATGGGACGCAGAACGACGAGTGGGCCGTGCAAAGATGGGTGTGTCTTCATCAAGCTCAATAGCTTTCGCCGAATGCAGATTGACATACAATGTCCAGTCGATAAAAATCCAGAGCACCATGCTGAGCGCAAAGAATGCAAAGAAAGAAGTCCAAGTACCGACAGCCGAGGCGAAAGAAACGCCTTTTTGTTCGAGGTATGGAGCCAATGCAGTAGTGACACCCCAGGCACCGTAAATGGAGCACACAAAGGACTCGGTACCGGGTTCAACAAGGGTTGCCAAAAGAACAGTGAACTTGCGAACGCGAAGCCACCGAACACGACGCGCAATGTACCCTCGTACACTCATGTTGGCCACGGGCTGGATTGCCAGGTCCCCAAAGACCATGGCATGCTTGCCCCAGCGCTCGTGGGATGCCTTCTCTTCGGGCACTTTCTTTCTCCATAGAAGATCACCAATCAAGTGGTCCTCGCAGATGTTGTCAGAGAAGAAATCGATTCCGGGAAGGCGAGGATTTGGTTCATTTGGAGCCGGGGCCGTGAGAGAGTCCAGATGTGAGCGGCGGAACATGTTGGATTTGCCCACAATACAGGGAGCAATGAGGACTGTGTTGATGGCAGTATACATTTTGGCGTGGGACGAGGACAAGAACAGCTCCTCAAGGCGTCCACCCCCATGCGCAAACATGCTTCCCAGACTATCCTCCGGACGGCTGGAAGTCAACGCGTAGTTTGCCTCCCTGGGAATCATAGCATCAGGATTGTCATCCAAGAGTGCCTGGCGCTCTTGCTGCAAATTACTCTCGCCAGTGACGTCGACAGCCACGGGCAGATGATGCACGAACTTGTACTTCTTGCCTCGAGTAGTTCCTGATCCACAGAGTCTATCCGCCATGCGGGCACACACTCCCTTGCCAACCCAGACATTACAATCAATAATCCAAATGATGTCTCCCTTGGCTTCGCGATATGCCCGGCTCATGTTCCGGATTTTGGGGTTCGGTCCAAGTTTGTATGCATTGGGACTATCCCCCTGAAGCATTGGGTCATCATTCTCGACGTACAATCGCGCGTCGACATCGGGAAAATCGGCGATCAGCTTGCGGAGGGTCGGGTAGGCGGGGTCGTCGCGCGTAGACACACACAGGCAGATCGTCAGCTTGTCACGCGGGTAGTCTTGACGGAACGTAGCGGCGAGACAGTCGTAGAGATGAGGCTCGAGGCCCTTGACTGGTCGAATGGCAGTGACGTGGGGAGCGTCGGCGGCGGAGGCCAAGCGGGAGCGGCGCGGCTGTCGTAGAAAGTATTTCCATCTGGGGTTCAATACTGTTAGCCACAACCCTATTCACCTATTCACCTAGACTGCACTGGGTACAGCCCCGAGACCATTCCCACGTACATCTGAAAGTAACCCAGAGCACACACCACCAACACGATGAGATACCAGATCAGACCGATCCAGCCAGCCACGGTGGATGCGGGCATGGCGCCATGCCCGGGCACTCGTTCAAGGAGCGAGGTCTCTAGCATGGGTCGCAGGTGAATGACACGAACAAGAACATTCTAGGACACTGAGCTGGTCTTGGTGGCCCAAAGCACAGCTCGGATGTTGCGGAGTGGATTTCGGTTTTGCCGGGTTTCGCACGCCGCCTGGGTCAACGGGTCAATGGGTCAATTCCAGTGCGTATTCGTGTTTGAGACTGACGATCTACGCGAGATTGGCCTTGACTAATCTGCGTGCTGACTCGTATTTACTTTATCCTGAAATCATTTCTTTTGTTGTCTCCCCGGTCCCTTGGTGTTTACTGCGCTCCTCTTTTGACTTCAGCGTTGTGATGCCTGGTTCGCGAGGCTACTGTACCCCTGGACCCAGGCTGCGGTATGCCATATTGAAGGTAGCGTAAGCCATCAAACAAGAATAGTACTTAGGCACCCTGGCCCGAACCAAGCAGCGTAATGTCTCTAAGAGTATCGTGAGCCGGAGGATAGAGTTGACATATACACTGGGACTCATGCACTACTAGCGCTATCGAACCCGGGCCTCGGACCTAAGAGATAAAATATTATGCTCATGCTCCCTTTGGTATTATACAGCTCCTACTTTGTAATCATCAAGTTCGAGGGCGAAGTTGTGATAAAATATGGCATGGGAAAGGAAATTAGTGATGAGAGAAAGAGTCTCGTCGAAGTTCATAGTGGCCAACTAATTCCAGCCTGCCCAATCCAATGCTATAAAACGAATCCCCTTTAGACTCCGATCCAAATCCTATGCTCACTAAATTATGTCCTTTTCTTTTTGCGAATGAGACCGGCATTGAGCACATTCACGGGTGCTGGCTGCGATGGAGCCTGTTGCGTGTCCGACTCGCTAGGCTGTGCTGAATCTCCGGCGGCTGCCTTGCTGGCCTCATCCTCAGATTTCTTCCGCTTACGGATCAAACCGCTGTCAAGAAGGTTGTTTATCGGCACAGATTCCGAAGTCGTGCTCTGTGGAACATGGGTTCCGGTTACCCGTTTACCCCAGGTAAGCTGGTCCGCTAGAGAGGCGACCTCGTCGACATAGGCTTGGGTACTGGCGACAATTTCCTTCTCGTCGTAGAAATGATCCAAAACACAATCCATCATTTTCTTATAATCGGCTTCGCTGAGAATGACGTTCCCTCGTCCAGCCTCGGGCCAATAGAAGGGATTGGGTTCCGTAGACACAGCAGGAATAGATGCCGTTGGCGAGGGATGGAAAGAAAGCGCTGGCGCGAATTGAAGCTCTGCAGGCTGTTCCACATCCGTAAGCTCCTTGTGGGGTTCTGATGATGGCTCTGCTTTGGACTGGTCCGGCCGGTTTTCCGATTGAGCTTCCTCGGGGATAGCGTGGGAGGTTGCCTTGTCTAAGATAGAGCTGCGAGTCCGACTGGCCATAGTCGTCGAGTTCATCAAACCTGGTGGATTAATGACAAGCCAGAGGAAGCCCACGAGCCGACCGGCAGAGCACTCCTGCCGGAAGGACATCATCTCCCAGAATTGGTCCAGTGACTTGACACTCTTCCACAGACCAGTAGCAAGCGGTGCAGTTTCTCCTTCTGTGGGTTCGGGAAGCTCATCGTCCAAATCAATCAAGAATCGGGTCTTGGGGTCATCGGGGAGACGAGGAACCAAGCAGCGCGGCGGAGCTTCCGGGTCATGGCACATCTGCTTTAGAGGATAGCTGCTGAGCCATCGTGGACGATCTTGCGCGTCGGATCTGGCCGTGGGAGGGAAAAAGTTGCGTGTCTCGAAGCGATCACAACCTGGAACGATCAGGTACGCGGTCGCAGAAGCCTTGGTCGCCTCGACTGTCTGGTTCAGAAGCTTCGGATCTTTTGAGACCGATTCAGGCTCATGCTCACGAATGATTGGGTCTACGGCACGACACCACCATTTGATCAGTCCCCGGTCATCGAGGACGTGTTTTTCGGCATTTTCAATACTGCCCGGGAACAGGTACTGGTTCTGGGCGCGCGCAAACAAGGACACGACCAGGCGTACGCCCGGGCGTTGATGTGTGCGTGCTAAATATGATAGAAAAGTGCTTGAGATGAGTCTCAGAACCGATACCTTCTGTGGCAGTTTGAGCAGGTGTAGGAACCCGGTCGAGTCTGCCTTGGAGACGAAGATGGTGGTCAAGTGGGCCGTAGTATAGACCATCACTTCCATTCCGAAAACAATGATTTCTGCCCCATCATCCTTAGGCGAGTCAACAGAAGCCGATACAAAATGGCTTTCGAGAAATGTTTGCTCAGGTTCCCGACCGGGCGCAGCGGCAAAGAGAGCTGGCGCCGGAGAGGGAGTGGATGAGACATGGCGGACGGTGAGCTCGGCCCCGAAGGGTAGGATCTTAGCCAAGAGATCTCCCAGATCCCCGTCCGATGCCATTGTCACACGCCCAATGAAAGGAGGTCTTAGTGGGAAGATGAAGTGGAAAGTTGTGGACCTGTTTTCTTTTCTTTCTCTTTTTCCTTGCGTTGCCGTGTCGTTGCAGATCACGTGCCAGGCCCCAGATCGAGCTCCGTGGTCGAAGTAAGGAATACCGTCTGCATCTTATATATGAAACGGTGAGGCGAGGAATCCAGGAATTGAGATCTCTCTGACAGATCATGGTTCGATAAATTGGGGTTGCCGGAGAGGTGTTCCTACGCATCTAGTCGATATCTGCATCAGTCGTATAGATTGCCATGATAATCATGGGAAGGAGGGCGAATGTATTTTGAATAAAAGAACGCAAGCCAGTCAATGTTCAAGTCGATGCGAAACACGTTGTTTCCAATGTCTAGCCAAGAGCAAGTGAATCAGTGTGATGTTTCCTCGACGTATCCTTCCCATCGTGGAGTTTGCACTCCCAGCCTTGAGCTTCATTTCTTTATTTGCGACGATTGCCTTCAAACGTCTTTGTTCTTCTTCTAGACTTGCTCCACTCCCAATCAAACCAAGTTCATGACCATACCAAAGCACAACTGGCCAGGCAAGTGTCGCGCCTGCTGGGGATCACCACCCGGCCAGCTCTAGGCTACATATCGGACTCGGTGCTTTGATACTGATATGAGAACCTAGAGAAACATCTGCACAATTCTGATCACACTTTTGCTAGTGATCATGTGGAAGCACAACACGTGCCGTCCAGGTAAAGTCTCACACAATTGTCACCTTACTGAGTGATATCTAATGCGTCTGAAGTCGACCCCAATCTACCCAAGCGATGTACAATGCTCCAGATTCGATACTCATGTGGACACTCAAAAGGTGGCGAGTTCATCAAGTGCCAAGAGCACATCAATAAAGAAGATGCACGCTGTTCGCTTCCAAAGATCGCCTATGTCGAGGGGAAGCTGTCGTCTCACAGATGCCGAGAGTGTCTCCGCAGCGGATGAAAAGACAGCCTGAAATCGAGGCGACGCCTGACCAGGCATTTATCTGGAACCAGAGGTTCTGTGAACTCGCGTTAACAAATGGAATTGGGGAGGTGATACTTGAGCGAGGCCTGTAAGTTATACAGTGCTTGATATTCTATTCAATCCATTGAATCTATTTCAAACTCAGGTACGAGCGATGGCACAATTAAACGAGAAACACCCAAGAGGTACTCTATATCACACAATCAGAACTCTTTGGTCACTGCGTCGAGATCATCCGCATTGAGAAGGGTAACTCCCTCGCGTAAAAGTGTCCTCCAAACGAGGTTACGCTGGCGGATGGGCCAGACGGGCGTGTTCCAATATCTCGCACCAATGCCGCGCTTCTTTGCCGTGGCGATCTGATCACGGAGTGCCTTGAGCTGGCCCTCGGAGAGAATCGGATCAGTGTCGGAGGTGATCTCGCCCACTGCGGCCGCAAAGTCTGTAGAGGCGATGGGGGAGACCAATCCCGTAATGTCTTTGTACTTGCGATCGTTAAGCTTGTCAAGGGGTCCATCGAAGAAGTAGTCACGATCCTTGACGGGCGCGACCATGTCGAGTGGGGTTTCACCTGTACCGATAATGGTGACGGGGCCATTTGTGATGGTTCGGCCACCCTTGAGAGTGGTCAGATAGCCCTTCTCCCGAAGGGGCGCCAGAGCCTCAATGACGGCCTCGAAAGTTTCGGCGCCGGAAGTCTTCACGTCGATGAAGAAGTAGAGCGTCTGATCGGGAGTAGTATCCCAGACACCGCTGTTTCCCCTGATATTAACATTGATACGACACTTGTCGAAAGGTGCTTACTTCTTGGTAGGTTCCGTCACAAATGGACTGACGGGGTTTTGACGTTCTAAAACGTCCAGAATCGGGTTGATATAGAGGGCCTCGAGTGTTCGCTCCTCCGTCAGGGCAGATTGATCATGTCCAACCTGAGGTGACTAGTTAATTGACCAGTTGGAAGCATCGGGTGTGAATAAACAAACAAAAAGGGTGCCGTTATACAACCAAACATCGGCTTCGGTGGACGTGCAGCCCTTGGACAAACCTAGGGGCTTCATTAGTAGGAGCCCAGTCAATATGTAGTTCGAGACATACCGGTATAGAAAGGCTCATCTCTCCAATAGTCACTGCTCAGTAATCAGAATGAGCTCATGGGATTCAATGCTTATGATATGCGCAGGGAGACTTACTTATGAGAGTGCACAGGAATCTAAACATGACGTTAGCCACAGTTCCCGAAGCACGTTGTCACCCGATTGAGATGAAAAGATCGAAGTATCACTCACTGGATATAGATCCCTTGTTATGTCGGTGGGATATTCATATTCTTTGCTCCCGTGGGTGTTTTTCAGAATACTTTGCAAGCTTGAAGTGATCGCGCCGACCGGGTCCGGACCGGAAAGAGCCACGACCACGGCCGTAAGCAGTATAAGCACAGATACCATAGTGCTGATTATCCCGAATGAATTGACACCAATTGACATGCAGTAAATAGTTCGAGGTTCAGTTGTGAAGGGGTGAAGTCGACAACATTTGGAAGCAGGTTGAGGCGGAACGCGGCGCGCACGTGTTCTGGGGCGCTCATACAAATCGCCGATCTAAGTCTCCACGATAATTATCAAAGTGGCTTCAGTTAACAACATTCATCTGCTGTAACAATGGTCATTTGGAAAAGATTCATATCGTGCCAGTAATTCTATGTACAAAATCGAATGCATTGATATCTTCGCGACACCCTAAACTTCTCTCACGCTCGGGGATTGTCCACCCTGCTGCGAAATTGAGTTGCGACCTCGAAGACTGAGGTTCCCTATGCGCTGGACCAGGTTACTACCAACCGCATCTACAGCACCCTTAGGTGCCAACAAGGTGGGACCCTGAGCGGCTGCCTCCTGTACCCTAAAGAGTCGGATGTTGGTTCCATTCCAAACACCAACTGTGCCTGGTGTCGCACCCACAGCGGAGCCAACAACCATCTCGCTAGAGAAGATGGAACCCCAAAGGAGCGATTCGTACCAACCCATAGATAGTGCAGACCATTCAAAGGACTGGGCACGGATCGGGGTTGGTTCCGACGTGATGCTCTTGATCTGAGGCTCCTCCGAAAAGGATGGAAGGTTGTTAATCAGAGTACGAGCCTCGGGGCTAGATGTGGTCTGAAGCGCTACCTCGGGAATGTGGGGGGCGATGGCAGAGATGATGGTGAGAATAGTATGCAGAGGAAGCTCCGGAAGCCAGTTTTCAAGCTGGAGAGATGGAGTCAGTACGGGTGGTTTCGGTTTCGCAAGGAAGATAAAAGCTTACCCAAGCAACAGTTGGCGTGAAGCCAGTAGACGATGACGTGAACAAAGCAGACATGCTGGTTTGACTGGTCATGCTATTCTGGCGCGAGAAAGACGGTCTTCCGGCAGGCATCTTGCCACGCGCCTTCTCAGACATTACCCGGGCCTGGGAGATGCTCTCATCAGCCGTGGATGCAACAGAGGGCCGACGAGAGGTTTGAGCCGACGGGGACGACTGATATGGAGTGTCCTGTCCATCGGGTCCTTCCCGATCATCGGAATCATCGGAATCATCGTCGCCAATCGCAAACGCGCTGTTCTCCTCGGGAATACGGGTCAAAGACGATCGGGCACCCGAGGGCGCATGAAGGTCCTCTTCCGAGTGCGAAAGTGTTGGGCTGGTGATGATGTCTCCTGGCGTGTCACCTGCCTTGCGTTTCTCTTTCTGACGTTCAATCTCCTGCTGGCCACTCTCCAAAGTGAAAGCCCGGACGGCTTCGAATCGCTGCTTGTACTTCAAGATTGCGTAAACAAGGTACGGGTTTTCTGTGAAGTTATGCTCGAGAATCGCGTTGACAAAGTCGAGCAGCGAGGCAAGAAGCGTGTGATTCGTCTCATTTGCCAGCAGGAAGCTGGGTGCAGACATAGAAGAAAAGAGTTGGATGATCTTGGAACATGCGCTCGGAGAGAGGTGTTTGATGTAAGGGGCGATGTTGTTGAGGATAATGAGAAGAGCAGGGTAAACGGTATCAAGATTTCCCTTGCTGGTAGCCATGAGAGTGTGAACCGACTGTTTAGGTTAGTGTGGGTCATTAACTTCATTGATAAATTTGGGGACAAACCATGATCAGATAGTCGGCATATGAGCCTCGGAACTTCAGCAGTCGAATTGATTGAGGCAAAGTTTCCTGTGCCTCGAAGGCCATGTTGAGACTCTTGCCAAAAATGGGCTCTGCGCTCATAGTTTGAAGAATAAAAATGCACATCCGGACCACACCCTGCTTGGTCGGGTCCATTCTGTACTCCATCGCGTAAAATATGCAAAGAATCACAAAATCGTGCGAGCGATTAGAATCAATGATAAAGGATCGGAAGCGTTTGTTGCACTGCAACGTCTCCCAGAAGAGCATGAGGATCTCAGGTGCCCATTTCACCGATCTTTGACTTCCAGGGAGATAGGAGCTCGTGGCTTGCATCTGTTATGTGTTAGCAACGAGAGAGATAAGAAAAAAGCGCATTCACGTACAGGCTGGTTTAAGATCCTTGTCATACCATCCATAAGGAATTGGAAATCCTGGGGCCGATGAAGCCTTCCGAAATAATGGCGGTAGTAGTTCTTTGGTGGAGCTCCGCGACCATCCTCAGGAATTGGATACATGAGAAGAACGAGGAGGAGCTGCAAGCAGTATATCACCAGGATCTGCTTCGGATCTTTCCAGACAACATGGTCGTATGGTACCCTCCATGTGGCGGGGTTATATTTCATAGCCTATTTTATGTCAGTCATAAACAGATCGCCCGGCTTTGATGAGCGTACCGTATTGAGGAGGGAGCATAGAAGCGTCAAGACGGCCTGCTTGTCTTGGCAAGTGGTGATATACGTAATAGCCCTGACACCTTGCACAGGAAGGGTGTCTTTAAAAGTCAGTCGTTACCGTAACGTTTATTTTGAGACTAAAAGCACTCACTGGATGGCATGTACATCGCCTTGCCTGTCATCGTCAACAGCAAGCGTACAATCTCACATCGGTTGCTTTCCAAGGTCTTGTTCGATCCCATTGCCGTGTTGCAACCAACACCACTCTGCCAAATCGAGTACGAGATCTTACTCTTCGCAGTAGGAAGTATTGGAATAGTGAAGTCGGCGAAGAAGAGCAGGTCGAGCAAAGTGTCAATCAGCTCTTCACCAAGAGGCTTCACATCCTCGTACTCCTCCCCTAGAGGCGACTCGTCCCGCGGGCTCTCCGACTGTGCTTCATCAAACAGAATTTCGCCGGCAATCTGCGCCTGTCTGGTCTTTTTCCTGCGACTGGCCCAGAAGAATTTCTCTTCCCAGTCTTCAAGGTGTTCGGCTTCGTAGACAAAGGGCAGCAGTCGGGTGAGGATCCGAACGCAATTCAGAACGTCACGGTCGGGAGCTAGGTCGGGGTCTGGGAATGAGGGGTGGTTCTTAAGTACTATCAGTCGCGACGAGACCGACAGTAACAGCGTTTCAAAGTTGGATAAGGCATGGTCGCGCGTTCGTCGGATGTCGGCTGGCGTGAATAAGCTGAAGATGTCCTCAGAGGATTCAGGGAGTTCCCAGAACTGTAAGCCGTGTCAGTTTTAATAAGATCTGCGCCTCACTTCGAAGCGATCTGTGTTCATTTTGACATACTCGTGTCCAGTACGGGTCGTCAGCGGGGATCTCCTTCTCCTCGGAGAGGCGGAAGATGCCCTGCTTGAAGACAAGCTTTGACTCCGAGGCCCCCATTGCTGAAGAAAGTCGCTCACAGCTCCAACGTCATGTAGTAGACACCCAGGGGTCAGAAAGCGTGTTGTCAGAGCCGAGAGCGAAGTTGCGGTTCGTTCCTGTTGCGGAGTCTTGGCCTGAACACGAGCTTTGGGAGGATCCGCCGAGCCGCGCCCAGGTACTCGGAACTTGAACTTGAACCACTGCAACTTCCTTTCAACCGGGGATTTCAACCTTGCTATTGCTATTATAAAATGAGATGAATGACATGGATTTTTAAATATGCTTCCATTTCATTATGAGGGAATCGCTAAGAAACCGTATTCTACAAACTCCATGCCCAGCCCAGTATGAGATACAAAAAACAAGAGAATCAAAGAGGACCGTTGCTGGTAGAGAGTCGTCGACTTCTCTCATATAGCCACCGGTTGCTCACTCCTAGGCTTGCTCGCTTGCCCCCTAACGGAGAAGGAGTGCCGGGTCCAATGCTAGACATACCTGACATCGTAGACTCTCCAAACGAATTGCTCCGACCAAGAGGTGACGAGGACCCAAAGCTCTGTCGCCGACCAGTTATGTCTCTGCCTCCATTTGCGACCGCCTTGTGGAGCAAAGGGCTAGACGCGGGGGAGAAGGAGGGTCCTGAGGAAACCCGTCGTTCGGAAAAGGTAGGGGTCGCATTCATAGGAGACGTCTGTCGGCTTGAAGGGCTGGCCTTGCGCGACGTGGACATTCGGTATCTCGGAGGGGTGAGGTATGTGGTTCCAGGGGTGGCAGGTGGTGTAGCGGTAGGGTTCATGCCCAACAGAGCACGCTGGGTGGGGGTAAGGGGGATATCGGAGAAGTCGTCCTTCGGTCGGTATAGAGGATAGAGAGCCAGGAAAATATTGAAGGCGAAGAAAAGCTGGAGCAATAGGAGTGAAACCTCGTGGTATGTGGGCTTGTTGTCAAAAATGAGACGTGCGCTGTTGAAAGACTCGTCAGAATATGTTATATGAAATAGCCAGTGTTCGCGACCTACTAGGTTTTGAAGGTGTTTCCAAAGAACCAAGTTGTCACCAAGGCAGCTCCATTCCACAGCAGCCTCTTCACGTCCTTGTCACCAAAGGTCGCGGCATTCTGACGCCTGACAATCTCATTGAGCTGGGGATGCCGCCATTTGCCCGGCGTCCCAGACCCCTCCGACGAAGGAGGTGCGACCGCAGCAGCTTTGGGAGTCGAGGGTGCAGATAACGTAGCCATTTATTATGCGCAGCAAACAAGAGCCGAGTGATAGTCGTAAATGCAAAGGCGAGAAGTCAAACTGAGATTTGGGATCAATAATTGCCCATCACAGGGGAGAGCGAGAGACTTACCTGGTTAGACGAAAGAGAGCACTTACCTGGAGTCGAGTTGAAGAGTTGATCACAGCATTGGAACTAGGGGAGCTGTTCCCTGGTCATCAGGGATGTTGTGATGGTCGCAAGTGGCTGGGTCCTGAGTCCTGGATCTAACAGACGCCGGCGCGTCGAATTTAGACGCCGGTCTTACAGTTGACCCGAGCACCGTATTCCGCACCCCTCAACGTCATAGTTTGTGGTTGTTGACACTACAACGAGCTGTCTCTATCACAATGACAGATCAACCGTCGCTTCTCCGGCAGCTGGATGCTGTTCTGGACAGTCTGGTTGCTGACTGGAACATCTACACCACCATCGTCGCCGGTATTATCGCTGTCTTCTTCGTCTACTCCGTCATCTCTTCCAAAGATCCCGATGTACACCCATTTCTTCTGGCTCGCCAATCAACAGGATCCCCTATTCGACAGCCGGGTGAATCCGCCACCTACCGCAGCCTAGAGACTCCTCACGGATTCCCTCTCCGCCTCGGTTTGAACGTCAAAGATCCCGGAGCGCCTAAGTGGACCGCCGGAAGACGTGGAGATCTGCGTGATGTCTGGAAGGCTGCTCTGCGCGGATCTCTTAACCCCGATGGAACCGTCGCCGGACAGCAAGGAAAAATCTATACTGTTTTAGGCAAGCAGGCAGTTGAGCACTCGCTGAGCAAGGTCACTCAGGAAATCAATGTCATTGGCCGTCATCTTCGGGAATCCGACGTTAAGACCGTCGCCATCTGTCTGACCGACTCCGTTGAATTGCTAGCTGCTATCTTTGGTAAGAAACTACAATTTGCGGTTAGATGTTACCTGTTAAGGATCAAGTGCTGACCTCAATCCAGCTGGCGCCTTCTATGGTTACAAGACGATCATTGTGCCTCATAACTTCCCAGCTGAGACTCTGTCAGCTCACCTGAAACATGTTCAAGCCGATGCTCTGATTGCTGAGGCCGGATCTTTTGATGTCTCTTTGGTCACCAAAGAGAACAAGCAGCTGTCGGTCGTTCTCTGGGTTGCAAAGGAAGGCAACCGACACATGGACTGGCACGAAGTTCCAGAGGGCGCCAAGGACAACTTGGAAGTCTCTGTCTGGCATGAGCTTGTCGAAGAGCAACAAGATTTGGCTGGCATGACAGTCCCTGAATACGACCCTAGCACCCCGGCACCCGCTCTGAATACCGTATGGCCGTCATCCTCGCAGGCTGGCGAGTTCATTGATTTCCAATCTGAGGTAAATAAAAAAACACGCCCTCTCTGTCTAAGTTCCACTCTGACAATCCTACAGAACCTCGTGTCTGCAATTGCGGCCTTGAACTCTGCACTGCCTCGCACTCAACGTTTCACCTCAGCTGATCTTGTGCTCTCAATTGATTCTCTCGCACGGTCATATCCTCTGTTGCAAGTCATGAGTGCCTTGTTTTCAAATGCTTCTGTGGCTTTGAACTCTGTTGCAGGCGAGCAGGTCGATTTTGCACTAGCTACTGCGGGCGTGTCACCTACAGTCATCATCGCATCGTCACGCACCATGTCTAATTACCATGAGCGAATCATGCAGCCGCATACCGGACCCATCTCATCTCTTGGCCGGTGGATGCAAAGTCGCACCTTGGAAGCCGGAAACATGCCGTCAAGGAACTTTTTCAGTCAGCTTGCCCAGATTGGCCCGACTGCCGAGCTTTCACTAGACAGACTGCGTCTGCTCTGCATCTCGCATCGTGTTGATGGTGAGGCATCGGCTCGCCTCAGCTCCGAGCAGTTGACGGATCTTCGGGTCTTTACTGGAGCTCGCGTGGTCTATGCACTGACTGGACCTGGGGTTGCTGGCGCTATTGCCCAAACTAATGTGTTTGACTACCGATGCTGCACAGGCCAGAGCCACTTTGGAGCTCCTCTCAGCAGCACTGAGATTACCCTGACTGGCATGTCCGAAGCCAATGCTTCTGACGGTCTCCCAGAGGGCCAGGTAAGATTCCCCCAGTTTTTCTCCGAGTTTAGTCACAGTACTAACCGTCTTTAGATTACTGTCTCTGGTCCTGCTGTTGTCAACGGCAAGACTACCCTTTCGTCACGAGGCCGCATCAGCAATGACAACACCTTGGAGCTGTCCTCTTGATAGTCTCTAGCAAATACACATTTCAACAGCCTATTTGCCCTTGAGCGTTCGCATTTCTATTTCGGGTTGCAAACATAGTACCTTTTATGTTGCGAATATTACAACCAGCCCACAGATTCGGGTTCTAGGGATTCAGAATTCATTCTATGAAATACAGTCTGCTCCAGATAGGATGGAATCAAAGTAATATACATATGCTAGTAGCTCAAGAATTAAAATGACTCAAGTTCGCCAAATTCAGACATCTAGCCCTGGAGCAGCTCGCGGGCGTGCTTCCAGTGCTCGCTATCCTTGTCCTTGTGCGTGGAGTCCTCAACCACAGTCTTCAGCGACTTCTTCACTTCGTCGAGACGAGAAGAGACTTCGCGGTTGAGGACCTTATCGGCAGCGATGCCATGAATCGATTGGCACATTCGCAATCCATTGTAGACTGTGCTTGCCTCACGGATCCAGTTGTTGAGGTTCTTGCGACCATCGTCCGAGGGGCCTTTTTGGTAATGGCCCTTAGGCGCAGAGGCAAGGAGCTTCTGAGTATAGCCGAGGACTTCCTTGTCGTTGTCTTTGCCAGCAAAATCGTTGATAGCGCGAGCGGCACTTAGCTCCAGAAGAGCAGCGATGACAACGGGCTGGCTCTTAGGGTTCATGGAGGGAGCACTGTATGAATGGTCGGGGAGGTCGGCGTCCATAATGTCGACTGCCTGCTTGGCCATGTTCAGAGCCTTTCCAACCTCAGGGCCCTTGAACTCAGCCTTTTGAGCAGAAAGGTGAAGCGTGAAGAAAATAGTCTTGACTAGCTCCAAGTTCCGCAAACGAAGGCCAGTGATCTCCGACTGCCTGGCGCACTCGATGATCAGGTGAAGCTTGTGAGCACCGCCTGCCTTGCGAATGATCTGTTCCCAGTGATCATCCGTAACAGAATACTGGGCTCCCCGCAGCCCACTGACAAAGGGAATGAAGTTCTTATAGTCCTCGGTAGCTTGCATCATCTTAATGACCTCGATGGCATCCGACTTCTTTGGGGAATCAATGTGCTTCTTGGGCTGCAGAGTGTATTCTTCAGTTTCGCTAATGTTGATAGTAATGGGTTCATCCCGCAATCGCTGCGCGTACTTCTCCTTGTACATGCTTGTTCGTTGTCTTTTCGGGAGGCCAGCCGGAATGAAGAGATCTCGTCGGAATCGGTCGAGGGCGTCGTTCAATTCGGAGGAGGAAGTCGGGGAGAATGTCGGGATCGCTAAAGACCGTCTATGAGCATATAGAAACACAATTATACCATGTTCTGAGCCAGTTCTTACCTGACTTTGAAGCGTAGCTGCGAGCCTGCGAGATGGCCGATTGGCGCATGGCACCCGGCCAGCGGAAAAGTCTACCAGCCATGATTGATAATATATCCGCTGCAGTTCAAGCTTTCAGAATTGCAGTAGATTCAATCACGAGGGTGGTAGGGGATTGAATTGGAAAACGCGAAAAGCGAGGCGGAGAATCTCGACGCCGAATAAATCGAGGCTTGGCATTATTCTGCCGTCGCCGGTCCGCAGCAAACTTCTCCGACTTCCTCTAATTCACATCCTCCATCACAACCATGGCGGCTTTACCAACAATGCGGCCGCTGGGCTGCCTGAGATCTTTGTTTAAGACTCAAGAGGCCATTCAGCCTCAGATCAGCCGCCGATTCATCTCGACCGCCTACTCGCAGCGTCCCAAGCGCGTCCCTTTCCCTTCCAATATCCCCGAACAATTCCTGTCACAAATTCCTGCCCGCCATCAGCCTCAAAATGGTATGCGCTACAATCGGTCTGGATATGGTCACGCCATTCTTGCTAACTTGAGCCACCCATCACAGCCCCCAAGCCGATCAAGGTCTACCCTCCTCCGCCCTCCACCCGCGCCGTATGCAAGGACCCAATCGCAAGCGTCACCGAGTCGCAATTGTCGGAGATCGATCCCAAGGGTGAGCGTAAGGCTCTGTTCGACTACCGACGGAATCCCCGCAGTGTCAAGCCGGGTGATATTGTCCGGGTCACATTCAAGAACGGCGACCCGTTCAATGGTGTTGTTCTGAGCATTAAGATGCGTGGCATTGACACCTCTTTCCTGCTGCGGAACGAGCTCACTCGCGTCGCCGTTGAGATGTCTGTGAAGGTGTTCAACCCGAACATCTCGAGTGTGGAGATTGTCCAGCGTGCAGAGCACAAGGCTCGTCGCGCTCGTCTGTACTTCATGCGGTTCGTCACTTCTCTGAGGCTCACCGATTTGGTTTCTTTACTAATATTTTCACTATCAATAGGTCCCGCAAGCACGACCGCCGTAGTGTCGAGAACATCGTGGCCGCCTACGTCCGCCAGAAGAAGGCCTTCATGGGTGGTGGTCGTCGGGGTTAAAAGCCAGAGTCCGGCGCAGTCGAATCGCATATTCAAGAATGTATTATAGCCTGTCAATATTCCAATTTCTTTTACCTCATTTTTCTCCACAGATGTAAATATTACGGCCGATCAATTGCCCATTTTGCATTGACCACAAGGGCCACCTGTCTTAAGATAGTAAAAGATAAAATCTATCTGGGCCTACATTTGCGAGTAGCTCAGACTAGATACTGCTAAGTGCGCTATTGATACGTGACTTTAGAGTAGCACCGAGCGCCGAGCGTTGACCGTAGCCGACCTTGAGAGAAACCAGGCTCAAGTATCTGATCAAATCAAATGGTTAAACCAGAGTACAAGACATATGTTTTCACAGAAGATGCCTATGTGCGAGAAAGAAATCTTATTTACTTATACCGATACACTATTTACCACGAATCCAATCTGGGGAGTGGATCATTGTCCGGCTCATCATGCCTCGCCATCACAATGGACTTCAGGAGTGATTCGCTTCGACTTGAGGTACTCGTAGTCAGGCATGGAATCCCAAACGGCCTTCTCGATGAACTGTGCGGCCTCCTCTCCAAACTCAATCCTCCACTTCGCTGCCTCAGCGGCAATGTCGATGTTAGCGGGCGCCTTGTCCCTGATAACACCCTTAGATGCCTCGAGAGAAGACAGCATGATAGAAGCAGCTCGGTTGTGTAGAGCATGCTCGTCGGTCTTGACATTGGGATCGCCAGTTTGAGCCCATTTATCGGACTTCTTAGCATCATTCTGGTCCCACTCGAACTGCACCACATTCTTATCCAGTCCGGTCTGCTCGCAGAGCTTTAGTACCACCTCGGGATTATGAATCAGGTCGTGGGCATCGATGACCGGAGGTGGAGTTGGCACATCGGGTTGTTCCATGCACCAGTCATAGAGCATGCGAGACCAGCGCAGACTCATATTGGTTCCAGATGCGCCCTTGATGCCATCTTCGTCCATGAAGCCCTCCGCTGCGACTTTACTCATCGCACGATACATCGAGGGCCAGGCAAGCGCCGGATGCCGTATAATAAAGGCCATTTGCCAACTGCGCAGGTATTCATCTGAAAAGATGGTCTTGTTAGACGGGGAGTAGCTCTGGTTGGGTCCGTATGCGTCAGTATTGACGCGGAAATGCGCAGAGAATTCGCTGGCATCATGGCCAGTGACAGTTTCCTGGAAAGAAGCTGGGTTCACGGTCCAAAACGCATGTTCCTTTGCAAATAGAACCTTGTTTTCGTCGCGGGCCTCTGCAGACCACTTCTCCAAGGTATCTGTGCAGGTCTGGAAGTTTCCCTTGACGGATTTCACATCTTCATCGGACCAGTCTTCTGGAGCCTTGAACAGGTGGCCCTCCTGTGAAGCTTGAAAGAATGCCGAGTAGAAGAAATACCCGCCAATCTCGTTGGTGACCAAGCCGGGCTGGTTTGGGATATTGAGGACTTTGACTGCTCTATTGTTAGGCGAAAGGAACCCAAAACTCTAGTAGCACACCTACGTAACAGGTTCGACGCGGTCCTGGGCACACTGATCAGCAGGAAGCGACGGGGAACCGGCATCTGATCAACAGCCATGGGGATTCGAGTTGGGGTAAATAAGCTTAAGTTGATATGAAGCAATGGGCGAGCAGGGAAATGAGCCATCCCGAGGGCAGATGGCGTGATTCAATAGCATTTATACTAAGCCTTCCAGGCCCCCCACCAAAAACAACTGAAGAACAGAACAACCTTCCTGGGGCCGTGCAGTCGTATTTCGGCGTCTCCAATTGCTCCATCAAGAAAGAACGATTCGGACTTGGGCGCTTCTGATCCCACCGCGGTGGAGCCTGCAGTCTCCTTTCCCCCTTCCGACTGGATCTCAACTTGTGATCTGCAGTTTGGACGGCCTTCTAGGGCTCTCCCGGCCTGCAGTCGGCCTTTCGGACGCCGCACCGTCCGTTTCATGCTACAGTACTCTCTCCAGTAAAACAAGCGGGTCCGTTGCCTCCATCCTATCGGACATTTCATCGAGCCCCCGTCTTGTGCGAATGGCCCCCGCTTGGGCCCCAGGTGTTGTCACACGGTAGCCCGCGTCAGCAATCGAGGCTGAACAAGCTACAGATGTCCTCGATTCTGCAGGTCTCGACAGAAGTCGGTGGCCATGAAGAAAGAGAGTCATCTCTTTTTCTGTCGGCGAGCAAAGCCTCCGCCCTGGTCAGCCTCTTATCGAATGACCCCATTTTCTAACGATGCTTGTCTCGGGGATTGTCCGAGCAGTTATAAGTAAGCGGAGAAGCTCGGTCTCCGAAGTGCAGGGGTTCTCTATCGTTTGCATTGCGCTGACACCCTGCAGATAGCACACTAATGTCTTTAATTCAAAGTCAGCTTTGTTATATTGACCGTGGTCTCGTAAAGGAATGTCTGGCAGCCGACAGCGCGGAACTTACCCCCAAGAAGGGCCACATAAGTATTGAACCGATCAATGTAATGCCTTCTGCGTCTCAAATATTTTCTACATGACCTCGTACTCCTTGTTTCCCCTTCTTATTTCGTTCTATACAAAGAGTGCGCAGAATAAACCGGTGGCGTTGACCAGGGAACTAAAACTCGTTTGTCGTGCCCGGCACTAAGCGAGCGCACTCAAACAAGGTAACTTAAAGTCTATCTTGGAAACTCTGGATGCGAGTCAGATTAATGAGGACGAAGCTAAAACGGATTTGGACACCCAAGATTGCAAGAGATTTAGGCAATCTTCCAAACCCAAATTTTGCTACCCCGTCCAAAAAGACATCAATACGTCATCATCAGAGTATCTCATATGAGTAAGATGACTGAAAGGAGCACTTACTGACTCAAGGCACCCTCAGATGCTCTTGCGTGCAGGCTCCAGTGTTTCAGAAGCAAGTCCTAAACTTACCAAAACTATTAAAAAACGCCAGGTACGAGTGACTGTTAGCTCAGGTGCTACACTATACAAATGTTTAAGGCTATTAGCAACATTAGGGAGGCATAGTCGGTCAGATGCGACCTCGAATATCTGATCGTAATTTCAGGCTACAAGGTTTGATATCACTTGACCCCCGTAGATCATAACTGAACTCTTCTAGTTTCTTAAGGCGTAGACATGGATTGCTTTAAGCGCCGAGCGTAAAAGACCACCAGCTAAAGTCGATGATGCAGAGCGCGAAGCTCGGCAAGGAGCTGCTCCAGGGTCAGAGTAGGGGCGTGGCGGTTATTGTCATCGGGAGAGCATCTACCGTCCTTTTTAACCCATACATACCAGCTAGGATGCGAGGATCAGGATGAAAAGAGCCGGTGAAATCAGGAATGACACAACCGGAACAATCTGACAGGACACGATGGAAGGAAGAGACGGAGGAATCATACCGACAGCGAAGGCCCCAGAGGCCACGGAAGCCTTCGTCTTCTGATAGTATACCTATAACCAGTTGTGCTAAAGATGGGCTACAATTCCTTCTATGCTTCTGAAAATCTGGGATTTCTCCTTTCCATGCTTGAAATTCGTCACAATGTCTATATTTGACCACGTCAGTTTCTTTGTTGTCATCAGCTCAAATGCTGGCCTACTTGAAATCCCTCCGCAATAAGCATTCAAAGTATTTTTTGAAAGAACCAGTAACGTGAGAAGCTTCAAAGGATAGAGAATCACTGAAGGGGCTCTCCAGAATAAGAAAAAATCTGGAAGCGCCCACTTCCTGTCTCGGTGTGTAATGCAGAGAGCGAACTTCTAGTAGATACACAAAATTGAGCGCCAGTAAGATGCCGAAACTAAATTGCAGGTGTCAACCGAACCGATTCGGGGACATGATCCCTATGGGTCCAAATGAGGGCCCTGAACGTCAGGCGGAGGTTGAGAATGCGATTTCAAGGTAACCTGCCACAAAAACGGCCGCCGCGTAGAACACTGACCATTTCATAGTTGACTCGTCCATAGGACGCCTGACTTCACGATCAGCTGTGCCCCTTGGTTTCGACTACCATGCCCCCTAAATACCCGGTATTCAAATCTGACCTACGGCGCGAATCTCTCATGTTCAAAGAAATTCTTAAAGTCAATGCCGGTGCCACAGAGATGCCTTTTGATTGTCATAGGAGCCCTGTAACAGAGCAGGTTATGCCCAAACTTCGGGATTTTCCTCTACACCGGATACTACGCCATTGTGGAGAGCGACGTTGCCGGCTACACCACCACAATCAAGATTGCAACCAAATCTATCACACGTAACCACTAATTACACCTTCTCTGTCTACACAAAGAAGTGTTTGAAGCCGGACGGTATCTGAAAATGGAGCTACTCCAGCTTCTCGCAATGGAAAAGTTCGCCCTGGCCATTGAAGGAGCCCAACCCATGGTCATGCAAGCTATGGTACGGGCAATCTATACCACGTATCCCTGGAGTGAGCCAGACCTCCATGGAAATGCATATTTGTTAGCAGGGTTATCTGACTTCCGACCCTATTTCATTATTCATGCCGTTGTGAAGCAGATGACACAGGTCAATTACGAGGACCCTGAGCTGTGGATCAGAGCGAGTTCTCGAGCCCAAGGCATTTGGAGTATAGCGACCCCCGCTCCTGTCGACCACTTTCGAGACCTCCGAGACCTGTTCCCGAAGTTTGACCGAGATTTAAATCGTGCTTTGGGTCTTTTAAGGGACGCACCACAATTGTGGGCTTCATACCGGCCCCCGCCTCCTCCACCGAAGATAATCCATCTTGTGATGCAGTGACGGATTTTTTGTTTGAATCAGAGAGTCTGCTTTGTAGCCGGAGCCAAGGAGGTGATCGAAAGGGGGGCTCAAGTCTTGTTACATGCTTTCTCCGTCGAATGTCTTTTCAGATATCTTTTTATTCATTCCTTTTATACCATTGAAGTATCTCTTTGAATACAAATCTCAATCAAATCTCTAGATTCGGTATAGACTATGCCCGAGTGGTGTAAGCACTGTATCTCTGACTGCTCCGCTCGTGCAGCCTAGACACCGAGCTAGTATAACTCTGTGACGGACGTGCATTACGTGAGCTATTACGAACCAAACATATGTAGACAAGACTGTACTAATAAGCTAGCCTCTTGGCCCAGGCTCCAGTATTTATAGTCGGCTGCTGGATCCAAATCGGTTCCTTGATGTCCAGCTGTCGTTCCATGGGTAGGAACCATCCGGGACCGGGAAAGATCGTTTACGTCAACAGCTCAACCTCGACCTTTGATCTATTTTTTAGCTTGCTTCCATTCCTCCTCTGAATTTCATCTCATTCACAGCCATCTCGAATGTGGAGTGGCAATGACTTCGCCCCTGGAATAATGAACTGGCTCCGTCGCTCGTCGCAGCCGCGCGATTCCCCCGCACGCGGGCGCGCCCTCGCTTATCTGGTACTTGCTGCGGTCTTCTGTATACTGTCATACCAGCTTGTCCTAAACCATGAATCCATTTCCCGCTGGGCGGAAGAGCAGGGGTTCGTGGTGATCGATAACGTCGTAACTGATGGCGATCCGGATCCGGAACCTAGTGAACCGAGTACTTACGCCCCCGAGAAAGAGCTGGTTCTCGCAGCAATGAGCTCCAGCGATATGACCTGGGCAGAGGATCTTTCCTGGCCAGTGAATATTTATCGAGCGGATGTGCAGCCCGGCAAAGCTGATTTGACGGTGCCTGTCAATAAGGGCAATGAGGCGATGGTTTACCTCACGTATCTGATCGATCGCTATGACTCGCTACCTGATGTGACTGTCTTTTTACATGGTGCTCGTTATCAGTGGCATAATGACAATCCGCTTTACGACAGCGTCGTTTCAATCCAGAATCTCAATCTTGATTTCGTGCGCGAGGCGGGATATGTCAATCTGCGCTGCTCGTGGATGATCGGTTGTCCTGCCGAACTCGAGCCTGCGAGGTATCTGAGAGAGAGACCGGATGATCCGAATCATCCCACGGCTACCGAGTTCCCGGATCAGTTTAAGATACTCTTCCCAGATATGCCGGTCCCGGAGTTGGTTGGTGGTGGCTGCTGTAGTCAATTCGCCCTGTCCAGAGAGCAGGTTCTCCAGCGTCCGAAAAGCGATTACGAACGGTTCCGACGATGGCTTATGGACACCAAACTCGATTCAGGCACGAGCGGTCGGGTTCTGGAGTATTCTTGGCATAGTATGTGGCCCTTTTCTTTTGGGTTGTCCTTTGGCTAATATTGGGATACTAGTGATCTTCGGAAAGCCACCACAGCACTGCCCTGACCCGCGCGAGATGTACTGTAAGATCTATGGGCTTTGCAACATGACTGAGTTTGAGCTACAGAACCAGTGGATCTGGCGTGGCTTGGTTCTGCCAGATGGTTGGCCCGAGACGAGAGGTTGATGATGCATGTATAACAAACCAGGGCAATTTATGAGTATGGCTATACGGGCTGTGCCCGAAATATCAAGGAATCATCAATACTGCAGATGCATATGAATTCATTATGTCGTAAGTCATGGCTCAACCGAGTTTTCAATATCACATCGCGAAGTATGTAGATTACCGCCACAGATCCTGTCGGCTTGCCCGTTTGTATCCACCACTGCTCTTGGGTCGCTCGTCTTCGTCCGCTGGTACGGCCAGGAACCCGCCGAACCCATTCCCCACGAGCACACTCTTGCGCGCATCTCCACCCCAGGATCGGCTCAGCTGCGCATCGTGAAAACTTATCGGTCGAGTATTGCTAGTGCGACGACCAAATCCGGGGTCTGGCTCGTACGGGGTAAAATTCCACTCGAGCTCGTCGAGGCCCTTGCTGTACACATTCAAGGGCTGGGAAAGACCACCGCGCATCATCTGCGAACCGTGTTCGCCGCCGCCGAAGAGTCGGGGAGGGGGTGCTAAAAGTAGCGTATCGGGGAATTGTGCATCTCGAACATAAAGGTCGCGCAGTGCGGGTAGTGAGCGACACATCAGAGACGAAATCAGATAGGTGTAGTAAGATCCTACGACCGGAGCCAGTCCGTGATTTTCCGTTTCGGAGGTTATCTCGTAGTGTAGAAGAGTCAATGACTTGGATGTCAGGGGAGGGATCTGCTCTGTCGGGAACGACCTCGACACTTCCTGGATGATGGAGAGACTGCGAAGGTGGGGAGCTGCAGGCAAGATTTGGTGTAGTGCCGACGGTAGCACACCGGTTGCGCCAAGCGTTAATGATTGTAGCGCTGCGCGATTGTTTGGAGAGGAAAGAAATGCGGCAAGCCCGCTTGCCGTGACATTGGGGGTATCGCGAATGGTGAGTTGGTATACTGCGGGGAAGGGTGGTAGGAGCCCATTCATAGCGAATGCCGAGTCGTCGAGCCAGGGAAGGTCATCGAGAGTAAGATCACGCAAATGAGTAAATGACGCTAGGCCGTTGCGGAGTATGCTGGGTTCAATTTGTAAGCCCGACAGCTCCAGCTTCTCCAAATTCATCCAGAGCTGGGAGCCTGGAAGTCGCGCGAAACTCCCCTCCGAGCCATGGCGATAGCTCATACGGCGAAGATCAGGACATCGAATCATCAGTTCTTGTTTCAAGGCTGCACACGAGGGTTCATCATTAAAGAGACCGGTCGGCAGATCGACGAAGCGGAGGTGGGGAAGTACAGAGATAGTGCGGGCAATATTGGCTTTGTTGGCTTCACGGGTCATGTAGGGCATTCGAAGGGATACCACCATATTGGCCAGACCCTGGGACTCTCGAACGGTTCGCATGAAGAGTTCGAGTCGAACCTGCGGGGCATCGATGGGGTCGCCGTTGCGATTCAAGAAGGAGCGGCGCTTTCGTTTGGCGGATAGCTGAAACTCCAGCTCGCAATAATGCACGGGGTCGATACGGACATGCATGTATCTATCCAAAAGATCGATCTTAGCCTGGTGGTCTCTCGGGTGGTCCACGGTCACTGGAGATAACTTACAGCAGAGCGCGCGCCTCTATAAACCAGCGCTTACAGACCTGGGCAGCGTGCGCCAGGTCGCGCATATCACACAACATGCAGCCATCAGTCATAGACTCCTCCGAGGTCTCGTAGGATTCATCAACCGTGTGGGGACAGACGAGGGCGAAGATATAGGCCAGCACGGGGCGCGGCAGCTTCCTGGTGTAATCGCGGCCGGGGATTGTTTTGGATCGGGGCGGGGTTGCGAATTCGATAGAAGCCCCCGCGCTCCTCCGGGCCTTGAGCTTGTTCAAGAGGCCCATCCTGACAGGTGATGAGAATAGAAAGGGGAAAGGTCACTGAAGAGACAAAGGTGAAGTGCAGGGCCCGCTAAGCGACCCGGGTGAAACGCCGGCCTCTCTCCCCGCAGTTCGCGCTCATTGGCGGTTTCATCTTCAGCTCTCACACATGTGGTGATATTTTAGATCTACAATAAGATATCTCGAGGTCTGAGAAGTCTGGGCCTGGATCAGGGACCCAGCATCTGGACCCAATTCAAAGCAGACTGTGGTTTCGCAGAAATGTGAAAACTGGGGAGTCGCCTCCATGACATCACCGGTCTCGACTTTATCTTCGATGACAGTCTACTAGAAGTCAATTGCGAAAGGAAACTACTGTAGAGAATCCAATGAGTGGTAGTCTTATACTGGAGTGTCCACCTAGGGGAGATCCGACGGGGGAATTAGGAGCGAATGACGAGTGATGATGAGGTAGGCATGTAGATAGACACACGCGACCCTGATTTTCGCGACCAACTGACATCATCTTCAATCCCGATCGTTTCGATCGTTTCGATCAGTTTAAAAACCAATTGCTCTACACTGGAAATCTCATACAATTTACCTTCTTTCAAATATGGCTGAAATGGACTCATCCTTTGGCGACCCGCTGCCGACGCCGGCCGTCACCAACAATCCGCCCGAAGATACTCTATCATCCGAAGAATGGAAGCACCGCTCACCCTATTACATACAATCCCCCCACGAATTCGGCGAAATCAAATGGCGTGGCCATTGCCAATGCCGGAAGATTTCATTTTCCCTGAAACGGGACAAGCCTTTGAACTCGAAATACTGCCATTGTGTGGGCTGTCAGCGAATGCACGGAGCGCCCTTCCAATGGGCCGCCATTTTCCATAAGAATGATATTTCTTTCGACAGAGGATACAGTGGTCTATCCTTCTATTCCTCTGCAGAAAACTCTGCGAAATACCATACACCGACCAAGGTCGCCTGTGCATACTGTAGATCTCCTCTCATGGACGAGGGGCGAAATACGGTGCTTTTGTTCCCTTCGTCGATCGACTTTGAGGGCTCCTTCGACGAGCAGCGGTCGCTCAGAGCGTCATTTAAACCAACGTATGTGCCCCATCCCTTGATTGGCAGGGCATGCTTGCTAACTGCATACTAGGAGTCACATCTTCTACGAGCAACGTGTGATGGACATGCCCGATGGGATTACCAAGTGGTCAGGTATGGACGAAAAAGTCAGCGGGTGGATGATCAAGGGAAACCGATTGAGAAATAACAAGTCATCCCATGAGAAACTGATGTAGCATAAAAGATTTCCACATAGATTAGATGAAGACAACGCGAATCAAGTCTGTGAGACAAACAATAGTGTGTCCGCCAGTCCTCAGTTCTCAGGGTTACTTCGTATCAACTCTATCGTAGATCCTATAGAGCTGACCGCCAATGTAAGCCTCCCAATTATGTACTAGCATTGTAAGAAACGGCGCTCGTATCCGCCCATATCAATGCCCTAGCGCTGGCGTCAGATCGGTCCCGGTGTTCTCGGCCTTAGCCGTTGTGAACCAGGATCCAATCATCGTATGAGAGGTGCGCGTGCTGAATCTATTGACTCTCGTACCCGGATGGACTCTTGGTCCTTCGGGACCTCCGGTGCTAAGACGCCCCGATGTGACCTCCTGAACCCTCCGCCGGCAGATCATGTCCCAATTAGGAAATACGTCGACCCTAAGAACGTGATATCCCCTAATCCTCATACAATTGTACTAGAAATTGTTTCTTCAATGGCAGAGCAGGATATAAGAGCGTTCGCCCTTGGGAGGGTGATTCTGTTTCAAGTTCTCGTATCACGCTCGAATCACCTCCGATGTTGTTGAATCTATTTACCCTAGCCTGGCTGGCTAGCCGTGTCGCCGCTGTTACACTAATCACCGACGATGAGATGAACTCTCTTCTCGACGCTGGTGCGGTGGATCTTGCTGATCGCTATGCTCCGATGTGGTTTTTCGGTCAAGCCATGGATCAACCTCCTTGCTATCCGACCTGGGCGTTCGGAGGATCTCCTTCAACCCCGGACATCTATGACAATGCTCATATGACACCTCCTGCGGCTCAATGCGAGTACCCCGATGTCGGATGCAACTGCCGGAATCCTGGTGTGGCCATTGGAAACCCCGGTCCGGCCTTTCCTGTCTACTATACGTTCCAGCGGTGCAATGATACCGAGGTGCGCGTCGTGTATAATCTATTCTACGAGAAAGACGGTGCAACAGTCGCCGGGCTGGTTCAGACGGGCCATAATTATGACTGGGAGCGCGTTATCGTCATCCATTCGCGCGACGATAGCAACATGTGGGCGCCCTCTCGGGCCCTGTTGTCCGCTCACAGTGGCTATAATGATTTGGCCTGGGGTGATATTCAAAACACTTTGACTACTGATGAGGTCAACGCTGGGGATGCAAAGACCCCCAATGGAGTCCAGAATGAAGGTATATATCTGAGAATCTACTTGTTGATTTCTCTCTGACTATAATAGACCACCCTAAAGTATACGTGGCGTGGAGGTAAGCGGATACCTCACCAGCTGCGACAACTTCTTGAATCCTCTCTGACTATTCATAGCAAGCACCCTAACTTTGACACGAGAAATACTGGGTGGAATGATCCGGCCAGTCAAAGTCTCGACGGTAGGTCTCATCCTGCTGGCTTCTGAGTCTGTTCCCGGCATCTAACTTCTCACCGACAACCAGATGCTTTCAGGAGCGATGATTGGTGGCATTTTGTTGAAACCCAGAACTATGTATGTGATGCCCACGTACCTGGACTTGGATCAAGACTGACGATCTGGCAGATTCGATCCGATAACAGCACGGATGCTGGCCGCGCTCTTGGAGCGGCTGATTGGGGAAGTGCCACAAGTAACCCTCCTCTTGTTCAGTCGACAGTCTGCAATGCGCCGTAAGGTCTCTACGGGGGTAGCATAGGTAAGGAGTCTACACATGTCCATAAAACGTACCTTTTCCTAGCGGGTGGGGCTCTGCTATTCTAGCTGCCGCTTTTGTGAGGTCTAAACCCGTGGACGGGATATTCAGGGTCCGTAGTAGATTCCCACTAGCGCCCTGTAATTCCACTACATTCTAACGGCGTCCCTTCTTCCTCCCTTTTCATCCTCACATTTTTACCAATGGCACTCCTCGGGTTGGCCAACAAGATCCTCGCAATAGTTGGATATTATATCGACTCACAGAGTGCGCTATATGCTCCAACCGGCACGTGCCGACGGATGCATGCGCTGTTCATATGTAGCTAGTTGCATACCTTGGCTCCCCATCCTTTTTGAAGATCATTTGTGCAAGGAAAAGGGGCAGCCCGCCAAAGTCTACTTGTTCTCCACCGACCATCATGAACTCACCGATCTGCACGCGAGCTCAGCTGCCCCACTGCTTGGCCTCCGCAGCCTCCAATGAATGACAGCCATGCCATTACTCAACGGGCCTGAGAGCCTAGTTGGATACGAGATGAAATATTGATAGTGCAGAAGCATGACATCAAATAGCCGAAAGTTGACATGATTGACGCGATCTGCGAGTCCTCATCACGAGGATGAAGACTTCTCATGTCAGGTCGCGAAAAGGGTCCTCCTTAATGTTCGAAGATTGTTGACCACCTGCCAGTTTGCTTGAAGATGGAAGCACCAGTCCAGATCGTGCTATGCTTCGATGGAACCGGAAACACGTTTCGTGTTGACGGTACTGAGACCAATATCCTCAAGATATGTCGAATGCTGAAGCGGTCAGATAATCACTGTCAGTTGCTCTCAAACGTCCATGCATGTCATAGTCAGATAACTGACAACTCATAGTGGTCTATTATCAGCGTACGGCTCTGAACATTGTAGGGCATGTGTCCAAAGCTAACATGCGCAGCGGGTATTGGAACTGACATTACTCCGGGCTCCTTGGCTGCCACAACGATCAAAAAGAGCAGTCCTTTTGGAACGAGTAAGACACTGGGACAGGCGCTGGGGGCCTCGTTTGATCAGCATGTCCTTGGCGGTTATCGGTTCCTCATGCGGCACTACCGATCTTCAAGTGAGATATTTGTTTTCGGGTTCTCTCGAGGAGCATATACAGCACGCTTCCTAACGGAGATGCTCGACTATGCTGGGCTACTGGGACCGGATAATGAAGAGATGATTCCATTTATCTGGGACGCCTTTTCCCGGTGGAAGTTGAGCCGATACAACGAGACAGCCAAGAAGAAACAAGCCTACGAGTTTCTGACACATTGCCGAGACACTCTGTGTCGCCCAGTGCGGAGGATCCAATTTTTGGGCTTGTTCGACACTGTCAACAGCGTTGCAGACTTTGAAGTGAACAATGATGCTCTCCCCAGTGCCCACGTCGTCCGGCAAATCCTGAGCATCGACGAGAGAAGAGTCAAGTTTGGACCCGTATTACTACACGCAGGTTCGAAAAAGACGCATCAAAATCTTTGTAAAGATGGTTCAGGATCAAACAACAAGGGTTCGGGGGATGATGATGACAATGTAAGTGACTTGGAAGAGGTGTGGTTCCCAGGCGGTCATGCAGACATCGGTGGGGGTTTCCAGCGTGGCCCCGATGAGGACTTCCAATTGAGTCACGCTCCTCTTGTCTGGATGGTTCAGGAAGCTCAGCGTGCTGGACTTGAGTTCGAAGAAGATAAACTACAAGACTTCAAGTGCGTGGAGCACACTGAGGAGGCCTCATCTCGCGCCAATTTCCACTGTGCACTTCACGAATCCAGCGTGCAAGGTCTGCTTCACGATCGTCTTACTGTCAGTCCAGGCGTGTCTTTGCCTTCTGTTCTGGCGTGGCGATTCATGGAGAATATCCCGTTTCGTCGTCTGGCCTTTCTAGCGGATGGGTCGTCGAAGCCTGTTCACTGGCCACCGAACCATGGCCGCCCTCGAGTCTTGCCATCTGATGCAAAGGTTCATGTTTCAGCTCTGCGACGAGTGGAGTTGAATCCTGAGTATCGCCCAGTAAGTCTTTTGGGAAATGGAGGAATTGAGGATTGGGTGATTCACAGCCATGACAAGGACCCAGTTAGGCAGGTGCACTGTAGGAAGAGTACACAGCTATAATAAGGAAGGACATACTCATTCCAACCCCTGTCACCATATCCAACATTTCTCCCATTTCTTTAAATGGAAATGGAAATGGAAATGTAAAGAAATGAAGTAGAATGATAGATAATAACTGGAGTATAGAACTCCGGTATGACATCACGCCCCCACCCAATCAAAACGATCTTATTCCGATTTGAATCCCCCACTTCACTTCACCTATTTACCTATTCACCTCAAGCTCAAGCTCAAGCTCAAGCTCACACGTTGGAATCATGTCTTGGTCCCAGAAAACATTCACTCTGCCCGCGCGTAGTCGTGGCTCCTACCTGGTCACCGACCATGTCCTGCAGGAGGTGCCTGAGATTCGCGACTACAAGGTCGGCATGCTGAACCTGTTCGTCCAGCACACAAGCTGCGCGCTCTCGCTCAACGAGAATTGGGACGATGATGTCCGTGCCGATATGAGCGATGCCCTGGACAGAATTGCGCCCATGGATAAGAAGGGAAACCTTTACCGTCATTCGGCCGAGGGCGAGGATGATATGCCGGTTCGTTGATCCCCTTGCGAGTATAGGTTTTCGATTGATCACGATACTAATGGACTGCTTATTATGTATAGGCTCATATCAAGTCTGCTCTCATCGGTGCTTCAGTGAATATTCCCATCTCCAATGGCCGCCTGGCGACTGGAACTGTACGTTTTCAACCTCTTTTTTTTTTCCCTGCATTGACGCGGTACTAACCATTTTCCGCCCAAAAGTGGCAAGGCGTGTGGTATCTGGAATTCCGTACAAGTCGCCATTCGCGTAAGGTGGTCGCGACTATCCAGGGCCAGAAGAATTGACTTGATACCAAAATGAAAGAGCGTCTATGATGGGAGTCTGTGTATTTTTCTGCAGAGTTACAGCGTTTAATGCTTCGAGAAAGCATGTGGACCACGGTCCAAGTAGATAATTGGACTCGGTCGAACCAAAACTGCGCGAGTATAGTCCAGTTCCTAAATCATCGCACGGGCGAACGATAGATCAATTGATCCTATATTCTGTACACGGCCTTTGGCCCAAAAACAATAACACGCGGGAATGATCAACGCCGACAAAAGGAATCTGATGCTAGTCGTTTACCGCTGCTCGAAGGCGCCCTCTGTGACACGCTGCGACTCGTTCACGTCGGCGGCGTCGTTGGTGGGCTCGAGGGGGTAGCTGGTCTCGGGCAGAGACTTGAGGTAGACGCGGTGCTGCTCGTTGGCCTGGACATGGTGTTAGTCGTGAATTTCTCTGTTTTCATAGGAAGTACACATACGAAGGGAACTCCGCAGTATCCGCAGGTCGCAATCTCGGGCTTGTCGGTGTTGATGAAGACCTTGGGGTGGCCAAGGGGACCGCCGCCGCCGTCACAGCTGACGACCTTGGTCTTTGTCCATCGCACGTGTTGCTTGTGAATGAGCTCGATGGCGGCCATGGGGCGCGGCTAAGTATTCCGAGTTAATTCACTGATTTCTTCCCCCGCTTTGCGACCAGAACCCAATCGACTCCCGATCTAGGAATTATCTGGGAATTACCAACGCACCTGAGTCTCCATGATGGTCTGCTCGAAGCGAGGTCCAACCATCGCCTCGTGGCGCGGCTGCTGGCTGGCGGCCCAGGTGGACGCCCGGTTCGGGGCCTGCATACTGCGGATCTTCTCTGCCACGGCCGGCTCCTCCTGCACGGTGCCATCCCAGCGCCCGAAGGAGTCGGTGGGCTCAGCATTGGTCTCCGAGACGTTCGGCTTGACGACGGGCGGGTTGGGGTCGTTGGCCTGCATGCGGTTCTCGGACAGGCGAGGGACGGCGGAAGAGAAGCTGCGGACGGCGAAGCGCGGGCGGACCGATGCCAGGCTCGTCAGACGGCGGCAGGACATCATGCTGGGCGAATTGAGTCCCGTGGAAGGATCGTGGTGGACAGGATGAGGTCTGGAGAGAAGATCGGGAGAGGTGCAGGGCTCTGAATAATGCAACTGTAATTGGCTGGCCCGCCATGTCCACCGCCTACCCGGCCCTCACCTTTTTCTGCCGCCATTTTCTTCGACTTTGAACTCAGCAACACCTTGTTGTACACTCTCTGCACACCATGTCGTCATCTCCGGCGGGCGTAAAGCCCGAAAAAACAATGTCGTCACGACTGCTCACAATGAAGGTGAATTTTGACAAACAGTGGGATGAGAAATTGAACTAACACTCTACAGTTCATGCAACGCGCCGCAGCGACGGCAGTTGCCAAAGAATCTCAGTCAGGATCTGAGAATGGCCCGCCTACTCCGAAGCGCGCCAGGCTATCAACTGAGGCTCAGAGCCCGGGAGCACCGGGAACACCACAGGCAGAACTCGATGCGATCAATGCAGCCCTGAAAGCAGAGGAGGACAAGCGCCGAGCAGCTGCTGCACGACAGGCTGCCGAGGCGGGCGAAACTGAATGGGTGCTGGACATCCCCGCTGCCTCTTATCCTTCACAGCCCATGGTCGTGGCAGCCGACTCGTTAGATACTGAAGGTGACACTCCGCGCGGGGGTCGTCGGTCGTTCGGCAACTTCAAGCGCAAGCCGAAATACGTGAGTTCTACTGAACCGCCTACATATCACCATTCTGACATCTTCAAGGCCTACACAGAAGAAGAAGACGAGGAAATGAATGATGAGGAGAAGGAGGAATTGAAACAGATTGATCCCGAAGACCCTGACCAGATGGACGCCTTCATGGAAAAGCTGAGGGCTAATGCTCAAGCCAGAGCATTGAAAAAGAACAACACCCACAACTTCAAGCTGTCCGAGCTGACAAGTATCTCCGGTGGAGGCGGGCGCCAACCACAAATGGGAAGATCTTCTTCGGATAAGAAGCCAAAGAATAAGAAGAAGCGCAAGAGCGGTTGAGCTCAGTCCTGGTGACGTTATTTCATGAACCTGCAGATACCCCGGGAGTCTCGCATTGGCGTTTAGTATAGAATCATCATCTTGTCTGCCAAATTCATTTCTCTTCTAGGAGTAGATCCTCTATAAGGCCCAAGGAAGCTTTGGACGAATCTTTCCACATCAATCCCGATGCAGGAGCAATGTACTTTCAATTAAAGGGTATTAGAGCTCACGTCAAATCATAACCGCGCCTTCTCCTGCTTTTTCTTCTCCCATCCCTTCTGAGTCGCAAAGTTGACAATCAGATTCCACGCAGCAATCCCAAAGCCCACCGGCGGCGCCGCCAATAGCGTCCAAGCCCACCAGCGCGGACTCGAAGCCTCGATAGTAGCCATAGCCCCCTTCACAGCACGTTCAAGCTCTGCTTTATCCGCATCATTCCACACCACCACCCCGCGTGAAGTCGTCGTTCCTCGAAACTCTGCCTGTGCCGCCTTTGTCCGAATATCACCCTGACTACGTACTCTGTTCTCTGCATCCTCAGCTGTGAGGTGGGCATCGCGCGCACGTAGTCGTGCCATTTGTACTGCTGGATCGCGCACCCCCACCACGATGACCGTCCCGCAGATCAGGTCCATTCCGCTCTCGAATAGCAGCGGAACGTCTAGGACAATAGCCCATTGGCCGCGCACATAATAGTAGATCAGTGCTTTGTACACCTCCCATCGCACGGCTGGGTGGATAATTCCGTTCAGCACCTGGCGATCGCGCTTGCGTTCTTCGGTGTCGCCGAAGACGCGTCGGCCCAGCGCTGGCCGGTTGAGTGATTTGCCCTGGGTATTTGAAGAGTCATCGAGGAGCAGGTCAGGTGTGCTGGGACCGAAGTAGTTGACGATTGCTTTGTAGCCGGCCGTGCCTGGTTCGACAACCTTGCGGGCGAGGATGTCGGCGTCGATGATGGGCAGGGAGTAAGGTGCGGAGGAGAGGATGGAGGAGACTGTTGATTTGCCCGTGGCTATAGAGCCAGTGAGACCGATGATGAGCATTCTGGAGGGTTGTAAAATTACGGAATGGAGGTGGAAGCGGAAGGGAACGTAAATGTAGAAGTAGAATTAGAAGTGGTGTCAGTGTACTCGATGAATGCGGAGACCTCGGCTCCCGAGGCCCGCGTGGGGAAACCACTCTCCAGCATTGGACTTCAATTTGCTTACGCTATTTCAAGGATACCTAGGGACTGATTGGGACATGATATAGACTCCGATTGTTTCCAAGTTTCTTTCATGGCCTCGATCGGCCGGCGCTTGTTAGGTTGTGGGCTCAAAGAGCCGGTGCAGTACACCTTGCGCGGTTCCTGGCTCTACCAGTTTTTCATTTCATAGCTCTTCCCTTGAAAACCCAAGACTGTGCATATCCTCCTCTTCACGATGATAACGTGCCGTGAACCAGGCTTTGATCTTGGCCCTCTCATCCCGCGCGTTTCACGACTCTGGCAGACCGTAACTCGGGTTCTGGGCCTGACCATCCCATCCAACGTATGGCCAACCCTTGGGCAAGGAAGAGAAGGGCGGCAATACATAGCGACCGGCACATGTGCCTTCTGAGCATTTTAAGTCGCAAAGACCGTACAAATTACAGTAACAGGCCTCTGCGGAGGGACAGTACACAGCCTTTTGTCCGAATATAACTATAAACCATCAGTATCACATGTTTCATAGCCCGCACGAAACACTTACTATGCCACGAATATTCCATAATTCTTCCACTCAAGTCATCCGTCAGTGTAGTCGCCGCAAGCCAGTTCCTGAAGTGTTCATAGTCGCTCTTGGGTCTCGAAAGAACAACCGTTCGATTTACTCCAAGCTGTGCACAGCAGCTTGTACCGATCTCCTCTGGGACCGGGTATGAGGGAAACAGTTCCTTAAACGCATTCAAAAAGTATTCGCCCGCATGCACGTCGTCGCGGTGCCCGTCACTGAGCGGGTGGATCTCGACTGGACATCCGAGCGTCCAGACGCAGCGCAGGTTCACGTAACCCTTTTTCTGTAGGTAGGGGACCTGGAGGTTTCGTAGCATGGCTACGCCGTCGTAATATGGGTCGTCGTTGTGCCATTGGAAGCGTTGGGAGTGTAAAAAGAGCATAACGTCTGGGAGGGAGTCGTAGTTGTCAATGATATAGCTGTATAAGGCGTCGCATTAGCACCGCGTATTAGTTTGTGCAGCTTTATAGACGTACGTCAAGTATACCATTGACTCGCGCCCCTTGTTATATGGCACTGTCAAGGGGGCTGTTTTGTCGTCCACCACGTAGATGCTCCTGGACCAGTCCGGGAAGTACTCGGTGAACCAAGAGGTATCATCACTCTTCATGCTGGCCACGATCATTTCCTTGTGTTTTCGAATCACTGGACGAGCCTGCTCGTCCGCTTTGGGAGTTGGGGTCGCTTTGTGTAGCTGCGCATAATCGGTTTTGGTGGAGGGTTTATGGGACGACTCGGGATGCGCGAAGAAGATGAAGTAAATGGCGAGAACGATGAATATTGTGAGGAGGATAGACTTGATGCGATTGCGACGGCGAGGACTCTGCGGTCCGCTCGGGGCGAATAGCATGTTGTAAGAGGGAATAGAGCATCGGAGTGTCAGATCATGGCGCGTTAGGTGGTTGGGGAGTTGGTAAGGGTTAACTCCTGGGACTAAATGTGGCAGACTAGATGTGGCAGAGAATCCGGGGATGGGCGGCGAAGGCAACCCTAGCCTGATGAAGCTAGTGAGCTTGGTGAGTATGAAACCGAGAAATGCGAGGGTCACTACGTGTTAAAGTTATCCCCGCCACCGAAAGCTCCAGCCACAGCCGATCGGTGGGTCGTCCACGAGATATTTAACAATGTAACATCCGATTGTAAACATCAATCGGACTTGAAAATCTTCTTCATCCGGCCTAAGTCTTTCTAGATCTATGGAGTGAAGTTCCTTAACGTCTATCGCCCTGATTGAAGCGCCGGGTTGACCAATGTACTACACAATCAAGTCTGGGGTTCTTCAGGAGATGTTTCAGATTCATCATAGCTCATCACTGCTTCATACTCTACTCGCACCCATCAATATCAATGATATACCAGGCGTGAGCGTCAACACTTTCGATGAGTTCTCCTGCATTGCCGGCTGTCGAGTCTATGCCGTCAATGACCTCAATGTCGGATGTGGTCACTGTCACGTCGTCCCCAGTGGTGATCCAGTATTCGGGACTTGAATGAGAGAAGCCAAAGTCCATAGGTGGCAGCCTAGGTACAATATCATTCAGATGAGTCATCCGATTATTCCCCTGCTCAGTCAGGTAGGTGGCCAGGGCCAAATTGCCCACGCGTGGCTGGCCGAAGGTGTACTGCGATGGCGTTAGAGCAGATCTCAGAAGAGAATAGAAGAAAGACTCACCAGGTTGAGATCGTACCCAGCATTACGCAGTGCAGTGGCACCTATGGCTGCAATGGCCCCTCCGAGGCTGTGGCCTGTCACGACCAGTGTATACCCGGAGTAGGTCTGCTTGGCCGAGGCGACTTGGGACGTGATCGAGTCAGCCACGGCTTCCCACGCCCCCAGGAATCCCGAATGCGCTTCACAGCCATCACACAGGTCACTGGCATCGGTCAAATCAAAGTCCAGGTCGGCAATCCAGTTGCTGATGCTCTTGCTACCCCGGAAGGCGACCACGATCTGTTTATTCGTCTCGTCGACGGCCACGAACCCAGCAGTGTCGCCGAAGTCATTAGTACTAAGACATTAGTATTCCGGTTCCAAAGAATGAGATAGGATAAACATACTCGTTGAACTCGGATAGCGAGATAGTCTTAGAAGACTCCACCTCCGGGCAATAATCTCCTGCGCAGGTAATCGCATCTCCAGTAGAGTCGAGATTGTTGGAACAGTATGCTGCAGCCGCCCACTGAGCGTAGAGGGTGAACTGCTCTAAGACACTGGACGAAACATCTGAGCCTCGGGTCAGCCTGGGTAGTCAAGGAGGAAGTTAAAGTCGTCCCATCTTACCCCGAGGTACTAGACGAGCAGGAGCAGCCACGGCAAACGCCGCCGCAGCCACGAGGTGCCAGAGGTGACCGAGATGCATCTTCTAGGTGACTTGAAGGGCTTGGAAATCAATCAAAAGTGACTAGATGCCTAATGTAAAGTCCCCGGCTCTCTTACTCTGCTGCCACCTCCTGGCGTAGTTCCTCCATTATATACTAATTCTTCCCAGATTCGCGATATAGATAAATCGAGGCCACGAGGCCACGAGACCACAAGACCACGAAGTCCCGGGCGGGGTATAGCCGGGAGAATAAACAACAGGGCGTCAAGTTTCATTCTGGCGAATATTCTAAAAAGGGCTCGTTGTCCGTTCCTGAGGGCGGATTCTCCGTCTGAGTGGTGGGGATTCCAAATGATCGGCATTCCAGCGTTCTTCACACTAGACGAATGTAACCAGTCAGACTTGGCCATAGCCAGGGGCGCGGGGCATGGGCTTTGGGGGCTTTTGAGCACGAGGATAGTTCCATTGGGGTACATTTCCCTCCTTTCTCCGCAGATTCTTTTTCGGCGTTCAGTAAGTGGATCATCAACTGGTGAGGATGTATCCTGGTGTTGGCCCACCGTAGACATCGAGAGCGTACCGTCGCCGTGATCCGGTGAGAAACGAGCTTCTAGAAATTCCGAGTGCCGTTGCCGTCTGTGCAGGAAAGCTTCGTATGTGCCCTGAACTTTCCATGTAGCTGATACCCCGCAGACGTGTATATGGCTATTGGCTGCCATAGCAGGTGTTCTCCTATCTGGGCAAGCGGCATGTACCAATCCATGACCCTTTGAACTGATCTAGTTCTCTTTCAGTAAAGGGCCCCCGAGGTCCGCCGCACTCCCGAAGGTCCCTCGGGCATTCAAGATGGTTGGGCCCTCATTTGAGTATCCATATACGGGTGTCCCGAGGACCAATGCCCGTCAAATAGATAGAAATAAGTCTGTTTCAATCCCAATAAGTACTATGAAGGTCGTCAACTCCAGAAAGAGGCTTCCTAGTAAGCCAAAAGAAGCCTATTCTATACTTCGTATACGTAAGGACTGCCTAAAAGTGGACCCGGCGATCCACCAGGCCGTTTTACAATATAATTTGGAGACTCTCAGGGTCAGATAAAATACCATGTTCTCGACAATCCTACACTAAGGTGATTTGCAGGGTACAAACAGAGTATTTCAACCCCTAAACCTAAGGTATAGATAGCTAGCAGGTCCACGGGTATGAGATATGTGGAAAGGGGACTCACTACTTGCCTTGGAAATGCTAGGTGTCAACCGATAGTGCCCCGGTGGTAGGTAACATTTGAAAATTCAGGTTGATCAACTAGTTGACTGATGGTGTATCCGACCTTCCTGTGGACAGACCCCAAGTACACACTGACCTCTCGTGAACGCCATCATTGTCAACAGAGTAAGCACCTCCGAGCCCTGGAGATTGTTTTTTCAAAGGCCAATTTATTCGAGCGGGGAACATGTCTTATTCGAGTACCTAGTGCATCATCTAGCTTACCTACCTGGGTAAGTGGAAACGAAGATCCAGATGCTCGTGACCATTGATCCGCACCATGGCCTTGGTCCCAATCCTAGGACTATTTAGCACGGATTTTGATTTACTTTTCTCTTCAGCAAACCCAATATGTGCAGCTATCTCCTCAGCGCCCGCCCCAGAACGTGTATATACCACGAGCATGCACGTGGGCTTCATTCGGGGAGGATCCCTATACTTTCACCAGAGCAGACATAACAGGAAACATTTGAACATTTGAAGCCAAATAGGTGTACGCTCATGAACGGGTGACATTAGATTTCTTTCTACTCCCTGTCTGTGACTATCCCTCTCGCTCTCCATCTCCAATATCCGTCATGCCGGTATCCTGTCCGTCATCACCAGCCAGGACCTTGGTGCGCGGGATCTGGTTCTCGGCTAGAGGAGTGCCAGGGGTCACGGCAACGACGTTGTCGTTCTCATCCACGAATTCAAAGTTGTATCGCGAGAGCAAGTGAGGGATGGCTGACAGCTGGGGGCCGTAGCGGGCGGTGTTGTCGTATAGTTCGAATAGCGGCACGGCCAGAAGCTTCATGTTCTTGGGGACTGAGAGGACCTCTGGAAGCCAAAATTAGCAAAAGATGGATTAAGAGCCTGGAACACACCGGTCACTCACTCTTCTTGGGCAGCTGGATAAAGTAGAGCTTCTTGCACTCCTTGGGCCGTGTGACGTGCCCAGGCAGAAACGGATACATGAAAGTCTCAAAGTTCGGTCGCCACCATTGAGCCAGAGTGTCGCCGATCTCCCAGTCCTCATTCACACCTTCTCCAGAGAACTGTGAGCCGACGGGTGCCAGGCGCTCGTTCAGTCGCTTCTTGAAGCCATTGATTTCCTCGTCCTCGTGTTGCAGATAATCGCCCGGTCTGTGAATTCGTTAGCGGGTTCCATGTACCCCCTTCCTTTTCTGAATTCAGACATACAGTTTGAAAAAGGCATTGGCGATCTGCAGCATCAAGACGTGCGGGTGGTTGTGTTCGTGACAGACCAGGATGCCCTCACAAGTGCGCCGCATACCATGAAGGTTATAGTGCTCCTCCAATCGCTTGAGGCGCGCAAGAACAGATGGGTCCTCCTCCGGCTGTGTTTCTTTTGTGCCGAAAGTGTAGTTCGACAGAGGGTATAGGCGAATAGTCTCCGGCTGCTGGGCAGAGAAGTCCTTGGGGACAATCGCACTGGAATTGGCCTGTGTTAGCTCGAGTCCTGCTTCATGCGATCGTCAACAAGATTGATGATACTCACGGGTGACTGCTCTGGATCGCCGTAGCTGTAGTGGTTGCCATTGTTGATTGGGGTTGCGGCGGTCAAGAAGGGCGCGAACTGAGATGGCGACCAGGACAAGCTCGTTATCGGCATTAGATAAGACATACCCGTTGGCGCCTGAGGCGCCCAAGTCCACGGTCTGAAATTATACGATGAGCTTCAATTGAAAGCAACTCACGATGCACTTCGGTTACTAGACTGTTTCATTTGTATTGATGCAAGCAATTAGATACTAGGTTTATCTCCTTTGTGAGTTTTATGCACTTCTACTGCTCCATTGCACCAACCCTACATAAAAACAAACACACTCACAGCTTCGCATCAAAGTCCTCAAACTCGGTGATATCAGACACAGCAACAGGACCAGTACTGACAGGCAGACGAGCCTTGAAGACGGATACGTCCGTGATGACGACGGGCTCCGGAGTAAGCACGTCACCATTGGTAGGCTCGTCCTTCGCCAGGCCGAGCTGCTTCAGCTGCAGGCCCAAGGTGCTCTCCAGTTTCCCAATCACAGGGTCGATCTGGGCCGGCGACAGACTGAGATCTCCGGCCATGTAAGCCTTGACCATATACACGATTTGTGGCTGATCAATCAGGGTCAGGTCCAGATCCTTGAATGCCGTCTGCAGCTGAGTGTTGTCCGAGGTGAAACCAGCAGCCGAAAGCTGCTTGTCGACGATCTCGACCAGACGGGCGCACTTCTCATCCGAGCTGTCGCTCTCAGCAGCTTGGGTACCGGACTGCGCATTCAGATGAATCGCCAGCTTGGCTCGCGTCTTCGAGGCGGGATCAATGTACTGACGGTAGAAGGCAACCAGGTCAGCCTTGGACAGGTTGCGCACGTTGGCCGCGTCAGTCTCGTGCTGCAAGAAGTCAAAGTACTCCGAGCCGACGTGAGACCAGTAACGACCGGTCTCCGAGCCCAGGTTCTTCAACTTCTCCAGACGCTTGTTGATGACGCTGCGCTTGTGGCCCTCAAACTCTTCCTCGGGCATGTTCTCAAGGGTAGTTCCGAATATACGCAGGAATGACTCAATGCGAGACTCGAGGTACTTGGCGTTGCGCTCACTCTGGATGATCACACGGTAGCCCATGGTGGTCGCGTTGTAACGGGAGCCACTCCACACGACGTATCCGAGCTGTTCCTTGCTGCGCAGCTGGTCGAATGCAGGCTCGTCCGTCATCTGAGAGAAGAGCTGAAGCTTGGAACGCAGGGTGGAATCCGAGAAGACACCGATGAAGAGATAGTACTCAATACAGTGGTTGACGTTAGCAGGGTCCTGGAGAGTCCGGGGGTAGACAAAGTTGCTTCCTGGAGGAATCATCATGTTACGTCTCAGGTACCACTGCGACGGAGGCAGGGAACGACCCTGTAGAGTCTTCTCCACAGAGTCAGTCATGCGCAGAGCATCTTCTTTGTACAGGTTGCCGTGGGCAAGGACCTCGATGTGGGTCTGCTCCAGCAGCTGAGGGAAGAAGGTGGTCACATCGCCGGCCTGAATGTGCTCCAACTCCTCAATGTACTGCTCGTTAACCCAGCTGCGCTCGGCCAGCAGGTAACGAGTATAGTCGCCAACCTGATAGAAAGGCTGCGAGTACTCAGCATTACGGAAGGCCCGGGTCAGGCGTTCCTTGATGATGTTGAACCGGTCCTGGTTAACGGACAGGTTACGCATGGTAGTGAGCAACTTCTCCAGCAGAACAGACATCTTGTCATTGTATCCATCGACGGAGATATCCAGACCAAGGATGTTCGCTGCAAGATGGTAATCCAGTCCCGCAAGCTCTGCATCGTAAGAGTACTCATCGAGGGAATCCCGGACCAACTCGCAGTAAAGCTTGGTTTTGATGAGGTTCGCTGGAGTCGCCCAAACCAAGGGGTTGCGCAGAGTGATGTTAATAGTAGCCTTGGGAACCCAGAAGCGGTCATCCTTTTTGAACCACAGGCGCACACGGTCATCGTGGCGGATCAGCTTGGGGGTCTTCGCGGGCTCCTCAGTTTCCTTCTTCTCCACCGACAATCTTGTGGGAACAAACTCGTTTCGGTGTGGCATATGCACGTTAGAAGTACGAGTCGCCTCGGTCGACTCCAAAGCATCCTGAATTTTGTTCAAGAAGTCCCGAGGAATCTTCTCTGACTTGTATTCAGTACCGTACCACTTCTCTTTCTGGTCCCAGGTTCCAGGGAAGGTCTGGGAAACGATGATAAGTCGGAAGTTGTCAGTACGGAGATAAGACATGGCCTTCTTAATCAGCTCGGGATCAAAACGGCGCAACAGCGATCCACTGAGAAGCCTCTCGTGAGGTAACGACTTCTGCATGACACTGCTGAGACGGCTGGTGAAACGACTGGCCGGTGTCTTCTGCTTGAAGCGGAAGTCCACTTCAGCCAGGTTCTTCATCTCGTCGAAGATCCACTGCTCTGGCTCGCGCTCCTTGATCATGGCAATATACTCAAAGATTACCTTGGCAACCTCCTGGTATTGGTTGAGACCCTCGGGCGTCAGACGAACCGAAACGGTGAAGAAGGCAGAGCCAGGGCAGATTGGCATAGCACCGGCTGAGAGACCATTGGCCCAGCCCTTGCCCTTCAAGTAGGAAAGAACACTACCGGGTCCTTCGTGGCCGATCAAGTGGCTGATATATCGGCTGGGCTGAATGTCGTTCAGGTTCTCTTCATCAATGAATGGGAAATACATATCCATGGAGCGAGAGTCCATGACCGGCTTCGCAAACACCTGGGTGCACATATCCTCTTCAGAAAAGGGCTGCACATCATCCCAGCGGTTCTGGGTCAGATCCTTGTTCTCGACATCGGCGAACAACTCCTCCACCCATTGCTCCAGCGTGTCCAAAGACTCTCGGCCCAGAACTACCAGCTTGGCCCGGTTCGCCGAGTAGTGCTTCTCATAGAACCGGATGAACTCACTACGCACCTCCAGTCCTCGTTTCTGGGGGTCCTCCTTCAGTGTCTGCAAGTTACCAGTTGAGAAGTGATGGTAAGGGTGCTTAGGGTTTGAAAGTGACTTGTTCAGCTGCATCAGTCGCCACAGGTCGCTCTGGAGGTTCTTTTTGTTCTCTGAATCCACTGCCCTCAGCTCACGGTCTAATGTCGACTCCAAGAAGAGAGGTGAAATAAAGAACTGAGCAAACCGGTCTAGAGCGCCATATAGTGGCGACTTGCCATCTGATTTTCCAGCACTGTCGGATGAGACCTCACCGACAACTCCATTCGTCCCATTTGTGGATTCGGTGGGTGTGTTCTGTCCAGTGGATTTGGGCGCACTCGAATCGCCAGTGGCCGATACCTCAAAGAAGTAGTTCGTTTCAGTAGCAGCAGTGTATGCATTGGAAGAGCCGGAATGGGCGGCTAGGTATTGGTTGTAGTCGTTCTCCTTGGGGTACTATGCAGTGCCGGGATAGACGTCAGCATTGCTCTCCACTCTCCGCCCTCTAGCTCGGAAAAAAAAAAAAAAAGACGTACCTTTTTCGTACCCATAAACAGCAAGTGCTCTACCGCATGTGCCATCCCTGGCATATCATCCTCATCGGAGAAGTTGCCCACATTGACGTTGACGGCGGCGCTAGCCTTATCAGTGTCAGGGTCGTGCACCAGAAGAGCCTCAAGCTTGTTAGGCAAGCGAATGACACGGTAGGACCGATCATCGAGCTCCGGCTTCTCCAGGCGTTCTGTGAGGCGCTCAATTTGAGTCATGACGGAAGGTGTGGCAGGGGACGGGTGGATGGAAGAGAATGAGCGGACCCAGGGGAGCTCGGATGAAGAAATCGGGAATGACGGCCGAACAAAGGAAGTCAGTGAGGTTCGTGACAGCAAATAGGGAGCGGTTGGATTGCAACTCAGGCCTCTGTACCACAACCACGGGCGTGTAGTAGAGGACCTTGGGGGCATCAAGGTAAGGGTCGGGAGAAGGTAGCGGTGTGTCTGGTATGGCCAATGCACCAGAATCACGCGAGGAATGTATGTGCAGTCAATGGAATATAGATGAAGATGAAAGAAGAGTGTCAATCGACGATTGTAAAGCCGACGGAGGCGGGGCGAACCCAACGATCAAATGTCCTGACTAAGCGTGTTTATCGGAGCATTTCCAGACCTCGATGCTGTTAGTTATGAGGCTCTTTTCGGTCAACCGGGGATTTCAGTATTCGATCCTTCCTAGATCCTTATATCCTTAGATTCTGAGGTTCCTAGGTTAGAACTTTCCTAATACTGTGCTTCCCAAACGAAGCGCATTGGTTTACTTCCAGTGTTCTATAGGGTTATCCAGACCGAGGAAGGCGATTCAATTCCAACATATGAATTCATTACTCATTAACTATATCCAACAGTCAAGTCTCATCCAATCGCCCAACGACCAAACTTGAGGCTCTTTTGGGCCCTGCGCCGTCTAGTCTTGCAACCTAGTGTCACTGCGCCCCCAGTCCACAGCCCAATCACCCACACCCTAGGTCCTAACAGAGCCTCTAGCACTTGGCGGCGGCGCACAGGTTCAGTGAAATATCCGAGTTAGCCTGGCAATCCTTAACCTGGCTACCACTGGGAGCGACACCACTTCCCCAGCAGATGCGGCGGCAGGTAGGGTCGGAGGGCAGCACATTCAATGTGTGGCCGGAGAAAGCATCACCAAAGACATCGGACATGTCGTACCAGACGGTGCTACCATCGAGAGTATAAGCAAAGTTGGTTTGTGCGCTGCCGTCATAGAGACCGTTCGCGTGGGTGGTGATCTTCAACGCGATGCCACCGGAGGCGGGATCATGGTGCAGTTGCTCCTTGTACATGCCCTTGGGTGCGATGGTGACCTTGGGACCAACAGAGCCACCAACAGACCATAGGTAGACGGGGAAGTCGCAGTGGTTCACAACGGCGGCATTGCCAACAGCGCTGGCCAGGGGAGCCAGGGCGGCGACCGAGGCGATGATGGCGGTAGTGAAACGCATGGTGTCTGAGCTTTTGGGGTAGAATAATATAGTCAATGTAGATTTGAAGCTTGAGACTGTTGATGTATATTTCAAGGGCGAGGAATTCCCAGATTTATATAGCTTTTTTGCCGAGCACTTCAGCAGGATGCACTGCCGGCACCAAGACATCTTTCTCACTCTCCTCCTCAGGGAATAGCTTCGATGACAAAATCAGGCCATCTCCATTCGCCTGCCTTTTCTGAGACAACGTGGGCAGAGCGCAGGAAACGATGGCACGCCAGCCATAGCCGACGAACAGTGCCCCGCATGGACGTTGGAGAACCAAGTGGCTATAGGTTGGAAGGTCAAAGAACAAAGTCACGCTGAACTCGTATGTCTCAGAGTGCTTCGACCTGAATTCCGTCCTCTCTCTCTCTCTGGGGCGCCAAGAGTGGAGATGGACCCTGGCTTCAAATCTGGGGTAAAAGTCTGAGACATGGGATAGTTACATCCTAGGCACCGGATGCATTAGTTCGTGCATCTCGTGAAAATCCCGCCCCGAGATCAGCTAACCGGAACATTTCTCGTCACCGCCAGAGATGTGATGATGTGGTTGGTGGTGTTTTACTTCCACACTAAAAATCAAGTCTTCCGCCTCATTCTCGTATTTGCTCGGTTGTCGTTTCGGCGGGACTTGCAGCTCCGTGACGTAGGATCTAAATCCCCGTCAAAAGCCCAGAGAATTTAGCCTATGCTACATACTAACATCTTGCCTTTCTGAGTCCTTTTGACCTCTTTCCTAAAATGTGAAAGAAATTGCGAGAGGGCTCCTTGCACATGTACAATATTTCATTCAAACTCCACTTTACCGAACTTCACCTTCAAAAAAAAAAAAACAAGACGTAGTCGCCTCTTCAAGGATATTTAGATCATCTCTGGATCCGGCAGTAGATCATCTCGCTTACCAAGGCTAGCAGTACAGCGCCGCACTATTTCTTACTTGCCTCTGCGGGGAATTCTCGGCTAGAGACGCTTGATGACTTGTTCAGTGAAGCATCGGTTGTGTGATGAAGCGAAACGGATCAGTGGAATCGTGCTGTGGCACGCACTCAGCGGTAATTATCGCGGTAGGTAGCACCACAAGGGGTCTCGAAGAGAAAATACTCTAAAGCAACATTAGGGAATTCGTCCAGCCTAGGGCTGTCACTGATGCAGCCTCATTGGTCCTTCATCTCTGCGTCCTGATCAGCATCCTCGCCTTCCTCCTCGGACTCGTCGTCGGCACGTTCGGAAATCCATTCGAATACTTCGTCCTTGTGCCGAGCAAGCATCTCGCTAAGCTGTGTCTCAGGGGACTTGATCAGGGTTCCATAGCGCTTGGACGGTTTGCGGTCCGGGTTGCCCCAGACTCCGTGCGTCTCTGAGACAAATACAAGAGAGTTCTGTAAAATGGTAAGCAGGTGAGTGGGGAAAGCATGAGACTGATCTTAAGATTCTCTTACCTCGCGATACCACTTAGACAACCACGTCTGCGTGGGAGATGCAATCGCACGAACGGGGTTCTCAGCCACGAATGACACGATTCCGTTAACGCGTTTGTAAAGGTTTTCTATTTCCAGTCAGCGACTTTTCTTGGCTTCATGTAGTGTTGGACGCACCTCGGTTGATAAGCAAGTTGGCTACCCCGTAGAAGGCATTACCGATTCCCATGAAAAAGATCTCGGTGACTTCGGTAGACCTGTTGACTTATGTTACTTGGGTGTTCAGTCACCAGTCGGACAAAATCGCCTGCTTACTCGATGTAGTTGTCCCACAAATAGCTGGCCAGCTCTTCGGTTGCTGTGGAACGATTTTCATCCTCGTCCTCGTATCTGCCGGTGGACTGATAGTGCCGGTGATCAGTCGGTATATACATGGAGTGTTGACTGTCAACTCTTACCGTCTCCCGAGTAACGTGCTTGGGGACATTGACGTCAATTACGGCATAGCCTTTTTTGACGATCCATTCAAGGTAGTCCTTTTCGCCATCCGCCTTTTTAAGTTAGCGCATTTTGATCAACTGGGCCGTTTCAGTCAACTTACCACCCAGGTGTTGTGAGCATCCATTCGGCTAGTCACCGGGTCAGGATGTCCCATAATCTCGGGGCTAAAGACAGTTAGAACGGACAACTCTGGTTTTTTCGCAAGATACTTACGGATCATGGAAAATAACGATAAGGGGAACTGGGTTATGAGTGTTGTTGCTGAAGATAACGGTGAGCCTGAGCGTCATTGCTCCTGTAGTTCCTGCAGCACTGACCTTGACAGGACTTGATTACTGAATGACTTGGAGATGGCGGTGCGATAGATCCACAACGGGGTGAGTTTGAGTTCCTCGTAAAGTTGCTTGGACTGGTAGTCACGAAGGACGTCTGACACAGTTGTCAATGTCTGTTCGTGGGCTGGCGGGGCAGCAAACATACCGTGAAGTCGGTTTGCCCACACGGGATTGATTGGTGGCTTCGGAAACATGCAACTCCAATATTGAGCTTGAATGCTCATGACGCGACCGACGGTGGCCTTGGCAGCCTCTGTGGGAATAGTGTTCATCAGACGGTCCGGCGGCTCACCCATAAGGGTCTTGGTCACCGCCAGGGCAGATTTGGAGATAGAACGGAAGTTATATCCTCCTTCCAGGCAGACAGCAATCTTGCCATCAGCAAGAGTCATGAGCATGTGGGTCATCTGAGCGTAACAGGGAGGGGAGACGAAGCAGCCACCCAGAACATCGCCGGCAGCAGCGTCAAACCCAGCCGAAACTGTTCAGGAGTTAAAGATGGTCCCCTATCAAGAAAGATCCAGACTTACTGATCACCAAGTCCGGGTTGAACTCGGTAGCAATGGGCATCACAACTTTCTGGAAAGCCCACATGTAATCACCGTCACCCATTCCTTGATCAGGCCAAGGAATGTTGATATTCCTTCAATCGGATGTCAGTACACTTTTTTTTTCGAAATCTGACTCTCCCAAGTAGTGAATCTAGGCAATTACCTTCCAAGTCCTGGGCCCTCACCACAGTGGTCCCAATCTCCTGCAGGACCACCGGGATAAAATTTGCCGTTCTGATGAACGTGAATAGAGACATAAAGAATATTCGGGTCATCATAGAAGGCTTGCTGGATCCCATTTCCTGTAATCATGTGAGCGCGTACATTCTTTAATCAAACGTGGCAGATTTTCGCCTACCATGATGGACATCCCTGGTAATCGAGTCAGTATAGCGGCATGAGAAAGAAGAGCCTGATGTGCACTCACCAGTCGAGAATCATGATCTTACGGCACTTCTCACCGAGTTCCTTCTGACAGACACGTGCTGCAACGGAGACATTATTGAACAGACAGAAGCCCATGGCCTCGTTGTGCTCGGCGTGGTGGCCAGGCGGGCGGATGACGGCGATGGCGTTCTTGACTTTGCGCTGCGCAACCGCCAGACAAGTCTCAATAGCACCTCCTGCAGACAAAATGGAAGAGGCAAACGTCAAATCATTGAAGTAGATAGAATCTTTCTGCTTCTCCAAGTTCACCAACGTATCATCATCCATCGCTAGCATTCAGTTAGTGATCAGACCGAAATCACAACCCCATTTCGTCATACCTTGAGTGCTCTTAACAAACGCGTAATGGGCTTCGGTGTGAATCATGGTAATCTGCTCTTGAGTAGCCTTGACCGCATTGATCCTCTGAAGGGTCTTCGGAGCCAGGGGTCGCGTCGACATCGGGTCATCGATAAGGCCAGCACGGCATAGCTCCTTGTAAATGTACCAGATCCGACGTGGATCCTCCGGATGCACGTCCGAGGTGGGACGGACTTCACAGTGGAAGCGCATACGCTCATCGTAGCAAAGACCTGTCGCTAGCGACCCAACTGGAAGACCAGACCGAGGCATGACCTCTTCATCAGACCAGTCAGAGTTAGGTTCGACAAGACTATCTCGCTTCGCGTGTTGGGAAGCGGAGTTGCTCTCCGAGTCACTTGGCTTCAAGTGTCCCTCTAACGCCTCCCCTAAGTGGCCACTAGAAAGATGCGATGAGAAAGGCTCAGAACCTGGAGATAAAGACTTTGGCGCGGATGGATGAATGAATGAAGGAGCCAGAGTAGGATCCCCTCGATTGTGTAGATGGGTAGTAGAGGGAGGGGGATGCGTGAGAGACGCATGAGAGGGCATGGTAGGCAGCTTGTGGGTCTGCCCCGTAATGGACTTCTCTTCTTCTTCCATTTTGGTGTTTCAAAAAATCAAGGAGCAGTCCTCTTTCAATGAGGCTTAACTCTTGTGCTTAAAATTTCATGACAAAATATCGTGAATCAATGGCTGGTTCAAAACATGCACGACTTCCGCAGAAGATGCTTAGGCGATAAAGCAGTAAATGTCGCAGACAATCCCGGGTGATACCGTTTCAAACGATTCACCTGCAGACAGTGAATGGTATGCAGCCGTGCTGGAACGGGACCGTGGCCGTATAGAGCTCCGTCCTTTGTATTCCCGCGCGAGCAATTGCGACCCCCAGAGACAGCAAGTGCAGCTTTCTTGCGGAGAGCTCCAGAGGCAAGAGGCAAGAATTGGAATTTAAATAATCAATTCCAATGCGACACTGCTGGTATCAAGGCGTCACCGCTGAGACTAAGCAGTACTTGGGGGATGGTGGATGATTGATATGGCGATCCCTGGGCTGGTCCTGGTCCTTATGTATTACTGCCAGACATTCAATGACTTACCGCTTCATACACCGCCTTGAACCCGAGTTATCTCCGGATATGCGGGTCTTGGTGCCTTATCGCCTTATCGACTGGGAAGAGCTATAACTACGAGATAAGATAGGATCAAGCTGCACTTCTGGCACAAAGGCTACATGTGTATGATAGAATAGGTTTCCAGTGTTATCATCCCAATCCATTTAGATTTGCGTCCAAAGTTTGCGCACACGTATAGTCATTGTTAAGGTTCAAAGTCATGCGGTAGTGTACTCACAGCTATTGAGGAATGGGATATCCAATGAGTAGATAGAGTAAACACTAGAGTCGGATTCGGTGCATAAATCGTCTACGAGTCCAGTGAGTAACCTCGGCATATCAATAGATAGTCATGGTTCCTTTCGTCCCGAAATGCACACTCAAGCTTCGGGCGAAAGGGCAGCCACGGATTCGCCCCATCGCAAAAGATGAACTATACGCTAAACCCTGGAAGCATTATCTACGTCCTCCAGCTGTCTAGAATTACAGAAGAGATTAAAACGCAACCGGAATGTATTTGGTTCTCATTAAATGGACGTAACAGCTAGTTTTTTCTACGAGGTAAATTCCCATCCAGTCCCGCATCGACAGGTACCTTCACGGTGAACTATCCTCAGAGAAGACTCCTGGCCCCAGGACGCTGTCCTGATTCCTACTGGCCATCGACCTTGGCGATGTAGGCGATCAGGTCAACGACACGGTGGGAGTAACCCCACTCGTTGTCGTACCAGGAGACAAGCTTGATGAAGTTGGGGTTCAGGGCGATACCGGCCTTGGCATCGAAGATGGAGGAGTGGTCATCACCGTTCATGTCAGTGGAGACGACATCGTCCTCAGTGTAGCCGAGAATACCCTTGAGTTCGTTCTCGGAGGCCTTCTTGATGACGGCCTTGATCTCATCGTAGGAGGCGGCCTTCTCGATACGGCAGGTGAGGTCGACAACGGAGACGTTGGCGGTGGGGACACGCATGGACATACCGGTCAGCTTGCCGTTAAGGGAGGGGATGACCTTGCCGACAGCCTTGGCGGCACCGGTGGAGGAGGGGATGATGTTCTGGGCCGCAGTACGGCCACCACGCCAGTCCTTAGCGGAGGGACCGTCGACGGTCTTCTGGGTGGCAGTGTAGGAGTGGATGGTGGTCATGAGACCCTCAACGAGACCGAAGTTGTCGTTGATAACCTTGGCGAGGGGAGCCAGGCAGTTGGTGGTGCAAGAGGCGTTGGAGAGAACGTCGACCTTGGACTCGTAGGAGGTGTTGTTGACACCCATGACGAACATGGGGGCATCGGCGGAGGGGGCAGAGATGATGACCTTCTTGGCACCACCCTTCAAGTGAAGGCCAGCCTTCTCCTGGGTAGTGAAGACACCAGTGGACTCGACGATGTAGTCGGCACCGGCCTTACCCCAGGGAATGGCAGCGGGGTCACGCTCAGCGTAGAAGGTAATCTTCTTGCCGTTGACAATCAGGCCGTCGGAGGCAACCTCGATGGTGCCCTTGAACTGGCCGTGGGTGCTGTCGTAGCGGAGCATGTAGGCCTACATCATGGGGGGGTGTGGTTAGTACAGGATGCGGGGCAATTGCAGGGGTCTGTGGAGGGGGTCACCCCGCCACCAGGCCACCAGGGTAAAACTTACAGCGTAGTGGACCTCAATGAAGGGGTCGTTAACGGCAACAACGTCAACACCACCGTGGTTGATGCTGTGTAACAATTAGAATCAAATTCGTCCCACCAGACGCGGAGTCGAAGAGTAAGGAACTTACGCATTGCGGAAGACCTGTGTGAGGAATTAGCTGGTGATCGAGATAATGATGAAAAGCAAAAGAAACTTACAATACGGCCAATGCGACCGAAGCCGTTGATTCCAACCTAGAGGATGATGAGAATTTGCGACACGACGTGGCTGCGACCCGGAGAGCATACCTTGGGGACCATGTTTGCGGATAAATGAGTTCTATTAGACAAATCGATGTAAGTAAGTGTTAAAAGATAGAGCGAGGGAGAGAGAGGCAAGAATGGCCCAGATGGATCAAGATCCCAGATGAAAATTAGGGGGGTGGGAGATGAGACTTACTTTTTTGAGGGTAGAAGAGGGATGGGGAAGGAAGGAAGAAGGAGGGGGAGGGGGAGAATGCAATTCTTGTAGTATTACGCAACGACCAGATCACCCAACTCTACACCGGCACCTTGTTAGAAGTCCCCAGACGTCTCGGCGCGTCGGAGCAAGCTAGCTGCAGTTCCCGGCACTTGCCGCTTGCACAGCTCCCCAGTGCCCTTTTCCGGTTTCATACACCGGGGAATTCAGGAAGCTTTACGATATTTGCTCTACTCTGTGCCAATGAGCGTGCGACGATCCTCACACGTCGGGTCTCTATGACCTTATTGCCTCGGCGAGGAGCTCTAGAATGTTTTGCCAGTCTACTTCGGCACGATAATGTAGTCCTACCGATGCCCGATGCCCGAGGAGGGGGGGGGCTTTGGAGGGGGTGGAGGGGCAGTGGATGATGCCATGACTGAGGGGCAACCGTCTCCTTAGTAACCACTGAACCACAACCATCAGGTCAGGCCAACAGGTACAGATCCATAGTTAATGGTCGCCACTAGTATCTTTCATATTTCATTATTCTTTTCATGATTTATATTTTTCTTTTTTTGATTCACTTCTCTCTGGGGCCCGTGTGTGCCGTATGCGGCCAGGCGGGAGCGGGATGCCTCGAAACAGACTGCGGTGGACCAATTTGGGATGGGGCAACTGTATAAGAAGTGGCCCGCGCCCTGAAAGAGGTCACCGGTAGCTGGGCCACGGGAACAATCAGATTTTTACTATTATTCTTTCTGGTTTAATGTTGCATTTATGTTGTTTGAGTTAATCAGGCGAATCCAGAAGATTATAAATCTCCGGCACCGGCCATCCGAGGGGGCAAAGGGGCGTGTTCAGACGAATATGAACCCGGATCAAGACCTTTGGAGGTAATGATGACAAGGGATGGCAGTGATGGCAGTGATGGCAAGGATGAGATGTGAGATGTGAGATATGGCATACATTCTAGCATGCCACCGCAGCCCCTGGACTCGAGGTTAATCGGCAAATCCTTATCGCTCTCGCTTCGGTGGAAGCCCATGGAACTTCGCAGATACCCGCTACGATCCGTATCGCATCGCCACCCCAACAGTGGATGGCAGGCCATTACGACGAAAAAAGAACAGAGGATGAAAGAATAGTTCAAAAATTAAGAGCGTCACCGCTCGACTCATCGCCATGGTATTTGGAAGGGATATAATACAAGTCAGAAACGGCCGTAGCAAAGCTTCCCCATGCAAGTCTGGGTCAAAAGATGACCGTCGATCGTACCGATTGATCCGCCATATATCGACCGTTTACTCCTCCTTGACACCGCCGCGGTAGTTCTTCTCGGCAGCCTCGATGGAGGCCTTGTCGCTCTTGGGCGCACCTTGGGACATGAAGCCACCGCCAGCCTTGAAGGGACGGGCGAGGTCACCGGTAGCGGGCTGGCCGAAGATGTGGATTTTGACCAGGTTGGACTCGATGGCACCCTTGAGGGGGATGATCGACTGGATGAGGAGAGGGTTGGTGTACTGCATGTACAGGTGCATCACACCCATCATGCCAACACCCATCAGCTGGCTGCGGAACAGCTGGCGAAGCTGTCCCTTATCGTAGTCCATGTTGGTGGTGGTCACGGGCTTGGCCTCCTCGCCGGCGCCCATGGGGGCGGGCTCGACGTACTTCAGGGTCGTCATGTCTAGTTGTTGGTTAGTCAAGAGTCGCGTGGTATCTCATGGACGCGATGCGACGATACACATACCCTTTTTGCTGTTGATCTTGGCCTGTGTCCATAGGTAGATACCCACAATGAGGACGTTGGACAAGATGTACAGAGCACGGACGCCCATCAGAACATCGGGGTTATCGAAGGGAACCTTCTTGGACAGCTGCATCATCACCAAGATGATGGCCAGGTTGGTACTGCACGACGTGTTAGAGCAGTCCATGCATGGCGTAGATATGAGACATACATTTGAGGAGACACCATTTTGACGAGTCGGACCTTGAGGGTGCTGGATGAGGTACGGGGGAGATGAAAGGAATACTGGAGAACCAAAACTCGATCGCATTTGCCCCGGGCCACCTGGCACTTCGGAAGAACTGTCTGGCCGCTGTCAGGTGACCTGCTCCGCTCGCGCTCGAACTCCACGGTTTGTGTTCGGATCTTCACTACTCTTTCCAAAGGTTCAACGAACCCTCAGTCCATTCTCCTTGATGACCAGCAGAAATACGGACGGGTACAATTCTTGATGACTAGACCTTCAGATTTGGCGCCGCCCGAGATGACCTGATGGCTCTGTGGATGCCCGCAAACAGGCTTACACCGTGGCGCCTACTGACCACACAGTTCAAACTAACACCGCCCAATACTCCGTGGTTGGCAGATGGAAGACTTATTTATGCACTTTCGATATGATAACACCCAGCAGATCCAATCTTACCGACACAGACCACAGTCAACGGTGCACTGTGCAACTATCGCTGGGCGACCTTGAGATGATTACCGCTTTGGGACTAGCGTCGGGCCGTCTTTAGCGACCGTGCCGGCGTGGACATTTCTGACTTCTCCATCCATCAACAACGCGCGTGCCTTCCCGCATTCTGAATCGCTCCCCCATCCAACTTCCTACAGGAACGCTTGCCATCTCAATCCAACGCGCTATCCCAATACCTGCGAATACTCAGTCAAAATGCCTGGCGGAAAGGGCAAGTCTATCGGTGGAAAGGGTGGTTCCAAGGACTCTGCGGGGAAGGCCCAGAAGTCTCACAGCGCAAAGGCTGGCCTGCAGGTGTGTCGTCGCCCGTTGTCGCCCTGGCCCGTGGTCTATGCTGTTGATTGAAGACATGAGATCAGGGGTTGGACTATGGAATTCTGTCAACACCACGACGCGTCGAGTTGACTTCCCCCTCACCGGCCTGGAGTTTCAGGGTCTGGCGAGGGGTCTCATCCATCATCCCACCCGGTCGCATGTCCTCTCCGTCGCGCATGGGCCCCGAATCGCGTCGACCCCACCGTCCCGGTTCATAAGACTAACATGGATTCTTTAGTTCCCCTGCGGTCGTGTCAAGCGTTTCTTGAAGAACAACACCCAGAACAAGATGCGCGTTGGTGCCAAGGGTATGTCCCCTTTTCCTTCCCGGTGTCTGTTTCTCATATGCTGACAAATCCACAGCCGCCGTGTACGTGACTGCCGTCCTCGAGTACCTGACCGCTGAAGTACTGGAGTTGGCCGGCAACGCCGCCAAGGATCTGAAGGTCAAGCGTATCACGCCTCGTCACTTGCAGCTCGCCATCCGTGGTGACGAAGAGTTGGACAGCCTCATCCGCGCCACTATCGCTTTCGGTGGTGTCCTGCCCCGCATCAACCGTGCCTTGCTCCTCAAGGTCGAGCAGAAGAAGAAGGGCAAGCCCGAGCTGTAAACAAGACGGTGGATGTGCACAATTGGGTTCTCGAACCTGCTCCCTCCGTGGTCTTTCTGTCTTATCATTCTTCACGGCGCGACTCTGATGTTTTTGTCTATTCCCCGGTTTTACGTGCTGTTGTTTTATTGTTCCATGTCTATTTCTAGTTCACAGGGCGCTGTAATGGGAAAATGGGGGGATATCCTGGTAGTGTGGGAATTACTACTTCTTTGATCTATCTCATCTTCAGTTGTAGCCACTCGACATTCATGTTTGGAGGCTTTCTAGCCATGAGTATCCGTGGGCAATTAATCCAAAGCCTAGAGCTGGAAGTATCAAGGCAAGCCAGCTCCGAGGCCAGCCATCGCTCAGCATTCCTCAGAATGACTCAATCGACCAGGCCACCGAGCTGCATGCTGTCGCGAGGGTGGGTACACTGCTGCGGTAAAATGGATTCGTTGCAGGTGTAATAACTATAACTAATTAGTTTGGAAAGTTCTATGATTACTACCATCACTTGCATCCTAAGTCCCGCCAATCTGTAACTCGGGTGCATGGAGACGGATCGACAGGGACGGGAATGCCGAGACCATAATAAACAAAAACTTTCGGAACTCTCGGTAAGTTGCGGGTTACGGTGACAAATGGTAAAAGTATGTCGTCTGGTCCTTTGGTTCTACACCGCCAGGTAGCCTCTCGGACTAATAAGAGAAACGGTACTCCTACTAGAGATAAATTTGCAAAGGTACAGAAACTACAGTCAAATGGGAGAAGAGAGTTGGAAAACGTGTAAAAGGTACATGGATTGTCGAAATCTGAGTACAACGTTCGAAGAAAAAGCCCCTAGACTGCAAAAGATACCAAACATGAAGAAAAAAAATCCCCTCGATAGATTGTTCAAAGTCGAGTTGGGGATCAGGGCTCACTTGGCTTGACATATACTGCAGCCATCCAGTGCTGTCTTCGAAGACAGTTGAACGGCAGTCCGCAGAGGCGCTGGGTGCCTCAATTCTGCAAGACGAGTATCCAGACCAGAGTGGAAACGCGCAGAAAAGCAAAATGAACAAGACATTCCCGCCTTCGATGGACGTATAATAAAAGAAGCCTCGGTCCCCGAAACGCGGGTGGACTATCGTCACAATTAGGGGACACGATGGCAGAAAGAGAAGACAAAAAAATCGGGCCAGAAACATTAAACGGATGCGAGTCGCCCCATGTACAAACTTAACAGGAATATGCAAATGCTTTGTCGTGTCTCCTGCCGGGGCAGGGTTCTTTTGAAGTCATTCTTCGTAGGTGTCCCACCGAGCGGTAGCGGTCGTAAATCCGCGTTCCAGCAGTCGGGGGAAACACTTGATTTGCAAGAAAAAGACGGCGCCCGCAGAATCAAATCAGAAACAGAAACAGGTCCAGAGTTTGAATCTCGGCTGGCGTGCGAGAGGAAACAGTGGCGAAGAAACGGTTCCAATGTGTGGGCTGCCCCAAAAAAGTAATAAACGTCTAAACTTGGCTTTCAATCAGCGAAAAACAATGGATTTTTCTTCTTTTTTTTTTCTTTCTTTTTAGTTGTCATCTCGTCATCCCTCATCGAAATCGTAAGCCGGTGAATTTGGCAGAACAGGGCCTCGTGATACAGGTTCGTATTCGTCTCGCGGCAAATCAGTCGGATGTTGGCAAAAACAGTATAGGTGGGGGATCGCCATCGTCAAATCGCTAGTTTTTTGGTTTTTTGGTTGGCTCGTTTACTCAACAATGATCTCGACGCCCGAAGTGGCGCGAAGTTCGTCACTGCCGCGGGCCTGGTGGCCGTTCTGACGACGGAAACCGGTGCCTTTCTCGGGGGTCGGGCCACGAGGCTGTCGGATCGGCATGCGCTCTTGCTGGGCATTGTCAAATCCAACTCCCATTCCACGGTTGCTGCCAATCGCGCCTGCGGACGAGGGCTGGCTGTCCTGATCCCAGGAGAACATACCACGCAGTCGTCGGGGGCTGGAGTTAGGGCCTCCGATGCCCGTGCCAAGAGAGAGACCACCCAGGCTGTTGACCAAAAGGTTATCGTCACGTTGCATGCCCAGGGACGAGCCGGACGGGGCGGAGGTGAGAGTCGGGGTGTTGGAAGTGCCCGTTTGAGAATTCTCGTACTGAAGACGGGCGCCGTTAGATTGAAGGGCGGCCGGGAAGCTGGCGGAGGAGGGGACAGGGGACGGCGTGTAGGAGCGCAGATCAGCAAACGACTTGGCGGCGCGCAGGTTCTGCGTATTGGCATAGTTGCCGGGAGAATCCATCACACCCAGGAAGTTCGAGTTCTGGCCGCGCATGGTGTTGAAAGAGTTGGGGCCACCCTCGTTGCGAGCCTCGCTAAAGTCAATGGTGGCGGCACGGTTCAGACCACGACGGGTGTCGTTCTGACCAGCGGGAGGAATCGATGACAGGGGCGGGCTGACACTGGTACCAGCGGCGACCTTGAAAACCTGAACCTGGCGCTGATCGCCGTTACCGCGGGAAGCGTGGGCCAACCCCATGTTGTGAGCCAGAGTGTGAACCGTGCGTCGCTGGGACGGGGTGAGGTTGGGAGGGAAGATCACGGAATCACGAGCGGTATCTTCCTTGAACAGCAGAAGTTGGGAGTAGTAGGAAAGAGTTTGGCTGTCGTTCAGGTCCACTTCCACTTGTCCTTCTTCAGGGGTGAGTTTTTCGGACGACTCGTGAGGAGGAAATTTCAGCTTACCGATTTTCTGGCCACGCTGCGAGACTGGAGAAGGCGAAGTAGCGGGGATGTGCGAGGCGAGGGAAGACATGGAACTCTGGGTCTGTAGAGTCGAGGGCATGGGACGGTGCTGCTCTTCGAGCTGACCGCGACGCTCTCGCTTCTCTCGTTCGATCCGTTCACGCTCCTGCAGGGGTAGCATCTTCTTGTATTCCACCCGCAATTTCCGGCCCTGCAACTCGAAGTGGTTCAAAACCTCGATCACGGTTGCGGTCTCCTCCGCTGAGGTGAAGTTGGCAAAGGCCAGACCACGGAAAACGCCGTTGTCAAAGTGGTAGTTGAAGGCGTAGGGCAGGGGCAGGTTCAACTCCGTCATGAGCTGCACCAGCTGCTCCTTCTTGACGGCGAAGGGGATGTTCTTGATGACGATCGCGGTCGGGATGAGTTCGTCATCGCCCTCCGAGGAAGCCGATGCTTCCGGTCGCATCGCACTGCTCTGAATGGGACCAGGGCCCAGATTGGAAAAGGCGTTAGGCATGCCCGGTTGCTGATCAAGCCAGGTCTAAAATAAGATGGGGTTGCGTTAGTATTGGGGGTGGTTGATGATTGTGGAAGAATTTTGTCGACGGAGACCACAAAACAACACGTACCGTGGGCAGACCAGTTCGTCCACGAGCGGATGGCTTCAGACTCGCCGAAGCCGAGCGAATACCCCCAGAGACTGAGCATTGTTGAAACCATTAGGGTTCCAGGTCTGCGAGCCCGAGAGATCATAAGCGTAGGAATTGTTCTGCATTGACGGGTTCAACCGCTCCAGTCGGGCGGTCTCGTAGCGGGCCATCTGATCCTCGTACGGGTTGACAGGCATCGGGCCGTAAGCGTCGAACTGGCGAGAAGGCTGGCGGTGTAAAGGTTGCTGATGCCGCTGGGAGCCGGGGGAACGCGCAGAAGGATCGTGATACATGTCCGATTGTTGATAAGTCATGGCCGAGGGAGGGTTCCGAGGAATGTGGGCACGTTCAAAAAATTTCCACCAACAACACGGAAGAAGTCGCAAACTATGCGAACATGAGGTGAAAAGGAGGACAGATAGAGCAAAAAGAAGTAACCGTGAAAAAAGGCAAAATCGCTCACGGATGCAAAGTCGTGCTCGTGCGGGTCATGAAAGGGGGGGTAAGGTGAGGTTTTTTTTCTCTTCTTTTTTTTCTGGCTGCTTTTCCTGGTTTCTTTTTGATCTGATCTCAAAGACGAGAAAAGTCACTCCGGTAATGAACGAGAAATTCACACCGCGAGGAACAACTGGAGGAAGACAAGAAGTGGGGGGGGGGAGAAAGGGAAAGAGGAAAAGGGAATGAAAAGACACGCAAGGCCGGAAGTGGGTGAGCGGTCCACAAAACCGCCAAGAACGGGGAGTAAGGAGTTGCGGGTGTTTTTCAACTATTTGCTTGTCTTTCCACGAGTTTTGGGGCCTTTCTGGACTTTTATAGCACTAGCTCCGACTTCTTCAAGATACGTCTGAAGTCCCTTTTTCCCCTTTACCGTTCTCTATTCTGGGGCTGCTTCTTCTTCACAGCTGGTTGCCAATCACACTCCTCTTTCTGGATCCTCTGGATCCTCTGGCTCCCTCTGGCTCCCTCTGGCTCCCTCTGGCTCCTCTCTACTCGTAACCCCTTCTATGCGTCGTACGAAGGACTGACTGACTCCCTCCTTGTGATTCCTGTTCTTCAACACCCCCTGTTCCTGAATATCGGGGTCTTTCCGGTTAACCCTGCTACCCGAACCAGCATGTCAACCCATCGGCTCCCCTGTCATTCCCGTTCCTGGGGTGCCCGTGCTTCGAACTTTTTAGACTCTGTTCTAGGTGGATGCGGTCTCCGCCACGGTGGGCACTGGGAATCAATGCAAATATCCCTGTACGGAGGAGAAATGGGTAAAAAAAAAAAACACCGGGTCTGATACGCAGTACTCCGTCGATGGCCGATACTCTTCCTATTCTTTTCATACTTCGAACATAATACATCCCTTAGATGGATTGTACCCTTTCAAACGTTCTATCGGGCCGTGGTGATCTCGCACGAGGGGTTTCAAGTGACATCTGACCAGTCTAGCGTACTCGCAGTGCACGCCCTGCCTCGTGCTCCGGTGCCACTTTATTCGATACGCCTGACAGGCCCCTGCAGCACTTGGGCCACTGAGTGATTTGAATTTCTATTGCCCCCCCCCCGGTTTTCCTATATACAGTATAGCCCACTACTTCCTCCTAGGGTCCTATATGTTGGCCACTCGTTCCTTTTCCATCTCCCCCTTTTTTTTTTGCTCTCTTTTTTAGCGTCTCCGGCGGATCATCTCCTATCTCGATCTGGAAGCGCGTCTCGTTCGCCACCAACTTTGTCGGCCACCTATTTCTGGCCCCCGGAACCTTTTCAAGGCTTCCTCGCCAATAGTTTGGTCCCCCGGGACGGGCCAGCGATTCCCCATCGGCACTTGGCCCTCGCCATGACGGACGGCGTGTGCTGCTATACACGCCAGGCCCACTCCATGAAATTGAAACCTTCCAGCGCGTCTCCACGATCCGCGCAGTCTCCGTGCTAGTGGCGCCGCGGAACCGCCGAGGAAGCTCCTAGACAGCAGCTAGAACATTTGGAATCCGCTAGAGCCCAATTAGAACGCGAAAGTGGGAACGTCAGTTTCCGATGGTCGGTGGAGAGCTCGGCTTAGTGTTTTCTGTGAGTCGTCCTCTCACAGCCCAGGGTAAGGATGGGGAAAGCTATCCGGAGCTGCTTGTCATTTCCGGTCTCCTCTTTCTCCCTGATCTGCCTGATCGACCCTGCATGGTGATGGCAGAGACGTGATATTTATTTAGGGGATCTCTGGCCACAGCTTGCCACCGGCTCATAGGATCTACTCAATGACCCCCTTTTTTTCCCCTCGAAAAGATCGATCCTTGACTTCCCCAATGCTGCGAAGGTCGGCCAAGCACCCATTTAATGGATGTGGGCTTTTTCATACCGGAATTCGCCTTCACCGTGGTCCGCGGTGGACACGCTACTCCATATAGAGAGCTTTCTGGCGCTAAACAATGGCGTTATGAGCGAGTGGGTAGTCAAGTGGTTCGCGTGTCTCATCGGAGTTACGAAAAGACGTTGTTGCGGGAGCGCGGGAGCGCGGGAGCTCAGGAGTTCAGAGCCATCGGGATCAATAGAAAGTGGAACGGGTTATGGGAATGCTCTGGCCAAGTCGGGCGGGACCTTGTTCTCCGACATTGGGAATAGAGTCATCCTGACTCTTTAAAAGGGGCGAATGTGGTTTACCCCTGAATCCATGAACTCAGCCCTAGAGAGGATCGACTTGCTGTCGCTGACTCGAAAAATTTGGAAGCATAATTGATTGCTCAAAAGGGTCAAGACGGATTTCATGCCGCGAGCCTTCGAATTGCTCACGCGATCTGCGCGGTAAAGCACCATTGAACGCGTGAGACTTATCGAAGACCTAAGGCACCAGATATCCCGCATGTGCGACGTATATTCGTGTCGCTCCTGGAAGATCATATTGGGAAGGACTGGAAGATCTCACAGCCACGCTGATTCGAAAGACTAGGCTGCCCAACTAATCCACTTGGAGTCATGGTCATTCGAAATTGCTTTGTTTTAGTGCATTGATTATTGGGCAGCCTTAGTCATGCCTTGATATATCGACGTGGAGAGCACAGGAGTAATCTGGGTTCAAATGTTCAATGGCAAGTCTAGCAAGCCTCTAGCGTCTCGATCAAAAAGAGAGCGCTATGACGTCGAAATGGTTAGTTCACCAAATACGGGCAAGGTTTGCGGGGGTCGTATTTGAAGGCGGGATTTATCTTATGCCTATAGCCATGAAACCATATTGATGTGCTGTGAAGAGAACATACGTGGATGTGAAACAAGTCACAGCCCAGGGGTATACGAATCGCTGACGAGTGCCCGCCCCACTCTGTTTTTGCAGACACAATTGTCTTCGCGAAGACCGGCTATAAAGAGCATTCGTGAAAGACCGGGGCAATTCCAGGCCCTGGGGACCACTGGAATCTTCATTTCTTTAAAATAGACAGACTCTAAGAAGGGCAGTCGCGGAGATCAAGCCACCATGAAGTGATGAGGCGTCGTCTGTCTCGATGCGTCGATGTGGGTCCTGCCAAGTCGGCACCTTTTAAGCCTTTAAAGTTGCATTGTCGCCCACGTAGTTCATCGACCTTTTGGACAGCTGGATCTGTAACTGCGAGATGATGCGCACGTTTCGTATAACGCTCGTCTGCGGCCTGGTCTTGACCCTGTTGTTGGTGAAGATCCATCTGGACTCCATCAAGTCCGATCGGGTGGACCGCCTGGACCGCCAGGACCGCCGCAAATTTGATTTTGTGGTAAATGATGGAGGTGCGCATATCGAGCTGGTCTCGAAAGATCAATTGTCTCCTTCAGTTCAAGCTTGGTCTAGCTCAACTACCGCCTCAACTACCACCGTCTCGACTTCCACTTCTAAGACCTATCCGGAGCCGACCAATCCGGCTATAAGGCGGACGGAGTTTAAGCCACAGATTATTCCCGTGGAAGTCCCCGGGTTCTGGGCCGATGACTATGATGACTACGATGATCTCTGGTGGCAGTATATAGAAGATTACGAAGAGGAAGAGCGCAAGCCTACCCCTTCGTCACCCCCAAAGCCCAAGGTGACGCCCAAGACCGATCGGATCATCGTCATGGGTAGAACGTCATGGGAAGACTCAGATTGGCTGGAGGAGGAGCTGCCTGAGTAAGTTGATCCCAAATATTAATCCATTTGTTTCGAGCTATATTTAATGGTTCCTTTCTAACCTGCTCCCCCAAAACTATAGATGGCAGCATGCAGTCTACGTGGTCGACGATCCGGACGCTGAATACGCCGTCAAAGAGAACAAAGGCAAAGAGAGCAATGTTTATCTTCAGTACATCATTGATCATTACGACGAACTCCCCAATTACATGGTTTTCCTCCATGCGCACCGGGCCAGCTCTCACGTCGAGTTCATGGAGCAGGACAACGCTCTCACCGTCCAGCGACTTCAGTTAGACTATGTCGACGAGTCGGGCTATGTTAATCTGCGATGTGACTGGAACCCCGGGTGTCCCAATGAAGTCCAGCCGTTCCGACAATTGGCCGGGCGCACCACCGAGATTGCCTTTGCTGGCGCTTGGATGCAGATTTTCAACAACACCAATATCCCTGAAGTTGTGGCGGCTCCCTGTTGCGCTCAGTTCTCGGTTAGCAAGGCTCAAGTCCTTGCTCGCCCGTTGAGTGACTATCAGGCTTATCACAAATGGCTCATGACCACCGAGTTGGATGATGAAACCAGCGGCCGGGTGTTCGAGTACCTATGGCATATTATCTTTGGCAAGGAGGCTGTATAGTATGTTCGATTATCCCGGTAAGAATGAGACATGTGTACTGACTTGTGATGCGCAGTTGTCCGTCGAAGGGTCAGTGTTATAACGATGTATACAATATCGAATATGACCCTGAATGGGACTGGTCTTTGTCCCAGGACGAATGGTTTGATGAAGATTCATCGTGGGACGAGGAATTTTCGGATCAAGAAGAGAATTATCAAGAAAAGGACTTTTCAACCTCTGCAATTAAAGATGATGCATATGCCATCCGCGGCAATTCGTCAGAAGCCGGCGAGGATCAAGTTCTGGACGATAATTGATCGGATTTATGAGTCACGCTTTGTGTATATATTTTGCTGCCGAGTACATTCAGAGGCATATGGATGAATAGATACCCCTTGTTTTTAAGTTACCTACTGGAAGTGAAATCGGTTCATTTTAAACTTGATGCAACATTCCTTCCCACCTGGTCAATATCCTGGTTATAATCTTAGTCTTGTCCATTCGACTAAAAGAAAATTTGGAGTGTAGTTCAAAGAAGGTTTCAATTCAATTCAAAGTTTCAAGACTAGAACGTATAAATAAAGCCATGTGCAATTTAAAGAAAGTCATTGACAAAGTCATCATCACCTCGCATTCAAATATTCTCATACCGTTATACTTGGTCATCAGCAACGAAGCCAGTATAAAATTTCAAATCACAGCCAAGCCAGGGGCATCAGACCCGCGATAGTAAGAGCAACAGCACCAGGTACGGACATACCGGCTGCTGCGTCGGTGGTCGGGGTAGAAGAAGCCGAGCCATTCGATCCAGTTGAGTCGGAGCTAGTCGAGTCACTGGTACTGCTGCCAGTTGAGTTGGAGCTAGTCGAATCACTAGTGCTGCTGCCAGTAGAGCTCGGGCTATTAGTAGCAGTTGCAGAGGCAGCATTGGATCTCAATTCAGTCGCGGTAGTAGTAGTATCACTCAGGATTGTCGCGGCGGCGGCGTTGTATGTAGTTGTGCTAAAATGACACGAATGCACAATATCAAGAGCATCTGGTATGGAATTAGAGCGACTTACGACCTAATAATAGACTAGGATACATACCATTATCATCATCGTCGTTGTCATCGTTGTCGTCGTTGTCATCGTTGTCGTCGTCGTCATCGTGATCATTGTCTCTGTTTCCATACTGGGTAATGCAAGCCGCACAGAGGGGAATTTGGGTCTTCGCCGGGCTCCAGTCACAGATGCAATTCAGCTCAGCAGAGTCGTTGTCATACTTGTGATCACACTTCTCCGAAATTCCCACCACAGGGCCACATGGAGCCCAGCAACGGCTGGGAACGTCGTCGTGCTCCAGCTTCGCCGCGATAGCCACATGGCCGGCAAGCACGAGACCACCAAGAGCGAGGAGTTGTTGAGCAAGCATAATGTTCGAACGTTTGAATTGGACTTGAGCAGAAGAGATTTCTGGAAGATCTGAGAATGAATCAAATGCTGATTGAGAGTGAATGTTCTTGTTGGATGTTGACTTCCACGGACGACCTCAACATACTTATACCTTTCAATGTTGATGGTATCGACTTGGAAATCTGCAGTCGTTTCTATAATTGTCATCAAGTACAACTGCGGATCATAGCCTTAGTAGCTCGGCAAACAATGTTCTCTCCTCCGCATTCTAATGCAGTGCTCGGGTAGGGATCAGATCTGCTGAGCCCCCTGAAGCAGGATCAGCTTTAGATCCTCATTTCCAAATGCACAAGCGGTCAACCAGGTCAAATTATGTCACCCCATTGATCAACAGGAAACACCGCCAATGTGAGCATGGAGAAAGCCGTTGCCTGGACCATTATTGAATCAGCCAAGATCGAGCCACGCTATGAATGGATGTCCTCCCTTGACGCGGGTCCGCAAAGTGACCACGACTAGTTCATAGTGGCTGTGTATTATCTCAAGATTGCCCAACTCCGTGACTTTTCCGGAATGTCCTTTTACCTGGGGAGAGCTAGAGAAAGGGCACACCTGCGGTGTTCGCCAAGCTAGGAACCCGGTGATGTGCATCTCTGTATGTGTCTAAGCCACGCTGGGTGGGGCTGCCATTGTTTTGACTCGGCCCTTCTTGTAGCTCGTTTAGTCAACCGCATTTTGAGTTGGGTCCGAGATCCCGCGGGGAATCAATCGGCCATCCTACATGAGGGTCTTTACAGGGTTCCCGGTTGGCACTGTCAAAATCTGGCGCCTACCGGAGGATGCGCAGAGCCGCCTTGCGGGGCCAATCCGCTCCCCTCCGCCGCGGCTGAATATATAAATAGTAGAGATCGCATATCACACAAGGCTTCAACATTTTGTATTTGAGATCTTCGGCGTCCGCACTGAACGTATTTCGTTTTTCTAGAACGACTAGAGATGCATGTAAACACGCCTTGTAGATTTATTGTCCAGGATCAAAAAACAAACACCAATCAAAGCACCAATCCACGCCTAGTAACAATTAGCTTGAAAAGAGTATGGACGGCCTGGATGCCAAGACGGATCTCTTTGGGCGACAGAAATCAACTAAGGCGTTGCAGTCACGCCCCTTAGTAAGAATGCGACCCCGCAACTACCGAGTTAATTATAGTCTTCGCGCACTTCACTCAATCTAACATGGCTCGAGCTGTCGGCAAGATGTGGGAAAGGTACTGCCTGCGGCCCGCTCTCGAATCCAGTCCCACCTTTATTCCGGTCTTCCTGTACGGTACAGCCTGGAAAAAAGAACAGTCGGCCGATCTCGTTTACACCGCGGTCAACGCCGGCTTCCGGGCGATTGACACGGCGGCCCAGCCAAGACACTACCAGGAAGATTCGGTGGGCGATGGAATCCGCAGGGCGATTGCTGATGGAATTGTTCGCCGGGAAGACTTATATGTGAGTCCATTCAAGTCGTCATCTACAACTGAATTTAGTCTAATCCAAGTCAAGGTGCAAACCAAGTTCAGCCCTATCGGAGCGCAGGACCCGAACAACATGCCGTATGATCCAGAGACCTCCGTGACAGAGCAGGTTCAAACGTCCGTCAAGTCCTCATTGCACAATCTTCGGCCGGATCTAGACCCTGCTAGCGTGGACGATGCCTATATTGACACGCTAGTGATTCATTCACCGCTACGCACTGTAGAAATGACCCTGGAAGCTTGGTCTGCACTAGAGACTTACGTGCCTCACCGGATCCGGAACCTGGGTATCTCGAACTGTTCTTTGCCTGTACTTCGCGAACTCAATGACTCTCCCCGGGTCAAAGTGAAGCCTGCAGTGGTGCAGAACAGATTCTACGAGGACACCTTGTTTGATGTCTCTCTGCGTGCCTTCTGTCGCGACCATCAGATCATCTACCAGAGCTTCTGGACCTTGACAGCCAACCCCGATCTGATGCGTTCTACACCCGTCCAACAACTGGCTACACGTACCGATATCAGTGCCGCAGCCGCCCTGTACACTTTGGTGATGGGATTGGGCAACATCACCGTCTTGAATGGGACCAAGAATGAAGGACGCATGAGAGAAGACCTGGCAGCGCCAAAAAAAGTAGAGGACTTCACGCAGGCACAGCCGGAGCAGTGGCAACAGATTCTGAAGGGGTTCCGAGCATTGATTGAGGAAGAGTAAAATAATGGGTACAGCTAGACCGAGAGAATAACCCTAATAGGCCTACACGCGCAATTCTTCATTCCTTTCTCGACATCTTTCTGGTCTCTCTTTATCTCTCTAAAGCTCCTTTCCAACGTGTTCTCTTGGATGACCTCGAGCAAGCCCAAGAGAATGAGTCATGGTCATTTGTTGAGAACTATCCTTATTACATTTCCCTTAATCCGGCTGTAGTCAATCAATAACTTCCGTTTCATTGAAATTAGATTGTATCAAAGTCACATGGAAAGAGCTGAGTCAGCGGGGCGCGACTCCGCTCAGATTGACCTCATCGCTAAGTCAAGACTTCTCAGCGCAGAGTTGTGCGATTTCCAATTCGGCGCTGTCACTTTGACCTCCCTTCCTCTCGGCTCCCCGTGTGATATCTTTCACACACGCTTGGGCCCACCCTGCCACTCTTGAGCCCTCTCGAATGCCGGTTCATTGCAGCGCCCGCTGATTGTGGTGTATCTCGCCAAAGTCTCGCAGATCGTTGCTGACCTTCCCTGGTTGATTCGTGGTCGCCAACCGCACTATTGTGCGTCAATCTCATTTGCATCGCAGAAAGGTTGGTCCGATCGTCATCATCGGCTTGTCTTTTGCCCGTCGGGTGGACCCAAACTTTTTTTTACGTGCCTCATCTTCAACTCGATATTCAGGGACGAATTTATCGAACTCGGAGCGCGAAAAACCTTGTTTTTATTTCAACTGATAGACTCGCGCTCCGATCAAAATCGACGCTTGTTGTCTACAATATTTCTTTCAACGTTCACTGCGCGATAATCGCCATACAATAGCCTGAGACTCGTCAATTCCCAATGAGCTCCCAAGGTATGACTCGCAAACGACCTGCTCCCGGAACGGTCCCGACCGGTCAAGCCCAGATGGGCGCTGTTCCAACCTACTCCCCCTCGAACCCCGGATCCCAACTATCCAACGACCAGTTCCTGCAATGGGGCCAGAACCCTGCCACAAACGCCAGCAATCCTTCCTCGTTCGCCGACCCTTCTACCTACAACCAGGCGGCATACGCGACATCCCAGGAGGTGTCAGCACCAGGCGCAACGCCTTCAAACCAAATTGCGCGCAGACAAGCAGCAAACCAGCTAGTCAGCCGAAACCGCGGCTATGAACAAGCCCCAACCGTCTACCAGGAGAACAACGGCCAAGAGGGAGGGCAGTCTGGCGCATGGGGGGAATCATTGGAGGAATTATACCAGCGGGCTCTGGCTGCCAAGAGAGATTCACAGGCAAAGCGAAAACAGATTCCTCCTTTCGTGCAGAAGTTGAGCAGGTATGACAAATTGGAAGCCCCTGCAATGTGGATTTGGAGCTAATCTATGAACTGCAGTTTCTTGGACGAGTCGAAAAATACTGAGCTAATTCGGTGGTCTGACGACGGTAATTCTTTCATCGTTTTAGACGAGGACGAGTTTGCGAGGACACTGATTCCCGAACTTTTCAAACACAACAACTATGCATCGTTCGTGCGACAGCTCAACATGTACGGCTTCCACAAGAAGGTGGGGCTTTCGGATAACTCCATGCGCGCCAGCGAGCGCAAGAACAAGAGTCCCAGCGAGTATGCCAATCCTTACTTCAAACGAGGCCACCCCGATCTGCTCTGGTTGATCCAGAAGCCTAAAAACGCGACCGGGCACACCAGCAAGGGTAGTAAGAGTGGACCGCGGGTGAAGACAGAGGATGCGGATGAGAATGACATGGACGACTATGTTGAGGATAGTGGGCCGGCAACCCGAGATGAGCGTGCACGCCCACGGCATCTTTCACTGCTCACCGACACTCAGATGCCCAATGACCAACTTTCTGGGGTATACCGTGAGCTGCAGGCAATTCGTCAGCAGCAGTCGATCATATCGACCACTATCTCCAGGTTGCGGAAAGAGCATGAACAGCTCTATGCGCAGGCCGCCAATTTCCAAGAACAGCACACTCGACACGAGAACTCGATCAACGCCATACTCACATTTCTCGCCACAGTGTACAACCGCAGCTTACAAGGACAAGATGGCAACCCTCAAAACCTTGCCAACTCGTTCGCTGGAGCCATCTCAGGCGATCAAGGCAACATCGTTGACATGGGCGACAACTTTTCATTCAACCCACTAAGCGGGTTGACAAGCCCTCCTGGACAAAGGACTATGAAAAAGCAGCCACTGCTCTTGAAGGCGCCCCCAATCATCGATGACAATGGTCGAGCCACTACACTGTCTCCTGCAGCCAGCAGCTCCTACGATACCCGGTCCCGCGGTCATACTCGCAACCCGAGTGCCACAAAATCCGGACATGTGGAGGAAGTCCTTGAAAACAGCCCACGACAAGACAATACGAACCTGCCTCCGGGAGTGCCGTCAGCAGACGACAACGCCCACCAGCGGGATATTATGTCTGTCATTCAAAATTCCAATGCGCGAAACGGCATCCCAACAAGTTTCTCCGAGTTCCCTAACGTTCTTTCGTCCCTGGAAAATGCCGGCGGCAACGTACCTCTCACCCCAAACCAGCGTGCTGACATGCTTCGACTGATGGCCAACGAAACCGGCTCGGGAGACGCTGGTCAGAGTGCAACGAACAATGCTCTGACAACGCCGAACCCCCCGCCCATGCCCCACAACTACACAAACCGCCTCGCAGACACTCGACAAGAAATCGATAACCTGGTGAAAATGCAAGCCGAACAAGATCGGTCCGTCCAGAACTTGACTCACCTTCTTCAACCATTAAGCCCGACGGGCGCGATACCGGGTCTTGACGGTGATGGCAACGTGCCGCCTCCACCGCTCGACCTCGACACCATCTTCAACCAGGACTACTTCACGGATTTCGCCGATGCAGACAATGACAAGAAGCACTTCAACCTAGATGACAATGCTGGTCAGGTATTGGGAACGAATAAGCACGAAGGCACCGTCCAAGCCGATGATGGCGACACCAACGATCTGTTTAATTTCGACCACATCCCTGACAATGGCGATCTTTTTGAAGGATCGAACCACGACCAAGGTCATGCGGGATACAACTATGGCTTCGATGATGCCCATTACGGTGCCGACTCGGGCTCGGGAAACAATGCGAAATCGGGCCGTGTCATCGAACAGTTGACCGATAGTGAAACGACCAGTCCCGCCGGGCCGAATGATGATGGGAATGGCCTCGACAATGGAGGCAGTGCAGCGAAGCGCCGCCGTAAGGCCTAATTAAGCCAAGAGAGGTTGTAAGAAGGATACCAAAAGAAAGCATGGGATCATGAACATCCCAGGTGCCACGGCGTTGTCTATAAGGGGAATTGCTTGTTTCTGGGCGAGCTGGGTTGTTTTGTACCCTAGGTAAAAACTTATCATGATCCGCGATGAAATTATTTAGGAATGGGCTTAATTTCTTCTGCTCATACATGTATGTACCTTGGCCAAGATTGTATTTGATTACTCGTAGTTCTTCACATTCGTAGCACTAAAGATATAGTTATCAACGCCTCTCTCGATCCCATTCTAAGTCTCCTGCTCGCTCTCGTTTACGCTCGCGTTCACGATCTCGCTGGAAACCTCGCTTGCGTCCACCACCTAATTCCTTCTCCTTCTCGCGCGGATCGATCACCATCAGTGAATCTGCGTCTTGGTGCTCCTTCTTCCATTTGAGATCCTTGCCCAGGGTATCCTTGCCGAAACGTAGCTCATGACTTAGCCAATTGGCATCTTCTCGTCCGGTATCGTGCGTCTCTGCGGCCTCGGGGTCGTCCCAGGACTGACAGGACTGGCAATTGGCAATAAAGTGTAGGTCACAGAGTTGAGCTTCCTCGTCATCTGCATCTTGGTCCTGAATCTGCCCATTCTTTTTCTCGGTGTGCCTCTCGGTGCGCGATGTGGAAGGCTTCGTTTCACCACCTTCCAGCTTGGCCTTAAAGGCATTGAACATACGCAACGCCTCGGACTCGGCCGCGTTTCTTGAGCCTGCGCTGGATGCTGCCCCATTCGCAGAGCCAGGTGGCGGTCGCCTGCGGCCACGAATAGCGGTTTCTGGGATCATGGATTCTAGTGCAGACTTCTTGCGGCCGGTATCAGCGGGACCAGTGTCTACGTTGCGACGCATGGAAGCCTTGAGGTTCTCAATTTCGGCGTTCGTCCGCGATAGTCTGGACTGTTTTGCGGGCTTTTCTTCTGGAGTTGGTGATCGGACTGGCGATTCAGGATCTTTCAAAGGCAGCTGAGCCTGCGGGTCTGGTGTTTTGACACGCTTGCGCTCGGGCTCTAATGATCGCTTTGGAGATGGAGACCGTGGCCGTTTGCGCGCTTGGATTGATTCTGGCTTTTGAGACCTAGGAGCTTTCTCAGCACTGCTGACGGCCCCAGGCGCATCCGCGACAAGTTTGGTATTGAACTTGGGCTTCGCCGGCCGCATGGGCATTTCCTCGTCGCCCTCATCGCCTCCGAAGCTCAAAAGGACTTTCCCGGCCTTTCCACCCTTCTTCTTTTTCTTTGGCGCTTGGTTATCGCCCGTTGACGCGGATGCGGTGGTCACCCTGTCCTTTAACTTTCCGGCCAGTGGTCCCAATTCTCCAACCTCGCACGAGGTCACCTTGACCGGATATACAGGCCGTTCGGTCCCTTCGACACGTTCGGCGTCTGCGATCTTCAACACATTGTAGATACTGTCTCCCTCCAGTCGTCCGAAAATCGTGCATTGTCCGTTCAGCTCGCGCTCGGTGTTGGCGAGCGTGATGAAGAATTGACTCCCATACGTCCCATCCTCACTCTTGGCCATGCCCACCAAGCCTCGGCGGTTGAAGCGTAGACGACTGTGTAGCTCATCTCGTAGAACAACCCGCTCATTGGGGTCCCGGGCCTCAGGGTCGTACTCGAATTCCGGATATTCGTAGATCGATGTACCGCCTGACCCGGTGCCTGTGGGGTCACCACCCTGGATCCCGAATTCTGGTGCTATACGGTGGAAAATTGTGCCGGCATAGTAGTTATCTTTGCAGTGTTGGAGAAAGTTCTTGCAGGTGAGAGGAGTCTGATTTGCGAACAGAGCGATGTGAATGGGCCCGACTGTGGTGTTCAGAGTGGCTGACGCGGTGGGATTCGGCTCACTGGCGTATTGGGAGGACATGACGAGTAGAACGTGGACGAAGCCACACTCTGCGCAGGAGAGTCAATGGCGATTCAAATGTCGCTGAAGGGAAGTCTACATTTCGCAGCTCCGAGAAAAGCGGACGTCATGGCACGTGACATGTCTGAGCTTCAAAATACACATCGGATTAAATAGACCTTGCAAAAGGAATCAAAAAACACGTCTAAAACAGAGCTTAAGAAATGCCCTGGAAGAAGTTCCAACGCCGAAATCAGGAAGATATTACGGTGTTTAGAACCGTCTGAAATATCTCCAAGTTCCGACTATACACATCGCCAATCTAATACAAGAAATACGGTAATATCCAGATTCATTTGGTCGTTCGTTTCAGTCCCGAGTCCATGGTTATTTTGTCGCATACGGCAGAGTTGGTCGCACAGTCCATTGGTCCTCTGGATTGGCGTTAAATGTCACCAGGAGGCTGAATAATGTATTGTGTAGTGTCGCGATGGGAGGTTGCAGGCGGCGATGTGCTGTACACTGACTCCCAGGCACAGCCATGCCTGGCCAGAGAGAAACTGTCGGTATGGCGGTGTGGGAGGCCTAGCTTCATCAAAAGCTGAGATGGCTGATACCTCCACTGGCCACATAATCAATTACAAGCCTCGGAGGCTGACCACGATGAACGGTAGTTGTGACGCGTGGAGGATAAGGTCGAGCCAGTAGACGGTCGCTTACTGACAGTCGATGGAGGATCCTTTGAATTGTCGCATAGGGAAAAGGACTTTTTGCGGAGTAGATTGGCGCATAGGGGGGTGTAGATAGTTTGACACAGCAATTCCATGGTAAAGTGGCTTGATCAGCGGATCCGAAGCACGGAATAGCAGGGGTTCTGGTGGTCAAGGGTTGCTGTCTTCTTTAGCCAGCATTGATACCGGGACAGCGACAGGCAATGTGACTGGGGAAGAGCTCCGGTCGTGCTCGAAAGAAGCTCTGGCGTGGAGCCCAAGCTGGAACCGTAAGCGGCGAAGTGTGCGTTCAGAGATGTCATAGCCGTCTTGCCGTAGCAGCTTGAGCATTGCCTTATCGGTCAGTCTATCTTGAACGAAGAGCACCTTGATCCGTGCATGCAGCACCACATCGGCTGTTGTTGTTCGGCTGCGTTTGCGAATGCCCCACTTCCGCAGTCGTGACTGAATAGTGCGTTCCTTCACTTGGATGTTGTACCGGCTTTCAAGTGTGCGGCCGATGGAGTCGCTACTAATGCCGTGTTGAAACAGCGTGATAATCTCGTCCCGGTAGGGTTCGAGATTGATTTGTTGGCGCGGCATGGTGTGCCTGGTGGGGAAGTTGGAAAGGAGGAAATAGGGGAGCGGATCACGTAGTGGGTTAAGTAAGGCGGTGAGTTGCGAATATTTACGCCCGGTATAGATCAACTTATCGTGTCCAGATAAGCCGTGGTGGCTATCGGTATAAGCAAGCATCTTTCTTAAATGTTTATGGAACGGTCAATTGAAGTATCACCCGGCGTTGATCTAGGAGGATATGAAAGAAACCACTCGCTCTTCAGGAAGAGATGCTGAAGAACTAAGAGAATACCCTGAGCCGTACGTAACGTTAGGTCCATTTACAATATCTTTGTGCCACCTAAAATTTGCAAAAAGATGGAGCTCCCAGGTTCGGCACAGTAGATGTATCTTTAATCTTAAATTATTACAGACCGGAATTAATACTAGCCAGTAAGTATGCATCGTATCAACACCACGGCAAGTCTCAGACTTGGCAGAGATCCCAGCTTGCTTGACACTTTATCCTTCATTTCATTTATTTCTTGTCATCGGCCACACCAGCAGCCGAGATCATCTCGGGGCCAGCCTTACGGCGTTTAGAGATGCGGAAGCCACCAACAAGGAAGAAAAGGGCTTCCAGTCCCAGAATCACAGCAAGAGTCACCATAGCGCCAATGACACCGGCCACGGCACGCGACATACCTCCCGAGCTGCTACCAGAAGAGCCGGTTGAGTCGGAGGTTGAGCTGGTGCTTGCAGAGCTCGCGCATTTTCCGTCAGTATTACCGCACTGGTTGCACCACTGGTCGTCTGAGAGGATCGCGACCTTCTCAGTCCGAGTCTTGAACTCGTCCCAGGAGATGAGGTCGTTCTTCTGTCCGAACAGACGGTAAACGGTGGGCTCGTCAGAGCCGGTGATGGTGCCGTTGTGGAACATGAAGCGCACGCTGATGTCGTCAGTTGAGGGGATACCGGTGCCGGTGGCGTTGGTCACCAACTCCAGCACGAAGGTGGACGCATAGTCACAGACGCCGGTGAAATCGACGGATGCTGCGGGCAGCTGCATCAGTCCGAAGAAGGACATGAAGGTACCGTACGAGCCGAACTGGACACCGAGCTTGGACTTGCCATTCGATGTGATGGTCTCGTTGAGCTGAGACAGAATCTCGCCGGCCAGGACGGCACCATCAATGGCGCGCACAGGGTCGGACGCGTTGAAAGCCAGGTTATACTGTTGGTTGCTGGCCAATTGAAGGAGCTGGGCATATAGCTCCGTGGTCAGGTTGTCGCGGAGAGGGAAGTCCTCGGTTGAGTTGTGGATATAGCCCACGTTGAGGTAGTCGAAAATGGTGTAGGCGTTCTTGAAGCTAATCTCGTCCGCGCTGAAGGTGGTGTTCAGCATGGGCGACAGCGAGGTATAGAAGTCCTTGGTGGATGCCAGCATCGACTTGTACGAGTTAGAGGTGTAGTAGTTGTTGCTGCTCACGGTGGCCTTGCTGCAGTCACTGGAGCCCTGCAGCCAAGCGGAGTTCTCACTGTCCTGGCTGGTGTCGGTGCCCTGCACCTGGATGATCTGATATCCACCCAGCGGCGCCTGAACAGAGGTGCCATTGCCCAGAGTCTGCGAGGCTGCCTTGGCAGCAGGCGGATACACACCCTGCAAGAAACCGGTGGCCGAGTTCTGCAGCACGGCATCCGCAGGCGCGCTAGCAGTGATCTGCTCTGCATTGACGATAGCATCACTGATGCCCTCGATCTGCTTGTCGGAATCAGAAGCAATGTAGCGATCGTGATAGAAAGAACCAGCCGCAAAGACCTCGTGGTAACCCAGATCGGTCAATTCAGTGTTGCCAAACACCTTCGCAGTCCGATCACCATGGCGGGAATAGAGATAGGCACCCAGCACACGCTCGGCATCCACGAGCGGCGCAGCCATGGAGGCAGCCAGAATCAGACCGGACTGAAGAGAATAACGCATGATGGATTTGACCGGAAATCGCAGAGTGAAAGGGAATCCCGAGACGCTATCAAAGCCCGGCGCCAGCACTGCTACTTATATACAGCATCACAACCATCGGACATGGGCTCGTGCGTAGTCTCCACCGGGTCTAGGGCCATCGCGGACCGTGTGCCATTGCAGGTGGACGAGTTGGACCCCCTCTTCCGCCTGATGTGTTGAGGTGCCATTGGCGACGGCGACTACCGCATCGGACTAAACCCAGAGCAGCGTGGTAGAGGCTACTGCAGGCCAAGCCCGAGGGGTTACGGGCAACGAATTAGCTAATTGAAATGCCGCATTCCCTCAATCCTCGTTCGATAAGAGAAGAGTCAGAGTCAAAGTCAAAGCCAAAGTAGAAGGTGGAGTCGAGGGGAAATGTGCGGGAAAACCGGGCCCTGTACTAGACCAGACCCTTCCCCCGCTCGGCTCGACTCCTTCAGGGCTTCTTCACCCGGCCATGTTTTTGCTTTCCTGTGCTGTGCTAAACTCTGTGCGATGGATGGCAGAATGAGCTGGAAGGGCAATGTTCTGCTTATTTTCTCCGCTTATCTTTGTATATCCCCAAATCAAAAACTCCAATTGTAATGCTAGGATTCGTTCTCATTACAGTACATTGCCCCCTCCATCTCATACCAATGGGACACCCTTGTCCCCCATCAGCTCACATCCATTCCGCACCACCCCAACCATGCCTCCGGTCTGGACTGTCTCTGAACCACCGCCGGACAGGCGCCACTCGATCTCCGCCAGTCCTTCCAGCCAGGTGATGCGTGTCTGGGCCGGCACTTCGAGCCGTTGTAGTTGATCGGCCAGTGCGGACAGGATATCGGCCAATGCTAGACCCTTGTTCGCCTTGAGCGTGTTGACGGTATTGAGACAGGAGGTCACATCGCTGGTGGATAGAATAGTGCTCATGATTTCCTGGATATCAGATGGGTGCGGGGCCGCAATACAGTCGTAGATGGTTGCGTTGGTGATCGTCTCGGGTTCAGGCAAGGGACCATCTGGTGCATCGCGCATCGGGAGTGGTTTACCTAGGGCAAGTCAGTGGACTGATGGTAGAGCGAAAGAAGGGGGGAGGGGGATAGATCGTACTGCTTGCATGGCAGGCCTGAAGCACGTTCAGAGCCCGTCGCATGTCACCTTTACTCAGAGTGACTAGACTATCCACAGCATCGGGCTGGATGCGGACCTGCTCCTTCTCAATAACCTGGTCGACAAGAACCCGGATGTCCGCCTCCTTGAGGGGACTGAATCGGAATCGCGTGCAACGCGACAGAAGTGCCGGAGAGAGCTTGTGTGTGTAATTGGCAATGATGCAGAATCGCGTATTGGCCGTGTAGCGCTCCATAATCCGGCGCAAAGCCATCTGGGCAGTGGCTGTCATCGCGTCTGCCTCGTCGAGGATAATCAACTTGAAGCCGGCCATTCCTGAGCCGCCGGCCTGAGGGGCCATAGAAAAGATCTGTTTCGTGCCTGTTTTATACGGTCAGCAGGCCATTTCCACTGAACCATCGCAGAGGTACACACTGGCAAAAGTCTTGATCTGCTCTCGGACAACGTCGATACCACGGTCGTCACTGGCGTTCAGCTCCAACACCATCTGTCGCATGTTTTTCTCGCCATATATCCGCCGGGCAAGAGCGAGAACAGTTGAGGTCTTTCCAGTTCCGGGCGGTCCATAGAGTAGGAGGTGCGGCAAGCGCTGTGAAATTATTAGGGTCTGGGTTTCGCGGAGGAGTTGCGAGAAAATACATTGGCTTCGATAAATCGGTTGATCGTCGCGAGAATGTCCTGGTGACCAGAGACATCATCCAGGCTGCTTGGGCGGTACTTTTCAACCCTATCCAGCTGGTCAGCTTCAAATTGCTTCAATTCAGATGTGAGGGCATACCATGGCAAATTATCCAGGGCTGAGATAGGGAGGTCGGCCGCCGTTCGCTTCTTCCCACTGGCATTGTCTGAAGTGAATTGCACCTTGGAAGGTGCATCCACGTCCATCTCATCTTCGTAGTCTGACATGATGGTGTGATTGAATGAAGGTGGTCGCGAAAAGTGATCTGGAGCTCGACGCGTTCCGCGCGTAAAGAGGCTCGGGGCGGAAAATCAAGGGGAGCTCGGGCGCTCCACACGATGACATCTCCTCTGCCCGAACGTCTCGACCATCTTCAACTTCCCCCCCCCCTCACCCCACTTCATCATGCCTGTATGTGTTATGTGCTCATTGAAACTCCGATGTCGCTAATTCCAACATTCACAGGCATACCACTCTATTTTCCTAGAGGACCGCGATGTCCCTGTGATCGGTACGCAGCCCCGCCAACAGCTGCCTTGACCCCCTCATATGCGGCCTACCCCAGAGATCTCGAATTGACATTGACTATAGGGAACTTCCCTATCCTGCCCCTGCGCACTCGCACTCGTGGTCCCGCATACACTCTGCCCACCCTGCCCCCCAATACCCTCGATATCGACGTCTCCCCCGACAGCGAGTCCTACGATTGCGTCGACGAGATCCTGTCCCTCTTCCGTGCCAATGTTCTGTTCCGCAACTTTGAGATCAACGGCCCTGCCGACCGCATGCTTATCTATGGAACCCTGTTTGTCAGCGAGTGCCTCGGGAAGGTCAAGCCGATAATGAGCGCTCGCGATGCGGAGAAGGTAAATGCCCCGTATCATGCTGTTAGGGAAAAGTACTGACAGGATAACCAGGCTCTGATTAATGCTGCGCTTGACAACTTCGCCATTCCCGGCGATGTGTCCTTCCCCCTTAACCAGGCTTTTGAGCCCCCGCGGGACCGCCAAGATGCGGAGAGTCTTCGCGCGTACGTCGCTCTAGCTGATGTTTTACCACTTGTCACGAGTCGCTAACAGTGAATGTTCAGATACATTTCGCAAGTGCGACAGGAGACCGCTATGCGGCTACACGCTAGATTATACCCCGGTGGAGAGGGACCGTCCAAGGTACGTCTGATAAACCCTCGGCATCGAACAAGCAGCTAATTTCCGGTACAGTTCTGGCTCAGCTTCACAAAGAGAAAGTTCATGGGAAAGAGCCTTTAGATGAGAAGGAATTGTATATTGTTTCATGAAATTCAGCGCATGAATGGACCATCTTGATATTCGAGGAATAGCTGCCAGAGCCGGATTCCGGGCAGCACCCTTCCCTCCAAAATGATAAGTTGACATTTCGCTGTCGCTTTCTACTGCTTTCATTTTATGCATAAAAAGTGGCTGTCAGACCAGGGTAATCATTATATTCGTACATTTTGATTTTAACCAGAGACTCCAGGGCAGCACCAAGAATGTGCATATAGGATCAGGTGGCCATCTCCACGTCTTGATCAGTAGTAGGCGTAGATGTGACCACCTTTCTTCTCTTCCGAAAGGTGCCAGCTGCTTGGATATGGTCCGCGGTGGGAATGACTCGAACGCCGTGGAATAGATAACCTTCTGCACCGCCTCGTCCTGTCATAAGCGGGTGTGTCCGGCCGGGCAGCACTTGCCAGGCACGGACACGAGAGTGATGCAGTGTTGGGGCCAGGAGAAGGGTGGGATCGAGTTCAAATTCGTCATACAGGGAAGACAAGTCAACCTCCTCATTATCCGAAGAGTTCTGGGTGAGTTCTCGCTTCTTGGTGATAAAGGCTGTCCTCCGCCCAGTGGAGTAGAGGTCCATCAGCTCGACGAGCGGCTCGGCGGTTGGAGAATACATGGCAACGGGTGCTGACCCGGCGAGGCGCGGGACCAGGTGTTTGAAGATGCTGGCGGGTGTGAGCAGAGTGGCGACGACGAGACCGTCGAAGCCACCCTCGCGGGCCTCATTCACCACATTCTTGACTCTCTCCCATCGGTTGCGCTTGAAGAAGTATGCAGTACGCTTGCTGGGCTTGAGCTCGGCCAACTCCTGGGCGGGCATGAACGGGAGCTCAGCGGAAAGAATTGGATCGCTCTCGGGGTTGACAAGCTGGAGCCATGAGATGGTCTTCAGGTTGGTGTGAAGAGGGTGTGATTCGTCGGGGTTGTTGGTGTCATATCCGAAATATTTCAAAAGGGACAGGTTAGGTTGCGAGTAAGCGTGGACGACAGTGATGGTGTTGCCTGCTGCTGACATAGGGCGGGGACGAATACGCCGGTATGGCTTTGATCCAGCACCACCGACTTCCTTGGTCTGCTCCTTGCCTTCATTTGTAGAATGCTGTTCTTCGGATTCTAGATCCTCATCATCGCGAGGATACAGGATTCCCATGCGCTCAGCCATCGCGGCAACAATGAGACCGCCAGTCTCATCCACCACGAGATATCGACCGTTCGGCTTGACGTCAGGAATTGGATCCGTCATCACTTGTCCGCCGTGGTGCACATTGGCCAGGCATCCAAGCAGACCGATGTGCTCATCACGCAATTCCATAGTTCTTCCGGCATCTCGTTCTTGCAGCGAGTAGTTGACGAGAAGGTTGACATCGAGGGGGAGGATGGTAAACCTCCGAATGTACTTCTTGCGCTTGCGCAGTGTGTATTTGGCGAGCGAGAAGGCCGTTTTTTGATCCAAAGCAGAATGTGACTCCAACAGTTTTGCGACAATATCTTTGCCTGCTCCACTTGCCTCTTTTTTCAGCTCTTCGATCTCCTCTAAGGTTAAGCGCTGAGTAGAGGCATCGTCCACGATCTCGCGATTCGTGCGCAAGGGTGTCCCATCTCCTGCCTCTGCATCATCGCCTTCTCCATCCGCCTCGGCCTCTTCGATCAGGGTTTCGGCGTGCAACTCTGTGGCGGAGACAATGCGCAGTCCATATCCATCACTCTCTGGGGTATCAAGAATCTCGAAAGTTAGATAGAAAGGCCGTCCGATGACCTGGTTGGCGGAAAAGCTGCCGTACTTGCCCAAATTCACTATGCTGGACTTCGGTGTTAGCACATTTCATAGCTGAGTGAGCGTTTGCCGACATACGTGTTAGGAACAAGCTTGACGAGGCGAGTCTGCTCTGATGGCAGCTGGACCGCCACAAATTGATGCGGCCGAATTGACGAATGCATGGTGTGAGGTACAAGAAGAAGCTCACAGCTGCGAACAATCGAAAAAATAGCATTCTACGGCCAATGAGAAGCCGCGGCGGGGAGCTTTCGGAGAAATGCTCGGCCCGTGATCGACCATTTGATTATGTCACTCGTGTTCTTTGTAACGTAATTCTTTGTATTCTGAACAGCCCGAGGCCTTCAGTGAACTATGTACGGAGATACACCTTGGAGCTCTAACATTGAGTAGAGTTTAATCTCACTTCTAGCTTTGGGATCTTCAAGGCTTAAATATATGTATGGACATAATCTAGGGCTACAAGCAGACCGCTGTCGTAATATCAATACACGATACCCCACCAGGCTCAGCCCCACATAGCGCAACCAGACGGTAATACCCGTACTCCGTACTCCGTACTCCATACTTTCCAGAGATCGGCTGGTGCCTGCGGCCCTGATATCATCGTCGTATTCGGGGGCGGAGCTCTTGACACTTCCAGCTATTCTTGACCAATTCAGTCCGGGCGCAAGGCTGGTTTTGGGTGCGCCTCATGGCCGATCCCCCTGTGATCTTCTTGCTTATAGCCCTATGAATCGCGGGCCAGGTCATCCTCCTTGGACTATATAACCCATTTTCTGTTCTTGTCTCTACATATCCACCGGCCTTCTTCATGGTGCTCCGCAAACCTCCCCCACCACGTCTGGAGAACCTCAATAAGTGGCGTGCTCGATCGAATTCCCAACCCTCGTCCTCTTCACCCGTCAACTCCGCAACCCGCGCTCGCCTGAATCGTGTCCCTTCGCAGGAGTCGGTCTATTCCCCAGATCTCAATACCTCACCAGCCTTCGACTTGATGCCACTCGAGGAGGCGCAGAGGTCGCCCGTGGGCTCTCCATCCAGTCACCCGCCGAATTCCTGGTCGGAGAGCTTGGGCGACCGCCCAGCCACCTCGGGCTCATACCAGACAGGTCCAGATCCCAAAGGTGCATGGGCTTCCTCAGCACCCATGCATGGCTCACAGGGCGATGCCGAAGGTGGCTGGCAGCCAGCACCTGGGGATAAAGTTACTATGACGGGGGAAGTACCTGTACAACTACGATCGAACAACCCTTTTTTGAAGCCGAGAACGTCCGACTCGAGGCATGAATACTTGGAACCGCACGAGTGGGATAATCGTCATTCACATGCCACTACAAGCAGCGATCCTTTGAGTCAATGTATGAATACTCACCTCTCTCGCTAGAACCGGAATCAAGGATGCTAACGTGTTACAGCCGAAGGATATATCCCGATGACAGCCCGTCTATCTTTGCTTGACTCGTCGGGGAACGAATCCCCATGGAATGAAGCAGAGCATTCCCATGCTGATGCGCAGCATCATTACAATGACAGATCGCATGATGCGTCTCCATGGGGATCACAGCATTCGATCAAGATATCAGCGCCCCAGGAAATATATCTGCAGGGCGGGCAGTCTAACCCTTACGCCCCAGCGGTAGTTGTGCAGCCCTCGGATCCTCAAGATCCGCATGCATCACAGACGACATATAATGAAGGACGCCTAGGGTCAGATGCTGGAATACGGACCCCATCAGCGATCTCCAGTGGCACCTCAGCTACGTCACACGAGCTAATAGATTTGGATGGCCCTGAGACTTTCGGGGTTGAGACTGGGTCTCATCTGCCCGCCTCGTCAATCTACTCATCTGGAGCTGAAACGAAAGGCGAAAAGGTGTCTTCTGATACCCATTTCCATCAAGATAAATCTTCCATGCTGCTGCCTCCAGATGGTATACGGGAACAAACATCATCGGCATCAAGCACCAGTTTTCCTACTGCAGATGCGACCAGACAAATGGAACAAAGATCCGAGACTTATTCGATCCGGCAAATCAATTGGACTGACCGAACGGGGCAATTGCTTCAGTCGCCCATCTTGGTTCAAAATCTGAATGGACCCTGCCCACTCCTCGCTCTAATAAATGCCCTCGTGCTTCGTTCGGGTCCCAACATGCAAAGTCCCATTGTCAGGGCATTACGCACGCGTGAGCAAATCTCGTTAGGCTTACTCATCGAGGCTTTATTTGAAGAGTTGACTACTTGTCTGGGCCCCCATGAGGAGTTTCCGGACATTGAGGCACTCACCAGATTTCTCACCATGTTGCATACTGGCATGAACGTCAATCCTCGACTAATCTTGGTAAGCATGGCTTTTCCCATCCCGTAGGATGCGCTTAGTACCTTGGTAGCTAATGGTCTTGAACAGGAATCAACGGATTCTCTCGGCACGTTTCTTCAAACTGGGGATCTCCGACTATACAGTACATTCCGTGTCCCTTTGATACATGGATGGGTCGCATCGTGGTCGAGCCCAGAACATACAGCCATGACCCGGGTTGCCCAATTCCATGAAGATATCCAACTCTTGCCTTTCCGCAAACAGGAGCTTGAGGATCGAGTCATGCAAGGTCATTCCCTATCTCCAGAAGAAGAGCAGACTATGGTAGATATCCAGGCTATCCAGAATTTTGTCGATGTTGAGAATGCGACCCAACTGAGTCCCTTTGGCTTGACGCAGCTCACGACCCAATTGGCACCCGGGTCAGTCTCAATCTTTTTCCGCAATGACCATTTCTCGACGCTCTACAAACACCCACAATCACACCAACTATTCACATTAGTCACTGATGCTGGCTACGCCAATCACGCGGAGGTTGTCTGGGAATCTTTGGTCGATGTGACGGGCTTCAACTCTGAGTTTCTCGCGGGTGACTTCCGTGCTGTCAGCCACGGTCCATCTGAATCGGCAGATCCGCCGGATCCAGCTGGTCCACGAACGTCCAGTGCTGCTGCAACAAGCACTTTCGCTTCAGCCGAATCCCCGGAGGGTGAATTATCATCGCAAGAGCAGAGCGATGCGGATTATGCCTATGCCCTTTCACTGCAGTTTCAGGAAGAGGAACAAGGGGAACAGACCGGGAGTCAAGCAGCTAGCCCGTCGGGAGACCGGAGAGAGAGCCAGCAAGGAAATCAACCTCCGCGTGGAATTCGTTCGTCGGGCCCCGTCCGGACAAGCCAAGGGTCCAGCCCTCGTCTTTCAAATCCACCCACTCGAACCTCGTCGCGATTCACACAGCCACATAGCGATCCCGACCCGGATGATCCAAATGCTCCTCCACCACCTTATGAACCAGCCACCGCCTCAGCTACAGGGCCTCGATACTCTCCGCCGGACCCAAGACCTCGGCATGGCGGTAGTCAAGGAGATAGGTACGCAGCAAACCGTTACTCGGCTCAACACCCCCTGATCGACCGATCAATACCAATCGTTATAGCACAAGTGGGAGGAACAAGGATTGCATCATGATGTGAAGCGGCTGGCTACCTAAAGCGCGCAAGAAGAGCCCATATTTATTTTGACTTACGGAGGACCGATACGACGGAATGCATATCACGAAGCGATGTACTTAGCTCCATGGGATGCGAAAACTCATGCCCAAGATTTCTGAGAATCATTGTACCACTTCATTCTAATTTGAAGACCTATTTAGCCACGGCTCTGCAGAATTCAGCACGGGCTTACTCCGCGTAATTTGGCGGCCACGGAGATAAAACCCTACAGAAGCGGGGCATACACATGTTCAGCAGGTTCCTGTATCTCTGTGTGATCTGTTTCGCATTTGTTCGGGTTAATTTAACCAAATTGAAGGTGAGCGATCACAGTGGAGGAAATACAAGGACTTACCCATTTGCGGAGGCCAAGCGCTAAAGCCTGTAGTACTGGGAGGCGCTTAGGCACGTCGATACGTATTTCTCCCTTCCGGATAAATCGTGGAATCATTCCAAACCCCTAGCTGAATTCCTATAGAGGAGGAAGACCACAGTCTGTGGCGTTAAGAAAGCCGCTGGGAAGACTCCGTGTCTTTCTGGGTCCAATGTAGCTCAGTCTCGGGTTATTTCGCAATTGTGTAGTATAGAGCAAGAGAAGCTATAAATTGTTGGATTTGCTCCAACCCACCAAAACAAGATCTAAATGCGAACTCCAGTCTTCCTATAGCCTGGTTGCTGTGGGATATCTCAAAATGCAAGTGCTTGGAGCTGTTGCCATCTTGGCTTTGACACAAGCTGTACAGGCCCAGGTTGCTGGATATGGACAATGTTAGTTACACGGACTGATATTGTTGGTCACTCCGACTAATGGTGAATAGGTGGAGGAAGTGGCTACTCAGGGGCGGTTATTTGCACAAATGGCTTCGAATGTGTCTCGCAGAACGCCTGTTCGTCATTTAAGCCCCCAAGTTTCGTACAAATTGATCTGATATCTGTCAGGGTATTACCAATGTGTCCCGGGGACTGCAGCAGCTAGCACGATATCGACCACCACTGCTACAACTGCAACTACGACTACGACCAAGGGTACCACCATAGCCACCTTAACGCCGACGACCACTACCGCAACCACGACTACAGCGACAAAAACGCCTACTTCTACGGCCGACAGCTGCGTGGGATCTTTTAGTCCTATTTCCGCGCCTGATTTTGTTGCTAACCTACATCCTGGCTGGAATTTGGGCAACACACTCGATGCCACTCCGGACGAAGGATCCTGGAACAATGCCCCTGTCGTCGCATCCACCTTTGAAGATGTTAAAGCAGCTGGTTTCAATAGTGTTCGAATTCCAGGTGAAATACACAAGTCTCATGGATCTTACGAATTGGCTGACATTCTGTAGTCACTTATGCATATCATTTTACCGGAAGTTCACCAGACTGGACAGTCGACCCAGACTGGTTGCAGCGAGTCTCTGACGTTATTGATATGGTCACTTCTCTTGGACTGTATACAATTGTCAATGTGCATCATGGTAAGCTATTACATGGAATGGCTATGAGATCCGCGCTGACCAGTAATAGATTCATGGATCTGGGCCGATGTCACCCAGTCGGGGGCTAACATTACAATGATCGAGGAGAAGTTCTACCGACTCTGGTTTCAAGTTGGCACCAAATTGGCTTGCAACCCCAGTCTTGTCGCTTTTGAGCCTATCAATGAGCCCCCATGCAACGATGCTGATGATGCGACTGAAATCAATAAGCTCAACACAATCTTCCTCCAGGCAATCAACGATGCTGGCGGATTTAATTCCCAGCGAGTCGTTACTCTCGTCGGAGGTGGTGAGGATAGTATCAAGACATCTGAATGGTTTGAGGCGCCATCTGGATTTTCCAATCCGTACGCTATTCAATTCCACTACTACAGCCCTTGTGAGTGATAGCTATCTGATCTGGTCAAAGTTCAGAGTTCACCTTTTAACGTCTCACAGATGATTTCATTTTCAGCGCCTGGTATGTAGCATTACACAAACTGCAGAATGTCCTACTGATATTCTACAGGGGCAAGACTATATGGGGATCTGATGCAGACAAAGCAACGGTTCTTTCCGACCTCCAATTACTCCGAGGCAACTTCACCAATGTCCCTATCGTCCTCGGTGAATATGATGCGTCCCCTACCAACACAGAGCCCGCTGCCCGGTGGAAGTACGTCGACTATTTGATTCGAAATGCTCTTGGCCTGGATGTTTCCTGCATTCTTTGGGATAATGGCTTGGATCATTTAGATCGAGACACTGGTACCTGGCGCGATCCGAATTCCATTTCGATGATCACCAAATCAACCGCGTCAACACAAAATAGCTTACCCGATAGCACCGAAGATTCTTCCACGACTACCCAGTGGTCTTCAGCTTCCCTGTTTCATGAATATGGAACTCAAGTTGTCGCGCAAAGTCTCCCCTTTCTTTTCAATGGAAACACGCTTTCTTTGATCAGCGACTCCACCGGCTCAATTTTACAATCAGGCACTGACTACTCGGTCTCCAGCTCCGGCATCACATTAACTGCTTCTTATCTTTCAAAACATCTCTCACCTGCGACTTCTCCCGGCGTAATTGCTGATCTCACTTTGAAGTTCTCTGGAGGTGAGTCATCGCCCATAATTCAGATTGTCCAGTGGAAAACGCCCACTCTGTCGTCCACGTCGGCCGTGGCATCATCGGTTTCTGGCGCAGACTTATCTATTCCCATCACCTGGGGTGGACTTACAACGGTGGCTGCAGTCAAAGCAGTGACTACAAGCGGTGTATACTTGGTCGATGACTTCACTGTATATCTGGGTCCTCTGCAGCAGGCTAGAACGGTGAGCTTTTACCTTCAAGTCGCGTCGGAGAAAGACTGATGCATCTTTATATAGACCTATAGTAGCCAGTACAACTGGGACTCCTCGGACGTGATCCTGACCTCATCAGCGATTAGCTCTGTCATCTCGGCCGGAGTGACGACGATCTTTACTTTTGAATTTTTTCCTCGAGTCAATGGGGTCGTGAATGCAGTCAACTTTACCCTGACTGTTTAGTTCCAGAAATTGCTGTTCCTCTTTATTTGCTTTGAAGAAATGGCTGTTGATTCATCGGAAATGAGATTGTCAAGGTGTCGTTAGAAATATACAGAGCATCCCACCAAGTCCCCAAGGACCTGAGGGTTCTGTATCTTCCCAGGCACAATTTACTTCGAATGTTGAAGGTGTCTCAGCAAGTACAATCCGAGGTCAAAGACCAAACAAAGCATTTCAAGAAGACCGTACAAAGGTTCCAAACCTTCTAAGAAAATGTAGTAACACACTGTTTAGGACTCTCCCTTTGAAGGCCTAGATGATCTCTTTCATCCGGCTGTAGCCAAAACATGGGCTATACTACACACATAGCACATCGGTCATCCCGTCATTTTCATAGTATCAAAAAAAAACCAGGCAAGTCAATCAATAAAAAGTCTTCCGTTCACGTAGCGGGAGGTGAGGATCGTATTTGTCCCACACAATCTTGTTTCTTCCGTTCAAGTGAGCCCCCTCATCCGTTATCTGAATGGCAGGGTCCGTCTCCATGATCTCATGCCGACTGAATCCCCATCTGTCACGGGGAATCCAAAGCGTGGGATTTGGAGACGCCACACATGGTTCGAAATAGGCTGTGCGCATCTGCTCCTCTGTATAATCGACCACAGCGACGTTACGTCGCACCTTTCGACGCATTGCTGCGAAGTCTTTGTACATATTTGGGTGGAACCACTTCCAGAATGCCAGGGTACGAGATCGGCGCAAGTCGTTGATTTCGTTGATTTCGGCCTGGGCATCTTCTTTCTCCATGAGAAGCTCCTCTTCGGCGTCGAGTGATCGTGGCAAGAACGTGTTCAGCGGGGAAAGGGCTTCATTGAGTGAAATGTGTGCCAGAATGTTGCCAATAAGGAAAATAACCATGATGATAAGCGGGCCGATAGCACCTTTGATTGCGAACAGACCGATCATACAGACCTCGGCCAGGTAGAGACCGGTGAGTAAGTGCTGCATGGCGCGAGGATAAACTAATCCCTTAGTGTCGATCTCAATATTGTAGACGAAGAAAAAATTGTATCGGTAGGCTTGGTAGACAAGATACAGCCCAATGAAGGCAAAGCCCAAAATCAATGGCGCAATACAGGAGTAAGTCAACGCTGTTTGGTTGATTTAGTGAGAATAGCCCAAAGAGGTCGATGAGATATGCCTACCAATCACGCCCATGTTGGTGAACACGGGGAAAACATTGCCCCAGCTGAGAGTAACAAGCTGAGCCCATTTTTGAAACAGGCGACGCGGCGAGTATGCAAAAAAGGTGGTCACAAACTTGAACACTAGAGCACTAGCAATCTGCACGAGCGCCATGGAGCTCAAACTCAACCCCTGAAGCAAGAAGTAAGAGATATAGAAGTTGGTGGCTTTGGGTAGATTCTGCGCCAAAAGGTCTTTTGCCGAGAGAGGATCCTTGATAATCTGTGTTGTTGCAGCAGATGCAGCAGATGTCAGAGTCGTCACCAGAAACACCTGCACAACCTGGAAGACGAAATGAGCGCTTTGGGTGAAAAGTTCGACTCGCGCCATTGATGGAACCCCGGCACGTCTCGCGCAAACTGCCGAGAGGAGTCAGTCGCTGGATCTCTCACTTATTGAAGGTAGGGAAATATCGTACTTCGACAGATGATCGGCACCAACGACATCAAGGCCACAAGAGCAGCAGAGGGCAGGAGACCTTCGATGGCCCCCTTGACCAGACTGGGCAGGTGAAGAACAAACTTGAGGAAGGGAACTAGCTTGGCCAGATACGTGATGTTTGAAATTGTTCCCACAAGTGCAGCGGGAAACGACCAGAAGATCACCAGAGCTCCAAGGCCACCCTGAACAGCAAACCTTCGAACAATGCGTTGCCACCAGCTGAGATTCAGCGCCTCCCAGACGACTTCCCTAGGAGAGATGCCAATGAAGCGGGGCGCCATGTGGAAAGGTCGATGGTGCGAGAGAGTTTGTAGGGAGACCTGGGCGTCCGCTTGGGTATTGAACTCGACAAACATCGCCGACAGCTGTTTGGCCTCGCCGGCTTGGTGCTTCCGTTGGAGGATGTCCACTTTGTCTGTTACTCGGGCTAGTTCTGATCGATACCAGTGAATGGAATCCACCTTTGTACCAAATAGAAATTTCAGTCGATGTGTCGGTCGCTTGACCTTGTGAAAACCGGCCGGGTTGGTGGACTCGCAGTCGAGACAGGTGTCGGATGAACTTTCACCAGTCCGAACAGACTTCATGCGAGCTTTGTTAGCTCTTCGAATCAACTTTGTCTCCGCGGTTTCCAGATTAAAGGCCAATCTATCGCGCTCCTTGACGAGCTTGTCCAGCTCTTCGCAGTCCGTGGTGATCCAAATTCGACGTATGCAGTCGCCGAAGACCTGTCGCAGCTTCGTTTCACTCTTGTAGTCCTTTGGTACCGACATGAAAAGAACAGTTCTCGAGGAGATGCGGGAAGCGTAAGCCGGTGAATTGAGGTAGGCCTGGCGTAAATGGGCGTAATAGAGGCACTCTCGGACCACGATATAGAACACGAACGCTACCATTCGGTAAGAACCCCGCCCACGGAGCAAGAGACTGAGCACTTACTGAAAAACACCAGGGCTACAAACACATTTGCATAATACCTGTTAGGGTTCGTCACGTTGCTGAAACTGAGAGCGTCGAGCTGGGTGTTGCCAGCACCACCTGTGGCATGGATAGGCAAAAGAACGGGCCATGTGATCAGGCAGCCAAAGAAGCAAATCGCACACAGCACTCTCAGAAAGCGCAAAAAGAGATATCCGTCCAGCGAGGAATGATGTAATACGTGGTTGTCTTCGATCTTGAGGAATGTGCCAAACCAGTTGACCCACCCTGAAGGTAATTCGGGCGTCCGTTCATGTTCATGTAGATCGGGTAGGTGAGAGCGCGGAGCGTACCATCGCCGCTGTGTGCGGCGGAAGAGGAGGAAGAGAGCAAACCAAAACAGCGCATAGATCAGGGCCGGAATTAAGGTCATCAACAGCGCCGAGGCCGACGTCGAGCTACTGTCCCCGGTAAGGCCGCTGACGACGTTGCCTGAAGTGGAGGAGGCATTGCCTCGAGAGGAGCCGACATTAGGGTCATTGTTCGGGTCCTAGAGATCATGTTAGCACCATCCTCCTTGATGGGAGGGTGGAGACTTGGTCTCGTACGACTACACTCGACATGGTGAGCGTGCGTGCCTGGATCTCTCGCCGATGGCAGAGAGGGACTCATGAAAATGAGAATGCACAGATCGGAAAAAAATTAAAAAATTAAACATGATATGGCCGTGGCCGTGACCGCGACCCATCGTCCATCACCAAATAGGGAAATAGGATGGCCCGCTCCTGGTGTCCCGCGTTTTTGGACATGTCACCCCGAAAAGAGATTAGACATGGACTTCGGGGGGATTTGGCGCTGGGCTGATAGGTGGGTCGCGTCGCATTTGGCACCAAACCCTCGATGGGAGATGTCGATCTAGCTTGGTGCGCCACGTTTCCTGCGCGGTCCGCAGTACGCAAGGCCTGGCAAGGCCTTGGCCCGGCGTAGGTGGTTGGCGTCCATGTCTGCCTCTGCCTCTGCCTATCCATTCCAGACTCTCGTATGCGACATGGAGCCAACGGAGGCCGAGTACCAGAGCAGATCTGCGGAAGTGGAGTGGGTCGTAGAAACAAACTATCGAGTATCAAGTGGAGACGACGATCGAGTCCAAATCCAAATCCAAATCCAAATCCAAATCCAAGCTTTGGCCCCTGAACATAAATCATGGTTCGTGCCTCTCCACGAGCTGCCAATCATCTGTCATGTGGGTTCGTCCATGTACATGTACATGGACATGGACAGTACATATGCAGCTTGACCAGTCGAACTGATCTGCGATCATCGGTCCCTCGGCTCGCGCCCCCGGCTTTGTCCCTGTGCTCCCACAACACCTCGATCGGTCTATAATTCGCAACTGGCAACTCACCTGAGACGCAAGGGGCCGACTCCCTCAAGTTGGCGGTGGTGTGGAAGTGGAAGTGGAAGATCCGCGTTGGCGTGGCAGCACTCCGCCCGGGTCTTCTACGGATGAGTCCATTCCCCCAGATAAAATGAGATAAAATGACGCGCGTGGAATTTACGGACCGCGCACAACCAGTGTACCCCGATGGTGTAACCGGAGCTCGTTCTCGATGTCTCGGAACATGATCTGCGAGGATTCGACGTGACAGCATCTTGACCTGATTCCCCGAACTCCCTGCCACGGTCCTGTCCCCAGCCTTCAGATGAGCGGTGAATCATCCCTCACCTCGTGCTCTACCAGGGATTGTGGGGGGAAAGACTTGATGAGAAAAGCAAGAATAAAGTCCACGGGTATAATGCATCATACTTTAGCTAATGAATAAAAAATAAATAAATAAGCCTCATTCGGCCAGATTCCACCCCTCTTCAAAGACCGCCGCTGCCTGGAGAACTGTTAAATCCTCCCACCGTCTTCCGATGAGCTGCATGCCAATCGGTAGTGTCACCTCGGGCGAATTTGGTACGCGACCGAACCCGCATGGAACATTGAGGGCTGGATGGCCTGTGACGTTAAATGGCGCCGTGTTGGTCGTGACCCCAATAGCCACTGATAACTTCTCCATGACCGTGGCAGGTCCTTCGGCATCGGATTGCATTCGGGGATGGGGCATGGCAACTGTCGGCGCACATGGCGTGACGAGGATGTCGACGTGGGAAAACGCCTGGTCATAAGCTGCTCGAAGCTCAAATACCTTACGGTGTGCCTTTGCTTCGACCGCGGGGCCGAAATGTTCTTGGAGAAAAGGGCCACTAAGCATCACATTCACGATTGCTGGGTTTGTTGCCGTCAGCAGATCATACATCCTTTGGTCCGGAGGCCATCGTGTTTGGAGATGAGGCGGCAAAAACGACAGGAAGCCCGACGTCTTGCCCTGGCAAACCCATTCAGACATGGATAACCTAGTGGCAGCAGTCCAGATAAGGCTGCCGTCGCGGTGCATCGGAATTGATATGTCCATCACTTTGGCCCCAGCGGCCGCAAAATTGCTCTTTGCTGATTGCAGAACGGCGTTGCGGACTTCGTCTGAGACTCCAGGAACCTCGAACGATTCCGTGAGCAAACCAACTGTCAGCCCAGAACCACGCTTTTCTCCATCATCGAGCCGGCGATTTTTAAAGTTCGATAGCAGTTGCGCGTACTCCTGCACCTGGTGTCGAAGGGGAGACTCGGGAGTCATTCGCGGATCGATCCCATCGTAACCTGCCATCACTTGAAGCAAAAGCGCAATGTCGTCCAGATTGGCGGCGAGGGGACCCAAATGATCGAGCATCGGAGACAGCGGCACCGCTCCGGTGTAGGGAATGAGTCCGTAGGTGGGCTTCAATCCGTAAATCCCGCTATACGAGGCCGGTATCCTCACAGACCCTGCTTGATCGCCGCCAATTGCGATATCCACGGCTTCTTTGCAGGCTTCGCCCGTCTCGCGTTGTATCATTTTCGTGGCAACAAGGGTTGCAGAGCCACTACTGCTACCGCCAGACGTGAAACCTTTCCTCCAAGCGTTATGAACAGGGCCAGTGGCAGCACTGAAGGACAGCGGCGAGGCGCAATAGTTCTCGCAATTCGATGACCCTTTGAGCGTCGCGCCCGCTGCAAGGACCCTGGATACCACGGTGGCGTCAATAGGTGAGACTGGCAGATGACCGTCCGGGCAAAGTAACTCGGTAAAAGTGCCAACGGTGGTTGGCAATCCGCCAATACAGATGTTGTCCTTGATCGCGATGGTTTTGCCGCGGAGTGCAGTGCTCGTCGGACTTGCCGCCGTGAGCTCGCATCGGTGTCTCCAGGCATTCGACAAATTATCTTCCCTTTTGGGCTCCCAATACGTGCGAGGCCTGGCAGTCTCTACAGGCGATAGAGATGGGTGAATGTAATCCTCGCTGTCTTGAATATGTTTCATGACCGTCTCCACCGACTGGAGCAGGTGCAAGTAGTCTTCGGCATCTGGGCCATCTGGAATCTTGATACCGAGCTTTGAAGCTGCATTTTGAAGATCTTTGACTGACAAATCCGATCTAGCTCTTGTAAGCTGGGTGAATCTATCCGATCAAGAGGAACGCACTCACCGGTTCTTGTCGGCCAAGAAAGCCACCGACATGATGAGGCTCAAGGAAGATGCAAAGGTTGGATATGAGAAATCAAGCTCTAAAAAAAAACCTGCATAGCTCAACTTCCAAGTCTTAAATGCCCATGATGGAGTTTAGCCCGTCACGTACGCCATTCTACAGAAGCGGAGGTTCCGATTCGGGCGGGCACTAGTAACAGCCGAGCGGGGGAACCGATGTATACTCATTATCAACTCATTTGTCTTTTTACGTTCATTGCGGTCATTTTCCATTCAATAGAAACAGGTGGCCAATAGATCAAGCTTGATACTCTACTCCTGCCCGTTCGCTAACAGAATGCGACCCCCATCCACGCAGAGCGAAACACCATCAACATATGACTATTTCCGATATGTCAATTCTGTTTCATGAAATTTTGACATTTGAAATGGACGACTTACCCCGGCTTTGCTTACAAGGTAAAGCACCGTTCCTGCGATATCCTGGGAAGCGCCCGCTCTTTTCGCTGGCACTTTGTCGAAAAGCGAACTGAAGATATTTCCGGCGGCGCCGACGGGATTCATATTACTGGGAACAACTGCACAAGCCCCCTCTGTTAACAACTGTTCTTCATGAAAGACCAAAAAGCCCCACTTACATCCGGGGTTGATGCCCACGACTCGGACGTAGAACCGATTATACTTGGCCGCCAACAATTTTACCAAGTGATCCGTTGCTGCCTTGCTTGTTGCATAGCTCGTCAGATCCACATTTGTAGCATTATGCATGCTCGCACAGGAGCTGGTAATGACAATGACCCCTCTTCCCTCATCTTGACCCTTGCCGCCGTCGCTCGTTGGTTGATCGGCGGCCGCAGCAAGTAATGGTAGGAAGGCCACGCTAAGGAAGTAATGAGCTGTGGTATTCACGCGAAAGGTGTCCTCCCAATCCTTTTGATCAATTGACCACATCGAAGCTTGGAGTTCGTCCAGCGGCGCCGTGAGAACATTACATGCTTGCGGTGGATCGCGGCGGATTCCCGCATTCGAGATAAGCATGTCCAGACTTCTTTCCTTTGAGGTGATCTTCCGGGCAAGCGTATTGATCGAGTCCTTACACGAAAGATCGCAAGGGAATCTAAAAGCCATCTGTTAGCCAAATATACCTGATGTCACAACGCGTAGATACCCTTCAGCGCTTCCTCCAGTATCACGCCCCAAGATGTTCAGGTCTTGAACAATTTCGGCAATTGGATCACTCGGCAGAGCCAGCAGATAGACCTTGGCCCCATTCGTCACTAATCCCTACAGGGTATTAATTTTCATTTCCGAAACTTCGAATCTGTATCTCACTTTGGATATCATGAGTCCTATGCCGCTACTCCCACCGGTGACTACCGCCACGCGGCCCTTGACATTAAAGAGATCAAAGGTGCTCAAGGAAGACATTTTTGCGTAAAAGAGAAACAGTGCTTGGTGATAACAAGTAGTTCTTGAACTCGTTATTTATCGCCGTGTAGCCATCAGAGTGGGGGACTTCTCTGGCTATTTAGCGTTGTCGGCCCGGCCGAAGAGCCAATCCTCGCAAACCTTTGTCAAGTCCGCTGTTTAAAGTAACGCAAAATATGAACCGCTAAATATCTTATATTGATCTGCTGCTTAGTTTCAGCCGATCGAGTTCATCTTTCTATGTAATTGCTAGAGGGGAAGTGATGAAGCAGAATCGCAAGGTCTTCGACTATGAGGATTTAATCATGGATCGTGTAGGTAGAAGTTCAGGCTAGATACTAGTAGCTTTATGAAGATTTGAAGATGAAGAAAGATCATGAGAAAAGAAAAGAGGAAAGTTCAAGGGCGGGTGCAAGCCACATGTCACTCTTTGTAATGCTCCTTGGTACGCAGTTCCGCCGCATTCAAACATTCGCTGGTGACTGCATCATCCCTGGGAATCAGCCTGACCTTGAAGTCTCTTGGAATTGCAACGAGCGCCGTTTTGAATTGATTGTAGTCCACATAGTCAGTATTCGGCGGACTTTCCTCGCTTGCCACGATCTTGTAGGAGCAAAGCAGACGGATGAGGGCAGAGTAAAGTAGTCTAGAGGCGATATATTGGCCGGAACAATTACGTGATCCGGCACCAAAGCTCAAGTGGGGAAGTCCATTCGCTTCTCTCTCTGCCGGAGGGTTGATAGACTTCAGCCATCTTTCCGGATCGAACTTCCCTCCATCGGGCCCAAAGTGATCCACATCTAATCCTCGAGTCAATAGCAGTACCGAAGTATATGAAATGGGCACTCACCATGGTTACCCGCTTGGGCATTGATTAGAATCATTGTTTCCGGTGGAATGATTGCACCATTCCAGTTAACCTCGGTGACGGTCTTTCGGGGCAAGCTCATGGCGCTCACTGTGTAATAACGCCCGGCTTCCTTGAGAATGGCGTTCACGTACGGAACCTTTTCTTCGTAGATGCTACTGATCCATGCATCCCGAATATCTGGGTAGTGGCGCTTGATGTCTTCATATGCGCGATCTTGCCATATTTGTCCTTCTGGGGTAGACAGCGAACCGATGGTGGAGGTCAAGGTACCGGGAATTGTTTCGAATCCTCCCGAAACTAGAGAGAGGCAAATGGAAGAGACTTCAACACCAGTGAGTTTTGTCTCTTCGTCTTTGAGGATTGCTGCTGAGATACAGGGCTTGTCGGTGCCTTTCTCGATCATCGCGCGCACTTTATCCAGCAAAAGGTTCAAATAGGCATCTCGGCGATCTCGCAGATCTTTTGAACGTGCAGTTTTCTCGTTATTAGGAAGATAGCGTAGAGCTGGGATGTAATCCTGTAGGTTTTCTGAAGCACTTCGAAGAAGAGAAATTGCGGATCCGACATGGAGAATCTCACGCAAAAGGTCATCGTAGACGGCATCCATGCGAATACCATAGCAGAGAGTCAGGGTCGTGTTCAAAGCGAAACGTTGAATGTACGGTCTTATGTTCAGCTCGACGGCGCCGTTTGAACTGTCTCGAAAAATATCCCGCACAATACAGTAACTTTCGAGATCGAACATGGGATGGTAATTACGCAAAGCCGGACGTCCCAAGGCTGTGCCAGCTGCTTTACGCTTCTTTTTGCACGACTCATCCCAGGGAGAGGAGCCAATGGTGAATCCCTGCGTGCTGCTCACCACCCCGTGAAAGGTGTAGAGCTTGGGCCGATCAATCACCGCATTTTGATGACCAAGAAGCATCTTTCGAGAGTCATCAAATGAATTGACTACAACGGCACGCGTGTTGCCAAGCTTGATCTGGAAGACGGAATGGCCATACTGCCTCCACCAACGTTCGCAAACAGTGGCGTGATCATCACCAAGTTTGAGAAGGTGTCCAAAGATGGGGATTGCACCAGGAACTTCCGGGAGACCTGTGATGTGAGGAATGTCGGTCGCTAATGTCCACTGTTCAGAGGTTAGAATGAAAGAAATTCGATCCTCAACCAGCAGGCTTACTTTGTAGATCATATAGAGAAAAAGGGGGATCAACGCAATCACAAAAGTCCTAGGAATTGCCCCTAGAAGAGTCAAATGCTCTTCCAGTTTGATATCTATCATGATGGTAGTTGCGGGATGGAGGAATCCCAAAATGTTCGAGACCCCCTTCCTTCACTTGCAGATGCTGGGATTAAATAGTAAGTAGAGCCATTTTTTGAGACCAAAGGATGGATGGAGAGCTGCTCGTTTTCCGACAATCAAGCCATTTCCGGACAGAGCGACCCCTCATCGCCCTGATTGGGCCATTGACAAGCACTGTCGGACTGTCCGACCACCTTGGTGTCTATCGATAAGACCCTTTATCAGTGCTTATCGGGACATCACGGCCTACTCGCTATGGGAATTCATATTGTCTCTATAATCTAGCTGTAGCCTAGTTATAGGATGATACGAGAATAAGAATGCACGGGTAATGTCTATTTATTTTACTGGCAAGAATATGACTATGCATTCGAAAGTCAAATTCTGTCATGAAGAAACTTGGCAATCCTACGATCCATCCACTCGTTATCGGTTTGACTGGGTCCTCCTCCCGCCAGATGGCCCCAAATTGAGGGTATCACCGCTAGCTCTCCCTTGGGTAGATGCGAAACCTCCTTCTCATTCGCCTCCCATTTGAAGTATTGATCTGTTTGGCAAGGCATCAGGAGAACTCTGCTTGTCAAAGTGCGAAGTGCATCTTCGAGGGATAGAGACCGATCTGATCCCAGTACGACACCAAGGTCCGATCGCTGCCACATTCCAAGCATGACGAGGAGATCATCTGGGTGCCAACTTTCATAGCTTTTCTCCCCCACAACAGTGGCCCAGTCATTCAAAGTTTTGTAGCCCAATTTTTCAAATAGGCGCTCCTCGAACCACTCGGCACTGGTCAGCCAGGCGGAATAAGCCTGACCAAATGCGTGCAAACCTCGAATTGGCAGGGTGCCTTGAGATTGAAAAGAGCTGTTGTTGTAATCAACCGAATTCAGAAGAGCATGCTTGGGACCCTCTAAGAACTGGTAGTTGTGCAGGCTGGTTTTGGCGGCCGAGCAGATAATCACCGCGTTATGGATCATTTGAGGATATAAAGCAAGCCAATGGTAAGTGGCCTGTCCCCCCATTGAAAATCCGACCATCACATCCAGTGAATTGATTTTTAGATGCTCTGTGACCAGTTTAAATTGGGCCCTGACGCAATCCCGATAGTCGAGGTGAGATGGGAAATTCGGTGTGTTGGACGGACTGGCAGATTCACCGTTGCCAAGCAGTGCAACAACAATCACTCGGTGATCGCGAAGTACTCCGTTGGTAAAGTTCAATGTATTGTTGATCCTTCCATGGAAGCAAGTTGGGATCAAAGCTGTTTTCTGGCCTGTCGGGTTTAATTCTCTGTATGCCAGGCGTACCGACGGAAGAGTTGCGCCATTCTGAAAGGTGAAATCTTTCAACTCGTAGTATTGAATGTCTGTTCCATCGTACTGTGATGCCATGGTGGGAGAGGGAGGGGTAAGAAGAGGAATAGGTGGAGAACGATTGACATGAAGCATGGAGAACGATGATGCTTTAGCGTGCACGTTTACACCGAGATGCAACCTTACAAGCTTACAACGCACTATCTAGGTAGCTATGTGTCATCGGAACAGCCGAAATGTGATTTTGAATTCGATCTTTATGCTTTACAGCTTCCACTAATGTTCTTCGATTTACCGGTTGCGTAGAACTTTTATGCCTCAAAGATGGCCGTCACTTTGATCTCAACGGCGAAGCGGGGATCGGGAAGCTCTCTGACTCCGATTGTCGCTCGGCTGGGTGCACTCGCCCGGTCGGACCAGATCTTGTTCCATTCTTCATTCATATCCGCATACTGAGTGTTCATATCCAAAATATAGACCGTTGCATCAACAACGTTGTAGATGTTTGCTTTCCCGTTCGAGGCACCTTGAATAATGCTCTCAATCCTGCACAGGACAGCGGCTGTCTGCTGCTTGACGTCGATAGTGAATGTTCCATCAGTGTTTTCTGTGACACCCTCATAGGTACCATCTGGAGCAACAGCGGCAATTCCCGATACGTAAATAGTGTGGTGGGTTGAGGGTTGAACGACGCGCGCATGAGAGTATCGGGTTGGCCCTGCACGCTTCTCAGGGTCAAGAAGAAAAGATTGGCCGTTGGGAGACATGATGTTGGATGGATAGATGAAGATTGAGGATGGTATGCTATCCTTGTTCTGCACTATCCTTAACTTATAATCTGACATCGCTGTCAACTCCACTTGGAGAGGCGGATTGCCCGATAAACCTAGGCGGGACACCCGATGTAGCCGCTCTAGACCTGTGAAGTTCCTTGATTCGATGATATACCCCTCTAGCTTGATTTTGAGATTGAAAAAGAAGGGGGGTGAGAAGGAGGAGGGGGCTTTCTATATCTCAAGATGATTGTGGTCCAAACTCGAAGACAAGGATTTCCTCTAGCATGGAAAACGATCAAACCAAGGTTAGTACTACTCTTTCTTGTGAATATCCAGGGCCGATCATCGAAGATATGGTCCAAAGAGCTCGCCCTCGTAAACTAGTACAGCCCGGCCGAGGAGCTAAGTTAAGGGGCCTAAATATTTTGTTCTCTCAGTCCTTCTCGGCCTCTTCCTAGAGAACATGCTAAAGGTCTTTTGAGACATCCTTTAGCTTCTTCCCGATATCAAACACCCCTTTAGAATCTTCCATGGAAGTAATTCATAATCGCCTCTTTGAGGATGTTTGAGTTATCTCCTCAGACCATAGGCGTAATTCTTTCCCCACACGCGATATCTTCCCCGCTATGATCAATAGCCGGCTTCCTATTGGCGTCGATTGACATCCCGCACAGTCGAATCGTAGACTTAGGAAGGACTTGGAGCTTGGTCTTAAGCTCCATGTTTAGACCCTGGCAGAGATTTGGTTTCACTTTCAAAAGGAAAGAAGCGAAGTCAAATCGTGAGATAAGGTGAGATAAGTCAGGGGCGGAGTTGGCCCGATGCGCCTTATCTTCCCCGCTGCTCTTCATTTCACTCTTCATGTTGATGATGCCCGAACCCGCTGCAAGGGCAGAAAGCTCTTGCAAAAGATGTCATCGAAGGAAGAAGCGTTGTGACAAGACCCTCCCTCAGTGCCATGCGTGTCAACATGCCAAAGTGGCCTGTAGCTTTCTTGACGATGAGTCTCAAGTGGCATCTTATCCGATCGCGTATGTTTTAAAGAGTTGGAGATGCAACGCTAGCTGACAGGTGACAGTTATGTGCGTGGTCTGGAGCGACGAGTTAAGGAGCTGGAACAACAACTAGCTTCGTCGCTTACACCTCAAAATTCTCAACATGACACTTCGTCATATCCATGGGACCAGGATGCGGACATCCGTTTGGCTGGCGAGTATCTGAGTACCAACAATGGCATAAATCATTCGCCACGACTACAATCGGTGGAACCCCCCATGCCAAACTTCAACACATTACCTGTTTCGTCCAGCAATCCAGCTGATCCAGGAAAGAGGACGGAAAACCTGGCTGAGGAGCTTAGACTGCTGTCATTGGAAGCAGCTGCAGAGCGGTACTTAGGGTCCTCATCAGGCCTCTCGTTCGCCAAGCTCACTCAGACTGTGCTCCAGCGACTATCGCCAGATCAGGATGGGTTCATATTTGATGGAGACTTTGGTGCTGATGAGCAGCCAACTCTCGGCGCCGATGTCGATCCCTCGAGCTTCAATCCCATTTTGTTCGAAATGAATCCTTCTTTACTTAGTCCATTGCCCTTCAACTCGCTGTTTGGGAACCCCGCTGGTGAGGATTATGAAGATTCAATGGGCCTTGCCCTGCTCGAGCCTGCTCACATTACAGACCTCCTTGAATTTTACTTTGCACATTCTCATACTCTCTACCCATTTATTCGAAAACACGAGTTCGAGTCAACGCTTTGGAGAGTGTACGCCGACCCGTTGGACTCACTAGCCCAATCGCCGCTTTGGCACTTTCGAATCTGGATGGTTCTTGCAATCGGATCGACCACATATTGCTCTGTTTCATTGATGGATGAGACCGAACCTGTCCAGTTTTTCAATAGAGCTATGACTTACTTTGAACCCGCAATGGGATGTGGTGATTTGGTATGTCCTCCGAATTATCAAGGCAATTCACGGCTAATATAGCAAGTAAGGCCGGGTTAGAGGTACTCATGTTGCAGGTTTCCTATTCATTTTTTAATAAGCTTGGTCCCAGTATGTGCAACTCCCTATGCTCATGTGTAGGAAATATATCGCTTACCCTTGAAGATACGTGGTTTCTGGTTGGGGTGGCAGCTCGCATGGCAACAGGCATGGGCCTTCACACATCGGAAGTTTACCAGTCTCTAACAGTGGACATGGCTGAGCAACAAAAGCGTCTTTTTTTTTGCCTCTATATGATGGATCGGTACGTTGCCTCCTTCAGGTATCCACCCCTGTGAACATCTCATCGCTGACGTTTCAAAGTGTTGTGTCCTTGGCATTAGGTAGGCCATTTGCTATCCAGGACGATGATATTACTGTTGAGGTCGGTCTTCCTGGTCAATCATTTGTCTCTCTTCGTATGCTCATGAAAGCTGTTCAGCCTTTCGCCGATGCCGATGATGAAAACATCAAACCAGAAGGAATCGTCTCATCAAACACCCTGGAACCTCCTACAACGGCAATCCCACTTCATATTCTCGCACTTAGGAAGATTGCGAGCGACATCGGCAGTCGAGTGCATGCCCCAAAATACGCCCAGCGACAAATTCCAGAGGCCCGCGATCAAATTATTCAAGATCTTCATAAACGACTCATTGAATGGCGCCGAGGTATGCCATTTCCTTTGCCAGATCTACAATCCAAGGTTCCACATTTATGTACCAGCTGGTTTGATTTCAATTATTATACCCATGTCATTATGCTATATCGTCCTTCCCCTTTGAGCCCCGACTTGGATCCTTCCAGACTGAAAATTCTTGCCGAGGCATCGGGAATGGCAGTTCGACAAGCAACCAATTTGCACCGACAAAGTCGGTTTGCTTACAACTGGCTCAATCTAGTGGCTGTTTTCAATTCTGCATTGTCCCTTATGTACACTTCTACTGCTCATGGGGATGATCTTTCTCTTATACTAGATCATACAAGGGCTATTGGTGATCTTGGCTTAGCTGTCGAGCTATTGGAGGCTTTTGGCAAGAAGTTTCCCTCTGCAAAGAAAATACAAGGTATGATCCAAGTAGTGATAGCCAAGTTGGAAGTTTACAGTATCTCTTCGGTCGGTTTTTGAGGGGCTATTCTAATAAAAGTAAGACAAAGGCTAGCACCTGAAATGTATCTAATATTCTTCATTGCTCGAATTCTACAGCCAAACCAAAGAGATAACTCAAGGGAGCCTAAATCAATGTCTCTCCAATCTCTTCCTAGAAGTTTCAATAAAGATCTTTCAAGACATCTTCTTGCCCCTTTCTAATATACCAGTCAACCACTTCCTCAAATACTACCGATTGAGATGGGTTTGTATTATCCCTGGGCCGGTTTTACCCACTTTTGGAATTGACTGGGTCCAATAATATGGTATCCATCATAACCGGCGTCGGGGCGCGGTGGTTGTCGGAGTTTCCGACAAGCCTCTCGGTCGTGACTTTCGCCAATATTCTCTACGAGAATCCGTACCTTGACCTTTCAGGATATTCTTTTGGCCTCTAAGTCGCCAAACATCTTTTCTGGTTGGTGATAAATGACAAAGTCTGAAGATTACTCGGCGGACATACCGGTGTCCAACACCGCCACCACACCCTCGAATCCACTTGGCAGTGAAATCTTGAGGTCAAAGTCAATTCTTCAGCCAGATTTTTGCAAAGGGAGAGTTTTTTCAGAAAAGGAGAGCGTTCAAAATGACGAAACTATATGCGCATTCCCAGGTCAGCCTGTTGATCTACCCAATGAAGATTCCCATGATACCTATCACTATGAGATTGATCAGGGCGCCTATCCAGAGGGCGGATGGGGAGCCTGGAGTGTGGTTTTAGGCAGCTGGATGGCATGTTTCGGTAGCATGGGGCTGCTGAACAGCTTGGGTATATTCCAAGCCTACTTGGAAGAGCACGAACTGCGTCAATACTCATCTGGCAAAATCGCGTGGATCTTAGGCCTCTACTCATTTCTCGCTTTTTTCTGTGGCATCCAAGTTGGGCCCATATTTGATACCAAGGGACCACGACTTCTAGTCCTATGTGGAGGAGTTGGAACTCTCCTATATCTTGTGCTTTTGGGCTTCTGTACCGAATATTGGCATTTCATGATTGTTGTTGGTGTTCTCGGGGGAGCCAGCTTGTCGTTCGCTTTCAATCCCGCTATCTCAATTGTTGCACATTATTTCCACCAAAGAAGGGGGTTTGCGACGGGCATTGCATCTTCTGGCGCATCCTTTGGAGGCGTCGCCTATCCCCTGATGTTCCAGAGTTTGTCAGCTCGACTAGGGTTTGCATGGGCCACCCGTGCTATAGCACTAGTTAATCTGGTCACTTTCATTCTCGCTTTTACTCTTATTCGACCGAGATTTAGCGCAAAGAGAAAGTCTGTTGGTGCCATCCTTCCTGATCTCTCTGTGTTCCGTGACCCTGCTCTTATGCTTGCAAGCATGGGTATGTTCTTTATGGAATGGGGTCTCTTCGTGCCAATCACTTATCTAACCTCATATGCATTGAGGCATGGCATGTCATCACGGTTTGCATTCTTACTTCTTTCTCTGATTAACCTGGGTGCAATATTTGGTCGATGGATTCCTGGATATTGTGCTGACCGCATCGGCCGTTTCAACACTTTCATAATAACGATTTTTGGGTGCTTTCTCTTTACCGCCTGCTTTTGGATGCCTGCTGGATCCAGTAAGGCTATGATTACCCTTTTCGCACTGTCATTCGGTTTTGCCAGTGGTAGCAATGTCAGTCTGGCTCCAGTCTGCATCGGTCAATTGTGTAAGCTTGAAGCATACGGTCGCTATTATGCCACGGCATACGTCGTTGTCAGTATAAGGTAAGTGAAGACAAACTCCACTTTCTTCAATCTCTGTGAGAATATGACTTTTGATTCTGAATTTCCTTTAACTCATTTTCGTGGCAAAACTGTAAAGTATAGATGAGCTAATATCAATAGCTGTCTAACCGGAATTCCGATTGCGGGAGATATACTCAATCGCTGCAATGGAGAATACTGGGGCTTGATCGTTTTTACTATGGCTAGCTACGCCGCAAGCCTTCTGTGCTTGATTGTGACAAAGCTTTATTGTTGCGGGTGGAATCATGCTATGGCAATTTTCTAGGGGCTTGGCTTTCACACGGAATCTGCTCTTGTGAGATTTGACTTGAAATTGTGAAGATACAATAAAGGACCCCCAAAATCGTGGCATGAGAAGAATTACCTGGGTCCAGTCATTTTCTTTCAATGTGAACTTCAAATTGATGACCTCGCAGGTCTCTTGTATCGGTCAGAAGTGCTGAATGCCGAGCACATCTCTCGGTCGTCCAAGCTCCCAATCATCTTCCACAGCATAAGAATACTAGAATAATGGGAATACATAATACCAGCAAACACACCCCAATGAGCAAGGATTTAATTTGTAGACCGACAGCAGTTGTCGAAGGGATGATCGCAAATCAGATGTCCTTACATAGGTTATCCCAACAATTGCATCAGGAACAACCTGCCAAAGCGTGATAATTGATGGTACATACAGGCTTACATCCCACGTTGAGTGATTGAATCGCAGCAGGGTTACGGCAGGGCCCAGGCTGGGTATCGCAGCCTTTGGTCAGCCCGTCCACTCCGACCCAGCTTCTACCAAGGCTTATGGCTGTATACTCCAACCTCCTATCTGGAAGCGGTCTTTTCACTATTAATTCAATTTGGGCTTGATGGAAAGAAAAAAAACTTAGTAAACTGTGAGAAATAAATCTTAGCTAGTTCCCAAAAGAGCTGTAAGTAAGCCTAATGAGCGGCCATAAGATCATTTTCCGGTAATTGAAGATGGTATCAAGAACATTTTCGTCTTAAACACCAAAGTAACAGAGAAAGCTGTCTAGGGTCAGACGGATTAAAAGAACAGCGTTGTGATTTTTATAACTAAAGGAGCGGTGGATGCGGCAGAAAAGCGTCGCGGAGAACGTAGTACGGAGTAAACATCTCGGACTCAACCTCTTACGATCGGGCCCATGGAGGATTCAGCTTCCAAGTCGTTCGAAGCTTTCGAATCCAAGCAGCCGTTTCCCCCTCTGCTTGATGATCTCACTTCACCCGAGGCGCAGGAGATCTATGCGGAGGACGAGGTCATCTCTCCCGGCTACGATGAGATCGAGGTTGAGGACGATGCCGATTTCCAGTCGCACTACTCGCTAGATCCTCAATCACTCTCTGATTCCGAGTCCGATGACTCGGCCAACAATATTGGGAGGCATCATCCCTTCCGACAGTCATCCAGCTCACTTCATGGCCCCAATGCCTTTGCGCCTCCTTTTTACAACCGCCCGCCAACACCTCTGCCTCCGTCTCCTTCATTGACATCGCTGCTTCGACCGCCCTTCTCGACAACGACCTCACGTCCGACCACTCCAGATAGCTCCGATGTTGAAACCCCCAACGACACTGAGGCCGCCGTGGCCAAATCAGCGCGTCGCGCAACAACCGTCCCGCGCGCCAGTCCTAAGGTCCCGACCTACGAGTATTACGGCTTTGTGCTCTATCTAGCTTCATCACTTGCATTCTGTAGGTGCTTCACCTGGGCTGCACCTCCTCAGGCCTGTTGTCTCTCTTGAAACTTGGAATGCTGACCGTGAGACAACCTAGTGATTTATCTCCTGTGGTCATACCTGCCATCCCCATTCCTCCATCAGCTCGGAATTTACTACTACCCCAATCGCTGGTGGTCCCTAGCTATTCCAGCATGGCTTGTCATTTGCATCGTCTACATTTACGTCGCACTCGCTTCCTACAACACTGGCTATCTGACTCTGCCCATGAACAGCATTGAGAACGTTGTGGATGAAGTCGCGAACGTAGCGGTCATTGATGGAAAGGCTCGAAGAAGACCAGGCGGAGCTACCAAGATGAAGCCCGGCGCAACATCCTACCAAGTTATGGGCCCGCAGAATCGCAAAGTCAATTGGTGGGAAATTTGGAGTGAGGGAACTGATGCCGTTATGGATATCCCGGTCGGCGGTGTGTGCGAGGTCTTGTACGGTCAAGAGCGCGATGAGGATGAAGTTTTACATACAAACTCCTTTGCTGCTGAATTATAGCGTTACGGAGAGAATCAGAAAATGCATCTTTGCATCTTTGCATCTTCGCGTTTTCGCGTTTATGACGTGAATGAGAAGTGTGAGTCACGTGGTGATAAGCTTTGCCTCTTGCTTTACTGCATTTCGTCCTTTTCCCCTTTGCCTTCCATAGAGGAACGAGTAACACTGAACGATCCGGCAAGATGTCAGCAGAACGGCCGTCAACACCTCCTCGGCAAAGTTTTGCTGAGCCGGGCCAACTCCCTCGTGGCCCTCTGACGCCCGAACAGCAACGAAAGATTGTAAGTGCCCTTGTTGACCAACCTTCAGGTTCATCGTTTACTTACCTTCTTATTCCCACCAGGAAGTGAACCGAATGAAAGCGAAAGCCCTTAGAGAACAACGTGAAGCCGAACTGTCTCAAAGCCCAAGCTCTGCCGCTACGCCTCGTGCCGCCCAACCTATTCAAGGAGTCAAACGTTCTTTCAACTCGATGACCGTGGCTGAGCCTCCGGCTTCTGTGCGGGATGCCCGTACAAACACAGTTTCTGATCGGTCGCTCGATGCGATCAAACCGGCACGCAATTTCACTCGATACGTCGATTATGATTTCAGCAAGATGACTGATACCAAGGGTGGCTTCCTAACGCAGGAGGATGACCCATTCAACAAGGCGTTGCACGTGTCGGATGGTAGGGAGGATCAAAAGCCGGCAAACATGACCCAGAAGGAATGGGAGCGTCACCAACTACTCCAGTCTTTGCGACGGAATCGCGAAGGGCCTTTCGAGCCAGGCTTAAGTGTTCTGGACGATAAAAGCAAGCAAAAGACATGTCGCGAGTGTGGAAGTTTAGAAATTGATTGGAAGTGGGAGGAAGAGCTCCGATGTCGCATTTGTCATTCGTGCAAGGAAAAATTCCCCGATCGGTATAGCCTTCTCACCAAGACGGAGGCCAAGGAGGACTATCTACTGACGGACCGTGAGTCGATTGATGATTAACGTTTAACACATAAGATTGCCGTGGCTGATCTTGCTCGATAGCTGAATTACGGGACGAAGAGCTTCTTCCCCACCTCGAACGGCCGAATCCGCATAAATCGACATGGAATAACATGATGCTGTATCTGCGCTTTCAGGTCGAAGAATATGCATTTTCGCCGAAGAAATGGGGCTCTGCTGAGGCTCTAGATGCCGAGTTCGAGCGACGGGAGAATGACAAGAAGAAGCGACGAGAAGCCAAGTTCAAGACAAAGCTGCAGGACCTTAAGAAACGTACGCGCGTTGAGGCCTACCGACGAAATCGGAAAGGAGCTTCGGGTGGAGAGTTCGGGGATGACCTTGGCAATAATCGGAAGCACGTACACCAATGGGGTCGATCCGTTGAGAATCCGGAAACTGGCATCGACGTCAAGACCTGTGTGGACTGCGGCATGGAGGTGGAGGAGCTGGAATTCTAACTCCAATGTATTATAACTTAGCATACGACAACCACTCGTGGGCATGTCTTAACGAGATCACGAGTATCACAAAGCCCCAACTTGGGACCTTCTGGAAGGTTTAGTCTAGACTTTGGATCATTTTGAATGTTAGAAGCTCCCAGGTGTACCGGGTAGACAGGCAGATTCCCAGCCTTGGTCTTTGCCCTTCATAGGAAGATTATATTTCAAATAGCTACGCAGGTATCGGGAAATGCTCATATCCATGGGTGTTACCAGAGCGACTTGTCAGAATTGTGGTGCATGGCCGTCAAAACATCCCTACAATCCCTGTCTTCTAAGGTTCCCTGCAACTCTGAAGTATATCGAGATACATATCCAAGTATACATCGAGAGATCTGCCACCACAACTCGCCACCCCAGCGTGTCGATAGGTTGGGGACGCCCACAGATACTCCTGTACAAGCCTAATTCCCACCTCAAATTAAAGGTTGAATTTTAAAATCTGTATAGAACTGAGAGATGGAAGACCGGTTTGACGAACTGAAACGGGGTAGCGGTGTAAGAGCGAGGGCCACCCCCGGGACATGCAGGTTAACCCTCGCTTTTCGTAGCATAGCGACTTCACCCATGCAGAATAATCTAGATCACTCCGACCTGCGCAAACTACCCTTTCCATTGCCTATTTCTTGCCACTCACGACTTTGATGATTTTCAGGATACTTTGATCCCACTTTACTACGGCAGTGACTCTCCCAAGGCGGTCAGTCCGTTCTGCCGAGCTGCTCGACCCCCGAAAACCACTTGCTCTCGCCCTAAACAAACGAAAGCGCACGCTCTCAATCCTCCTGCAGTCGATCATTGGCCTCTTCCCCTTTCACTTCGACCGGGATTTACTCCCCATCCACTGGACACGGCGTGGAACGCGGTTCCCCTGCTGTTGTCACCTACCCCCATCCAGGTTATTGAAACTCGCTTACTCCAGTGCTCGAACGGGGGTCAGGAGACAAGCTCAAGCTTGTTGCTTTCCAACCGGAAGCTGTTTAGCTTCAGATCGCTCGTGCTGCACATAACGACTGCGCTAAGTGCTGATCAAACGACGTGTACATGGCCTGGCAATCTCCATCGGCCATGTCTGGGGCCGGGGGAATGCACGGGGCAATGGGGGACGGCTCCAATGGCGGAAACCCACAAGGCACGGAATACACGTTACAGGGTGAGTGTACCCCTGATTGCTGATCTCACTATAGCTGGGCTAACAATCGATGAACAGGCGTGATGCGGTTCCTCCAGACCGAATGGCATCGACACGAGCGCGACCGTAATGCATGGGAGATCGAACGCGCCGAAATGAAATCTCGCATCGGCCGACTAGAGGGTGAATTACGGACAAGCAAGCGTCTTCACGAGTCTCTGGGCAAGCACGTTCGACTGATGGAGTCGGCGCTGAAGAAAGAGCGGGAGAAGGTGAAGAAGCTCTCCAATAACGAGACACTCGAGGGCCCAACAGATCCCAAGGAGATTGCGCGGGACAGCATCAACTTTTTGAAAGGTGTGATTCATCTTTTGTGTATTACTCACGTGCGCATTTATTAATTTGCCATCACAGCGCAACGTCCGTCCAACCACGAACCGGATGCGGGCCAGGACGACTCCATGAACTCCAATGACTTCCGCCAGGAGGATGAGCGGGATAAATCACGGGTTTACCTTTCCAAGTGCGCCCAAGAAATCGCCTATCACGTTATTCCTACATCACATCCGGCCCCGGACCTCAGTGATCCCGATCTATCTAGCCACTTCTACAACCAACAACTATCGCAGCAAAATCTGGAGGAGGCATATCTTCAGCAGCAGCAGCAGCAACAACAGCAACAGCAACAACAACACCAACAACAGCAGCAGCAAAAAGCCAATCATATGGTTTCGCATGAGGTGGTCCTTCCGAACCATCAGTCGATGAGCGGACAATATGGAGACAATGTGGCCGTGGGTCGCGCCCAGAACCAATACAATCACTCGTCTGCCCCTCGCGAAGTAGTTGATCGACGTCAGCTCGAACAGCAGCAAGCCTCGGCCAATGCTGCTGAGAATCAAAAGCAAATCTACGAACAAGGTCTAGTGGACGACCGCGCAGCTGGAACTCAGACTTCATACGATGGTACAGGCCCTCGTGTAGCCGTGCAAGAGGATGTGCAGCCGGAAAAGGGGACCGAAGAGAACGCGGAAGACATGGATGGCTGGAATTTTGATGAGCCCACAGGGCAAGAACCTGCGAGCGAGCCCATGCCGCCACATCGACCGGACACCGATGCATTCCCAAACGCCAACTTTGTTCGCTCGAAGTCGCCGTCCAGGGGTGGATCCCTCTCTCACCGACGGAAAAGCTCTGGCTCTCGGAGGAAAAGTGAGGGTGCGGCGGAGTCGCGGGATTATGGCGCTGGATTCGGCCAACAGGACTCTAATTTTAAGGTTAGGTTTGCCCTCCGTGGACATCTCGATGTCATCCGCTCTGTGATCTTCACAGGGGGTGGCAGCCCATCCGAGCCAGAGATTTGCACATGCAGCGACGACGGTACCATCAAGCGGTGGATAATCCCAGCTACGTACGGCACGTTTGGAGCCCAGGGTCCGAGCTCGAGTAACGACTTAGACATCACCAGCTACTTCACCCATCGCGGCCATGAAGGCGCTGTGACTTCGCTAGCGTCTTGTTCGCCATCGCAAAACATCTCAAATGGCGGCCGAGTCCTGGGTGATGGTTGGGTCTTCTCCGGCGGACAAGATGCCAGTGTGAGGGTATGGGAACGTGGCCGTGTTGACCCCAAGGCTACCCTGGATGGGCACACAGATGCGGTGTGGGGGCTCTGCGTGCTTCCTGGGACGGCTGGTTCTGTCTTTGGCGACTCGTGCAGTCACTACGGCGGCGCAGACCGCATTTTGTTGGCATCTGGCGCAGCTGACGGCCGCATCTTGATCTGGGCCGTCAGTTCACCTCCTCTTGTCTCCTCACCCCAGGCTGGATCGCGTCGCCAGGGCGGCAGCCGTCGTGCAAACTCGATCTCATCCGGATCCAACTTCCCATCCTCTCCACAGCCCAGCGTCGCTACCGCCACTCCTTTCCACTACACTTTGGTCCATCACATTCAGCGCAGCGACTCTCCATCTCCCACTTGCATCAGTCCCTTGTCCCTAGCCGGAGTTAATTTTGTCGTCTCCTACACGGATGCCTCAATTCTCGTCTACGACACACGAACAGGCGAGGAAATTGTTGGCATGGCTAGTCTCGAAACCTACGATGGCACGCCATCAACCGGCGTTAATTCTGTAGTTGCTACTACCGTCGGCTTTGATGGTTCTGCCCATTTGGATCCCAACCGCACCATGGCTGAAGAAGAGGTTGTTCACGGAGCCACGGGGTCAAGCAGTGTGGAAGGTGTGATCATTAGTGGCTATGAAGACCGATACATTCGCTTCTTCGATGCCAACAGTGGTATGTTGCATTTCTTGCTCCCTCTGTTTTTAAAGGATTTCTTCTGACACAATTCTCTAGGTCAATGTACGTACACCATGCTGGCCCACCCGGCTGCGATTGCCTCGTTGTCACTGTCTCCGGATGGACGTGAACTTGTCTCGGCTGGTCATGACGCCAGCCTGCGCTTTTGGAACCTTGAGAAGCGTAGCTGCACCCAAGAACTGACCAGTCACCGATTGATGCGCGGTGAGGGCGTCTGCGCTGTTGTCTGGAGCCGTGACGGACGCTGGGTCGTTAGCGGTGGCGGAGATGGCGTGGTCAAGGTCTTCTCGAGATGACCGGACGATGAGATGACAGCTCTTGTATGATTCTTTCTTTCTACTGTCGTGTGTATTTCTTCGGCCTTCTCGCCGAGATATGATCCCATGAAACCGGATGAGCGATTGGCCGGACCAGTTCTTTTTTGAGCATTTCCAATGGTGTCCCATTCAGCTGCCTGGCATATGGTACTCTATGTGGTTTTTACTCTTCTTCTACATGTGTACTTTTGACCCCAATGCTGATAATATGCCGTCTTCGCGATGATTTTCCGGCGTACATTTCTGATCATTTGTTTCTTGTCATTGCTTCGGTTCATAAGCGACAGTGCCCCCTCATCTCCTCACAGATTCCCTTGCTACTTCCTTGATCTCTGTTCGGTTGGGTGTGTTGTTGGGACCGCTGGCGTTTGGTATCTTCTCGTGTATCTGAAGCCCGGTGAACGGGACTTTATCTGGCATTCATTTCTGGGTCCTCTAGGCTCTGTCTTGGTCATCCTCATGCAGACCCCATTGTGTGTGTGTGTGTATAACATTTGAAACCCGTACCCATAGTGCTTCTACATATTCTAGGGCGTAGGGGGTTAAATATCGATTTGATTCCGGGTATTATTTGTATGAAGTTGGAAACAAAGTAACTATGACCGACTGGAGCTCCAAGCGCTCTTGAACAGTGCTTGTAAATGTTTCGCCTCGTCCGTGTCCTTCAACCGCTGCTCGAGATAACCCTCAAGATCATTCCAGAAAGCCTCGGTCTGCAACACCTCCGCACCGCTTGGTCCAACCGCTGCCTTGGGTGGGGACACATCGTCCTTTGCAGATTCTGGTTGAGCGGGTGCGTCAATCGCCTGGGCGCCTCCGATGATCATTATCCCAAACTCGACCGCTTTTCCTCCTGCCAGCATCTCAGGTTCATCGGCCAGAATCTCGGCCAATGTCTTCCCTGTTCCTGTCACAGGCTTGCGGCGATACAAAATCTTGATCTTGTCCAGTGGCACTTGGTTTCCTTGAGCATCGCTGACACGCCCACCAACGGCATCCCTCACATCCTGCATAGTCGTCGTAGAAAGAGGAGCATTGGGGATGGTAAACTCGAGGGCCGGATTACGTGCAGACTTGATGTTGACGTTGATCGATTTCGAAGAGCCCGGGGCGAGTGTATGCTTCACTTTCTTCGGCATCTCGGGATGCGGGGCCTGGAGGCGGGGAAGTGTGTACTGTTGATTAAGGTGATCAAAGTCAGTCACAGGCTAGAAGTTGTCTCATTCTGGAAACAAAATTGCCCCGTCAAGGAAGAAAAGCTCACCGGCATACGCAGGCCAATCTGCTCCGGATCGAAGACATGGTCAGCCCGCAGCTTGATAGGACGGGAGTCCAGCGTGGAGAGAAATGTCTTGGTAAAGGAAAGCTCGGACATGATGGGCTGAGATCCTATAGTGTACCGAAAGGGAAACGAAGCTCACGGTGGAGCAGGGAATGTTCAAGTGGTCGAACGGTTGATTGTTCGCGGGGTCTTAACTTGCTTTCCCTCGCGCGGCAAGAAATTATTGCCTTATAATTCAGGCGGAAACTGCGCTCACTCACCGCCTTGTGTCTCTATCTTCTGCCGATATTCACCGCTGCGGAAGAAAAAAAAAAGCCCCAAAAAAGTTGGTAGCAAACCTGCAAACCATACAGCCAGACACAACATTCATCATGGGTGTAGGACGTCGCATGATAAAGCAGGGCCCCCCGCCCCCGCTCGATGAATCAAAGATTTCTATTTTGAAGAAGCGCAAGGCCGCCGCGGCGGAGTCGGCGGCCAAGGCAGTCGCTGCGAAGAAGCGCCGCAGATCTGATGCCGAGGAGGAAGTTGTGACCAAGAAGGCCGCCCCGAAGAAGAGCAAGGTCAATGGCGCTGCTACGAGCAAGACTGAAAAGACACAAGCTCCTGCAAAGAAGAAGCCCGTGCCTATGGACTCCTCGGACGAAGAAGACTTGGAAATGGAAGACGACGAGTTTGATAATTTGGATGGTGTCAGCGAAGGTTCCATGGACAGTAACGATCAGGTCGAAGGGCTTTCGGACTTGGAGGATGATGAGCCCGAGGATGATTCGGTTGTCGACTCTGATGAGGATAACCACCCCCGCGAAACCATGTTCTCGGATGACGAAGATCTTTCCGATGCCGAGGAGAGATTGACTGCTGCCAACATCGAAGGACTTTCGAGGAAGCTCGATGCGGAGAGGCAGGCCGAAGAGGAGGAGGCTGAACAGGAATTGCAGGATGCGGCTATGCAGACCAACATTGCCGGCGACGGTCCCGATGTCTTTGCCGACCAGGCCCAGCAGGGTCTGGCTCCGGATCTGCAGCTCCTGCGCCAGCGCATCACGGATACTATTCGCATTCTCGGAGACCTGAAGACTCTGGGACAAGCCGGCAAGTCGCGTGCCGAATACCTCGATCTCCTGCTCGGCGACATCTGCACATACTACGGATACACCCGATTCCTCGCCGAGAAGCTGTTCAACCTGTTTACCCCGATGGAAGCATTTGCCTTTTTCGAAGCTAACGAGACACCTCGCCCCGTTGTCATCCGTACCAACACCCTCCGAACGAACCGTCGCTCCCTCGCTCAAGCCCTGATCAACCGAGGTGTCGTGCTCGAGCCTGTCGGCAAGTGGTCCAAGGTTGGTCTGCAGGTCTTCGAGTCTCCTGTGCCTCTGGGTGCTACTCCCGAATACCTCGCTGGTCATTACATTCTCCAAGCTGCGTCTTCGTTCCTGCCCGTCATGGCGCTGGCCCCTCAGCCCAATGAGCGTTGTCTTGATATGGCCGCCGCTCCCGGTGGTAAGACTACCTACATGTCTGCCTTGATGCGCAACACCGGTACTGTGATCGCCAACGATGCCAGCAAGCCCCGTGCTAAGGGTTTGATCGGTAACATTCACCGCTTGGGCTGCAAGAACACCATCGTCACCAACATGGATGCCCGCACAGCTTTCCCCAAGGCTATGGGTGGCTTTGACCGCGTGCTTCTTGATGCCCCTTGCACCGGTACCGGCGTTATTTCCAAGGATCCCGGTGTGAAGACTTCCAAAAATGAGCGTGACTTCCTGGCCATCCCCCACATGCAACGACAGCTGCTCCTGGCCGCCATCGACTCTGTTGACCACAATTCCAAGACCGGTGGATATGTCGTCTACTCAACTTGCAGTGTCACCGTCGAGGAGAACGAGTCTGTCGTACAGTATGTTCTGCGCAAGCGACCCAACGTCAAGATTGTCGACACCGGCCTGGGCAACTTTGGTAGCCCGGGATTCATCAGCTACATGGGCAAGAAGTTCGACGCCAAGATGGCTCTTACCCGCCGTTACTTCCCGCACCGCGAGAACGTCGACGGTTTCTATGTCTGTAAATTGAAGAAGATTGGCCCTACCCCTGCGGCCAAGCCAACCGATGAGACAACTGCTCGCGAACGCCGTCCAGCTCGTGCCGGCTCTCAGGCTGCCTCTACCGATGATGAGATCGACAGGACCCCTATTGGCCATGGAGAAGAAGACGCGATGGACTTCGAGGGCGGTGCCTTCGGACCTTTCGAGGAAACCGAGGATACGGACAGAATCGAACGTGCTGAGCGCAACCGTCTGCGTCGCAAGGGGCTTAACCCCAAGGCAGTCAAGCCCAAGAAGACCAAGGGAGATGCTTCGAAGAAGCCTGCCGAGCCCAGCCAGGAGGAGCCCAAGGCTGAAGCTACGAAGAAGGAGGAGCCCAAGAAGTCTTCCAACCAGGCCAAGGGAGAGAAGAAGACCGTGACCAAGAGCGACAAGAAGGAGAAGAAGGCCAAGAAGGCGGCCAAATAAGCTCTTGACATTTTAAATGTCTCATGTGTATGTATAGCTCTGGCAAGTTGAAAAGCATCTTCTTTTAGTTGGGTGGATGGCGCATATGGAAATATACCTCGTTAGATTATTTCAATGTCAAAAAAACGTTTCATTCAGCGTCTAACGCAATGTATGTCTATGAACGATGTCTAGGTCCACCAATGGTGGCATGCAATTATATCCAAAATAAAATGAGAGTAAAAAAGGCAAAAAATCACACCCCGTTCCCCCTAATTACCAGTCGCTAATTTGTTCAACAGACGTCTTGTGCAACGGCTTTCCCATGCATGGCCTTGTGCACATAAAAACAAAACAGACCCAAAAACCAGAATGCTCAAAAAACTCCGCAGTGATGCGGACTTTGTTAAGTCCTGTAAATCTTGATGACACTCTTGATGGTCTTGCGGCAGATCGGACACAGGTCCACCTGCTTGGCACAGGTCACGCAGGAGCAGACGTGGCCACAGTCGCAGAAGACGGCGTTTTGCTCCTCGGAATAGCAGATTTGGCAGAGATCCGTCTCTTCATCAGCCACCTCCCAGTAGCTGATACCCTTGCCGTGTCGCTTGCCATCCTTATAGCCGCCAACATACTTGTTGCCAGTCTTCTTTTCGACATAGGTGCCTTGTCCGTGGCGCACATCCTCGACCCAATCACCGTCATAAGTGTCACCTGTTGGATATTCCATCTTGCCTGGACCATGGCGCCGCCCGAAGACAAACTCGCCCTCATAGACGGTTCCCGTGCCTGAGAAGTGCTTGCCGTGGCCATGATAGAATCCCTTTAGGAATTCTCCGCTATAGTAGTCGCTAGTGAAAGTGGCCTCGACAGTCTTAGTACCGGTGAAGCCTTGAATCGGGTGTTCGCGCGACTCGGCCCACAGGTATTGGACCAGGCGATCAGGGCTGGAGAACAGGCCAGAGACGCCAAGCTGGGAGCGCTTGTCTCTGCTCAACTTGTCTCCCACGATGATACAAGAGCCGTGGGGAACGACAACATCTAGGAAATTATCGGCCGGGGACACGGTCGTCACGGTGGTGCCATCAACTCGCTTCCACATGAGGAAATCTCGGCGGATGGGCCACTTCAGGTGCTTCCGAATGGACGCCTTGACATTTGCCTCAAGCTTGGAGAAGAACGAGCCCACTGTACGGAGGACCTGATCGTCTGCGTCAAACACCTGGATGAAATAATACGCATGTCCGACTGGCAGTGTCACCTCGAGTTCGGTAGAGGTTGCAGTTGCCGGCTCTGGTACAGGTGTCTCGACAGGCGCAGATGTAGGGGCTGTACCAGAAGAGCTTGTTTCATGATTACCAGAGGAGATGCTATCCGTGATCTGCTGATCGTGGGCTGCAGCCACAGCAAGGACGGCATCATGCTCAGCCATCTCTTCCGCTAAGGCATCAATTTCGGGAGATGAGGTCGCAAGCGGGGGCGAAGAAGGTTCGTCGCTAGTGGTGTCCAGATCTTCGGCTGTGGTGACAACAGTCTCATGAACACCACTGGATGAACTGGCAACGGCGTCTCCATCGGGTCCAGTTGATTGTGGTTCAGGAGTGCCCGAAATAGCCCGCTCGATAATAGATTCCTCAGTCTTGTCTTCAGCTGCAGCCAATGAAGATGGATCCGGAATCGCAAAGAATTTGGCATCCTCTAGAATTGATACATTAGTGGAATCTTTCAAACACCAGACTTTTTCACTTACCTTCTGAGATCGTTTCCATCCAGAATCGCAGAGTACCACCGGATGTATTCAAGGGAACGTTCATGTCTGAGATCAGATCAAACGCAAGAGTGGGCCCGCATTGAGCACGAGTGTGCCCGATGTGCCAGAGACGTACGCGCTCTGGCCCAACAAGCTTCTCGCCCGCCGATTTCCACAAGGATATCTTCTTGCGGAGCTCAGCAATGCGGGACGAACGAGGCAGATTCATATACATGACACCGTTGACCTTCTTAGAGTGAGACATGAGATCGTAGGTGTCAAACAGGCTGTTCAGATGATCGTACTCAGTAGTCGAGTACACCTCGACCTGAATGTCGTCCTTCACTAGCGCCGCATCGTTTAATGGGGCAGACGGATAGACACCGGTCTCATAGTACTGTTTCAAAGGCTCTGAAACATTCCAAGGTCCCTGGGGACCAGGCAGGAGCTCTGTCACCATGTCACTGCGCACATATATGGCCACCACGGGCACATCATGGCCCTTCTTGTGGTCCACGGTCTGTGAAGCATCAATACCAAGATGAGGACCCATTGCAGTCTTTTGGGTCAAGCATTCAACGCGGTTGTCACTGCCATCGTCGAATGCCAGCCATTTGGTTCCTGGGCCGCCAGGACGAAGAATGCTGAAGAATTTGCCCGACGTGCGACGGCCGCGGTGAACAACGTAGCCATAAAGGACATATTTGCCGCTCTGACCGTCAGGCATAAAGGGCGCCAGATCTAATTCCTCGTCTAGGTCCACCTTGTTGAACTGTAACTGCCAGCGCATAGCCTTGTCCAAGGTATGGCGGCCAAGTTCCACATGAACAACAGGTGGGAGTGTCCAATAGCCAGGCTTCTTTTCCAGATATTTCTTCACAGCCTCGCCAGTGGACTTAACCTCGTCGGCCCGAACACAGATGCGAGAGTTGAAGTTTGTGGGAAGGGTGTTAACAGAGTCTGAGTTTGGAGATGGGCTGTCAAAGAGCTTGGCGAATTCCTTGCCAGCATCAGTGCCCGCGAGTTCGATCTCGAGCGTCCGACGGAGGCGTTCCCAGAACTCCGAAACATCACTCGAAAATTCACGCAGGTTGCGCAAGGTAGATGTAATGCCATCAGTATCAACATACTGAAGAGATTGAGTACGACGGCGCAACTGCCACAGGAGCCTCTGAAGAGCATCACACAAAGGCTTAGGCTTGACATCGCAGTTGGTAAGGTGTTCGAGAACATCCACCTTCTGGATAATCTTGCAGAATGGAGCAATGTGGAGCCACGAAGCCAGTCCAGCAACTTCGGCACTATGGTTGATCACTGAATCACCCAGAGGACGATAGCCAGTCAAGGCCAGGCTATCCCAGGTAGGTTCGGCGTCGCTTGGGTGCCACCATAATGATCGGGTTGGGTCATCGATCACACGGATATAGGCATCGAAGGCAAGGGTGTCATTGTTCAACAGCGCACGATGTTGGCCACGACGACGCTGATGAATCTGATCCCACGGGCCGTGGAAGTAAGTCCACCCCCAATCCAAGTTGTGAGGGTTGAACTGGTGGCACGAAGACTGCATCCACCCCGTCCGAGGCTCTTCGGGATTATACACGATAACACCGATCTGTGCCGCCACTCGCCACGGGCTAGCAGGGTCATCCTGGGTGATTCTGGGGGCCTCGGCCGTGGCAGGGTATTGAGACTTGAAGTCTTCCTGCCAGGCAGCGGCATCATTTGTTGCTGGGGTCTTCAATCTGACATCGGGGATACTATCTTTCAGACTGACATCGGGGGTGCTACGGCGAACCGTGAACTCGGTCTCGGGAAGTGTATCGTCCGAGGCGGGCAGAGTCGGGGAGCATTCAAGGTAAATGCTCAAAGAGCCAACGTTGTTGCCGCGAGGATAAAACTTGATTCGCCACCAGTAGCCTCCGATATAGGCGGCCGGGGATCGCATAACCTTGGCCCGATTGGGAGACTCTGGCGTACCCCGAATGCCCTTGATAGTCCACGTCACGCGGGCCTTCTCCCCAGGAGCATACTCGGGATCATCCAGGTCTCGAAAGAAGTTGTTCTCCCAATACGTGTCTGCCATGCTATCAGTAATCGGCTCAACTCATTTCGGGTTAGGTAGTTGGGGTCCAAGCTCACGATCACAAGCACTATAGTCGGCATCTGCTCCGTGGATCTCCTTCAGCTCCTCCTCATCTGGGGTAGTTGTGTCCTCTACGAACTCGGCCCAGTACGCATGTTCGATCTCTTCACCGGTTGCGGCAGTCGGTGGTGGCGTAGGAGCTCGAGGCTGGGACGGGCTAACAGTCTGTGACGTTTCAACGGCATTGACTGGAGGTTGAATCGAGGTATCATTTGTGACATTTGTGTCATTCGTGTTTGAGGGGTTCGAAATTGAATTAGGCGACTCCAGGTTGTCTCTCGTCTCGGAGACCGACCGGTTGTTCACCGGATCTGGAGAGGGATCCATAGCTGAAGTCCCGAGTCTTCGAGTCTTCGAGAGAATGAGGCGGATTGAATGACACAGTTCAAGGCAGATCAGACCAAATTAGAAGTTCGGGTCAAGACGGCGATCCACCGGAGAGATAAGGATGAATATGGCCTTCTATAATAGTCAAAAGAGAGTATATGGTGGGAAGTGAGAGAATTGGAAGATGGCAGAGAAGGAGAGGTGGGAGGTAAGAAAATGAAGAACTTAGAGAGTGTCGAGTGTCAAGTGTCAAGCGTCAAGTGAAAGTGGGAAGGGAGAAGCAGGGTGAGAACGAAAAAGAGAAAGATAAGAAGAGGCCGAAGTCCGGGGGTAGTGGGGCCGCGTTCTTTTCTCTTTCCTTTTCCCTTTTCCCTTTTATCTTTTTTCCTTTTTGGTGGTTTTGGGTTTTAGTCAATCGATCTATCGGTCTGGCCAACTCTTTCGATCTGTCTTCCCTGTCGCTTGTATCCCATCCCTTCGCTCATGTACCTACAGACATGATACATGTACATCTGTACTCCTCGCTACGCTACGACTACCAACTGGCGGTGACTTCCCCTCCTGATCGGCAATAGTGCAGTGGATCCTAGCTCCACTTAGGGAGCCAACCTTAAATGGGAATTACTAAATTCGGATGAATATTTAACATTCTCGAAAATCCTTTCCTTTGCCACCTATTTGCCACCTTAAGGGGCCCATAAACTGTATCCGATTATCCGGTTAGCCGACTATCCCTGCGATTGGCCTCGTCCCCTGTCTAAAGGCAAAAAAAAAAAAAGGGGGACGGATTCAGGCTACCTCTAGGGCCATAGCCACAAAGTCACTCCCCTGTTTGAGATGGGTATATTATGTATCTGGGCGTGTGTGTGCGGGTCATATGCTCTTCGGCATCGGTGCCGTCTCCATGTGTGGATATGGCATCTCCATCTCCCATCCTCCACGAAACCCTGGAGAATCGGGTGGAGTGTCAGTCGTGATTGTGGTGCTTGGTAACCAATCGTCGGGTCTCGTGGAACCCTGCATTGCCGCGTCGGCGATCCAACCATCTTCAGTTCTGAGTCGAGGTCTGCGGCGGGGCTGCCCGCGCAAACGAGGCCGCCACAATCAGTGGGAATACTGCGGTAGCCTCGGCGTACACCTTGACAGCCTGAGCGTCCGTCTTGATCTTGCCCCAACTCACAGCTTCGTCCGGTCGGGCTCCCGCATCACTGCCGTCAAACTCCTGCGCCGTGTTGACATAGACGGCGTGCTCGGCTCCGTTCCGCATGAGACATGCATTGGCGATGTGGTGCTTGACCACACCGCCGCCCAGGATGATCATGCCGGCCCGCGCCGCTCGCACCGCCATCGAGTTAATACGTCGCACATCGTCCACGATATCCACCCGGAGCCGCTGCGGCGATGACTTGTAGGTGTGGAAGTAGAGCATATCTCCCAGGGATCCATCGGTCAGAGCTGGGCAGAACACGGGGATGCTATTCTTAGCCGCCCAGTAGAGGACCGAGTCTTCGTTATTGATCTCCCTACCCAATCGTTCGGTGATGCGACTCGGTGTCCAGTGGAGCTCGTCCTCCTCGTTGCCCGTCCCCCGAGCCTTGAGTTTCGCCGCCTCTTGCTCCTCCAACATCGTATCCAGGAGTGGGACCACCCAATCCTCAAAGGCACAATAGTTGTTATTTGGCACCAGAAGATTGCCAATGCGGTTGAGACCCTTGGCCCGTAGGCCAGCACCGGGGGTTGAGAACGCCCCGAGGTAGGTCGGCGCTAGGCATTTGATAATATCCTCCTCAACACCACCTGCAGTGGTAACAATGGCCGATACGTGGTTGTGCTTAACGAGATAGCGGAGGGTGTCTCGAAGGCCGGAAGAGATCAGATTGGAGGTATATCCGAGGAAAATGGTGGTTTTCTCTCCAGTCTCGGGTTGGCGGAAAGCACGCTATAGAGATACACAATTTAGTACCCCAATCTCTGAAAAAAGTGTCCAATTGACCGAATCACAAGCGTACCATCTCGTTAATAATGCGAGCAGCCTCGGCAACGGCACTTCCCTGGAACCCAGTGTTGGTCAGATTATCGACCAGCTCAGCCACGGTGATGTCTCGACCCTGGAAACGATCAAAATCCACACCGGAAACTTCCTTAGTACCCTCGGGCATGGGCTCGGAGGCAAGCAGGACCGAGTCGGTCGCCGAGGCGGGGGGTGCGGAGACGGATTGGGAACTCATTGTGAACGAGAAGATGAAAAAGGAGAAAAGGGGGGGGGGGGAGGCGGATATTGATTGAGAAAGCGTTGTAGATTATGGGTGTAAGGAAAGCACCGTGTGCAAAGTTGGCTGGCTTTCTTTCACAATATTAGATGATGGAGGGGTTGTGTCCGGGCTGTCGGCGATATATTTTTTAAGTGGGGAAAATGTTATCGTCAGGCACGGGTTGACACCTGAGGCGACCAACGGTCTGATCGAGTCTGGGTGCTTTGAAAAGTGTCGTATATGCTAGAATATATGAACTTGAGACAATGAAAAATGGCATGTCTGTAGGGCTATCAATACTTTGTCGAATATTTTCGAGTCTAAGTTACTATTGATAACCTCGGGACAAACAATGAGAAGGTACCGAGTCTATACTAAGTCGAAATATAAGGACCACTCCCACGAATGGTCGGAAACGATCATTTAGAAAGACTTTGTCAGCTTACCATAATATGACCCATACGTAAAATATATTACTAACATAAGCCAAGTCTAGAGGGGAATATTGTAGGTGAGACCTTCAATGTTCGATATTGAAGCAGATCGTCTTTTCCCGATCGGGCACTTTCGAGACCCCGTTTCCGTGCAGCCGGGGCGCCCCTTCCCTGTGTCAGGTTCGCCGCACGTGATCTTCGAACTCGCGGTTATGGTCATAACTATGGCGTTTCCCAGTCATTCAATATGGCTTATTACTTCTGTACAAGAGGCACCACTGTCCCCCATATCCCACCTGCATATAGTGCATAGGTGCCTCGTTTATCAGCTGCAGTGAAGCTTACCTTTGGTGATCCCCGATTTAGGGGACCCATCTTCACGTGGCCCGTGCATACTCTGTCACGTGCAACCCACCCCCAATTAGTATTGGATTCTTCATTCCCTGAAGCTCTTCAACTCACCCGCTCCAGGTCATCCCAGAGCATGACCTGGTAATGTCGTCTCGATTCCCCCCTTCATCAGGGTTCAACTCCCGTGACCGCTCTCCACCGCGCTTCGGGGACCGTCGCGCACCTGCCGGTCCCCGTGGCCCCGATGACGGGAGTCCATCTTTTGACAGGGAGCCTCCTCGTGGCCCTCGCGCTCTGGTTGACTCTCCTCGAGGGGGTTTCGGTGGTGGCCGCGGACGCGGCTATGGCCGTGGTGACTTTAGAGACCGTGACCGTGACCGAGACATGCGAGACCGCGACCGCGACCGCGACTTTCGAGACAATCGCGATGCACCCCCATTCCGCCGCGACATGGACCGGGACTGGGGTCGCCGCGACCGTAACTTCGACCCTCGAGATGCGCCCCGAATGGGCTTTGGCCGCGGCCGATCACGTTCCCCTACACGCGACTTTCGTGACCTGAGAGATCCCCCCGGACGAGACTTCGACTTGGTTCGCATGCGACGCAATTCCCGTGATAGTTTATTATCGGCTTCATCAGGCGGCCCCGACGGTCCGCCCTCTAGTGGCGGTCACCCACGCGGTGGGTCTTTGCGAGGACGTGGACGTGGGGACTGGGAAGGAGGCCGAGGTCGAGGCCGTCCAACATACATGGATGACCGAGAACCGCCATTCCGACGAAGGAGTCGTTCCCGTGATGTATGGCGAGATCGGGGTCGGGATCGTCTGGCTGATCGTGACCGAGAGCGCGAGATGGATCGCGATCGTTTGCTCGACCGAGAGCGCGACCGGGATATTCGCGAGAGAGATCGAGATCGGGATCGCGACCCAGATCGACGGGACCGATTTGACCGACGGGATGACTGGGATTCTCGGCGCCCCGATCGTGAAGATCGGGAACGACCTTTAGAGCCCTGGAAGCGGGAACGACCCCCGAGCCGAGCCTCTAGTCGTGGTCCGATCAGCTTGATCAATTCTTCGAACCCCAATACCATGCCATTACCAACAGGGCCTCCTACGCAGGACCGATTGCCAGACCAGACCTTCTTAGATCAGGCCCGAAAAGCATCAATCGTCTCCGGCCCAGTCGGGATCGAAACTCGACGTGATAGCGAACGCTCGGAGCCTGCCCCTCTTCGCCCTGAAGCTCCCAAAGATCTGGAACCCATTGCCCAACACTCACCTCCTCCGTCCGCTCCTCAGGTTCCTGCTTTTGGCTCCGTATCCGCCCCCATCCTGCCTGCGCCGGCAGACAAAGGTCCATCCGAAGGGCGGCCGACCAATGATTCTTTCACATTAATTGAAAAAGATCGAACAGATGGACCACGCCGTCCATCATTGCAGCCTCCAACGGGACCGAGGGCTGAGCGAGTCGAACGGTCCCCAGATCCTACTTTCTATTCCTCGGATGGCGGCCACCAGCAAGATGAACCAATCCGTGCCTCCCAATCATCTACTCACCTCTCGGACCGATCTCCACCAACAGCTCCAGCAGCCATGGTCAAGCGTGATTCTATTTCTGGCCCTGGCGAAACACAGAGAATGACGAAGCCGACCTCAATGAACATGTCTCCCACCTTTGCACGACTTCCCCCACCGGGCTTGCGAGCCCCATCCAGGGAAACCTCCATCTCCCCAAGAATGCAGTCATCGACGATCCCCACGGGTCCACGGGCGTACCAAGCAAGGCCGGCCGCTTCACCGAGGGGACCGAATAAAGCTAACAAACCGTGGGCTCAACCAAACCCCAGCCGTGTGCCATCTGTCTCGATTTTGCCCCCCAAGAGGGATGCCGATGAATATGATGGCCCTCTTCCAGTCGACAACAAACCCCTTCAAAGTCACCGACCAAGCTCGCCGCCCCAGGGGCATGAACAGGAGACTCACAAGATGGCCACCGACGACACTGAAAAGCCTGCTTCTCCAAGTTCACCTTCCATGAAGCTTCCCATCCGTACCAGTCCGGCGCCGATGCCGGTTCCTACTGTGGAGGCTCTAAAGAAAGGAGATTCACAACAGGGTGAGAACCAAGACTCTGCTCCAATTCCCGACTTTGGGCAATCAAGTGAAGAAGAGGAAGAAGAGAATGTGGTTTTCAATCAAGAATACCTGGAGGAGCGAAAGCAGATTTTTGAACGAGACATGCAGCTCCTGCGAGCCGAGATGCCGCCACCCCCTCTAGAGGATCCCACCATTGTGTCTCTATTGCTTCGAATTCAATTGCTGGGCATGCTAGCTCACGGAGAGGGACAGCAGCAGCAGCAGCCGCCACCAGTTCCGCTTCCGCTTCCATCAGTCGAGCAGGAAGATGCTTCAAATGCTTCAGGTAATGAGCGTGTGGTAACTTTTGACCCATACCCCAAACCGGAGCAGCACGAGCCTGAGCCTCATGCAGAGGTTGTCATTCCGCCCGCAGAGTTGCATCCTGAAATCACGATTGAGAGTTTACCTTTTCTGAACTCTGGCCCTCCCACTCCTCTATCCGAGTTGGAAGTATGCCAAGAAAATGGTTCAATTCACGAGCGACTCAGAAACACCTTCTGCAGCGAGCTTTCCAAGAAACAGAAGGAAATCGCGAAGAAGAATGCCGTGCTTCGGGAAGAATACATGTCTTATTACAAGCCCTGGCGTTTGGCGATCTGGGAATTGGATCGCTTCAAGGACAAGAAGCCCATGACTCCGGGCCCACCATCGCCACCTGCCCCTCCCGCTCCTGTGTCCCCTGCACCCACCCAAGAAGGACGCGAGAGTCGACGATACAAGGGTAATAGTGAGCTTGACTTCCTCAATGCACTGAGAGCTTCCGAAATTTCTGCACAAGAGGAGCTAGAACGACGCAGAACCAAAATGGCGACTGCTCGCCCTGACCTGAGCCGCGAGGCAATCATTCCAGATATGCTGGAGCGTGAAGAGGAGATTGCGCGCATCTACAAAGATGTAAACAACGTCGTCGAAGCCCGTCATGCCTTGGATGTCTTTGGCTTTATACCTCCACGAAACGATTTCACTGAAAAGGAACACGAGATCTTCACCAATGCCTTTATGGCGCACCCCAAGAAATGGGGTAAGATTGCCGAGTCTTTGCCTGGTCGTACATTCAAGCAGTGTATCATCCACTACTATCTCACCAAGGAAGAGATCAAGTACAAAGCGAAGCTCAACAAGCGGTGGAGCCGTCGCGGCAGAGGGAAACAGAAGTCCACCCGGCCTAAATCCAATGCCCTCATAGCCGATTTGGGTGTAGTCAAGCCAGACTTTGATGGTGAGGAGGAGCCTGCTCCTGTGACCGACACTGGACGTCCAAGACGTGCAGCAGCTCCGACTTTTGGTGAGTATAATGAACCCGAAGGTTCTGTCACCGGACGCCGAGGCCAGATAAGCAAGGATGGCGAACTCATTGAGAAGCCTGCATCTAGGCGCGGTGGTCGAACGGCTGGAGGCACTCGGGGCCAACGCCGTGGGAGGACTACCCAGCCAGATCAGAAATCACAGGGACCAACTCCGCAAAGCACTACCCCCATTACTGTCATGCCACAGATGGATCTTAATGCGGATGTGATGGTAGAGAGTATCATGCCCCAGGACCGAGAGCTCATCGAAAAGGAACTCAACCCGCAAATGTCGCGTGCCAGGACAATCCGGGGGAGAGCTAAGGAGGGTATGTACGTCTTCGATACAACTGAAGCGGAGACTATCATGCCAGCGAAACCGATGGAGACTGGATATGGAGGTATGCAACCGACCAGCTACTGGTCTGTACCGGAACAACGTGATTTCCCTCGGTTGCTCGCACACTTTGGACGTGACTTTGAGGGGATTTCGAACTTCATGAAGACCAAGACAACGGTTATGGTACGTTTATCGTCTTTGAATCCGTTATGGGGCCTTTCTCATGCTAACCGAGAAATGCAGGTAAAAAATTACTACCAGCGCCGGCTTGATTCGGGGCAAAAAGATTTCGAGGAGACTCTCCTGATTGCCGAGGAAAAGAAAGCTCGCGGCGAGCCAACTGGTGCTTTGCCAGTGCCCACCTCTGCACCCAAACGCCGATATGAGGCCACACCTTCAGCCATTGTTCCTCGTCCTCTTGCTCCCCATGGGGATTTGATGACCGAGACCGACGAGGCACGGTTTTCGTCCAAGGGCAAGCCTCTCGCTATGTCACCTCAGCCCATGCCTCTTCATGGTCGACCTATGTCTGACAGCGAAAGGGGCCCGAGCCGCTACCCGGCTCTTGCGCAAGCATCTAACGCTGGTCCAGTGCCGGGCGTGGCTTCTACTCTTAGCGAGGATGCCTCTCGGGCGATGCGCGCTCAGCCCGGTGCAGCCCATCGGGTACAAGGACCGCGTCTTGGGTACTTCACTGAAGACCGCCGGGATTCTATGATGGGGCACTCAAATTCTCGAGCTCAAGACATGCAAATCCTGTCGCGACATAACCCGGGGGCACCTATGCCACCAGACTTGGCCCGTATGGATCCTCTATCCGCTCAGGGCTACATGTCTACCCAACAACCGCCATCCCTCCTTCCTCCGTCGCATTCACGCCACCCGAGTCTGACTCAAGCGCCGGGATCACCGACACAACTTGCTCGGCCCGAGCTCGATATTTCTTCTGTTCACCGTGACCCCTTCGGTCAGAGACAATACTATCAGCTTCCCGGCCAGCCAGTTGGCCTCGCTCAATCACCACGGCCTGTTCTATCCCCCGTCAAAGACTCTCCTCGCCCGAGCGTCACTCCGATTCCGGAGCCAACCTCTCGCCAGGTTCCAGCGAAGCGCTCCAACATCATGAGCATTCTCAATGACGAGCCGGAGGATCCCCAACCACGGAAGCGGTTCGCTAGTGAACAGACAACTTCTGTCCCTGTTTCTAGCTCCTCTGTATCGAGATCCACGTACCAACATGCTGGCCCTGCTCGCCCTGACGAGGCGCTCATTTCAAGTGCTGGGCCAAAGCCATTAAGCTATTCTCAACAGAATCAATATGTAACACCTTCGCGCGGTTATCCGGAATACTCGAACTACGGGCCTCCCGGAGGAGCATCAGGGGCATCAGCGAACAATGATTGGATGGCACGGTTTGATCCTCGGGCACAACAAGCTGGCCCGCCCTCACAATCACAACCCCCGCCGCCGCCGCTAAGTGGTCGTGCATCGACATCAGTAGCTCCTCAGAGCTCCTTCTCGCCCTACACATCCGCTCCATCGCAGCCGTCAGCTTCATTGGGCAACCGCTCCGCTCCCTCACCCGCTCCAACACCGCCGCCGTCTTCCCAACGTTCCTCTTACCCCAATGTCTTCTCGCAGCCCGCTCCTGCACCATCTGGATCTCGTGATATGCCCTCCCAGTCATCTGTCTATCGCCCAAGTTCTCCTCCATCGCGGGCTAGCAGTGTTGCTTTTGGCTCCCGACAGGAACAATCGACGCCTGTCCAGTCTTCGGCCAACCTATTTGGCCTCACACCCCGCCAGTCAGCCTCGCAGTCCTCTTATGCGCCGGCCGCGCCATCCACTCCCGCTTCATCACAAGCGCACAACCAGAGCTATCAGCAACACGTGCAGACCATGGTCAATGGCTCACACCAATCGCACCGCTCGACCCCTGTCGGCCTGGCTGGCGGGCCTCCTCAGTATGGACATAGCACTCCTCCACCCCAGGCACAGGGCGGCCGATCAATGCCGTCACTTGCGACTCTCGGTCGCTCATACACTCCACCTGCAGTGATGCACCCTCCTGGGAGCGGGATGGGCTATGCGCCACCTCCGCCGGCGACATCAGGCCCGATTCCGCCCCTTCAACGGACATCCGGTCCAGGCTCGCTGGGCGAGCCTCCGTCCGCGCCGACGCATCATCGTGTCTACAGTCAAGGGTCGTCACAAGGTGGAATGCCAGGGTCGTTGCATCCACCTTCGCAACCGCCTCGCTAAGCACAGATCTTGCCTGGTTTGATGAACATCTCTTGATTATGAGTCTTTCTCATCTTCTGGTAGTGTGAAATAGCTGGATGTTATTTATGTCGTCCATCGTCCATCTTTTTGGCACATATGCCTGATCGGACCATGCTTTGTTTTTTAATGTACAATTAGATAAATGATTGATGTATGTCATGTGTTTGATAATTTTTTTCTAGTAGCTGGTTTTACAGAAAACCTAGCCTGAACGTCATAGCTCAAGCTCCGACTAACGGTCCAACTGATTCATGTGACTCGGAAGATTCCACTCATCGTAATCCAGGTGCACAAAGGCACGGTCCACGGTGGGCACGCTCTCGAGAATGTACTGCAAGCTTTCACCGACATCGTGAGCGTCTCGTAGACTAGTGTGCTCGTGGACGACTAGATCAACTTCGACGTTGAGCTTGTCCCCTGCGTAGTATGCTTTGAGGTCTTGGATTTTCCGAATGACATGAGAGAAACGCATTGTCATGTAGAGCAATATGCTATGGTCTGTGGGTGACGCAGCTGCTCCCGTCAATCGATGAATGTACTCGCCTGCTGTCCAGCCCCAGTTCCACATGATGTACACCGAGAGGAGCAAACCACCGAGTGGATCAAGAAACCAGGAATTAGTGAACGATCCAACTGTTATCAATGATAGTCAGCATTCGGGCATTTCTTATGGGAGCAGGAACGAGGGTAATTTCATACCGAGTGGAAAGATGATACTGAAGGTGTTGAATACAACATCTGTCATTGCGTCTTGGGCCAGCACCTGGACACCGGGACTAGGAATAAGGCGACACCAAACCCAGCAAAACAACTTGACCAAGACGGTTCCTGCCATCAAACATATGGAGGGAATCGAGAGCTCTACCACCGTACGGTCATCTCCAGCGAGTTTGTTAAAAGAGGTCAACCCCACCTGGAAGAACGAAGTGACCATGATGACCGAGAAGACCAAGACACTCACTGGCTCCAAACGTCGGCGACTGACGGGATACTGGTTGCGGTCTTGGCGGCGGATCATAACAGCGGTGACCCAGACAATGACCGTACTGAGGAAATCCAGGACGCCATCAACTAGGCCTGCTAGCATTGACATAGAGCTGATTAGCACTATGATGGCTATCTTGGATCCCAGCAGTGCAACATTAGCAGCGAAGTTGATACGGATGGCCAAGTTGATTAAATGCTCTTCCTTCTCAGGGGGACATCCCGCCATGCGATTCGAAATCGGGCATGGGATGAGTGGCTTCCAGCTCGCTGGAAGATTGAAGCAAGGGCGCTGTTTCATCGGGGATCCGATAGAGATTATGCGGGGTGCGCTTGATCCGGGTGGCCTTGGAATCAGGCTGTTCGGTCGACTCCGGCGGGCTGTCCGGAGGAGATTGGTGGATATGGTTCCCGGATGCATCGAAATGGCGGCATTCATTATAGTCCTCGATGAGATTGTGGGGAAGCGACGAGTCCAGGAGGCGATCAATGTAGAGATATTGGGAGATTAACGAGTTGTTGCGCTCATAGTACTGTCGTCTATGGTAAAGGATTAGAGATGGGCATCGGGGATACGCGTCCTACATACACAGATCTTCGAAGTTTTTTCAACGACTCCGGTGGTCGATAGTAACGTTGCCTGTACTGGAATCAGCGGGGAACGCTAGAGAGCAATCATGCCACACACCATTCGTAGCGGGGGTTGCTGTGTCCAATCAACAGGGATCCGCGTCGGAAAAAAGTTGGCGGCGAGCTTATCTCATCGTTCAAGTCGCGCAATGCCGTAGAAGACGTGCGGCTGGGCAAGAACGTCAAGATGCGCTGTTGACCTCTGGTCGATAATATCTCACGCTCAGGATCTAAGCTCGGACGGCGTGGTTGGAGCCGGGGCGATGCCGGAGGCGAGGATAAGGGAAGAAAGGGCTGGGAAGACATGGCAGGATGCTGGGTACTGGTCGCCAAGATACGGCGAAGACGCCGATGAGGTTGTTTTGCACGTTGTACGTTGCGCGTTGCATCGGCGGGACGTGGTGACAATCGATGCCCTGTTCCTCAGGCCAACAGGCGGCCACTGCACCGCATGAATTGCGATTGCCCATTATTCAGTGTTTAAGAAATAATATGTCAGATAGGACTAATCAATGTTCGAGGTTCCGGGATCTGGGCAAGTTTCATTGTCAACTGCAGCCGATTCAACTTGGGCTTCGTATAAAAGGAATGATGGCAACATCCGTCCTTAATTCTTGTTAAACATAGTCTTGGGGGCTATCTGGTCATCGTGTCTTGGAGTGACGTATCTTCAGTATTGCAATAGAGCGTCTCGGTATTCCTGGATAGCCAGACACACACCGCGCAGTCTCATTCATCCTCTCCTGTAATCCCATGCACTAAAGATGTTGGATCCCATTCTGCAACCCCGACCTTCTTCGTCAAGAGCGAGGTATCCAGGAGCATCGAGTTCTAAACGTCTCCGAAAATACGTAGATACAACGCCCGGAGGCATTGCGCGTTCGCTAAAGGCAGTATTCGGGATATCCAGAGTTGGCGTACCCATTTCCATACGGTAACGATCAGTAAACAGTTTCATAGCCGAAAGAAGAATCCCGGGCGTATTGAAGAGGGTCTGATTTGATGGATTGGAAAGGTTCAAAAGACGTCTAAAAGAAAGGTGTTGAGAAGGACCAAGAGAACAGAGTCTTTAAGCCTCAGTAGCTGAACCACTGAAACTTCGCTCCTTTTCCAGCGGTCACAACATGATTACAGCAGCAGCAGCAGCAACTGCACAACCCGAAATCGCTTTTATTTCAGGGCCCATCGACACTGGACTTGATAAATCCTACTTCCACATCCACTACGTCCCTCGTATTCAGCAGGCCCTCGAGCGCGGCGACCACTTCGTGATCGGACCCATCCCGACCGGAGTGGATGCGGACGCCCTCGCGTACCTCCTTGCGTACCCCGTGTCGCCCACGCGAATCGCCATCTTTGTGACCGCAGCCGAGCAGGAGATGTGGGGGGCGCACTTTCGCGCATCCGGGGTCCATGTGCACGTCGTTGATGGGCAGATGAGCAGCGAGCGTGACGCTGCGCTGACCCATTCCAGCACGTATGACATCTTGCGGGTGCGGACCAGGAAAGAAGCAAAAGCGTTTTACGGCAAATTCTTTCGTGATGGCCACGTCACCAACACAGAGCGCAATTGGAAGCGTCGACGCGGCATGGCGGAGGACGAGATCGTTGGGCTGGACACGATCAATCAATTGGATTCTCCTACGGACTCTCGGAAGCCCCAGAGTGCCTGGCGAAGTTGGGCAGCGGCATGGGGCCGTCGATGCTAGCTGCCTAGCTACCTAGGCGCCAGGTTCGAAAGACTTGAGGCACGAGGAAAATAGCTGAGATGTGTCCGGTACGAGCACTTATTCCACGCTTCCCGCCTGGGAAGCCGGGAGGTCTCTCTGTCCGAGCTACGTCAGGTATCGGATGGGGGGCCACAAGTACTTGATCAACATGTCCAGAGGGTAGATAGCACCGAAATGTAAGAGATATAGAGCATTACAAGCATTCCGAGGGCTTTGTACCAGATCCACAAAGGTGTACCGTTGAGCCGGAGCGGTGATTTCACCCGCTTCATTCCGCCCCAGCTTGGGGAATAGAGACGGGAATGGCTTGCCGAAGTAACTAGGATGGCACGGACCTTCGACCTTCGACCTTCGACCTTCGACCCTTTGACCTTTGACCCTCGACTTTCGTTACCGGTGAAGCAACCGAGGAATGGACACAAAACCTGGGGTCGCGGAGGGTTCATTCCGCAGGTCCGCGGTGGGGCCCCGCAAGTAAATGCACCAAGTGGGACTGTGACGGGCCCCGGAATTGCCTTCATCTCCCATGTAACTGGTTCCATGAGAGAGGCACGAGGCAAATGTACGCCGCCAATAGCCTGCATGATGCTTTCTTCGGAAATGCGCCGTTCGGATCCCGATATTTAAGATCGTCCTTGGATGTCGGTTTCGTCGTCAACCATCACTATGTCGTTCCAAACGCTGGCCGTCGCCGTGATCACGGTCGTCTACTTCGTCATTCGCTACTTCAACCGCACGGATGTGCCTAAGATCAAGGGGTTACCGGAAATCCCTGGGGTGCCCCTCTTCGGAAACTTGCTGCAGTTGGGCAACCAACACGCTACAGTAACAGCCAAATGGGCAAAGAAGTTCGGCCCCGTCTTCCAGGTGCGCATGGGAAACAAGGTAACGAGATCCCCCAATAGGAGATAAGCGAGCGAAGATTAATTCTGGATAGCGCATCATCTTTGCCAATAGCTTTGATTCGGTGCGCCAAATGTGGATTAAGGACCAGTCAGCTCTGATTTCGCGACCGACTTTCCATACGTTCCATAGCGTTGTGTCCAGCTCCCAGGGATTCACCATCGGTACTTCTCCGTGGGATGAATCCTGCAAGCGGCGCCGCAAGGCCGCTGCCACAGCCTTGAACCGACCGGCGACACAGTCTTATATGCCCATCATCGACCTCGAAGCCAACACTAGCATCAAGGAGCTGTATCGGGATAGCAAGAACGGCACTCTTGACGTGAACCCGACCGCATACTTCCAACGATTTGCGCTCAACACCAGTCTGACTCTCAACTATGGCTTTCGCATTGAGGGCAACGTGAATGATCAACTTCTGAAGGAAATTTGTGACGTTGAGCGTGGCGTGTCCAACTTCCGCAGCACGTCCAATAACTGGCAGGATTACATTCCTCTGTTGCGCATTCTGCCCAAGATGAACAACGAAGCCCAGGAGTTCCGGGCTCGTCGTGACAAGTATCTGACCTTCCTTCTGGACATGTTGAAAGACCGTATCGCCAAGGGCACAGACAAGCCCTGTATCACGGGTAATATTCTCAAGGACCCTGAGGCTAAGCTGAATGATGGTAAATACCGCCATAAAACCTATACGAAACAACATGCTAACTGGTGTCACAGCCGAGGTGAAATCGATCTGTCTGACCATGGTGTCTGCCGGTCTGGATACCGTTCCGGGAAATCTGATCATGGGTATCGCGTATCTGGCGTCGGAAGATGGTCAGCGGATCCAGAAGAAGGCATACGAGGAGATCATGAAGGTTTATCCGGATGGTGATGCCTGGGAGAAATGCTTGGTTGAAGAGAAGGTGCCCTATGTGACTGCCCTTGTCAAGGAAGTTCTCCGATTCTGGACCGTCATTCCTATCTGTCTGCCTCGCGAGAGCACCAAGGATATCCAATGGAAGGGAGCTACCATCCCCGCCGGCACCACCTTTTTCATGGTGAGCTCCGTCTTCGCGTTCCGATCTTCGAGACCGTGCTAACCCCACTGTAGAATGCTTATGCCGCCGACTATGACGAGGATCACTTTAAAAATGCGACTCAATTCATCCCCGAACGCTACCTAGAGCTTGGGGACGCATCTGGCACTCCTCACTATGGATACGGTGCAGGATCCCGCATGTGTGCAGGCTCCCATCTGGCGAACCGAGAGCTTTTCACGGCGTTCCTGCGCTTGATCACTGCATTCAAGATGTACCCGGCCAAGGAAGCCGAAGACCGACCAATCCTGGATTCAATCGAGTGCAACTCTATCCCAACGGCCTTGACCACAGAGCCTAAGCCGTTCAAGGTGGGCTTCGTTGCGCGCGATCCCAAGAAATTAGAGCAGTGGATTGCGGAAAGTGACGAACGCACTAAGGATTTGTGAATTTGCCGACACATTGTGCCGATATTTTATACATTTCCTTGATGACAGAGCGGATTGAGGAGATTGACGGATTTGTACATACTACTGGAATGGAAAAGCCCATGGAGAAGAGTGTAAACACTGGCCGAATTCTTTAGCACCACATGTGATAAAGACCTGAAAGATAATCATGGCGCGTATGAGTCGTCACTAAGTAGTTAGTGAGTAGCCAGTAAGCGGTTAGTGAGTGGTCAGTGAGTTGGTAATTCCCTGAATTTGAGCATCGGTGACCAAATACGTAGCTCTTATTCAGTGCCAGGTGCTAAACCTAAACCCCGGCGCCACCGCGCGCCAATTCCGGGGCTCTGTTAACCCCCCCGCACTTTTCCTCTTTTCTCTCTCGATCTCTGCCATCTTTTTCGAGCAAACTACAAAATGGACTTGCAGTTGGAATGGGAGAACGCAGCCTCGGCGGAGGATATACCGGATGACCGATCGCGTAAGAAACGACGAAAGTACATTGCTCGAGCTTGGTACGTTTTCTCGATGTTGCGCTGAACTAGAATCTCATTTCTTGACAGCAACGAATGCAAGCGCCGCAAAATCAAGTGCAATGGTCAAACACCGTGTCATCGTTGCGGGAGGCAGCACATCGACTGCGTTTACGTGGAAAACCCCCGCCGCGACAGCGTCGGCGAACAAGAGTGAGGAAACCCGTTGAATCGCCCAGTTACGCGCACTGACGGAAACAGGAATTTTGAGCGACTCTTTGACCAAATGAAGTTGATGCAGGATCAAATCCTCTCACTGTCGGCGGCTGTGCGGTCAATGGCGAATAGCGACAGCTCGCCAGTAGGCCGGTCAAGTGTCGTCGGTCCAGCAGGCGGGTCGTACGGGATGTTGCCAACGCAGCGGTCGCTACGACGAGTGTCCACGAGGGCGACGCCCTTTCAGGGCCCAACCACGTCGGCATTTAGCTTTGATCTGGCCAAATCCAGCCTGCAGCAACGAGGGATCGTTGAGCGCAATGAAGCCGGTGACGAGGATCTGACCCAGGAGCCATCGCCACTCGCTTCACCGTCTGCTCCACATCACGACTCGGAAGTCCGCCAAGCGGTTGATCCGCTTTGGGCCCTTCCCAAAACCGAGGCTTTGCGCCTTTGTCAGGTATACGAGGAGGAGATGGGGATCATGTATCCGGTGCTGGAGCTTCCAGAGCTTTTGGATCAGGTCGAGTTTCTTTATGGCATGATGGATCATTCAGTCAGCCCGGAGGCCCAAATTCGACAGCGGAATGCACTGGATCGGGAAGATGTATACATTCTTCGATTAGTTTTTGCATGTGCCTTGACGGCGGAAGCCAGCGGTCGCAGTGAGCAAGCCATCGCATTGTTCGACAGTGTTCGCGAAGTTCAGGACAACTGTGTTTGGGGACCACCCGAGATCAAGAGCATCATTTTTCTCACACTGGTAGTATGTGAGCAATGAAGAATCCGGATACGAACTATGCTAATAGGTCTGATAGTCGATCTTTTATTTTCAAATGGACGAAGAGACACTTGCCTGGCGAACCATCGGGATCGTGGAGCGCATGTGTTTGGAGAAAGGTCTTCATCGACGCGAAACACTAAGTCAACCAGCTATCGTGGCCGGAGACAAGGAGCGAATTCTACGACTCTTCTGGTCAATTTACGTACTTGACATGCGCTGGAGTTTTGGAACGGGGATGCCATTCGCCCTGGAGGACTCGGACATCGACCCCTGGTTGCCCGAGCCAGAGCAGAAAACCCCATATCTGCGGGTCATGATTCGCTACAGCCGAATAGCAGCTAAGGTCTGGAAATTCATCTCAGCTTTCAACAACACAAATGAAATTAAAAAGGATGAAATGAACTATTTGGATTGGCAGGTGCTGCGCTGGGTACGTGACATTCCCGATGAATTACGCCTGGATCACAATAGCACACCCGAGTATGGTGACAGCGCAGAAGGTCCACGAAGCCTCCGGCGCCTTCGTGGGCTTCTGTATCTACGCGCAAACCAGCTTCGTATGCTCATTTATCGCCCCGTTCTGCATACCGCCGGGCACATTGCCCGGTATCCGGCCGAGTCGGAGACGGTCGTCAGCCTCGCCAAGGACACGATCCGCTTCATCACCCGACTCAACGAGACCTCGGACATCTATCAACTCCAGCAGGTGGCCTTCAACTGGTTCCTGGTATCTGCACTGGCAGTCCTGTTCCTTGCTGTGTCTCAGGCCCCGTCCCAGTTCAGTGGATCGTGCAAGGAGGAATTCTACTGGGCATTGGAGCTAGTCAAGGGATTCTCAACCAAGTCATATATCTCTCGACGCCTCTGGAAATCGATCCGAAGTCTTCGCAAGCTTGGCCCCGAATTGGGACTAGGAGTTCAGAAACTCCGGCCAGCCGTGGAGCCCTCAGAGCCGGGGCCCTCCCGCCCACAGGGATCGCTTCTTCCCGCGACAGGTTCCAGCCAAACTCCATTAGACGGAGCACAGATGACACAAGAGCTAATGGGATGGTTCGAAGCAGTTGGGAACTTGGAAGATCAGATCATGGGAATCGGGAAAGATATGGGTCCGGTGCCGGATGAAATCCCCTGGCAACAACTGCCTAACGGAGGCTTTACGTTTGACTACGGAGGAGAATTATCAAGTGTGATGAAGGACTGCTTCTAACCATGCCATGAAAAAGGATATAGCTAGGTAGGTATTGAGAAATAGATTTCAAGAAGACCATCCCTTGAACCTTGCATGTGGTGTGGCATACCTAGAACTGTAAGTTACATGTTACTTGATCGCAACTCCTGCAGATCCTGAGATGTCCAATCTGTCACCAGCATATGGCCAGGCTCATGAGCGAATATCAGTCCATTGATATGATGACCTGCGGATTCAACCGCCATCTGAGGTGTGACGCCGCATGCCTAGACGAATATCAGTGCGGGCACCTCGAGGGGAACTAGTAGGGTCGACTGACCCAAAACACGGGAACTTCCCCCTCCCGAAAGACTTGCGGCTCTCCAAAATCCGGTTGACCAACATCGAAGATTCCTAGCTGTTTAGCCCCGTCCCATCCCCAAGCCACCGGCTCACCATGAGTGGAGAGATACGGCCGGGTCACCTCTCGCACCTGTTCTATCTGATCTGGCTTATACGGCCGCATAGAGACAATGCAATGCGCCCCAGTGAAAATTCCTGCGGGTAAAAGCGGAATATTTGATCGATACATCGCGACTATCGATCCAGTCTCCTGATGACGTGGTTGGAGGCCTGCGGCCGTCAAAGCATCCTCGAAGGAAAAAGAGCACCCGATGAGAAAACCCACATGGTCTGAGGTCCATACATCGAGGAGGTCACTGCGACCCTCAATGAATTTTCCGTATTTGTAAATACGGTACTGGGGGAAATCCGTCCTTAGGTCGAAATCCGCAGACCGAATACATCCTGCGGGCTTGATCGTGTATGGGTCACCAGGAGTGACCGACATGCCTAGCAAAGGGCATGATACTGGGTTGCGCAGACAAAGATCTTGAAAATCGGGGGCATATCTGGCAGGTAAAACCAGCAAATTGGCTTGGAGATAGCCCGGGGCGATGCCAGACGTATTGGTCAGGCGGTTCTGGCGACAAAGTATGCGCGCCTGAGATGCTAGGTCGATACTCCCCATGATGCACATACGAACCTATGGAAGAACACGGGCTGATACTGATGCATCCGCCTCTACAGATTTAACATCGAAGGAACCCCTCGGTTATACAAGTTGCACGACTTCCGTAGTGATTGTGCCTCCCGTCGGGATCCACTTGCCGATGGTCTGGGGAAGGTTGGGAGTCTCTCCACATCCATAGAGGCTATCAATACCAATCAACAAATCCGGTTGAAAGGGTAATCACTGTGGCCTGCCTTATCTAGGCATGATCCACATGATAAGCGCAGAGGCTTGACACACAAGTGGCAATTCTGCCGATGATCTACCACCTTATCAACGCTTTCGGCCCGATGCCCCCCCCTCACCGGAGTCAGTCCGACCTAGTTATCCAGGGGGTCTGGATGGCTGGAGATATGCATGAACCCGCTCTCCATTATCTCGCATGGCGATATATCCGCTTGCTATCCTTTTAGCCATGCGACAGTATTGCCAAACTTTCCTTGGATCTCTATAGTCGATCGAAGACAACTGTTTCAAAAAGTTCTCTCGCATTCGGACAATTGAGAATCTGACCCGATGACCGCTGATATTCATGAGAACGGGACTCCTTTAGAGCAGAGGCTGTCTGTTCAAAAATCAGTTGACCACGAAATGCCAGATGACTCCTCTGCTGGCGAGACTCTGGATGTCGTCCTTGATCCTGAGATGGAGAGAAAGTTGCTGGTCAAATTGGATTTTGCATTCGTACCTATCATCATGCTCACCTACTTGTCATGTTTCCTGGATAGATCCAATATCGGTATGAAGACTAGCGACCTACCTTACGAGCATGAAAACTAATTGTCCCCACAGGGAATGTCAAGGTAGCCGGTATGCCAGAAGATATCAACGCCTCGGACACCCAGTTTTCAACCGCAGTATCTATCTTCTATGTGACATACGTCTTGTTTGAATCGCCATGGGCTGTGCTCATGAAGAAACTAACGCCGCGAAACATCTTAACTGGGCTCTGTATTGTCTGGTCCTTGACCACAATCTTCACTGGCTTCATCGAATCCGTCGGCTCGCTGTATGCCACTCGACTCATTCTGGGTGCCTGTGAAGCGGGGCTTTTCCCTTGCCTGAACCTGTATCTGACCATGGTTTATCGGCGCGAGGAACAGGCGAAGCGTGTGTCCTACCTGATGAGCTGTGCTGCTATCTCGGGAGCCGTTGGTGGTCTTTTGGCATATGGACTGTTGCAGATGGATGGTATTGGAGGTAAAGCAGGCTGGAGGTATGTACACTGGGTATTCAATGCACCAGTATGACACAAAATAGCGGCTGACATACCCTAGATGGGTTTACATCATCGAGGGATTGTTCAGTGCAATCTGCGCCATTTTGATTTGGTTTGGACTCCCGAACAACCCGGCAGAGGCCTACTTTCTTACAGAGGAGGAAAGGTGGATGATGCGCGTCCGGAACGAGCAACGGCGGAAGTATATGGGCAGTGAGAAATTTAGCTGGGAAGAAATGCGCATTGCCTTTGGGGACCCCAAGCTCTTCTTCTCCGGGGTAATCCAGTTCTGCCAGGACATTCTTCTATATGGGTTCAGTACATTCTTGCCCACTATTCTACAAGGCATGGGGTACAATTCCTTGATGAGCAATGTCTTGACTGTTCCAGTCTATATCTGGGCCGCTATCGTTTTCATCTCGGTTGCCTTTTGTTCGGATAGATATTCGAAGTTTGCATCGGTGCGAGAGACTCTCAAGATATTCTAGGGAACATGAGACTGACGCATCTTTAGTTCATTTTCGCCGCCAACATATTTGGGGTAATTGGGTACATCCTGCTGTTGGTGGTCGAGAACACTGCTGTCAAGTACTTTGCGACATTCTTGATTGGCATCACTACCTACACCGGCGTCGGCCTCAATGTTGCTTGGCTAAATGTTAATATTGCACCGCAATATAGAAGGGCCCTAGAAATTGGCCTGCAACAGACAATGGGTAATTGTGCTGGTATCGTGGCTGGTCAGATTTATCGTCAGTCCCCGTACGTGTTGGGGAACGCCTTTTCTCTAGGAGCGCTGGTGGTAGCACAGGTAGCTGTCGCTGGGTACGGACTGTACTTGCGGCGTGAGAACAAGCTGAAAGACCAGATTCTCAACGGAGAAAAAGACGATACCCGACGTATTCGGTCGGGTGATGGTGCCGTGGACTTTAAGTATCACTACTGAGCTAGAGGTTTGAGTGTCCATTTCCACAATGAAGTTCTAGCCTTTGGCATGTCTTACAATAATTATTATATCATTATTAATGCTGCAACAATTAGAATCATCTCATTTTCCTTTCGCATCTTTCCGAACAAGACGAGTCTCGACGCTGTGTCAGGAAAGGTCGAACTATCGCATCTGATTGGTCAACCGCGGCGGGCATCAAATGAATGACGCAGACGACCCTTGAACCAGGTATATAGAGACACTATAGTCTAGAATAGGGGAAACATACTTCAAACTCCTTCAAAAAAAGTTAAACAAGGAGCCCTATGTTCTGAACGAAGTTTTCCAAGTTTGCATAATCCCTTTCGAGGCTTCACCAACAACCTTTACAACTTTCGATTAGTTCAGCTTGGAACCGCTATAACCCCGACGTTATGGGTCTTTGTATGTCATTCCCTCGCCAAAATCGCTATCCAACCATGGGTATGGGTGGCATGGGAGGGATGAGTGGCTTTGGTGCACCTCATCGTCGCTATCATGGTGGTGGGATGGGAATGGGTGGGATGGGAATGGGTGGGATGGGAATGGGCGGGATGGGAATGGGCGGGATGGGAATGGGCGGTGGATATGGATATGGCGGAGGGATGGGTGGTCCTCTTGGTGGTGGGTATGGACGATATGGAGGGAGATATGGAGGAGGCCACGGTGGAGGCTTTGGCGGAGGATTCGGTGGTCGACCTGGCTTCGGTCCCGGTGGTGGATGTGGCCCCGGAGGTGGCCGCCGTGGTCGGCGTTGGTGAAATCTACGGGTAAATGGGGTTGGCCAATCGTTTGAGAAAAATGGGATAATATGATTCTCACGAGAGATACAATGTGTGGCCGATGCTAGAATGCAATTATTTTAAATCCTTGCCATCAATCAAGAAACCTTCGAACTTCACCTAAACCATCTCGCCAATTGCAAATATCCCAATAAATTATCGTCGATTACTGATGTTGGATTTTATCATTTGCATGCTGCAAGGCTTGGCTACATATCGGTTTGTATCGTGTTTCAGCTTGCACATGTGTGTTTTGCGTATCCCATAGTTGTGCTCGGCCGATTTCGGTCCACGTGATTCCACCTGTGCTTGCCCAGCTGCACACGTGCATCCTTGCGCTTCTTTTATCCATCGCATAACATCTCAGCCTTGGGTCGATGAGACTATCCCCGTGTACAGAAAATAGCACAGGGGATGTCACGCCGATCCGAAACTTGATTCCGCCCCGCCCCGACTACCGGAGACCTCGACGGCGGCCAGCCCATCTGCGCACCACAACAGGCTGTCTGACCTGTAAGCAGCCCTAGACATCGTGGTATCAGACCACCCGCTCATATAACCTGCAAGATCTGATGGAAAATACTAGGTCGCAAACGGAAGAAAAAGTGCGATGAGACTCGTTTACAATGTCTGAACTGCGCCAAACGAGATCTCGACTGCGTCTGGCAATCAGACATCCAACACGAATCGTCGAGCTTACAGCAATGTTCGTTCAGTGAAACATCTCCGGCGACAGTCTCTACTGTGGCTCAGGTCCTCAGCCATTGTCCGAGTTCACGGCTTGACAGAGCTTGGAAACATTCCGTGCAGTTACCAGTCGCGGTAAGCGCCTCTGGCAAGCCAGCACAACCAGCTGCCTCAATCTCGGATAACATGCATCCTGAACTCTCTGTATTCTCTCATGTCAACTTGCATAGAATCTTGCAACTGCCTCCGCCAAGTTTGTTCAGTTATTCGCCGGCCATTACCACGAAAAGTGGCCCACTTTTCGACTTTCTCAAAACAACCTTTCTTCCGCAGCTGATACACCCGGGGACAAGTATCCACGTCAGTGATGCTTTGAGCAAGCAGACCTTTGCCTTGGCTCTCAACAAAGCATTCTGCATGCACGCATTGCTCGCTTGTTGTGGCGTCGAGATACCCTCTAATCAAGCCAGCTTTCGTCAACTGGGCCGCTACCACTATACTCATGTAGTAGCTGGTCTCCGCAAGAACTTGAACGATGGGTGCTTGCAGGGTCAATGGGTTGTCGCTATGTTTACTGTCATGATGTTATGCATTTACGAGGTGAGCTCGAAGCCACTAGGCCCACCACAATTTGCTCACATCCATACAGCGATCCAAGCCTGGTGAATCTTCAGGAGTAGAGATCCATCTGGCGGGAGCGGCCCAATTAATTCAACTTGCCTCTCGAGGTCAGGAACTTGACTTCCAAGAACCGGGAATCGAACAGGCCATGCAACGTCTCGTTCGGGAGTCCTTCATCTTTCACGTCACAACTAGCCTTCCGTTCCAGGAAGAAGATAGAGACCATAGAGATATTGAAGGGGCTTTAGCTCTCGCGGAAGAGGCCGTATCCCAGCACTGTGGCCCTCAGTGCGTTACTCACCTCGAGTCGCCAGTGCTCGGATTCCAACCCCGACTTTTCCGGAGCGTCTACATCATCTACCGTCTTTATCGAATGTCGGATCGAGACCGAGTCAGTCTAGAAACATGCCAGAGACTAGATGACGATCTTTACCAGTGGGAAGATTACACTAAACCGGCCATGGCTTCACCAGCCAATATTGCTTGCGTTGGACCGAAACTGTATATCCTCGGTTGTCGCATTCTGCTCCGACGCATGTCCCCCTCGATCCTGATGCCTGCATTGTCCATTCCGCAGTTAGCCCAGGAAGGTATGGAAATCATACATCGCCTAAAGCCTGCCCAGGACTATTACGCGGATTATTACTGTTGGCCATTTCTAGTTATCGGGATGAATGTAGGGGATCCACGCGACCAAGATTCGCTTATGAGACAGGTCCGCTCGTTTGAAACCGCTACAAACAATGGGACCATGAGACGACTTGTGGAAATCTTGAAACGATGCTGGAATACCGATTGACTCAAGGGCGCAGGCTGCTATCTAGTATCTACCTAGATGAATGAATTGCGATCGGAACTCGGCACCCGCACCTCTCTATTTCGGCTAATCACGCCAGTGGAGCGAGAGCGACGTCGGCGCGGGGGAATAGGATTTGTCAGCCAAGGAATCAAGTAGATTGTTATTCAAATCTTTCAAAGATAACAAGTTCCAGGCTGGAATTTTTTGCTTGGTTCAATTTCCACAATCAGCACCTTATTAGCACCATGGGGTCAACTGCTTTCCGTTCGCCGCAAGTGGTGAAAGCCGAGGGCGTGCCCTACTTCACCCCTCAAAACAATGGCGGCGCCGCACTGAATCCCCAGAACCCCGAAACGCCAACGTTGTTTCGTCCGCTGGAAATCCGCGGTAAGATGCTCAAAAATCGCATTATGGTGGCGCCCATGTGTATGTACTCCGCGGAGTCAGACCCTAGCTCTCCTGCGGTAGGCGCCTTGACGGATTTCCACATAGCTCATCTCGGTCATCTCGCATCGAAGGGTGCCGGTCTGGTCATAATCGAGGCGACGGCGGTTCAACCAAATGGACGAATCTCCCCAAACGACGCCGGACTCTGGCAGGAAGGAACGGAATCGGAGCAATTCAAAGGTCTGCGCCGTGTGGTCAATTTTGCTCACAGCCAGGGTGCCAAAGTTGGGATTCAGCTTGCCCACGCTGGCCGAAAAGCTAGTACCGTGGCACCCTGGCTGTCTTCCGAGGGAAAGAGAAGTAGCATAAAAGCGGATGAAAGTGTTGGTGGCTGGCCATCCGATGTTGTCGGTCCGATGGGCGGCGAGGGGCAGATGTGGGCTCCTGGCGACGTCAAATACTGGCCTCCTCGGGAGCTTAGCACGCAGGAAGTAGAGGAAGTTGTGCGTGCTTTTGCGCAAAGTGCCAAGCTTGCGGTGGAAGCGGGGGTCGATGTGATTGAGATACATGGGGCGCATGGCTATCTGCTGAACCAGTTCCTAAGTCCGGTCACAAATCGCCGCACTGATAAATATGGCGGCAGCTTTGAGAACCGGATCCGTCTGGTGTGTGAGGTTTGCACTGCCATCCGTGCCGCTGTGCCATCCGGAACCCCTCTGTTTCTTCGGATCAGCGCCACAGAGTGGCTAGAAGACCAACCTATTTCAGCGGAAACGCGGAGCTGGGATATGGCCTCATCAATCGAACTCGCCAAATTACTTCCCGAGCTTGGTGTGGACTTGCTGGACGTCAGTTCTGGGGGCAACCACAAAGATCAAAAGTTCCAGCCACACACAAACTACCAAATTGACCTGGCGGGTCGAATTCGCAAGGAGATACGTGCGATCGGCCAGAAGACCCTGGTGGGCGCCGTCGGCCTTATTACGGAGGCCGATGCGGCCCGCCGTATCGTGCAGGGTGCGGATGAGGCGCATGCCGCAGAGACAATGCTCACAGGACAAGAGCCCAAGGCCGACGCTGTGCTGATGGCCCGGCAATTCCTTCGGGAGCCTGAGTGGGTATTTACAGCGGCAAAGAAGCTCGGGGTTGAGATCTCGGTTTCCTGGCAATTTGCTCGTGGCCTACTGTGAACAAGGCCTAGGTGATATTTTGTACGTATCAATTCATTTGATACCCATGTAGAGGAAGCATTAGAACCTGCAAATCAACTTTTCTTTCGATGATCTGTCGATTCCTGTAATTTATTATCTGTGACTATGTCACGTTCATGCTAGTAGAGGCCCAGTTACCCCAACAGGATCTTGCTTGGGTCAACAGTCGCACAAGTATCAAATTTCACAGCTCTTTAGTGTTCATGTATTCATCCGAGGGGAGAGTGGGGGCGGAGAGTGTTGTATATTGCAGTTTCGACCTGCCACAAGCTTTCCTAGGTGAACTTTGAGCAGCTGGCTATCGGGATCCAGGCGAAAGGGGTGGTGGTCTATTGAGTAGATGATATTCGCCAGACTTGCCGTGCCAAGGTAAGGCCAAGACCGGTTGTCTGTCGATGTTGCAGTGCATCAAGAGCTAGCAGTCTCCCAGAGCCTGCAAATTTACCGAGAGAATTCGTCTATATAGAAGTCTGCCATTTCAGCTTAGAATTTCCAAGACTCAAGATTCCGGCCAATTCATGAGATTTACGCTCGGAGGAAGGCTATATCGTGCATTCCTAGCTGTGGCGGAAACAAACACATTTGTGTCAGACCTCGCGCATTGAAACTTTCAGACAGATTCATCCAATAGTTTTTCGGGCCACTATGATGCTAGCTCATTGGTTCGGCAAGATTTTGGTTCTAACTACCGTTCAGTCCGTTCTCGTCATCAGCCTTCCTGCCCCCGACCTAAGGCCATCGCCGCCAGGCATACCGTCTTTGTCTACCGTGAAGAATGAGCTCGCCAGCCTGGTAGTGACGGTCCAAGGGTCTCAAGATGGTTATAGTAGAGCAAAATTTCCACATTGGATTACTCAAAGCGGGTCGGTGATCCCTTGTTCTATCTTCTGGTAGTCAGACAGCTAACATCATCTGTAGAAGTTGTAATACCCGAGATGTTGTCCTCAAACGCGATGGATCGGATGTGGATCAGGATGCCAAATGTGAGACCATTAGTGGAACTTGGTATTCACCCTATGATGGTGCAACATGGACCGACTCGAGCGATCTTGACATTGACCATCTCGTCCCGCTTTCCAATGCTTGGAAGGTGTGTTTTGTTTCGATAGCGGGATGTCATTCAATTGATAATGACTGGTTGTATTTCTAGTCTGGCGCGGCCGCTTGGACAACAGCGGACCGAAAGGCATTTGCCAACGATCTGACCAATCCTCAACTTTTGGCAGTCACAGACAACGTGAACTCAGCCAAAGGCGACAGCGGACCGGAGCAGTGGATGCCACCTCTTGGTGATCATACAATTTCGCTTGTTAAATGAATCATGATGATCTCTGACCTTTGAACCAGATTCTTACCATTGTACTTACGCCGAAATGTGGGTCAAAGTGAAATCGGTGTATAATCTTACCATCACCATAAATGAAAAGACGGCGTTGGTAGAGATGTTGGGTAGTTGCTAGGAATTCTGGGCGGGGGGTTTGTTTCATCATTCTATATTCACTCCAAAAGCGAGGGCTACCTGGAAACCAGGAATACCGGTCCAATCTCCTCCTAATCCGGAAGGTTGAATCTGAGTTCCAAGTTAATTGTGGATATTGTCGGAACATGCATTTGTTGTTTCATCAAGCTAGCCAAGGCATTCTAAACATGACTTCATCTCACTATGTTTTGGGGCGGAGTCACAGTCCGCCTTGTCTCATTGTCTCTTTGTTATTGACTCCGGCCTGATCCACATGTGCGACGCCGAGCGCGCAAAAACCGGCCATTGGTGGAGGTGGGTCTAAGATAGAAAGGCAGATCCGAGATAGAGGCTGTCAAACTAAGATTCACCCTATCAGTGAGAAGGGGTTTGTCGACCCCTCATCAAAAGCCTTCGGAAAAATTAACGAAGTAGCCGAAGTAGATTCTCTGCGGGGCTTATGAGGGTTTCATGGCAAGGGTGCACATACCTGGATAGTCCTAGGCCCCAAATTCACCTTACTAGCTAGGGCAACATTACATGTGTTCATGGGTATATAGGGGCCGCTATGCTTTTTGGGCAGTTGGTACTTGTAACTGTGTTCTCACTTTGGGATACTTTCTTCAATCCCATTTTACATCCACCGATACCTGGCTCTCATCAGGTCCTCATCGCCTTATCCGTATCTAATACCATTCATCACTCACAAAGCCATAATCATGTCTACCGCAGATTGGCAAGTGAAAGCGGAGAGAAAACGATCCGAGGTTGCTGCGAAAATCCCCGACCAATGGATCATTCCCCAATCCGTTTTGGAAAAAGGGTACTCAACATTTGAGATACCTCGACGCTCAGGTATTCTGACAGATCGAGAAATTGAGATCACGGAGCTTCATGACGCCACCGATCTAGTGCGAAAACTCGCCTATGGGGAATACAAATCGGTGGAAGTGACTACTGCATTTGCCAAGCGAGCAGCGATCGCTCAGCAGTTGACATGTTGCTTAACCGAGATATTCTTTGAAGCTGGGCTTCGTCGAGCTCAAGAACTTGATGACCATTTGATGGCTACAGGAAAACCCGTAGGTCCCCTTCATGGGCTTCCTATCAGCATCAAAGAATCCTTTAGCGTCACCGGAATTCAGACTACTCTGGGGTTTGTCTCGTTCTTGGATCGCCCCCCGTCTATACAAAATTCCGCCTTAGTGGATATCCTTCTTGCAGCTGGTGCCGTTTTATATGTCAAGACCAACATCCCTCAGACGATGATGACAGCCGATTCTCATAATAATGTCTTCGGGAGAGTTCTCAACCCCCATAACCCAGACCTTACGGCCGGGGGGAGTAGTGGGGGAGAAGGTGCACTCGTTGCGTTACGTGGCTCACCTCTTGGAGTTGGAACAGACATTGCCGGGTCCATTCGCATTCCAGCACTGTGTTGTGGCATTTTAGGCTTCAAGCCAACCGTGGGCCGTGTTCCATACGGGGGCCAGACATCTGCCTCGCGGCCTGGAATGGCTGGAATTCCGCCAACTGCTGGACCTCTCTGCCATTCTTCAAGGGATGCAGAGCTGTTCTTGAAGGTTATGTTTAATTCGAATGCCGCCGATCTTGATGATGGGGCTCTTGGGATTCCATGGACAGAGCCTAATCCTCAACCCATTCTCAGGATCGGAGTGATGTGCGAGGATCCGCAACGCCCAGTTCATCCCCCCATGGAAAGGGCCTTAGCCGAGGCAGTGAAGAAGCTGACCACAGCTGGCCATCAAATTGTTGACCTGAAAGATAAAATTTCCTTTGTGGCCGAAGCTTGCGCTGTTTCATGGGAATATTTCTCAATTGACCCGGATCGAACGCCATTAAGCCACATCGCTCGCGGCGGCGAGCCTCCTGTTCCCTCACTTCGGTTCACCTATGATCTTGATGGTAAAGGACCGGTGCCTGATCTACGCAAGCTCTTTACGTTGAATGTGTCACAAAGGGATATAATGGCAAAGATGCGACGCGTTTTTGTGGAACACAAGCTGGATGTCATTATTGGGCCTGGCTACCAGAGTTGTGCAGTACCCCATGATACATATGGGTTGCCTATGTACACCGTGCTTGAAAATTTGGTTGACGTGAGCTGAAAGCAAACCCAAGCTTATTTACTCTTTGGCTATGGAGTACTGACTTCATTCAAGTACCCGGCCTGTGTCATACCGTTCGGCAAGGCAAACGAATCTGCCGATGGTAGCTATCTGCGAAACATAACGTATCAACCTCCCTGTATGGATACTTTGTACGCTTGGAGTGTGATCCCAATATCGCTAACCAGGCCCAGATCAACCTAAGAGAGTCGAAGGTGCACCTTGTCATATTCAACTCGTTGGAAGGCGCCTCATGGATGAAGAACTGGTACAGAATATGAAAATGGTAGAGAAGGTTTTGCGATCATAAATTTTGTCTTCCAGGTGGTTTTGAAGTTGAGAGCAAGATAGTTAGTGAGCACTTTGGGCGAATTAATCTAGGATCACAACTTCGTCCATTCATGAATTCTTTAGAAAAGTTCAAACTCCATGCAATAGTAATTTCAACCCAAATTTCCGCCCTTGGCTGGAATTGAAACCTGTACTATAGGCAGACCAAATTTTATTCAATCGTTTCAACACCCACATAGCTTGGCCGCCCGACTGTGACAGTGTTAGTGCTTCGATGAAGTCACGAACGACTTCCCGTTCATCAGCAAAAATAGCAACAGAGCCGAAAATAGAAAGAGGCCAGAGTAAAAAGCTGCTGAAGTATCTAGATCGTTCGATTGAAGGAACGATAGATAGACATTCCTGCAAACCATCTCCAATTTTCTGATCAATTTGAACAAGTGCAAGGTCGGGATCAGCTTTGAGCAACAATATTTGAACTGCGTTCACATATAACCTGCATGAGGGGTCCCCATCCCCCGTGGTCATCGGAATCCATTCCCAAAGTTCTCGCTGCAGCTGTCTCAAATTCAATATTTCTAGATCATGAAGTCGTCGCTGAAGCCTGGCAAGCTTCGTGGCATCCGCCAAGAGCAAGAAGAACTTGTACGAAGCATAGAGAATGGGTTGGCTAACAGGCGCCGATCCCAGGCCGGCGTGCACATCATGTGTAGGGTCCGAAAAGTACCGTGACAGGTCCAGATTGAGACGTGTGCTTGATAAGGCATCGAGGTTGGGGTCATATAGCATCATGAGCGATGCGTGATAAACAAACGATTCGACACAGATCCGATCAAATACAGCTGCTGCCTGAGGACAGCTTGCCCATCGCGGGCAGCGTTGAGACAAGAGGATCCCTGATGCCGTAATATGTGGTGTAGCGTCAGGGGGTGCATCTACCCGGAAGCTCTAGTGGAAGATAAGCTGAGACATTCCTTTTATTTCCGAAACATAAACCTAAGACTCACCTCGAATACAGACAACGTAATGACAGTCGCTAAAAGGGCGTCACTAGATCTGAAATTTCCATGCTTCTTCAAACACCCCTGAAGTCCTATGAGAGTTTGAATGTAGCTTTCAATCGCGCGGGAAACTGGCCAGTGAGGCGAGGATGTCAACTGCATACCGGCAATTGAGACCAAAGCACCCATCAATGGAGGAAACTCCATAGCCAAGCGAAGCATATATGTCTGATCTCCGTAACGCGCGAGGGACTCTTGCCGGACTAAGCGTGGTAGAAGCTCAGAGGCAAAATATCGGTACAGATAACGGTGCTCTTGTAGCTGGAAAGGATGCGGCATGGAAACCGGCGGTGGAAGCTTGTGGATTGAAAGTCCACCCAAGGACTGAAAGGGTGAGATTCGGGTCTCATTGCGAGGTTGGCGATCTCGCGGCTGGTCTGCAAGGTCATTGCCAGATGGCCAGGCGCATTCAAGGGTGTTGCGCGTGCAGCCGGCACAGCGCGGGCGCGTCTCGTCGCATTTCTTGCGGCGCCTTCGACCTGGTATCATGTCAGCATAGAGTCATTATTGTATTGATCATCTTCCTTGCATTGCAGACAACCGGTCTTGGTACGAAACTTAGCGGTGGACCAGGGAGCCATGGAGTTGGTAAAGACATGATTCCATCTGCGGGGAAACTGGAAACGGGTACCGCGTCCGCGCCGCTCAAACCACCAAGTCATTGTTCAGCCCAACCGGGAAGATAATCCAAATAAGCCTACACACTTGGTTCTTAAGTCTCTCGGCATCTTTCTGGGCATCTCCCTGATTCCTTTTCCTAGACTTCATTTGGTTCTTTTTTGAGAATATCATTTTCAATAATTTGAATAACTTAGGTTACGGCCGCTGCAATATGTTCCTGGTCCCGCCGTATGCGACAGCGTGCAAGACTACAATATACTGTTGTAATCATCATCATCGCCTAGTAATTACGCCTATCGCCTATTGAGATCGCCATTATAGTTTAACCTTTAGAAAGCGCGTCGTTCAGATTGAATCTCAGCTGCATCAAACCCTGACGCTATCGTACTCCGCCTTCTTGATGACCGCAGATGATTTATTCCGCGTCTGTCGCTTCCCGGGCCAAGTGGGAGATGATCATGTCTAGATACGTGGGTGCACGCGGAGTGATAGATTCCACTCCAACTAACTTCGCTCCATCATCCCATAGCCGCAGAGCAATCATCTCGTCTCGAAGTGGGTCTTTTTCAAACTCCTGCAGCTCGCTACCCTCAAAGGGTCCACCTTGGAATGCCAGTGACTTTTGTGAAGCCGATGACAGGGAGTCATAGTATGCGCGGTTTGCGGCAGTAAGATACCTTTGTTTGATGAGCATCGTGAAGAGAGGGAAAGAACGTGAGCCCACATACCGCTTCGCCGCTACGTGGCTATTGACTAGTCGACAAACAGCCTCACTGAATCCCAGGGATCGAAGATAGGCGGCGCCGATAGCTTCATGACCAACACGTCCAACATTCTCGTTACTTCCACGGAGGTTCATGCGCACCTCCTTGACAGACTCAAGTGGAATAATCTGGCCAATATCATGAAGCAAGGCGGCAATCACCAACTCATCTCGTGCGCCTGTATCAAATTGTCAGACGTAAGCTAGTTTAAATCTTGCTGGTTCCTTACCAGATTTGCTTGCTTGGTGAGCGGCCTGAAGACAGTGTTCGAGCTGGCTAATGGACTCGCCGATGTAATCCTCTTGGCCGTACTGCTCCAGGGCATCTATCAGGGTCTTAGCCTTCGCAGACGATGATGATGAGGGTTGCATGGCGAAGTCAGACTTCAAAATCAGGATTTGTGACTGCTGGGCCTCGGGAGGCAGAAAGGCTTAGGAGTCTCAGGAGATAGAGAAGAATGTTGAATGTCGGGAGGGGCGAGGTGGGGGAGGCTCAATATATAATTTTTTCAACCGCAGACCCGGGCCCTTTTGCCGACCTGAGTGTGCGTGAGTCTTGTTTCAAAGGTAATCTTGATCCACCGAAACAAGTTTTAGAGCTACCTTGGCTAGATAAATATCTGACCGCCAGCTACATATATGCGGGATCTGAAGATACCGTACAGTTCAGTGTCGGCCACTCGGAGCTTACGAATAGTCGCGGGAATTTTCACATACAAATGTTCACAGTTTGGAATTCGAAAAACTAATAATCTATCATACACAGAACATTTTGAGTTTCTACGAGGTAGCTGGAGCCTCGTACGGTCTAAAACATAAGACATTACTAGTCCAAGAGGTTGGTCTCTTTTTTCCCCCCGAATTTCAGAAAATCAAACTGCAGAAACGGCCTTCGAGTCAACTGTCAACATAGGAGAGCCGAAGGCGTAGCGAGCTCGACCCTCCTCGTAATCCATGCCCTCCTTCCGCATATGTGTCGCAGGCCAGAGCTTCTGCCTGTCGGCATAGTACTGATCATGCAGATTTCCCTCGGCTGCGCAGTTGTATGTCGCGTAAACAGCGCGGCGATCCTTGGGACTAGTATTGGCACCGCTACGGTGAGCCAGATAAGATCCAAAGACCAGAATATCGCCTATGGATTTTGTAAGCTTAAATGTGCAGAATTTCCACGGAGTATCAACTTACCCGGCGCCAGATTGCATGGCGTCCACGGGTGGCTGTCGACCCAGCTAGGCGTAATGCAACGATCACTGCCCAGTGGAATCTCCATGCGGTGGCTGCCATCAACCACCTCTAGACCTCCATTAGAAGCGTCCATCTCGTCAACTGCAGCAAGGATTGTCAGATGCTTGATGTTCTTAACGTGAGTGTAAGCATTGGCGTCGATATGCGGGTCAAAACCACCTGCAGAAATTGTGAGCCGCCTGAACTGGCTCTGTTACGAGTCAACTCAAAAATGATTCTCACCACTACCGGCCAACTTGTAGTTGATCTTTTCTTTGAAAAGAAGCATCTCCTCTCCCGAAAGCTGGTTCAATGCACTGGTGGCACGTTGCCCCCGAAGGAAGCTGTTGAACCCGTTGTGTGAATTGGCAAAATTCTCCGTGCGACACAAGACATGCTTTCCCTCTCCATTGACCTCTTCATAAGGCATCCAGGGGACACCGGGTGTACGAGGCAAATCGTGGACTTCTTGTGCCCATTGCTGTAACAGCTTTGTCTCGGTCGGACTGAAAAAACCGCGAACCAGTAGATATCCTCCTTCTTGAAAGCTTTGGAGCTGCTCCGAAGTCAGATTATAGTGAAAGTTATCCATAGCGAAAGAAGCGAAAATCACTAGCAGGCAAGAAAAAAGATCCTTGGAAAACGTGGGCTGAGGATTGGAACGTAATGCATTATATAGATTGCCAAAGGGCATGTGCTGTGGGGCCGACAATGAATGGCCGGATGGGGAAAGCGCATACGGAACGAAGCTAAAACTCGCGCTTCGCACCGATGAGTTCCACGGCAGATATAGAGATTTAGTCAAACGATCGCACGTGGAACAGGCAGGGGTCGAGTTACCAAGTGCTTAGACACAGTTCAGGTACAGCTCAGCCAGTCGTGGGGCTCGGAAGGCGACACATGGGCCGAATGATTGGCCAACAGGATCTCGTCTCGGTTCCACACGCGGAAAGTGGACTCGAACACTACAAGGTGGATTGCAAATGGCTTGCAAGGGCAATTCCAAGTGGGTTACCGTGGGATGGAGCGGATTCATAGTGGAGCCATAGTCCCAAGGTTGACCTGTACGAGGCCGCGGATTCTTATTGATGTACAATCTAATGTCGCTAGTGAAGAGCTTGGACCTACTATCTGCTTCTCGGCGAAGTATTTTGACATCTCGCACTTCATGCCGACAGCTGCCAATGATGCAGCTCATGTCTCTCGTGCAAAAAGCACCGCTTATTATTGGGTCATTCTTAATTGGCAAACACGAAAGGTTACATCTCCCAGGAGGCCAGATGCGACTGAAGAAATTCTATACAAGTCTTCGGTGCCTCGACCTTTCGAGGTCTCTCTCCATCCTTCATCCTTTACCCCCCCCCAACATGGCAAGCACAATGGACGCATCACCCAGTGATTCCGTCATGAAGATGGACGACTCCAAGCACCAAGCTCACAATGAGGATTGGGACCTAGAGGAGCCAACTCCTGAGCGCAAGCGCTCTGGAGTGTTGAATGTCGTGGTCTCTGGCCTCGCGCTCTTCAGCGACGGATACAACGCTCAAATCAGTAGGTTACCTCCTCTACTTCATATCATTACCCCAGTTGCTAATTCACCGATAGTCGGATACATGGAGCCTCTATTTTCCGTCCTGTTAGTACCACTTACTCAGGGAGCTCGCAAGTTAAAAGCTCATCTGGTCATTTCTTCGCAGTTACAAGAATGGCATGTCATCGACTATCAAATCGCGCCTCTCGAACTCGTACTTGATTGGCGAGATCTTTGGAATGCTCTTCTTTGGTGTCTTGATTGATCGTATTGGTCGTCGTACAGGAATTATTGCAGCCACCGTTTTTCTCATTCTCGGTGTGGTTCTAGCCACGGCTGCTCACGGCACCTCCGAGCTTGGGTACAAATGATCCCTTTTACCAGATAGTCAGAGTAAAGGCTGATTCATACAACAGGATGTTCTGGATGATGATTGTTGCGCGTGGTATTGCTGGATTTGGGGCTGGTGGTGAATACCCCGTCTGTGCAACCAGTGCTACTGAGGCAGCCGACGAAACAGAGAAACTGCGCAAGCGGCGAGGCTTCCTGGTGGCAGTGACCACTGATTTCGCCGTGGACCTTGTAAGTGGTGAAAGGCTCATTTGATGTGCTCGGCTAATCAAATTAAATAGGGATTCGTTGCAGCCGGACTGGTCGCCTTGATTATTCTCGCATGCTATCACCAGCAGAACTCGGAAGGAGTTTGGAGAATCGCGTTTGGCTTGGGCATCGTGGTAAGTCCCTGTTAAGCCACTGTATGGCTTGTCTTTGACCTCCTTCCCGCTGACAAAAAAATCAGCTCCCGCTTTCGATCTGCTTCTTCCGAGTTCGTATGATCAACTCCACTCAGTACAGGAAGCATGCCATCAAGTCGCATTATCCATACAAGCTAGTCCTGAAACGCTACTGGAAGCCCATGCTGGGTACCTGTGAGTTCCCCAGTGCTCTTCGCCTACTCACATTGCTGACGTTTTGACTTCATTAGCTTTGGCCTGGTTTTGCTATGACTTTGTGACATACCCGTTTGGACTCTTTTCTTCGACAATCGTTGAACAGCTTAATCCAAACAACACCACCGTGCAGAATATCGGATACGGAGTAGGTTACTTCAGCTTCCTCTCTTCCCCCCTAATGATGGCTTAACTTAGCTAAGAAATTTACTCGCTAGACTGTGATCAACTGTTTCTACCTTCCAGGATGTCTATTGGGTGGGCTTTTAATGGACCGGATTGGTCGCAAACAAAATATGACCCTCGGGTTCATGCTTTGGGCCGTGTGGGGATTCATTCTCGGTGGAGCCTTGCCGCAAATCCAAAGTGTTTTCCCCTTGTTCATCGTCATGTACGGTATTTTCCAGGCCTTGGGTGAAATGGGTCCAGGTGTTTCTACTTTCCTGTGTGCTGCTGAGTCCTTCCCGACTCCCCTCCGAGGCCACTTCCTGGGTTTTGCGGCGGCTGTTGGAAAGGCCGGTGCATCTATCGGCACTGAAGTCTTCACCCCGATTCAAAGTTCCTTTTCGTCCACGGAGAGAGGCCAGCAAGCCGTTTTCCTTATCGGAGCCGCTTTTACCGTGGTTGGAGGACTGATTTCCTGGTTTTTGATCCCCGATATGTCTCGCGAGCTGGAGACGGAGGATGCTCGCTTCAAGGCGTACTTAGAGGAGCACGGCTATGATATCAGCCTATATGGAGAGGCCTTAGTGGTGAATCCTAGGACATCCGATTGAGGAACAGTGATAAATGAAGGGGGGCATATCATTATGTACACTCGCACAAAAGACTTCACTCACAGTTGATAGAGAAAAATATTAAGTAGACGTTTTGAAACAGTGTTGAAATTCAGCATTTCTTCAATGTTTTTGGTTAAGTATTCTGCCTTCACCACTTGCAGATTACCTTTGTAATAGTTTGATAAATATACTCTCAGCTCTCAGATTAAATGCTTGATGATCCCAAGATGACCCGCTCCAACCTTCTTTGAAAACTTCAAATTCACCTTGAGGAAGCTGGCGTAAAATCATTTCTCACCTATATGACACATATCAATTTCGCCGATGCACAGCGTCAGAAGGTATAGATCATCAGCCTGAGTACCTGAGTCAGGGTCTTTCCACCTGTTTAGTCTCGCCGCCTTTGCCCTATGGCATGCTTTCTAGATAGATTGTGGCTTCTTCTTTTCTTCCTTCTTCATAACTTCAATCTATAGATTTCTGTTTCTCCTTTCTTTATTTCTTATCGCCCAAGGTGCTGCCTTAGAATATGGTTGGCCTTTTGTGAAGAACACTTAACGTGTTATTGATGTTACAATGGAGGGCTGGCTTGATGTACTATTCTGTGCAATCACTTCATTCAGCAGACAGTGTGCTACACATCAAATCTTCAAAGGAAGGAAATTTTTATCTTTGAGATAGATTGTAGCTTCTATTTTTCTTTCTCTGCAGCTTTAATCTATCTATTTTTTCTCTCGTTTCTTTCATTTTCTTCAATTTTCTTCATCTTGAGCAAATAGGTTCCTATTCCGCAGCAGCCCCCAAGTGATTAGCCGCCGACCTTTCATAGAGACGCATTTCATGCCATCGGACTGAAATTCCAGGCGTGGAACGACGTTCATCTGTTGCCAAAATCAACGCTTGAGAGTTGAGTTCAGATTCATTGATGCTATTTACGAAGTCTCAGCCACCGTCAATATGACCCTGCATTTAGAGACCAAACAGAAGTTGCTGGAGCATACTGCAAGGGTCATGGTGGTCATTCAATCCGAAGCCACAGAAAGGTACCGTCGGTGTGGATGACGTCACCGCAGCAACTTTTCCCTCGATAACGCAGCTGAGAGGGTCAAATCATGGCTTCTCCACAACCAGCTTGAAAGAAACCCAGTTTTCCCAGTAGCGCGAGTCATCACCCAGAGTAATGCCAAAAAGGGTTTCTGATGAAGTTGGACATATTTCTATCTCTTCCGAACGGCACTCAAGTATTGATTGTCTGACTTTCTCGGAAGATGTCGCAGGTCTTGCCAAGTTTTTCCCAGGTCACCGCATGAATTGAGCAGGTTGTAATGGATCACCCGAGGAAAAAACCAATCGTTGAATGATTTGAATTAAAAAAACTTCGGCCAGGTAACTGATTAATGATAACTAGGTACTGATACAGCTTGAAGCATTTTTCTACGAGGACAATTGACAGACGTACCAGTAGTCAACTGAGAGGAAACCTAGAGGCGAGAAGTATCCACGCCCACACGTTACTGGCTTGATACTCAAGATTCAGCATCCACTTTCCCCCGGGGCCAGGGATTGAAACGGCGAAGTTCCGAAACCCCACGGAGTCACGCGTATGGAGAAGGAGGTGCCGTGTGCGTGTGTGCACGGCAGACCTATCTCGACCGCAAATACTCGCCCGAAACCCCGAAACTCCGGACACCATCCCGGCATAGCTCCATGAACATAGTTTCACAAACCGAGACTCCTCAAATTTTGTAAAATGAAATACTCCAGTCATAGAATCCAATGACCCGACTACACGGCCGAAAGACCCCTTTTTGAGCGCCATGGTTATTTTGACTCAAATAGCGCGACCGGATAAACATAGCCGAAGGATGAAATGATTTATATCTCTAAATGACACACAAAAACCACGAGCGTTCTTTGAAAAAATTAGTAATCTGTTCACCGGGGAAGGATGGATTGCCGAGTGGAGCCGCAACCAGCCAAGCATTGCGCCCTATTGCTTCTTTTTCGGCACGCCGGGCCACCGCCTTGTTCCGTAGCCGGGGCAGGTGGCAAGCGTTGTCCGTCGCGGTCGCGCTCGGGGAAATTATTATGGAGAAGCAAGGTTCTCCATGGGACGAGGGCTCCGGTCGGTCGGCCGATAGGCACCCCATTTTCTCCTCGTTCCTAAAGCTGCTTTCCCCTCCTATCCTTTCGCTCCTAGCTCAGCCTTCACATATCAGCTGAAAGAGTCATGGCATCCCCCACGGCAGAAATGCAGACCGGTGAGATGCATGATGTGGAAAAGATCACGGACTCATTCCGTGAATCTTCGAGCTTGGCGTTATCCGAAGATCAGGCCCTTGTGAAAGCTAGAAGCAGCCCAAATGATGCACTTCCAATCGTCATTACCTACGGACTCAACGATAGCGACAATCCACGGAACTGGCCAAAGTGGAAAAAATGGTATATCACCATTCTCGTGAGCCTGCTTAATGTTTTCACGTATGTCCAAGTTCTTCACCCCTTTGCATCAACGTTCTCTAACTAACAAATTACAGAACCTGGTGTGCCGGAGGCGTATCCTCTGGGGCGACAGGAATCCAGGAAGAGTTTGGAGTTTCCGCTGAGGTCACCACACTGTGCTTGTCGCTCTATGTCCTAGGTTACGCCATCGGCCCAGTCCTCCTCGCACCGCTATCAGAATACTTTGGGCGTCAGCCGGTATACGTGGTGTCGTGGTTCATTCTGTTCATCTTCCAACTCCCTCTTGCACTTGCACCCAACATTGGTACCGTTTTAGTCTGCAGATTCATCGCGGGATGTGCTGGAGGTGCTCCGTTGACCAACACTGGAGGTAGCATCAGCGATCTTTGGGAAAGAAATGACAGTGGAGGCCCTATGGCTGTTTATGGTCTGAGTAGTACCTTTGGACCTCCCATGGCTCTAGTTATCACAGGGTATATTGGCCTGAACTGTGGGTGGCGAATGATCTTCTGGGTTCTTATGGCTATCACTGGTGGCGTGTGGATCATTCTAGTCGCTACAATTCCCGAAACTCGCCATACAACTGTTTTGCAGAAGAAAGCTAAACGCGCGCGCAAGCTGATGGCAAAGGAGAATTTGCGATCGGCGGAATCCACCGTCGACTTCCACGCCAGTGATCGAAAAGGCCTGCATGAATTGTTCGCTATAACCCTCACACGTCCTTTCCGATTCTTATTCTCGGAGCCCATCACCCTTTTCTCTGCGATATACAATGGTTTCATCTACGGCCTTGTTTATCTGTTCAATGAGGCAATTCCTTTGGTCTTTGGCGCGCCGAAGGGGCATCCCTGGAACGTTGGTCAGCAAGGCCTTGCATTCCTCGGCATGGCGATCGGACCAATCATTGCCTTCTGCCTGTATCCACTTCAAGAACGGTACTATCTTCGGCGGGTCGCTGAGAATGGTGGCAAGGGCGTGCCCGAAGCACGTATGTGGATGGCACGAGGCGGTGCACTCCTCCTCCCTATAAGTCTTTTCTGGTTTGGATGGACCAGTTACCGATCCGTTCACTGGATTGTTCCCATTATTGCATCATCTTTCTTCGGTGCCGGCATTTATATCGTGATCCTGAGTATTCTCAATTACGTCGTCGACAGTTATCAAACCTACTCAGCGTCAGCACTTGCCGGCGTGATTTTGGTTCGCAATGTGGTTGGCGCGGGTTTCCCTCTCTTCGCGACTCAGATGTACGAGAAGCTAGATTATGAATGGGCGTCTAGTCTACTGGGATTTATTTCCATTCTACTGGTACCCATCCCGTTCATCTTTTTCTACAAGGGTGAGGCCATTCGCCTTCGGAGCCCCTGGGCTAGGGAACACTTCGAACAAAATGACGACAATCCCCATTAAGCTATTATCCTAGCCTTCTAGGGCTGATGCGAAGTAATCTGATGACAAAGGAAGCAATCTCGCATATCATATCTCTTATATCTAGGTAAACAAATCCCATGCCCATTGGACCCCATACTCAAAAACCTCGAGTGGGAAATGTTCATTTAATCGTATTGTAAGTTGCAGCCAATCGGGATTGCAAGTGTTCACCGGCTGTTAACCGATGCTGATCGATATCGAGAGCATTTGCACCACCCCCATAACCGACAACCAAGTTGAGATTCACATCTTGCTTCTCTCGTCGGTAGTCATTAACTACTTTACTGGGGACTGGTATGAGCTCTGTGCTTCCAACGGGCTGACAGAAGAAGGCGATGCTAAAGCGGTCTCTAGCAGGTGAGCTCACACCCGAGTGATCGGAGTGTGGAAATACGACTCGATGGACTGTTGATTTGAGCAGCCCATCAGTCCAATAGCTCAACATATCACCGATATTGACTAGAATTGGGGGAAACGGAAATTCGGCCGGATCCCCTGGATACACCGGGACAGGGGCCCACTTTTGATCGGAAGTCAAAATCTCCAGGCCTGGCTGGCCAGGCCGCTGAAAGAGCAATGTGATACTGCCATAATCCGAATGCGCCCCCGCTCGGATGTCCTTGTCAGGACGGTAGGAGGAAGCTGATTCAGGATAATACAAAAGTCTCAGTGAGTTTCCCGTGCAGCCTTTGGCAGGGTCATGTCGAGAGGCGAAAAAGTCATTGGGGATCTGGGAGAGTCTCAGTCACTTTCTTACGAAACCTGATTGATGCTGATGTAATTACTAACCTCCAGACCACGTGCCAAGAGTCTAAGAATTTGGTCACACGTCTTATTACAGAGATTTGTGAAACGAGCGATATCTGTCTCACGGGACATCAGACATGCTGGCAGTGGTTGTTTAACCTTCTCATCTTGGAGCTCGCCAATATTGAATGCCCTATATAAAGGTTATAACGCTGAGTCCCTTGTGGGTGAAGTTCTATAAAATAACATACTCTTTAAAATCACCCCTCTATTGAATGCGTAGAAGTCAGATATTGACATCGGAATCTAAACCATGGACAGAAGCGAATTTACCTCGTGATGCTCAGGATCCAAAGTCTCGACGTTCATTCCCACCCAACCTTTGTTCTAAGAATTCATTTTAGGTGTTATTCAATGACTCGAACTTCGAATATGGAATCTGACAGGTGGCGCATATACTCACGTCTGATCCCCTCCGGTATCGCGCCTTATCAGGTACAGGCAGCTGGAAGAATTCTTCTGCCTTAAAACTTGATCAGCAACTGCTTGTGAAGGCACCGGCCTTGTCATTCGCAACATTATTGCACAGTACAAAGCGGTATCGCGCCTTTTTGATTCCCATGACATTGAACCTAGTCAATAACGGGCACCTAGTCATACCATTCCAAAGACTCGGTTCACATCATCAGATGAGAAAACAGTGGCTCTGCTATCGATATATAGGAAGCCATAGGTAACTGCCGCGTCTAATACTGCTCTACCAGCAGCATCGAAATCTGAGTTCGTTAGATTAATCAGGGGAAGGTCAATGGAACCTGTCATCTTGCTAATTTTGACAATCTTTCGTTTGTTTTTTGCAGTTTCTAGCAAAAGGCGGCGGATGCAGCGTGAGCCGCGGTCGGTAAAACTTTCGGCGACGCTCGGAACCTTTTAGAAAACGACGAATGCAGTTATGCTATCCCCAAGGATCCGTCCTCCCGCGTTCCTTGTATTTTCAAGTATTAAGTAGAGGATATGGACAGCCGGAGTAGCGAAAGATATATTCAAAGTAAAATAATCCCACGGTAAACTTATCAAGCTCCATAATTATAAATAAATCCTGTGCCTATCTGCTTATCTCTGCCGTCTTGGTACCCAATCTCTTTCAGTCAGTTTCTAGTATGCGCGATTTACTCCACACCACCCTGAACCACAAAAGAGTGATAAATTAATCGAATGGTAGCTCTATAAGCTGCTATCAGAAATGGGTCGCGGCGGCCTCCGTTCCAATCGCATTACAACCCCGCTTATGTCGCGGGCCTCCGCCCTGTCCGTAGTACCGGGATTGCGGGGATCCCGGCTGGACCAGACGTAAAAGGACTAGCCTGAAAGTTAAAAGAGAGGTGAATGGAGATAGGGTCTCGCCAGGGATTTCTAAAACTGGTGGAGGGGTCTCTCGCTTGTGCCCGTATGCATAACTTTTCAGCAAAGACGGGGAATAGGTGCAGCTTCGGGCGCTCTTGAGATCGATAGACCCGATAGGCTAGACCCGTCGATGCGGAAAAGTCTCCCTTGTACCTATTGGCACTAAAGAGCCATGATCAGAGTGACAGTGGTCGCGATTCGTTCAGTCTGCCCAAGCCCCTGTGAAGCGGAGGCCCCCGTGGGTCAATCCTACCCCGGGTCTTGGAGTACGGTATTAAAAGACCTCGTACTCCTAGATTTAGTGGATCTATGTCTGTTTCGCATGTTGAATTTTGACGACTATGGCGGAATTACTGAGCCACGATGTGGAGAAACGAGCTGGGGCGGTAGCTCCACCACTTTGTGAAGATGAAACCGGTGCTGTTCCCGCGTCGAGCTTTGAATACGGCAATTCCATGTATGCGAAGCTTCAGAGATTGGGAGGAAAGATCAAGGTTGAGCAAAGAGGTATCGAACGCGTTCCCGAGGATGAAAGAACGGACAGTTCGTATTGGAATATCGGTTCAATGGTACTTTAATCCTGACGCTTGTTCAATATGTCTCTAACCAGTCAAATAATCTGCAGTGGTTGGCTGCAAATATGGTTGTCCCCTCATTCACGATTGGCGTGTTGGGCAAGCCACTCTTTGGGTTGAGCTTCGTCGATTCGGCCTTGGTTATCATATTCTTCAACTTCATTGGCGTTCTGACGGTCTGCTTTTTCTCGATTTTCGGAGCTACCTTCGGGCTTCGCCAGATGGTTCTGTCCCGATTTTGGTTTGGTTGGTGGGGTGTCAAGCTGAGTATGCAGCGCACCTTCTTATCATTTCGCATTTGCTTACGTCGGAATTACAGTTGCTCTTTTCAACGTTCTAGCTTGTATAGGATGGGCTGCCGCAAATATTATTGTTGGAGCCCAACTAATAAATGCAGTCAACTCGAATGTTCCCGGATATGCAGGAATTTTAATCATTGCATTTTGCACCCTTCTGGTAGTATTCTTTGGATACCAGGTTGTCCATGCCTACGAGTATTGGAGTTGGATCCCGACATTTATCGTGTTCCTCGTTGTTATAGGTGTTTTCGCACATTCCGGTGACTTTACCAATTTACCAATGGGAGCTGGAACTGCCGAGCTTGGAGCTGTACTATCGTACGGCTCCACTGTATTCGGATTCGGTACTGGCTATACTAGCTTTGCCGCGGATTACACAGTTTATCAACCAAGCAATCGCCCGCGACGCAAAGTTTTCATTGCCACATGGTTGGGAATATTTCCAACTCTTCTCTTCACCGAGCTTCTTGGTGCAGCACTTATCACGGCCACGGACCTAAATGGAGGCGATAATGCATACCAAAAAGGCTACGATGAAGCGGGAGTGGGGGGCCTCCTTGGGGCTCTTCTCTTTCCCCGGGTTGGGGGATTTGGAAAATTCTGCGTTATTATCCTCGCTCTATCAATTGTTGCCAACAACTGTCCGAATATTTATTCGGTTTCATTGACACTCATGGTTATGGGTCGGTGGACTCGACACATTCCCCGCTTTGTTTGGACCATCGTCGTCACAGGTGTTTATATTGCAATTGCTATTCCAGGTTATAGCCATTTTGAAGCTGTACTTGAGAACTTCATGCATTTCATAGGATACTGGCTGGCGATATACGAAGGCATTGCTCTCACTGAGCACTTCGTGTTTCGTCGAGGATTTTCGGGATACAACGCAGAAGACTATGATGACCGTCACAGGCTACCACCAGGCATTGCGGCCTTGCTAGCCTTCTGCTGCGGTGTTATAGGCATGGTGACTGGCATGAGTCAGTCCTGGTATGTTGGACCGATCGCTGCGTCGGCTGGGCGCGCCCCAACTGGAGGGGATGTTGGATTTGAGCTAGGGTTTGCTTTTGCGGCCTTCTCATACGTGATATTGAGAACCGTTGAGTTGAAAATCTTTAAGAGATAGGGAAACGTCAAAAAGCTAAAGGGTTTATCCGTATCTTGATAGAATTAATTTTTTCGTGCGGGAAACCTTCGGGTTAGCGCACCCTTTCTTCACTTTTTCGTACATTAAATCTCTCTAAGTCTAGCTGCACAGCATCTAATTTCTCAAGCCTAGTGTAACTTGAGCGGAGGAAGCCCTTTCCCGATTAAACTCGATTTCTAGGTAAGTTTAGTAACCAGCAGAGTAATAATAGAAAGCTACTTGAAATAAGCCATATCGTAATGGTACGGTGCTATAGATGAAGTGCCACTGGCAGGAGGATACCTACATCTTACGCTAACATGATTACGTGCGTGGAGGTACCTATATATATAGTTATAGACAGTTAAATTGACTTGAAATTATGTTTGAAGTAGGAATAAATCACAATTAAAAAACACACTCAAATACCGAGTTTTCTGCAAAGCTGGAGCTACTTCTTTATACCTCCAAGGTTGCCCTTAATTAACACGATATGTATTCACTAGATCTACCCATGTATTGATTTCTAGAAATGTTAATATTCAACAGCCCGAAAATGACTAGTGTATTCTTTGAATAGCTTTGGATTGTCGTCTATCTCTTTGAAATTTACCAAATCTGGAAATGGTGCGATGAAGCTGCAAATTGCCCATGCCAACAAATTTACCCCACGAGACTTGTACTTGGGCATCGAATCAAGAATTCATCCCTCAATGGCCCGTTGTTGTATAGGATCAAGTATGGTTACTGGCAGCATAACCCTCAATGTCGTGTTCCTCTGTCCTTGATCATAGTCAGAATGAAAACTTCTTCATTTTTGAGACAACGCTTACTTCATCTGGGTGCAATTCCAGAGAGCCCCCAAGTCACCAACCGGCAGATGAAATGGGAACGCCATGGCTTCAAAAAGCTGAACGGTCAGTAGGTAAAAGCCGAGAAGGCTAGCGACGAATAGTGAAGCCCCCGCCCCCTGAATACGACAAAAAGAAGTTAGCTTGATCTAGTGCTTTATCAAACCCAAAAAAGGGATGTAATGTACTTTCACGCATGAGTTACCAGCAATAGAATCCCCCTCGCTCAATTTCCAATAGGCCGATGTTAATAGAATAAAAACCAAAAACAACGTCAAAAATATTAGCGTATATACGATGTTAGTTCGCGTTGCACAGATCATAAATATGAGCATCAGGATGGCCATAGTTAGGAATAGAAATGCTAATATTGTCATTTCCAATGTTAGAGCCGTTGCATAGAAATTGGAAGGAAGATGTTCAAAGATACCGTATGTATTCATGAAGCTAGAACTAGCCAGTCCGGCGGCTGTATTGGTAGTTGATGGGGAGTATGGAGCTTAAAACCAGTAGGAATGATGATATCAGTATTGGATTAGGAAGTCGGACTCTAGTATCTTACCGGCAGCATTGAAAGATGGTATCATGGTAGCTGCGAATGCAAACCAAAAACCTCCTGCCGCGAGGGGTGAGACAAAAACAAGATGCGGGAGATCTCACACTGCCGAAAAACTTACCAATAGTACCAAACACGACGCAGGGAAAGGTATTTCCGAGCACAAATTCAAGAATACTCGTGATAAGCAGCAGTAGACCCCCGAGGAAGACGATGGGTCCACTTTCATTGTTGATTAGAGAAAGGGAATTGACGTGCGATCGAGCAATTTCTTACATGAATGCAACTCCGTTACCACTGGCTCCTTTCCAAGCCATCAAGCAGCATGAAAGTGGGGTGGTGGTGATGACGAAGCCTCCCAGTGCTCTGGAGATTTACTCAAATCGTTAGGCAAGATTTTAACGGTGCTAGGCAGGAAAAATAAGGGGAGAAGTCTCACAGAGGTGTGGGATTTCCCACTTTTCTGGCAAGATTGTTCGGCCCTCGCGTCATTGGAGTCAAGTAAAGCTTTTCAAACTGTTCGGCAGACAGCGTCACAGATGTAGGGATCGTAGAAAGACCTTGAATCACGTTTTCCATATTTTGGAAAGAAACACTTGTCTCGCCTTCTTGACTCTTGTCACTATTCATGGCGTCGTCCCAAAGTCGGTCTGAAACGAATTATTATCGAATGGAGGGCATCCACGTTATGAAAGTGATGGGACGATAGACTGACTTTAAAATGATGACCAAAAATCTTTTAAACAAGAGATTGGGCGTCTTTTAATGTCGACTTGACAATTAAAAAAGGCTCCTGAAGTAGGCATGTATGCATACGGTTGAATGGAAGAATGCTCAATTTCATCAGTAGATCAATGTAGGTGTAGTTGATGATCTGCGGAGGAACGGAAGAGAAACAGCTGCATGTCAGCCACAAAACATGACCGAGCGTAAAGGCGGGGAAAGCCCTATTAGCAATCGACAAGTTTCACGGCGGATCTAGCAACAGGTTAATCAAACCCGAGTAGCAACAGGTCGATCAAACCCGAGTAACTAGGAATGATGACTTTTATCGGCTGGCTCGCTCGGCTGCGCTTTGACCGCCAAAATCCAAAGGTCTGTGTTTTTGCGGAATACGGATTCGATTGTCTTATGCATACCCGCATGAGAAAAACACGTTGATCAAAGGCTAATTGAAAGATGGTATCACAATATGGAGAGTCCGCGATCTCCAAAGTATGTGCTTTCGCCTTAGTCTGCTAGGTAACAGCAGCAGACCCAAATTACGGATATACAATCTGGACGTGCAGCCCATGGCAAGGCTCTGGATCATTTTTCCTCTTCAAAGTGGTCGATCTTTGAATACAAGCTAGATGATGTAATTGATTGCTGCTTCTAAAGGCTTACTAAATTTCTCATGGCTCGTGGTAGACATACAAAGATGAGTTCTACAGAAGAAATTCCAAGCTCAGATCACCTGAATTTGAGTGGTGACGCTCTCATGCAATAAAGTTCTTATTATTAGAGGGGATGACCCAATACGGAGATATGTGGAAGATGATTAGTGCTTTCGGAAAAATAGGCTATCTAGGCTCCGCACTCTTATTGTGGAACGGAGTCCTCACAACTAGAGCCAATGACCTCGTCGTAAACTTGGAACATTATGATTAAGAAAATGAAGTTTGAAGTGGCATCTCAGGAGCAAAAAGCCGCGCAACCATTTCATGCGGAGCCGCACGGAGCGGATGCGACACCCCGCAAAACATTCTCCGCAAAACCTTCTCCGCAAAACCATCTCCGCAAAACCTTCTCCGCAGGACTTCCTTGCTATGTCAACGCACTCACAAAAGAATGTCCAAGATGATACAGCCCTTGAGCCCACAGATTCGATCTTCTTCCCCCTCTCGCTAAAGTTGCATTCCGGTGGTCCGAAACAGTCGCCTAGATAGCGAGCAATATTGAATTGAAACCAAGGGGCCTTGTCATGCTTCGCCTACCTCGGATACAGAGTGCCGGATGGGTGTTGGAAGTATTTATAAAGCGCCGGTACATGTCCATTATAATACATAAATCTCACAAGAGCTATAGTCTTCTCATCTACTCACTTTTCAAAAAACCTCATTACGGGCTATCTTCTCAACATGTCCATTCCCAAGATGCAGTGGGCTCAGGTGGCTGAAAAGATCGGAGGTCCGCTTGTTTATAAGCAAATCCCCGTTCCCAAGCCAGGTCCTGACCAGATACTGGTGAAGATCCGTTTCTCTGGCGTATGCCACACCGATCTGCATGCTATGATGGGCCACTGGCCTCTTCCAGTCAAGATGCCACTAGTTGGGGGTCACGAAGGTGCGGGAGTAGTCGTGGCTAAGGGGCCTCTTGTCAAGGAGTTTGACATTGGCGATCATGCCGGCATCAAATGGCTCAATGGGTCATGCTCTGAATGTGAGTTCTGCAGGCAATCCTACGACCCTTTGTGTGCCAGTGCGCAACTTTCCGGCTATACTGTGGATGGTACTTTCCAGCAGTATGCTGTTGGGAAGGCTACTCACGCCTCAAAGATCCCTAAAGAAGTTCCACTAGATGCCGCCGCCCCGGTACTATGTGCCGGTATTACTGTTTATAAGGGCTTGAAAGAGTCCGGTGTCCGTCCGGGCCAGACAGTGGCTATTGTTGGAGCAGGCGGAGGTCTTGGGTCTCTTGCTCAACAATACGCTAAGGCTATGGGAATCAGAGTTGTGGCGATAGATGGCGGTGATGAGAAGAAGGCAATGTGCGAGCAGCTCGGTACTGAGGTATGAATATCAAGAGCAACCTAACGGTTGAATTATCCCTTCAAAGCTAACTAAAGGTCAGACCTTCGTTGACTTTACGAAGTCAAAGGACCTGGTAGCTGATGTGAGGGCGGCCACTCCTGGTGGCCTAGGAGCCCATGCCGTTATTCTTTTGGCGGTTTCTGAAAAGCCTTTCGAACAGGCTATCGAATACGTTCGCTCCCGTGGAACGATTGTAGCAATTGGTTTGCCACCTGATGCCTTCCTTAAGGCCCCAGTGCTTGAAACAGTCCTTCGTATGATCAGCATTAAGGGCAGTTACGTTGGAAACCGACAGGATGGCGTGGAAGCTCTTGATTTCTTCAATCGAGGCTTGATCAAGGCTCCATTCAAGCTCGCACCCCTGGAGGATCTCCCCAAGATCTTTGATTTAATGGGTTCGTGATACTCTCTTTCACCTTTAGCTCCATTACTAACCTTAAAAAGAGCAAGGCAAGATTGCCGGTCGCTACGTGCTCGAGATGCCTGAGTAATTACTCATTTGACTAGGATTTTTCCAGGGGGCATACATTTGTCATGTGGAAAATATTATGCCACATCTGGGTTCAATAAATCCCGGAAATAATTTTCTTTTCATAAATTGAAATCTTTCGATTGACTTTCAATGTGTAATAGCCCTCGAGTGGGTATGTGAAGTTGTGGCAAACATTTTATCTTTACATTCTGAAAGCATAGAGCTGCTTACGTATACATAAAATAATTATAAGTAACGTATTTCCCAAGCGGGTCGCCACCCAACCATTTAATTCTATATTCATGAAGCATTTAAATAACCATAACGCCTTTGTATTCAATTCAACCCCTATATGGACATCTATTAGCCCCATGGCCAGGCCTTCTGCATATGCTGCATGTATATTGACGTTTATTGGTCGTTTCACCGGTCGCTGAAGTCCTCTGGGTGGGTATTGTAGAGCCTACCCCATCACCTTCTCTATCCCCTTGCACACCAATGCCTTGCCCATGGGCTTCATGAACAAACATACCCTCAGTCCTCTCTATCTGTTTCTTAGATAGCTTCTTTTTCGCAGTTGCTTCTTATTGGTAGCCCTCAAATCTTTGATTTCTTTCTCTAACAGAAGCATACTTTTCATCACCTGCTCGCAGGCCTTATATGCCTGATTGATGACCTCTTTGGTAGGCGTTGGTGGGCTTTTCGACCGATATTTTAATAGCTTTCTAGCTAATTTTGCATGTTTCGATAGCTGTACGATTGTCGTTGGTGTTTCAGGGCAATAAATGCTTGATTTGCTTGTAGGTCGTTCAATGATAGGTGTCGGTGACCGAAGCTGAATATTGAGCTTTGATAGCACTGATTCTATATCTAATGGGACCAAACCAGTCGCTTTAAATGCATTCTGAATAGTCTTAGCCTGATATACGTCTGCGCGTGCTTGTGGGTATGCTTCAAGAAAATCAAGCTTATCGATATAGTTGATTCCTATACGCGTCTGTTGGTCTATTAAGTGACCGTATGATCGCTTTAGAACTGCGAAATAGCCTACATCTAATAGCTGTAATAGATGCGAGCTATGTGGCGGCATGCATATAGGTATAACGTGGTTTTCAGCGCATAAATGATCGAATTCAGGCATAAGGTGGCTTCCATGACCATCAAGGATTAATAGCCTATACCGACCACGTGTATGGCTTGCGGTCAATGGAATGAATAGCATTTGAAGCCATCGAAGGGTAATTTCATCGGATTTCCACCCATTTAGGCTGAACTCGAAGCGCCAGTCGGTAGGCGTTTCATAGAACCATGATGCTAGATAGCGCTTGCCTTTGAATACCATACTAGGCCTAGGGGCTGCACCGCGGTCATCCGTAGAAAGAATCCACTTGGTAAGCGTATCCTCTTCTAATTAAGTCAATTTATGACTGTTGGCGTGGATAGTAGTCTGCGAAAGGCGGCCATTGACGCGGTCGCGTAGCGTGGATCGCGGTATGCCATACGTACGCGCAGCGGCCGAAGTAGAAGAGATTGTTTTGTTCTTAATAGCCTGAATTGCTAGCTCGATCCTACCCTCTTGTTCGATAGAATCTTGCTTTGATTTAGAACGAATTGGTGGCATAGTGGGTGATTAAACTGGCAGAGAGATACATGGGGACGCGAAAATTAATGGGGTGGCGACCCGCTTGGGAAATACGTTAACTTAAATCACTATCGAACAGATTATCTCATCAATTTATCTAGAAATTCTCTCAATGTTTCTAGGTATGAATAGTTGAGAGGGTCATTGTTTTTGAGTGCGGTCTGCGTCGCGCATTTAACGTGATTGAAGCGAAATGACATCGTACTATCCTCGCCTCGGTCGGAAATCGCCGCAATGATTCAGTCTACGTGGAGATCTGAGTTTTATCTAGTATCATTCTGTATTTTGTCTCGGTTAAGGCCAATATTCCCTAATGGCTTTGCATTGAAGCCTCAAGGCTATAATATTACACGAAACTATGACCTGTAATCTATGAATTTATGGATTATAGCCAGATGGTTCAATTTCTGCTCGTCGCTACAAAGGAGTAAATATTGCTCCAAACGCAGCAGGTGCTGGTGGGTACAAAAATGTTTTTCTTATTTCAGGAGAGTTTAATGCATATAAATTCTTTCTCGGTGGCGCTCTAGCCTAGCTAGTCTCGATTTTCGTGAAACTGAACTCATCAAATTCACGCGGCCTGATTGGCCCGGTATGGGCACAACGATTTTCCGATCATTTCCCCGCGCGGACTTCACCATTCCGACAATGCCCCACAACCTGAACTACATAAGCAAAAGTAGCGACCGAAAGCTTTGCGTTTCATAGCGCAGTCTGGGAATTCCTATGCAAAAAGCCAAGTTTATCAAAGAAATTTCAAATCTCGAATTACGACCTGTACTAGCCCAGGACGAAGTCGACGGGCCTGTACATGGGAGACCAGCAGCATGGTTCCGCTGACCCGAAGATGCATCAGGTGTGTGTACGCGCTAAAATTCCCCACTTAACCCCGCAAAGTTCGTGTTTGATCCTTTAGGGTCTTATATCTCAGCTCAGGATTCTCCTTTCACTCAACTCTCCTTTTACTTGTACTTGGATATATGGGCATGCAAAATATCAGACTCGACCTGAACCGGCTGTATCTTTGCTATTTATATTTTTTTTTGTTTTATCATGGAGGAACCTCGTCGGCGCCAACTTCATAGCTGTGACTCGTGCCGTAAAGGCAAAAGGGGATGCGATGCACCGGTTTGTTCACATTTCTCCTTCTCAACGTGCGTATTCTGAGTGGAAATTTAGAAAGATCGAGAGGATAATGGATTTAGCTCTTGCTCCAACTGCAAAAGGTGGAAGAAGAATTGTACATTCAATTGGCTCTCGTCGAAGCGTCCTGGCTCTACTAGTCGGAGAAAACCAACCCCTGGCATTTTGAATATGAGTTCAACTAACCACGTGCCTTCAAATTTGAGCTCCTACAACGACGTTTTCGATAAGGTGCTATGTTTCTCACAATCTTATCCTGGTAAATCAAGTCGCTCCACAAAATCTCTGAATATGGCCTCCCTCTCTCCCGGCTCATCATCCTCATACCAAGAAGGCGCAGCACTCGATGATTCCCAAGAGGAAGAGCTCAACCAAGGCCAGCCACATTTAGTTTCTCGGAACATGAGCTCTCCAGGCGATTGGCAGTCCAATCCTATAACTCAGCAACCGGAAACTGCCTTCGAGCAACTTGAATCGCAAATAGCTTTCTATGACTCGCCGCCGACGTATCGCGAGAAAAACTACGATCTGACTAAACTGCGTGGAAAATTCAGCACGGATTTTGTGACTCCGCCGAATAGAGGTAGCGGCCACAAGCATTCAACCGCACCGGAGCCTAATCGAAAAAAACAATTCAATTCACAACGGGGCCTTTGCCTGGCTTCTGAAAATACGGCTCATGATTATAGTCGTTCTGCAATGACACAGAACTTGATCCGTATATACCACGACAGTATGGAAAACGCGCTGTCATGCTGGCTGACAGAGCACAACTGCCCTTATAGCAACTCGGCTAGTGACATGATGCCTCATAGTGAGAGAAAGGAGTGGGGCCCGAGTTGGTCAAACAGAATGTGTATCCGGGTATGTCGATTGGATCGGGCATCGTCCTCAGCACGAGGTCGGGCTCTAAGTGCGGAGGAGGATAAAACCGCAGCTCGAGCACTTCATCTAGCGATCATGGCATTTGCCTCTCAATGGACTCAACATGCTCGGAAGGGTACAGCTTTATCTGTTCCAGAACATTTCGATCTTGATGAGAGGTCTATTCGGCAGAATGTTTGGAACAAAGCGCGTCACGCCCTAGAGCACTCGGCCAAGATTCCCTCGTTTCGTATTATCTTCGCGAACATTATATTCTCTTTGACACAGTGCCCGCTCGATGACGCAGAAGATAATAGCCTCGGCCAGCTATTGGAGAATGATATTGCACCCATGTTTCTTGAAATCGCAAACCGCCAACTATTTACATTTCGACACAAGTTCACAATATTACAGCGGGAAGGTCCTCAATGGATCAGAGAGCATCGGAGGGGATCAATGCGATCAACTACGACAGAAATGTTGGAAGTTCCGGAGCACTCGGAGCCTCCGCATTTCGATCCAATTCTGGCTTGTTACGAATACCGCAGCACACTAAGCCTTTTATCTTGGCTAGGGATAATGTTTGATACTCTGAGCTCTGCGATGTATCAGCGTCCACTGGTGGTTTCAGATGAGGATAGTCAAATTGCATCGGCCCCCACGTCGACTTTCCATTCCAATTACCAGGTAGATCTTGACGGTTGGAATATCCCACGCGATGAATCACGCAATCAAGCGGATGTATGGGGCGATTTCTTCCTTCGTCGTCCGATTAAGCCACACGGACTGAGTGAAGACCAACCAAGATGGCCATGCTCCTACGAACGTGCCGCCGCCGTGCTTTCAGAAGCAACACCTGTCAAAGTTCTTCTTTACCGGCGACTCACACAACTCCAGACTCTGATATACAGAGAGGCAAGTAGCGGTTGTTTCGAAGAAATTATCCAGAAGACCATCCAGGTGTATCGGTACTGGAATTGCACATATCAGAAATTCATGCTTGACTGTGTAGCCAACCATAACCTACTTCCTCCTCGCATACAGTCATGGTACGTGATACTAGATTGTCATTGGCACCTTGCTGCCATGCTTCTAGCAGACGTGATAGAAAGCATCGATCATGGAAGACTCGGATCTGATACCGAGCGTCAAGCTCGGCTAACTGGAAATTTCGTTTCGACGCTGAGGATGGATAATGCTCTTGCAGTCGGTGCACTTGCTCGGTCCTCGCTTCATGGGGAGAGCTCGGCAACGAACCGTCTTTTTCATGATTCCCTTAACGAAGTGGCTTTTTTAATTGAGCCATGGACTGTTGTTCTAGTACATTCATTTGCAAAGGCGGGACAGATTTGCCTAGACAGTCTGGATATGCAACATCGTGAGCAGAAAATGTTAGCTTGGCGCTACTGGCAAACTTGTGAAGCATGTATAACTGCTCTTCGGTTTCTTGGGAGAAAGTCAGATATGGCTTTTTTGGCAGCTCAAAACATTTCAAGTTCTTTAAAATGTTCAGCTTCGCCAGTTATAACCTTCAATCGGGGAGCTGTCTAGTATAGAAATATGATTCAATACAATTCAGGGCCGGTGAAAGCGATATTGAGTCGAGCGTTAGTTTAATTTCCAGTGGTTGGTGTTTCTCACGTGGTTTCTCCCAGATATCGCTTCTGTGGAAATGAAAAATTAGGGTAGGGCGATGCGTGGTGGCAGGATTCTGAACCAGGTTAGGGACTTGCGTATAGACTTGTCAATAAGCAAAACTAGGTAAAGCATTTGCTTTTGGAGTAAACGGGTACAATCGGTGAGAAGCAGGTATTATATCATGATCGCGTGCCGTCATGGCGCGATAGCTTCCCCATTCCTCGCTATCATGAACCAACAAGATCCCCCACTTACTCTCCACATCGCGTACAGTTAATACGAACCTGTTTTCTCTGTTGGTCAACCAATAATAGAAGAACACACGACATTAACCTACGGAAGTAGGAGACGAGGTCGATGAGCCCTGAAAAGGCGCCATATAGGAAATCATTAGCCCCCGGGAGTATTTAGTATCGATGCGCACACTTTCTTCACCTTTCACGTTCATACTTCCCGCTTAAGCTCTTCTCTTGTGCTGGCTGATATTCACCGTGGAAAAATCCCGGAGTTATGAAATACAGCCAATACTTTAAGGGTAGCTTAAATTGTAAGATGGAGATCACTTCAAACTTCAAATGATTTTTGCAATAGGCCGGCCTGGCCATTTGGGCCTTGGCTTGTGAAGGTCTCAAAATCAAGAGTATGGAAATCAATCTCTCTCCTATCACAAATGTAGGGTCTTCAGGGGATAGTACCAAGTTACTATTCCCCGAGCTGAGAAAGAGAAGCTTACTCATTGCAAAGGAAAACTGAGAACCACAGCGGGGGAGGACATAAGAAAATCACTAGCCCTGGAAGGCGCAATTTCCATCACGGCTGTGAAACATACATTTTGTGACGCATGGTTCGATGTTGGAAATACGAAGGCGGTTACCCGATCATAGGCATTAAGAACACTGTTATTATATCATCCCTATCCCATGGGGGGGTGGTGGGATGCATTGCATACCAGTTAGGGTTTTGGCTTTACTATGGGCGAAAAACGGCGCTAGTGAGTGCATACCAGTTGGACTTCTCGAGTGCATCCCAGTTGAAAATATCGGTCGGACAATCATCAAAACTTCAAAAGTTCTAAATTCGCGATCGCTCTATACCCGGTTTCAATTTAAAGATCGTACAATCAAAAGAAGAGGTAGTTACAGGGGTTAGAAATTTGGACCTTTTTTTTTGATGGGGTGCGCTTTGGCCAGTCGTGCGATACTTAGTCACCCTTAGGCTAGGGGTTTACATAAGCTTAGTATAACCCTCAAACCCTACTACTTTATTAAAGAAGGCCTTCTAGTAGCTATACTACCTTAATTAACGAATATAAATAAAAAGGGTAGATAACTTCTCTATCTCTATCCTTACGTAGGAGATACTATATATGCTCCTAGGTATACATAATACCTTAGGCCGCAGCCGCGTTTACTATATTATATATTCCACTACTATAATATCTATATATTCTATTATAATTCGCTAAAGACGTATCTTTAATTATACTTAGTATACTAATAAGATTAATAGATAAAGAACGAGGGAAGTCACCTTATTGCAGTCGACAATAGGCTTAATGGACTCGTATAATAGGACTGAGGCAGTTATCTTAGTGTAGTCGGACAATAGGACTAAGGTAGTCATCTTATTGCAGTCAGATAATAGGACTGAGGCAGCCACCTTAATGGAAACGCACAATATACTCTATAGTCTCGGACAATAAGGCTCAATAGACTTATATAATGGGACCGAGGCAGCCACCTTAATGCAAACGCCCAATGTGCTCAATGCAAACGCCTATTGTGCTTGACAGAATTGTACAATGGGACTGAGGCAGCCACCTTAATGCAAACGCCCAATGTGCTCAATGCAAACGCCTATTATGCTTGACAGAATTGTACAATGGGACTGAGGCAGCCACCTCAATACAAACACGTAATATGCTCAATGCAAACGCCTATTATGCTTGACAGAATTGTACAATGGGACTGAGGCAGCCACCTCAATACAAACACGTAATATGCTCAATGCAAACGCACAATAAGGCTTAATAGAATTGTACAATGGGACTGAGGCAGCCACCTCAATGCAAACGCCCAATGTGCTCAATGCAAACGCACAATGTGCTCAATAGTCTCGGACAATGAGGCTCAATAGACTTGTACAATAGGACTGAGGCAGCCACATCAATGCAAACGCATTATGGCCTCAATAGACTAGGACAATAGACGTACTTCGGATGAATGTACAATCCTCAATATATAATCAAGTTTTCTTCCTTTTCGAACTTACCTTCCTTTATATCTCTCTTACCTGACCACTTTCTCTACCTTAAAAATCAACCTTTTTTTTTACTTCTTTTTCTAAAATCACTGATTGTCTCTCGCCCTGTGCCCCCTTCTTCTCTCGTTTTTTGACGTACAATTACGTCAAGATGTCTCCCTTGTACGAACCCAACCCAAGCAGTGAAATCAAACTAATTCCGATTTAGTTCCTCCCTCGTCTCTCGCCGTGGTGGTGGTAGCCGTGGCGGACGTGGTGGCTCTGGATCGTTGTATGTATGCTTCCTTTCCTATAGCGATATATGTGAAACTAACTATTGTACAGCGGAGGTCGGGAGCGGAGTCCCTATGCCGGCGAAGGTATCCTGAACTTTGGTCCCGGGGAATGGAGCAGGTAAGCTCTTGACTTTTTTATGAACGATCTTTAGCTAATGTACAATCTCTACTAGCTGGCCCTTCCCCTACACTGACCAGGATGGGAACCCTCGTCTTCCTCGTACGCACGCGGAGGGTATCCAGTCCCTCATCCAATACGCTGAACGACCAGGCGGTAACCAGGGTCAGCTTCAACTCCCAGTTGGCGGCGATGAGCTTGCCCGGATGTGCACAACTCCGGTGCAGCTCGCGATCCTTCGGGGTCGTGGACGCCCTATCTGGCATGTACGAGGCAACATTAATGGGCAGCAAATTGTCTCCCAGCGACCCTCGTATATTAATGCCCTGCTGATCCAGTCCCGTGGCAATCAACTCGTTCAGCCTTGCGAGGCGTGTGTGGACCGGTGCAAACCTTTTCCGCAGTGTATCCGACTCCCGGGTCAGTTTGGCGGCTGTTGTGGCAATTGTAAGTGGCGTGATCACGCATCTCGGTGCTCTGTACGAGATAGACAGCCCCGCAATGCTACACGGCCATGGCCACGGCACCCACCTCGTCCCTTACCCGCAACGGATATTATTGACCTAACGGACGACCGGAGTGTCGTCCGGTCGGCCCAAGGGCTATCCCGTCGGGCCTATCAACGTCCTCGTGCGGATAGCGAGGTCCAAGAGATCACTATAGTGGATTTGACTGAAGAGGAGGATAACCGGCGTCGGACCGAGCCTTCTCAACTTGCTTGGTACGAAGAGGCCTAGGGAGGACGTACAATATGGGTGGTAGGGAGTGAAGATAGCATTTTAGGCTAGAAGGGGGAATACTTACAATACCGAATGAAATCCGCATTTTTATTACTTATAATCATTCGTAGATATAGATCTTATTAAATTATATATAGTGTAGTGGTGGAACGCATGACATAATGAATACAGTTGCGGCCTGAGGTGTCACGAATACCTTAGGTGTAAGCAGCAGCTTCTATATGAGGATAGAGAGAGAAGAGGCATCTACCCAATTCATTCCAGTTTTCACTATATTCTTTTATTCAACATGCTATATTAAGTACATTCCATACGGGCTCAGTCGGGAAAAACCGTACGGCCTCATTTAGGATTGCTGTGTCCAGGATTGCACGTACGACCTCACGGCCTCACCAAGGACATTCGCGACCTCCCCTAGGACGACCTCTACTACGTGCAGGTTGTGTGTGTGTTGTTCGTTGGTTGCTGTTGCCCAGTCTGTATTGTCAGACAGCCATCGAGCCATCCCCTTTTCATATTAGCGTCCCCGGGAAGGCTCGTTTTTGTTAGGGCACCTCACCATACGAAGGAACACACGTCTGAAGGGTGGCGATCGCATTTGACCCTGAAAAGGCTATCAGATTGTACGAGATCTCAAGCGGGAGATCTATCACAATCACCAGTGATAAGGACGATATATTCGGCACAGACAACCAAGAGGGGTTAGCCGAGATACAGTATTCGCCTGAATACACCCAGTTCCTACGGGGGATGCTATCTAATTGGTATACTGGAAATGCAGTAATGCTTCGGAAACTACTAAAGATGTAGCCTATCCAATTGAATACTATAGCCGAGCAGGGATGCCCTGGTATCCGATGGCTATGGCACTCTACGACTCAGCTGATACTAATGCAAACAATTCTGCAATATAAATTACAGCAAGAGGAAGCGGCCTTAACAAAAATTATATAAGAAGAAGAAGAATTATTGAAGAGACACGACAAAAATCATAGTGAACAGAGTCAACATTTCTTTTTGGCCGAAAAGCTATCTCCTTTCTGCGAGCGAATAGCAGACCACGGCGTACCAGATCTCATGGCCCCTGAGCTACCACACCCTAAGGGTATTGCACCTTTCACTGATTACCGAGAACTAGCACCAGAAAGGTCCGAGTCGGTCCACAGCGGTGATAGTCATGCGGATCATGAGCACCAGCCAATACGATCACCCCTAGCCGAATCATCCCGAATAGTTCAGATAATGCCTATCCCTTACACAGTCCAAGTTCCTCACTTCTCCGCGTTGCCAGCTCCAGGATCCCTAGGGGCACCATACTTTGACGAGACGGATGTCTCTAAGTTCCTAGAGAAGCTGCAGGATATGTGTTTCAGGTATAGCGTTAAAAATAATGAGGATATCATGGGTATATTGCCTCAATACTGTGCAAAGGTCACCAAATCCTAGGTAAAGAGGCAGAGTTCATGGCTGAAAAAGGACTGGGATACCTTCAAGGAAGACTTCTTGGAGCACTTCTATGATGACGATAGTGAGCAGCAAAGGTACACGAAGACATACCTTCAATCCCTCGCCCAGGTCAAGCGGATAATGCAAGACAATATCCGTTCGTACCTCAATGAGTTCGATGATATATCTGGTCGTGTCCACTTAAAAGGCGAGGTTAGTGATGTGGATAGGGCAAGCCTCCTTATCCAAGGACTTCCGTAGCAGCTTAAGGAGAAGATTATTAGAAGGCATTCTCGCAAGCAGCTACCAAGAGGGACTTTGATCACGTATTCGGAGGCATATATAGCGATCAGATCGTATGTTAGAGAGGAAACTGATATTCAGAGGATTCTTTCGACTGTCGAATCTCCTCCGAATAGTAGCAAAAGTGCTCAGCAGCTTCATCCCCTACAGACATAGCATACTACCGCCGCAAGGCCTTAGGAATATCGGCAACCCATTACTATCCAGAGCCAACGCCAGGACGACCAAGATAGGAAACTCAAGGAAATGCAGTCTCAAATGGAGGCACTTGCTCTCAAGGTGCAGGCTGGCCGAGATATAAGGAATGATGTTCGGTACGAACCAGACAGGAGAGGTCCTTCGAACGGTCTTGGAGCCAATCCTCCACCGAGATGCTGGACATGTGGAGGCGCCCATTTCTCTCGACCAGACCAATGTGCGGCTATTCGCGACATGCAAGGTCGTGGTATCATGCATTATGATGCTATGAATCAGATGGTTCTAGGCACTATTGAGCAGCCAGGACCGAGGTTGCGTGTGGTCCTAGGACAACTGAACCAACAAACCTTTCAAGCGTAGTATGATAGCTGGAAGAATTAGGGATCGTATGGAGCTACTACGCAGTCAGGTAGTAATGCTGTTCGCGCCACTATTCCGGTTTCAACTCATCCTACGGACCCAAATGCATCATAGCAACCCATATATTTGAGTGATACAGCGACCGACTTATACCCTACGCCTGTTCGATCTGTAACTGCCACCCTTCTTGGTACGGCACCTGCATGGGAGAGGCTCGAAGAAAGTGAGGATGAGGAAGCGATCATTCCATACGGCGCTGTCAACGCTATTGAAGGTCGTCCGGTAAAGCGACGCAGAGACTAGGACATTGCTAGAACAAGGAACTCCCAGACTGGTAGATACCAGCCTCACGTTGAAGATGCCGATGATGATGTGATGCAAGACGAGCAGCCCGAAGAAACTTAAACCGTACGGCCTCAGCGGGAAGCTGTTCAGCTATATAACCACGCCCCAAGGAGGATTCGCGGCCCTATCGATCCAGACATTGTTCAGCGGAGATCATAGCTTTCGGATGTCGTGATGCGAAAGATATGGGACACAGAAATCACTCTCACGATTGGTGAACTTATAGGAACTGCCTCAAGGATACGTGTAGGTATGGGTAAGGGTATTAGCATGGAGGTTATCAACCAGCGTATAAACGAAGTCCTCTCACAAGCACAGGCGCAAACGAATTTCACTAGCGCTTCCCTTCCAAAGCAGATAGAGGATAAGATCGGCCAGATTGTGCGAGATGCTGTCGAGTACCATCAGGAAACTGGTAGCCCTATCTATGTCAAAGACCTCGCCGCGAAAGTGAACTTCCAAGGCGTCCAACTGTTAGGCGTACAGCCAGTGACCTCTCCTCGGGAGTATTCCAGAGACCTCCTTTTTGTCACAGTTTCCGTCGGCGGGCAGGTGGTACGAGCGTGTATCGACACAGGTTCGTCGGTGAACATCATTCGCAGAGAAATCGCACACTCCATGCAGGCACAGATGAGACTAAAACCAAGACTGAAGCTTGTACCTGTTGATGGAGGAGAGTTCGCAGTAGGTGCATGCATTGAGAGTCTACCGATCAATGTAGGCGATGTTGTCACAGAGTCTCATACCATGGTCGGTGACGGCTGCACGAATGATCTGCTACTTAGCAGAATCTAGGCAAAAGATGTATTGCTGCAAACCTCTGAGAAGGGAGATGGAAGGGTTATTTGCACGATATCTAGTCATGATCGCCGGAAGCGTGTCAGCTTTGAAGCATACCATCCGCGGAATGGAGGCTCCTTCTATGAAGACCAACTCTGGCCAGACGAACATGAGGCTACTGATTTAAAAGCCTGAGCAGGTATTCCACAGCCACCGCAATACCTGCTCTACCTCTGGCGGCTAAGTCTTTCGTACAGTCCATTCGTCTGTTAGCACCCTCAAATGTTGTGAATACGTTAATTATCAAAGAAGAAACCTCAAAAACACCAAGAAAAGATGAAAATAACAAAATACGGAGGCATAGGGAGAAAGCGGGGTCGACACCGCTAGGAGATCGTTTTTCGGCCGAAAAGCCACCCCCCTCCCGCAGCGCCTTATCTATCTGGCACTCCGCGGAGCCTCACCGCTAGTATACCTGGTCAAGCACCACCTATTTCGATGAGGTTGAATACCGCACCTCTTTCACAGCACATAACCTTCTGGCAAACCCGAAGCAATGGCCAAGCAACGTTTTTCGGCCGAAAAACCAAGTCCTCCTAGGCGCACAGGTTAACACACTATACAAACGGAAGGCGGACAAAATTCAACCTGTCAATTCGTCTGATTCAGATAGCTCAATTCCTGCTGGTAACCCTGACTGGCAGAATGTGTGTCTTAAGAAGTATCATTCCAAGTACCGTGCTACGGACACACCTTCGGAATTCGATGACCTACTTCGGCCGCGTATTGCAACTATCGTAAGAGGAGCCAGGCTAACGCCTAAACGAGAAGAGTCGATGCTCGTTGGTAGTGGTCTGCTTCCGAAGGAAAAGCTACTGCTACGTGAGCTACTATTTAAGAGAGAAGGGGTGCTTGCATGGTCCTGGGAGCATATGAGCCGTATTCATGAGGAAGTTATGCCCGCTTAACGCATCAAAACTATACCTCATGAAGCATGGCAACACCCAGGTTTCAAGATACCGCGTGCTCTCGGACCAGTTATTAACGATATGCTTCGTGATAGACTGCGGAAAGGTGTTCTCGAACCATGCGATGGCCCGTATAGAAACCCTTGGTTCCTAGTGAAGAAGAAAAGTGCAGGTAAGTACCGGTTGATCAACGCCGCGATGCTGATCAACAAGGTTACAAAACGAGATGCCAATATGCCACCTGATGCGGATGAGTTTGCTGAAGAATTCGCTGGACTGGCCCTTACTTCTTTAGTTGATCTATACTCCGGTTACGACCAGATTTCCCTAGCCGAGGAAGACAGGGATCTCACCGCGATTCAGACTCCACTAGGTCTGCTACGCCAGACTACAATATTACAAGGCGCAGCGAATTCGGTGGCACAGTTCCAACGCGTGGTATCATGGATTCTGTAGCCTATCTTTGGCACCATTGCTAGGTCGTTTCTTAATGATGTTGCTATCAAAGGGCCTCGGACCAGGTACAATGACGAGTTTGCAAAGCCAGGGATTCGAAAGTTTGTTCTAGAACACCTACAGAACCTCGATGAAACGCTATATCTTTTGGAGCTCGCCGGTGTTGCTGTCTCGGCGGAGAAGTCCCAATTTACTATGTCAGGAATCGAGGTTGTTGGGTGGATATGCGATATCCATGGGCGTCGCGCTGAGGAGAACAAGGTCGCAAAGCTTCTGGACTGGCCCACCCCATTAAATAAAGACGAACTACGTTCGTTTGTTGGCCTTGCTGTCTACTTCCGTATCCTAGTGGCCGGCTTTTAGATTATTATGGACTGCCTATACGCCTGTTTGAGGAAGAATACCCCCTTTCAGTGGGGAGCAAAGCAACAAGCTACATTTGATACGGTTAAAGAGCTACTCTCAAGCTTCCCCACAGTGCTTCCGATCGACTATGCCTTCCAACCGTTAATGATTGTTGTTGCGGTAGACGCGTCTGGGAAAGGATGGGGTGCTGTTCTGATGCAAGAAAGAGATGGTGTGAGGAAGCCTACACGCTACGAATCAGGCGTATGGACAGAGACGTAACTCATATATGATACGGGTAAGTTAGAATGCCGCGTAGTACTAATGGCACTGAAGAAGTTCCGGCACTGGCTATATGGTATCCACTTTGTGCTAGAAACAGACGCGAAAACTCTTGTTTCGCAACTGAATCGTCCTGCTACCGACTTGCCAGGTGCTCTTGTTACTAGATGGATGGCGTGGATCCGTTTATTTGACTTTGACGTTAAACATGTTTCTGGGCGGAAGAATGGTGCGGTAGATGGACTATCGAGAAGGCCTACTACTAAAAAAAGAGGTCCAGCAATAATAGCAAGAGGTAGACGTGGATGACTTCATTAATGCAGAAGTGTCTTACCTACGAGCGAGCTGCTTTCCTGCGCGCGCTACTATTACAAATGGCGACGAAGAGCTCGCCGATAACCCTGCGACCCTACCACTGGAGAATAGCTATTCGACCGAATCACAAGATATAGCTCGCTACCTGACCACGCTTCGGCGCCCGCCGGAGATGTCCCGCAGTCACTTCTACTATTTCAAGAGGAAGTGCCTAAAGTTTGTTGTTCAAGATAGTCACCTTTTCTACCGGCATAAGGGAAAGACAGAGATCATGCGGCGTGTTCTCGATAAGAAAGAAGACCAACAAAAAGTATTACATGGCGCCCATACTGAACTATCTCATAAAGGACGAGAGGCCACCTACGCCTTACTAAAACTTCGGTACTACTGGTCCCGTATGTTCGAGGATACGGTTACCTTCGTGCGAACATGTATGGAATGCCAGGCGCGTGATCCCACCCGTATGCATGAGCCTACCGTCGCTTCAAAGAACCTGAGACTATTCGATAAGTGGTTTATTGATATAACCCATATGCCAGATGAAAACGGCGTCAAGTCTGTTATCCAAGGAAGAGATTCTGTTAGCGGCTGGGTTGAAGCAAGAGTTTTAGTCAGTGCTGACTCTGAAGCTATCCAAGCTTTTATTCATGAGGATATTATTTGCCGCCATGGCTACCCCCGTGAGATCGTTATGGACGATGGACCTAAAAACCGTAGCAAGACACTGAAGTTTCTTGAAGACCGCGGCGTTAAGAAGGTCACTATTTCCGCATATTATCCTGGTTCGAACGGTCCTGTTAAACGAGCAATGAGGACACTAAAAGATGCCCTTTCCAAGATGACAGGTGGATACCCAACTGGTGACATATCTACTCCGAAAAACCGATGGAGGCCTCACTTCTATGCCGCATTGATAGCAGACCGTGTGACCGTTAACGCTACCACTGGAATCAGCCCGTACTATTTCTTATTTGGTATCTATACTGTTTTGCCTGTCGAATTGGAGATACCCACATAGAGCACACTACCTTGGGAAACTGTCCAGGACAGATCAAGTCTCATAGCAATGCGCGCACGATAAATCGAAAGACGGGAGAAAGACATTAAAGAAGCCATCCTACGAATGAATCGTCTCAAGGAGAATAATGCAGGATACTTTGATGACCACTATCGCACTCGTGATGCTTCCCTGAAGAAGGACGATTACGTCTTATTGCATGATAGCCAGAGGTCTTCAGACATAACATCTATTCAGAAGCTCCGCTTTCGATGGCTTGGACCATACCAGATCGAATCTGTCAAGGGAAATGGATCCTATTCAATCAGGGAGCTTGACGGCACTGTGCTACGCCATATAGGAGACAAGAATGCTGATGCGATTAACGGCGACAGACTCAAAAGATTCTACCCTCGAGGAATAGGGGATTCCAGTGAGATACAGAGTGTTGCTCAAACTGGTCAGCTTCGAAAACGTAGACCAATTGGTCGACCTCGAGCTAGACAATAGTTCCATTATCCTACCGTTCAGTGGGCCATTATGCCAACGCCTTGAGAAGCTTTTTCGGCCGAAAACATTATTCGCCCTAACATCTGATTACGTAACACGATCATTGACTTAAATTTGCACTATAAATTGATCTTTTCCGCCTTTTCAAATTCTTCTTTCTTCTTCACCTTACCTCCATCCACATACTGGAGGGAGAAGACCCTTGGGCTATGGCTTCAAGTTATCGATCAGGAAGACGAGCATGGTTCAAGGGTAGTTGAAGTCAAGTTCTCACCTAACGTCGTTCGCCTCGACATCGCCATGAGGTATGAAGCCAAGAACTACATGACACCTCCATATTGGAGCATGGCCCACTCGAGTCACCCTATCAAGCAACAACATCGTTTTTCGGCCGAAAAACAATCTCCTTCTACCCTAGAATAGCCAAGGGACGGCTGTTGTTACATAGCGAGGGCGAGGGCAGAGTACACTCCTTTATTGCAGATTTCCTTTGTTTATTGCTAGTTTCAAAAGACCGTGTGGTACACATAAAGCTACTCACTCACCCTCTTTAAACCTCACTTCCTCATCTTATGATTTTTCACTTCACTTTATCACTTCACGAATACCCCAAATCCCCGCATACCTCCACATACGAATCCTGACCATCGAGCCGCTACCATGAATAACGATAGTGAGAACGAGAGCCTCCCACAAGACATCGAACTACGAGGACAGCATATTGCCACGATCGAGGACGCACTCCAGTTCCTACGGGGCTGTGAAAAGTCTGAGGCATATCTACTCGCGACCCAGCTATTGGAGTACTTGCTTGGCAGACATGAGAAGGTGGAACGAGCCATCGACCTGCTGTACAACTACGTCGATAAGGAAGAGCTATGGAGAGGACAGGAGGACCACGCAGATTTCCGAAGAAGATGGCAAGAGGGCCAGAGAATACAGGCACGACGTATCCAGAACGATGAGTACCTTACCTCAAATAGGCAAAAAGCAATTAATGCCTGGGGAGAAGAGCAAGCGAATGCCTTCTTCGGGTACCTATCGACACGTTCAATAGTGGAATTGGCCAGCAAATTCATCACAACTGGTCTCAGTTACGAGCATGTCCGGCTTTCGATCAATAATAAGGTTATCTCACGTCTATCATCACCAGGACGAGGGGTTCGCAACACCAAGGGTATCATACAAGGTGACCTTACGAAGGCCCTTCACCGGAAGTGTTTGCAGCCTCTAGTGCGAGAGACCCTTATAGAGTGCGGGCTACAACTAGACCAGGATGGATATTGCTGCGCGACCGGCAGAGGAAGTGACCTTGCCGCTCTGACTGCAGAGCCACATATGTCTATTGTTGAGACAGAAACAGAAGATGAAGTTAACGCTAGTGCTGGTGATACTGATACCTTCGGTGATACGTAGGGCACAGTCATTTACCTTGAGGAGAATGATGAGGGAGGCGATGCCGCCGACCTAATGTCTATCTGCGGTGTATCTGATATGTCCTCTGAGCTATCGGAGGCGCAGTCATTTCCAGATGACTTCCTGTCTAGAAATGACGAGGAATCTGATTCCTCGCAGGGCAAGAAGAGACAGGATGCTAAGTGTGGCTGCTCCGTCAAAAGAGCTACTATGAACAGAATCCTAGCCCTCCCTGCAGATGCAACCAATAGACAGAAGTTGGTGGCCTTAAGAAGCCTTAGCAGACTAGCCTTATGTGACCTGGAGTCGATCTTCACGAAAAATGTGATCTGTATGTCTCATGCAAAGAGGGTGTTTGAACTGTTCAATATGCGCAGCGCTAGCAAGAACTATACCGCGCTTGCTAAGAGAGTTGACTTCATCTACCGATATATTGATGACTGGGATACCTTGGTGAAGACGCACTTAGCCTGGTTTCGGCCGAAAAACGGTCTCAGCTGTGATCCCCCGTTAGACCTCTATCGTTTCAGACACCAGCCTGCCCCGCCATTGGTCGCTGACTACAATAAGATGACCTAGCTGTCCTTCGAAAGCCTCTACCGAAGAATACTGCCCACTCCCGAACCAACCGCCCCTCTGGCTACTGAGCTATTCCAGCAGATGACAGAGCGAGGGAGTGTGGTGATTCCGCAGTTATTTGGTTGGTTGAAGGAAGATTTTGATGGCAATCATCCTGGCGGTCTACTGGCTCTTGCACACGAGGAGATAGACATATACAATTACCATTATCTACCTCGCACCGGTAAGCCTCGTCTTGGGTGGTTGAGGAATATGTGGCATGGTATTATCCAGCAACTGGTCCGCCAGGACCCGGCGTACTATGCATGCTATGTCTTCTTTCGACCAGACCATGCTCACCGACTGATCTCCTTCCCGTACTACGCCAAAAGTACCATGCCTGGTGAGCAGACTCGCTTTAGGCACATTGATGTGAATCTAAATGATCTATTCCAAACCGGGCGGGGCCACGCAATATTGCAAGGTAGCCTGTCGTTAGATGATGAGGATGAGCAGAACTGTACTGAGTTACTGTATGGCATGCACCGCCATATTCATGAGTGGTGGGCAAGTGTGCGTGATAAGATGGAGACCACAGATGGCTACGTGCAAAAGATCGATGGCAAGAACTGGACCAAGGAGGATGCCGCAAAGTATGGCGCAGACTGGGCCAAGGAGGTCTGTATGGCTGGTGATGTCCGAATCAGTCTGCCAACACTACCCCATAGGTCGACAGGCCCTGCAACCAAGAGACGGAGATGCATTTTACCATGGTTTGTCCGTGTTAGAGATGACCATTCAACCCTAGATACCCCGGAATCTGGCACTTGGGAGGAAGTATCCGCAGCGCACAGAGACCTCATTCAAGCTACTAGAACGCCTTTAGGGTTCACTAGTAGTAAGTATGGGCACCTGCAGTATGCATTCCCTGCGGCACCACGGTTCCACGGTGAGGGTTTGATCTCTGACTGCTTGGTTGGCCGTGCTCGATGGACTGATCCTGGTGTTTCGACCGAGCTGGATGTCCTCTTCGGTCAATATGAGGCCGCTGCAGCCGCCTACATTGCCTCATGGAGAAGACATGCGCAGCAGACGTATGCCGACCTATTCCTAGAGATGATAAAAGCCGAGAAGTAGGCATTCGGTAAGGATTCTTTCTTTCGCCGCAAGGAATCCGGGCTGCCTATTGGCCCTCCACAGCCAGAGGTTACGCAGTTGGAAGCTAATGACAGTGGTGATTCTTGATGTCTCAGTACTCGCGATGAAACTGGTGAGAGTTTAGATCAACCAAGGGCCGGTTGATTTATGAAGGGGGTAGTATGTAGTGGTGGAACGCATGACATAATGAATACAGTTGCGGCCTGAGGTGTCACGAATACCTTAGGTGTAAGCAGCAGCTTCTATATGAGGATAGAGAGAGAAGAGGCATCTACCTAATTCATTCCAGTTTTCACTACATTCTTTCATTCAACATGCTATATTAAGTACATTCCATACGGGCTCAGTCGGGAAAAACCGTACGGCCTCATTTAGGATTGCTGTGTCCAGGATTGCACGTACGACCTCACGGCCTCACCAAGGACATTCGCGACCTCCCCTAGGACGACCTCTACTACGTGCAGGTTGTGTGTGTGTTGTTCGTTGGTTGCTGTTGCCCAGTCTGTATTGTCAGACAGCCATCGAGCCATCCCCTTTTCAATAGTCATATATACTAAGGGTCGTCGTACAAAGCTTTGTCTTAGTGGAAACTTAGTATATTCGATCAGCCTATCATATTATTAATACTATCTAGCTTGGGTGGCGTAAGATTCAGGGGTAAAATATAAATCTTTAGCGAATTCCCACTTACTTTTTTCCTCGCCCCAACAGACTAAGCTCCGTTCTTTGTACGACCCCCGCAAATATATATTTGGACGATCTACGAAACCTTATCGTACAATGGCATCCCGCACCGCCGCGGACTTATTTTTACGGATCCCCAAGTATTCCGTGATTGTCTGTCGCCAGTGTCAGTATGCTGTCCGACCGACCCAGGTCGTGTTTCATCTGACCCATTCCCCGCATCGTACAACGATTCCCGATGCCCGGCAGGTCCAGGCGGCTATCGAGGAGTGGGACGAGGTCGAGGAGAATATTAATCAGTTATGCTTTCCCGAATGGGTGGACCAGCCTATCGAAGGCCTCGCGATGTACACTGATGGTATCCTATGCACCCGAGTCCAAGGCTGTGGATATGTATGCCGGAGTAAAGAAAGTATTCGGAAACATTGGCGTACGGAGCATCATTGGTCGCCGTACGGTCACCATCAAGGCCACCAGCAGTCTTGGCTAAATGATCTTGCCCGAGTGGCTATTCAAGACACTACCCAAGCGGTATGCTGCCAGCGGTTCTTTACCACGAAGTTTGGTTCCCACTATATCCACGTTCGCCGGCCCGGCCCGTCGTACGAGCCGATGGAGCCTCCGCCGCACCCTACCGTGGTCCAAGGGTTAGTGAACCAGCTCGAACAGTGTTTCACCGCGTCCCAGGCCAGCGACGAGACGGTCGTACAAGCCGGCGAGCTGGATGAGGCCAACCCGTGGTTACGGCGGACGCAGTGGGCCCAGTATTTGCAGGGGATCCCCGTACGACTATTGTCCGAGGCCATCGCCACCCCCGATCCGGATGCCGAGGGCCCCGAGGGCATCGTACGTGCCATTTGGGACGCCATGGATCGGGTCGCCCGCGTGAGCCAGCGTATTACCAAGCAATGCGGCCATTTAATCCGAATCGAGGCCGCGCGGACCGAGAAGGACCAGAGCCCGCATCAACCATTGCAGGCGTATATGGATATGGATAACATTGTACGACACGTGGAGCCATGGCAGCGGGTGTTAATGTTTTTGCTCGTACGCAGCAGCCGCACGAATGGCGCAGTCCCCGGTACCGGTTTATATCGCGGCAGCAACGCGCGTGGCAGGCATTATGGCGCTGTGCCCAGTCCACGGTCCAGCTGGGCCAGTCGTCGTCCGCGCAGGGCGCCGACCCGGCCACCCATGGTCGTACGAACGATGATCCCGAGCTATACCAGTTCACACCCATTGAACAAGCATGCATCGACTTTTGCATTGAGTTACTGAATCAGCGCGTAGGCGCCGAGGAGTACGAGTGTGCATTAGTATGTGCATTGGCCGTATTAGGGCGCAGCCGGGACGGTTGGCAGACGCCCGAGTCGTACCCCCCATTTTGTCCAAGATGATTAAGATTGCGCGGTTTATGGTATTGCATAAGGCATTACGGTTAGATCCCCACGCGGATGAGATCTTACAATTTTTGCAGCACCGACAAGGGGTCGGCGAATGGGCCAGCCAGAGTCCGATGGACGACCCCGAATATATATTCGCGGGCCAGGATGAAGGATATACCAGCCAGAGCCCCACGCCCACCCCCGAGCCCGATCACCCGCATTCACCGGTCGTATAAGATCCCCCCCGATCCCACGAGCCCGGATTGATATCATTTAGCCAGCAGCGGCGGCAGGGTTCGCGGCCGTTTCGCGAGTGATTAAAGGTATTAGTGGATACGTTTATGGTCCGTGGCACACATAGCCCGATGCAGTGGATGTTAGATTTACGGACGTACGGTTTACATATGCATTATAATAGCACCACGCCTAGGTATATCGCGTGGATGGGCCCCGACCAGATATTATACAAGGAGGTGTATTTTTCGATGGGCGATTTCCGAGGCTTCGTACATGGATTAGTGGGATCATTACAGGGGATATTGCGGGACGAATTATTAATGACCACCGAGACCACGCCCATCCCATCCATCCCGTGGGCCAGCTTGATGGACGACCCCGCGCAGGCCAAACCCGGGTGGTGTTTTTTAAAGGATTCGCGTACGACGTGGCCCGTGGATGGCGCACAGTGGATGACCCAGCGGTTAACGTAGGATAGTGCCGTACAACGGCGGTTTATCAATACGCACGAGGGTCAGTTCCGGACATCCGCCATTCAACGATATATACAACGGGTCGTACGATTCCGTGAGCAGTTATGTATCGCCATCCACGTTATCACCGGATAACCCAGTCGAGCCCCCGAGCTGTTAAGCATTCGGCACCGGAACACTGAGGGCGGCCACCGCAATATATTCATCGAGGATGGATTAGTGGTATTTGCCAGTCGGTACCATAAGGGGTTTTATGCGCAGAATGACGCCAAAACGATCCACCGGTATTTACCGCGGGAGGTCGGGGAGTTGGTCGTACAATATTTGTGGTTAGTATTGCCATTTATGGAGCGATTGCAGGCATACCCGCTGGGGCAGTCGTCGTACGAGCATCCGTCCCATTTATCGCAAGCCGCATATTTATGGCCGCCCGACCCCCATACCGGCCGCGAGTGGTCGTCCGAGCGGTTCCGGGAGGTGTTAAAGCGCGAGACGGCCATTGGATTGCATGGGTATTCATTAAATATCCCCGCGTACCGCGATATTGCCATTGGGATCAGTCGACGGTTTTTACGGGTATCCAGTGTGTTCCCGAATAACGTCCAGGATAGTCGTACGACCGATGGTACGCCCGACGATGCGGACGACGAGTCCCAGATGGACCACGACCAATTTATGGGCCATATTGCGGATTTACAGGCCGCGCATTCATCGCACGTCGCCGGGATGATATATGGCCGCGAGGTCAGCGAGCAAGCCGGTACGACGGCGCACCGCCGTGAGATGTTCCGGTTATCCAGCACCGATTGGCACCGGTTTTTAGGGTTTCCATCGTCCGAGGATCCATTAGCCCGGGTATTAGGCAAACGCAAGCGATCCCCGTGGGAATCGACGGCGGACGAGGCCCGCAGCCAGCGTCGGTGGCAGTTACGCGAGACCGATATGACCGAAGCCGTCCGACGGATGACCGGGGACGACCAGATGCAGTTCCGAGGCGTACAAGGGCCGGCCATCCAGGCCATCCAGCACGGCGCCAGTCCGGTCGTTGCCGTGATGCCCACCGGAGGCGGCAAAAGTATGTTATTTATGTTACCCGCGTGGGTGGCCGGTGGATTGACCGTGGTCGTGGTGCCATTGATTGCATTACGGGCCGATTTGCAGGACCGTTGTACGACATTAGGGATATCATGCGTGGCATGGGAGAGCCGACGGCCCCCGGACGAGGCATCGATCGTATTGGTCACGCCCGAATCAGCGTTAAGTACGGAGTTCACCACGTTTTTGAACCGGCAACGTATGATGCAGCGGTTAGACCGGATCGTGATCGACGAGTGTCATATTTTGTTAAACCGGGACACCACGTTTCGTCCGATGATGCAGCAGTTAGGCCGGTTGACCGCCGCACAAACGCAGGTTGTGTTATTAACGGCCACATTACCCCCCAGCGCGGAAGGTCGATTATGGCAGCAGATCCGATGTGAACGGTCCCAGGTCGAGTTTTACCGGGGTCGTACGAGCCGGACCAATATCGCATATCGTGTATGGCGGCCCGTATTAGAGCGTGGGTTAGAAGGACCAAACCAGTGGATCCAGATGCCCCAGGTGATGGCATTCGTCCGACAGCGGATCCACCGCGTGCCCGCCGGACGGGTGATTGTGTACGGGAGCACCAAGACACATGTGGGTATCATGGCCGGTGCGTTAGGGTGCGATGCATTTTACAGCGGGCAGGACGACAAGAGCGGGATCATCGAGCGGTTCCGGCAAGGCCACACCGGGGTGATCGTGGCCACCAGCGCATTAGGGATGGGGATTGATATCCCCGATATCCGGTGTGTGATCCATATTGGGTGGCCCCGTACGATGTTAGATTATGCGCAGGAAAGTGGGCGTGCGGGCCGTGATGGGCAGGCGAGCGAGGCCATTATCATTCAGCCCGCGGGGATTGATACCGCACCGCCATGGATGGTTCCCGAGCCCACGCGGACCGGTTTGCCCGAGTCCGAGGAGCCACAGCGGGTGTACGATTATATCACGGCCGGGGTGGGCCAATGCCGACGGGTGATGTTGGACACATATTTAGATGGCACGGTGGATGGATATCAGCGGGTTCGATGCGGTGATGGGCCCCCCGGGTTGGACGAAGCCCCGTGTGATCGATGCGAGCCCGGTTGGCAGGCGATTAAGCCCGAGACGAGTG